ATGGTCGTCTGTGCGGGTGGGCCAAACCGCGTGGGCGTCCTGCGAGATGATGCTATTCGAGAGATTCCAGAAAACTTCTGCTGTCATGATCCTGGCTGCCTTGATCTGGGGAAGAAGAAGATTTTTTTTTCTTCCATTTGCTTGTGAAAATCGTGCCCGGATAGAGTCAGTTGAAGTCATAATTGACGTCTTTCTGACTATCATCTACGATTCGTGGGGTTCGCGATTCATTCAAGACCCTGACAGGAAGCGGAGAATTGCGTAGGAGGGGGGTGTTCTTTTTTTCTTTGTACGTATCACTCAAGTGTATGTGTGTGTGGTCCCGGCATAGTAGAAAAGAGTTTACGGCAGAAGATGCGCTTGAGGATGCTTCTTTCGGTGGGTAAACGCCTCTCTTCCAGGGCCGTGGTTGACTTTGCGCCACGACTCATGAGCCACCGGAACCTTGCCCGGAGAGAAGACCGGGAGGGGGGTGTTCATCGGACAGGCTCCGACTGGGGGTTTTCTTGGTAAGTGTGTGCCCCCGTCTCGGTGTCGTTTCGGTAAATGAATCGCGACACGCATACCTGACGGTGGCTGGCAAGCGAAAAAGACCTCCTACCACAACACGAAGGGGAGAATTAAAAGAATTTTGAAAAGAATTTTTCCATTAGTGGATCTTTATTACTGCTGACTACGGGGCCATACTGCCGAAGAAGAGCCTCGGAAAGCGGAACAGAAGGGGGGGGGGGGGAAGGGGAGCCACTAAGCAGGAAAAAAAAGGCTGGACGAACGGGACGTATAGATACCCGCCTGTCAAATTTGCATTTGCCAAAAACCGCTACCAAAAAAAAAGGCCCGTTTTGCTGACTACTGACTTCCATGTAGTACCACGCAGTATATTGCCTTCCCGTTGAGCATCCTCTTCTGTACAAGCGTTATCCGTTATCATCCCCTGCAGGCAATCCCCCAGGCCCCTTCTATCTATCCCATGTGGGTTCGGCAGGCAAAAAAATTTGCTGGAACGAGGAGGAGGAGGAGGAAGACCTTGATCCTGGAGCTTCGAAAAGTTCCACCGGCAAAATGTTGCTCCCAAAGAGGATCCCTCAACCCCCGGTCCAGAGGACAAAATGCCTGGAAAACGGGTCCCCCCTCCGCTCTTGGCCCTCCTCCCACCCAGACGACGGGACGATCGCTCCCGGGGGTTGACACGTTTGGGTCCGCTGGGTCATCCCTTTTTGTCAAACTTTCCAATCTCTCTTCCCTGTCGGGGGTTGAACATGGGTTGTGAAGAGGGCCCAGGCGCCGGGAACCCATCCCGGCGCAGGGTTAATCAGAGAGCAAGAGTCATATCCCTGCATCTCAGTTCCCCGTTCTGGCGGTCGAGAACACAGAAAACGGCGGGGGGGAAAAGGAAAAAGGAAGAAAACGCAGCTCCTCGCTGGCTCGGTTGATCATTATACGAAATGATAACTCCCCCCCTTGTCAACAGTAACTGACTGCCCCATCGAGGGCGTGCATGTAGATTACGGATGTTACTTGGGACAAACCCCATGGCTGCTTTAATTCATAGCCGGCGGACCGCGCTGCCACCTCCCCCCCATAGGGCCTTTTGGTAAAATGGCACAATTCAAAGCAGCAAGGGACCCAGTTATGGTCTGTGGACCCTGTGGTGTGCTCTGTAGTGGGTAGAGAACAGCCCGTTCTGCCGGTACGGTAACAAACGGAGAGAGCAATTTGTTATCTCAACCCACACTTACTACCCCGCGCAAGCAAACTTTGCGGGGGAAGATGGCAAAGGCGTTATCGTCCCCCAACGATTACGATTACGGATCCCGCCCTCCGTTCTCTCCCGTAATGCTTGACGCACTTACGCAGCCCTACCAGGGATATCAGGGATTTTGTTACTACACACGAGAAAAAGATGAGTCAATGACAGCACGAAATCAAGGTCAAGCAAGCCCCCAAGATAAACATTACACACACACACACACACAACTATCAAAAGCTTTCTAGACGACATTACCGGTTTCGCAGCCCGATCCCGGGAAGAGGAGGAGGTGGTGGGAGGGGTGTGATTTTTTGGCGTGCAGATACCGAGTCGCTCCCTTCTCGGGGTTTTCTGAGGGTGTAGAAGAAGTTCGGAATAAATGACTTGAATGTGTTATGTTGTCCAGGCAGGCCAGACGCACTGTGGAATGTCTGTCTTTTCGGAGCACCTTGACTCTCCAAGCCTCGGTCAATACCCTCCATGCCCGTCTGACCCCCTCCGGAGCCGCACGTAGATTGACCGCCGGAAGGGACCATGCATGCATCATTATTATTATCATCATCATCATCATCAGTATAGCGAATCCAGGAGTGCGACGTGATGAATAAGATAAATGACCCAGACATGACTCCCTCGTACGCCACAATCTCGATTATTTCCCCAAATCAGAGATGAATCACCGCCAGTCAAACTCGCGAAAAATAAGATCGTGATGTGTCAAAGATTGGCGGGAAGGCGTTGACTCGGAACCATGCTCGAAAAGAAAAGCTTGAAATGCCAATACTGGACGGATCAAGTAAACAGACGTGTCACTCACAATCACTGACGACAGCCTCACCTCACTCAACACCACCACCACTACTACCAACACCACAAGTCCGAAACATTCCGTATCTTTCGGCACATTTTTTTCTTGGTAGTCCCCCTTCAATCAAGCTCCCCCCGCATCAACCACTCTCGTCATCGGCAAAAGAGCTCCATGTCCATCAATCACAGCTCTCTCCCCAGATCACCGCCCAGTCAGCAGCAACCAACTGTGTAGTATAGCTTTTTGGATTTTTCCCCGGACTCTCGCCCCATCGGCAGATCACCCCCGCGTTCCTTTAGGTGAATTATCTAGCGTATTTCGCAGAATTACAGCCCAGCTTTTCCGAAAACGCAGATTAATGGAAATGGTGTTTCGCAACGCACTCTTCGTACTGCAAATCCCCCCCCCCCCTTTTCAAAAGCAACCACTAACCAAAAATTGGGCGTTGGGCGCGGGATCCCTTTCCCTTCTCACTAAAATAATCATGGCTGATCCAGACCGCCGGATCTCCGGTCCACCCCGAACCTGGCCCCTAACCCCCAAAGAAAAGCCCCTAAAAAGCCCTGCTGAAGGTGCCAAGATGTGCAAGTAGGTGGGTGTCGGAAACCAAAGGGCAGCAGGCACCGTCGGACGCAAACGGTTGCGGCAATCGCAGTGTGCGAAAAAAGGCCTAAACTGCGAAGATACCGCGACCGCGGTAAACTCAACTCTAACCCTCATGAAATCCAAGTCCTCGTGCCGAGGACGAAAATTGTAGGTAATGCATCTGGGCCTCGGCCGAACATATCCCTCCCTCCTCCCCGCGCGGCATCCCATAGTAAACTGTGGCGGTGATGACGAATGACCTTGGAATCCCCCCAAATAGCAACAAATCCCCATTAATCCGCCTCTCCAGAATTCCAGTTGATCCGTGTTTTTTGCTTCTGCTCGACGGTCTAGATTGAACGGGGGGCAGTGTAGGCGGAGCAACGGCATAACTACGGGTGAAGCGTATCAGTATTAGTGTCCACTTGGAGGAGGTTAGATACGTAGTCCTATTAGTAGTGTAGTTGCTAACCCAACCCCACAAATCCCCCGAATCTGGTATTTCCCGACCGTTCCCGACCGTTTTCGAATTTCGCCCAGTCGGTCAGTCCTCCACCACCCATTCGGTCCAGCCCCAACCAGAACTCGCCGAAATACCAATGACGACATTCTTCCCTGTGGCTAATGGGGGTCAACCCTTCAGCCCGACCCCAACACACACACACTCACACACACACACTCTCTCTCTCAATCAAGAATCAGCGAGCGAGCATGCATGCTGCCCGCCCTGCTGCCGCTGACTGGCCCTGCCGCCGCAAGCTTGTGGCGGCACATGCTTACTGAATGACTTGACTGACTGACTGACTTGGGCCAGCCAGCCCGTGTATGACTCTCTGTGTGGCCTCAACATGACTCTGAAAATCTCAACTCTGACGTTTTCGAGGCAAGGGGTGCAATGATCTGTAAAGTCTGTTGCTCAAGTCTTCACTAGTCACTGAGTCGAGGGATGCAAAGGCTCTTTTTTGTTTGGTTGGTGAATAGAATCAAATATTGTCTTGTCGCGCGTGGCGAAGGGTATCTCGTACTACTTAAAAAGCTAACTACTAAAAATTGAAAAAAAAACATGACGCTGATACTATGATGGTTCCCATGCTGATCCCAGAAATGTCCTGATACCTCGATGCAGTGATGCAGTGGGTGTACTGTTACCCTTTTCCCATGTTCCCTCCCAGACAAGATGTGATAAAAACTCCATGCGACAATAGATGACTGTTCAACCTCAGAGGGTTACAGCAAGGGGGGTATCAACACGAGAAGAAAAAAAAAACCAAATAACCCAAGGCAGCAGCGACATGTGAAATGCCTGCGCGCCCATGATGAATCCACGAGGCCACAGCGTGCGGTGCGATGCGACGAGGCAGCGCACCCGACCTGCCCTCACCTGCCACACTACCAGTGCCCGATGACTCCTCGGTAGGCCACCTGTTGTGGTGGCCGATACCGCCCAGCTCGTGCTAGTGTGGCTGAGACACACTACTGCGGGCTCCCCCACGATCGGCTTTGCTTGTGTTCCCCCACACACGGGCTTCCGAATCGCCCCGTGCTGGAAACCAAAAGCTGCCTTCCTTTGGGGCGGTAAAATCCCCAAAGGCGAGTTTGAAGTGTTTGATTGCCGGCGACCTGAATCGTCGGAGCGAAAGGCCATGTTCGCTTCGTCTGTATCCCGGATTGGTGGCCTTTGCCGTCACTATTTGTAGATGTGACCGTCATTAAGTATTAGAGTTCGCCGAGGCGAGGTGTAAGCGAAGCCAGGCCATGTTCTTCGGAAGGTCAACCTTGATCGTCCGAACAAGAGCTGGCTATGCGCATCGCCCAATATTGTAGTTGTTGGTTGCTGTAAGATTGTTGGGGAAGCTTTCACTCGGCGATGGGAGTCATGACGGCCTGCTTGCTCTTGGGGCTCTTCTTGGAGCTACCACGGCGGGTTTGCTTTTGCCTCAGGGCTTGCTGACGACGACGCTCCTTCTCGAGCATGACGCAGCGCATGGCCTCGCGCTGGAGAGCCATCCTCTCACGTTCCATCTCGAGAAGCTCGGCCTCGGTGATCTGGGGAGAGCGCGAGCTGGGCGAAGAGAAGCTGGCGGAGCTGGCAACGCTGTGGGTGTCGTCCTCGAAGTCTTGGGGAAAGAGGTCCTCGTCGGAAAGGTAAGAAGTAGCTCTGGACTCGCCATCAAAGTCGGCGAGGGTGTCGCGGCGCGGCCACGAAGGGAAGGCGCAGGAGCGGTCGTGGGCGAGCATGTTGCTGGGGGCGATGTCGATGGGAGCGGTGATGGACACGGCGCTCATGGAGCTGTATGATCCGTATGAGCCGTACATGGCTGCGATGTGGATGTGAAGAGTGGAGTTGGTTCTCGTAAAGGTCTTGTTGGTATAAGCCTTTTGAGCTTTGAGTGTTGATATTGTTGATCTCACGTAGAAGCCGAGAGTGTGGGAGAAGGTGGACACGGGAGACTTATAAGCAAAGGCGCGTCTGCCTGCCTCTGGTCTTGGGGGGTGTAAAGGGGGTGTGTGGTGTGCAGGGTTGCACGAGCTAACGTTCCGAGGAATTTCGGAGAGTGGATTTTGCAAGCCTAAAAATTGGGGGGTACGGTCCTGGTTACCTGTGTTCCCGGGATCCCGAGGGGGTGGGAAAACAAGGCAGGGAGGCGGTGACGGAGATGGGAGAGCTGACACTGCAGGGAACCTTGGGCTGGACCTTGAGGGGGGGTGTCTCGTCAGGGCGGGAGCGGTTGCAGTTGTCGTTGGGGGCGTATGTCAGATGGGGGGTGTAACTGACGGGGGTGTCGGTGGTAAAAAAAGGACCGTAATGTCGGCGACAGGGCTGGGCTGGAGTCGCGGGAGGATGTCCGTAATCCGTATTTGCTTGGTGCGAGTGTTACTGTTCCTTGTGGTAACGGACGGAGGCTTTTGGCTTTTTGCTTGCTGGTGGCAGCTTGTTGCTTTTGGGTTGGACGGCCGAGCAGCTGGTGACTATTCTTGACGTGGCGTTGCTGAGGACTCGGGCAAGGCTTTTTCTTGAGTCGCTGTTGTCCGAGTGGAAATCCTGCTTTGTGGTGGGTGGTGGTAGTGGTGGTGGTGATGTGTAATGTACGGGCAGACGGGATCTTGTTGCTGATTGTTTGATGACGATGACTCCGACGCTTAATTTGGAATGACGATGTATATAACTGACATGTAGACTGTTGTCGTTCCCCCTTAGATGCGAATAGGTAAAGGATCGAAACAGAGGGATGACTCGAACAGGTGGGCAATAGAGTCATGGAAATATACGCGCAGACGACAGATGGGAGGCCTTGATGAGTAGCAATCATGATCATGGCGCAAACAAAGCTGAGTCGTAAAGATGGGGGAATGTGAGCGGACGGGCCAGGCTCAGTGGTGCAAGCGGTCGAGGTTGCGATGGACAGGTACGCAGGGAGACGACATTCCTGACTGTACGGTTACCGTAAAGGGAAGTACCTGATGTATTCATGGTGTAGTGATTGATTTGATTGATTGATTGTCCCCCACGCCGCAGGGACAAACACACAAACACCCCCCCCTATTGCTACCCCGGCTATGAGGCTTGCCAACTCTCTACTTTCTTTATTTTTTTTTCCCCTTTGATGATGTGTCCCAGGCCGGAGGGAGACATTATGGCAGAGACATGCGATGCGAAAATGGACGACATGAGACGGAAGGGGGCCGCATACGGGGAAGCAACGGGAGAGGACAGCGGTAGAGCGGGCAGCCACCAAAAAGCAAGGAAAAGTAGTGGAAAAAAAGAAAGCAAAGAAAACGGAAAAAGAAGAAGCGGTGTTTGACCGCCTTGTCGGGAAGGGGGTGTGTACCATAACTTCCAAAGTGAGTGTGTGTGTGTGTGTGTGTGTGTGTGTGTGTCGGGATTCATTGGGTAGTAACTACCCCCTCCAACCCTTTCCAGCCGGTGGACCATGACTCTTTTCCCGTCCCTTGGGCCAGAGGCGGCAGCTCCTTCCTTCTCTTTTTCAGGCTCAGGTCCCCCCAGGCCCCCGAAGCCCCCCCGTCTTCACAGTGCTCTGGCCCCCCTTTAGCGGTTCGCTTAGAAGAGGGGCCCCGGGAGTAACAGCAAGCCCCAAGTGATTGCGTGCCTGCCAATTTCGTCCCGACAGCGGCACAAGTAAATTGCTTGGCTACGCTCTTTCCTTCTTTGTGGCCCTGCCTTCCCGCCTCCAGACTCTTTTCTTTCCCTGGCTAATATAACAAATAAAAAAAAGCCACGGTACCTTCCAGGCCCCCTTCCCCCCTCCAGGCTCAGTGTCCACAGCTTCTGGCCTTCCATATTTTCTTCTGGCGGGCCCATGTCCCCGGGGACACAATCTGGACTGCCCCGGGCCTCGGGGCCAGCCAGCACGGGCAGTTGGGTAGGTACCCTGCTTGCCTCGGTGCGCTCGGTGCTTCTCCGTCCAGTCTCAGGCACTTCTGTCGCTGTTTGCTGGGTTTTGTGTGTTTTGGGATTTGCCCTTCATTTTGTGTCCGTATTTGGCTGATCGCCAATGCTTTCCTCGTGGTGTTCACCCCAACCCGTCATTGGTCACTACTTTCGTCCTTTTCTCGCTGAAATCTTGAACTTTAGCTTATTTACCGAAAAATTCGAATCAAGAGGGGAAATAGATTTGATTGTTGTACGTGTCGTGTACTTGTCATGCTGTCTACGTCTTCGCTGTCGTACACCCCCTCACTATCCCATTTTCAAACAGCTTCAGGTTGATCGACCCGAAGCTATCCATCACACCCCCTCATTCTCAACAATCGTGGATCGTCAGGTTCCAGCTTCAAGGTGTTGTTGTTCCCTTCTTTGGGCGTCAATAGGTCCCCTCTTTCACTTTCCAGAGGGAGGGGCCGACCAGGGTGATGGGAGGGGCAGTACATTGTAGAGGGGATAGAGCGTAAAACTACGAGACGACCGCGTTCGGGGAGCCACAGTAGTGAGTACATGGATGGTAGCAATCAATTACAATCAACTCCAGTAAGGTATTCGCACCTCTACGGCGCACACACTTACAAACGCCTCACCGCCGCCTAGACCCTTTCCCGAGAGACGTCCTCCAGTGCCGGCCGGCTGACTCTAAAATGGAGGTGTGGTTGTGGTTACGTCTGATCTCGTTCCTGTTCCAGTAACCGACAACACCGCTCTCTGTGGGAACCTGTTTGGTTGGCTATTATACATAGTACACTGCATCTCAGCAAGCCCACTACAGACAACACAACCAAAGCATCAAAAAGTAGGTGTGCCACCAGTCTGCCGTGGCTGCATTCGGCACACCGTTCCCCGTCCCGTCCAGGGCTGAAGGAGTCGAGTCGGCGGTCTTTGGGGCGGCGCATCGCATCGCATTGCATCCGCGCCCATCCCGCTCCAGTTACATACGAGAACGGCGAAACAGAGGTGAAATTTCCTTTTCAGATTACCAGAAGGGGTCCAACAAAAAAGCAATCACGGCGGGGTGTAAAAGGCCAGGAAAGAACCACAATAAATCGATTGAGTAAAGGTGTGAAAAGAAAAAAAAGAAAAAGAAGAAGCCATTTCCGTACCCCTGGCTCCCGACCGTTGTCTCTCCATCTCTCCTTCCCCATCCAAACCACTGGGCCGGGTTGGGCTGCTTGCATCTCATTAATCCTTTTTTGATTTTCTTTTTTAATTGATTTTTTTTTTACCCTAGGTGGTGAGTGTGCCTTTTTCGGCAGCAGTTTACCTGTTGCAAAATTTTATTTCCCCGTCGCTGTCTTCCTCGGTCTCTATTGTCGCGATGCTCGACTCTACCCTAGCTCGTCCTACCCCGGCATCTCATCTTAATCATTTACATGTAGCCCACGACGTACCAGGTGCCCGGAGTCAGGCATAGATAACATGGCCAGGGCCAGGTGAGGCGAAGGTATGCACCCTCGTCATTTGCGGCGCTTCTTATTTCTTCCGTGAGATTCAAGACTCAGGGGGTGTGTGTGAAAGAGAGGGGAAATCAAAAAACACCGTCAGTTATCATCCAGCCATCATTATTACCACGGCAATGAGATTCATAAAATTGTTGCCCTGGCAGGCATCGAGACCCGTCCAGTCAAGGTTTTACACCTTGAATGATTCAGGACAATTACTTGACGAGAATGCGACTGGCTTGGATGGGATGGCCCGGATGCAACAATGCGACGAAGATGTTTGTTTTCCTGTGGAATTCCGTTGGATGCCCGAATTTCCTCCATTCCTCCAGACAACCACCGACATCACCATTTCTGATTGCGACCCCCCTGTTCCCCTCCCGCCATCGCCCTCCAAGAGATGCGACGAAAGAAAACTTACGAATCCATCTGTTTGTCGGGATGGGTGCATCGGCTTGCCTTCCGACCGTCACTACTGGTTTCTGGCTGCTGTCTGACTAGCCGTCCCCCAACGTCCAATGTTTCCGAATTCACCTATTGACACCTTGACCGTCAGTACATTTCCCATCCAACACGCGATGCGACTCAAACAGGGTACAAACACACCGAAGCACCAAGCAGCACGCAATAGGGCAATACTCTTTCCGCAACAGGCGGTATCAGTATGCAGCACACAACACGCAGCAGGGCGGTGACAGCTGCATCCCTGACCGCCTTGTCCTCACCACTTGCTCACGTCTCTGACACTTACCGCCTGCCCTCCCATACAACCTTACTCTCACCTCCTAAACGCAGAGTACTTACTGTCCAGACATGGCTTGTACATCATTCGTCCATATCTCTGCCCTCCGTGAATCCGGCCGAGCTGACTGGCTGAGCCGTCTTCGCCTGTGTCTGACCCGAGACGTGTGTGTCCTTCCCCAAGCTGGCCTGACTCAGAATGGGGGTGGCGCCCCAGATTACACTGACTTACTCTTCCTACTCGGTCTTAGCCCACCACTACCTTTGTTTCCCCGGATCGTCGTGGCTGCTGCGGGTGGGTGTGTTGGGTGTGTGGGTGTGTGCCGCCGGCCCAGCCAGCCAGCCAGCCTTGGGACGAGAGCGGTGTTACTCGAATGCCACACACCTTTTTTGTTTGACCGAGCTTTGCTGCTGCTGCTGCTGCTGCTGCTGCTGCTGCTGCTGCTGCTGACCTTACCTCAGAACAGGCAAGAAAAGCCGTTACGTTGCCTTGTGTAGCTTGCTGCTTGTTACTTGGCCACCCCCAGCCCGCTTCGCACAAACACTTGGACGGCGAGTTCGGATTGGGCCTTGAACGCAGTTTGCGATGGCCTACCCCATCCCGTCTCGTCCCATCGTTTGCGTCGTAAGCCAACCGAAACGGAGCGTTTGGCGATATTCTATTCTGGCCTTCTTTCCCCCTCTCAAATGATATGACACAGTTGCTCCCTTGCTATCTGACTGGTCCCCCGCCATCAGCGGCAAATGCTCATCCGGATCGAATAGAATCGAATTCTATCATGGGAAAGGAGAAAAAGAAAAGAAAAAGACGCCCCTATTCACCCGAAAAAGGCGGGATGCAGGCACGCAAGGGAAAGTCATAATGATGGCGCACGCAGGGGGTTGCCCAAAAAAAAAAAAAAAAAACACCATCTTTTGCCTCTCTTATTGTGTTGTAACCCCCTTGGGCGATGAGATCAAGCTGCGGTCGACTCAGAATGCCAAAAAAAAAAAAAAAAAAAAATGCCAATGCTGATGCTAATGCCAATACCAATTCCTTTTCGTCTTGTTTCAGGTCCATTAAACAAGACCACCGAGACGGATGCTACTCCAGCACATGCCTTAAGGGGCCATCCGGCTGCATCCAGTCGCATCCGGGTCCGTGCCAACGACGGGACTGAGTCGGCGATCAAGAGCAAAAGATCAGATTGAAACGGCAACCCTGACATAGCTCCTCATCTTCCCTTCCGTTCTCTCCTGCTGCTACATTACTAGTAAATAGTAAAATTGTAAATGAACAGAGGCCAGGTCCGGACGGATAACCTCCAGGAGCGGTTACCGACACCGAAAAAAAGGGAAGACACACCGAAACAAAAACCCACGCGCTTTTCCGAATTCCACTCAAAACAGGGGGTTCGACGAGAAGAACTACATCCATCAAAGGAAAGCTACCCCGTGGCCCGGCGCACATCACATCTATTTGCAAACACAGGCGAAGCCCGAGCGATCCCCCACCATGGGTACTTCGCCCACAGGTACAAGACACCCGGTTGACTGCTCTCGCTCGCGTATACTATTATGAATTTCGTGATTTTAGCCTAACCAGCAGCTCCCCTAGCTCTCCTCAATCTGGGCCCCCCGGTCCCGTCGCGCACTGACCGGCAAAATGGGAAATGGAACCTGGATGCACACGTTGTTTGCTCGGTCAAGGAAATTGAGGGCTTCTAGAAACCGCCGGGGGGGTGGTCACCCCTGGGGCTCCATATCCACCACCAGAGCTCCCTCCTGAATTTGGCCGGCAGCGGCTCGCGGGACCCGGGGCAGGGGGGGCTTCCCTTTAGGCAAGGCTAGCGGCCATGTTGTTTGTTTGCTGCTTTCTGTTCTTCTGCCCGCCCTCCGGCTCTTGCTCGGGTTCCCAGCCGGATTGGTTTCCCGGAGAGACGGAACCGATTGTGCATGCAGCTCGAAACGTCTGCATAAAACTCCAAAGACGAAAAAAATTATGTGCCGCAAACGGTATCTGCGGGGGAGGAACGGTCTGATGTAGAGATCGACGTTCGAGAGAAGGCCGTTGGACATTACCGCATGCGCGCTGGATACTGCCCCCCGTGGTTTGAGCATATCCTGACCGCACTTGATATATTGCTCTTGTTTGAGGACGTCGTCGATCTGACTTGAGGCCGCGTACGGACAAACCCGACAGAGTCGCAAGCGGTCCCTCACGCATTTAATACACACGAGTACATACTTTCACCGCTTGAAGAATAGTGAGCCAAGATGCATATAGAACCTTTAGCAACTGCAAGTCCTCGATATGGAAACTCGTCGGCCAATGGAGAAGTCCCCTCCACCAGGGCAGCGTCGTTCTGATTGGCGCAGGACAAGTGATCTTCAACGGCCCTATCCGTTGTCGAACAAACATCCGATGCGACGACCTCGAGGGGCTCGTTGTAAGGCCATCGCGCAGCATTCGTATGGAGTATTGCTTCCTTCGAGGAGACGATGTTGCAGGGAATCTCCACTTGACCCCTCTTCTGGCGGCCGCGGTTCACACAGTCACTCACCTTATATGGCGAGATCACCGCAAGAAGAACAATCGTAGAGACCGTTCATAGAAAACAAACTCACAAATAATCTCCCGTCGTTACTCTCCGTGTGTCTCGTTGAAAAGGAGAAAGAAATAAGAGAAGAAAAAAAAATGAGTGCAAATCCGATAGTCCCCTACGAAATCGCTGAGACGATCCGCCGCAAAAAGGCAAAATACTGCCGATACGCAGACACGAACCAGTGGCACCTGTTCGACCAGATCGCGCTGCCGGACGCGACGTTCAAGTTCGTCGACAAGAAGAACGAGGTGGTCAGGCAGAACGGCGCCGCGCACGAGTGGGGGTCGCTGGCCGAGTTCCAGGAGCACTTCACCAAGACCAACGCGCACATCGACGCCATCCACATGGTCAACGCCGGCGAGCTCGAGATGGTCGCCGACGACGAGGTCAAGGCCATCTTTGGCGTGCTGTTCCACGCCGGCGCGCTCGACTCCGAGGCCGGGTTGCACTCTACTGGGGCCGGGCACTACCACGAGGTGTGGAAGAAGGTTGGGGATGATTGGTTTTTGAAGAGTTTGTGGATGCAGTTGATTTATTGGAAGGTTCAGGTCATTTGAGATGAGCGTGCGCTGGGGTGGTGGGTTTCGTTTTGGTGAAGTTGTGTCTTGAATGGTTCCGGTCTGTTTGAGGAGGAGTCGGATGCGGTTGGAGTATGAGTTTGATGAGTTATATTATGAATGAAGATCATGCGGTTCGGCATCCGATGTGTTGAGTTCACTTCCGCACACTTGTCATTTGCGGCGTCAAGTTGGGGAATGCGTGAGAAACAGGATCGACGACAAGGTTGTCTTCGTCTCGCGGCTCTCGGGTATCCTGCAGCTCACCTGCGTCGAGGGGTGCTTTTACGGATCTCAACTGCAGGCTGGAGTGATTATCCGATCTCGCCGAGCAAAAAAGTGATCACGATCCATCGCGGGGTGGAGGGTGTGCGGATGGCCTGGGTGTGTGCTTGGTGTTTTGGAGGATGCCGCGATCACGCGATGCCAGAGAAACCAGCAGTGAAATTTTCCGTCTCGATGAAGTGGATCATGGACATCCGTTTCTTGGTAGGAGTTGTCTGTTCGTTCTGCTGACGGCGATTGGTGCAGGTTTTGTTCGATCGCGGAGGCTGGCGACCCGAGACTCAACCTCCACGATCGGGACATGCGGTCCGTGGTATTGGGTGTGCACACATGAGCCTCGACGAGCGAAGACGGGCCGCCATCGAGGAAGAGATTGGTTTGTTTATTGGGGGGATACGAAATGCTTCTTGGCGGGTGTCTGCTTGCGCGGCGTCGGGTTCTACCCCGATGCTATACTCAACCAGGACTCCGGAGGAGGTTTTTCGCAGCAAGATGTTGGAGGTACGCAGAGAACGTGTTGATGATTTATACTATGCTATGACAGAACGTTCGGTCACTTTGGTACATGTCGAACATCAGGGGCTTATGATTTGAATCCTCAGATTAAGATCAGTTGGCTTGACCACTTGTGCATCACACCTTGGGTGAATCTATCACTTGACTGAAGGGAACAGCATTCTCACCAGCTACACCACATCACTACGTTTGAAGTAAAATAATCATTCACGCATAGGCGGCGCAATAATGGCACCGCTGGATGCTCGGCAACTGTGGGCTGCAACAGGCTCTGGCAAAGGGAACTGTAAGATACGCCCACTTCATTCTGGACGGCTCTGCGGCCGCGACGGGCCGCCCATCTGAACTTGCCAAGCTAGTAAGATAATTGTAAGCTGATTCTATGACGGGACTGTCGTGCCGAATAGTGACATGGCAGTTCCCCGCGAGTTAGCATGCGGTGCCGGCCCGTAAATTAGGTTGCTGCCTAGTGTTGATATGTCGTCTTCTTGAAGATAACCCCGCTATGAAAGAGTTGGCGTTGAAGCTACCGGCTGATTAGTATATGAGCTGGCCTGGGATGTCTCCGTGTGTCAGGGGCAGTACTGTCAAGGTTTGAGGTCACCGAGGCAGACCGAACTGTCGCCTGGGGTACCGTGGAGGCATAGGACCCTTTCCGCGTCCGCCAGTCTTTAAGCTGCTGGACGTGGAAAGTGATATTTCTGCCCTCGAGACTAAAATTGCGTACCTTGACCTCTTTCGATGAACTCGTTTAATGCTATGTTTGGCAAGCGTGTACTCAGAGGTGGCCTTCATATTCTCACCAGCCCGGCTTTCGTCTGCTCTTTAACACGGAAAAGAGACCTACTATGTGGTGAGTTCCGCTTTACTTGTCAGGGGAAAGGCAGGGATTTGTGCCTCCGTTACTCAGAACCGAATCAGTTTCCAGCATGAGATGAGAGTGATGTGCTTCTGCATCGGCATGATCGGTACGACTACACTAGCCATATGAAGCGTCAGGGCTGCACTGATACACAGCAAGTATTCAGGTGAAGGAGAGAACAGGGAAGATTCAACTAAGACTTAGCGGAAACACAAATAGTATGGAACTGGACCAGACTGTTTTATTTCTCGGCCCAAAGGTATATCCATCAGGTTGTGGTACTTAAACGCATCGCACAAGTCCATGAAGGTGACTGTGGTTCTACAACCTCACAGCACAGATGTTCGTCCTCGATTACTCGACGGCGCTTTACCAACTTACGATACGTCGCCTTAAGAATCTGTATTCGCGATAGTCATGAAGGATGGGGACAGGCCGCCAAGTCCAGATCTTTCATGCCCAGCTTGGCAACCTTTTCGACCCTATGGGCGGCCTCTCGAGTATCCTCGACAAATTGATAACCATCAAGTCGCCTCTGGACTCAGAGACGTATTGTGATGATGTGGGCTAAAGACGCAGTTCTGCTTGCTCTGCTTAAATCACGGGCTTTTACTGAGGTATTAATGATGACATTATGACTACACAACGATACCCCTTTCCAACAATTCTCTCTCTGCAGGACGAAAATTCTCCAATGTTGACTTACTCACTCCGGTGACAAAATTGACGTTGGAAACCCAACGTGACGTCTCATCCTCTACTGGGTTAGACTTTACCTCGTTCTCCCGATCTCTGAGGAGATAGACAACCCTTATTTTGCCTAACCTCCTAAGAAACACTCCGTGCGCCCGGCTGATGAACCTTTTCCACACACCCTTGGAGTCTGTCATCCGGAGTGTGTCAGCAATGAGCATGACATCTTCCTGGAGACGGTAGATACGCCATTCCCCGGAACCCGTGTTATCGTCAACGAAGTTGTCGATTCGAGGGACGGGTATGCTTCCAGGACCCATCGACCCCCGAACTGATCCGTAGTCATGCCCGACCGTCGTCTTGAAAAACATGACGGCCATTCTCTGCGTCGACGTAAACGGGACGATGGAGTTTCGCTCGACAGGTGAGATCCCACGGCGCTGATTCTTGGGCGACCACTAATGATGAATACCGAAATTAGTCCTCACTCACAAGCACCCACGCATGAGCCGAACACGCATGTACGAAACAGAGCGCTCACCTGCCCCCCATACAGCACCAATCGAGACTTGCAAAGCGACTTTAGCAGCTCAATCTGCTTCTCCATGTTCGACGCGGCAATGTACGCCTTCATGAACACGAGTTCGATGATGGCGATGCTCCGAAGGGTGATGTAATCCTTCAACCTTATGGTCGAATCGCCGTGCAGGACAACCGCGACGTAAATCAGCGTGAAGAAGTTCACAAAGGGCGTATCAGACCATATGAACCGCCCGGCTCTCCGCAACGCGAGGATCACCATCAGCCAGCTCTTGCGACACGAAAAGATCGAGGCAACCCAGCAGAAGCCAAATGTGCACGAGACAAGAATATTGAGGCTCAGGTCGGAGAGGAACAAGTTCATCGCGACGGCGGAGGCAAGTGAGACGCCGAGGAGGAAGAGGCCTGTGTTGGTGAAGTACAGCTCCGCGAGGTCGCCGTCGCAGTCGCAGGAGAGCACCGAGGTGTAGCCATCGAGAACGACGGAGCGCGCGATCCCGTGTTCGTCATTGCGGGCGAGGACAAGCCGACAGGCGATGGAGATGACGTTCAAAGCTTCTTTGATGATCACGGTCAGGCAACTGTGCAGCAGCAATGCGCTTGCGAAATTGATGTCTGTATCCCAGCCGACCATATTGAAGGTCACATTTTTGCAGATGAGTTTGGGAAGGGAATTTCGAAATCATGATCAGGCTGGCTCATGTTGTGAAATGGATCGAGTTATTTGTTTGAAGGACCAGCATCCCTGTCCGCCTTCTTTTCGAAACGCGTCGATGTGCAGCTTGACGAACTCACTAGGACAAACTTGAACTCGGTCTTATCTTTGGTGGAGAGGCAGTGGGGAAAAAGAAACATCTCAGGGGCCGGAACAAGCGGCGAAAGGGGGAATCTGAACGAGGTAAATCTATTGTGTCGATTGCCGCTTTGAATACATACGCAAACGAGAATTTTGGTCAAGGAAAATGTGAAAAAGTCACAGCCTGATTTGCAGCTAGAAATTTGAGAGTACCTTCGAGGCTCTCTCGCGTTTGTGGCTGTGGCTTGGTTGAAACGTCCTGCAGGGGGGTTTACAGCCTGATCACTCTTGAACAAGCCTAACTTTATACGCTACAATGCCAAAAGAGCGATGCTAGAGGGATATTTAGATAGATATGCGCTTCAGTAGGATATGCGAGGTTCTTCAATGGATAGGTAGTTGCCTTTTCTACAGGATAGGCTTGTCGTCTATTCCATCCGCTCTAATATAGAATATGATCTAGTCAAAGAGTTTTCAAGCAACAATAAACGCTGTAGGTTCCTAAGCACTAAGGTATCACAATTACATGTGTCCTTACTCTCTCAAATTAATTGTAAAATCTAAAGCTCCCGTTTCAAATCCACTTCTAGGCAAGCCTCGTACCTACCTAGATGGGCACATCAGCATTTGCCAGAAGAGTGTTCTGCGGGACTATTTGATGGCTGGGAATTCATTGATGATGTCTATTGGAACTATTATGCATGTTTTTAGCCTGATTTAGTGCATTGTGCACGATGTCTTGTCTTGGTTCGTTACAGCCAGTTACGATTGTGAGCAATACAGTTGTGTTGTCATTGTACTGAATTGTGAAGATGCATTTTGATTGTGCTTGGAAGGGATTGGGTTAAAAATGATATATCTAGCTTCACTATTTGAATAAGAAAGTACGCAGCGTTCTAATTGGCAATGTCTTTATCTGTTTCCTTGCCGACGTATGCGTCTACTACTAACAATCGTTGAGCCGCCAACCGTTATGTGTCAGTGCCTGCACTATTCGCGTCTTTTCTCCCTTTTATATTCCTCATGATCATCTCCAATGTGTTTAAGAACATAGAACCTAGATCGTTGAGCTTGGGTACAACTATGACAGATCAAGAGCACGACATTGGGATCTTGAGTTACCTTTCAGACCCTGATACATGGTCACAGTCTTGTATTAGCCGGGGTTGTATGTGCTCCCAGTAGTAATTACTTTCTTTCCCAACGAGCCGATCTGATACAAAGCAAATTTTACGTGGCATTCTGTCCACCACAAGGACAGCCATGACATTAAGACAATAACTGTGAAGCTTTGATGTGTCTGCTAGTCTCAAATGTTGGAACATTCCTCCCATCTTGCAAGACGACCAAGTTGGAGGATTTTGCATTGAAAAGGTACGATCGAGCAACAACAGCTCCGAGCCGTATATCTGAGCGCAAACCACTAGCTAAGTTGAATAAAGCTTGGTTTCGAGGGTATTTACAGGATGGGTCTAAAAAAGAAAGTCTACATCAGGATCCTCCAACAGCCAAGACCAGAAACGAGAACACAAGTTCATGGTCAGTATATTCAAATAGCACCCGAAAGACGTATTTAACATGCCATCACGCACTTCCTGAGAGCCATGAACAGAGCAGCACAACTAACAATTCCAAATATCGATGCCAAGTCAACTTTGGCCAGAATCCCAAAGAGCTTCAAAACACAAACCCTCCATTACATCGACTTATCAAAAGCCATCTTCGTCCTCCACACACCAGCAAGGACCACCCGACGTCAGACGTCGTCAAAATAGACCTGCACCGTTGCAACGGGAGAAGCGGGGCAGATCTGAGACGCATCCGGCCCGGCGCACACCGGAGCGGGTCCCCCTAGCCCGAGACCGGGGACGGGTATGCAGTCGTCGGCGTCGGGCCACAACCCCCCGTCCCTTCTTCTCCTTGCATCCACCCCGGGCAAGGGGTTTTTCCAAGCGTCACCGGGATGCAAAGGCGGGAGGGCAGCGGTAGGGGTGGTGGGAGTGCACACTACGATTCCCCGATTGGGCATTCACACGCGGGATGTAAAAATCTCGACCGAGACATGATGATACCGAGACGATTGCAACAGTTGAGATGGCTGGGAAACACAACATAACTAGCTCTACTCTCTCTCAACACAGTAATCTGTATACCTTTTGTTTGTTTGTAATCAACTTGATCCATTGCACGAACTAACGCACGGGAATACGAATATCGTCATCTGCCTCTACTCGCTAGTTCCGCATAGGTGTCCGACGTCGCTTCACCGACTTCGCTGACCTTTGAACGTTCCCCTCAATCCCCCATCCCCCTCCGGACTGGCTCCCGGACAAGTGATGACTTCTACATTTCGTCTCATGCGCCCGAAATCCCTGGCAAATGGAGTTACACCGCGACCGCCGTTCTCGGGTCCCACGAGAACAAAAGTTCACAAATGGCCCCCCTCCCCCCCGAACAGTGTACTGTGTGCCAATCAATCACCTACAGCCCCACGATGAGGTCTTGTCGACCTTCCCGATAAACGGGTCGCACAAGACCACGTGCCCGACGGTTGGGCGTCTAACAGAAGGAAAAAGCAATAGGGCACAGATCGTTGTGGCACGAAATAATCAAGGCACTGAGATAAAAAATAAAAGATAAAAATAAAAATAAAAAAGCCACCCCCAACCGCCCCTGATCCCTCGTACGTTGGACAGGGCACATGACTACGGGGGATGCATCTTGCATTATGCTCGCTCACGTTTTTTGCGCTCACCGCTTGGCCGTCCAGCGGACGCTCTTATTGTTTCCGTTCAGAGATGCTCAAAAATTGGCTTCGCCGAGGCACGCATTTGCCCCCCTCCCCAGCCTCCCCCCTCTCTCTCACCCCTCTTTCGCTATAGAAGCGGACAGCACCGGCTTGAGACATACAGCGGCTCCAAGAAAAAGGCATATAAATTTCCCGAGACACTTCGCTGGAAAATACGAGGCGCAGAACGAGTGAGATGGAGGCCAGAGATATTCAAAACTCACTTATGTAAGTAATCAGCAATGTCCCAACGCCACCAACGAACCAGGCCCTGTTCGATTCCTTCCATCACAATCGCTTTGAGTGTGTAGCCCCCGGTCCGCCGCTCGCCGCCCCGCGCGAGCCCTAGCGTGCCCGTCGCCCGCGAGCGTTGGCTTGCCTCTGGCTCGTGCCGGCCGTAAACCGGGGGCTTGCACTGCGGGTCCATGTCAAGTCACAGATAGCGCCGTTCGAATCACACGCGGCTAGACCACATGCGGGTGGTAGGGCGGCTGGGACCCAGGGGTCCAGGAGTTGTAAGTCAGCACAGCAAAACTTGGATGTCAGCAAAAGGTAATCGCCATCGGCTGTTAGACATCAGACGGGGTGACTTGCTGTTGTTGGCCAAGCCCGGCGAGCATGCGGTGACGGTATGGTAAACAGAACGAAGAACATGTGTGATGGGACAAGGATGCGCTCGGTGGTGATGATCTATGCAGACGGGGAACAGCAGCTAAAAGTGATCGGAGTAAGGGCACCAGCGCCAAGTGGAAATCTGTTCTTGGTTTCCCCCTGGTATTATGCTACACAGGTCGAGCTTTACTTGATGAGATGCTCTAATCTTCTTGTTTTGCACATTTTCTGACAACCCTTTTTGAGGAGTTGAGAGAATCGGTTCAAATGCACCACCGCTTCCGCCGAGAAGGATGAGGGGACAGGGGTAAGCGAACGTGCCCAAATGGGCTTTCCTTCACAGGCACAGTTTCCGTATTGCCACGAGGTGGTGTGTTACTCTTTTTGATGAGACATGTCAAGTCTCCAATGAAAGCCCAAAGACGAGGTTTTCATCACCTTTGGTGATAACTGAGTAGCAACCCTCAACCATTCATAAGCATACGCCCAGGTCGAGGCCGCATCTACTCGTAGTCACGGGACGCCGCCCTTCCGTGGAAGTTGAGACTGGCGGTCGTCGGCAGAGGCCTCTTTGAATTCTCACAGTTAAGAGACCTCTATTTGCAGGGGACTTCTCCTTGACACAGATATATGAGTGTGCAGGCCCGATTGAAGTTAAAGCGTTGCATGAGCCACTCATCGAGTATTACGTGACGTCCATTCTGTAGGCGAATTACAGCTGACCGCCAATAAGAACGCCAAAGCGGCACAGCAACCTCCCATTCGTCACACAACACGCAGCGGCCCCGGGCACCAAGAGTTCCTACAGGTATGAATAGATTGCGGACTGCGCGGTATTCTCAAAATAATTGTTAGTATTGATCCTATCGTATTGTTCGTGAGGCGCGACATTCGAATCTAGTTGTCGTGAGATTTGACAGAAATCGCAATCGTGGTCACAGTCCCTGATGGCCGTTACGGTTTGGGTCGGGGGATACAATTGGATATCGGTCGTCGGCTCTGAGGGGTAATTCGAGCCGATTACTCCGCAGTAGCCAGCCATCTCGCAGTTGTCTATACACAGGCACGAGAATTGTACGGCCTGTGTGGTGCGGGCACTGAGAGACAAATCGGAGCCGATCACCACGGGCCCCGACGCCTTCTGTAAGCAGATTGTCAGAGACGCCACTCAATCCCTTTCCAACGAGCAAGATCCTGGCGTTGATTTGAACGATCAAATGTCAGATTTAGCAGCATTGCGTGAGGCAACAACTGCCAAGCATTCAGGGCCTCCAGCGGTGGCATTGCCCGCCGAATTGCGAATGTGTATCAGCGTGAAATGAAATGTGACGGAATATGCCTCTCAGCTCATTCAGCAGGCTATATCAGATTGGCATGAGGGTGACATCAGTTTCCGTCACATAATTGCACCAGCTTTGGAGCATTTTGGTGCAACTGATCTGAAGGATGAGCTGATTAGCCATGCCTAAAGTGGCTTTCCGAGCATGAATATCACTGTTGCATCAAATGCGAGAGTAAACCCAGGTGCCTAATGCTGGCTCCGATACAGCTCAGTGGCAGGATTCTATTGACAGGGTCAGGGATACGCGTGCCGTGAATTTTGAATTCCTGTGATGGGTGTCGATCATCGATTTTTAGTCTACGATTACGACTCACGACGATACAAACCGAGTCTATGAACGGGGATCGGATTCGTAATGGATGAATGTTACCTAATGAGCGATTATCTATCAAACAGACAGCACTTGATCAAAAATATCCAACCTCAGCTGAGCGAGGAGGGCAGGCGCCAGGATCAAAATGGAAAGTTGACCAGGAACATGAAAGAACCAGAAGGCCAGAGATGTTAGCTTAACGGCAAAGCAAACATTTGACCCCTGCTGCCGAGCCGAGGCCATGTACGACATGACAGGGGGCCAAAGCTCTGCCCACTAACGCATCTCTGAATTGGAGGGAACCCTCTCAAAGCCCGGCTTTAAGTTGCCTAGACCATTAGTTATCGATCATTGAAGTCCACCGTCGGCTTGTTTTCTTGGTACACGAGCTGGGCACTTGCCAGTAGATTAGGCTCGATTACCTCTCCACATAACTACGATGTCGCAATGGGTTGTCTTGTCTATCTTCAGGTCCCGTTTGTCGCCCAGAGAGAGCGGTGACCATTGATAATGGGACCATAATGATAATGATGGCATTATCCAATTAGTCCTATAATCGTTCGCCGATACCGAATGGCTAATGCCCCCTACTCAATGAGTGGGAGGCAGGTCTATAGTACTGTGAGACACAAGGTATAACTTGCACGTCGACCTGGACGCGACTGTCACAATCTGGATGCCTAAACGATTCAAAGACGAAGTCGCCCAACAAGTAGCTACCCGGTGGAAGAGTGTGGCATGAAAGCCATGATGGTTGTCGCAGGGGGATTAACCACCCGTTCCGGGGTAGGATCGTGGAATTACGAGAGGGGAAGAGCACGTTACATATCTATGGTATGTGGCGTCAGCTCAGCCGTCGCCTTGGGCAATGCTTCATAGGTGAGGCGACCGTGGGTTGAACCCTGCCCTGAAGATGCAGCCATATCTTATTATGTGCTTCATTCATGCACGGGGAAGAGGCCGGCGAGGTTACATGCTAAGCCAGTGTGTGCGGTGTAAAATCTCATTAGCGGCCGATGAGGGAGCCGTCAATAATGAGGCTGTCCCATTCCTCGACATTATTGGGCTGCAATCGGATGGTTTTCCAGGGGTTGCAGCGTGCAATTGATATCCGGGGTCTAAAAAAGCAGACCCGGCCAGGCCCAAAATTTTGAATGGGTGTAGCGAGGAGCGAATGATAACTCCAGCAGGCCGATGAGGAATTCGATAGCTGCAGTGAAAGCCGTTTCTTCGGCCGTGGATGAGACAACTGCTTTTTGCAGTCCATGACACCAAATCAAGATGATGTAACAAGATCCGTTCCATTGTGTCAAGTGGGATATTGCGATGGACCTAGTTGTTGACCAATTCTCCACAATGGCAGATACATTGAATGAGGGCCAGCACTGGTCCGACAGAGCATCAATACTTGTGGTGAATCAGAGCCGGATGCCAAAGTACGAGGCTTTATCTGATACGAATCAGTTAGGGGGTCTGTGTCGTGCATAGCATTTGTAGTAGTGATCGGCCCGCAAGCACAACGAGCCAACGGCAAGCGAATGCAGTATTACTGCAGTTTGATTCCTGGATATGGTTTTGGGGCTGCAGAGGCGGAGGTGGGCCACTTGAAGGAGCCATTGCACGCTGTCAGGTCGTTGAGTTGCCCCATCTGTGTGCAGGAAGTGTGAGAGGGGGATACCACGATACCTACAGAGCTCCGAGCTCGAAGCAGGTGTGGGGATCGGTGATGGATGGTGGCCGCTTTTGTGCCGGCCAGCGGATTGTGATTCCAGACCCACGCCGGCAGAGCCGATAATAAAGGATGCAAAAGGTGGCGTCCAAATACAGCTTCTGGAATCAAGGGGCTAATCGGGGGCGTAAGATGAAGAGTTGATGTTATTGATGGGAAATGGTCTGAAATACGAGGGCAAACCTCTCAGGTTGGTGGTAAGTGAATGATTGCCTCGATCTTGATGAAGAATGGTAGATAGTGCGCGGGACGAGGAGTTTGGCAAGAATTCGTGCGATAAGAAATGGAAAACTGTCATGTAGAAACAGCTCCCACATAGATGTGCCGTCGTTGACAGCGAGAAAGAAGCAATGAGCAGAGAGACACGATGTTCATGCGTCGTCACTTGGAAGAGGTGAAGTTCGTGAGGTGGCACAGACGGGGAAACAGCCACAAGTAGCGGCTACTTCTGATTTTGCCGCTATCCTTCCAAAAAAAGGCAGGACCAATTCGTACCGGCTACTCTTTGGTGGGTCAGTGTGGGGCATCCAACGGGAGGTTAAAAGGAAGGAACCAGTCAGATGCATCTACAAGGGTATCCTTGTAATGCAGCTGCTGAACACAAGGCACATGCGGCTCCGGATTGGCCCCATGCAAGTTCCATAGGCGCCATCACCCTTTCCTCGGCGCGTAGATTGTTCAACCCCGGCTCCATGTCACCACATCAGAGAAAGAAAGAGACAGAGCCCAGAGCTTTGCCCACTCCCACTTTGGTGGACTCCTCTCATCTGCGTCCATCCTTCTCCTCCAACTCCCAGCTCCCTCTTTTGAGGAGTCTGCTTGCCTACTGGCTCTTCTCCCGGCTCCCCCAACCACGTTCTTTTCCTCATTCCCGCCGCTCTCCATCGGCTTCCCTTCCATGCATTCGATAGGCTCTCAAGCCTGTTGATGAGACTGTCCTAGAGGTACTAGCGATGGCTGAGAAGGCGAATCAAGGCTGCCTGTGCCAGGATTCACAACCGTGACCACCGCCGAGAGGAGGGGAGTCATGCCACTCACACTCACACTTCCCCCAGACAGATACGCATGCCTCTGTGCACATACCGCGCATTGCGCATTCCACAGCAGTCTGTAAGGTACCTCTGACCAAATCTTCTGTTACATTTACTCCGCTACTGCTTGCTTGCTTGATAATGCGAAATTAAAACTTCGAGGGCCAAGGGGGCCCAATAGCTTCAAAGCGAGACACGCTTGTTGGAGAACAGCCGCCGACAAGACGTCACTGCGGACCAAACACGGGACGATGCGCTTTCTTCACTTGAAAGTGGTCCATTATGCTTTTTTGCCTCGCTAAGCCAGGACACGGTCTATGGAACTCTGGACAGCATGGCTTAGCTGTTGCGACAAGCAGGAGGCCATGTCAATTAAGCTGGCGGAACGATGCTTCGACTCCTTATGATAGGCCGGTATTCCTGTAACCCGCGCACACATACGCAAGCGGGCAATATCGCAAGCAGCAAGTAGTAGCAGCAGCAGCAGCAGCAGCAGTGCCAGCATCGAACCGCATCAAGCAGGAAAGGAAGCGGAAGACTAGATGTGAATACCTCGAATCAACTCGATTTGCGAAAGGAACTAAGAAGTCAGAGACCTAATTATGGCAAAATATTGATGTACTGCCCTGTTCAGACACACTTTGCTTGCCCCGACCCTCGACGAGCTGCCCAACCAGGCCGCCTCTCCCACTTGACCATCTCCACCATCCCCCGGACCCTTGTCGACTTGCTGCATATCCCCCAATTCTGAACCCCTCGGCACGCGGTGGCTTGCACCTTGCACACCTTGGGCGGTCCCCTCGACTGGCTTGACAGGCCCCTCGACAACCACCATCCCCGGTCTGGTCTCCAGAGCCATGCAGCGTCTTGGCTTGACCAGATGAGCCGGACCGTATCCGCTCCTAGATTCCTCGACCGTTCAACGAAAAGCTCTAATTTTGTGGTCAAGGGTTGCTCGTCCAGTGACAAGCCATTTTCACGACTTAGGCGCCATGCTCCATGTTGCTTGACTCTCGTCCTATTTGGCTCCATCACACCCCGTCCACACCCCCTTCAAGCGCAACCTCTCTTATTTTCTACCGGCCTTTTCGATTCCTTCCCTTTTCTTTTCCTCTCTGTTGCTGCTACAAGCAAAAGGGCTTCTGGCTTCTCTTGTTTACACACATCTTTGTGTTGTGAATCGGCAGAACCGACCTGCAAGTCAAGCGCCGGTACACCCCCTCGAACGGACCTTATCCAGTGAGATCTTTAGCCACCACCAACAGTGCCGCCTTGAACGGAGACAACTGCATCACCTCACACCCTCCGTCTGCGTCTATAGCGTCTCCCCCCCTCAACTCGTCCCGACAGACTGTAACCGTCTTTTAACACCCCATCTCCCTGAATTTTATTTTCTTCTTCCTTTCCTGTCCTACTACTTCTACTTGGTAGCCCGCTGGAAGCGAAGAAGAGAACCCCGCGTCGTAGGAACAGAGACATCGCCAGAGTATCACGGCACAACCATCAACCGTAACACGACGGCAAGCCAACGATACCGCTTTTTCGAAAGAAGCTCGCGCCGAGTTTCCGCAAGTCCGGAACCCTGAAACGTGGAAGGACAGCCGGTCCGGGAACGGACATTGGAAAGTGCTTCATGTGATGGTTGGAGTGAAAGAGGTGTAGCTTCCCGACTGTCTTTGGTTCGCCACGAAGCAGCCGGACGGGCGCTGTATTGCCGCGGATTGGTGAGTAAACCTGTCTCACAAAAGTCATGCACCCTCTTCTGGGGTTGAGGGGGGCTTAGAGGTTCCGGTAGAAATGGACCTGCAGTTGTTTCCCAGGCCTTGTCCTCCTTGAATGCAACCTGCCGGCTAACATCGCACCGGGTCGCAGATCGAAATCCGAAAAAAGATATAGTGCCATCATGTCCGCCTCCGCCAGAAATCGAACCGGCACCGTGAGCTCCGGGAGGTCGTCAGCAAGAGGTCGGAGCAATGAGATGCAAGACTTTACCATGTCGCAGCCCAACATTATGCGCTATTTCGAGCCGTGCGCCGCAACGGCGTCCATGTTCTTGTACGCGCAGGGCTGTTCCATTGTGTGCTGTCATCACGATACCCTTACGATCGAGAGAAGGTTTTCGAGGCACTCGGACGAAGTCCGATTACTCGCAGTTGACACCCAGAGCGAAGTTGGAGCTGGGAGGTTGGTAGTCAGCTACGATGCAGGCCAAACAGCAATCGTATGGGATCTTATGACGGGTGACGAAGTCGCCCGATTTGCTTCTTATGAGCACTTGACCACCGCTGCATGGATGCGCAACGGCAACGTCGCGTTTGGTAAGCATCGCTCGCCTACTTCTGTAACACCACGAAATGACAATTGCTAACGCAATGTCAGGCAACACACAAGGCAACATCATTCTGTTTGAGCCAACAACGTCAGAACACATATCCTCAAGAACAATTGACCAAATAGCAGTCACGGCTCTTGCACCGGCCGCAGATTGCCGGACATTTGCAATTGGGTGAGCTTGGCAGAAACCACCAAGACTTGGCTACATGAAATTGACCCTTTGATAGTTACCAAAATGGCTCTCTGTTGGTTGCAACTCTGCAGCCACGATTCACAATTCTGCACAATCTGGGAACTTCAAGAGCACCCTCGCCAATTGTGACACTAAACTGGCACGCCTCATCGTCTCGCCAAAAGTCGGACATGTTGGCAACCCAAACTCATGACGGTGACCTCCGGGTCTGGAGCGTGTCCAAGTCATACAGCAGCGACGACCCTGCAAAAGTCGTCAGAATCCTCAAGCGCACCGATAACTATCAGACTGGCCCAAACTGGATGGGCTGGTCGAAGAACGGCCGAATTATTCAGTTCTCAGACTCGTACGTCACTCTTGCCACTTGGGCATACGCGCGCGCTTATGATAGGCACTGACAATGCTCACATCAGGGAAACACTTTCATGGGACGTCCGTACCAAGCACGTTACTTGGGACAGCATCCCAACTCTTGAACACGTCAGAGGTCTGGCAGTTTATGGCCCTGGTGCCAGTCTATTCACTCTCGGTGCCAACAACACCGTCCAGCAGTTCGATCTCAACACACCGTCAATCATGGTGGCTAATGTACAGCACCCAGCCAACCTGTTGCCGCCGTCGCCGCCTGTCTCAATCGAGGAACAGCAATCGCAGAAGACGTCGACGACAATCGCAACCGACTCGGATGCTACATCAGGCACAATCGAGATGGGCATTTCCGAGAGCGATGAGGACCACATGTCCCCCTTCGACCGCATCGTTGGTCGGAAGGAGACGAGCAATGCGCCGGTCAAGATGGCGCTTGACCCCTACGATGCCGATTCCGCCAGCGCGGCGTCTAGCCGCAGCGGACACTCCATAGGGCTCTCCACCATATCCAAGGGATCAGGTTCCGGATCACGGACACCCGGCGTCTATCCTTCGTCAGCTATTTCGCGAGGAACCGAGAATACTTACATCTCTGTTGGATCGTCGTTGCAATCTTCCGCTGCACCGTATCAGGAGCGGGACATGTATTCCATGAGCGGAACTTCCATGCTGACCGGCACTTCAATGTCATCGTATCGATCTCGTCGTTCCAGGCCATCCCGTCTGCGAAATGAGGTTATCCCTAGCCCTGTGGACAACAAGGTTACAGATCTCTTCAAGTACATCAGAAGCCGATTGAGCGATATTCCCTACAAGCACCCAATTGCCGCCGACAATACCCGTCTTACCAATGATGATCTTCGCAAACAAATGCTGAGCACCATCTTTGGATGGAACAAGGGAATCGAAGACTTGATTCGAGAAGAGTTGAGCCGGCACCAAGCCGGTGCGCCTGCCCGCATCCTTCTCCTTCGATGGCTTGGAGACCTTGATGCAGATGTCTTGGCTGCCAGCTCAGCTTCTATGACGTCGTCCGACTGGATGTTGTTGGCCCTTAGCGGCATTGGAGGTCATGCATCGCAGCACAAACTCGGTCGAACATATGTCCAGAGACTCCTAGAACACGGTGATATCCACGCCGCAGTCACCATCTTGATCGGCATGGGAGACCACACCGATGCCATTGAGATCTACGTATCTCACAAGAAGTATATGGAAGCCTTGATCTTGACTTGTCTTTTCTTCCCGGCCGTGTGGGAACGACAGTCCGCCATCATCAAGAAGTGGGGAGAATGGGCTGTTATGCATGGACAGCAGCAGCTCGCCGTTCGATGGTATGTCATTTGCTTAACACCCAGTGATCGTCTGCTAACTTGTCCACAGCTTCGCTTGCACTGGGGCTGAGTCTGATGAGCCCTGGACATCCCCATCTGCCGCTCAAGTAACTTTCCAGAGTATCAACCAAAACGTCAACCAAGGCATCCCAGAGATCCTCTCCCCACCTCTTTCACCCCCCGGCGTCAATCGTGGACCTCAGAGAAGCATCGCCAAGACCTCCGCACTGAAGCTTATCACCTCTTTCGGTGACCAAGGAGGAAAATCCAAATTCTTCTCCCAGATGGACGGAGGCCAGACGCCAATCGCTGCTGGCCCTACCCCTATCGCAGATTCCGCCGTCTCACCGGGTGGGTTCGATGTTACGACTGCTTTCATTCGCCCACCCAACCGCAGCCAGTTTAACACACCAAACTCCGCCAGATCTGGCACTTCTGCGTTCAGTCGCAAGCGTCTCCCGTCTATCGGGGAGGTCCCGGGCGACTTGTCGCGAGAGCAGCTCAAGGGCGAAGCCGACGATATTAACGCTCGCCGCGCCGCTCACATGCGCATGTCCTCCGCCGAGCAAGACAACCTGGCAGCTGGCCTGAACTTGCAGAGAGCCGCCACTGCTAGTCCCATGATGATGCGCGACCAGTACAAGATGGTCACTAGGACGAGGGACCTCCCTCCCCCATCTCCTGACGCTAGAATGATCATCAAGATGGAGGGTAGCCTGCACCAGCGAAACGGCTCTCGCGACCGCAAGCCTAAAGGTCTTGTTCTCGAGCTGGAAGGCCTTGACAACCCCCTAGCCAACGAGACCATCTCTCCCGAGCAGTCCGTTTCATCCTCGACTCGTTTCCACTGGCCCTCTCGACGACGAGGCCCCGGTTCTGTCACGAGCTCTGTCAATTCTCACTCGACCACGGGCAGAAGCTACCGTAGCAATACTACTGGCGGCGGAAGACAAGACTATATTCACAGTTTGGACACTGCACAGCGTGTCCACCAACGGAAGCAGCGTAGCCGCCACGGCAGCCGGGAAGGTCGACGTGACGGGTCCACTGGCCGCGATCGCGAGAATAGCCGCAGCCGCAAGGCACCATCTCGTGAGACGTCGGCGGATCGTGGCCGCGCTGCCAATCGTACCTGGCCCAAGCCGAAGCGTTCCCCTACCTCCCCGATTCCCATGTCACCTGAGGATCTTATTAACTTGAGCACTCCAAAGCTGCTGCCTGATTTCGTGGATCCTCCCACGGTGAGAAAGGCGAGCGCTAGCAGGAAGGTCGCCAGTCGTACATCTAGTCGAGGCAGCCAAGTTCGCCACAAGAGCCCCGAAAGCAGACACCGCCCTCCTGCTCTTGAACTCCGCGGTCGCAGTCAAGACCGCAAGGGATCTCACATCAGGTCGCCCTCATCCCCTCTTCCCCTTTCAGCCAATATTGGCCACTACCAGGGGTCCGAAGATGAAGAGGATTTCACTAAGGCTGTCATCGCGCAAGAAAACTTCAGAAACAGGCATAACAGAAGCACTAGCCACACTGAGGGACGTAAAGGCGTCTCCCCTGAGCTCACAAAAGAGTTCCCCCAGCGCGATCGATCTGAAAGCCGCCGTCGTAACACGGCTGAGAACATAGAGCACACTCGGGAAGTTGTTGCATCACAGGCCAAGTCGCGTGCCGCATCAACCGAGCATGCCGGGGATCTCAAGGCCATGAAGGACGAAAGACAACGCAAGAAGGAAGAAGCTGCCCGCGAACTCGAGGAGCGTCGAAAGTCGCTTGCGCAGCGTCCATCAGCGCCCCCCATCCCCCACCCCAACCAGATTCGCGTGGGTGTTGAGCCTCCAGAGAGTTCCATTGAGCTTCCTCCTCGCAGCCACACTGCCGACTCGCCCCAAGCCCACAGGAGCATGTACGCCCGCAGCTCCAACGTTCATATTGGCCTGCCGGCAACGCCCAAAGCCATGCGTCTCATTATTGAGTCCGACAAGGAGAAGGGCCAGAGCATTCCGGTGCCCCCAATCCCAGCCACATTTGCACAGCGGCATTCGCCGTTGACATCGCCTGACCAACTGTCTCCCGAGAAAGGCCAGGAGGGCGAGGGGCTCACGCTCCTCCCGCAAACCACATATCAGCCCCCAGTCCGCGGTATGATCCCTCGCAGCATGTCCGCTCCACCAATCGACGTACCCTCGCCCAAGACCGTTGGTCCCAGTGGACTTGCGCTTTCGAGGGGTCCTTCGATGAGACGGGGAAATTCGGGAGAAGTCCGTACCGTTGACCATCTCTTTCACTCCAGGCGCGCCTCTCAAGAGGACAACGACTACATGAATGTGCCGCCACCACCCCCTCCCCCACCAGTGTTAAAGGAGCTGCAGCACCTCGCCATGCCTCCTCCACCACCACCGGCGCCGCTTCCTTACGCTGTCCAAAATGGCGCCGGTGCCATCGGCTCGGGCATGATTGAGATCGTCATGGACGATGACGAGCCCGCCCCTGCTGCTGCGCCCATGGATATGGTTGTTCCTGTCATTCCAGCGCCAGGTCCTCCCGTTTCTAAAGGTCACAGCCGCGGCCGCAGCTTTACCGAGCGTGAGCACAGTCTTGCTGGCCGTATTTCCAAGGCCACCGACCGCTTCAGATCCGGAAGCCGCAGCCGCAAGGATTCTGCTGCCATGAGACCCAGACAAGATGATTACGAGTTCGCGCCTTACGAGAGCGTGCCGATGCCGGCTGCTTATGGCCGCGAGACGTTGAGATCTCCAATCACAGCACAGAGGCAAAAGACTCTTCCTACTGGCTTGAACGCCGGCGACCTTATTTAAGCTACCAACATGATCAAGGCTATGCCGAGCTACTACCCCAAACAAATATCACCCCCTAATTATCTATTACCCATTATGTTTCGATTCGATTCGTTGCATGGCGACTGGCGTTTTTCGATGAATCTTGATACCACTACTTTTCGACAACAGAGGAATACAAACATTCGCGGCACGGCATCCTTCATGTGTGTCAGGTTGCCGATAGCTGAAAACTTCTGATTAGAAAGCGCCATTTGTACACTTCAAGTCTGTCCTTCATGACTACCTTCAGAGCACAGAGCGAACTATTTATCCCTTTTTCTTTGCTTTTTTTTTTTTTTTTTCGTTACGTTCGCATTCTTCCTTCTCAATGATGACTGATGATGGCTGGATCTTGGACTGGGTAAAGCCGCGAGGCACACGCAAAGGAGCACATGATATCGTGAGTAGCGATGTACCTGAGGGAAGGACACAGGCCGGGAAATCGGGGATTTATGGAAACGAAAATACTTTTTCTTTTTACTTTTTTTGGGGAAAAAGTGAGGATCGAAACGGTGCCGACGCTGACTGTTTCGCCTCGATGAGGTTGGAAAAGATGGGGGACAGAAAAGTGCTGGAAACATTCGTCTTACAATGTTGCCTCACGGCATCTTTGTTCATCTAGTTGAAGCAGGGTGATATCTTCCTGCTCTTTATTTTCTTCTTGCACCTTCTGTTGGGTGTCGCCTTTTTGTTCATTGTTTTTTTGTTTTTCTTTTTCTCTCAGGGGAGGATGACAATGTATGTAGTTAGCTGCACGATCTAGGATAGCCACGTACAGGCTGAATATTGAGAAGAATGCAACTCGACCTGGCTTTTACCATTTTGTGCAACTAATATTAAGTTTGATTTGTCCTGGTTCGATTTTCTACAAAGGAAAACATGAAAAAAACCGAAAAACCTGCGTTGCGAAGGTGACTCGAACCATGTGCGCGGCGTACTGTGGAGCATATTTACACATCGCCATTGTGACTTCGTTAGCAGGAGATTGGCTTTGCACCAACATAACACCATCATTATTCGAAATTCATGGAAATTAGGTGTCGCTCATATAATACAGCAGAGGCAAAAGTAAAACAATACATACAATCATGAACATGACCACTATAGGGAGGGGTTCAAGTGGATGTGTGCATCGAGACTTAGAAAATCATCAAAAAAAATTAAAAAATTGGAGTTGACATCTCCATCCCCAACCACTACCTCAAGCCCCTAACGATCGTAATCCAGCACGCCATGCGACGGTGAAGATATCTCTGCAGAGTGAAACCTCCCTCAAGGGTTATCTTCATTGCTTAGGGCCACACGCAGCAATCGCAGGTTACCCATGCGAGTGGGTGGCCACCGCAGCATTCGCACTGGGCGCCATTAGAGGGTTCTAATGGAGATGGGGTAGCGGAAGAAGAATAACGAAAGCCTTCAACCATTTGACCATTACAGCCGGTAGTTTCCGCCCAACTTTTTGGTTATATACCCTCTACGCCCACAGCTAGGGCCGTGCACCCAGCCCCACCCAGGTTAGGTAAGCGGCTGTCATGCACTGACGGTGGGCAAGATACCGATCGCCGACTTACAGTTCCAGCTTCTTGGAGCTGCGATTGCATCCCAGAGGATCTGGTGCCAGGACAGCGGCGAGAGAGCAACTTCTCAGAGCTACCTCAGCACCTCCAACCACCCAATGGCATGAATAGCACCGCAACTGTATAACTGCGACGCAGAGCGCACCTCCGACATGCTCACCAGCTCCCCACGCCTCCACGTCCGGCGCCCCTCGCCCACGACAGCCGAGTTCACAGTAACGACACGCCCCCCACCGACCCTGGCCGTTCGGCTCCTCTCCGCTTTCCTTCTTGGTCTGCGCGTAGTGGTATTCTTCTCGTCCATCCTCCTCCTCCACGCCGCCTGGGTTCAATCGCCCTACGCCGCGTCCTTCCTCACCCCCTCGCCGACCTCGACGGGAACATTCGAGCCGGACGAGTACGCAGAAGAGACGCTATTCTCGGGCGCGACGCTTTCACAGGCTGTGAAGTTTATCGACAACTCAATACCCGGCCGCCTAGCCCAGCGTCTCGCTTCCTCGCACGCCATTCCCCTCCCCGTTCTTATCGTGGGATGTCTCCTTGCGGCCTACGCGACGCTGCTGCGCACACATACGACGGAAAGCCTTCTTGTTCTGCGCGGGCTGGGTATACAGACTAGTTCGACAAGCGGGAGCTACCTCTCGTCTGCCGCGACGCGGTTCATCCCGACGGAGAAGATACAGGACGTCCTCGTCAACGAGGCGTTCAGGGGGTTCGAAGTGCGGTACTACCTGATTGTCATCGTCGAAGGGGAGGAGGACCTCGTCGTTGTGTTCCCGCAGATATTACCCCGCAAGAAAATTGTAGAGACGGTATGGAGAGGCGTCAGGGGTTGTCTATGGGAAGGGGATGGGAGCGGCGGTTACGGGAGTAAGTGGAAGACGGACGATAGATGGCAGAATGCCTGAGCAGAAAACAAAAAAAGACTAGCTTCTTTAATGAATTCATGAACTTTTCTTTATTTTTTATTTTCATTTTCTTTTTTTGGAATTCCCTGTATTAGGAACTCTTGCGCTATTCATCGGCGTCACCGTTGACGGAAGCCGCCTTCTTAGCGTCCTTCGCATCTTTGATCGCCTTCCTCCAGTTCTTCGACTCCCTCATCTCGTCAGAGTTCTTGAACCCCTTCCTCTGCGCCCACCGGTCATTGATCTCCTGCGGCGTCGGCGTCAACTGCTTCCTCTTGATGGACACATACTCCCCGGCCAACTTGCCCAGGTGACCGCCGCCAAACACCCTCGTCCCTTTGGCCTTGCCCTCAGTTCCCTGCACCTGCCCGGACACCAAATCGAGCAGCCGGTTAGCCAGCAGCTCGTCCATCTTCTTGTCGCGGTAATACGTCCACAGATTTTCGACGATGTCAGCCTCGCCGTGCACCCACTTCAGCGCGTTCTCCGCGCCTTGTTGCGTCCGGCTCTCTGGGTCACCGGGGAACACGCAGTTCCAGAGGACCAGGGGCGTCTCGTGCGCGAGGTCGTAGTTGGGTTTGCGCGGCGACTTTTCGATGTCGAGCAGCTCCGTCACGATCTCGGGCTTCTCGAGGCGCTGGCCCACGAGGAACAAGATCGACACGATATGCCGGATCTGGTGCCACAGGAACGCCGTCCCGCGGATGTTGAAGGAGTACACCTTCGGCAGCTTGCCGCCGTCTGCCGCGCTGACGCCGAGGTACGGCAGTGCCGATCCCACGTCCTTTACCTCCTCCACGCCGGCCTCGAACATGCGCCGTTCAAAGTTGGTGATTTGCTTGCTGCCGTCTACTTTGCAGAAGTTCCGGAAGTCGTGGTTCCCCACGAACCGCTGTGCCGCCTCGTTCATCGCCTCGATGTCGAGGTACCCTTCCTTCAGGCCGTCCGCAGATACACCTGTCGTCGGCGCGAAGGCAGGCTGCGTGAAGAAGTAGCGGTACTGCCTCTCTTCGCAGGAGAACCGCGCCGAGAAGTCCGGCGGCGGGGACGGGCACCACGCCAGTATGCGGATGTCATCCGGCAGCAGACGGTTGAGGGTCTTGATGTAGTCGATCTCCCTTGCGTCTGACCATTCCACCTCGGGCTTTTGCTTTTTGCTCTTCTTCTTCTTCTCGTCCTCTTCCTGCGCCTCAGCCTGCTCGGCTGTTCCCTCCATCGGGGTATCTACATCTCCCTCCGCCGCGGGCACAGGCTCCGGTTTGGGGAGCGGCTTGTTGCTGCGCACCCTCAACCCGATAACCTGCCCGAAAGCACTGACACCGCGGTCCGTACGGCCGCACTTGGAGTACTCACAGCAGTCGAAGTTGACGACCTCCGGATCCTCGGGGAAGATGAGGCACGCTTTGGTAAGTGCGTTCCACAGCTCGCCCTCAATGGTAGGCAGAGCCGCCGAGGTGGCGTACTCGAACCCGCCGTACCGCTTTCCCAGGTACGCCAGCTTCAGGGCGATGAAGCGCGTGGAGTACCGCGAGGGGTCGATCTGCTTGTTCTTCTTCCGCTTCTTCGCCGGTGGCGGGGCGGGTGCCCCTCCATCCGCCTTACCGGCCTCGGGCCCGGAGGTCGCCGCGGCGGCGGCAGCATCCCGCTGCTGCTTGTTCAGTTCATGTTCAAGCTGTCTGATGCGCGCGATGAGACGGTCCTTCTCCCATGTATCGTACTTCCCGGCCACGTCGGCCATTTTTGCAAAGTGGGAGATGCTCAGATGCCGAGATGTTGCAGGCAGATGAGTTATGAGATGAGTCCCGAGATTGTGGTGCTGTTTTTGGGTGTGGGCGGGTAAAATCTTTCGACAGCCGTGTAACTGTCTTTCTGTATGTCTGGATAAGTGCAGATTCGGGCTTAGCGGGCGGTGCAGACGTGAGCCCCGGAATAGTCCATGTAAGAGCCTCATAAGCCCGCCGCTTTTTCTCATATGACTCCCTCTTTTTTTTTTTACAGTAATTTTTTGGATGGAGGGGGCTTTAGACCAGCATCATGCGGGTACTTTGCGCGCTGTCACTCGGAGGGGGGCCGTAATGCAGCAAAAATGGACTTTTTTTTCTTTTCTTTCTAATTCGTGTATGGACACTCCGTGCATAGTACGTAGTTAAAAAATTCGCCCTGTAGGAAAACAAAGTGTGGCTTGAACAATGTGGCTGGTTCCCACTTCGATTGGAAGGGCCTGAACCGATCTGACGGGACTGGGGGGGGGGGGGCGTCTGGCGGGCAGTGCGTAGACTGCGGCTAGGCCCTTTGGCCCTGCGCCATTTGTTCCCCCAGACATCCGTTATCAGAACGACACTCGAAGGTCGACTTCGAGTCCGGATAAGTATCGATCATGGAAGAAGATGCCATCAAGATATTGCTAGTTGGTGATGAAAAATGTGGAAAGACGTATTTTCTCTCGTCCGTATGCCCCCCGCCCGGTGAAGCCGTTTCCCCACACTCCGGACCTTATCGCTAATGTGAGCGGCCCCCGTATAGGAGACTGAGTGCCGGGGAGGGGACCGGTCCAGTGAAGTTGCTCAGGGACATTGATCAGCCGTACATCTTTGAGATTAAGCTGTCGAGTAAACCTTATCGGATGGAGTTCTATGATACAAACAGTCCCGAGAACTGGCGGCTCCTCGAGCCCGACCTCGTAATCATTTGCTACGACATAAGCCAGCGGCTCAGTCTTATCAATATGCAGAGACTCGTGCGTTCTCATCCCCCATAATCCCTACTCTTCACTCTCCACGGTCTTAACGTTCAAGATAGTGGCTCAAAGAGGTGAAAACCGCCTTCCAAAGACCTGACCGTCTCCCTATCCTCATCCTGGGCCTCAAGAGAGATCTTAGATCTGAGGCTGATCCTAACGGCATCATCTACCCCCAAGAGGCTTACCAGATGGCGCAATCGATGAGGGTAGATAGGTACATGGAGTGCTCCGCCATGACTGGGGAGCTCATCAAGTTGGCGTTCGAAGACATCTGCACAACAGCAATCAAAACGCGAACTGCCGAAGGAGGGCAGAGCGAGGGCGGGTGTGTCATCATGTAAATGATCGTCAGTTCTCTATTTGAGAACTCGACTGCGAAGGAGACGGAGCCCCGTCGTGCTCGGCAGGTTCTGGAATAGGCTCCAGAGTACGATCCGGGAGGGCCTTCTAGGCAGCGCCGTTCGCCTCATCATCGCCGGCCTCTTCCTCTTCCGCCTCTTGAGGGAACGAGCCGAGGACTTCGGCGATGATGTTGACTATCTCCTCCTGCTGGGCATCGTCGAAGCGCTCCGTCATCTCCTCAATGACGGTATTCAGCGCAGCAACAGAGGCAGGGCGGAGGTTGAGGATCATGACGACCTCACCCTTGGCGAGGTCGTAAGGCCTGAGCTTCTCCAGGAGCTGGGTGATGCAGTTCGGGTGGTAGGTGATGGGGTCCTGGCAGAGCGGGTTGGGTGGTGTACGCAGGTACTGCACGAGCTAACCGGATGAGTCAGTCAAGGGCATACGTACAGTAATAGATACCCAATTTTATTCATTTTCCTCAATAACATGTGTGAAGGAAATTTTTCAAAATTGTTCATTGGGCAACTCACCTCTTTCGCTAGGGTCTCGAGGTTACCAGGGCCACGACGCTCTCCTCGCTTCTTCTGGCCCTGGCCGAGCTTGCGCTCCGTGAGGTGCTGGTAAACCTCGTAGTTGGTCAGGACCGCCGTCTGAGCCTCGAGGATCTTCATTGTAACGGTGTACTTGGCGCGTAGGGGGTCGTTCTGTGTTGCGATTCCGGGAAAGAAAACTTGGTGGGATTAGGGAATCCTGTTCGTTGACAAGGCCCAGCGGCACCGGCAACGGCGGTGGTAGAAGAGGCGGAAATGCAGGTCGCGCTTAAGTTGAGTGATTGGTGAAAATTGACTTGTCGGTGTAGAAGGTGAGCGAGGCTAGTCCCAGCGTCCCTGTCACTCGTAATGGGACCTAGTAGGTGCACCTAAAAGGCCGGGTGATGACGGGGTCGAGTCACACGCAGCCTCGAACGAGCTGATGTCTAAGTTGATGCTCTTTGACAAGGGCAGCCTGGAACAGAGATAACAAAGGGACCCAAAAACACACAGGGTGAGTTCGTCTCAAAGTTCAATGAAGACCAGACTTCAACAACAGCGGGACCGAAACAAACAGACTAGAGTCTGGGTAGCGGTTTAGCACAGTAGAAATACGGACAATACGGTTTATGCGGTGCGGGTTGCCGTGTGAATATTTTTTTCTTACAACTGCCCCGCGGTGGTTGTCACAATTTTGCAGCCGCCTGCATGAGACAGACACATTCGCGTAGAGGGTAGCAGAGCAGAAAAAAAGAAAAGAGAAAAAAAGGCTGCATCAAGACGGCCCAAGCCACCAATCATGCTGCCCATCGCCCCCACTCGCGCCATGTGTTAATGTGGTCCAGTACGTACCGTTTTTGGGAATTGCGCAATGAGGAGGGGAGAAAGCGTTGGCGGGCTTCCAGACGGCGCCGACGCTGCATCTAGTTTTCTGCACCTCTCATTTCTCTCATTCCTTCCATTCTGTGTCTGAGATTGGTCTACAACAATAACGAGAGGTATTTAATTGCTGTCATACCTACATCAGTGGAATGTGCCGCCAGAATGAGGCAACATCAGATGCTTGTTCAATTTCACTATGCACTATGTATGTACAGTTTGAATTTACAGTACCTGGTCAAAGAGTCACAGGTGCATTCCATGCTGGTTACAATTCTTCCATGTACGCGGCTTATTTCCGACACTGTCAAGGTCCTCATGGTTGGTCGCTGTCGCCGCTATCGCTTCAGGTACCATGGCAGCTGCATGATGACCGTTCTGCGTAGCCTTCGAGGAGGCTCGGTACGTGGCCACCATTAGAAACACAGTGCATGGCCAGACCGCCACGGGCGCAAAATCTCTGCCGTACCTCAGAGTCATGGAGGGCACCAAGGTGTCCAGACCTAGCCTAAACGAGCACATTCTGCACCCAAACACCCTGTATTCTACCCTGTGTCGTGCCTTCTTACCCCACCAAGCCAGCATTCTCACCCCCTCAGTCCACATGGTAGCGACCGCACCCGACCCGATACTTGCAATTCCCAAACAAACTTATCCACTCAGAGATTTTCCTTTACAACTTCTCGACAACCCCAGCTTCAGAGAAATCCCCCCGCTAAGAGCTTTTTTCTTTCTCTCCTCCCACTCTTCCCCTCGATTTATGTTCGTCATGCTTCCGTTGTGATCGCATCTTAGAGGCTTTCCCCCTCTTCCTCATTGTTCGCCCTCTCCATCCTCTTACCATATTCTGTCTACAACCTTTTTTTTCTGCGCATACCCTCGGCTCGGCACATTCCTAGTCCCTGTGACGTCGCCTTGCACCCCACTAGCAGATTTTTGACGCCTCCAGCAAACCCGAGACCGGCACTGCTCGTTCGCGATTCTCCATCCCGCACACGACATCCCACCACAACCACCTCCTCCTCCAATATTTTCAACCACCAAACCGACCATTCTGTCTGCAAAGCTCTTCATTGTAGCTAAGCCAGACGTTTCTTCAAATCTTCCGAGTCTTATTCAAACCAAGTCGTCACGAGGTGTACCACTTTGGCTTGACCATTACCGGTTCTGCCCGACCCCTCCAATCATCTATCCTTCTACCCGACCACCACCTCTTCTGAGACTACAGACCTGTCACAATGGTCCGCAATATTATTGTTCTCGGTGGTAACACCCATTCCGAGCTGATTGACAGCGTCTGCAGCAACCTCGGTCTGAACCCTTGCGAACGGGTTCTCACCAAGTTCTCTGTTGGTGAGAGTCGTTGTGAGATCAAGGACTCAGTCCGTGGTAAGGATGTCTTTATCATCCAAACCGCCTCTGGCTCAGTGAACGACGCTTTCATGGACCTGTGCATTATGATCTCTGCCTGCAAGACCGGCTCTGCTAAGAGAGTCACTGCCGTCATGCCTTTGTTCCCTTACTCAAGGCAACCCGACGTCCCTTACAAGAAGGCCGGTGCGCCTCTCTCGAAGTCCTCTGCAGAAACCCCCAAGAACGGCTACACCTTCGAAAGCGTCCCTGCGACCCCCGGCCCCGGCATTGCGCGCACTACTGGCCTCCTCAACGGCATTGACGGCATCGCCTCCAAGCTCGCTAAGAGCAAACTTAACGACGAGAGGACCAATGGTGTCAACGGCGACTACTTCAAGAACGGCAATGGCGAGCCCAAGACCAATGGCCGCAGCCACCACGATTCGATCTCATCGCAGGTCAGCTACACCACCCACGACTACGAGAACCAGAGCCGGATCAACGGCTTCGAAGCGAAGCCGGGTTACAAGCAATGGGTTGCTCAAGCCGGCACTCTGGTTGCTGACCTCCTCACCTGCGCTGGTGCGGACCATGTGGTATGTACTCCCCCAAAAAATCACTGAGCGGGTGTTTGAGCGCCCCAGTATCCTTTATTCGTCAAACACTAACACCACGCAGATTACGTAGGTTCTCTCATCTTCTGTGGCATGCTGCTCTGCGCATGAGCCCTTGTTGCCAATTCAACAAGAACATTTGAGGCTCCTTGTCTCCTGCGATTCATTGCTTCTTTTCGAAGCAATTGCTAATGATTGCAGGATGGATCTCCACGATCCTCAATACCAGGGCTTCTTCGACGTTCCAGTGGACAATCTGTACGGTAAGCCTCTTCTGAAGAGGTATATCCAGCAGAACATTCCGAACTACAAAGACGCCGTCGTCATCTCGCCCGATGCTGGTGGAGCCAAGCGAGCTACCGCCATCGCCGACGAGTTGGACATGGCGTTTGCCCTGATTCACAAGGTAGGTCGATTGTTTCCTTGGGAGGGAGTCCACGATTCATAATTTTTCTTTCAGGAGCGACGCCCGACCAAGTATAGCGAGCAACGCAACGCCAGCATGATGCTGGTTGGTGATGTCAAGGACAAGGTTTGCATCCTTGTCGACGATCTTGTCGACACCGGTAACACCATTACGAGAGCTGCCAAGTTGCTCAAGAAGAATGGTGCTACTCACATCTACGCTCTCTTGACCCACGGCATTCTCAGCGGTGATGCAATTCCCCGCATCAACGCCTCAGCCATCGACAAGATCATTGTGACCAACACAGTCCCTCAGGGAGATCACATGAAGGTTTGCCCCAAGCTTGGCTATCTGGACGGTTAGTGCTCTCAGTTTTCCGGTGCCATCTTGTTTCTGACTAAACTTTCTCAGTCTCCCCTGTCTTCGCGGAGGCCATTCGCCGCGTCCACCACGGAGAATCGATCAGCGTCCTATTCCAACATAACTAAAAGCATCATCACATGGCGTTTGAAAAGAACATCGGCTTTTGCATCGGAGGGTTTATTGGATTCCGCAACTACTTCTAGGGAGATTCGGCAACGGTTGTTGCTATTTTACAGGCGTTTAGCTCAGGAGGTGGTCAAGTGTGGCATCCTTTTTGCCATGGACATTCTAGACGTTTTCTTTTTTTTCCTCTTTTACCCAAATTACCCACGACATACCAGCTTGCTTCCCTTGGGAAGCAGAGCTACTCATTGGCGGCCCTACACGGCTCGTCATCTTGCTACACACAACACACAAAACACACAAACATAGGACCCCATCGGTAAGATGGAGGCTCTCTGTACAGCAGACCGGATTAGCGGTCCTTGGTACTGCGGCCTTGCTATACACACACTTTTATGCCCCGCATGGATTACAAATGTCTGTTTACTGTCTGCGATCTTGGCTGTTTCGTTTCTTTTTACGTGGGAAGTCGCGCGTTTTCAGGCAGTGCTGTGCTGGTTCAATAGCTCTTATGCTACAGCCCGTCCACATAACATGAAATCATCCGTAGGATCTCAGCTGGAGTAGTCCCGGGGAGGTTCCGCCGCTTGCACACCGTGAGCGTAGTCGTAGATACTGTGACATATAAGATAGACTAGACCATCTAGCAATCAAGATATACGAAACCTCTGTCAATTGAGCCCGTGATGCTGTCAGTTTATACTGTGTCGCTTGACATATCGTCTCACTCATACCATGCTGTCATGACTTATTACCAGTAGATCTTGACTAGGAATTTTTAAGATATGACCTGTGGAAAAATACAGTTCATAAGTCACAGTGATAACTAAAGCGTCACACGCCATTTTCGCGCCCTTAATTCGGTATCTCACTATTGAGTTCATCCAAGCAAGTGTCACCCTCGCAATGCCGAATCCCAATCTCCTCCGACAAACAGAGAGCCACTTACACCTCAATCCAAACGCACCAATCAAGCCTCGGAAAAAGCAAGGCGATGACGATTGTGCAAAGGCAGAAACACAAACCCGGAATGTCTCACTTGAAATTTCCCCAAGTGCGGCCCCGAATCCCCACAAAACCTGACCGGGCCCGATGCGGGGTGCATCCCCTGCCCACACCCCGCTTATCTTATCGTACCTAGCCAAGCAAGCTTCCCCCCCACCATCCACCCATCCCTCCCTCCCTACCTAAGCTCCCGCCTCCATCAACTACACCTCGGCAACCGAGTCAAACACACGGGAGTCCCACGCGCCGCTGCACGACGATCAACGAGATGGCGACACTATCCGGCGTAGAGCGCATCCGCGCGATATCAGACGAGGACGGCATGTTCAAGGCCTTCGACTCGTATCCCTGGAAGAAGGATAAGATGTTCCTGGTAAAACCAACCCCTCCAGCGCAAAGCTGCCGGCCCCTTCAAAACCAGACCGCTCCATTACATCTCACCACCCAAAAGTTCACAGTGACAAACAAACAACTGACAAATCTCCACAACCAGTCCGGCCTGGCCGCGATCCTAGGCGACCCAAACACAGAAAACCCCAGGGGGACGCCCTCCGAACTCGCGACGCACGCCCGCATCTTCTACTACGCCTCGCGCATCGGCGTGACCATCGATTTCAACAAGTACAAAGACTGGCTCGCCCGACACCCGGAACACACGCCACCCGACATCCTCCCCGAAGAATACAAGTCTCAGACCTCAGAAGGCACTGCCGCCGCCGCCGCCGCTGCATCGACAAGCGACATTCCGGATCTGACTTCGAAGCTCAACGACCTCAAGACCGACTCCGATGACAAAGAGGAAGCCGGCCCAGAAGACAGCAAACTGTCATGGCAAGCGGCGGCGCCGAAAGCGGACCTCTACGTAGAGCGCAAAGCTCCTTCGCAACTCGACGGCTCAGGACAAGGGGACGAGCCAGCTTACCCCATGGGTTTCGCGGAGATGTTGCAGATGTTGCAAAAGGGCATTCCGATCCCTGGAATCAGACAAATCCCAGACACGGTAGTCAGGGACGCGGTACGTCTAGAGGGCTTTTGATCGCCATGCCGTCACCCTTCTTCTTCTTCTTCTTCTTCTTCTTCTTCTTCTTATTTCCCTCTTACTTATTCTTTGCCGTAGTCCGTGAAACCATTCGGAAAGCGTGCGGTGCCCAAGAAGCCGTGGGAGAAGGACGACCCAGCTGCGGAAACAGAAGCAGCTGAGAAACCCTCAGTAGTTGACGCCGAGTTCCCACCACTTGAAGAGACAGTAGCATCTGAGGCCGAAAAGCCGAGTAAGGAGACGTAGGATCGTGATCGAAGATTGGGACCTTCTCAAGTGATGTTTTATGGAGTTAGATAGATCTTGGTCATTTTTAAGCGAGTTTCTGCTGGGTATAGCGAGAAAAGGCGTAGATTACTGATTTGATGCAAAAGCTCAAGTACACCTTTTTTTTTTTTCAGACAAGCCAATTAAAGTCAAACGGGGCTGTAAGAAAAAACCATTCTCTAGGAAAACTACCTAATGTTTGACTGAGGACTGCCACAAATAGCTGCCCAGTACGGACCAAAGGACATTCCATGATTCTGGAGTGCCATAAATGCTACATACAATCGTTGCTTTTCTGTTTTGATATTCCCATACTTGCCCAACTGTCCACTTCGTTCTCCTCCAATTCACCCCTCCAGTTGCCTGATGAAACTGAGGACAGGTCAGGGATGTTGTGGATGTGTTGATACCCGCCACGTATAGACCCATAGCATCCTGGCTGAGCTTCATGACGCAACTTCAACTCTCAGGATGAGGTTACAAGGACACACTGAAACACTTCCTCCATATTGCAAAATCCATAACCATGATGTGTCCAATGCACTCGGACAAGTGATAACTTGCCCGGCGTAGGATGACAGCTGATCTGTAAATTAATGGCTGTGGAAGATGTTTTCGTAAGCGCGGACAAATGCTGCGGTGCGATGACTCGCCAGAGTTGAGAAATTCAGAATAGGAATGGTGAAGAATTAGGACAGGAGACAATGATGACGTAAAGAACGAAAGAACAGGCAGAAGAGGCTCATGACAATATTGAGCAGATCATAACACCCGTTGGGGCTGAAAAAGAGACTTTAGCGAAAGCTGTTGCTGCTGGCATAGCGAGCGTTGCCTCCCATGCGATTCATACCAGGTCCAACTGCCGGACCGGGACGGGTTGCGACAGCGGGGTTGGTGCAAAGCATGCCAACTCGAGAGCCAAACTTAGATCCGCGCAGAGATACCATGTGCTTGCGGATGTGAGCAGCAACGATCTCACGATGCTGAATGCCAGCGTGGGTGAGGATGTACTGAATCAGGTAGTTGCCATACTGGTCGCTGGCAATGTCGACAAGTGGAATACGGGGGCGGTCAACACGACCCTCGCACACGCGATCAAGGTAGCGGCCAAGGAACTCTCCACCACCAATCTTGAGACACTTTTCGACAACTTTGGAGGCATACTGGTCAGTACTGTACTCTGCGGCGTAGCGGATGACGTGATCGATGGCACGAGAGCGGTCAGCAGGCGCTCCATGCTCGCAAATGTGCTGAATGCACCAGTTTCCAAACTGGCCATGGGCCACAATGTCGATGTTGGCAAGAACCTCTTCAATGCAGGGGCGCTAGAGAAGCCGGTTAGTACAGTGTTGGAGACCACCAAAGGATGACTTACCTTGTCTTCTTCAAGACAGTTCTCGAAAATATTCTGAACAACCAGACTTCCAGTCTCTCCAAGGGCAACCTCGTGCCACATGCCGCGCAGAGCATCGTTGACATACTTCATGATTTGAGGCGGAGACTCGGACCATCGGAGCTCAAAGAGCTTCTGCCAAACATGACAAGCGTACCGATGGATGACGGTCTCCGGAATCCGACGTAGCAGTTCGTGAACCATGATGGCTTTGTAGTCCTCGGGAACAGAGTCAAAAGCCTTCTGAACAACGTGACAACCGAAGGGGTCCATGGAAAGATTGAGAGTATTGCCACGGATAGCCTCTGCAATCTTAACCACCTGCTCAGGGGTTCCGTGCTCAAAGCAACGTTGAACCAGGAAATTTCCGAAGCGGTTGACCATGAGGGGATATGCTTGGGCAACAATGGCCTCCACAATCTCATACTTCTGGTCCGGAGTGCCCACCTTCAACTTCTGCTGCAAAAAAATGGAGGCCTGCTGGTCGTTGTTGCAGACTATCTTGTCAACGATGTACTTCTAGTTGCAGTTGACATTACGGTCAAGCAAGCGACGGTAGTTGAGGGGTTCAGTGGTTGGGAGGTACGTCTGGCCCTCAGTAGCAATGGCCTATCCAGGGCAGAAAGTTAGCGCAACGAATTAAGCATATTTGGTGTGGCTCCCTAGACATACCTCACTCTTCCAGCCAGAACCAGCTGTGAATTCAGTTGCATGAGGTGAAAGTTGGCTTCCAGCGGGCTGCTGGTTGTATTCCTGGTACATGCCAGAAACCATGTTGCCTCCAGGAATACCAGGACCCCCAATCAAGGGCTCAAAGGGAGCAGAGGGGGGGCCGAAGCCGCCGTAATTTGGTCCAAAGTTGGAACCACCATACGGCTGGGGAGACGGCCAACGGCTGTTGTCGTAGCGATTGTTGCGGCGGTTGCTGGTGGGACGAGAGAACATCTCAGTGTCCTGGCTCATGCGATCTCCACGGAAGCTGTCTCCCATATGATAAGGGCCGTTAGGTTCCATGTAACCCTGATTGAACCCGCCACGGCTACCTCCGTACCAGTCTCCAGTCATTGCCTGAGACCCAATTGCCTGAGATCCGAAGACTGGAACAGCCGCACCGCCGTTGGACAACGGAGCTCTAGAGTTGGTCCAGGCAAGCTTGGAGCGACTGTAGCCTCCAATAGAAGGGGTATCAGCATCCGAACTATGGTCATCATTAAGACCCCAGGCATTTTCAGCTCCGGGCATAACGGGGCGTGCCGAGAGAGGCAGCTGCACGTTATCGTCCTCCTGCTTGATGGAGCGTGTCTGGGCAAGCTCGTGATCGAGACGAGTGATCTTGCTTTGTGCCCGGGCAAGTTCTATCTTAAGTCGGAGGAGCTCCTCCGTGTTGCCGCGATTCTCCTTAAGGGCGGCGCTGGCGGGGCGAGTCGTGGGTGCGGTCGTAGGAAAGGAATCCGTAGCTGGAGTGATTGGGACGGAAGTACTTGCAGAGGATACCGGTTCAAAGCCACGGGCGCACAATCCATCGGTAGAATTCTTCAGAGCCTCGTTCTGCTGGTCGATAGCAGCTTGCTGCTCCGAGAGCTTTGCAAGGAGCAAGTCCATGGGATTCGTGCCAGCGATGATGGACGACTCTTGAGTGGCCTTCTTCTGCTGTCGCTGTGAGCGAGGCAATAGACGCCGAGTGTGAGAACCAACCTTCAGAGTGTTCTGGTTCACGAGCTTAGACGAAGCAAGGGTCGAGACGTTCGGCTTTTGGTGGTTAGCCAAAAGATTCTGTTTGTGCGGTTAGCGGATTCTTCTTCAAAAACAGGTGTGTGTTGCTTGGTTATTGAGTTATCGTCTTCGTGACCCTTCGGGTGGAAACAGACTCGCTATGAAGGGCAGATAAAGAAAAAAGAAGGTCGAGACCTACATTGAGGGAGGAGCCGGGTGACAGTTTGACGTTCTCCTCCTCGAAGAAAGGTTTCGAGGGGGGAGACTCTCGCTTGGGAGAGGGAGACGCGGACATGATGGCAAACTTGCGTACAATGTCTCGGTGAAGGATCGATACGTGGCAGAAAATCAGACAGGGTATCGGCAAAGGTGACAGACGAGATTTAACAGATTCCTTTGCAAGAGGTGGAGATGGGAGAGGGTTCGTGAGGATTTCTCTCAGTATTGAGGAGGTTTGTAGTGGTTAAAATTGACCGGTGGAGGGGTCAGGGCAGCTTTTTGTTTGGGGGGTCGCTGAGGAGATAAGAAAGAAGAAAGTGAGGCGAGGAAGGTAAGAGGGGCAATGAGGTAACTGCAGGGAAGGAGACCGTTCTGGGTAGTAGAGGCGTTTCCTTCTGGACGAACTGGGTTCGGATTTCCCACAAAAGCTGGCAGCTACGAGGCGAAGAAGGTCAAGATAAAGTGAAGATAGAGCAGGAGTACTGCGCTCGTTGCCAAGGGGTACTGATTTTCGGAAGAGGAAGGGGGACAATGGGTATAGAGAATGTTGAGAAGGATCGGTAGATGCGGCCAATATTCACAGAATCCACCTTTTGAGGGAGGGTGAAGTCTACATCGTCTGAATTTGAGGCGAGGGGGCTCTCTCCAGCGTGAACCAGTAGGAGGCTAAACAGTAAAGTGAATGAGGCGGAATATTCATGGCGAGCAAGTCTTTCACCGTTGCCTAGCCCTATTTGATTTCAAATGAACTAAACATAAACCACCTGCAAAATCCTCGCTAGCATTTGGTAGGAAAGGCACCAAGCGTCGTCGTAATTGCAGTTTCCTTGAGCCATTTAGCGTTGTGAGAAGCAGTTGTGAACAATGCCTACTCTGGCCTCAGACTGAATGGAATGAGCAGGATAGGCTATAGCTGTCCTTTGATGACTTCCTTGTGTCAGCTTAGCTATTGACCACAGGTAAGGTCTCAAAGAATGTTTGCAAGAATGACTTTCCAGTCTTGACGCAAAAAGCGATCAGCGAGCATCACACTTTGAAAAGGTAATGTCATGAAACCGTCCAAGTTGGTCTAAGCATTGCAGCTCTTGCTACGAAAGACCTCCATATACATCGAGATATTATACATTGGATGCCCTGTCTATTGACATCCATCTCCGATCCCTGTATGCCAGAAACTGTCAAGTAGCATACTGGATTGCCCTTGGTACATTGCAAGATTCTTATGCATCGCACGAGCAGAGCGCAGGGAAAGTATAGAGCTACAGCGGGAGGCAGAATGCTGATCGTGCCGTGTCTGGGATATTTTGGCGGGAGTGATTCTGACGGTTCGTTTGGTAGTTGTACAGCGTATCGTACAGTAGAGTCGGGCTCGTGGGCAGCGTTTATTTCTTCTTCTTTTCGACTGCAGCGCTGTTAGTAGACCTCTCAAAAATAAGTAGCAGGAAGCCATACCCTTCGCCTTCAGCTTCTTTGGCGCACTCTTTCCTCTGGCCTTCAGTCTGTATCGGATATTAGTGCTAGCCCATTATCTACATCTATGCCAGAACGCACCCAGCAATGTGGTCCAATCGGTCCATCTCGTCCATGTCGATAGTCGTAAGCTCAGGGCCGAATTCTTTCTGGACGTCTCGGACGGTGAGAACCTTGCGAGGGTAGTATGAGGCGAGAGTAGGTCCCTTCAGACGTTGGCGCAGGATCTTGTTACCCGTCCGAACTCCCTGGGGGTTAAACACTGTCGCAAAGATATCGCATTGGGCCTGGCTGAGTTAGCTAAGAGGTAGAGCGATCAAAAGTACTGCAGTCATACCTTCATGAGGTCCAGCAACCTCGCGCGTGGGACACTCATCTTTGCATCGTCTTCAGTAGCACAATGACGAGATGCGGAATTTTGTCGCGACTTCCATCAAGCTAAGCCGTGAGTTCAATCCCTGGTCCACATTGTTGTCCAATCAAACGGGTGTAACGGATCATTGATTGGCCGCCAAGGGACAATAGCAAGGGACTACACAGCATGCGATGGGCACACACCATAGCGACTGGAGTGAGAAATGCCCCACTTAAGCTCTTAGGTACCTGCTACACGACCAGCAAAAGCTGTTTATACACACCATAGCTGCTATCTGGAATAGGCCTTACAGGTACATACGGCATTCCTATCTTCTCTTCCTTGTGTATATACAAGTGAATTCGAACATAGGTAGTTAGCAGGGATAACATTGAGGACATTCAGGTGCACCTGAGACACCGATTTGGTACTCAAGAAGGACTGCTTTTCCCACTCAAAGCCAGTCAACAGGCGTTACGATGAGCAAACGCTCAAGCTCAGGAGGCCTTCCTCCAAGCAAAAGAAGACAGATGGGCCAGGATTCTCTGGACTTGCTTCTTTCACATAGCGACGAGCTCATCCAGTGTCTCCAGGCGCTGACTAACTCATCTAAGCGCGAATGTGAAGCGCTGCAGAATCTTCGCGGACTCAGCAAAACACTCCTACCAGCATTCAAATATTTGGCTGGTGAAGAGCCGTCTCCAAGTGAGCCAGAGAGACTTGAGACAGAGGTAAGAGCATAACTGCCATTGCCGTAATCAATAATATTTCTGTTCATGTTTGCCGCAGTCTATGGTATCTTGCAGTATCACTAACAAAGTCCCAGGAAAAAACAACAAACAATGTTGTCCACTCTGGCCCACCTATTCCATCTTTCACTTTTCTCAAACCATGGACGTCTGCGGACATAGCCACATCACTCCCGCCCCTTCCTCAAATCAATAATCCTGTCTTGGAGACGGCAGCTTTTACTCATCAAGGTATGGTCAAGAACAAGGGCGACTTGAGCTACGACCGTCTCGAGTGGCTCGGGGACGCTTACGTGGAGTTGTTCTCGACATGTCTTATTTTCCAGACTTTTGGGGGCATGCCCACAGGCAAATGTGCCCAATTACGAGAGCTCCTTGTCCGGAACGCCAATATTGGGGAGTATGCTACAAAGTATGGACTCCTTGAAAGAGCAATACTCCCTCCGGAGTATGACCCGAATAGCCAAGTGAGGATAAAGGCGAAGCCTCAAGAAGTCAAGAAAGTCAGAGGCGACCTGTTTGAGGCTTACGTCGCCGCTGTAATTCTCTCCGACCCAGCAAACGGCCTTTCAAGAGCCGCAGAGTGGTTACGGGCGCTATGGAGTAGGACAATTCAGGATCAAATCCGGGCAGCCGATAAGAAGCCAGATGTACGGATGGTGAAGGAGCTAGGGACTACATCAGAACCAGCTGAAGTGGTTACGATAGCCCCAAAAGTCCGCTTGTCACAAACCATCGGTGCCAAGGGCATACAGATTCGATATGAAGACATGCCCAACGGCAATAAGAAGGATAAGTACAACAACAAACTGGCCCTGTTTACTGTTGGTGTGTATTTGGACGGATGGGGCGAGACGAACAAGCTACTAGGGACAGGCAGCGATCTCAATAAGAAAGAGGCGGGGCAAAAGGCAGCACAAGTAGCGCTGAACAACAAAAAACTGATGAAGGTTTACCAGGAGAAGAAGGCAGCGATGTATGCAGCCCTTGGAGAGTCAATGGAAACCACACCCAATGCCTAGAGTAATGCAGTTGTATACGTACCAACAATGTCAAAGAGGAAGGAGGAGGGCCAATGCCTGTGATTGCGGTCAGAAGTTGTGAAGTAGTAGTGTGATACCCACAATATCCATGTGCTACAGCATTTTTGAGACACTTGCCACACACTTTGTGGATTGGCTAATAAGGACTGCCTTGGAGGTTTAGAAGGAGGCTTGCTTTTGTTTCTTCGGACGGCTGGTATATTGTCTTGCGCAGCGTCAGAAGACCTATAGCATCAACGGCGAGGAGCAAACACCTAGACCACTTCAATATCTAGTCAGCGATGGAATTAGCGGCGACATACCCTAACTGGCAACTTGGCCGCGCCCCAGCTGTATGATATCTTATAGGGGTATCATAAAAAGTGGTGCAGGGGATAACAGTAAGGAGCTCCAGGAGCGCGTGCTCATTCCAGAGCACAATGCCGAAAGACGACCTTCGGCCGGGGTACGCACGATTCCTGTAGGCTCAGACGTCCCTCGGCTCAGTGTTAACCGGCCCAAGGAGCTAGCGTCAATTGACTGAAGTTTAAAGAGCGAAAACAAAACCAAAAAAAAAAAAATCAATGGCACCTCCAGTCCCCCCAAATAACCCTTTAGCTTGAACCGGCTGCCCGCATTTCACGTGTCTTATGTCTCGGCCGACAACCACCAGCCGGCATCACACTACGTAAGGAGAAAGACGCGGGGTGATGAAATTAATTGCTAGTCGGGATCTCGGAGATGCAAACCCCTGACAAGCCCGCGTCAGGCCCGCGCGCCCACCCCCGGCTTGTAGTGCTGCTACTACTGCTGTGGAGAGGTTGGTTGCGTTAGTTGCGTTGCGTCGTTGCGTCGTTGCGTGACCCGGCCGAGGCAAACGATTATCGGCAACTCACTCTCATTCTCACTCGCACTCGCACACCACTCCCGCTGCTACGTATCCGTACGTCGGTACGAATTGCTGTGTAGCGCTCTAGACAGCTGATTGCTGCTAGCTAGCTACCCCTTGTGTCAGCACCACCCCAGACGCTGTAACTTGCCTATCTTGCCTTTCCCGCGGCATTCCCCCAGAACGCTTGCTCGTGGACGACGAACCGAGCAATTCCATGGCGGATCTCTCACATTATGCATGTCAGCGTGCTGAATTCCTAAATCTGTCTTTCTGCCAGCACCTGTTTTCTCAACCCATTGTTTCAGCTCCCGCTGCCAAGATACCTTGTAGGTGAAGCAGAAGGGGGCACTTATCTAAGTTATCCTCGCCCGGCTGTTGAGCCGAACCCAGCGCCCCGACCCCGACCCTGCCGCCGACTCAGATCTAAACCTCGGCCATAACGCGACTCTATCTCCCACCCCCATCACCACCCACCACAAATCATTCCTGTTCGGTCTGTTTTCTTTCCAGGACAGCCGTCCAGATGGCTGACTCCGTGGGTGAGTTCTATTTCTTTTTTTAGAAGAAAACCTAACTTCTAATGCCTTTGCCCCTGTTGTGGGGTGTGTAATTCCCCGGCTAATTGTGTCGTTATGCTCTTCCTCCGTCCGCAGATCGCGTTTTCGTCCATGCCTTAAATACCGTCAAAAAGATCCCCAAGACGGGGGCCTCGCGTCCCCCGCCGTCTGACAGGCTGCGACTCTATGGTCTTTACAAGCAAGCGATGGAGGGGGACGTCGATGGCGTCATGGAGAGGCCGACTTCGGCTTCCGGAATGCCCCCCGATGAGCTGCAGCGCGAGAAGGACAAGTGGGATGCTTGGAACTCGCAGAAGGGCCTGACCCGGACGGAGGCCAAGAGGAGGTATATTGAGGCATTGATCGAGACGATGCACAGATACGCGACAACACCGTAAGGCTCAAGTTCCTCTCTCGTCGCGCATGTCGTCGCCAAAGCCACTGACTCGTTGTCCGTAGAGACGCTAAGGAACTTGTTGCGGAACTCGAATTCGTATGGAACCAGATCAAGAACAACAGCCCGAGCTCGACAGACTCCTCGCCGAAAGAAACGGGGTATACCGGCGAGCCGCGCCGCTTCCTGCAGCCTTTAAGCGGATCGGAGGGGCCCATGAAGGTACTGAGCCCGATGAGCGAAGACGACGCCGCCGAACGGGACTCAGATAGGAGGCTAGGATATAACGAGGGCGTTGAAGAGGAGGCACTTGTGCCGAGCAGCAACTGGTCACGAAGTGTGGAACGCGCACTTGAAAAGCTAACAGCCGAGGTCGCCGCATTACGAGAACAAATAACGACTGGAAGAGAGTGGAAGTCTAGAAAGCAGCGCAGCTTTATGGCATGGATTCGATGGCTTCTGTGGATCGTCATGAAGCATCTGACCATCGATATCGTTCTACTGGCGTTTATACTACTCTGGTTGCGCAAGCGGAAGGATAGGCGGTTAGAGGATCTTGTCCGGGCAGGGCTGAGGCTGGTGAGAGAGTACGTGCGGAATGTTCTACCGTCCAGATGACAACACATCTGCGGGACGTAAGACACCCGCTTTTCACAAATCATGACGGAGAACAGGGTTGGGTCGTCCTTTACAACACCATCACCATTATGCCAGTAGAGGGCAAGATTAGTCTGCAAATCAGTCAAAAGCGAAGCTGAGAAGCTCGCTCGACGTGCACGCCAGCTCATCACTCGGATCAGCATCATCCGGCTTGAACTTATACGTCAGTTCGACAACACCTCATTTTCATAAGGAAGTGCATCGACGCGTGCTATAGCTGCCGACATTTTCAGATCTTCCCTTCGACTATGCCATCGATCCACGACATCGATAGGCGCCGGTGATGGCCACTCAGCCAACACCATGGAGCTTTAAATGCCGAGCCAAGCAAATATTGGTGTTGGCTCAGAGTACTATAGGACGACTGGACCGTGGGGGAAGAGGCCTACATGCAGTTAATGTAAATCTCAATGCTAGGTCTTCCACCATGTTGTAGAAAATCAGTTATCCGTCTTGAGTAATAAAACAAAAACTGCAGTTTTTCATCCTTCTTCCTTGATGCATCTAGTGCTTCCATCTTTCGCAAAAATGACGGCAAGACAGCCAACGTAAAATGTAGTAAGTATTGGTCCAAGATGCAAATATAAACATCGTTTCACAACTGGTCGAATTCTACACTCTAGTAGTAAGGGGGCTCAAGAGTGTGGTTTCCGCATTAGGGAAGTTTGGGCATGGGACCTTGCCAGTCATGGGCCCAAGCTGACTTCCTGCCTTGAACCAAACTTTGGGCCGTCTGGACTTAGACTGTTTTCCCCAAAGATCCACATTTCAACAAATCTAGCGATGAACCAAGTTGAGGCTCCTCGCCTTCAGTGCCTATGAACTCATACAACCGGACAATTCAATTCCCCGGGGCGGCCCAATAGCAACTGAAAAGATGCAGGACACAGGCAAAAAAGAAACCGGAGGTGATGGGTCCTCATCCGCTTCGACGCAGACGAAGAATGACCCTCTGGAAGACGAAGATATCCCAATCTATCAGGAAGGTACAGAAACCATGGCTATGTTTGTCCCCTTAGAACATTCTCTCTTTGAACCTTTCGAGCCACCAAGAGACAAAGTCGACCGTCTCAAGGTTTCCTTGGAAACCTTTGAAAAGCACTCGGCTGCGGTATCAGCAAATCTTGAGTTCGTTTACGAGCGAGAACGTCGGCGCATTATCCGACATGCCCAAGGGTTGGAGGCAACCGATGGTGTTGTAGAAACCAACGCCGGTCTCGAGCCCCGCGACGAAGAACTTATGATGGCATACGTCGAGGCACCGATGCCGCCCGGCGCTGACTACAACAACCGGCACCTGTCGACGTACAGGCCACCTAGTCCGCCGCAAGTGTGTCCGCCCAGGCAGGCGGCCATTCGTTGGTCGCTCTTCAATGCCGGGCAGGCGCTGCAGCAGGTTACTGGCTACGCCGCTCACGCCCAGACGATCAAAGACAGCTACCAAGCATCGATCCAAAGGGAGCAGAATTCCGCAGGCGGACAGGCAGCCAACAGAGAGGAGGGCAAGGACGCTCGAAACTAGAAGTTTCAGCGGCCGAAGAAAAGGGTGCGGTTTTCATTGCCGGAGGGACACAGGAGCACAAGTTCGGCGGGAGCCAAAATGAGACATCATGAACAAGCGGCATACCGTGCCGTTCCCGGCACAACGCAGCTGGTAGCAATGCAACCAAACAGATCGAAAGGCTCTCTTAGTAGATAGGCACCAAACATAGCCATCATGAGATACCCGCAAATACACACACGAACAAGTCTACAATTTGGTCATCAAAAGATGTAACGACCGGCGGTAAGAGGCAACGGTCATTGAGGTATTCTCCCATGCTTCCATAAACGGCGTCAAAAATGTTACTCTAGAGTCACTAGATAGAGGAAGGCTCGACAGAAGCAACCTTGCGGCGCTCAAGCTCACCTACGATAAGTGCCCATGTACAATTGATGAGGAAAAAAGAAAAAGAAGAATCTTGCGAGGAAAATTTACCCGAGGACATAAAAGGTGCACGGAGGAGTTTGTGGGTGCCTCAGGCCTCAAACAGCTCCCGGCCGGCTCAGCCAATCACGATCGACGTAAATTAATCGCGATTTACGCACTAGCGCCACCAAATCCCCATGGCCCGGGACAGAAGAGCAGTTCCCTCCCGACGTCAACGATTGAAATCAATCCGCCTCCCACATATCCGCCTTCCCCCGTCTCGTCTGGCTCAATCCGTCAAGGCGACACGATGCTGCGGCACACTCTAGCACGTTCGGCTTGGCGGACTGGAAAGCAGGCCGCCAATGCCTCGCGAACTTTTGCTACCACAGCTCGCAGGAATGCCGAAGTTGAACTGACGATTGGTACGCCTATCCCGCCCTTGCCACGACTCAATTGGGCTTGATAGAGATGGCTAACATGATCTACAGACGGAAAGAAAGTTTCAGTCGAAGGTGAGATGTGCTGTATTCGTGTCCGAGGATTCCTGCTCACAGTTACCCAGCCGGCTCTGCCCTGATTCAAGCTTGCGAAAAGGCAGGCGTAACAATCCCCAGGTTCGTTCAGACGTTGAAAAAATGCGTTGGATGCCATTAACTGACTCCTCGATAGATATTGCTACCATGAGTACGAAGCCCTTTGTTCGAATCGATGACCGTTGCCGTTCCGCGGGATAACCCCGACTGACAAATACAAACAGGAAGCTCATGATTGCCGGTAACTGCCGTATGTGCTTGGTCGAAGTCGAAAAGGCCCCGAAGCCCGTTGCCTCCTGCGCATGGCCCGTCCAACCCGGCATGGTCGTTAAGACCAACTCTCCCCTCACACACAAGGCTCGTGAGGGTGTTATGGAGTTCCTGCTCGCCAACCACCCCCTCGACTGCCCTATCTGCGACCAGGGTGGTGAGTGTGATCTTCAGGACCAGTCGATGCGTTACGGCGGCGACCGCGGCCGTTTCCACGAGACCGGTGGCAAGCGTGCCGTCGAGGACAAGAACATTGGCCCTCTCATCAAGACCTCCATGAACAGATGTATCCACTGCACAAGATGTGTCCGTTTCTCCAACGACATTGCTGGCGCCCCCGAGATGGGCTCCTTCGGCCGTGGCAACGACATCCAGATCGGTACCTACCTCGAGAAGAACCTCGACTCCGAACTCTCCGGCAACGTTATCGACCTTTGCCCCGTCGGTGCTCTGACATCTAAGCCCTATGCCTTCCGCGCCAGGCCTTGGGAGCTGAAGCACTCCGAGTCTATTGACGTTCTTGACGGTCTCGGCTCCAACATCCGCGTCGACTCCCGTGGCCTTGAGGTTATGCGTATTCTCCCCAGACTCAACGACGACGTCAACGAGGAGTGGATTAACGACAAGACCCGTTTTGCCTGTGATGGTCTGAAGACCCAGAGACTCACCATGCCCTTGATCCGCCGTGAGGGCAAGTTCGAGCCCGCCGACTGGGAGCAGGCTCTCACCGAGGTTGCCAACGCCTTCCACCACATCCAGCCCAAGGGCAACGAGTTCAAGGTTATCGCCGGTGAGCTGACTGAGGTTGAGTCTCTGGTTGCCATGAAGGACCTGGCCAACAAGCTGGGCTCTGAGAACCTGGCTCTTGATATGCCCTCCGGAAGCAAGCCTATCGCCCACGGTGTCGATGTCCGCTCCAACTACCTGTTCAACTCTAGGATCTGGGGTATTGAGGAGGCTGACGCCATCCTCATCGTCGGCAGCAACCCCCGCCACGAGGCTGCCGTCCTGAACGCCCGTATCCGCAAGCAGTGGCTCCGCTCTGACCTCGAGATCGGTGTCGTGGGTGAGACCTGGGACTCCACTTTCGAGTTCGAGCACCTCGGTACCGACCACGCCTCTCTGAAGCAGGCTCTTGCCGGTCCCTTCGGCAAGAAGCTTCAGGCCGCCAAGCGCCCTATGATCATCGTTGGCTCTGGTGTCACTGACCACGAGGACTCCAAGGCCTTCTACGAGACCATTGGTGCTTTCGTTGACAAGAACGCCGCCAACTTCCTGACTGAGGAGTGGAACGGATACAACGTTCTTCAGAGAGCCGCTTCCCGTGCCGGTGCCTTCGAGGTCGGTTTCGTCACTCCCTCCACCGAGGTTGCTGAGACCACCCCTAAGTTCGTCTGGCTCTTGGGTGCCGATGAGATCTCTGAGAAGGACATCCCTAAGAACGCTTTCGTTGTTTACCAAGGCCACCACGGTGACCGCGGTGCCCAGATCGCCGATGTCGTCCTTCCTGGTGCTGCTTACACCGAGAAGGCCGGTACCTACGTCAACACCGAGGGCCGTGTCCAGATGACCCGTGCTGCCACCTCCCTGCCTGGTGCTGCCAGAACTGACTGGAAGATCATCCGCGCCATCAGCGAGTTCTTCGGCGCTCCCCTGCCCTACGACGATGTTGCTCAGCTCCGCGACAGAATGGTCGAGGTCAGCCCGGCCCTGGCGGCCTATGATGTGGTTGAGCCCGTCTCTCTTCAGCAGCTCAGCAAGGTTCAGCTGGTTGACCAGAACAAGGGCGCCAAGGCCACTGGTTCTCCCTTGAGGAAGGTTATTGACAACTTCTACTTCACAGACGTCATCTCAAGAAGGTAAGCAATCGTCATCCCCAGGCATATTGAACAGTTGCTAACAATATATCATAGTTCGCCGACAATGGCCCGCTGCTCTGCGGCCAAGGCCACTGGTAACCCCAAGACCAACTTCATGGCGCCTGGCATGGAGGAGGACAGGCCGATGGGCCAGATTGCGTACGGAGCATGAGAAGCAGGCTGTACGATCGTAGTGAAGACAATAAAAGAAAGTTCTTTTGTCAGGGTTGGGTGCATTGCTTGTACATAATAGGACGCGATGGTAGAGCCGGGGTGGAAGTTGAAGAAAGTAAATAACTTCAACCTGTTGTTCCTTTTGTGAAAGCAATTGATGATTAGTTCTTGATTTGTGCGGCCGAGTACTGAGTATCTGGCCTTGTTTCTTGTTCGACGTGATGTGTTTAAATTACCGAGTTATGTCTTAACGTGGTACTAATATCCATTCTACAGCATCAAGTCTGTCAAGATTCAAGTTATTCTGTAAGTGGAATGCTCATCAACATCCAACATTGAGATACCCCAACAATTCTTGCTTCCTTACGGCAAACCGGTGTGAGTCTCCTGCTATTTACGAACCCCTACATCAGCTTCTTGATATGAATCTACTATCCTCGCGTTTGTATAAACCCAAATCCTGCCCAAGCAGACGGAGCAAGAACAAGATACTAAGGGAGCTATGGGTTTTTGTTAGTAATTTGACACATTGAATGCTGTTCAAAGCAGCCGTCCGCCTTGTGTTTGCGTGTCACATCCGGTACAGCCCGAGGCATATCGGAAGAGGCGTGATATACTCTCATTGCAGCCTGACCCGTTTTCATGATGACCACTTTGGATTTCCGTCGTTCTCGTTTCTAGGGATCAAAGTCCGTGGAGTCAGGCCTAGGGAGCAGGAACATGATTAGACGATAATGTGGTTCGGTTACATGATGGACCTGTTACAATAAAAGACTTATTCCAGGTTGCAGATACCGCATTTCGCCGGGATTCCTGGGGGTCCACGGGACATGGGCCGATAGGATATACCTGTCCTCGGTACTTGGACCGAAACTGTCGAGTTTGTAACCACTCCTCCGACAGTCAAGTCGACCACAGCGCTTTTCGCAACATAGGAGAGACCATGAAAGATATGGCTTTAGTATTGCAGATACTCCGTCAGTAGGAATTAACAGGAGGTTGGGACTGCATCCGGTACAAGATTCTCTTTTACAATGTAGATCAAGGATTGGCATCCGCCTGAGCACCTTCATTAAGACTTGATACGATAACTCCGGCTCTGTAACAACAGCTGTGAACATTGCCTTAACATGTTGATTGCAAATATCTTACACCACAAATTTTGAACAAGCAGAAAGTAGTAGCACATGAGAGCCAGTCTCAATTAACCTTGGACGGAAACTATTTCATTACGACTCAAAGTAGCACATCAAGAACTGCAGCTACACTGGATAGCCCGCTTCATCTTGGGCACGTCGCCGACCCACCGTTCCTCCTCTTGCTTATCACCCTTGTATGTCTTGCCTTCAAACTCTGCTCCATCCCAGCTATCCGCGAACGGATTCAGGGCCATGTGCATAACACGCCTCAATACATCCCTCTCATCTTCCTTCTCAACTCGCCTGATGATCTCATCAAGTACCCAACCGCGAGGCACAAAGTTGGGGTTGACGGCCTTCATGGCCTTCTCCCTTTCGGCATCCTTGTCCTCACCCCAGTCCTCAACCACGCGGGCCCGCCACTTGCCGAGCCAAGTGCCAACATCAGAACGGCCCTTGGGCTCGCCGCCAGTCACGCCCTCGTTGTGGAAGAAGCGTGTAGCGACCTCGCGGCAGGCGTCTTCGTCTGCAATTTCCGAAACCTTGACGGAGCTGAGGCGGCGGAAAAAGTGGTTAAAGTCCAGCTCGTGTGTCTCCATGGTGTCGAGGAGGTTGCTGAACAAGTGATCAAAGTCGCTATCCTTGAAGTTCTTCAGTCCCAGACGGAGAGTCATGAGACGCTTGTACTCTGCCAGGAACAGCGCCTTGTACTCCTCGCCAACCTGCATGATCACCTTCTCCGCACGTGCGACGAGGGGTTCGGCTTCACTCTCCTCGACGCCCTGGTTGACGAATGTGTCATCATCAACGCGAGCTCCGGCGCCGATGAGTTCACCCAGCGACTCACCAAAACGGACGAGGTTCCACCAGATGATGGTCGGCTGGTTCTTGTAGCTGTACCTCAACATGTAGTCATCGTGGTTGGGAGTATAAGAAGGGTCGAAATTGTCCATGAACGCGAACGGGCCGAAATCAATGCTCAGGCCCATGATGGATGTGTTGTCCGTGTTAAGCACGCCGTTCATGAAGCCGTAGGCCTGCCACTGGGCAACTGTCAGCGCATTGCGGCGAACGACTTCACGGAAGAGCCGAGTGAATCGGTTTTCGGCAGAGTCTTCCGGTCCCTGGATCTCTGTGGAAGGAACACCACGGGTGGGTGCCGGAGACTTGGCCGGCTCATCCGGATTCTCGAGCCGAGCGGGCAGGCTTTCCCAACCGCCGAGAACATCCTCAGCAACATAGGTTGCGAGAGTTCGGATGAGGTTGCGGTCACCTCTTGCACGGGGGAGATCGAAGTTGCCGAGGCGGATCCAGGATTGCGCAAAACGCAAGACGATAGCGCCAGGCTCAATGGTTTCTCTCCTAACTCTGGAATTCGGCAGAAGAGTAAGGGACAGAGCGCGTGTGCTGGGGATGCGGAGGGCATTGAGAGCTTCTGACACAATAAACTCGCGGATGCTGGACCGTAACACGGCCTTGCCATCTGCAAACCGCGAGTACGGCGTCAGACCCGCGCCCTTAAGCTGCAACTCATACCGGACCTTAGTCTCGGGGTTTGTTATTTCAAACAGAGAGATAGCTCGGCCGTCTCCGAGTTGGCCGGCCCATTGACCGAACTGGAAACCACCATAGCATTGCGCCCAGGGGTACCCTCCCTCCAACTTCTCTTCATCCCAGCCGTGCAATCTGTTTCCTGCCACGGTCTGCTTAAACTCCTCCGTATTCTCGTCACCTTCCTTTATACCGATGTCGCGTAGCGCTGCGGGACTGACAGCCAGAAGCTCTGGGTCCTCGGCCTTCTCAGGACGTACCCATGTGAAGGCGGCTTCGCGGACCTGGCGGGGTCCGATTTGGTCGCGAGGGGTCTTGTGCGAGTCGGCGGGGGTGGGAAAGAGGGAGTCGGGAGGCAGAGAAGAGGTGTAATGCCATGTCTTGGGCAGTTCAGCTAGTGGAAGGCGCGCTTGGCTATTCGGAGTCGGGGCCGACCCGTTAGACAGTTGGGCGGCCATGGTAGGATATGTAATGACTCTTGGGACGGCTCGACGGGAGAGCAGTCGCGAGAGCATATAAGCGGATTATAAACCGTTCACGGCGCAGGTGATGCGAAAATCAAAGATGAAAAATGGCTTCTGCGGTAGAATTATAGACGAGGGGTATCTTTGTTGAGTTTATAAGAAAAGAGAAATCAGCCAAGTGAAAGTAGTATTTGGAGGGGTATTTGCTAATAATGATGATGGTATAAGCCGTCTTTAAACCGCTGGTGATGAACGGTTGACCTTCCGCACGTCTTAGTGGCGACTGAGAAATTTCATGCTGACCTAAGCTGGATGTGCGCACCTGGATAGAACCTCGGCACCCAGCTCAACAGTCGCCGAAGGTCGACTTAATTCCGATCACGGAGCTTTAATCCAATTCAAAAAAAAACTCCATTGTTTATTGTCTGATGCTCTGCTTGGTCGCCGGTCCAGAGCCGAACGGGTCGTCTTCCACAGTAGCCGGCTCGGGCCCGTGTTCCAGCAGTAGGCTTCCAGCACGCAAAAGCTTTAAGAGTGTCGTCATCAGACGTGCTATGAGTTAGGTGTTACTCCCTGCAGAAGCCCCGCGTTCTTGAGTTTCCAGCGCTCAACAGCTCCAATTGGGCAAGTGGGGTTCCAGAGAGTGCCCTGTGCTGAAGTGAGAAGCTAGCAATAAGCAACTGATGCTACTCTTCAAGGACATTGGCCGGCACATATAATTCCCTTCCAGCACACCGGCAGAACCGGCATCCTGGATGGGGTGGGAAGGACGCAAGCCATAATTTCGTCACGGCACCTTGTGCTAACGTATATCGGCGCGGTACCACATGAATGATGTCAATGGCCAATCCGGACAGTGCTAAGGCGGGCCTTGATGCATGACATCCATTCATCGGAACGAGGAAAGCGGAACACGCACATTCGGGGGATAGTGTTCGTAGCTACCTGTATCATCCCATCGCCCTGATACACCAAGTGCAATTCCACAGGCTCGTCTGAAAAGGAAGCATAGATCCATCTGATTAGAAATACAAGCCTGCTTCAGCTCCATTGACCCTCTGGCACCTCTCTTTATCGTCTTTCCCACCGCCGCAAGTTCCTCACTAGACGAGCTCAAGATTGACCTCAACACCATCGTCTTGGCTTCGTCATCATTTCATTCCGCAACTCATCAGTCACCAATTTCAATTGCCCAACATGAACTCAATTCTGTCAACTTTCAAGCCTGATGCCTCTGGTACGCCCCCGAAGCAGATGCCATACATTCCCTGGCTGAAGCTAAATGATGGCAATGAGATCCCTATGGTAAGTCTCGTCTTTCTGCCAGAAGGTGCTTGCGGGAGGATCCACAACTCGGTAATCCGTGTCAGCACCATAATTCCCGCTTGGGATCTTGGTTGGCTGTCACGTTGCTTGAGAAGCTACGGCTAATGCTAGTATATTTATAGCTTGCATATGGATTGGGCACTGCCAACTACAAGTCTGGCGGCGCTGGATTCGATGAGAAGATTGTCGACAACACCGTCACAGCCATCAAACTCGGTTATCGTCATCTAGACGGCGCAGAAGGTATTTTAACAGCCCGTCTTTGCAACGATGGTTCTGACAAGTACAGTCTATGGCAATGAGGAGGAGCTCGGCGCAGCGATCAAGAAGGCTGGCGTCCCAAGAGAGAAACTGTTTGTCACGGCCAAGATCGCCGGAAACAAGAAGCAGAACACCGAAGAGGCCTTCGCTCGCACGTTGGAGAAACTCGGTCTTGAATATGTTGACCTGTACCTGATTCATGCCCCCTTTTTTGCCGACTCCGACGAGGAGCTTCAGCAGAAATGGGCCGACTTTGAGGCTATCAAGGAGTCTGGCCGGGCCAAGTCTATCGGTGTCTCAAACTTCCTGCAGTCTCACCTCGAAGCCATCCTGAAGACGGCTAAGATCCCCCCTGCGATCAACCAGATCGAGTATCATCCTCACCTCCAACATGGTGACTTGCTGGACTTCCATCGCAAGAACAACATTGCTGTTTCAGTCTATGCCCCCTTGACACCGATCACAGCTAATATTGAGAGCCCAGTCAGGACTATCTGGGCCAATCTTTCCAAGAAGTATGGCGTCAGTGAGTCCATTATCGGACTCCGATGGTGTATCGATCAAGGTCTGGTCACTATTACGACCTCGTCAAAGGAAGAAAGATTGCAGAGTTACCTGAATCATCTTCCTGCTATCAAACTGACACCGAGGGAGGTGAGCGAGATCGCAGAGGCTGGAAAGTCTAAACATTTCCGAGGCTTCTGGAAGAACAAGTTTGACCCTGAGGACACTCGTTAAATCTGACAAGGGAAGAAACCCTCACTAATGGCCGTCGGTTACTTCGCCCTCCAATTCTGCGGGAGCCTTATAGCATTCCGCTCAATACGATTAATTAACATGATGTGGTTCCTTCATCTGCATAATGGCATAGAAGCTAAGATGGTGATCCGAGGTGTGAGTTTTGAATCAGAAATATATACCCAAGAACAACGCAATCGAATGTCGGCCTCGCAAGACGTTTCTGAATGACCAACCATGACGCCGCCGCATTAACTAGACTTAGACAGCATGCAGTGAGAGCCACCATTTCTGGCCACTGGTAATCATCCACATCACAACTCGTCGTCGGATTCTGTCTCGCTGTCCGCAGGAGGCGGAGAGGGTTTAGCCGGGGCTTGCTTCTTCCTAGCAAATGGCAAAGCACGCTTTGGTGGAGGTGCCTCTTTGGTTGCTGGCCCTGGCTTCTCATGTGACTGTGCTGACTTCTTTGGTGGTGCTTGCTTTGCCGGTGGTACTTCTACCGGGCTGTCACCATCTTCTTCTTCTTCACTTGCCGTCTCATCTTCGTCCTCAGTCGTGTCGCGTTGTTGGTCAGACAGCTCTGGAGCAGGCTCCATAGCTGCATCAACATCCATTTTTTCAAATTCTTCATCAGAATCATCATCATCGACTGGTGCAGGTGCAGCCTTTCTTTTGGTTGCTCGCGACTTGCCTGCCGCACGCACAGTGCCTGAGCTCGACAGGTTTGGTTCCTGCGCAGGGTCTTCCTGCTTGACAGCTGGTGAAGCCAGTCTCTCCGGGTCGACGGAAGCAGACGCTAAAATTCGTTGCTGCTGCCGGATCTTGACCTTCTTCTCATTAAGCAGGTCGCGGAACTTCTCCAGGAGCTCCGACTCATCGGCCTCCTTGGCCGCAACTAACTCATCGAGCTGAGCTTTGAGCTCGCGCACGGTTTCTTCAAGCTGGCTGGCTTTGGCGGTTGCTGAAGCTAGAGCCTCCTTGGCCTCATCCGCGGTCTGGACCGACAGGCCACACCAGTCGTATAGCTCAATCAACTCGCGTGGGTTGTGGCTTAACTCAATGGCGCCAAGACGTTGCTAACGACCAACCATCAGTCTTGCCTCCCCGAGCAAGGCTGGAAAGGGGTTTGCGTCCAGGACACTTACAGTAAATTCTTTCCCCTTTTTGCGAATGGTTAGGGTGATGGATGACTGGTCTTCAACAGAGGCAAGGACCTCAATATCGCTGGCTGGGTCTTGCCTGAGGACTGCAGTGAGTATAGAAACCCACTCATCCTCCGAACAGGGGCTGTTCTTGACACGGAAGGATGAGACTTTGTCATGACGCACTGCCAGAGGAAATCGTCATTAGCATCATAGTTCTGTGATCGTCGTGCATGAGTTCACTGCACGAAACAAACGTCGGCCAAGACCCACCTGACCGGGCCGTAGTGATCGGCGGTCAGGGAGGTGGCGGGATACTGATTATTCAACTCACATGAGATGGCATACGGCTCCCTACCATCAGTGCCCACCAACTTGACATCCAAGGCCTTGGAACGAGTTGACGTAGCCTGAACAATGACAAAAGCGCCTTCCTCATCTGACCGGGGAAACCGGAGGACGTGCCCGGATGTCATGACAGTCGATGAATGAGATAGATTGCACTTTATGTTTTCCGAAATGAAAGTAGTGGCCTGAGGAGTGGGCGTATCCACGAGTCTATAGTACGACTGTCATTCGCAAGTGTCAATGGATTCTTGCTGGCGCGAGGTCTCAGGGATTGCGTTATTAATTTTTTTCTTGAGAATGTGTGGCATGCAATATTGAATTGTCGCTCGGCATGTTGTAGCAATCTTGTTGTTGTTGTTGTTATCGTTTGAGTGTAAGAAGTAAGACAGGCGGGGAAGGTCAGGCTGGAGTTTCAAACGTCCGCAAAAGCAGGTAGGTGTTGGTGAACGCAGCTACAGCGGCATTGAACTGCATGCTCTGGTTGATGTTTGGCTGGCTGTTTGAAAGCGAAATGCCCTTAAGTACGAAAGTGGTAAAAGAGGGTATTCGTGCCTGAGTCACAAGGGTCTAGAGGATGCTGAGCTGAGAACTAGGCAGCTGCGGCGCTCAGACAGGCAACGAAGGGGATGATGGCTGGTAGTGCATCGGATGGCAGGCAGCTCATACGAGGTTAGGCCATAGCCTTAGGCAGCCTGGAAATTACAACTGCAAGGTACCTAACTAACAGTGAAGTAGATAGGTACCTACCCTGAGGCAGGAACAGGACGGAGGGCACGGAAGACGGAATGCAGCAAAGTATAAGCGGTTTGTTTTGGTGGGAACTATCAACAATAAATAATAAACAGGACCTTTTTCTCCGAACTGCTCTTCGGCTGGGGTTGACGACACAGAGAGCGGGCTTCTGTTCAGATGCATTTAACCTTAAAGAAAAGGGGAAAAAAAATTCAGATGAATGCAAGCATCGTTATTGTCGATGGTGAAACAGATGGAGTGCAACTTGCAGGCTATGATTTGATGCTCTCGTTTTCTCCCTAAGCTGCAGTCCCGTTCGTCCCTGGTCCAGACGAGAAAAGGGACATCGCGCCTTCAGCGCGTCAGAGTCGTGCAAAGCGTTGCCATCCCCGCATTTGATGGTTCGTCACCCAATCAACTAGCCAGTATCTGTCCCCGCTAAATCACGTGGTACGCCCGGGAAAAATTCCAGATTCACCTGGCAAGTGCCCTGGGCCCCATTTTCCGTCCTCCCACCCGTTCTGCCCACCTCATTCTGCGCAAGTCATAGGCTCAATTCTAGTGGGTTCCCCCCGTCAGCGCCAGTAAGCAACACCAGCCACCCACCACATCACCCACTGCGCACGCTACTCCTGCATCCTGTACACCACTGGGCAGCCCTGGGCCACCCAAGACTGCTGACTGGACCCAGCCCACCATCTCGCTGGCCTACCACTTCGCTTTGTTTGGCAGGCCCGATCCATCGGCCCCCAGCTTCCCAGCCATTTTTGCTTCACTCGTCCAACAAGGACGCAAATCCAGTCTCCCCCCCGACCTCACGACTGCCCTGATCTCAATATACTCCAGTCCGGCAAACGTCACCCTTCGAGATATTGCACCCTGACGCAAGTTACCCCTACGACGGCCCTTTTGGATCACCTCCACTTGCTCTGCATCTGTTTGCATCTCTGGCAAAGCATCCTACCAATAGCCGACACAGCGCACATTCCCGAAAACGACGATACTCGATTCATAACAATCAAAGCCGCCATTTCTACGCCCTCCCACAAAACGAAAACTCTAGCGCACGCAGCGACCCTAACGAACCGCCCATCACGCTTGCGACAGCCATTTTTCTGAAAGACTATGTCGACGAGCCGTAGCTGCTGTCATTGTTGACGATATGATCTTGCTTCATTGACAAGCAGAACTGCGCTGTCGGGAGTCTCTCGAAAAACGACTGCGACTCCTTCAAACCCAAAATCAATTCTGCGCTCACACAAACAAACCGATATAACGAAATTATGGAACCTTTACGCCTAAAACCACGCCTGCCGGTGGCAGAGCCCGATATCGAGAACTGGGACGATGACGACTTCCAAATCGAAACCGAGGACCTCACCTTTCGGACCGCCTCTACCGCTACCATTGCTGCCCCAGCACGACGCGACTCTGCGTCTTCTCACATGTCTTTTCGCTCCGAACTCGAATCAATTCTTGACGAGGAAACTCATGTGCATGTCCCGGGTGACGATGAGAAGTCGACAATGGATGCTATTGCCGCAGCCACACAGGCCGGCATCCCCATACCCAAAAACGTACCTTCTTCTGCCCTAATGGGTGGCACTATTAAACGACTAGGTGGAAGGAAGATCAAGAAGATCATTCAGGACGACTGGGAAGACGACTTGGTGCTGCCAGAATCAAGTCAAGGCCTTCGGATCAAACCTCAAGACAGCACCAAATTCCCAGACATGCTGAGGCAAGTCAGTGGAGGCTCTAACCAAACCAGCCCTACGAAGCCCATGAAGACCCCCCCAACCTTTTCACAATTAGACCGGAGAGAGTCGTTAGACCGGAGGCAGTCAACGGAATCGAGGACGAGCACGCTATCAGCGGCCATTACCCTTGATAAGTTCCGTGACAATGATGACGACGACGACGACTTTTTCGGCGATGGATCGGAGACTATCAAAGTGTCCAAGACCCGACCATCTAAACCTATTTCACTTATTACCCCTCCAACGCCTTCAAAGAACGAAAAGCCACTAGATGAGGATTTCGAAAATGACTTCGAATTGCCTTTAGATGGCAAGTTGAGGCTCTCAACTCGCAAGGACATCCCGAAAACTCCAGCACCATTTGCTGATGACCTCGACTGGGGTGAGGGAAGCCTTGGTACCCGCTTTGGAGGCACTCGCAGAGACGCTCGTTCTAATAGAAGCTCATCTGTCTCAGCGATGAGCCCCAGTGTCTCGAGCTCATTCACCTTTGAGAGCGAGGATGAGAATTTTGATGGCCTTGTGCTTCCAAGTGGCCCCGTCAACTTTGAAGAAAGGCTACAGAGGAGGAAACTGAGTCGTTCGCCCGTCCGACCCGTGGAGGAAGAACCCCCCAATCTTAAGACACCCAAGGCTGAAGCGGAGACTGAAGACTTGCTGGATGGTCTTGACGTTGGCGACGGCGACGTGTTCAACCCTGGCAAGCTCACACTTCATCGCAACATCCGCTTGAATGAGAATCGACCTCCTAGCCCCGCGCGCCCCAAAACGGCGGTCTCTCTCACATTCTCAAACAAGCCTACACCGTCACGCCTGCCACGTCCAAGTCATGAGAGGACAATGTCTGCATTGGAGCCTGTCTCTGAAAGTGGCGGGCCCATCTTCTCCCGCTCGCGGAGGTCTCAGTCGCGCATGGGTCATCAATCCCAATCCTCTGTTACCAGTGTCCACAGCATGCCAACCCCTACAACACCTTCTCCAGCCAACCCTCTACTACCCGCTACTCCACGGAGAAGGGAGCTGGGCTCCAAAGCATCCGCCACATCACTGCGGAATGAGCCTACAACTACAAGCTCACAGCTGCTGAGATTTAAACGATCTCTGCCGGCAATGAAGGCATCTCATTCGCCCGCCAAGGGAGCCGGATCCCGCTATGAGAGACCGCCTTCAAGGACCGAGAGTAACCGCCAACAATCGGGGGTGCGACCGAAAACACCGGTCGAGAGGACCCGCCCTGCCATGGTGGAAAGCCATGCTGCACAGCAACGACGGCCTTTCCTCCCTGCTGGGGCTTCACAATCCCAGTCGCAACACGTGACCGCTAAAACTTCTCGCACCTTTCGGCGTCATGATTCCGAGAATGCTCTGGACCTGCGGCCAACCTCGAGAGCATTCTCGAGATCAACGATGCGATCGCCCAGCCCCAAGAGGCTCAATCGGCATTCGGATCATTTTACTCCCGATGGCTTCTCCAGTCTGTCTTTCCGTAACATGACCAAGCCGCACCGAAGCCGAAATTTCGGTGATGGTCACGAACTGGACGGCTTTGACGACCTGCCTACCTCAGCACAATCTGAGGCGAAATTCATTCGACAACCTGCCAAGGCGCCGCTTCGCAACAAGATCTACCAGAATGTGCAGGCGGACCGGACTACCACGCCATCCCCGGCACCGTACTCGTCCCCTGCAAAGTCTGATTACACGCCCCATTTCGCCCGTGATACCCAGGCTAGCCGAATTGCACGGGAGACCTCGCTTGCTCAACGAACTCCATCAGGCCCACTGGCGCCTCTCACCTCGTCACGCGTCTCGCAGCTATCGTCGAGGAACAATTTCACCCCCGGCATGCCGCAAGCCTCGGTACGGTCCAAGAAGAAGAGGAACCCTCCTCAATTGAAACCTCATCTTATATCGAACATGAATAAAGAAAAGACGCCACAGCGTAGGTGCAGCAGCTAATTGCGCTTTCATTGCATTACTAATGGCATTGCAGATCTCCAGGGCATGTTTTATAACCCCGAAACATTTCGTTGGGAAGGCAACGAAAATGTATTGAACGCGTTCGACCCACCCGCTTCATCACCATCGACAGCATCAGTGCCGCAGCACATGATGCGAGATAAGGAGACTTCCACCCCCAGACCGGCTTTAATTACGAACATCAGCCATACAAAGGGTGTGCAGGTTGTGGGGGGAATGGTGTTCGACCCACAGAATATGTGCTGGCTGAAGCTCGGTCCACAGACAAATTCAAAGTCCGAAGTTCCTGACCCCATGGACGGCTTCAACGCCTTGGATGATGACGAAGATGTCTTCAAGGACATTCCCGATCTTGAAGATAACCAGGGCGATTCCAAAGAGTCCGGCCGCGTTAGCGAAGTCAAGGACGAGTGGCTGGTCGGCGAAGAATTTGACGTCGGACCAGAGTTCATCCGAAGACAACGAGAAGAAGAAGACAGGTGGAGGAAGAAGTGCGAGAAGTGGCTCGGCGTTGGCGACCGAGATCGCGATGCCTGGCGGTGGGCGATTCGCGACATTCTCCTTTACCAGAGGGCTGCCCAGTAGACCTCATCTCACGAACAGCATTTTATTTCGGGAGGCATTTCATGCGCTATTCTTCACACATACTTACTTTAATATCCCCGGCTAGCATTGGCGAAGGCCAGGGCAACTTACGACAAAGGCGTTTTGGGAGAGAGGTTACGACGAGCAACATTTACGACGATTCCGGTGACGACTTTCTGGATTCCTCTGTGTACTACATACTCCAAAAAGGTTATGATACCATTCATGACATACGGCTTTGATGATGAAAAGAGGTACGGCTGTGGAAAAGGGACACGCCGACCGCAACGATAACAGGGAGGATACTATGCGAGGAAGGGCTCGATACCATCCAGACCTTGACTGGATAGAAAGGGTTCATGACGAGGGACGGATTGCTTTTTAAACGTCAGTTGTTTCTGTACAATGTTCCTCTTTTTGTTTTTCCTTGCGTGTTTAGAGGCAGGTGAAGGATGCGCAGGCCTTCCTACGTCCACAACACCGGTATGTGGTCGACTGGGCATCCATTGCCTAGGTGATGATGAGAGACGTCTTGATGAAAAGCTTTGCTTAGACTTTTTTTTTTTTTTTTTTTTTTGGCGTATTGGATTAGTAATACTGCATATTTTTCAATTCTCTTCGGGCCAATTGGGGCATTTGGTGAAATCGTGAAGGCAGTCGAATTGAGGCGACACTTTTAATAGCCACTTTTGGTACACGGTCACTTGCGATCCGGACTGCGGGATATAAGACTTGAGACGACAAGGTTATTGATGAGACGACAGGACGATGACGGCTTTATCATTGTCCCATACACTTTTTATATTTTCCGAACCCCCTTTTGAGCTCCGACTCCCTAGTAATAGGTAATTATAATGCAACGACAAAAAAAACAGGTCCGACATCAACCTCGACCTCGCCATGATGCTCTCGTCAACTACAAAGATACATTTTGAGAAAAAATCATTTGACTATGCAGATGCAATTTTGCGTGTCTGTGTTTCAGCGTTCCCCTCCTTACTTTCCGCCCTTCTTTTGCTTGGGGCTTTTGGTCTTGGGGCTCTTGGTCTTGTGACTCTTTTCTGTGCTGGTTGGTGTCTTCTCCTCGGTCTTCTTCTCAGTCTTGTCTGCCGCGGCCTTCTTCTTCTCCTTCTTCTCGGGCGTCTTCTCAGGAGTCTTCTCGACTACTGCCTTCTTCTTGTCCTTCTTCTCAGGGGTCTTCTCGACGGGCTTCTCGGCCTCAACCTCGGCCTCGGCCTCCTCTGCTTCCTTCTCGCTCTTCTTGCTCTTCTTCTCCTTGGCGGACAGAGCGTTGGGGTCGAGACCTCTCCTACGCATGGCGTTACGCTTGGCCTTGTTGATGTACTCCTCATCGTCCTCCTCGTCGAAGCCGCCGAAGTCGTCGCCCTTCTTGTCGGAGGCGGCGCTCTCGTCGTCGGTGGTGATGGGTGTCTTGTCGACGACCTCGGCACCGCTGGCGGAGTATCTGTCGCCGGAGGCGCCCTTGGCAGGTGTAGGGCCGACCTTTTGGAACTTGGCGACGAAGAAACCGTCGACGTTGTAAGTGTGGGGGTAGTAGCGGCGGGTGAGCTTGAGGGAGGGGTCGAACTTCTTGCCCATGAAGCTGGTGAAGCCCTCGCGACCGAAGGGAAGGTTGGTGTCGACGAGCTTGACGTTGGGGCGGCGGGAGAGCGCATATTGAACGACGGCCTCGCTAGGAGTTTATTAGTATATATCACTTCAAAGGTAGAGAGATGAGTGATGACTTACTTCTCCTCAACTGTCACGGAACATGTAGAGTAAACGATGTAACCGCCCGTCTTGCTGTGGTGGTTGACAGAGTCAATAGCAGCAAGGATAAGCTGCTTCTGGGTGTGCGGGAGCAGCATGAAATCTCTCTCCGTCTTGTTGGTCTTGACGCTAGCATCCTTGGCAATGACACCGGTACCAGAGCAAGGGGCATCGAGCAAGACACGGTCGAAACCGCCCATGGGCTTAGGGAACTCACGAGCGTCGTAGTTGGAGACGACGACGTTGCGAGCACCCAGACGGTGAATGTTACCGATCAGACCCTTGGCACGCTGCTTGCTGGGATCGTTGGCAATGATCATGCCGGTGTTCTTCATCATCGCGGCCATGTGCGTCGTCTTACCACCGGGAGCGGCGGCCATATCCAGCACACGCTCGTTCTCCTGGGGCTCGAGAGCCATGACGGGGAGGAACGAAGAGGCAGCCTGCAGGATGTAGTGGCCGGCGAGGTACTCGGGAGTGGCACCCAAAGGAACGTTGGACTCGAAGACCTGAAGACCGACCTTGGACCACTTGCCGACGGGCTCGAGGGTAACACCGCGACCGATGAGGGCTTGAGCCAGATCACGACGGTGAGTGCGAAGGGTGTTTGTTCTGAGGACAACGGGACGGGCAGACTCGTTAGCCTCGAAGAAAGCGAAGGCCTCGCGGGGAGAGAACAAGTTAAAGAGCTTCTCGGCAAGGTACTCAGAGTAGCCGTAGTAAGAGCAGATATCCTTGATAAGCTGGTTGGTGTACTCGGCGCGCGAGCGGCCCTCTTCGTGGAGTTTGGCAAAGTCGTCAAGAACACGGATGTTCTCAGTGATTCTGGTTCTCAGGAGCTGCAGATCAGGAGCCAGCAGGCCCTTGGTCTTGATGGCGAGATCGTCTTCTTCTTCGTCATCCAGGATGTGCGGCTTGTCACCGTCAATGTTGGTCTGCAGACCCATCTCCTCGAGTTCGGCCTGGGCGTCCGCCTCCTCATCGGCGATTTGCTTATCGAGCCGCCTTGCGAGACCCTCGATGTTGGCCTTTGTGAGCAGTTCCTCGCCGTCAGAGTCGTCCTCGTCCTCCGAGAACATGTGCTTTCCGCCACCGCCCTGCTCCTGGTCCGAGTCGAAGACAGAGTCATCGTCGTCTGATCCAAGGAAATCGTCTCCCAGACCCTTGCCCTCGAGGTCGGAAAACTCGTCGGCCGCATCGCTCATGTCAGAGTCATCGGCCGCGTTAAAGTCACCGAGATCATCGTCGTCAGACATTTCCTCGTCCGAGTCGGGTTGGGGCTGCTTCTTCGACTTCTTTCCGTTCGCCTTGGGCGCGGCCTTAGCCGCTGGCGCAGCCTTGGCGCCATTGCTCTTCTTCGTGTCCTGCTTCTTCGCGGCAGCGCCATTGGCCTTGGGTGCGGGCTGCTTGGTTGTTCTCCTCTTCTTCGTCTCGGGGGCCTCAACGGGTTCGACTGGCAGACCGGCCTTGCGCTTAAGCTTTGCGAAATGGGCCTCCGAAAGGGGTTCGGGAGGGCCCTGCTTCTTCATGCGACGTCCGACACCCATTTTGACCGGTCAATTCGTGTCGAACTTGGAAAATAGGGAAAAGGGTATAATGTGTAGAAAGGGTGTATGGTAACGGCTGGTCGGCCGCCAGAAAATTACTGCGCCAGACGGTCCCCTCCAAAACTTTTTTTATCATGCACGGGCCATGTCCCGATAAGATTGTGATTAGAGCCACGCCGCCCAGAGTGTTCGTGCTCCACACCCCAGCTCCGCCCCGCCATCCATCCCTCCTGCGTAAGTGGTGAGTAGCAGACGTGACACCGGACGAAGTCATCTACTCAACCTGTCAACGTTCCCGTCAAGCCGATTCCTAGCGCTTTAACCTTACCACTCCTGCATTATACCCACGCGCGGCTTAACTTCCAAACTAAAAGCGACGACCACTAAAGAACACAACTACGAAGGACTGATCAAGAGTGCCATCCGCAATCATGGCCGAAGTTGTCTTTGCCAGATCTTTCCTGGCGACGTTGGAGTCGCGGCCGGCCAAGCTGTCGGCCGACCATGTCGAGGACCCCAAGAACTTCCCGGCTCGCCCTCCCGTAAGTTGCATGACCCTCCGACAAGTCAGACGATAGCTAACGTCACTCCAGTACATCCTGCCGAAGATGCCCAAGGCGATGAGCAAGCCGACGAGCCTTGCGCCAGGCCAAGAACGAAGCGTCACCGTCTCACTCAAGTCCCTTCGTAACCCTCCACTGGATATCAAGCTGTCCTCTCAGTCACTCAACACCTCGATCCTCGACATCAAGGCTCAGGTTGAGTCGCAATCGCGGATACCTGTGGACAAGATGAAGCTGCTGCACAACAAGAAACCAGTGCCGGACAGCAAGGTGCTAAAGGACTTGCTCACGGATGACCAGTCATCCGTGGAGTTTTCGGTCATGGTCATCGGTGGAGCTGCAGCAATCAAGCCTGCTGAGCCTGTGGCTGTTGCGAATGACCCCGCACAAGGAGAAATCGGCGAGGCTGCACTGGAGACGGAGGAATTCTGGAGCGACCTCAAGGGCTTCTTGTTGCAGAGACTTAAGGACGAGAAAAAGGCAGAGGAACTGTCAGCGCTGTGGCGCTCGACACACCAGGCAAAGAAGTCATAAGCGCGGCATCACATAGGACGGGACTAAAACATAGATAATTGTCTAATAAAGTGATTCTGTCGTCGGACAACAACATGAATGCTCTGCATTCCGGCATGAGATGTTTTCCTATGGCAATGGGTTGGTATAACCAGGCGGGCAGCCAAATCTGGAAATTTACTTGTCACGCCCCAAAAGAAACTCGGAGTGGTAAGGTCTCGGCCCTGAAACCGTCAGGGAAGAAGTAGCCTTCCATATTCGTCGTAAACTCTCCATGATCGTCGTCAATCGTCCCGGAAGACTGCAGCCGCCAAGTGTATGCTCCGGCTTGCATAAGGAAGGGGGGTTTGTTAGAGGAACGAAAATATTTAACCAGCCAGGCCCTTGCTGACAGTCTTGAGAATGCTGTCGTACTCAATGTCATCGGGGTCGTTGGCCTGGAGCTCGGTTGCGATGCCGGTCAGCGAGCGCTTAAGAGCCTCCTTGGAAGAGGCGTAGACCATCTTGGCCTTGGCAAGAGTTAGCGACAGCTACAATTAATTTGACGAACAGTAAAAACTGACCATGACACCAGCATCATCGGGGGACCAGGCAAGGAAGGTAATCTTGTTGCTGTTCTCGGGTTAGCTCCTAGTGCTTTGTAGGCGGACGGATGCGGGGCTCCATACCGCTCACCCTCGCCAGAGGCAAGGCTGTACTCGAAGTCGTAGACGGCGTAACGGGGGCCCTTGCCAACAGCACCCTAGTACAATGTTAGCATTGAACCTTTGGAAGTTGCAGCAAAGGAGTTCAGGGTTTGCATACGCTCTTGGTCTTGGAGGTGGCGTTGATCAGCTTCTCGCGGAAGGCCTCCCAGTCCTTATCGGCCGAAGCCTCCTCGACAACAATCTGCTTGTTATCATCCGAGAGCTTGTAGATGATGTACTTGTACTTCTTGGAGAGCTTGAGGTCGTTGTAGGCCGTTATGCACTCCTGTGCGACGGTCGCTCTGGTAGGAAAATCGGGTTAGCATTGCGGCGGTTCTGGCGGGAACGGAAATGGAGCCAGCTTGGCCTGCTCCGCCGGTGATCGTCATCGAACAAGCGGGATTCAATCGCTCATCAAATGTCGTCGGCGCGGGATGTGAGGCTCTGCGGAGGGGGGAAACCAACCCGGATTGCGACTGCGATTGTGGTTAGAATGGCGATCAACTAGACGGCTGATCCTTGGAAGCTTTTAGTTACTCACCATGATGCTGGTTTATGGCGGGGGTGTGGCTAGGAGAGAGAGCGGGAAAGTGGGCTGAGAGCAGATTAGCAACATAAAAAGAAAGCACGGGAAATTGGAAATGGGTAATTAATAATTAGGGTGCAATGGGGGAAGAGATGGAAGCCTACTTGAGATGGAGTGGTCCGGCCGGGGGAGGTTTGCTGCACTTGAGGTGGTGGTGGCAGGAAAGGCAACAGCTTGCGTCGGGCTGGTGAGGTATCTTGGACAGAACGGAGTGAGTTGGGTCACAGTGGAGGGGAAGCGGGCGAGAAAAACACCCGCATGGTGGGGTTGTTGTCCAGGTGAGATTGGAACGCACGTGACTCTCTGCGTCAGCCACAGCACGTTGACGAATCACCCCTAGGCGGCAGTCAATAAGTGAACGGGATGGACCCCCGGACAGGATGAGGTTCATTTTAGGCGGCCAAATGCATGAGTGTGCAGTTCTGCAGGCTGCAAGAAAGGGAAAAAGTAGAGCACAATGGGTGCCTGTTCTAGAACTAAACAGTTTCAATGGCTGCCTTGAAGACACTTGTCGGTATCAGGCCAAGGAAGCTTTCCTGACACAGGTCAACTAAAGTAGCGGCCGTGGCCTGTTCTCATTTGCGGTAGGTCGAGCCCCATATCAGTTGACAGACGTCACCGTGCACTCTTCACCATGCACCATCAGTCAATGCCTTTGTCTCGCTTTCACTTTTGCTCTTTAACTGGTTTTGCTTTCTTCATCTTACATAACTTGCTAGTGCTATTGTACAATACAGAGCTCTTCAGTCCCCTCGGGGAATCTGCTGGTAAAAGGGGTTAAGAGGGGAGATTAGTACAAAGGGCCGCAGTTATCCATCTTTTTAATAGTAACACCGTAGCCATGCCCCCCATTTTGACTTTTAATACAAGACGTTGAGATCATTTTTTTACATCATACCACCCATGCCGCCCATACCGCCCATGCCACCCATGCCAGCCATAGGGTTGGCAGGGCCCTTCTCCTCGGGAGCCTCAACGATGGCAACCTCGGTGGTACCGAGCAGGGAGGCAACACCGCTAGCGTCAACGAGACCAGTGCGGACAACCTTGAAAGGGTCAAGGATACCAGCAGCGATCATGTCAACGTACTCGCCCTTTGCGCTGTCGAAGCCCTTGTTGAACTCGTTGGCGTACTCGTCGGTGAGCTTGCCAACGATGACAGAGCCCTCAAGGCCAGCGTTCTCGACGATGCTGCGAGCGGGACGAGTGATGGCGTTCTTAACGATGCTGACACCGAGCTGCTGGTCGAAGTTGCTGGTCTTGACATCCTTCAGGGCCAGGGCAGAGGCCTTGATGAGAGCGGTACCACCACCGGGCAGGATACCCTCCTCAACGGCGGCGCGGGTGGCGTTCAAGGCATCGACGAAGCGGTCCTTCTTCTCACCAACCTCAACCTCGGAAGAGCCACCGACCTTGATGACGGCGACACCACCAGAGAGCTTAGCAAGACGCTCCTGGAGCTTCTCCTTCTCGTACTCGGAGGTAGTGGGGTCGTTCATGACACCACGGATCTGCTCGCAGCGCTGAGCAATGGAGTCCTTGGAGCCCTCACCGTTCAGGAAGATAGTGTCCTCCTTGGTGATGGTGATGGAGCCAGTGGAACCAAGCATGTCAGGGGTAGCCTTCTCAAGCTTGATGTCAAGCTCATCAGTGAAGACGGTACCGTTGGTGAGGACAGCCAAGTCACCGAGGATAGACTTGCGGTTGTCACCGAAGCCGGGAGCCTTGACGGCGGCGACCTGGAGCTGGCCACGGAGCTTGTTGAGAATGCAGACGGCGAGAGCCTCACCCTCGATGTCCTCGGCGATGATAACCAGAGGGCGGCGAAGCTGAGTAGAGGCCTCAAGAGCAGGGATGATGTCCTGGACAGCAGAGATCTTCTTCTCGGAGAGGAGGATCAAGGGCTTCTCGAACTCAACCTTCTGAGACTTGGCATCGGTGATGAAGTAGGGGGAGACGAAGCCACGGTCGAAGCGCATACCCTCGGTAACCTCGAGCTCGTCGACAAGAGTCTTACCCTCCTTGACGGTGATGACACCCTCCTTGCCAACCTTCTCCATAGCGTTGGCAATCATGCGGCCGAGAGCCTGGTCACCGTTGGCAGAGATGGTGGCGACCTGAGCAATCTCCTCGCTGGTGGTGATATCTCTCTTGTTCTTCTTCAGGTACTCGACGACGGCATCGACGGCGGCCTGGATACCACGGCGCAGGTCCATGGGGTTGCAGCCGGCGGCAACGTTCTTGACGGTCTCGGAGAAGATGGCACGGGCAAGGACGGTGGCGGTCGTGGTACCGTCACCGGCAGTCTCGTTGGTCTTGGAGGCGACATCCTGGAGGAGTCTGGCACCGAGGTTCTCGAACTTGTCCTTAAGGGTGATTGCCTTGGCGACAGTTACACCATCTGCGTTTGGTCAGCTCGGGAATTCATCTGGAAGCTTAACTGGGCTTTTCCGTACCCTTGGTGATCTTAGGAGAGCCATAGCTGGACTCAATGAGGACGTTGCGGCCCTTGGGGCCAAGTGTCGTCGCGACAGCCTTAGCCAGAGTCTCAACACCAGCAAGCAGGGACGCGCGACCCTCAACACCGAACTTCAGCTCCTACAGAACGAGTCAGCATACCGTCACTGATGGCATTGATAATGCTACATGGCATTTTGACGAACCTTGTGGGCGAAGCGAAGCTGTTGTCCCAGGCCGGCACCGGGACGGAACTTGGTAGCGGCAGAGGAGGCGACGGACGCTCTGGCCCGGGAGGCAAGTGCACGCTGCATCTTGATCTTATTATGAGGGTATCTAGATAAGAAAAAAGAAATACAGAACTAAGGATTGAAATGTATCGCCGGGTTGAATCGCAGAGTTTCGCTCACAAGGAGTTCGGGGAGAGAAGGAAAAAGTTCAGTAATGATAGAATTGGAGAAGCTTCCTGACGCGCCGGCTCCAAAAATTTATCTCGGACGTTCGGCTAAACGAGGCCCCTTTGAGGCGCTAAATCCAAATAGTACTAGCGTATGGAGCTGCATTTCCACCGTCTTCCAATGGCATCTGTCATCATTCACACATCCGCACATGGTATCACCCAGTGAACACACCGATTGATTGATATGGATTGTTGCCATTGGTTGGCAATGGATGCTCATGGGTTAAGTCTTTTGCGGCATCGGCGAATTCGTCGAGTAGCCGGCACTTGATGGGTAATCAGTTGGCTGTAAGCTTACATACTATGTAGTAGCTAATTGCCGAGTGCTCCGTACAGTGTTTGCCTTCCAAGGCTGTGTGAAGTTACAGGTTTATTCGATTGTGCCAACCTAGCAGCTGTTTCTTTTCATAGGCAGTTAAGCTCCCCAAATATTGCTACAAGTCATTGTACTTGAAACAATGGCGACCAAGTGTTTTAATGCATCCCCTAACCTTTTGGCTACAACGCCACCTAGACAAGTTATGGAACTGTAAGTGTAAATCTGTTAAAGGATCAGTATTGAATAGATGCCCATGGTCTCAGGTGTTCCTCACAGAGATGCAATTGAAATGACATAAATACCTTTGGGAATCATAGATTTTGAGTCGCCTCTGTGCACTGTCAGACCGCCTTCAGAATTTCTTTCTGGTCCGTCAGTATGAAGCTCTTATTCGTCACAATCATCGTAGCTTCAGCCTCTGCTGTGCAGAGCGCCATTACCTGGACGCTGGAAAAGGCGGCAAACCCATCAGCCGACCAAAACGAAGCCTACAAAAAGATTGAGGCGGCCATGAAAGCAGCCGCCGCGAGACACGAAAAAATAGGCAACGCCAACAAGTCGGTCAAGGTCTTCTATACACCCGGCGTGCCCACGGCAGAGGCGAGCTCTAACGGCGACGTACGCTTCGGTTCGGACCGCTCCTTCATGACCGAGCGGACGGCGCTTCACGAAATCTCACACACGCTTGGCGTCGGCATGACATCCGCCTTTAATTCCATGTGTTCGTCCGGCGATTGGAAAACGGCATGGCCATTACTCAAGTCTTGGGACGGCGATGACGCGAAGATCAGCTGCGGCGGCCAACATTTTTGGCCGTACGGTCTGAACTACGAGAAGGAATGGACTGAAACCACTGCAGACCGCCATGTTAAAATGGTCAACGCCATGATTGCTGATGGCATGTGAGTGGAGGTTTGGCCTTCAATATCTTATTCATGATACTGTATGTATTGGTCGACTGGGTCGAAATACATATTTAATCCTGTACATGAGTTTACTCTTTTACCAACTGGCGACGCCTGATTGGCGCATTGACACCGCTAAGTCGGAATTGGGGCCGTTGCACAGTGGCCAATGACCCTTGACAGGCAGGCATTGAGCGTTGAGTTGCCGGACCAATGGAACACTGATCAATCCTAAGTGCTTACCATCAGCGAACTACAACTCTAACTCGACCTCGCTTCTGCCCTTGTCTCCCTACTAGATATTGTGATTGTAATTTTCCATCACGGAGAAAGTTCAGCCGGATACTTTGTCCGTGTGAGATGTCAACTGAGCATGTTTGCTTGAAGAAGAACGCCAATCAAGTCGAGCCGATCTTACGTGCGTAGCAAAACTTGAACAAGCATATAGCATGTGAGTGAAATGACGCCTTTGGCTTTCAAGGTATTCATCGCATCTCCAGATATGAGCTTTAGACGGTCAACAGTGAGATTCAGTCGTACCAAAAGTATCGTTGCTTGAGCGCCATATGAATGCCGCTGACAAATTAGGGCTCTTCAAAGATAGGAAGGAAGCGAGGGCAACTAAGGGGGGCTTGGGAGCTCTCCGGGTTGCTCTTCTGCTTCTGCCCCTTGAATCACTTCAGTGTGAAAGTGCCCCGCCACAATAACATTGTTGCCATGTCAAGAAAATCAATTAGGAAAACAACTCAAGAACTTCTATAGGAATAATCACTTTTGTTTTCCTGTCTCCCCCCCCCCCCCCCCCCCCCCAAAAAAAAAAACTGTCCTATCCACTGAACTCCTCTCCTGTTCTTATTCGTGCCCATTACCCAACGGCCAACAAAAAGCCAGCTATTCCAACTTCAAAAATGATCTGACGTCGGGGTCATCCTCTTCGGCCATGGCACCATCGTCTCCGAAGTGGTTGTCGTCGGAGTATCCGGCTCCCTGATTGGCAACAGGGAAACCGGCAAACAGAGACGAATACTGGGACGGGAAGGTCCTGGCAGAAGAGGAATCCCTGTGGGAAAGACCGATTTGCGGAGAGCCAAAAGGAAAGGAATTGAGGGAAGGGTTGTAGGCAGCAGCTGTATACATCTCCTGCTGGTAGGGATTAGACATCGGCATGGTGTTGTACGATGCCATGGGCATAATATATGAGTGGTTGTGAAGCTGTTGTGGGTTCACATGGGTGTATGGTGCCTGAAAGCAGTAGTTTGGGTCGTTAGGTGATCCCTGAAGGACACTGGACTGAACAACAGGAGCCTGCGGCTTCTGGTACATTTCCTTTATGAGACACTCGTCCTAGTGAGTATTAGCAATGAAAGTATTACCATCGTGGCAAAGGACTCACCTCTTGCTCATGGGCTTTGTGGTCCTCCTTCTTCAAGTCAAGGGCAGGGTTCACGTAAAGGGCCTCTCGGTCTTCACCTGCAGGGAAGCAATCTTTCTCGTCAATCTGTTCCGAGTAGAGGACGGGTCGAAGGGCGGACGAGTCTCCATTGGTGTCATCCTTGATGAATCCCCGGATGGTCACGTCAACTGCCGTCTTCTTTTTCCACGCTGGTGGGACAACGCGGCCCTCTCTAATATGTCTCTGGCGAAGTCGATTGAAATATTGCTCAACAGCATTGCCCGTCAAGTTGGGCTGGATTCGGTGGGCAGTCTCATCTAATGGGAGCTTGATACCCTTCTTGTCACACTCATAAATAAGGTTGAGAAGCACCTTCTCCGCTACAGCTTTGCCTGAAAGACGGTTAGATATCATAGCCGATAATCCTGAGGTCTCTGAAGCTTACGATTCCACATGTACAGCTCGCGACCCTGAACTCGCCCCTTGCCCTTGATTTGCTCATGGGTAGGAAGATTATGAGTTGGGATTAGCTTGTTTGGGACCAAGCCTTGAGCCAAGGTATGAGTGGGTGGAGCCAAATCTGAGTTAAAAGAGGCAGCGGCGGATGGATTAACAGAGTTGGTAGTCGGAAGGGAAGCCTTGGTGAGTGTTTCCTGATCCTTAAGTTTCTGTGAGGTGCGAAGCTTCTCGCCAACCGGGCGCGACAGCTTGGCGGATGCCTTAGAGGGAGTCTTCAAAGAACCCATTTCCTGTGATTCGATCCATTGTTAGATTTTGAGGCTTCACATTTGAGTTGAGTATAGACAGTGAATAGGCGCAGATCAATGCCCATCCTTGTATGGATGAAAGAAAAGTTCATTTGCTGAGATCATAGAGAGAGAGAGAGAGAGAGAGAGAGAGAGAGAGAGAGAGAGAGAGAGAGAGAGAGAGAGAGAGAGATGAAAGGGTACTTACTGCGATTGAAGTTGATGATACTTGTTGATCAAGCGCGGAGTGAGAGATGAACAATACAGGTGAATTGTTCTCGGGAGAAGAATTGGTGTGTTTTGAGGTAAAAGTTGGGTGATGAGATTCTTACAAGTGAGGTGAGGTAGATATTGGTAGGAGAAGAGGGAGAGGGAAGGAAACTATCTGCCAGGCACACGTAAAAGGCAGGCACCGGGCGGATTGTGGGAAGGCACGCTGAGATTTTCAGGTTGGATAACTCGGTAGCGCCTGCTCTCCATTTGGAAACAGACGACAGCCAGCTCTAGACGGTATTGGGATTTTTGGATTGAAAGACACTCCATCTCTTATGCTTGCTCGCAGAGCCATCATGGCCATTGTGAGATTATGAATACTCCTGTGTCGCGAGATTCAGTGTAGAAAGGAATTGCGAGTGTTAATAAGTACAACATTTTGGTATTTTGTTGAAAAATCCTGAGCCGCTCAAGGGCAGCAAGTAATCAACAAACATTTTAAACCAATTTATGTTCATGTTTCTGTTTTAGACTCCAGGTTCCTACCCGGAAATATGAGGTCACTGCTGCAAAGGCTATTAATAGGATGAATTATTAGTCTCGCAATAAGAGAGAAAACTAGTAGTGATCTACAAAACCAATGCCCTTCTATGATGCCTGTGATCTTTCCAACTTCGGTGGCCAAAGATCTCCCTATCGTCCAGGTCAAGGACGATGGTTCGTAAGTCTGGAAATTCCGTATTGATACCTCACCCCGATATCCCTTCCTTCCGGTCCTTGACTTCTGTACTGCGTCATTTCATACCGAACTTTCCCAGTAACCTCCTCAACCTTGATCTTGGTTCTGTTTTGCCACCGTGTGGTGGGCACTCACGACTCTGTTGCTTCAAAGCCTGTTGTGTGTGATCGGAATCGTGGACACACCCAGGAAAATGAGTACTGTTGCTCATATTCGTGACGTAACTGGGTGGTGCATCTGCGGTTGCGTGGGCTTGTTGATGAGGCGTGTGTTGATAGGACACGGCAGATAATTGTTCACGTACGGCTGCTTGAGTTGCGGCAGCGATGATGGCTGGCAAGTCAGCGGTAAACTTTTGCAAGTCCGTTGTGACTATGCTTAGCGATGTGTTGAGCATATTCATTGACTTGTCAAATGTGTTGCTCTGGGCCGTGAGCATAGTGTTGAGGGTACTGAGCTGGCATGACATTGATTGGTTCAGATTAGACATGACGGCATTTATTGTGTTGACTTGAGCACTCATTGAAGCATTCACTGCATCATTAATAGATGACAGGCCGTTCAACTGTCCAGAAAGGCCGTTGAGCTGGCTGTCGAAGCGGCTTATGTTGCCTTCCATCCGACTGGCATTCATCCGCAGGGGATTGGCGACGTCCAGCAGCGTCCGCTCCGCGATCTGCATGAACTCCTCCGCGATGGCGTCCAAGTCGTCTTGTGTGGGATTGCTGATGCCCTTGCGCTGGAGTGCGGCCTGCGTAATCTCCAGCATCCGGCTCTCCTTGTTGATTGAGTTCATCCAACTTTGAACTCTGTTGTCCATCTCTTGTAGGTTGGCTGAGCCGCCTTGAGCTTCATCGCGAGCCTTGATGCGACGAGCGATGTCGACTCTTAGCAGGTTATATTTCTCAGGAGGTGGGTTGGATGGGTTGCCCCTGGCATCTCGAAGGCGCTGAAGGTGTTGATAGTCTTCCACAATTGTTTGGGGCTCTTCGGCGCTGATTGTGCTGCTGGGGAACTCTCCTGTGCTCCGTGCCTGGAGAAGAACGTCACGTCTGGCTTGTATCTGCCCAGGAGTGTACAGCGTCTGCCCTACGATAATATGGTTGGGGTGATTAGGCATGCTTATGACGTTGGCTTGACTTGAAGTCACAGGCTGCTTTGTGTCATAATGCTTCGGGCTCAGGAATGACATCTCAGTGTTCGCGGGCGACTCAGGCGTACTCGGCGTCGAAAACAAGCTGACGGGCGAGCTCGAAGAAGTGTTTGATCTTGGAGAGGAAGCACTCGACGAGAGCTCCCAATTGTGCTCATTATCGGTGACGAGCACTCTCTTGGGGTTGTCCATTTTGATTATAACTACGTGGTGTCGATAGGAAGATTCGGTCGCGGAGTAAAAAGTTCGGATCGTTTGTACCTGCTCAGATGGTCAATTGTGCGTCCGACAGCCACGAACTGAGATATGAGGACATGGAGAGGATTATAAGGGGATTCTCTGAGAATACTTACCAATTGGTCGGAGAAAAGGTGTTCTTATACGTAAAAGCCGCCGAACAAGGTGGTTGCAGAAAAGAGCAGAGGTTGTGAGTTGTTCGTGTAGTGATTAGTTGCTTTTCGCAGCAATTGGGAGAAAAGAAAAGTGTTGGAAGAAGGGAAGAAATTTTATTTTTCGGCGCGTCTGAAAAAAATTCGGTCGTGTGTGTGAGCAATAGTTGAAAATTTCGTCCTTGTGTGGGCTGCTTCAGAGTGGTTGAGAAGAGGCGAGGGCAGGAGCTCAAGTCAGATGGGAAGGTGCGGATGGGAGCTGAGAGGAAAAGTGAGAAGATACGGGCGGTATGAGGACTTAAAGTCATCAGCTGAACTATGGCACAGGCGAGAAGTTTCTCGGTGAGCGAAGGTGGGTTAGGATTCCCTTACCGACGTCTGCCTGGCCACCACATCTACCTTAGGCACTGTGCTGCTGGCAGCTCTGGGCAACGACCATGCCATCTGTACTGCCTCGAAGATTAAAGGCATCTCTGATTCTCAAATACTAGCCCACGGGACTGTGAGCTTGCCACATTGCCGTCATCAATCCTCCACAAGCAATTCAAACATATTACGGATGCCGGTTGTCATTTCAGAATTGCAAGACACGAGGTCATGAGCTGTATGTTGACGAGGAGTAATTGAACCGCTAAGTACAAATTTACCTTGGATCATTCATCAATATATCTTGCATCTGTTCGTCTGCGAAGGTTTCTTCGTGTGTCGTGTCTCTCGCTAGTGAAAGTGGTCCACTGACACAACGGCCTGGGCGGCGCAGATCATCCTTATAAGGCATGACTAAACCTTCAGAGATCCATTCTTGCAGATCAATTTCATTTTACAGCTTATGGTCCAAGACAAATGTTCATTGTCAAATCCATCAAAGCCACACAGTCGTGAAAGAAGCAAGCTCAAACGGCGCAAGCATGTCGTCCAAATTAGCGCCTCAGTCTTCGGCGCAAGAAGCCACATCCCTGCTCCCCCGCAAGAAAACAGCCCCCACCTGCCCGATCTGGCCGGTACACATTGATCGACATATCGTCAACGGCTGTGGATGTTCACATTTTTGTCAATTTTGTTAGAGTCATTAAGCTGCATAGTAGAGATAGAAATAATGTAAATTTTTATTTCCTATCTGTCCTCTCGTGCCCGAAACAGCCCCAAGATGGCACCTTTGCCAAGAACTCAGCTTTTGTCGCAGATCGCCTTCGTCAAACCAGGCAGGTCTCCGTCCTGCAGGTCGTGTTGTTAGCTTGATCCCATGCAAGAACTTGGATAAGACTAACATATCCCAACCAACTGGACAGCATCTCGATCTTCATGTATGCATGTGTCTGGCCAACTCGGAAAAAGTGAGCCTGGCATCAAACCCCAAGCATGATACGAGGCTGGTAGCTGGGTGAAGTTAAGCCTGGAACTGCTCATCGGCGTTGGCAGCATCTGCGTGGAAGAATCAGTGTTAGTATCGCTCGAAACGGAAACGGATGGCGGGACTCGATATTCGCCGGTATCGTGAATGGGGCAACCGATCGTCTTCTCCACGACGTAGAGAAGTTGCAGGTCGTCGTCATCGTGATTGCGGGCTCGAGGATTATCGTAATACGAACCAGTAGTGGTGAATGAATCAACATCGGCATGATCTTCCTTCTTCATCTTGAACTCATCCTGTTCCTCCTCATCATCTTCATTGTTGTAAGACGAGACAGCAGGGTGCGAAGCGATGAGCTTGGCGCGCTTGGTGTTGCTCGTGGGGGAAGCAACAGGAGCAGTGCGCTTGCTGGCCGACTTGTTCTTCGGGGTGGCCTTGCTAGCACCTTTGGAGGGAGTCTTTTGACCGGTCTTTGCGGGACTCTGGGTGGGGGTCACGTTGCTGGCGGGACCGCCCTTGGAGAGGTCACCAGGCTTCATGCCGTGAGCCTTGAGGATGCGCTCGAATCTTTTGGCCCTGTATAAGATTTCTCATCAGTTTATACTCTTATTAAATTCAACATTTGAAAAGGGCAACCTACGCAGCAGCCTTGGAGACAATGGTGCAGTCATTGGCAACGGCTTCGAAGTCAACCTATGAAAGTCAGCGCGCCTTCTTGCCCCGGAGTCGAGTTAAGAGATTCGCACTTTGCCATTGGCTGAGAATCGAATGCAGCTCACGAGGAACTTGACCTGTCCCTCAGCGTCGGTTCCGACAGTAGCCATGTTGAGCGGTGTGATGAGTTGAAGGCTGAATGAGTTTGTATGAGCAGCTTTGGCTTAAAGGCAACTGTACTTCCAAGAACGTCAGTAAAATGTTGAGGTGAGTGTGTCTGAAGGTTACAGGCAATTGACTGGAGTTGAGTGGGATGATGTCTGTTTTATTTTAGGGTGCTGTCAATGGTGGTAGGGTAGACTAACGGGACTGATGGGTAAACGCGGGCAGGCACCTCGGTAGTAATTAGGGGAGAAACACCAACTGAGTAGCAGGTAAGGCAGAAGAGGAAAGTGCCTGGGGTATAAAATCAGGAGAAAGTTCGACGTAGCCTGAATGGAGGCAGACACACTTATGTCAGAGGTGGTCTAAGAGTTCAGCAAAAGCCGACGTTAGGAACTTTGAAGAGTGTGGTTTAGTGACTCTCAACTTGAGATCAAAAGCTTACCGATGGCTTTTCAGATTTCTTGAGAGAGTCGCAGAAAGCAAAAGGGCCTTAAGTTACTTACAATGACTTCGAAGTCGACTCTGTGGCAAGAAGGAGGTGCAGCAAGTGGTAGGAGGAAATTGTAAGATTGACGAGATCCCTTGGGTGCTTGAAGAAATTGACAGATGGAGGTTTTCAAGGAAGTTGCAACTGTAGATCGTTATGGAGTGGTTCACTCTAAACGTCTCGTAAATTCTTCGTTGCGAGCCCAACTCGATCAGAACGCCTCGATGCCCCTGTATCTCAAATGACGTGGGAGAACAGGGGCAGGAAGTTGAAAAGTCTCAAATATCCCATGGGAGACACACCAACAGACTCAAATATTTAAGCAAGCCAGCCAAAATCGGAGCCAAGGCTGCTCCAAATGTTCAAGGCGAGGACAAGACATGTCCTCTCAAAGACATGATGCTACCTTTTGACTTGTTCACATTTGGAGAAAGAGTAAACAAAAGGCTACCCTCCAAAGACAGCTATGTTGTTGGAATTCTATGAGACGTTCACAACATATTGAGCCTAAAAAAGACTGGAAGCTCCATGAAAGGTCCTGTCCACGCAACGTGGTAGCTTCTGGAACATGCCAGCCAGGGGGATGTGGCACATGGGACCAACATGTATCTCAAGAAGCTTCAAAGGCGAGACCAAAAACTTTTACCAGCCATGAATCACATCAAATAGAAACTTTTAAATGAGAGCAGCAAGATCTTATTGCGATTATAGGCTACCACCCAAAATCTGGATCCAACCTGCCTGAATTTCATGACCCTCCATCATCTGAGCATTGCTGCAAATCTTGTGGTTCTCTAGCGATAAGCGAAACCAAAGCTGTGATTTGAAGAGTTTAAACTTCGTCTTCGTTGACACTGTCCATAGATTGGTCGTTGTCAGTGCCTTTTCCGTCACTGTCGGACTCCAACTTCGCAGAAACGTCCTCATCGTTGTCCGATTCAGCCGGTTCAGCCTTGGTCTAAAGAGACGGCTGTCAGTAATTGCGAGAACTTGATAATATGAATAGACTCATTCATCAGCCACATACCTTCTTGCGGGCGACTCCCTTTTTCTTAGGGGTTGCCTTCTTGGCAACTTTGTTGGCATTTTTGGGGCCCAGAGTACCCTTGGCTTTGCCGGAAGGGCTGTTGCCACCTCCGCCGGCGATAGAGCCGTTGCCAGACCAGTTGTGGCGCTTGCTTAGGGTTCGGAAACGCTCCTTGGCAGACTTGGCTGTCATGCCCAAGTCTTCGCCGACTTCGTCCCAGTTGATGTCGGGACGCGACACCATGTGGTCGAACATCGACTTCACAAAGCGCGACTCGGCCTCGTTGAGGGCACCAGCCGGCTGGTTGTCAGCATTCTTCTTGGGAGGCATGTTTTCCAATGTGTCGCCTGTAGAACATCTAGTTAGAGTGCTGCCTGGAGGAGTAGGAGGTGATAATCTGACTCACGTATGATGACTAGTTGGTCTATACTATTTTTGTTTGCTTCGGTGATGTTGAAGGGAGAAGGCTTCGGCGTTGAGAGACTACCACACAGAGGTGAAATTTGGTAGTGAGGAAGAAAAGGAGATGGAGGACTTGGGCCTGAAGGAAGATCTTTATAGCCTTAAATTCTGTTCGTGAGTGCCCTACGAAACGCTGGCTGTTTCTGGGCTGCACCCGCCTTGTGAGAGCTGGTGATCTCGCAGCTGGGCGAGAACCCAACTGTTTGTCTTGACGATTCAGGCGAGAGCATTCGGAACGACATTTCAACTGTTTTCTGGGGTGCACCCGCCTGTTCCTCACAACTGGTCAAAGCGAGAGCACCCAGAACAATGAGCTAGCTGTTACCTGAGTGTGCAATCGTCTTGTGGTGGTCATTGTTTTGCTAGATAAGTCGAAACCCAGCTTTTTCTCTTGAATTATTATGGCGGGAGCCCTTGAGACAGCGATTAAAGCAATGCCTGTAATGAGTCCGCCTGTTTCTCAAAAGTTATCGAGGCGAGAACACCTTAGCTAGGAAGTTAACTGCAGTCTTAACGCTTTGTGAAGCTGTCTTATATTAAGAACACGCAACATAATGAAGTTTCAGCATGAGCTGAAACAATTACAAGAAGAAACAAGAGAGCTCTTAAGCGCTTCATGGTCATTAGTGATACCAAGACCTTGGGGAAGTCTTTCGACTTTGAGTTAGTATATAAAGAACAGTATTAGTTGGGCTTACTTTGAAACCTGGTACCCACACATAGCGAGGCATACAATTTTGATAATTGCCTGCTTCGAACGATCAAATATTATTAACAGCATGAAAAAGGCCAGATAGAGATTATTTCTGATTTGTTGCTGGCAGTTGACGAGGACGGTGGATTAGCAACAGATGGTGGAGGCCGTCTGTAGGCGTTTCATGTTCATAGTGCCACAGAAATGGCATGACACAAAACCTCACTTGTGAATAAAAGCCAAATGGTTGATGCTAAAAAACTGTCTTATTGCAAGATGTACGATGTACCGAGCAACCTTCCTCGTCGGGTAGACACATAGAAAACCAGAATCGGGTATGCGCCTCTCCGGCTGGGCGAAGCCAAATACTCACTATAGAGTTCAATGCAGCATCCGAAGCACTTTAGATCTCGGACTGTTCTTCAAGCTTGATGCAGAAAGCACCGACTTCCTCATCGCCATCGTCCTCGATCTTCAGGGGCATGGCAGCGTTTTTGCCTTTCATTCCTTTGGCGTCACCACTGCCGAAATCTTCCTTCTTGATCGAAGAGGCTCCATAGTCAACGCTCTCCTCGGTCTTAAAACTGATCTTGGCATAGTCTTCGTTCTCCTCGGCCATGGAAGCGGTCTTGCCCTTCTTTCCCTTGGTGCCGACGCGACCAGCACCCGTCTTGTTGACCTTGGAGGCAGAATTACCCTCGCCAGCAGCTTTGCGCTTCTTGACCGGCGTAGTAGCCATCTCGTTGGTGCCGAACTTGCGTTTAATCTGACCGTATCGGGTCTGCCCAGGACTGTTAATATCTTAACCACAAAAGGAAAGAGTGAACGTCATGTTTTGGCCCATCCCAGGAGACTACTTACCAGAGCGACACCTGCACTTTTGAAGCCAGCCGCAACGGCAAATGCATCCCAGTCAAGTACAGGCTTCTCTTGCATGTGGCGAAAGACGTGAACCATGAAAGAGATGTCGCCAGGAGTGGGCTCTTTGGAACCCGTGGTGGAGGAGTTGTTGTCAGCCATAATGTTAAGTTCTGTTTTGGCGATCAGCAAATGATTTTGTATGAGAGCGGATATGATTCTATGACTGAAGACTTACCTCTGAGACGATGAGGACCTAGATAAAAAATCGCGATCGCAGAGAAAAAAACTGAAATTTGAGATGTCAGCGCAAAAGAGAGTTTAGCTAGGTGTAGGAACAGACAAGTATTTACTCACCTTTTTGAATGATGTTGTAGATGTCTGAGAACGCTGGCTGATAGTGATGGTTGGGGCAAGGTTTTGTGTAAAGCAGAGAAGTGAAGGGATACGGGCTGTGTTGAAAGCGGTGATGGGAAAGTAGCAGGTTCGGGAAAGAGGACCCCCCGAGTAGGTAGAAGTTTTATATCAGGAAGGAAGGTGGGAGATGGTAAAAATCAAGATAACAAGGAGACGAAGCTACGTGTGGTGGAAAACGGAGACTTCTGCCTCTTCCAGAGTTTAAGAGAGAACGTTTCATATAATATCAGACAAGAAAGGCAGCTAGTTGGTTTAGGTCGCGAAGGTGAGCTTCAAAAATACGAGCGATAGAATATCAGGGCGAAGATCGGGGTGGCGATTATATGCTTGGCTTCAGTGGTCTTTTCGATTCTCTAGATTGAGTTACGTGAAAAATGTCAATCAATAATTTTTTTTTTTTGGCAAAAAAAGAGTGGCATACACAACTGCACGAACTTGTATAATGTATGTTTCCATTCTGCTAGTCTTCATCCAGTGCTGATCATGCATGCCCAAAAAACCTCAGCTGGCTGGCTGAACCCAAGTCATCCTGCAATGGAAAAAAGACGAGTCTGGACGCAAGGCGGTGAGCACATCTTGTATTTTGAAGGGCCGGGATTTGCAGGTGTTGTGACCCTATTGTGAACCGTTGCCTGAGCGAGAGCCTAGAAGCCAGAGGTTGCCTGAAATGGGGGGTACTAGAACCCAGAGGCGAAAGCATTTGCTCACGAATATGGTTTCTGCTCCCCTGCATCGGAAATTCTCTGGAATCAGATGCAGACCGGTCAGTAAACACAAAAAGGAATCTTAAGTCTATCATATATGCATCTTTCTAACTGATCAGAGAGGCAATGTTTCAGTTGCGGCATCGCTGGAGCAGGTGGCTGGGGAGCCGGGGACCAGTACACAAAGTCATGGGTCGTCAAAGTCATCATGTTTCTTGAGAAGTTCTAAAACCCCCTAACTCTGGGGCAAACATTCTAAACCAACCGAACGCCGTCCAGGTGTGCATAACATCATTAGTACAACTGGCCATCCAGACAGGAGAGCGGAGTGACCAGCACAAGACAATAGAAAGAAATAAAACCAAACAACAGCAATCTTTTCAACCATTTCCAACCTGGACTCGGCATGTATAGATAACCCCACCCACCGCATTTGGTAGCAACGTATTAAGAATGGAATCGAGCATCCCAGTGCTCGTTCTTGATGTTCATATGCTCGGGCATGAGGCTTGCCAGTGTGGGTGACCCGTGCAGCTCGCCTGAATGCCCTTGACCGTGTTGCTGGTCGCACATAGCACCTATGTTAAATCCTTCAATGTCGTAGGCGGCCTCGAAGGCCGAGTAGATAGGACTTGATCCCCAAGGGCCGTGCTCGTGCTCGTGGTGGTGCTCTTGCTCGTGAGCGCAGGGCAAAACTGATGGAATATCGAACGCAGGGTGTGCCCCCACCATGTTGGCAGACGGACTAAACTGCAAATTTTGGGGCGCTGAGAACATGTCGTCGCTGCAAGGTGTGAGGAGTCTAGGCTGGAAGGTTGATTGGCATTCAGGGGCAGGAGGTGATGACATGGATGCCGGCGTGAACTGCTGTTGGTAGGGAAGCTGGCTGTGCTCTTGTTTGACCTTGACTGGAGATCTTGCACGAGTGTCGAACTCGCCAGTCCCTGGCTCCGGTTTGACGCGGTCGTCGTCTTCTTCCTTCTTCGGTTTCTGCTCCTTCTTAGACTTGGTGACGCGGTTCTTGTTTGCAACAGTGCGGTTGCGTTTTTGAGGCTCGAGACCTAGCATCGCAGAGCGGAAGCGGGAATATCTCATGCGAGCAGCGTGGCCGTTGGTGATGGGTTGCAAAAGTATCGGATCATGGGCGACGGCGTTCCAGTCAATCTGGAAGCTGTGAGAAAAGGGATAAGATGCTGTGGAATAGGTAAAATGACTTACATCCTTCAAGTTCTTCTGCTTCAAGATGGCAAAGAGGAATCTTGTCATTTGGTTGTCTGTGTTGGAGGACATTTTGAAGAAGTATTGAGAGGCTGGCCGCCCCGAAGCTCATCCAGTAAGAGACTGGTGGTGATGAGACCGATATCGAGTTCAGTGAGCTGGAAAGATAGGAGTAATGTAGACTGCACAGCAATGGTTGCAGAGGCTTTGGGGCGGCTTAGTCAAGCGGCACACAGCAGGCAAAAGTGATGATGTTCGAATAAAATGAGTCACTGTGAAGATCGGTGAGGCGATACCGAAGAGATATATGGCGGCCAAGTCAGCAGGTTGCGTATTGGAAATGGTGCAACCAGTGAGGGCGAGATCAGTCACCCGTAGGTGTGGGTGGTGAAGAAAGATGAGGCGGACAAAAGAGGCAGACAAGGAGGCATTCGACTACTGTCAGCCAAACAACCCCGGGACACCAACGGTAGTTATAGGTGCTTTGGGAGCCTTGGGTTATGGGGCTAAAGGGAATGGGTATGCATGTCGGCTTGATGCTGCACTGGGGACCGAAGATGATGGAGCCAGCCAGAGGCGATGAATAGCGGAGCTTGAGCTAGACCAGTACAGTATGAAGAAAAAAGAAAGACGAACTCGCATGCTTTCAGGGAAGACGCCGCGCGCTTGGGCCGATATTTTATTGACCTGTGAGTGGCAAACCTGCTTAAGACACAAAAGGAATCAAAATAGTCCCTTGTTGCCTGGAGTTACGGCAGGCTTTGACAACGAGGACCTTTTTTTTTCCTCCCTGGGGGGAGTGACATTCTGGGGGGAGGGGTGATGTGCAGGCATGGCTGCAAGAGCATGGCACCCATGAGTGGTTGATGGGTGATGCAGTGTGGATGGGTTGGATGGCGGAAAATGGTGGTGGAGGGGTGAGAGAAGACTTGGAAGGTTGAGGGACCAGGTAGTGGTGAAAGTGGTGTCGCGGGGGGCCGTGTAATCGCGTAAAGTGGTTTTTCTCTCACCTTTCCTCTTTTGCCGAAGCCACCCCTGCACGCAGCCGACAAGATGGAGTACACTTGACTTTCCCCGACGAATAAATGTTTGAGCGGAAGGACAGGAATCGCGAGGCATCTGACTAGTGCACCCACCGACATGCAAGCACTATCGGTCATTTACGCTCACGAAAGAATTGACTCGTCAATTGACACACAGCTCTGGCGATGCTGGGGTCATTCTGGCCCGGTCAAAATTGGCCGTGATGCAAGATCCAGGAACGCCCGCGGACCACTTGAAAACGCAGCAGGGATCCTAATGGGATGAGACACACTGATGGTAAGGATGTGTGACTCACACAGCCGAGTAAGATACATTAGCTGAGAAATAGAGGGGGTTGGGCCCATTGGCTATGTCATGTCGCAAAGCCCATTTCGTACTATTCATTGGTAGCTCTCCCGCATCGAGGTCGTCAAACAAAACTTGTGCCGCACCATTTTGATCAACGAACACTTTTGTCGATGCATAATGCTTGCAGACGCCTAGCTTTCAAGATATTTTATGGTGCGCCTGGGTGTTGGACTATGGAAGGGAGTGGTTGTTGAGGCTTGAGTTGGCGGACTACGACATGCAAGCTACGGTGAACAATTGCAAACAGAGTTTGAGCCTTGTGATTTGGCTAGCTTCCCCCTAGATTCTTTCCTCGGACTACCATGCAGTCGTAATCATTATTTCGTATTTGACGAGAACATCGGCCGGATACTGGCGATGATAAGCATCGAGAAAGGGGCACTTGAGATATATGATAGTCGTAGCTGGCAGTTGTGGTTGAATTAGCCATTCAACGAGTAAAAGCAAGTTGGATCCCGGACAAAAAGGCAGGATAATCAAATTCTGCATATTGAAGGCATTTTACTGGTGTTTATATCTTCTCAATATGCCGTTGCTGCCGTGGGCGACACGCGATGAAGTTGGTGGGATGGAGGGAGGTGGTTAGGAGACGCGTTCTCGCGAACTTTTGGGTGGCACTGTGTGACAAGGTACTCGCCAGGTTTCCACGAAACCACGTGATGTGGGTCCGATACGTAGTCTTGTTGCCTGAATTGTGCCTGAAATACCTCCTTGCCGCAGCACCACCAGTCCGACTTGGGAAGTTGTTGGAGGTCCAAGGTTCTCCACCATGTCGACTTCTGACGCTGAGAGCTGCAGCTGAGGTAAAAGCAGCGGTGGAGGACGAGGATGAATTACCTTTGGCTGATTCAAGCGCCCCTTTTGCTCACATCGGGTGACGAGCTCCTGAGAAATTTTCCTGGCTTTGGACAGGGTCTACGTCGTGGTGTTGGGTAAACGTCTTACGCACCTGTAGCCGGACTCTCCCTCCGACTTCGAGTCTGCTTCGGTGGCTAATCCTCCTTCGAGTCTTCTTTAAAGCAAGACTGATCGGCATCGGATGCGTCCCGAGGCAGGTCTCCCTTGAACCAGCGAAAACTTTTGGAGACGGCATTTTCTCTCGCATGTCTTGAGCTAAATCTCGACAGAAACACTTATGACAGGAGCAAACGCTATTGCCAGACCAGTTGTCTTGGAGCGGAAGCGCGCCTCATCGGTGTCTCCCGAGCTTATACACTCATACAAGGCTTGGCGCACAGGCTTTCTTGTCGGGAGAAAGGTACAGGTATTGGATAAGAATGCAAGTTTCGCTGCATGTTTAAGATACTGTTCGTATTCATGAAGGAAAGTGACAGATCGAATATTTGTAGGAATATCGTCTGTTTTCCACCAGTGACCCTTCCAGCCATTGTTCTTAGGTACCTCAGATAGGTGCTCTACCAGCGCCATCTGTTTTCCCCTCTTGACATTTGGTGCTGATGGTCTGGGTTAAGGGGTTAAACCTCGGCTATGCACGGGCCCCCTGCTCCGCTTGGTGGCTATCACCAACGTCTTGAGCATGCAGTATTGCGAGGCAAGATACTCGATAAACCAGATTGCAAAAAGACAGGAAAAACTTTCAGGTATAAACTAGATTATTTGATTTACATTAGGATCAATTTTCTTGATTCTTAACTTCCGGAAAGTCGAGGTAGAGGAGCTACAAATGTATGCCTCCCCGGTTAATTGTTAAGCCGAACCCATATACCCCACTTCTTTGGAGGCGCCTGGCACGGGCGCCCCAACATCTGCCCCAGTTTCAATCTCAGCTCCGTCGCGCTGTCGCCGCTCACTACCAATTTTCTCATTTGATCGAGTAGAGCTGTTAAGACTACTAGCAGCTTGGTCTCCATTCATCGGTATAAGTCCCAAGTATCATTGTCGCATATCGCCTACCCTCTCCGCCCGAAGTCATGAACAAGAATTGGAACGACAGGGCCGACAAGGACCTCTTCTTTACTATCTTGTCTGTTAAGAACATTGGCGTCATCAGCGGTTCGGAATGGACTACTATTGGCAACCACATGCGCTCTTTAGGTTACGGCTTCACCAATGAGGGATGTCGGTAAGTTGATTCTTTTATGTCTTTTGACTTGCATGCCAGACTTGGCATCCTCCTCCAACTTCGCCTTCGATGTCATTTCAATGCTTTTAGAGCCTTCTTATTGCCCATACTATCTACGGAGGGATTTATCATCCTCAAAGCTGAGTTATGCACATCTCATCTTCTCATGTTTCACTCATCCGCCATATGAGAATGTGGTTCTCGGATATATTATTCCAAGCATTCGCGTTGTGCTATTGGTACTCGTGTGACCAACGCTGGCTACAACTCACTGTCTTTTCAGACCGAACGCCTACTTGCTGCCTGCAACTTCCGTGACTGACATACCATAGCCAACATTTCCAAGGTCTTCGTCGCGCTCAACACAAGGCCGATACCAATGGAGGAAGCTCAGAGAATCCCAGGAAGGTCGATCCGACGTTGAATCCCATCACTCGTCGCCCTGGCCCAGGCCGCGGGAGGCCCAAAAAGCAGCCTCAGCAACCTGCCCCGATGCCGATCCCCTCGCTGCCGGCACAGGCCGCTCAGCCTGGCCAACCTCCTCAACCTGGCCAGCCTCAACCTGAACAGATTGCCCAAGAACCTCAACCCCATACGCCCACACCTGTTATACCTGATGGTCTCCCTTCTTTGCCCGAAGCTTTGCCCGAAACTTTGGACCTTCCCATCAAAGACGATACTTTAGACATGTCTCTCAAGGACGATGACCACGATGAAAACGACAACCACGATGCTAAGCGTATTAAACTTGACGAACCACCCCAGGACCAATCCCTTGACGATGAAGCGGTGCTAGCTTTAGCTGCCCACAGCAATCCCCCCTCTGTTGACGCCTACGCCTCTGAGTATCCCACAGCTGGTCTTACCGGCTCAGACCCCCATGCCTTTAGCTACGGCGGCGAAACATAGGAAGAAAAGCTGGCGCCTGTGGCTGTTTTTGTTCAACGAGGCCCAGGCGCCGGCGACCATTCAGACGCCATTCAGCCTGGGATCAATGCGATTCATCAAACCGACGTTCCTCCCGGATCTATCTGACAGGTAAAGACATGATACATAGGAGCAAGAGCGGTATCAAGAGCGAAGTGTACATGAATACGACGGATGGGCGCTTTAGGAGTTCGGATCAAATGCCTTGTTAATATTTTCTTTCCTATCACTCTTATGGCTCATGAAGAACGTGCGCCTTTCTGGCGGCAATAGGTTGCTCACGACAAGGTATAGCTATTATCGGGAGAATCATTCAAGCGATTATGTTACCTTTCAAACGGTTCAATGTTTTTAGAGACCCCTTTGTTGCGAATGTTGCGTCGAGCTCGGGTACTCCATTCGCGGACAACAATCAATAAATGTCCTTCTGGTTCAGTCGTATTCCACCAGTTCCAGTAGCTTCAAGGTGACATGTAAATATCATCCCGGCCTAGTGCTCTCCTTGCATTCTCCATGGATTTCAAGCCGCTTCTGCATGATGACTAGGAGCGTTACAACGTAGGCCTCTTAAATCAACTGGTGCCTTTAGGCACAGCGTTGTCAGAGTGATATTGCCTTCCACCAGTTTCGTTCCTTTCGTCCTACAATTCTCTGGGCAGGAGCTGCTTTCTTCTTCCACTTTCCACTTGCGCCCTTTCCCCCGGTTCTGGACGCAAAGTAAGTTAGTCTACTTTTTATCCACAGCACCCACCGCATCCGCTCTCGTCTACAACTTCCACAGTCTGCTACACCTTTCGGGAACACGACCGTCTCTAGCAACACAAGTCCAACACAGTCGACAACCACTGCAACTAATCGGCACGATGTCTGAAAAACCCGCGGGCCGCTGGTCTAACCCTGAATTTTTGAAGAGCCTAATGATGTGCTTCTACGACCAGCTCAAGGGTGACGGTCTCACTACGGAGACGAAGAACGCCATCGAGGCTCGTCTTCACAAAGAAGGTTTCGAAGATGTCACCTGGAACGGTATCCGGTAAGCACCTTCCTGCTAGTTCTCTTTCTTTTGCCCTTCTTCGAGCAAAGTATTTTCGTCGATCTCATTCGCTGGCTTTCCTTGCACCCAATTTCTTTCCCTATTTACTTCCACCTACACCACCTCACTTTTCTACCACTTCTACTTTACACCAATCATTCCATCGCCCATACTCAGTCAAACCTATTACTTTAGTTACCCATATTACATTCTTCACCATGTCTGAGGCGGCCACTCCCAAGGGCAACGGCAAGTGGGCCAATCCTGCCTTTCTGGAGGCTCTCCTGGTTGCCTTTTATGGCGTCGCCAAGGAGAATCTGAACAAGGAGGTCAAGGATGCGCTCGTTGACAAGGTCCATACCCAAGGCTTCCAGGATGTCACCTGGGAAGCCATTAGGTAACTCTTCTCTCATGTTGAATGCTCTTGCTTTACAAACCTTCGATATGCTCCTTCTCTTGGTGTTTTTTTTTCACTTCTATACTTCTCAGGCGCTTCTAAACTTCATCTGGCTGAAGCCGACACTTTAAAACTTCACTTCTTCCATCACCCTATATCTCTCGTCTCCGTTCGCTCCATACAAAACACCTTTGTCACTGAACAAACTCATCACAATGTCTCGCAACCTTATGAGATGGACCTCTGAGGTCGACCAGCATATTCTCGTCGCGATGGTCAAAACCATGAACCCGACTAGCGAGCAATATGACGCCATCTTGAATTACCTTGAGCCTTGTGGTTACAACTTCACTGTCTCAGCTCTGAAGTGAGAAGCTGCTCCCTACTCTAATTTCATTTGAGCGACCCTGCCTTTCTCTTCACTGACTCAGTTGCCACTACCTCCCTGTTTGCTTGCTCTTTCCTTCCTAAAGTTCCCACCTTTCCCCTTCATCTTCATTAAAGCTACCTTTTCTTCCCATCTCGACTCACTCGTGTTCTTGTGCCACGCCACAATCAAAATTCTCTCTTGATACCATAATCCCCTTCCCCCTCCTCACACCGATACATTACCAACTGTTATCGCGGACATACTTCATTATGGCACCTAGTACTGTCTGGGACGATAAGGCTCATGCAGACCTCTTGTTTGCGCTCTTGTCTGTGATCAAGCCGACGAAAGAGGCGTGGGATCAGGTCCTAGCTGTAGTTCACGCAAAGGGCTATATCTACACCTCTGGGGCTGTCATGTACATCATTTCCTTTCTGGTTCTTATCTCATTCATTGCGTTTTTTTGTCTTCGCGACTTATATGCTTAAGTTATAGATCCTAACATATTCACAGGCAGCACCTCCAGAAACTTCAGAAGAAAGAGGTCACTGCCTCTGCTGACGGCGACGGTGGTGCTTCCGCTGCTTCTACCCCGGCCAAGACTCCCAAGAAGGCTGCTACCCCGCGCAAGCGCAAGACCCCGGCCAAGAAGGTTAAGTCTGAGGACGACAACAATGAGGATGAGGAGCAACCTGCCAAGAAGCCTCGCACTCCTTCCCGTCCCTCGTAAGTGATGGTCTACAACGTCACTTCTGCCCCTGATTCATGCTACCAAATACTAATGATGCTTTTTGAATAGCTTCCAAGAGGCTAATGAAGCCCAAGCTAAGGAGGAACTCATCAACTACCAGAACGCCGGCAACAACTCCGCCTCTAAGGACGAGTCCATCTGATGACTTACCAACATTGATCCAACATCCAGCTATGTTTGCCGATTGCTCAGGGGAAGAAGTGGAGAGACTCGGGACCTTGGATGGAAGATGGATCTCATGGTTGACAAGAAATATCTGATTGCTTGGGAATGGTACTCGACAGACTCTGGTTTTACATTGGGCTATGAATAGTCCTCAACTTTGCAGACAGACTGAAAAAAATTGAGAAACATGGATGTTTTCTCGTATTTGATTGACTGAAAAAGTAAATGTGAATAATTCTTTCTTCAATGATAGGGTTGTTCAATGCTCTCATGCTGTGAGCCTGCTCTTTGTCGCTGAATATCTAACCTTGTGTTCCATTGCTCATTTTCTCTAGTGAACTCAGCCTGTATCGTCGGGAAACTATGCTCATTTCTCTTACGCGCGGTTATTCCTTTCCTTTCGTAGCCATCATCATTTCTACGACAAGCAACAAGCATCCCGTGACGACTCATAACTTTGATCTGACTCCTTCAAACATAGGTCTGCAATCCAAGTTTGTTGACCTATAAGAAAAACTTTAGCGTGGCTCCTTCTCTTTTTCCTCGTCTACGGGCCGGCATTCAGATACAACTCCATCTTTTCTTCAAACCTCAAGCTTCCTCACTCTCTTGCCAGACCAAACCCACGACCTACGCAAAAAACACAATCTACAGCCTCCAAAGAACTGTTTCTTAACTTCGCAAACCAAAAACAACAAAAACATATCATCATCAAGGTAAGCACTTTTCCTATTTATTTATTTGACTCCAAGATCTATCAGACTTTTCCCATGGTGTTTCTTTTGCTCTCCTTCCGTCTAGGTATCTTAAAATCCTCCTCGTCTTGGCCTAACTAATTCACCCCTGTTGAACTGTTCTTCTTTCCTCCATTAATACCCGCACCATACTTAAGATCTTGTTAGAGAGAGGCCTTCTCAAAATCAACACTCACATGGGTTCTGGGCTTATCTTCCTTCACTAACTACCTTCCGTTCCTTACAATATCTCTTTCTTACACTTCACCTCACGTGCTTTCCTTCAACTTATCCCAATTCCTACTTCAACACCTCACCTCGTCAAAACCTTTCCATTACCACAACTCACCCCACCCAATATTATTCATACTTGATCATCACAGACACAAACTGGCCTTGGCTTACTTGAGAAGCGCTTCATCCAGCATGGCACCCAACACCTGGACTGAGCAAGCCGAGAGAGATCTCATCATGGCTCTGTTTTTTAACAACGCCAACAACGGTCCTCTCCCGAAGCTTGATTACGCCAAGGCTCACCAGATCATGACCGTTCTGGGCTATTCGTTCACCAAGGACGCCCTCAAGTAAGTCTCTGATCATACTCATCTTTGCCATTACCCCAGCTTCTAGATGTGCTTTTCTCCCTCTTTGATATTTTTTTGCTTCTAGTCGTGTTACCGTTATAATTCAATTCATTTACTGATATGTCTTGTAGCCAGCGCTGGAACAAGGTTATTCTCAAGGGAATCCGGGAGCGCCTCAACACTATTGCCACTGGCAATAGTACCGGCCCGGCTACCGCCAGCGCCTCTCCTGCCTCACGCAAGAGAGCTGCCCCCGCCTCCAGCGGCAAGAAGACTTCGACTGCCCGTTCTGCCGGTCGCAGCAACCAAGTCTCCGTCCAGATGGCCCAGGCTGCCACCTCCCATGACGATGGTGGCGATGACGAGGAAGATTTGGACACCAAGCCTCCCGCTGCCAAGCGCGTTAAGACTAACGTCGGACTTGTCGCTGGCCTCCAAGGTCAGAACATCGACCTTACCAACGACGAGGCCCACACGGAACTCTGTTTCTACAATCCTGTTCAGGTCAAGAATGAGGTGAAGATGGAAGAGGGTGGCTGTGGTAACCCCATCAATTTCCCCGGCTTCGCTCGTGAGCGCAGGTTAGTAGCCTTCCCATGCCTATAATCGCTAGGCACACCTGATACACCATTTCTTGTTATTATTATGAGCATTTGGTAAACTAACATCTGTATAATACAGCACGACCTTGGCCCCTACCGCCTTCAACAAGGACGGCACCCAGAAGATGGCTTCTGCCAAGTTTCGGAACACTGATGACATGAACGAGATTTAGGCGACATCCGAGGCCCGCTTCGCTTTGACCTATTTCCGCCGTCTTGATGCTCTGAACGATATGGATGATGAGGGTGAGAACATCGTTTTGGAGAAGTACTGAGGCTCTGCTTCAACAACTTCAACAAAACTTTCTTATTTTTCAGAATCACACGCGGCTCTGGAGTAGGCTGGCATTAGTAAAGCCTGCTAGCTTTGGTTTAGTGCTTTCGCTCTTTTTTTGCTTTCGGGTTTTCAGCTTTTCTTTTTCTATGGCCTTTTCTTGATTTCGACCCGACTATTACGCCTGCTAATACCACTTATTGGTTTTGAGTTGGTTGGTTGTGCTCGACTTCAGGCTTGGGCTAACTTGGAACGCGAATACGGACACACAAAAAAGGCTTGTGCTCGACGATGGATGGCTGAAGGGTCTCGTTTTTCATGCATGAGATTTCCGAGGACGGACAGATGAAGCTTTTTCTTTTCTGAGATTGTGCTATAGAGCTCTGAGCTGGCAGCATTTGCCTGCGTTTATATAGAGCTGAATGCACATTGAGATACACTCACTTTGTTGAAGTTTGCAGTGACTGGGCCCTCCAAATAAGATGACTTAAGGAACTTCAACAATTTTTACGCCAAGCCTAGTCAACAAACAAGCACGATGCGCACTGTCCACTTGCTCAAAATTTTGATCATTCCTCTCATAGAGGTTCTGGTCCCTATTTGATTGTCCCTTATGATGCCCTTGTAAGTACAACGATGCGCCCTGAATGACCACCGACCCTGTCCCTGAACGCCAACCCGCCCCCAAGTCATGAGGATCCAGACGAGAAACTCATTTTGCATTCATTCCATTCAAGGCTTGCGACCGTCCAATCTGTACCCCTCACTGGGTCCCTTCTTCTCAGGCGCCTTGGCCTTGTCTTCTCCTTCACCCTTTCTCTTTACCGCTCCTCGGAGAGTCTGGCCAGCACCCGCAAAATGAGGCCGGTTCGCCTCCTCCTTCTCACGCTCCTTATCTGCGTCTGTCTTGACCGGCTTAATCTCATAGCCAAAGAAGAGCTTGTTGGGCGGTAGTCTAAGGGGCATGGGCCCGTTCGCCCGGCGTGGAAGGGGCGCAGCGGCGGGAGCGTTAGCGGACGCACCGGCGACTGGTGTCGCTGGCTTAGGAGTTGATGTCTTGCTGCCCTTCTTGTTGAGCTTCTGGCCCTCACCGTAGAATTTGGTGTTAGTTGTCGTCGCTGACGGCGCGATGGCGCTATAGTTGATGGACTGCGCCATAGATCCCTGGCTGTGCAGAAGTCCGCCAGCTGGCAGGCCGCCGCCGCGGACGCTGCGAGGGGTGCTCGTACCACTGCCGCGCTGCTGCTTCTCGGGCTCAACATAGCCAACAGGAGGGGCAAAGTCGACCTCGACATCTGTTTCGATCATGCAAACACCCATCTTGTCCGTCTCAGGCTTGACTTCAAGCACGGCCACGTGGTATATCTCGTCATTGTACTCGAAGTTGAAGACGTCCCCCTTGGTAAGAGCGGCAAAGTTCCTAAACGCCTTCTCCAGCACGGCCTTGGGGTCGCTGATGTCGAGGAAGTTGGTCGACTGCGGCTGAAGCTTAACCAACCTGGCAAGCTCGAGAGAGGTGGTCTTGATCTGAATCATGTCGCCAACATCGAGCTGGAGAGTTACCATCATCTATTCTCAGGTTAGCATCACCGCTCAACCGCCTGTCACCATCATAATGTGGCGAAAACGAACCCATTGTGGAAGGTAAGCTCTGCCCTCCTCTGCGACGAACTCAAGCACACCAGCGTGTGAGTGCTTTCCCTTCTCTCCGTTTATGATCTCCATCAGCAGTGGCCACTGCACGTGGAGCTTCGAAACTTTGTCGAGGGCGGAAGGTGGCAGGAAGATCTTGGAGCCATAGTTGAGATCGGGTCGCTCGGGGCCAGGGGCCATGACCATGGGGTAGCATCGGTAATACTCGTCGAAGCGCTGGACGATAGGACGGCGGCCACCGCGGGCGAAGTTATACATGTCTGCTTCGCTAGGGTCGAACTGATACTACGAGCTCACGGTCAGCTTGAAGTTCAGTGATGCAGAAGCCAGCCAGGTAGCTTACCATCTTGGCGGTCTGCAGAGGTGGAAAGGTGGATGTCTTGTTTGTAGATGAGGTGAAGACAGACGTCTCGACCTGATTTTTTGTGGTCGAGATTAATAAAGGTATGTCAGCAGTTTTGGATCTCAAAGCCAGTGATCTGGTAAAAGAAGGGTAGCTTTGGCTTTGGATTTGGGTGTGAGTGATTGAGGGCCCGGTTTACGTGGGGCCGAAAGGCAACTGATGAATGACGAAACTCGCTGGAAGGTCGGAAAGGCCCCACTAAAAAATCCCACGCTTTGGACCCCAGACGGTACCTCAATGCCCATGCAAATTGGGTGGATGACGAGATGCCCACCCGCTCTCAGATTTGTTCTAGCTCCAGTAGGTACATTCGAGCTGCATCCAGCCCACCTTTGAAGCTCTCGAAGATAAAGCCCAGCCGATATGACTTACTTCTAAACACCCACGAAATTTCAGGAAATAGACCAAAGAAATAGCTTTAATATGTCATCGAGACACTCAGCAGCTCGTCCGAAACGTGCGGGCGAAACATTCGCGCGGACGCACCATCACGACGAGGACGAAGCCCATGACTCCAAGAAGCTGAAGTTCGATGTCCGTAATCCCTCCGCGCTGGCCCCCGACGCACCAGACGACGACGCGATCCTCGATGCAGATGTCATCGGCGCAAATGCCGGCGCGACAAAGCGCGGCGCTGTGAACTTGGACGGTTACGACAGCGATTCGGACAATGAGCGCAACTTCAAGGGGCGCGCTGAGGAGCGGCACCGCGGCAAGAAGGGTGGCGATGCAAACTTTCTCGATCAACTTGACAATTACGACGCCAAGAGCAGTGGCCCTAAGGGCGGAGACATCAATGAGGACGACGAGGATGATGACATGTTCGCGGCAGACGACGATGAGGAGCAAGAAGGCAAAGCGGCGCAGGAGGCGATTAAGGCTTCCGGTAAAAAGGACAAAGCAGTGCGCTTCCTCGAGGACGATCAGATTGAAGGCCAAGAACTCAAGAGCAAAAGTGGAGGACAAATCCGGCTGGATGAAGACGAAAGCAGTGACGACGAAGCGGACAAGGATCTGGCGATTCAAGAAGAAGGCATCGACGAAGAGGTCGGTCTAGGTGGCCTCAAGCGCAACGCACCAAAAGTCGAAGCTTTCAACATGAAGGAGGAACAAGAAGAGGGCCGATTCGATGAGGACGGCAACTACATCAGAAAAGCCGTGGATCCGAACGCGGTACACGATAAATGGCTCGAGGGCCTGAGCAAAAAGGACATGAAGAAGGCTGCTGCGGCGCATGAGAAGCGCGAAGCTGAGGCGCGGAGGTTACGCATGGAGAACGACGACCTTTTGACTACGGACCTTCTCAAGGCGCTTATTTTGAGGTTAGAGAGGGGCGAAACACCGTTGGAGGCTTTGGCGAGGTTGGGCAAGGGACAGCCAAAGCAAAAAAAGATACCCAAATGGAAGCTGAAGAAGCAGAACAAGGGAGAAGAGGACGGTATGGACGTCGACCAGGAAAAGGAGATTACTCCTGAACAGGCGAAGAGGAAAGAGGCTATCGAGGCTATCACTGACGCTGCGGATAAGCTTCTGAGCCGTGATCATGCGGAAATTTACGACCAGGAGAGAGAAATGCTCATCCGCGAGTGGCAACGGGAAACGGGCGATGAGTGGACAGAGCCCAAAGAAGAAGCCAGTGATGATGCGTCGGCGAAAATGTGGGAGTTTAGGTGGACAGACGGGCGCGACGGTGCCGATAAGCAGGGCCCGTTCGACGGCCCAACAATGAAGGCATGGCAGGATGCCGGCTATTTTGGCGAAGGGGTCGAGTTCCGGCCAGTAGGTGAAGAGGGCTGGACTAGAGTCGCCACGTTTGCATAATTAGTGTTCTCACTCGAGGACCTCTCACGAAAATGCGATGTTATAAGTCAGGGAATCAAAAGCCTAGCATTCCTGGCGTTGTTTGCCATGCAACCACGCAATCATTTATGGTACATAATCTATCACACATTCCCAGGGGTGGCCTCCAATTTTACCGCCCAAAAAACGCCCTACGTAAAGACCCGTGCTGCCCTTAACTCAAATCCATCGTCTCACCGTGACCGTTGGTGACGGTAAAATCGACGGCTCCGTCGTTGCCTATCAAACGCTTTTCCGACTCGGACACGAACTTAACGCTGCGGGCCGGGTCGTAGAATAGGGAGAAGCTCCTCTGGACATCCGCAATCTCGACCTGCTTCGCTCTCCGCTTGTTGCAAATCAACTGCGATGTCGTGATGAGGTTGCTAGCATAGCGCAGGCCGGCCTCCTGGCCGATCTTGGTGAGCAGAGCCAGAGCATCCGCGGAGACATCAACCTCTTCTTCTTGGGCGCGGATGGTAAGAATTTGCTTAATCTCCTCGGGGGTATAGGTGTTGGTATGGATGATGACAACACGGTCAAGGAAATCAAGAGGCAGACCGTGGGGGCTGCGGTAGTCGGTTCCCCTGATGCGGGAGTTGCCCCTGTTGCTGGCCATAATGACGACGGGCGCCAAATCATCTTCGAGTGCACGGTTGATGTATGAGAAGCACTCAATGTCGAGCATGTGGACCTCATCGATGAACAGAACTCCGGGAACGATCTCAGCCTTGCCCTCCTCTTTCCACTCGCCGACCTTGGTGTTGATTTGGTCGCGAATCTCACTGCGGATCTCGCCAGTGTCTCCTGAGAACAGGGCCAGGAAACCTTGTGTTCTTGAATTGATGACATCGATCTCGTGCAGCGTAACAGTGTGAACAACCTCCTTGCGCTTCTGCAGCTCGCCATCAGGGCACTGCAGGAACTTGGTGTCAACGCCCATGGCGTCGTAATCACGCGAGCGGGCGTATGACCGACCGAGCTTAGTGATCTTGCCGGAGGACTTGTCGATAGAAATGATGTCGCCGGCCATGACGCGCTCCTTGGTCATGGCGTCAATCATCTTCGCGCCCATGTCATATACAGCTTCCATGTCGGTAGTCTTGATAGTAAGCTTGCCTTGCTTCGCGCCACCAGTGACACTGCGGTCAATCTGAATCTCGACAACTTCTCCCTCCATAATCTCGCTCTCTTCCTTGATGCGAACGCCAATCGACTTTCGGAAAGCTTGTGTAAGGGCTTCGGTCTTGGACATTTCGAGGGAGAAGATCTCGGAGGAGGCAAGACTGGTGAATGGAACGTCGGGTCCAAGGGATTGGGCCATGCCCATGGCAATGGCGGTTTTGCCCGTGCTATGCAACATCAAGTCAGCTGATTGACTTTTCACGAATGCCTGCATCATGAAAATGCTAACCTTGGGGGGCCAGCGATCAGTACGGCTCTTCCAGCAATCTTTCCCTCCTTGATCATCTGCAGGATAACAGCGGCAGCTTTCCTGGCCTTCTCCTGTCCAACAAGACCCTGGGATGCAGCCCTGGGCTCCAATGTTGTTCCATCAACACCCAGACCTCGGATGTGAGAGTGAGCTGCAATGAGGTTGAGTCCTCTGAGCTCTTTGCTCTCGGAGACGGTCATGACGGGCTGCAAAAGCTTATATTAGTTTAAAAGAATTTGTCACCAAGGGAAGCTTGACACGTACCGCAGCCATCTTGATGTTGGTTTCCAAGCCGTCCGGATAGTTAAATTATGGATTTGAATGTACGGGATTAACTGTCGTTGTTTCGGCAAGATGGTAAAGGATTGGGAGTCTGCAATGCGACGCGAAAATACTTTGTCAATGGTTTGCCGTCGAGGCTGAGAGCTGGTCTGCGCGTCCAGAAATTTGGAGATGGCGCTTAGCGGTGCAGCGTGGCGCGGCTAGCGCTTCTATCGGTACGTACACTGGCCTGGGCTCAAATCTCGGGGTGTCTCACAGCCCAAAGTTCACACCAGCTCCTCTCAAGAAGCTAAATTCTACTTCAACTCTGAGGATTTGCCGTACGCTGGAGTGGACTTACGAAATCAGCTTCACTATGGTCGTCGCAGTGGTTGCCGCTGTCAAAAGGTCTTCTCGCGAAGATAGTCAGAAACACATAAGTTTTCGAGAACTATCCAAACTGAGTAGCTCTGTAGCTCACATCAAATCGATTTTACTGTTCTAATACTTGAAACAACTCCGATAGTGTTAGGCAGGCTTTCTCAAAGACTGAAATGGAATTGTGCAAAGATGGCTTGAAACTAGGGCCGTTTTATTTGCTATGTAAATTCCTGAAGCATTCAGATTCATGGCCATGGTTGGCATGCATTACATACAAGTAGCTAGGTATTAATAATGCAAAAGGAGAGAAAGAAGGGCACCAATCGTAGGAGTAATAAATCTTGCCAGGGGTATTTTGTTTGGAGAGGGAGAGCAGGTACGTGCGCAAAGATGGCAGAAAATTCAATGGTAAGGTCAGAGTAGGTGCCCTGCATGGGCCGATGTGTCCCCCTTATCCACTTCTCTCCCTATTGCCTTGAATTTCGTTGGACGGAGCTGCTCCCCGGGAAAAGCAAACATGCCTCGACCAGCGACCACTGGGCAAACATTCCATGGCGACATAGTAATCATGTATGTCACTGGCGCCTTCCACGTTTGAGCTTCCCAGCAAATAGACAACGACCCCACCACCAACGCTTTATTCAGTTGGTTGGTTGCGCAAAAAGCTCAACGTGCTAAAATGAGATCCGTCGCCTAATAAAACGGACCCTTGCGTTCTGGGTGTTTGCGTGTTTGGGCCCAGACCTATAACAAGCCAGCGCCAGCAAACGGTCTTTATTACTTCTGACAAGACGTTGCAGCTGCAAAAATCTCGAGGGCTCTTCCCCCCGCCCCTGAAAACCCACGGCCACTAGACTTTGACTTTTCATTCCTTTATTTGCCAACCTAACCTGGACCCGAGGATCATACATTCTTCCTCAGATCTGGGTGGCGACTTGACCACACCACACCCCAACCCACCCATAAACGCAGTTGGAGTGATCAGTGTGTGCGGTGCAGGCGCACCCCTCGCGTGGGGTAAGGTGCAAGACGCGACAACTATTCAAGCTTAATCCACACCATAAGAAAGTGTTGAAGCACGAAAAGACGCACTCACTCAGAATTTGCCGTGGAAGCCCTCGCGATTGACAACAGGGGATCTGTGGGCGAAACCAGCACAGAACGCTCAGAATGGGAAAAGTGGTGTTGTTGGTTGGAAGAACTAACTAACTGGCTAGAGGGCTGTGGAGGCTGGCTAAGACCAGTGGTGGCGGCCGTCAGCCCACGTGACGGGCCGGCGAGGCCTGCCACCCACAGGATCTGTCAGCAGTTGGGACGAAACTCCGAAAACACTCGTAAATAAAAGAAAAACCCCTCTTGTATTCGCCTTATCCTTTTACTAGAGTCTTTCATCTACGCAACCTCTATGAGACACAGCAACCAGCACGGTCCTTTCCTAGGTCAGAATGCCTTCCTCTTGCGACAACATGTCGACATATAGGCGCTCAGAGAATTACCGCGACCGCGATCGACGCCTCGATCGTGAGTCGCACAGTCACTACGACCGGCGTGGCCGTGATCGTGAGCGTTCAAGGTCTCGCGAACGTAGATTACCAGACCGAGATGGAGACCGAGCTATGTCAGATCATTATGATAAACCGCCTTCTGGCCCGCGAGACACTCGTCCTTCGCAGAAACGCTATTCTTCCCCTTTACATATCAACTCAGCCGGCTCAGATTCACGGCTTGACAACCGCCCAAATTCTTGTAAGAAACTTCAAACTGTTTGAATAAAGAAACAAAAAAGTCTGTGTGCTGGGACTAACTATGGCAATAGCTCCTCGAGGACAGCCGTCGAACTCCACGAATTCCAAGCCAACATATGAAACCGTCCATGTTGGCAAGATCACTGAAGCCCTGCGAGTCGTCTCGAAACGAAGCTACGATCATGTAGCAATACAGTTGCGAAAAGAAGTAGTGGAGACTCGAAAAAAGGAAAGGGAGAACAATAACAAGATGTCGCAACACAAATATCTTGAATTCCCTTCCTTGAAAGAAGCGCACCGCAGGTCAGAGAAGAAAGACCAAGATGATTTAGCTGCATTGCGCAAGGAGGAAGAGACAGCAGACAAGAAAAGTCTCAAATCAACTGAAGACCTTGCTTTCACTCTACTCCAGGTCTTTGCCGAATTACAACAGAACAAGGATAGCCGCGTGACAACGTCTGGTGTATCAGACGGCCTTGAGGCTCAGCTTGTCTCTCGCCTGGACCAGCTGGAAAAACAGCGTAAGGAAGATGCTGAGAGACAGGAAAAACGCATAGATGAATTGCATAATGGGCTTCGGACTGAAATAGCCCAGCGTAAGGCGTTGGGCATGGAAAATGAATCTCTGAGAGCTAGACTTCTCGAGTTAGAGACAAAGAGCCAGTCTCTTCATTCCGTGGTTGATGATCACGGAAGCTCACTTAAGCGTCTGCATGACGAGAAGCCAAAAGCTGTGCCAGAAGCTATGCCAAAGGAAACAACGCTTGGAGCTACTGTTCAAGCCCAATATGTGGAAGAGATCAAAGCCTTCAAGGAGGAGTGTGTCAGCGCAATTGCTGACTTGAGGGGTGAAGTTGAAAAGCATGATGCAAAGCTCGGAGAGATGGATGTTGAGCTTATCGGCGAAAGCTGCGACGCGATCGTGACGAAGCTGCCCCGCTTCGAGCAGAACGTGAAGAAGGTGATAGCTGATGTTCTTGCCATACGAACAGACACAGCCCAGCTTCAATCAGATCTACGGCAACTTGAATCCCGTACTAAGGTGCCCAGGGCGGATGAAGAGTGCTGTGCGAAACGTGCAGACCAGCTTAAGTCAGATACAGAGCAGCTCCGGTCCCGTACAGAGAAACTTGAATGCGACTCGGCTCAAATCCGGTCTGTCCAAGAGCAGCTTCAGTCAGCATTAGACAAGACTCGAAGAGATAACCAGCAGCCCTCATTAGCTATGGAGCAAGCCAAGTCGGGCGTGGAACAGCTGCATTCTGAAATGGAGCGACTAAGATCTAATATGGAACAGCTGCAGTCTACCGTGCAGTCACTCTTAACAGGCGACACCTTTGTTACAAAAACGAAGCTGAAGGACTTGAATAATGGCTTTATTACAACGTTCGGTGGCTGGGTCAATGAACTTAAAAAACGGTCTAGCACCCTTGAAGAGCAGGTGAAGATATTGCAGAATGATATTGCTTTACAGAAAAGCAACGCAGCTGCCTCGGCCGCTGAGTCAAGGATCCTCCCTCTGGAGACAAAATGGGAAGAGCACGACGAGCGAATTAAAACCCTTGAAGACACATCAAAGCAGTATTCACAAGGGGCAGCGAAGCTCTCTTGGGAGGAGCACGCAGATGCTCTCGAGAAAAAGCACACTTCATCCATGGAAACAACAAGCGCCGTAATTGAAGCGCTGAAAACTCAGATAGCAATGAGTGAGCAGAGTTTGAAGACCATATCTGGGTCGATTAAACTTATGAACGACAATCAGACTGCGCAGACTGGCCGAATTGCGGAGGCCGAAGCCCAAATGTCGAAGCTAAGTATGCAGCTGATGGACCTCGCCCAGAACATTAAGGCAGTTGAAGATAAGATGGAGAAAAGGATGGACCTTCTGCAACACCATTACATTTGCCTCGACTCAAAAATGAACAACCTGACAACGGAAACCCTCTTTAAGGCAATCATTGACTACATTGACAAGTACCAACCCACCGAGCTGCACCTGGGACAAAGGATGGAAACGATCATACAACAGGTGAATCAACATGAGCACAGGCTTGTCAAGGTTGAGCGGTCATCAAGTTTAAGCGAAGAGCCGGCCAGCAAGAAGAGGAAGCTCAGCTCAAACGAGTTCGGGCCAGTGGTCATGGCAAATGGCAGCCACTGATGGCGGGGCGGCAATGATTTCACAGCGGAACGGTAACGACGGCGGCGCATTGAAATGTTTGAGATACCATAGTGTTCAGAGCAAAAGTATTAAGATTCGCTAAGCTGGGTAGGATAAAAGGGTGGCATGGCGGCCTAGTCATATTTCATGGCTACCTTCAGGGTTAGGGTAGACAGGAAAATAGCATTTCAACTACTAGTAGCAAGACGTCTTATATGTGATGTGATTGGTTGAATGTTTGTTTACCATGTACAGAAGCAATAGAGGGGCATTGCAAAGAATGCGGGTGCGCAGTTGGGCGTAGATTAACCAGAGTGTATATAGATTTAAAAAGGCTCTCTACGTCTCCTGCCGTTGCTCAAACGCTTGAGATGTGTGCTGATCAAGTTTGCAGTTAAACCAGGTAGCCAAATCAAAGATCCTGGGTGGTCCAGTCAGCAAGTATTAGTAGGGACAGGAACATTTTAGGCTGGACAGAAGAAACAAAAGTGCGCGTGTTTGGTGGCTGTCCTAGCGTTTGGAACAGTATAAGTTGCCGCTGCGGCGCCCGTCCCGAGGAAACAGCGCCAGCTTAAGCCGCTCCAAAAACAAAAATGGCCTACCTGGCCTCCCGCCCAAAGGACCACTCACCAGGGCACCTAGGGGCACGGGCTGGAACCCCCCAGCCAGCCCGCGGACATTTTCCCAGCACATCCCATCCTGCCATCCTCCCATCATCCACATGCGACAGAACGGCTACACACATATAGGTAGAAGTACATACATAGTATATACAGATACAGATACGATACGAAACTGGATCAGCACAGATTTGCGCCGCAGATCGCAGGTCTTATGACCTTTTGATTGCTGGAGTTGTTAGGTAGACTTGTCAGGCACAGGAGGAAGTATCTTGTGATAGCGCGGTGGTCAGCAACTCCCAACAGCCTCCCATTCGTACTTTACTGCTCGGGCTCAACAGCTAGTGGTCCCAGGAAATCAATGTGGGATCACTGAGGTGCCGTACAATTGGAGCCTCCAAACAGGAGTGGGAGGAGCACGCGCCTCACACAATTCCCCGGCGCCCACCACGCTCTCCACACCTCCTAGCTTAGTCCAGTGTCCACACGCTACACATTGCACTACACTACACAACACAACGTACCTACCTACCTTACGTGCCCCCGTCTCCCTCACGCATCATCTGCGTACCTAACCTTGGCCTTTGCGTGATATGGTAGCGCGTGTCTCGCCTTTTCCATCTTCCATCCTTACCTCACCTCGCCTTATCATTCACACTCGTTCTACCTGACCTGACCTTACCTTACGTTTTTACCTTCGCACTAACTGCCACTGGATTGCACTTTTTGGGACCAGGTCAGGCTGGGCATCCACCTTTTTTCCCACCTCCCAATCCACCATCGCACCGCACCGTCTCCCGTCCACCACTACCACTCCCCAACCCGACCTGACCCTTCAATACCACATACCTTGACCCTTGTCCCCCCCGTATCATCGACCTGCGGCACGTCGTCCCGTCCTCTCTACCCCGTCTAGATCCGGCGCAACTGCTTGGACACGCTTGCACAACTCACACCAACTCGCCTCGCGTCCATTGACCTGCACTCTTCAACCGCCGCGTCGCTGAGCTTCGCATCGCATCATTATAGCAGCAGGCCGCGCTGTGAAATGCGCTGCGGGTCATCTGAGCTGCTGCTGCTGCAAGGGCTGATGTTTGGACGCTGCATACACCACTGCCACGACAACAATCACCACCACCACCACCAAAAGAAGACGAGCTGCATCCTGAACCGCAACTGCAACCAAGACGAACTGCAGACGAGACCCGACCCCCCATCATCCTCCACAAACCCCCGCGATACATAGTCCACGACGCGACCAGACATCACTGCATCAGGCTTCCCCCGTATTGATGCCTTCGATTTGATATCAGACCGCCTCGTCGCGTTTTCTCCGATTTTGCTGAATCAATCCCGCCCGCCCTTCGTCGGCACTCGCTTCGTCCCATACGTCGCCCGGTACCGCCAATTCCCACGTCACGCTATCACGACATTTCCTCCCAAATACCCACCCTCCGGGCATCAAACAACCACCCCCAATAATTGTCGGCGCTGATTGCCGGCGATTCGAATTTACTCCCTCTTGGGCTACGGAGAGAGCTTTGTGCTCTGCTCCGGCGCCCATTCCCCTTCCTTCGGAGTCATCGTCATAGCCGTCGATCGACCTCGCATTGGCCGCCGCCATCGCGACCCTTTGTTATCCAACTCAATCCGACTCTCGCTATCGGTATTCAGCCACGATAGCCACGATAGCCACTATCGCATCACTCCCTCCGGTTCCCTCGTACTGCGCTTCCGGCCGCGCATATTGCGAAACCTTCTTCTCCATGCCCCCCGGCATGCAAACGCCACCAAACCATGGAAGCAGCGGCGAAGAAGGTCCAACTGCTGGCCCAGCGCATCCTGCCCGACCGACCGCATCATCTCTCTGTATCTCCAGACCAGCGCTATCGCGTCCCGCCGGACCATAGCAAGGCATTTGAGGAGTTCAAATTCCAGCGCTTGCAGTACATGACGCTGCTGTCCGACGCTGACCGCGGCATGCTGCTCACTCGCCCCTATTATGACATGCGCGAAGAACCCCCGAACACAATCGCCGCCAAAGAACCGAACGTGAAGATGGAAAAGAAGACAGTCACCAAGCTGTCATTGAGTGATTATAAGAACAAACAGAAGAAGCCATCTGCATCCCCTACCGACTCGGGAACGACACCAAAGACAGATGTCTCTAGGAAGGAGACGATAGATAGTCGATACGATCGTGAGCCAAAGAAGGCTGAACCACCCAGGAGTCGGGAGCCCGAGGCATTGAGGGATGCAAAAGCGCATAAGCCGCGCGATATTTCCAACGATGACAGGTGCGATCGCGAGACACGTCCGACTTTTGATCCGAGAAATGTGCGCTAACTATTTGAAATAGATCAGGTAGGCCTGAGGCAAGGTATAAGGCAGCGCAGGAGAACAATGATACCCCAGAGAAGCGGAAACGTGCCCCAGATACGGACGGCGAGCTGCGACCCCAGAAACGAGCGAGACCCGAAGCTAGCACCCCTGCTGACGATCGATCACGAACGCCCCGAGACGATACCCCGAAAAGAAAGGAGCTACATCATTCGCAGGATAGGACGCCGCAGAAGGACAGCAAGTCGGCCGCGTCCTCGTCATCGTTAACAAACGGAAGGTCCGCCCTGAAAGCTGCCTTGGGCCCGAATACCAGCAAATCACCAGTGTCACGTGCGCGGGGCGATTCTATCAACGGCAACAGACCGAACCTGTCGAGCAGCAGGAGCAAAGCCGATTCGTCGAGGACAGCAGTGCCGCCATTGCTTTCGCCTTTACACCTACCCAACGATTCAGACTCGCACCCCAGAGACAAGAAAAAACGGGATGATGTTGGCGAGCATAACAGGCCCCACAAGCCTCTAAAGCCGGAGCCGCCTCCGCCTCCCAAGAGGCACAGATCTCCCGTTCGGCTTCCCGCACTCCTTTCTCCTACATTACCTCCAATGATTGAGGAGGAGCTGGCTCGAATCAAGAAAACGCCAACCAAGGGTTCAGGGTCAAGCCAAAAGCTACAACCTCCGGACTCTCCCACTAGCAGCAAGAGACTACACGTCGTCCCCAAAGAAGAGGACGAAGACCGAAAAGACTTCAAGGACAAAGTCAAGGAGAAGCCACGCAGGTTTATGGTGACGTTAAAATACAGCAGGAAAATCTCCAAGACGGTGCAGAGATTGCTGGCTCTGCCACCAAAAAAGGATACAATCAAAAAGGAGCGCTCCGTGAGTATAGAGCCTCCAGCACCACCTCAAGCAAGGAAACGTCCTATGGGAAGCTCCGACAATGTCGGCGACTCAATCGCTGTCAAGCGACCAAGGACGTCGGACATAACTAGCTCCTCCAAGCTCGTGGCGCCTTCGACCCCTTCAAAAGCAGCCACGTCCATGTCAAGAGTAGCATCAAGCAACTCAGTAAACACTCCCGGGGATGGCAGCAGCCTAACTCCCGCAGCACCGCCTTCAGCAGACCGAGACCGGCCGCAAACAAGAGGCGATATGAGGGAACCATACAATCCGGCCAAAATCCAGGCGCTCCGCGAGCGGTACGCTCGATTCAGTAAGCTTGGTACGAAGTTGAAGCATGAACGTGATTTGTTGCTCGATCGTAAAACCGACTCAGACGGCAAGTTGGGCATCATACTAGGACTAGAGACCGCTTTGGCATTCATGGTCGGCTTCAGGGCGGTAGTCGACGCCCGCTCGATTGAGAGCAAGGCGCAGGACCCCAAGCAATGGGGCAGCATACTGCCGATGCTCAACATTATGCGTCCCGAGCTGCGCAGATGCGGGCCTCTGGAGGCCTTATTTTGGCAAATTCAGGGTGTGATTCACGAGGAACTAATCAAGTGTTACTGGTCTATCGATCCGACCCCGCACGCGGTTGCCATCGTGGGCCATGAGCGAGGTCGCGCCAACGCGTGGAAGTCGGCAGCAGACTTTGTCGAGCGGATCGAGGATGGCGCGATGCGTACCAACATGGGGCCCTGGACTTCAGTGGAGGAAGCCGTCTCGTCGGCACTAAGGATCATGCGTCGCTGGGCTCAACAGGAGCACGTTTCGTGGCGCGCAGAGGTCACGGTATCAGCCGCCAACGGAACGTCATAGCATGACGACGAACCGACCGAGACCAAGACGGACAGTCGGTTCCTCCCTTTACTCTGACGTACAGTACAGCTGGATGTTTTGTGTTGTCATCACGTCAGTCGAAGCAAGAAGAAGAAGAAGCAGGGCATTAGGGCCCTCCTAATGAACATGTATTATGAACTCTTTTCCCTTTCCCGTTCTCTCCATCTTGGTGGTTGGCGTGGTGGAAGCGTGGTGACGGCGTTTATTAAATTCAAGGGGGGAAAATACGTGGGTGGAGGAGGTGAAGCATGTGTGTATGTGTGAGAGTGTGTTTGTGTGCAGTTTTGTATGACATGACCTCTACCACAGTCCAGGGAACTTTTTCTCTCACAAAAAAAGCCCGCACGATTTCTTTTATTACTTTCCATTTTGTCGTTTTATCTGTCAGTCTACCACTACCTCGGCCGGTTCTCTCCATCTCCTTTACCCTCTCTCTTGTCACTCAAGCTCGGCGTTTTACGAGGAAACCAGGGTCGTGTATGGCTTTTTGTACATAAAAGATATCCCCCTCTGAGTTTTCATCGCTGCTTTCCATACTTTTCTTTTTTCTTTTTTCCCCTTTCATATTTGTTCATTTTCATATCTCTCTCTCTCTTGGGAACTCTCCCGATAGGTCTAGGGATAAACGAACAGAACAATTTTCTGTCCGTCTTCTGAAATATCCCATCTTGTGTATTGAGTGGCATCGTCACGCGCGTGGTCAGAAGAAACAAACCAAGTGGGAAGAGACTCCCGGAGGAGGTGAGAGGAAAAGGAGACAATTCTTGAATCAGCCTGGCTCAGCTACTCCCATACATACCATGCGAATAACACATCACAAAAAAGGGGGGCGGGGGAGGAGCTAGAACAGGGGACCTCCTCTAGAGGAGATCTCTCAAAAGCTATGAATGCAAAGAATTCAAACAAAAAAAAAATAAGGTGACATGTCCGAAAAACAGAAGAAGAAATAAAATCATAATTTGGTGATGTAGTGATGTCGTGGTCGTGGTCGTGACGATCTCGATGTATTGGCCGACGCCGCGGAGGAAGGCCTCCCTCTCGCCTCACCGCGCGGAGTGACCCCGCATTTGCGACCCCTCACCCACCCACCCACCTGCGGAACACAGAGTCCTGGCAGCCTCTCCAAAACATGGTCTGACTGATAAGTGCATGATCGTAACACTTTCATCCGTAGCGAGATTGGACAGTAGTGAACATTAGTAGCAAGCACAATGAACCTCTCAAACAGCACGACTCTAGAGGAACTTATATGATGGGTAGGCATGATCTATTTCATAGACGTCATAAGGACATGTATTTCGGGAGCTTATTCTTAGGAAAAGACACAACCATAATCCTTCCCGGCTTCACGAGACTCTTCGTCATCGTCGCCCTCCCAGCTGAAAGACTTGCCCATCTTCCGATTTTACTGTTTTTGATGGTCGTTGATTTTTTTATCATCTCATTAATGGACTATTGCGGTCCTACTTCGTTTCATCAACATCCTCCTATGCTCTGCACATTTATTTGGAGGCATCGACCTTGGCGACGTGGGCCAGGAGGTCGAGGACACGGCGGGAGTATCCCCACTCGTTGTCGTACCAGGAGACCAGCTTGACGAAGTTGTTGTTCAGGGAGATACCGGCCTTGGCATCGAAGATGGAGGAGTTGGGGTTGCCAATCATGTCAGTGGAGACAACGTCGTCCTCAGTGTAGGCGAGAATGCCCTTGAGGGGACCGTTAGCGGCCTCCTTGATGGCCTCCTTGATCTCGTCGTAGCTGGCACCCTTCTCAATGCGGGCAGTCAGGTCAACAACGGAGACGTTGGCAGTAGGGACACGCATGGACATGCCGGTGAGCTTGCCGTTGAGCTCAGGGATGACCTTGCCGACAGCCTTAGCGGCACCGGTGCTGCTGGGAATGATGTTCTGAGCAGCGGTACGGCCACCACGCCAGTCCTTGGCGGAGGGACCGTCAACGGTCTTCTGGGTAGCAGTGTAGGAGTGGACAGTGGTCATGAGACCCTCAACGATGGTGAACTTGTCGTTGATGACCTTGGCGAGGGGAGCCAAGCAGTTGGTGGTGCAAGAAGCGTTGGAGATAACGTCGGCGCTGCCGTCGTAGGACTTCTCGTTGACACCCATCACGTACATGGGGGCATCAGCAGAGGGAGCAGAGATGATGACCTTCTTGGCACCGCCCTGAAGATGGGCCTTGGCCTTGTCGGTGGTGGTGAAGACACCAGTGGACTCAACGACGTAGTCGGCGCCGGTCTCCTTCCAGGGGATGGCAGCGGGGTCACGCTCAGTGTAGAACTTGATGGTCTTGCCGTTGACGACAAGGTCGTTGCCCTCCTGCTTGATCTCGCCGTTGAAGATGCCGTGGGTAGAGTCGTACTTGAGCATGTAGGCCTGCGGAGGGCGAGTCAGTAAACCATTGAGCTTGACGTAGTTTGCCTGGCCACATCCGCCAATTGGGCAGTGCCATCTATTGCTTTAAAACAAAAGCTTATAATGATTGACTTTCTGCCTCACATCGAACTCTCGTTTTGTTTTTCCAACGAGAGTCGAAGGCTGGCGTGTTTGGAAGGCATGATATCATGCTGAGGTTTTGAGGGGTAGAGTGGGGTGATACATACAGCGTACTTGGTCTCAATGAAGGGGTCGTTGACGGCAACGATCTCGACATCGGGGTGCTCGACGGCGTTGCGGAAGACGATACGGCCGATACGGCCGAATCCGTTGATGCCAACCTTGATGGGAGCCATTTTGTCTGTTTGGGTATGTATTGGTAGTGTCTGCAAAGATGGCGATGTCAGTCAAATTTCTCAGACGAAGTTTACAAGAGGGTGATGTTTCCAGTAATGGCGGGGTTGTCCGAGACGAGCAATATGTGATGACGACAAGCTGGAATAGAGCTGGCTGAAGCTATTTGGAGCTGGAGCTTACCTTATATGGGTATCACGTCGGAAGATTCGACGAGATCAGAGATGGATTGAGGTGTGGAAGAGAATTTTCAATGGCAAAAGAAAGAGAGAAGGAGAGACGGGATGGAGGGGAGGCGGTGGAAGGGCGTGGGAGATATAGTAAATTTGGTTGAGGGAAGATGGTGGGGTGGTCTTCCAACGTAATGCCCACGCCGTCCGAGGGGCCAGGCCAGGAGCAGGAGGAGGCAGGAAGTGCAATGCGGACTTGACGCAAGTTAGGGAGGTACCAGGTACGGGCACTCCGCATGGGGGGTAGCAACGGTGACTCGTAGTCGGTGAATTGAGGTGATTGTCCGGTCGACGCCAGGTGGTGAACGGATGAGTGACACACACTTTCTGGCAAGAGGCAGCTCCTCCCGTAACGCCTGTCTCGTACTTTCCCATGCCGTGCTTTCTCATCCACTCAGTCAAAGCAGGTGCGTCTTTTTACGGCCCAGGCGGGGCATCAAGCGGAAAGGCTGCTTACCAGTTGTGGCGTTATTATGATACTCCTCCGGGTACTCGACTTGCCAATTGGCCTGATGGGGAACTAGCAGGCAAAAGGTGGGATGTGTGGTGCTCTCTGTCCATCCCACTCAGCAACCTCAACCCAGGTGTTTGATGGCGGATGGTGGCGGCGCCCTTCCCTTGCTCACCACTATTTTTGACACCTCAACTACGCGTATTGTCCGTGCTCGCTCCTTTTCCCATCAAACATCTCATGATGAACTACTCATTACTTACTTGTTCTTCCCAATTCAAGCACTATTGCAGCCGGTCTCTCATTTTACTACCAGGGTTCAGTGGTGTCACTTCTTTTTTTTTTTTTTTCACCGGTCCGACGACTCGAACGGGCAAGCATTGACAGGATCAGGAAGTGAGGTATGGAGGGGCAAGGAGGGGCAGCTTCCTGGATTTCCAGCGAAAAAAAAAGTCAGCTACGGCACCTTATCCCTGGCCCCTGTTGGAAGTTGCTGGCCTGCCCCTCGTTACATCACACTCGCAGCTACCCCCCGGTCAACATCAACAATGTCCGACACCCCCGTCGCTGCCACTGCCACCATGCACAACGGCCCACGCCAAAGCTCTGGCGCCTTCTGTGATCCTCTCACCGTTCCCAAATGAGGGTCGATTCTTTTTATTGCCCATCCTCAACTGGATTCAAGACACGACATGCCACAGGGTTCAAACACCTCATCTATCCCCGTCCCGCCAAACTTCTCTCCTACACTAAGCCACCCCTGCCACCGGGTTTTGCGAAAAGGCAAGCTCATTGAGAAAAAAAATAATCCATAGCTCCATAAATCACTCATTGCTCCATCGCTCAACCCGCCAAGCTTGACTGAGCCCAGCTAATGAAACACGTTGCCTGGTCCATGAGGCACTTCCAGCCTCGACTCGGCTGATTTTAGCTCATGATAGCTGATGGTCGAGAAGGGCCGTTTACCACTCCGTTCTCGGTCCCTCCAACAAGGGCCGCTGCTGATATGTATCCGACGACCGGTCGGTGTTTGCGTTGGTAAATAAAAGATGCGCACAAAATTACCCATCCAAACTACGGAGTCTTGAATTCCAAATTTGGGTACTGATACGGGAACATTGGCCGGGTGTACCTACAAGGTACATCATATCAGTCCAATTCTGCTTTTCGGGTCTTGGCCTGCCACTTGAGGGCAAATCCGGTCCATCTAAACAGGGCTGGTGCCATTCCGGCTGTTGGTGGGGTCCGAGATCTGCTCTCGACTCCCCCAACCCAATGAGCTATCATGTTAGCCCGGTTCGCCCGATGCGCCGGAGCATCACGGCTTCATCGGTCCCAGAAGCTCCTGGCTTCGCCTATGTTGTTGTTGAACTTCCGAATAAGTCGGGACTGACGATAGGCCTACCGAGGATACCCGCGAATATCAATGCCGCGGCCTATATGTTTACCGCCGCGTGTCAACTCGTCGCCTAAGCACCCGACAGACGGTAGGGCTAAGATTGGATCATTTTGTATGGTCTGGACATCGATCGTCTTAGCATGATATGACTTTACCGTCACATTTCAACCACTGCCAACACCGTACGACCTGTAGCCCCTGGGCACATCCTGGCTTTGCCTGGAAAATTAGACATGACACTTCTCATACTATGCTAGATTTCTCGGCCAGATCCTTCATAAACCTGTACAAACTTTCCAAAATCAGATGAGCAGATTTTGTCAGATCATGAGACCCCCAGATTCTTACATTCGCCTCCGGCTTACCAATTTGACATTCCAAGGGCGTAGGCCGTGCTGTTAGTGTCGTATCTTGCAATATGTCACTATACGTCCGTCCGCATTTCAACGTCGTCACGGCCGGGTGTTGTCTTCGTACGTGTCCACCGTTACCAGGGTGTGTTCGACTTACATGGAGCATGTTCGACGGGAAGTGTAGTCCTCCAGCATTGAGCTGGCCCCGTTTGCCGCCATCAGCCCCGGAATGATGCGCCCTCGTCGAGGTTCGACCCGACCTACCCCAGATTTCAGCTCCGGTTCCTCCCGACCGCCGCCCCGATGCCGTACATAAGCTACAGTTTACCGAGCCGGGGTACAGGATCTCGTGCCTGGAGATCTGGAACCTCGTCTCATCTAGCAGCGGTTAGCCTCAGAGACTCTTCAACGACCCAGGGTTCGTGGCCGTCCAGTGGGTCGCTTGGCAGCCGTAGCAAGGAGAAGCGGAGGGTTGCGGGAGTGTAGGTTGGAAGTTGTCACTTCTGTCAACCCGGTCCAGCAAATCGCAATCCACCTCCCGGCTTGCATAATCTGGGGGCTCTTCTTATTACGGTTACAACGGGCGACCTTGTGCTTGACTAACAGCAGTATCACGAGCAACACATTGGGAGGTGCCACCATCTTGTTTGGCAAGCGTAAGCCCGGTTGGATACCATTTGGTCTTAGCTATTGGCCAAAGAGTATCTCCTTATGTGGGTCCTCGTCCCAGCGTGAATGAAAATCTCAGAAAGTCCATACTCTTAAGTAATGTCGATCTAGATGAGATCTTGACTTGGAGCTTCCAATCTTTACTAGTAGGGTCCGGCATTTCGGTAAGCCGCCTTCACCTCGGTGGGAGACTGCGTACACCGAGAAATTTACCCCGCTCACACCCGGCTCCGTGTTTGATAAATTTGACGTAAAAGACCCATGACGTCGGCCCAAATCGGGCTTATCAACTGCCGCCCCATAGATAGTCTGTGCAATACTTATGCACTGCGTTGTGCAGCATATGAAGTGTATGACTCAGCCAGAAGATCTGCTTTCCCACCGAAGACCAAGACAGTTGGCCAACCCCCACGTTCCCCACGGCCATCTTATCGCCGGACCTTCACCTTGAGAGTTTCGGCGAAATGCTGACAAGCGCTCACCGAAGATCGTCACCCTAACATCATGACTTCACATCCTGTTGCCCATTTCACATAGTGACTCTATTCTTGCCACGTCTTAGCTCATGTCCATGGCCATGTGTCTAACGTCTAGGAAATTTCCATTCGCCTAAGCAGGTTAGCTCAAACCCGCTTCTGCGGGAGTTACGGTACTAAGAGCTCTATACATGACCAAGCGGCCGAAGAGGTTGCCCTAACAAGTGATATCCGGCGGCAATCTTGCCGCAACGCTGGAATTTATATCCACATGATGCAATGCAAACTTCACCCACGTGTCATTCATGGAGCCCGTAAGCCACCCGCGCCGCCTTGCAATTGCTGGGCCCCGACTACAGTCCGGAGCCTTCGGAGCCGGGTCCGGATCTTTATGGCAAACAATCGTCAATGAGAAGATTTTTATGGGTTGTTGTAAGACTATAAATTTAAAGTAGTTCAAGCAAGTATTAAGTGAAATCCAACAACATCAACTCAAGTTTGCAAGCAAGATTCACTCATCGATACGACTATATAAACAACTTGCAAGGCAAGAAACAAGACACACGCACTCGAGATGGCGCCGAACCAAACCCTTCTCATTACCGGAGCCAATGGCTACATCGGTACCCATGTAGTCGGCCTCGCCCTGGAACGCGGCTACAACGTCCGCGCAACAGCCCGCTCCGAGTCTTCCCTTTCCAACCTTCGCGAAACCTTCCCCGACGCCGCTTCCGGAAACCGCCTCTCATTCGCTATCGTTCCGGACATCACAAACTACGAGTCCTACAAGGACGCTCTGGCCGACGTGACAGGCATCATTCACACCGCTTCCCCCTTCATCCTCGACCCCAAGGACAATGACAAGGACCTGCTGCAGCCGGCCATCAAGGGCTCCATCGCCATCCTCGATGCAGCACTGCGGTATGCCCCGCAAGTGAAACGTATCGTCAACGTTTCGTCTTTTGCTTCCATCATCGACGTGTCGGCAGGCAACCGTCCCGGGCACACTTACACCGAAAAGGACTGGAACCCAATGACTTACGAGCAAGCGTCCAAGACCGACAGTGGCGTAGCGGCGTACTGCGCGTCCAAAGGCCTCGCGGAGAGCGCCATGTGGCGATGGATGACGGAGAACCAGGGCGTCACATTTACCCTTTCCAACATTTGCCCTCCGTGGGTGCTCGGCCCGTACCGTGGCAAGCTGGACCTCAACCACCTGTCCGAGTCGATGGGCTTGTTGTGGAAACTAGTCGATGCCAAGGAAGTTCCGCCGACGGACTTTGGCGGTTCGGCTGACGTCCGCGACGTCGCTGATGCTTTGATCAAGGCAATCGAGACGCCTGAGGCCGGCGGTGAGAGGTTCCTTGTCGGTCAGCACTTTGACTGGCAGACTGCGGCGGATCTCATCCGTGAGGAGCTACCCGAGGCAAAGAGCAGGATTCCGGAGGGCAAGCCCGGGGCTGGCAAGACCGAGGAGATCTATGCTGTCGACGGCAGCAAGGCGGAGAAGGTCTTGGGTATCAAGTACACGCCTCTGAATGTTACACTCAGGGACGCGGTTCGTCAAATGTTGGATGTGGACAAGGCTTCCAAATCGTCTTGAGATGACTTGGCCGAGTTGGCAAGCATATTAGAAATTCTCATGAATAACGATAAACTAGCGAAAGATGTGATAGTATCCATCAGATAGAACGGAATTTAATGGCTCCAGGGCCTATCTCATGCTGTATCGGAATTTTCCATGCGGCGTCTCGAAAAGATGATTCCGCCTGCTATGCAATTCCCATGCAAATCTTGAAAGTGAAGGGGACTGAAAAGACTCAAACCTCAGTCCCACAGCTCTACTTCTCTATTAGTTCCCCGTTGGCGCGACACCCCAGATGTCAGCAAACACATCATTGTCTGCGGCAAGGGGCGTGTGCTCCATCGTGTTGGCGATGATGGTGCTTTGGTTCTTGCCGTAGACCGCCTCAACAAAGGCGTAAGTTAAGTCCAAGCTTGAAGTGATCTACATATCCATGCCAGTAAGTTTTCATACTTGATACTTAGATCATGAAGAACTTACACCAGACGAAGACCAGATGTTACCATCAACTACATACCGCGCAGGCGAAACCCACTTGACCTTGGGGCCAAAGGCAGTGATAGTCTGCCAAGCACGTTTGTTCGTCGTAGCTCGCCGGCCGTCGAGGATGCCTGCGCGGGCAGCAAAGCTGGCACCAGTGCATACTGTGATCAGGTACTTGACCTTCGGGTACGTCCTCTTGACGTATTCTACAATAGGTTCTAGGCCAGGAGCGCGCACGCCGGGGCCGCCAGGGACGAGCAACACGTCAAGGTCGAGGTCGTCGTCGAATGTGGCTGTCGGGACAATGGTAGGCCAAAAAGAGGAGCCAAACTTGTTTCTAGTCGGGTCAGACGGATCAATGATGCCGGTGACAATGGGGTTCTTGTCAGCGGCTATGAGATGGAGATTCAGTTTGTTGCTGAGGGCAGTGAGCTGGAGGATGTCAAGGGGTCCCCATATATCAATCATGTCCATGCCAGGGAAAATGATGGCGCCGTAGTTGACCGGAGTGCCAGTACAGCTCCTATGTGTGAGAGGATTGCCCGCGACGAAGGTGGCAGCCGTTGTCACTACGGTTAGGATGGTAAACTTCATGGTAGATGCTTCAAGATGTTCAACGACGCTGTTGAATCGAGTCGTTTTATAAGATTCCGATAGTAAAATAAGAGTATAGTCGAAAGCGAAGTTTAGACTAGAGCAACTGAAAGCGAGACGAATCCAGCGGTGGGCGGTCGAAGGAAGCAGAGTCAAGAAAACGCCGGCGTTTTTCACACAGTATTTTGGAAGAGGGTCTACCTGACGGTCTACCTCATTATATACGTAGTGATACATGTTCGAGTATATCTTGCCATTCGCCCTGTTGCTGACGCCAAGCAACCGGCCCTAGACACATCCCTTCGAGTCAAGAGATCTGGTGACAGGGTTTCCACCCAGGCAAACTGAAGGGGCGGCTGAGCATGATATGCGCAATCTAACGAGTTCTTTTGGGAGAAAAGAAAGCCCAAGGCGGCTGTCGGGTCGAATTGTCGTTTGTCAGCCTGCATGTGGGTTTGTCTTGACAAGCGGGAAAACTGAATTAGTTTTCCCTGCCCTTGGGTCAGCAACCACCCCTTACTGATTTCTGATTCAGACTAGAGTATGTGCATGGAACTATCTCCTTCATGTGGGCAATGCGCCACCAAGAGGCCACTTACGCATGCTCTTTAATATATTTATATTGACAGAAACAGGAGGGCGGCCCGGAAGAATTATGAAGGGCAAACATTTAGAAGTCGAAAAGGGAACCAACGGCGGCGGAACCTCCGGGCTCGCACGTGGGATTCGGTGCCAAGCTTTCCTGTTAAATACCACTTGGCAACTCAATTGGTCAAGATGGAGTAAGACCTGTTGACCCATACATGACATACGAAATACTCTCTCGATTTGAGGACTCTGTGTTTTGTTAAATAGTGGGACTGGGATGACTGCTTATACGATGGCACGTTCATGGTTACGAGAAGCTCGGACTCTTACGCGAATGTCATCGAAACCGTTTATGTCATTACCATATCCTTCCATTAGTATCCGGGCGCTGTTGGGGGCTACGGAGAGCATCTTTGCTCAGGTTGTTTGTTATGAAGTTGCTCTTGAGCTAATAAATAGAGGTTCAGGGAGTTGCCGCTTCCAAGGATGGACGAGCCCTCGGCTCGAGCACATTATGCTACAGTTGGCGGATTACACAGGTTTTCCAATTCGTGATGAAACTAATCTAACTTTCATTTAGACATGGGACAGAAGGCTGAGCCTTATGTCACGTGGTGTAACTGCGCAAGCAAGTTGCCGGCGTGTCTTTTCATCCTAAAGATGTTTATTGTAGACTGCCGCAGCGAAGCAATTCCTGGCTTCCTCCCAGCTTGAGGTTGCCCTCATTTCGCGGCTGTGAAATCCGAACTTGGGATATGGTCGCGTTGGGTAATCTCAGCAGTTCCTGTCGATGTTCAGGCACAATGCCAAAAAATCAGAAATCCTGGCTTCACATCATTTTGGGGTAAAAGAGAGAAAATCCAAGAGACGAGATTGTGGTTTTAACTTGTGGATTTTTACTTCATTTTTAGGTGGCTAACAGGATTAAATTGAGATGGCCACAGGACGGAGCGTCTCGGTGTTTTGTATCAAAAAAAGCAAAGGATATAATGTGAATATTGCCGTTTATCAAGACCATAAGACTCAAGATGTGCAAGTGGTTGTCTCGATTTATAAGCATCCGCATTGCAGTAGCAGTTCCTATAACCAGTCATCAGAAGAATGAAATGCGATATTCGTAAGACGAGACTGCTAAAAAATTGTAATGATAACTCATGGAAATCAGTCAGTGCTATGTTAAAACGATGAAAGCTAATATAGACGTACCTCATGCTTGACCAGCCAATGCTTTTCTGTGGGAGAATTGGCAAGTCTACATTCATGAAAGCGTAGTACCAGGACATGAACTTGTCAAGTAGCGTCAGGTAGGAGCGAGACAAATGGCAAAATGATGGCAAGAGGACGACTCTGGCAAGGTCACTCCTACTTTTTTGGAGGTTGCCACTAGGTGGTGATGTAGAGGACCGAAATAGAAACCAGAGCGAAGTATGGAAGCTGGAAACAAGCCATATAGAGCGGCTGTTCATTGTAAGATATTGTTAGGGTTCTCCGGAGTTGTAGCTCCGTCAGGGCATTCGTATTTTTATCCACGTATAGCTGAGCACCAAGGCCATCGATTCCACAAACTCTATAATCAATCTTACTCTAATCTATACAATCGGAACGTTACAAACGTTTAGCCGATCGTACGCTCATGTTCTATATCGTTTCACAAGTGTCTACCAGGACTATACCCATTTAACTGCATGTAGCACCGATACCCTTCTTCGACTTTAGTTGCGCATGACCAATCCCAGCACGCTTCCAAGAACGCCTCGTACACGTTTCGGATTCTCCATAATGCAGGTAAACACGACCGCCGCGCTGGCGGCGAACACAAGAGTCTCCCTCCACTGCTTGTCCATGCCATACCGGCGCGGGAGCAATGTCGCCATGGCACGGGGAGCAACAAACAGAGCCATGTCCTTCTGACGGCTCGTAGTCTCGACAAGTACACTCCACCCGCAAAGGCAGCAACCCGCACCGACGCAGAATCCTCCGTCAATCTTTTGCCTTGCTGCCTGGTCCTTGCCAATGATATGTGGCCCAATACGGGTCCTTGCAAGACAGACACCATAGTAAAACAAGGTAATATAAGTACCCAGAAATGCCGATGACCGCGACGCCGAGACCAGAGCCCGTACGAAGCTCTTCCTGTTGATGGGCCCCCGTACGAGGAGCGCCATGGTCAGCGGTAGGTACATGGCCATAGACCACTTCCAGGACCGGTAAAAGCGGCTCAGCGCGTGGATCTCGCATGAAGGGCCACTGCCCATGTGGACCATCTCGCAAGGGATGGGAACGGACTTGGCTGGATCTCCCCATTCCGTGGGCCATTTGTACTTTTCGCACATGCCCTGAAGCAACTCTGCCTGCCCATTATCGACACCATAGATGAATTTGCCGTCACGCAACCGTTGGAGCGCTTCGATCAGCCGCATATCGACGTTTGCCGCCGAGCTGATCCACTTGTTGTAGGCAATGGGCAGCCTGGAGGGGTTATAAAACCACGCCCACATGATCAAAGCACATGAGGAAACAAACAAGCATGGATCAGTAAGTCTGCCGATGATCGACTCAACCTGCGGAACGTTAGCGGCAACAATGGCCAAAGGGGTAATTGATCAGGGCTACCTTGGTCCATTGACCCTGGGCCAAACGACGCGCGCGCCTACGAGACCATACTTCTCCCACCAACACATCGAGTGCCCGTGTCAAAGTGAACAAGGTCAAGTCAAGAGTTCGTCCGGCATATCGGACCTCTTTCCGCTCGACTCCGGGAGGAGCATCGGACTTTACAGGGACTGTTTCGGTGAACCCTGAGCTCTTCTTAGACTGCAGAAGCTTCAGACTAAACCAAGCGGCGATAAAGGTAGCGCTCCATCTCGCAAGCCTGGGGCCAAATTAGCATACGTTCACTACAGACGAACCACGCAACTCTATATTTACGAGGTCCACAGACAATGAGCCACCAAACCGGATTGACACACCTTACACGCGTTGCTTCGTTGAGGTTTTTGGCTGTCTGCTGGAAGAACCGCCGAAGTGGCTCCTAAGAAATAGATGTCAGTGACCTATTATAGGTATGTTTAGCGACATCGTAGTACAATGTCACTGAGTGTATGTTGCAGACGACCGTCAGAAGATATTGGTGCAAGGATCATGTGTGCTTTGACTGGCAGAAAGTCGGGCTTGTTGAGGGGATGGTAACCTCATGATTGGATTCTTCATCTCAACACCGGCCGGACCAATGGCAAAGCTAACGCTGAAGACCCTCACAATGATGCTGCTGCCACTCAGTTGGAGACACTATAGCTCTCAACTGAAAGAAGCGGTGATTTGTCTCATCCCAATGGCTGGCGTTTATGCCCGGCTAACAGGCGTCAAGTAACGTACCTCTAATATCGTACTGCCGCCAACTATAACGGCACAAAACGTTGGAAAACGCTGAGGGTCCAGGCCAGCAAGAACTATTTGCCTCAGTTGCTCCACAAAGCCTGAACATTGTTTGTCGTTCGTCAGGTTCTTGCGTCGCCTCTTGGTAATGTACTGCATCAACAAGGTCAAGATCCTTGGAGCGACGGCAGAAGCATAGCCTAGCAAGTAGGCCCGCAGAAGGGGCCGTAGGATTGGCGGGACTTGATGTAGCTCTAGCAAGCCATTCCGGCGGATTTGCATCTGACTCCGAGGTAGCATTGTGGAGGGCAAAGATGCGACGACAGCCATAAGGCTTCGACGTCAATGCCGGCAGATGGATTGAAAGCTGTTCCTGACCAGATAGTCAGCGATCAGTATCCAAGTCGAAGGCAGTGCGTCTGTGCATCAATATGCAATGATGTAACCGTACAATGCAGAGAGGCTGAAATGCAGAAAGAACCGCCCAAATAGGACTTCGGCGCGACGGTGTGGGATATTGAAGATGTGGCTGAAGACATGGGGTGCCAGCCCAGGCTGGAGGAACGACAGAAAGTGTGATGGCAGGGAGGCGCAAACACAATTGAACCGCGCAAGGATGGGAGGTTAGGTTGGGTTAGGGATGGGAGAAGCGGCAAGCCAACATTTGGTTCCGCATAGCAAGAGGTTGAATCACATCGGTTGAAGCCAACTAGGCACGACTTGTCTCTTGGTTGTTAAGATGGAGTCTCGGCATTGACCGGCCCTTTCTTCACTCGAAAATTGTCAGATACCTCGGACCAAGCTTGCCAATATGCATATTGGAGATGGACAGTCTCGGCAATGTACAATATTGAAGAGCCACAGGGGATATGCGAAGGAACGACATGGTGAACTAATGCACGCGTCTTACCAGGGTAAGGTGACTCTCAGATTGATCAAATTGATCTTCATCAATTGGCTCGTTTGGTCTCGTGACGGGTGTTCTTCCGCCGCCTACCCTCCAACGCCAAGGGCAGGACAAGAACAGTGCCCAATATCGATAGGAAACCGTACCTTGCGTATTAGGGAGATGAATAGACTGGGAAGGAAATAAGAATTGTGGGGAAGCGAGCAGTGTGTCCCACGATGTGACGGAGTGACGGAGAGTGCAGACCTCAAAAAGTGAGAAGACGGGGGGACGGGGAGCCAGAGGGGCAAATGGCTCCGAAGTTAGAATGTCAATTGGATGTTTCGGCACGCTTACTTAGGTCGGATCTGGTAAGCGCGGCCGAGGCTTTGATGACTGGTACCTCCTAAGGGTGGCAGCTTTGTAATTGGCTGCAGATGGGAACGTCTCAATCAGCTGGTCTGTCACGCCGATGTTCACGCTGAAGACCAGGAAGGGTGCGGTAACAGCTGGACACCCAGGAAAGGCGCAGGCGCAGCAATCCATGCGAGTGCGACGGGTCTCGAAGTGGGAAAGGGAAAAAAGACTTCAACGGAAGTCTGAAGTTTGTATGGCAAACGTGCGGTCTGAAGGGAACGGTGTTTTGCGTTGGCTCGGCAGATGCCAGGCGGTGCAGAGCAGGGGAGGCCTTGCTCGAGTCCCAGCTTGGGCACTGGGTTCTGGAAGTGCGTAGGATGCTGCTGGATCAGTGCGATGGTCAAATTCGACTGTAAATGTCGGCGCTTGTTCCCCCTTCCTAAACGAATTGACAGTTTGAAGGATGGAAAGTCGCAATCAGGGAGGCAGGTTGGGACGACCAGCCGTTTCGTATCGGCCGAGGCGATGTTTGTTTCTTTGTCTTTGCCGTTCTCTAGGCTGACCTCCTTTGGAGGCTGGACCGTTCAGCGTCTGTGAGGTGCTTTTAGTGGGATCCGTGGGCCGCTAGTGAACACGTTCTCTGTTGCCTATCAGTCTAATTTGAGGCAAGTAGGTTTGGTAGAGGATTGAGGCAGAGCTGTAACGTTGGGGCGGCAGGGTCAATTGACTGCCGGCGTGCTACAGAGGGGCTGAAAAAGAAAAAGCGGCGTAACAGATTCGGTCCCAAGCAACAGGTGGAAGCAACGAGTTTGGCCGAAAGATTTCGGCCAAAGTGACAGCAAACTCGATAAGTTCGAATGCCTGGAATATGTCGGGTGCTGGACTAAGACAACTGCCCTAAGTGCTGGGGAAAGCTTGGAGGTTCGATGATGCGGAGTACTGGTACAATGTACCTCACGAGCCAAGCCTAGAACGGCATGGTGCAAGATTATTCCTGGGGTGAGGAAGATGTTGAAGGATGGCTGACAGAAGACAGCGGCAGGGCAGGCAGCGTGTGAAAGCTCGACGATGGCATGTGATGCTGCGATAAGCGAATAAATCCACTAAGCTTCGGAACTGTCATGGCCGTACTGTTTAAGTCAATAGGCGTATACTGACATTGCCCTACGTGACTACGTAGTCTCGGACTGACCAGTGGGACCCAATAAGCTGTAGCGTCTGCTCCACGGTCATCCTGCTGACCGCCATTTCATTCCAGCTATATCCCCTTATTAAGCATCGATTCAACGATGTCACCCCGTTTGTTTCATGTCCGCATGCTCCGACATGATCCTTGCAGAACCTTTCCTCCCTGTACAGGCTGTTGGGGCAGGGAAGACAAGAAGACAGGCCACCGACTCAAGACAGCAATCAATACCTACTGTTACAATACGCCGTCATTACTCCTGCTGCAGCAGGCCACTAACCGTGAAGGCTTGCAGCGCGATGCAGGTGACCGGGCCATCTCCCACACCCCCCTCACGCACTCGTTGCCCTCATTCGCAGCCCTCCCTCCAACTTGACGCTTACCTTTTCGGGCACTCAACCACCCCCGGTCAACAGCCAACAGGGGTGGCCGTTTGGCTCTTTGGTGCCCCAGACATTCATTCTTTTCGACTCAGCGCCTTGATTTCCTGCTCGTCATTTTTCCGCAGTCAAAAACCACGGGGTCTTTTGAGCCCTCCGTCCTGGGCCCGTGACCATCATTTCAACCTACCCGTACCTTATTTGCCCTAAGCTACCTCGAGTAGTGCTTTGAGAGACCACTCTTCAATCGCTGTTGTGCCTGCTTGCTAAGGTATGCAAGTACATACAGCACGAGCTGGTAAGCAACGGCATTAGCATCAGAACCAGATTCCGCAGCCGCACCTACACCAACGCGTCTACGTTCGTCAGAGAATGTATTGCCCCAAGTGAACCTCGGGCTCACATCCGATCTTCGACGACGAACACACATACCCCCGTCGTCGTCTCTTGGCCCGGCACACTCAGCCCAGACTACGCAGTCGACTCCTCTGCTTCCTTTCCGGGAGCTCACCACGTCTCAAGGGTCTTCTTATTCTTAGCCCTGCATGGGCCGCATTAACATCCGCCGTACGGGTTAGACCTTGGAGTTGCTCGTGCAAGAGCTCAATCGAGACGTAGCACTGCTACATCGTCCGCACCTCCACCGCAACCCAGCCCAGCTCTGTTCTGCTCGCTGCCTTGCCTTATTTCACAACTCACCTCACCTTCCTTACCTTACACGGCCACTTCCTTTCGCACACCCATCCTCTCAACACCACCATCTCTCCTGTTCACCCCCCCTACTCCCCCGCTTTTCAGACGGGCAAGAAGAGGCAAACACGTCTTCCTGGCAAGAAAGAAGTACTAGAAGTCCAGAAACCCGGTGCCGCGCCTAAGCGCAGCCACCTCTCCACTCCGTCTCTACGTAACCCGACCAGCTCGACTTTGGCCACTTCCACTTCTGCCACGGCGCACTCCTAAAGACGGCAACCACACCCACCAACCTCTTCAGTCTCCTATCAAGCTGCACCGACCACGCTCACTGCTATCACAATAACAAGCCTTCACCCCGCCATATCACAAGGCAAACCAGCAACAGGTCGAACCATAATTACTACTACTGCACGCCCTCTCCCAAACAGGCGACCCTCCTCGTATACACGCGCTGCTCATCCGATAGAAACACGTTCCTGTTGCCATGTGCCTCTAGTATATCGACCTTCCCAGAGGAATGCGCATATCCACCACCGAACCGTCCGCATTCAATCTCTCACACAATCATAAGCCACTTCGCCCAACGTCTCTCCCCACCGGAATCACCACTTTGAACGACTTTCGTCCAGTTGCCAGAAGACGCACCCATGCTCGCCATACAACGTCCCAGGATGGGTTCGACGCAGCCGTCAGACCCGAATTTGCCCTTCGGCTGTAAGAATACCGTCTATTCGTCTTATTTTATCGTTGTTGCCGGCCGTGAGAGCTAATGTTTTTCGCTTCAGATGCCGTTGATCCTTCTCAAGATTTCTTCCTTGACCCTCCCGAACCTGCGCCTGGCGCACCTCTCCTCAATGCCGATGACACAAAACTTCTCAGTTCCTTTTTTGAGGATATGACCGCGGACCACTACAATCTCCCGTCTTTTGGAGAAGGTCTTAACTTCAGCGATGCTTGGCTGGACCTACCACCGGTGTTTATGGGGACGGCAACGTCCTTTGGCCAGTCCCCAGCACCGCCTCTTGCATCTCCAGGACACGCCATTCCCCATACCGATTTCCCTGACATGATGTCCATGGGCTCGAATCTGATGCCACCGCCACCGCCTCCTCCCCAACAACAGCAACAGCAGCAGCAACAGCAACAACAACAACAACAACAACCACCACCATTACAGCAGCAGCAACAGCAGTCACATCAGACTCTGGAACAACATCATTCGGCAGACGTGCTCGCAGCCGCCACACTTCTCCAAAATGGCTCATCATTAAGATCAAGCAACGCTGGCTCCAGCGCGATGTTTAGCAATAGCAACAGAGATATTACACACTCTCTGGGCCCCCCAGTCGGTCACCTCAGACACCAACCTATGGAGGACTTCAAGCGCGCTGAGCGCGGCAGCGTCGCCCAGGCCAACCTTGTCGAGGACCACGAAAGCACCTTTGCGGATATGTTTTTTGGCCCTGCGCCAGGTGAAAGGGTCTCGGCCCAGCGGACGAGTCAAGCCCCGATCGATCTTCAGTGGGGTACCGATGCCCGGTTTGGCCGTGCCAACTCATTCGTTCCCGACCCGAAAGAATCGTATGACGCTTTGGCCAAGGGCCAGCTAAGATACATGGAATGCCTCGAGCCTAGCCAGAGCAACAACAATACACGCCCTCCAAGTGCTAACGGCGAGTCTTCCTTGGGTAAGGGACACAGCCGAAAGTCGTCTGAGATCTTGAAGAAAGAGGAGGATACTGAAGCGCCACCACGCAAGAGGAGAAAAAGCCGAAGTACGAAGGAGGATGTGGACGAAGAGGATGAGGAGAGTGGTCCTTCAGTAAAGGCGGCAAGGAAACGAAAGACTAAGACAGAGCCCTCCAACACGCCACCGGCGGAAAACGGAACAGCAGGCAGGAGACGCAAATCAGGCACCGGAGCCAAGCCGCCTCGGGAGAATCTTACAGAAGCACAGAAAAGAGAAAACCACATCCGGAGCGAGCAGAAACGGCGGACGTTGATCAAGGAAGGCTTCGACGACCTCTGCGATCTTGTGCCAGGACTCAAAGGGGGCGGTTTCAGCAAGAGTACCATGCTCACCATGGCAGCTGAGTGGTTAGAGGACATGCTCAAGGGCAATGAGGAGCTCAGTGCTCAACTGAATGCTCTCGAGGGCCGGTGATGATCACTGCTTCCTTCATATTACTACTATTATGTGTTGGAGTGTACATGTATATACTTGACTCGAGCTTCAAAAGGAAGCCGAATTATTGGGAGCAGGCGTTCATTTCGTTGCGATGAAGCAACACATGACAAGAGGGGGCTAAGAGAAAGAACGGGATACGGCGTCATATTGAAACGACCGGAAGATGGAGGTTTTCTGGGGGTGCCAAGAACAGTTGGATGATTATGAGAGTGATTCACGAGAGAATCCCGGCTACGATGCGGGCCGCGGACGGGAGTCGATGACGATTAACGTGCGGGAACAGACTTAAACATTCTTATTTTTCTTTTTCTTTTTTTACTAGGGAAGGCTCTTGTAGTTGATACCCTTCACATTGTTATCTCCAAAAAAAATAAAATTCGTTAAAGTATGACACTCTCCAGTGCGTTCTGTACAACTTTTGAAGTCAACTACTGGAGTGAGATACTCCTTCTGGTTCTGTTGAGTCCGTCTGCCATCTCAACTTTTTGCTCCCTAGGAAGTGACACACATACACACAGCTTGCAAGGGTTGGTCAAGCCCAGGTATGGGTGCCATAGGAGTCGGCCGCGCTCTACTTTTTTTTTTCTTTCTTTCTGACATGTGAAAGCTCGCTCGCGTGGTGCGGATGCACCCCGCAGGTTCCTCTTTTTTTTTTTTTACAGTGTCGATCACATATGTGCAACTCACATACACACTAACACCCACACACACACTCTCTCTACGAGATCCCCTGTCTTATCCATTCAGCAGCGCTGGACGGAGGGTACGGTGTTTCGCCTGCTCCGTGCCTGCATGTCTGCGATATTAAATCGGAAATGACTTCCGCATATTTCCACTAGCTACATGCAATATTTATTCATTCATCGTCTCGTGAAGTTCATGTCTTGGATGCCGGGGGTGGGGAGGGTGGGAAAGGGTGCTGCTCGCTGTAGTGTAATGGGTGGGGTAGACAACCACCCACGACGCCCATTTGCCGCCCGCGATTTCTTGATCGCGCGCGGGGTGAAGGGGGCAGAAATGGAGATCTGAGCGGCGGGCGGTGACGGGTTTGGGCTTGACAGGCGGAGAATTTTTGGCGATGGACTGGAGAGATAAGGCTACGGCAAGGACAAAGCGGTAGGCGTCGAGTTGCTACCTGGGCGGCTGGGCTTGGCGGCTGCCATATACTCGACTATCTCGCTACCTACCCTACGGTTGAGAAGGATGAGGCACGGGGGGTGTGTGCGTGTGAGAGAGTGTATGTGGTGCTTATCTAGGTTGTCAACGACAATGGTTTTGGTGGGATGGCTGGTTTGAGGCTAGGGTGGAAATATACACCGGGCCAATCTAGCAAAAACAATATGGCGTTCTTGTTTCTTGAACTACGTGTTAGTGCCCGTCGGTGAGGAACGAACGAGATCTCAGCCCGGGCTGGGCTTGGTGCGGACTAGCCAGCCTAGGCCGAAACAACGTGACGGCGAGGTTCGTCGCCGGCGCCGAAAGGGAACGAGGGGATCGGCGAAATCGGGGATCTGTTGACGAAGATTCCTCGGGTAGGTATGGATGGTGCCATCTTGTTATGTGAAATCTAAGTTTCCTAATGCGTTAGGCTCGTTCTTCATGGGCAATGGGCTGGGCGAAGCTTCAGGTCGTAGATGGTGCTGTTTTGTTCCCTCTTCTTTCTTTTTTGAAAACGGGAGTTAGGTCTCAACTGCCACTTATCAAGACACTTGCTTTGTGTCCTTTTTGTTTACTATGGGATGAAATACCAGGTATTATTGCTGCTGACGTACTACCACGTTTTCTAAACAATCTCAATATCCGAAGTGTTGGGGTCATGATGTCAAGCGATCGCGTCATCACGTGAAACAAGACCATGCCCATGAAGCTCTTTGCCCACTGGTCATAGTTTCTCATGATTAGCGGAGCTGCATATCATAAAGTTAGATCTTGCGTGATTTTCCATCAGCTTATCAATTAATATTCTCATTTGAATGTTGAAAGTCAAAATTCGTCGCAGCTTACAGCGAGCTTCTCTAGCTATATGAGCACCTTGACTGTATTTTTACCAACACATACGACCATACCCACTGGAAAACTCGGGATCCCGTCCGCTCTCCCATAGATAAGCCAGTGAGGGCCGGATTAGTAGTTGGGTCGGTGACGACCAGCGAATACCTGGTGTTGTATGTTTTTGCGAATCGTAATTTTGCCCGGGTTAGGCTAGGGCGCTTGAACGTTTTTGAGCAATGTTTCACTGGATCCCTTTTTGCACAGGTCGAATTGTATTCAGGAGACAGTTCGGGTGTTTCATTGTTCTATGTCGAAGGGTTTGAAACGGTGGTGAACGAGGCTGAATATGTTGAGCCACTGGTGTAAGCCTATCGGCCAGTATTCGGGCCTACCACTTTGTACGAAGAGGCTGGAAGAGTCTCCTGGCCACCTATTTGCGAGGCTGTAGGCCCTTTAAAAGAAGTTCGGCATTAGACACAAACTAACGGGGCGGTAACAGCTTCGTCGCGCCACGATGGGCCACCGTCAGTCAAGACCAAACACCGAACGTGGCGGTCTAACGCTCCCTTGGACATCGTGCTATACGCGTTTCCGCTTTAGCTAGTTGAATAATATCGTCATATTGGACATGGGGGCGAGCAGAACAAAGAGAACAATGATAAGGATGGCGGATATGAGAAAGACCCGGAAGACGAAACCTAACAACCCAAATCTCGCAGCCCTGCCGACAATATTGTCCCTAAGAACGGGCAATCTCGACCAGACTACCACGGAAGTTTCATACAGTCACATTGCAGATAGCAGGACAAACGTGTGCTCCATTTGTGGATAGAACTGATGAATAGTATTAACTTAATAATGCACTACTCTCAATTCCAACCCTCTTCACCCTGAACACCACCCCTTAACCACGGACCCATGAGCAGATTCCCAGCACAAACACACAAACAAGGATATCGCTCCTGACCGTCACAAAAATTTGCCCATACCGCAGCAAAGTCTCAACATACGTCTTGATGTTGCCTGGCAAGAATGAGACAACAGTCCAGACCAATCCGCTCGGCGGCGCACGCCCCCGATCAACAAAGAACCGCGTGGTAAGCAGCACCGCCTCAGCCGTCGCAAACATCCAGAAGAAAACCTCGCGGCCCTTCTCCATCGTGTTGACGTCGGTGACCGCCTCATCGCTGCCGACTGGGTAGCTGTATGCCAAGGCTGTATGCTCGCGCTCCATCTTGCTTCCAGTGAAGGTCGTCGAGAAGGCAATGTAGAGACCCAAAGAGATTGCGAAGATGGCGTGGAGAATGCGCCAGAGGTATGCCGACGAGGTGTCTGCTTGTTGTTGGGGCATCTGCATGCCGGGGAATCCTGCCGGGAAACCTCCCGCACCCGCACCTTGAGCTCCAGGAAAGCCTGGGAACCCTCCACCACCTGGACCGCCGGCGCCAGCCATCATTTGTGAAAGCATCTTCATCATGGGGTCCTCCTCGCCGCCTGGCATGCCACCTGCGGCCGCGAAAGGGTTCATCGGTGGGGCACCGCCGGCTCCAGGACCGGGTCGGTCGAACCCAAGCATCATCTGCCGCAGTTGATCTTCACTCATAGAATTCGGGTCGATGGGAGGGCCTGAGGGTCGGGGAGTGGCGGCAGGTTGGTAGTAATGTTGCGAGATATCGATTTCCTCGGGGTCTGCATGCTCAGCGGTCGCCGCCTTGGGCTGAGAGGCGGCTGGCGAGGCGGAGGGAACAGGGGATTCTGTTCTCGAAGACGGAGCTGGAGATGGGACTGGGTCATCTATGTTTTCAGTCAGCACTGCTATAATTTCGAGGCATACGGTAGAGAACTGAGCGGTTAACTGGAAAGGATTTGGTCGTACCTCTCTGGAAGCCTCCACCGAGACCGGTGATCTTATTCAGTCTGGCCGTACCGCCCGCGCGAATTTTTGCCTCACGCTTCGCCTTGCGTAGGCGCGCTTGCTCTGCTGCACGCTGAGCGGCGGCATCCTCGGGTGTTGTGTCCGCCATCTTGTCGTTTTTGGTGTTTAAGCGTGGGGAGAGCACGTTGCTGAGGTGTGACGTGTGGATTAGTTGGCTTAGCCCGCGCTTATCTTATCGGGAAAAGGGCCAACCCAGGCCCCAGCACAAATGCCCCTTCAACGTCACTAATGTTCAACCATCGTAAACGAGAATGAGAGAAACTACATAGTTTTGAAGCATTCCAAACACAAATCAAGAGCCAATTGGTGTTCTTGTTAACTATCATCAGCTTCTGAGCAGGGTTGTGTGTTTTGTTAAAGGACGGTAAGTGGTTGTTGAACTTGACGCTAAACTAGAATCTGCCAATACACAACACAACATTATTAGATTTCGATGGTAGGTAACAGTTTAAAGGCATTTAATCACAACATTTTCGTTTTGATTCTAGTGTATACGTAAAAGTGCAACTGGCTATCATCGACTACTCATTCCAACGCAATCAGCTCCTTTCATCCGTCAAGGCATTCATGGAGTAGCCTTGCTCATGCTGATCAACCGCTTGACACCAACCTGGGAAACTAGTTAGCATGCTTATTGAGACATATGCTTTTTAGACTGTACTTACCATCCAGTTACCACACTCTTCAGTCTTCTCCTTCTGAATGTCGACTTGGATCTTTTGAGCGATATCGTAGTTCTTCTGGTCAATGGCCTCGGCCAGTGCCGAGAGCTGGTCGATTGTGTCAGGCTTGACTAGCTCCTCATTGTTCAGGTGGTCAAACAGCAGGTTGAGACGCTTTTGAGTGTCTTTCACTTGAGCGGCAAACGAAGCAGGCGCCCGCGAAGCGACACGCTGCATGTCCGAGTTGAGGACATCTACCAACCGCTGAGCATGGGCTGGGATGTGAGACCTATCGCCGGCGGGATGCCGGGCCTTCGGAGGGGGCGCTGCCTTCGGGGGAGGGGGGGTAGCTTCGGATCTAGCAGCGGGTGGGGGGCCGCCCGCTGGAGGAGGCCCAGTGGGAGGTCTTGATGCCGCTGGCGGGGGTGCACTAGCAGCAGCAGGGGCTGCGTACGGCGAGGGCGCGTACTGGCTCTGCGGTGCTCCAGCTCCAACCTGTGGGGGCGGAGCATACGGGTTCCTTGGCGGCTGTTGGTTGCCCGGCGGTGGCGCTGATCCCAAAGGCGGTTGGCTAGTCTGAGGTTGCGCCGAGGGAGCAGGGGCATAACGGTTGGAAGGAGGTGCGCCGGAGGGAGGCGGGTTGTACGGCGAGGGGCCCCGGGCCATGGGTGGCGGCATGGAAGAAAGCGGAGCGCCGGCCTGAGGGGGCGGGGGAGCATATGCGTTCGACGCGGCCGACGTCGGTCTCGGAGGCGCCTGGAAGGCTTGCGGAGGCCCAGCCAGAGGAGAGGTAACGCGAGGGGGGGCCGGACCCTTGGGAGGAGGTGGAGGAGGGGTTGAGCCTGTGCGGCCATAGGGGCTCTGAGGAGGAGCGCTGGCCTGGTTCACCTGGCCAGGGAAGGGCGAGGTGATCGGAGCAACATTGGGAGTCGTTCTACGAGGAGGCGGTGCCCTGGCAACTAATGGCACATCGTTCCAGCTCTCCTTAGGACGGAAGCTCGACGTAGGCGTAGAGTTTCGCGGAGGAGGGGGCGTGGCACCAAAGTTGTTTGGGGGTGCGCCAAAGTTGGTAGGCGGTGGTCCGTAAGAGGGTGCTTGGTAGGGCTGAGCGGCAGGAGGCTGGTAGCCTTGGCCAGGAGCATATGGTGAATGAGTAGCAGCGGGCGTAAAGCCTGCTGCAGGAGTTGGAGTGAAACCAACTGAGGATGTGGGAGCATACGGGTTCGATGCTGCTCCTGGCGCAGGAGGGCTAATGAGGGAAGGCCCGGCCGGCGCGTACAGGTTGGAGCCACCTGGAGCCGGAGCCGGAACAGTGGGCTGGTAAGCTGGGGTGGCTCTCGGGTTCGTCACGGCCGGAGGCTGTCCAGGCCTGCGAGCGGCGGCGGCAGTGGCGGCCTTGGGGGCACCCTGGGAGACTCCGCTCCTCTGAGTTGCAAGTCTCAAGCGGTTTCTTGCCAGATCTGCCGCGGGGTAGCTGTCGGGCAGTAGGTCCAAGTACTTCTGCGCAACCGCGAGTTGACCGTGTGCGGCAATAATGTCGGCGTACTCTGTGTACTTCTCGTACAGAGCTGACAACTTCCAGTCGGCAGCTTGGGTCTTCCCAGAGTCTTCGAACTTGGTGACTTGGCGGAAGATGGTGACCTTTTCGATAAAGTGCTGTAGAGAGCGGGCATGGACAGAGAAAGTCGAGTCATCGCTGGGCTCTTGAACACCGGCCTGTTCAGCCTCCTCAAGCTCCTTGATCCAGATGGAGACGACCTTCTCGAGCTTCGAGCCGACTAGGTAGCAGAAAGAGGCATCCTTGCGGGAGCCGCTTTCAAGGATACGGTCTCCAAGGGCCTCGCAGAGATCGGGGAATTCCTTAGGATCAGAGAATGTGCACAGAATAGCCATTGTCTCCTTCCAATTCTCAAGGTCAGCATTGTAGACGACGTCCCATAGGTTCTTGGCAATGACGGATCCTAAAAGACGGATATAGCTGGGAACACCGCTCTTGCTGGCCAAGTAGGCGCTCTGCACCTTATCGACCAGTTGTTGTCCACCGCAGTTAGCAATCAAGAAAGCGTCAGCCCAGCGCTCCTCCTTGAGAGAAATCTCGGTGGCCTTGGTAAAGTCACCGAGCATCAAGGCCTTGGTAATGGACTTCTCCACCGCAGTGTCGGTATCAGCAAGCAAGTGGAAGGGGCTGTCGGTCTTAGCTCCCTTGTTTGCAGAGAGGTTAGACAGGAAGTCTTCACCCTCGCCTTCGCCATCGCCCCACAAGTTGTCTTCATCCTTGGTATCCTCCTTCTTCTCCTCTGCAGGCTCCTCGGACTTCTCTTCCTCGTCCTTGCTAACTCCATTTGCGACCTCCTTCTCATCGAATCCGAGGTACTCAATGATGCGCTTTCGGGGGTTCTCGGCAGTCAGAGTTTCCATGACAAGCCAATCCGCCTTCTCTTCCTCAGTCTTAGCCTGCTCTTTGCGAGTCTCGCAAAGACCAACAATGTCACCAGACTGGAGTGCCTCCTCGAATTTCTCAGTTGCGCTGCTAACGGAAGAATCAACAGCAAACTGCGAGATGGAGAGCTTGGACGTCCGCTGCTGAGCGTTTTGCTTGAAGATAACCAATTTTCCACCAAATCCAAAAGTAGCACCAATCGGTCGCTCAAACCACTTGGGCGCCTTGTTCAGCGAGAAGGATGCCCCCTGAGGCTGGGTCTGCGCGCTGGTAAAGAAGTCCTCGCCGTCCAGGTTGTTCTGGGTCGTGGCTTGAGTGTTTGAGGGGTTGGTGTTTTGTAGGGTTTGGATAGTAATCTTGCCATCAAATCCAGCGGTGGCGGAGAGGTTGGGGTTCGAAGGGTTGAACCGAGTGAGGAAGGTCCAGTTTGTAACCTCGGGGAATTCTCCATACCGATCACCAGTCTGAGGGTTCCAGATCAAGGTCCTGTTGTCCTTGCCGCAAGAAATAAGCAAATCGCTGTCCTGTTGACACCAAGACAGAGACAAGACGCCCTGCTCGTGGCCCTGGAGCGTACGCTCAGGCGCATTGGAGTTCCTGAGATCCCAAAGGAAGATCAAAGGATTGGTATCGTCGTGGGTCGCGGTCAGAAGCTTGGTCGAGTTATTGGGATCCCAGGCAATCGCACTGACGGGTTTCCTGTTGTTGTTCAGCGTCAAGGACGCCTTCTTCGTCTTCAAATCCCAAACAGTGACAAATCCGCCAGATCCTCCAGTGGCCAAAATGTGGGCAACCTTGCGGTTCCACGCAACACATTCCAGGTCGTCTGAGCGAGCGGCAGCAGTACCAAGTCGGAACGGGTTCGAAACGTCGTTGACATCGTAGATGAAAAGCTCTCCCTTTGCCCCAGCAGTTGCGAGGATCTGGGGTCGGAGGGGGTTGAATTGGAGGGATTTGATTGCACCAGTGTGCTTCGTCGTTCGGGACATGTGGGCGTCGTCAGAACCCTCGATGAGCTTCTCAGCATCCCAGAGGTCGAGGGAGCCATTCTCCAGAGCACCGGCGATGATGCCCCTAGGATGGTCGGAGTCGGGAGGTCCCCAAGCAATGTCATAGAATCTATGGATACTGCGTGAGTGACGAACTTGGTTGGGTTGAATGGCGGCGATGCCTACCTCGAATCGGTGCTGATGCTGGCTACGGGCTGTAGCTCGAGGCCCTGGTCTTGGTTGTCAAGGTTAAGGTCCCACAGCTCCAGCTTGGTTTCATCAGAGAAATCGGCATCGACGGCTCCAGCTCTGGTGCCGGTGATCAACAGAGGCTTGGATGGGTCGGGCGACCAGGCAAAGGCCGCGGTCCTCGGGATCTCGCGAAGGCGAACCATGATTGCGAGAATCACTCAGTCCCCAGGACTGCACTCGGAGGGAGGTGAGGGTCGTTGCAAAAGAAAGGGTCTACCAGACAAGACAAATCAGATGCAGATGTGAATTGGCATTGGCTGATTATGTAGAGACAAAAATCTGGTAAGGGGTGGCCCAGACTCTGCTGTGGTAAAAGAAAAGCAGCCTAGCCTTACGAGAGAGGTGGCTGTCAGTTGTTTGGATTGGTACGCTGGCCTCTATACTTGGGAATTATGATGCCAGATTGCAGCCCACATCCAGGTTCAAGCTCCCCCAAAACGCAGACTCCACGTCCCGGGACCGTGCGCCTGGCACCAAAAGTTGCGTCACGTGCATCCAGGCAGAGCTCCCCTCAGGTTCAGCCAATAGTGAGTTACGGGAGCTATTGCACTGGCACCCCGCCAACGAAAGATTCCCTCTCACTGAAAGTTATACTGTCACTTCTGATATCTCATGAGAGTTCGACAACTAGCGCCCCAATCGCTCATCCGAAGAACCAAAACATAAAAATAATAAAAATGACAGACGCCGCACGCTGGAAAGCCACTGTATTTGTTGGCGGTCTAGCATCAGTCGTCACCGCCGCCAACGTTCATGATGCCTTCATCCCCTTTGGCGAAATCGCAGATGTGTCGCTGCCCAAGAACGACAAGCCAAACTCAACTGACCCTCATCGGGGGTTTGCATACGTTGAATATGAAGACGCGGAAGACGCCAAAGAAGCCATCGACAACATGGATCAGTCGGAATTTTTCGGAAGAGTCATAAAGGTTTCAGCCGCCAAAGTACCAAAGAGCGCAGACGAAGGTCTCGGCAGCAAAAAGGCGCTTTGGGAGCAGGTATGCCAGGTTCATCTCATCATGGAGACTGCATATACTAACTAAGGTCACAGGAAGGATGGCTGGCTGAACATGCCGTCAGTGAGGAGGACAGGCTCGCTGCGGAGCAGACCCAAGCGCAAGTTGAAGTGCGCGGAGATGACCCCATGCAGGGTCTGGAGGGGCTTGATGTCGCAGGCCCAAGGCCGGAGTGAGGGCAAGGCGAAGTCATAGGGTGACTTGGGTCTTATTTCTTTGCATAGCGATGGCGTTCACATGGTTACTGATGTACAAGGGACCTGGTCTTCCTTCAAGACTGGGACGAGAAGCACTATTTTGAGAAAGGAAAATTGAAAGCAGCGGTCCTAATGCCCTTGATCTGTCTCTGTCGTCGACATTTACAAATAAGATCCCCCTAATCACACATGGACGCTGTGGTCAACCATCTCCCATCACTCCCTCGATTACCATTTAGTGGTGGTTCTCAGCGGCCTCGGCGGCGTCGGCGGCCAGCTTGCCCTGGCGCTTGAGACGGATGGTGCCGTCGGTCATGAAGTGGCGCGCGATGGAGTAGGTAGCAGCCGTAAGAGCGAAGCCAACAACGACACCTGTGTTGTGTTAACCAAAATCCGAGTAATTTTTTCCCACACCGGGGTCTGACGTACCGAGGGGGATCAACTCGGGAGGGATCTGGCGGAGCTTGCGCAGTCTCTGGGAGACGGTGTGGCCTATATAGATGTCAGTCCTTGCCAATGGTTTCGCGGCGGTTTTCGCTGTCGTCGGCATCGATGCTCGGTATCGTGGGATCCGTCAATGGCTTGTGGCAGGTGTCGACATACCAACTTGGTCCTCGGCCTTGGGGTAAACGTCACAATTAGTTATGGCGCTCGTCCGGGGCAGCGAAATTTCAACGTACAGGAACGGGGGACATCATCCGCATGGTCGGGCGGAAAGCGCGGAGACCGAGAGTAGGACGCATTTTGACGGCTTTGAATTTCTTCGGAGAGGGGAGATTTTCGAGTTTTTGGTACAGCTGAGGGAGCAGTATTGCGTTGATTGGATTGGATCTCGAAATGAGTGATAGAAGTTGGACCTGCTTCCATCAGTCTGGTCTGATGTTAGGATGGAGCTCGGCCCACCTTTGCAATGCCTGAGGCCCGATTGGTTATTTCAGGCATCCACCCGTTCTCGCCCGTCACCACCTGATTCTCGGTGCAGAAACGACCTTCGATTGCTCTCACAGCAACAACACCAATCGTACGCCGCTGCCCACTATACTCCATCAAACGAACCGACTCCCAGTCAATTGCACTCGCACGCAGTCAAAATGGCCGACGATCAGGAACTCGTGACCAAGCCCTTCAAGTTCGTTACTGGTACGTTAAGAAATATCCCTCGCCGAATATGGCCTGATCTTTTTCCGAGGCTAACTGACGATTTCTAGCCGGTATGAACCCTCCGCTCGACGATCCGGCACCTGGGATGCGACAGCATCAATTGATGTCAAGCACCATGAACAATGGCTTAACGTGAATACAGGCACCGACGCCCGCTTCCCGAACATGAACCAGACCAAGCACTGCTGGCAAAACTACGTCGACTACCACAAGTGCATCAACGCCAAGGGCGAGGACTTCGCTCCCTGCCGCCAGGTCCGAATCACCTACGATGCTATTGGAGCAATTGACGACTGACTTTCTGCAGTTCTGGCTCGGCTACCGCTCTCTGTGCCCCTCCGGCTGGTACCAGCGCTGGGATGAGCAGCGCGGTTAGTACCAAACCCCGATATGTAGAAACTTAATGCTGACAAAGAACAGAGGCTGGCAACTTCCCCGTCAACCTGAACGCATAAGCGGTGTTGGAGTAGGCTGTACGCAAGTTAGACGGAGGAGCCGGGCGACTGTATTACTTCGAAATGGATCGAGACCTCAAATAGAGCATCGGAGGATGTGTCGTACGACGAGGCTGAAAGCGCTCATGGGCGCTGAATCTGATTTCGTGACAAACTATTTGTAGACCCCACCCATTTGATCATTTGTACAAAACCGCAAAGCTTGCTGCCTTCCATTAACCCGGTCGACCGGAACTCCGTGCGCTCTCAACGGCGCAAAACTCATCGCGCAGATAACTCCAAGAAACCAAGAAAACATATGCCGTCCTATTACTTTGCCTTAACATCATCCTCATCATCTGAGCTCATAAACTCATCGTCTTCATCGAACCCAAAAAATGTTCTCGGCTTTTCCTTGGCGACCTTGACCGGTTCTGAAGGAGGGGTTGACTCTTTAGAGCTGCTACCCTCTGCCTTTTCCTCCTCACTCGACACTGCCCCATCGGTCTCTTCAGATCCCGTAGATCCTTGTGATGTGCCCAAGAAGTTGTCTCTGTAGTTGCCAGCCTTCATCGCAGCGAGGACGGCATCACGGGTTCTCTCGTTTGACTCTTCCTTGTCCTCAACCCACTTTCCATCAAGACGGCCCTTGCCACCATTCTTGATCTCATCTTCGCGTTTCTCTGCCAGTTCAACAATCTGCTCCCACCTCTCACGTCGCCTCTCTTTCTCCTTCTTCTCCATTTCCGGCTTTATAGCGAGATACTCGGCCAGAGCCTTGGCCTCGGTTACTGTACGTAGGCGTCTGCCGTCAAGGTTTCTGCTCGAGTTGTTGGCATCGCCCTGGTTGCGCTTCTTTTTGGAGGACATGCGACCTCCAGCAGCCCTCAACTGGGATCCGAAACCACCCTTGCCACCGCAAAGCGGTACCGAAAGTCGCAGTGAAACAAAGTCATCTTTGATGGAGGAAAGCAAGTCCGACACTGGTCGTGAGGAAGAAGCAGACAGCTCCTTGTTCGACACGGTTGTCAGAATGAGTCGACTTTCCGTAGAAGGCAGCCTCTCATCGAGTTGTTGTCGAAGCTCCGATAGAGAAGTTGATGATGGTACGGGGAGGACCAATGTTGATGGAAGGCCCAGACCAGCGAAAGTGCTGACAAACACGTTAACGTTCTTGACAGCCATTTTGAGTTGATTGACACTGATTTCTGCAATGAAGTTTTTTTCTAGCGGCTCGAGAATACTGTCGACCTGCCGTCGGGTAAGTAGAGGATGTTGATGCAGTAGCCTGGCAACCACTCAGTGATGTTTGATTTGGTTGAATCGCGACCATCGGAGATAAGGCCAAAAATTGCACCGCCACATCGAGGTGACACGACAGGCTGGCTTGTCGCTTATCTCTTATCAACACGTGAGCGCACAAGCCACTGCCCGCTGGACAGAAAGCCCCACCCTCGCTAGCCCTTGCCAACCACACTTGTCGTAGCTGCCGCACAAAATATTTCCAATTTCACTGACCTTTAAGCCTATCGTCACGATCTCAACCCCTTCAACATCGACCAGCAAGCGACCAGACAACCGCCACGATGTTGATCCCCAAGGCCGACCGCAAGAAGATCCACGAGGTTAGATTTACAATTCGCGGGAGCGCGAGAAAATTATAATTCGCAGGTCATCGATTGCTGACGCCGAAATTTACAGTACCTCTTCCGTGAGGGTGTCCTCGTCGCGAAGAAGGACTTCAACCTCCCCAAGCACCCCGATATCGACACCAAGAACCTTTACGTCGTTAAGGCCCTGCAGTCCCTCAACTCCCGCGGCTATGTCAAGACCCAGTTCTCCTGGCAATACTACTACTACACCCTGACTCCCGAGGGTCTCGACTACCTCCGCGAGTGGCTTCACCTCCCCGCCGAGATCGTTCCTGCTACCCACATCAAGCAGCAGCGCTCCCACGCTCCTCCCCGCGGCATGCTCGGCGAGGGCGAGCGCGAGAGAAGACCCTTCGGCGGCCGTGGCCGTGGCGAGCGTGGTGACCGTGAGGGTGGCTACCGCCGCCGTGATGCTGGCGAGGGCAAGGAGGGCGGTGCCCCTGGTGGATTCGAGCCCCAATTGTGAGCATTCCTTTCCGCCGGCGATTTCGATCGATGGCCGGCGCATATTCGAGAACCAGGACAATGTGCTAACAATTGATTACAGCCGTGGTGGCTTTGGCCGTGGCCGTGGCGCTCCCCCCTCGTAAGAGGTATCTTTCCTATCGGCTTTTACTCTCGAGACGCATTGGCAAAACAAAAAGGCACCGACATGTACTCTAAAAAGTGGATGGCCGGAACAGTCGCGCGTCTGTTAACGTCACAGACTACGGGGGAAACATCGTGGGAGTTTGGAGGTTAGATCCTCGGAAATCGTTTGCATCAAAAGGTCATGAATTGCAGCCTGCGGCTTGTGCTGCTTCCTCCAAACTGTGAAACGTCACTTTTCTCTTTCTTTACAACGCTGTGATGAGCACGCGGTGTCTGCCGGTCTAGAGCATGGGTCAGTGCTGAAATCTCGAGATGCCACGTTCGAGAATCCTTTATGCATGTCGAGGGAAGCGAGATGAAAAGAACGACGAGGACGACTGGTTATCATTGGTGTTCTCGGAGTCGAGAGGGCTGGAAACGAAAGGGATCGGTCTGGCTAAAAAGTATGTTGAGAGGCAGCTTTCCTGCGGTAAGCATCGATGTCGACGCACGTAGGATAGCTTCAGCAGGCTGCACGCACGAATGAACGTATCGTACACTGGACCTTCAAACCCGTTTCCTCGTAGACCCGTAGAGAGGTACGACGCCATGATCCCACCCAAGCCTTGCTAACCCCGCCTGCTATTTTGACCCTGAATGAGTGGGCTGTCCAAGAGCAAGATGAATGATTGCCGAGAAACACTGGACGTAATCCTGGGAAGTGGCGGTGACTGCGCGAATCGAATCTCATGATTACCAGGTTTTCTAGTCTTGTAGGAGTCTCGTTGGTGCCCCCCCCCCCCGCGTGAGTCCGGGATTCGAGTCCTATCTCCACACTCTTATCACATTATTACAGTGAGATGCTGCAGATCGGTACTTCTAAGAAACAGGGAGGGTGTGTCAATTCCTCGACGTCCCTCCAACGGCTAACCTCAAATCGAGTGGCAACGTATATGATTATCTCCCTTGTGTGAACCCATTACCTTCTTGATGTATGTAGGCCGGATTCCGGAACTACTCGCCTCGAAGCGCCCGACCCGTGGCAGGGGGATGAGGGGCAGTCCTGTCCTTGATCCTTGGATAGTATCGCTTTTGCACTCTGGCAGGTCATCCAGTCCGTTAATTCCCCAGTGCCTATTCGACATAAACTCTCCTTGAGTGAACTCCTATCGGCAAACGGCAAAACGAACGGTTGAATTCTGGGCTCATTGGTCATTTAGAGATACGAACTTCTCGCAATTACAGCCTGGCAGGCCATCAATCCCCTCTAATTACGTGAAAACCCTCATTTTGTGTGCTAATTTGACCTCGCACATCAACGAACCGCTGGGTTCAAACTTCCGTGTCTCACACAGCGCCCACTGGATCAGATGAGGACCAAGTAGTCATCGCGCCCGCTCACATCAACCCGATACGTAAGTCAATTCCATGTGGAGGAAGTGTCTCCACGCCAAGGGCCGGATACAGAGAGTGCCAACAAACCGGGGAACGGCCGGTTGAGGGCCACATCCAGGGTACCGCGTGGAGAGGGGAGAACAACTGTCACGGGCACGGGCATGAGAGCGCTCCGGTGAGCAAAGCCGAAGTGCTAGTATAAGTTAATGCGGTATAATGTTAATTGTCTTTTATTTTTCACGCCCCAAGTCTCTAGAAAGGTGATTTCGTTAAGGTGGTCTGCTTGGCTCTCTGGGTTCAAGAAGAGTTGATGGCTTTTGCATGCACAAGATTAGGACCGCCACAGTGTTAAAAGTGGAGCTGCCAGCTGGAATGGAATATGTTGGATGAGACAATGGTGGTCTTTCTCCCTCTCAGTGGTGTCAGGTTTCCTGGTTCAGTTGGCTCTTGGTTGCATTTACGAGCTTGCAGGCAGTCCAGGATCCTGTTCCCCCTGTTTCCTCCTTTCCCTTTCGGATGCATCTCGTGCACTTGGACATCCTCCAACTGGCCCAAGGAGACATCGTCCGACCCTATTTTGCTATAAGATAAGTCAGTCTATGGGAGCTGGACTGACTAGCATTTGCCAGGCACTCCTAGTGGGGTACGGACGCTTCGGCTTCCAAACTTGCTTCTACCCCTCGTTGCTCAATTCTGACTTTCTGCTCTGTCCTCCCTGCAGTACGACTGAGCGGGCAGGCCCTACAGTATATTCCTCTCCATTCTCCCAAGCTAGACAATTCTGAATGTTGGTGAGAGCCCTGTTCAATGACGCTCAGTATGCAGCCATTGCTGCAGGTCTCGTGGCAGGGCAGCTTTTGGATTGACAGGGCTCTGGAGAGCGATGGGCAATTTGGGAACTCATGCTGCTTTGCTTTGATGATTCTCATGCGGTTTCCCTCTCACCGATTCAACGTTTTCCAGGCCAAAACGGGTCTTGTCACGCCGGTGGCATGCTGCTTTGCGTATGTACCGTGATCATCTGGTGGTCTAGTGATGCGTGGAGAGGATGGGACGACGCATAGAAGACGCGGGGGTGGATTGCGGATGCGGGATAGTGCAAGTCTTTACGGCGCAAAGGTGCCACGGCATTGTGAACTCTCGCTCGAGCGGTACATTCGGTGTAGCTTGAAGAAGCTCCTCATACAATGCAATTTCTAGGGGAGGGCAAGACGTAGGTACCCTGCCATCAGACACGCCGGGCAATCTTCGTCCTAAGATGTGCCCATCCCCGCGCCGCCTTCAAGTGGACTTATTTGCAAGACCAGTATATAAAGCCGTGAATATCAGTCCCGACTACCTGTTCGGTTAGAAACCTTAAGCTCCTCTTCAACATCCAACACCTCCTGTGAGCTTTAGTAAGTCAACGATTTTGTCGTCTCAACCCCTCTGCAGTAGCTCTGTAGTTTGCCCTTCACTTACACGTTAAGATGTGGCACTGATTCATCTTAACCTAGATATACTCCAGAAACCCAATTTCTACCAAGACAACTTCCGTCATGGCGAACCTCCCAAAGCAGATGAAGGCCCTCCGGTACGGTGTACCCTGATCAAAACCCAGCTTTCCAAGAACCAAGCGACATAGCGTCGCGTTCCTTGCAGCTTGGCTCGGCAAATATCCTACCCCTCCATCGGCTATGAGCTAACCCCTCACAGATACGAGAAACCTGAGGATTGGTCAATCGTTCAGGTGCCGCTACCAGAACTCCGGGAGAACGATGTTCTGGTCAAGGTTCGGGCTTGCGGTGTGTGTGGCACAGGTGGGTGAATCTGCGAACCCTCTCACGTGGACATGAACGAACGCAGGACGAGTGCCCTTGGAACTGACAGTGCGGTCACAGATCTGGTAAATTCTCAACGAACTCTATACCCACAGCTCGATACTGATACATAGTAAAGCACATCCACGAGGGAGAGTTCATCGCGAAGTTCCCCCTGATCCCCGGCCACGAGACCGTTGGTGTCGTCGCCGCTGTCGGACCTGTATGTCGTTTCTCGGCCGCAAAGTAGACACCCATTGCTAACCGCAACAACACAGAAAGTCAAGGACTTCAAGGTCGGCGACCGGGTCGCCGCCGACAATAGCGAGCTCTGCAATGAGTGCTTCTACTGCCGCCGCGGAGAGCTTCTGCTCTGCGAGCACGTACGGCCACGGCCCCACTTTCCCAACTTACACGGCCGACCAGGCACACCCGCTGACGGATTCCCTCCAGTTCGAGGCTCACGGTGTTACCATGAACGGCGGCTTCGCCGAGTACTGCGCTTATCCAGCTGGCAAGGTCTTCAAGATCCACAACCTCACCGACGTCGATGCGACCCTGCTGGAGCCCGCCTCCTGCGCCTGTCACGGCCTCGACAAGATCCGCCCCCGCCTTGGCTCCAGCGTTCTCATGTTCGGCGCCGGGCCCACCGGTCTTGTAAGTCCGACTTCACACACACAACTCCCTGAAACTCTGCAACGAGATGTGGACAAACAACGTTGACCTCTTTCTCCGATTAGATGCTCGCGCAGCTGTTGCGCCAAAACGGCGGTTGCAACGTCACCATCGCCGCACCACAGGGTCTGAAGATGGACCTTGCCCGCAGCCTCGACGCCGCGGACAACTACATCGAGTTGTCCCGCAAAGAGCCCGCGGCCCAATTTGCCCAGCTCAAGAAGGATAACCCCTACGGCTTCGACGTTGTCGTTGAGGCCACTGGCTCCGTCAAGATTCTCGAGGACGCCATCAACTACGTCCGTCGCGGCGGCAAGCTCGTAGTCTATGGGTAACATTCAGAAATCAAGAAGAAGATGACAAATGTTTCACCGAAACAGCTAACAAATCCAGTGTCTACTCCGACTCCGCCCGCGTTACCTGGCCCCCTTCCAAAATCTTCGGCGACGAAATCACCATCCTCGGCTCCTTCTCCGAGACTTACATGTTCCGTACGTACCTCCAAACCTCTCATCTGCAAGGGACTTGGCAACTGACCACACGGCAGCCGCCACAATCGACTACCTTGACTCCGGCAAGGTCAAGACCAAGGGCATCGTCAACAAGGTTTTTAGACTGGAGCAGTTCGGCGAGGCTCTCGAGTCCATCAGGAACAAGAGCGCCATTAAGGCCGCCATCGTCTTTGACGACGCTACCGGAGTGTAAGGGCTCACTTGTGCGAACACATGCCAACACTGGAAAGAATCATGTCCACGTGCCAAATACGTTACCCTTCTAAGAGCGTTCATGTTCCTTTTGGAGCAAATTTGAAGAACAACAAAAAGTTTCCAACTGGCTCATCTCATAACCTTACTTAGACAAGCATCGGATCGGAGTCAGGAAGCGAGGCTGATGGGACGGCTGTAACAGAAGGCGGTTAGGTGGGTTCGTGAAAGAGGTTGCGGCGCAGAAGATGGGTTGAATGGGTGTTGCTGGACTTCAAGATTGGCGATATTTACGACGACGATTGGGTTTCGGAGTTGACGGTAGGAGTGAGAATGATTGAGGCAAAGGTCAGCAGGCCAGCGGTCATGCAAAGTATGTTAAGGTAAAGTCTTTCCTTGCTTGAAAAATCCGTCTCTGTGGGAATTAAGAACGATGAACCGGTATTTGTCTCGATCACAGCCTCGCCGGACAACGCCGGCCTGTGGCGTCATAAAAATGTCCCGATTCAAACTTGCTTCTTTAATTATACCAAACTCCCTACTCCAAGTTCTCGGCGGCAGCAGAGCCAAGAGCCTTGTCACAGATGCATTTTGCATCCAGCCGTAGCTCTCAAAACAGCGAAGCGTTGTGAGCAACTCATTGCGCAGTCTACTCCGCATAGTTTCCACCAAGTCTGAAGCCTAATACACCATCCCCTCTACCGGATCGCCATCTTCCCCGCCTTCACTTGCAGCCCTGTCCCTACAAGAGCCTGCGTTAAGTGCGTCAAACTGCGTAACGTCACCAACCGACGGCCCTCCCGCGCCTCCTTGCCCCCGATGTAGGTTAGCCGGCGAAGCACATGTCTCCGTTCAAATTCAACTGGCAGAGGATACCGAGATTCAATATGCTTTCTCCCACACGACTTGCGTCACCAAACAACGATGCATGGCTCAAGCCATGGAATTATGCTTCAATATTGGCTCATCTTTGAACCCACCATGTCGAGTCAGCAATCCCAACGTTGTAGTGCATTTGCCAACACAGCCTCCCCCTTACGGCTCAGCTGTCGGAAACCTCTTTCAGCTTCGTATTTTCTGCCGCTGACACTGCTTCTGTGATAAGTCTGCCGCGGATACTGCCGCCGGCTGAGTGCGCGGGTGGTCTGGGGTTGAGAATTCGACAACGGCGGGTAACACAAGCGACAATACTTCCCGAAACGGGACGTCCAAGCGAGCGTAGCAAAGGTGGTCGATGCTTACCTATGGAGACTTGGGACTAGCTATTGAGCGAATGCGGATGCGGGTGCGGTGCGTGAGCTGGCTCCTGCTAGGCGTATCCCCGTTGACAGTCTTGGTGTTTCAACGCACAGGGAAAGACGGTTTGGGGAAGGGTTCGACTCCGCCTGGTCGGTGATCGATCTGGCCTTGTCGCATAATCGAATTGCCCCGTCTGTTTACCTATTGCCATAATAGTTCTGTTGAAATTTTGAGTTTATTCATCCCATGCTTCATCTGCTTCTGGGACCCTGCCTGTCTGGGTCGAGAGGGCAGGGTAGCTATGCGAGGAGCTATGCGAACGAGTCTCGTGCAGGTGGGTTTTTGTTGGAGACAGACTCAAGTTCCGAGGCAAGAAATGCTGTGGCTGCTTCTGGCACATGGAAGCTGAAGCTGCATGTGTTCTATCAAGAATGAGACCGCATCGTTGTAATTATGACCGCCACATTAATGGGATGGAAGGTCAGAGTATATAAACTCGTAGTTCCTTAGCCTTTTGTTGGTCAAGCAATCAATCAGCAAGAATCAGTTGCAATCAAGTCTTCATTCAACCACTCACAATCTATTATATCAGCTATTCGTCACCACTTTTGAACGGCTCCACATATCGTCAAACCAGCCAATATGGAAGCCATCACTCAAGCCATTCTGAATCGCTCCAAACTGGAGGTGGAGTTGATCAAGATCACCCAGCCGACGGAGGAGTAAGTGGATTGATCATCGACTTTTTTTTTGATCCAATGCAAGAGCTGTGCTAACATTAAAAAACTGTAGCTCCTTCGTTATGACAATCGAGAGCAAGGTCACGGGTACCGGTCCCATGGGCGCGACCATGCAACCGATGACGGTAGATATGATGTTTAACGGTGCTTGTTTTGGAAAGCTGGACCTGCCCGAGGTCAAGACTAAGTCAAGCGGCACGATGGTCATTGTTACGGACCAGCACATTAAGATACTCGATCGCAACGCCTTCATGGCTTTCGTAAAGGCCATCATGTGCGACGACAATTTGATCCTGAGACTTGACAATGGTAACTGCACCATCAAGGCGCTCGGTCTGTCGGCCAACGTCAAGTACTCCAAGGACGTGCATATCACGGGCATGAAGGGCCCTAAGCTCGCTCAGGTCAACTCTGCGCCAAGGGGTAGCGGTTTCGCCAACACAATGAAGGTGTATAACCCCAGCCCGCTCGAGATCGACCACGGTGTGAGCATGTTTGAGCTGCGCAATGAGGGCAGCGGCGAGGTTCTGGCGGAGTTGAAGGGTGACTTGAAGATTGTCCGGGGCGAGTTTGAAATCACCATGGAAGGTACCCTGAACAAGGGAACAAAGCCATCCGACAAGGCCGTGATGGTCGGACTTGGCACGCAAGAAAAGAACTGGTGCAGCGAGACGATCAAGAACATCAACTGTCCGTTCTCAGTAACGCCTCAATTTTGCCAGCTGCTCCAATAGGGAGCTGACTGCTAAAGATTAATGACCGAATGAGAAATACCATGATTATCAGATTTGTTTTCGGTTTCGAATCTTATTAGAAGACATGCATATTCTGCAGTGATATCAGCAGCCCAGGAATAAGTCGTCCATACTGTCTGTCTAGGTCAACTGTCAACTCAGAATTGAGATTTGGTATCCAATAACGTAACAATACGCTCTGGTCCTGCGTCCGTGGCCAACGGGCATATTTTTTCTTTACTAGGTGGGCCAAACCGTTGGGGACCAAGTTGTTCGGGCTAGCGAACAGTTCTCAGTATTTGACAGGTATTGCTCGATGGTTGAGGAATGTCATAACCGGAGCTCCTTTGCTGAAGCTTTTCCAATGAACATGGGTCAGCCTGGCTAGCGAAAAGTGACGGACGGAACACGTCGAAGCGGGTAAAAGCTCAGAAGCATATTTGGTTATGTAGCAAACGGCTGAAACGGCCGAGACACTTTGTTGCTTGAGTGTTGACCACAGCAGTTGAGGATGAAGTTGAAAGTGTGACAGCAACAACGGAGGAGTGATCCAATCGGCGGAGGTTATCAGGACGAAACGGGACCCACGATCGAGTTCCCCCCTTCCCATTTGCGAGGTTAGCCAAGCTTGGCGCAGATGGCGGGAGGGAGTTTGGAAGGGGGGAGCAAACAACCATTCCGTCTCTCCGGCTGCGGGGAAGTGTGACCTTGAACCACTAGCGTCCAGCGCAGTAAAAGCTAGCAGGCGGTAAGGCGCGCCAGAGAGAGCCCCCTGCAGACGGAAGTTGCAGGTCTCGGTGGGTGGTTAACGCAGGTACTTACCTACCTAATTTGGGTGTTGGGTTACACCGGCGAGGAGGTTGGGGGGGAGGACAGCTGGAACCAGGCGTTTGTTTGGGGGACCAGAGGACAGCCCGCAGGAAGCCCGCCCCAGGGAACAATGTTTGCCTTATGGAAGGCACCACAAGTTCGAAGATCCCTGCTAAAGTAGCAACCGAGGACCCTGATTAACCAAAGGAAAAAAAAACACAACTGAGGATGAACAGGGGCACTTTCTGGAAATTGCAGCATTTCGCATCACTCCACAATGGTCCAGGCTTTTCCCGGCGTTAGTACAAACTAGCTGGATCGTGTTTGGCGTTTTTGAGGACGTTAATTATAACAAGCTCTTTACCGGTTTATGCGATGGATGCAAGGTGTTTCCAAAACCGTGTAAAATTCGTAGGTCTGCGTACTAGTAGTAGGTAATGAGAAAGTAATCATGCCCCTGGTGCTTGCTAGGGATTGTGACAGGGAGGGTTCGTTAAGGTGCGCACAACCAACCCGCCACACTGAGTCGCGAGCGCTGGTTGGGTGATACCTTGACCCAGATGCACCGATGATTCGTCCACCCTGGGGACCGCGCGCCCAGTATCTGAATACGAGATGATGTGTGCCCAGTTACATAGTAGGTCGGGAGACTGCCGCCGTCTACTATGTATTGTTCAGGCCCTGAGCCGGGTCCTCTGCTTCCAAGGTTGTCTGATACCTCGTTGAGGTCGAGGAGGGGGGCAACTCCGTCCTTTGGGGGAGGAACGGGCGTAGAAAGGAGAGAAGCCCGTACAAAAAGAAATGGAAACATCGTCGGCGCTCTGGTCAGAGATATGACATCCGAATGAGATGCGCATGCACATGCACACTGACTGCACTGTCATCGTCTGGACTGAAATGCCCGCGTGCATCGCGCAAATTGTTGGCTGAGGCGCTAGAGGCGGCCAATTCCACTAGGTACTCACAGTAAAAACAACCTTATCCTAGCTAGCAATAAACAAGAAGAAAAAAAACAGCTTCGACGACATCGTACAACAGGTGTCTGCAGGGACGGTCCAGTCGGGTTTACCTGTCGCTTGAAGAGCAATGGCGCATCTGTGGCCTTCAAGCTAGCTTGGAACACTGCAGCATAACCCTCCCCCGGTCCGCTGGGCGCATCGGGATGACCCTCCTTGACTTTTGCGCCTGCACCAGTCCTGCATCACGATCCCATCGTCTTGCAGAGGTCTCAGTTGAACTGACGATCTGCCTTAGTCAAACATACAAGAGACAGGTCAAGTGCAGAGCCTCCCTACTGCTGCTATCTCGGCATCCCTACGCACCTAACAGCTGTTCTTCCTCTTAGTTCCGAACATCCCACTTTTACTTCATCTACAATTGCTTTACGTTACCTTGTCGTATACTTACTCACATTTCATCTGTGCCGGAGCTCCCCGTGTTTGTTTTTATAATTTAATGGAAACCTAACCTTGCTGTCCATTTCTCCCCATCTTACTTTCTTTGCTGTTTTGGTTGGCCCGTTGCACATGCCGATCTGCTGCTGCTTGCAGAAGAAGCTTGTCCCGATGCTCCTGCCCTCGTCGCAGACATTAGACGACCTCACTCGCAAATATGGCTCCTTGGACTCAACGTCATGCTCCACCTCCTCGCCCTCCTACTCTCCGTCAAACTTCCGCCGACCTGGTCTCCCGAGTACACAGCCCCTCGCTGACAGCACCACCTGGCCAGCTGGGACGTCTGCCAGACTATGTGATTTTGAATAACTCGCACATCCCCGGAGACTCGAGCTCTTCCGAATCCGATTTCCACCCAAGACGCCCTCGTCGCCCGACCCATTCCCGGTCCATGAGCCACCCCTTTCCCGCTCTATTCTCAACCAAGAAAAAGCGCCCCGACACCACATATGAATCCGATTCCGACGACAATGTGCCCGTCATGACGAAACCGCAGGGTAATACGCATAAAAGGGGAGGCGCCAATAGCGGCAGCAGAGACTTCGCTACGGGCAACTGCATGACCTGCGGTTCTCTCGTCCGTTGGCCTCGCGAACTGAAAGTATTCAAGTGCACCGTATGCCTGACCATAAATGATATCCACACCGACCAGCAGACTGCCAGGGCCAACACCAACACCGGCCCCAAATGGCTTCAGCGCCCGCCCCAGGAGTCGACGTCGCCCCAGAAGCAGCCTGCCCGTCCAGCCGAGCGGTACGAGACAAGACCAATATCTCTCGAGCAGACTAAGAGACTTATTCGACAGTGCATTCGGAGCCACTTGGCAAGGGCGATCAGGAGAACTTCCAGCTTTGAGGATGAACAGCGTGAAGTCCTGGAGAGGCACACGCCACCTTGCCATGGGCCAGAACAACTCGACCGCCCGTATACCTCGAGGACCTTCGGCCCTGCAAGCCATCGGCGACAAACAAGTCACGACAACCGGTTGGGATACACTTTCCCTCAACAACCTACTCTGCATCCGAGCCCGCAGCGAGCGCCACCCTCTAGGTCGTTCTCCTCATCATACCCTGAACGTCCCCCCTCAATGCGGCAACTCGCCGCCGAAGTCAGAGGGCCCCAGCCGGCAGACCCAAGATATTGGCAAGCCGACGACCCTAAGAGAATATTCAAGCCGCTAGAGGACTACATCACCACTTGCTTCAGCTCATTTCACTGCGTCAACTCATCGTTTCTCTCCCGCCGCCCAGCGTTGGCAGTGCGATCGGGAAGTGAGTCTGCCCCACGACGGCCATCCGTTCCGCGACTCGAGCCGAAGCACTCCGAGCAGTATGTTGAGTCGCCAATTTGTGACCTTGACCCTAAACTGCTTCTGCTTGGGGACTTCGCTGAGAACGGAACTTGGTGGACGGGAAGCCAGACGAGCAGCCAGAACAGGGCGCGGCATAAGAGGTCTGCCTCACAGCGGGTTGACGATACGCCTTCCTTTGTCACACCCCGCTCTCCGCAGGTCGATTGGAATGAGCTTGCAGAATGGTATCGGTCCATCCTCAATGCAGCGGAACCATGGGTAGCCATTTACGAAGAGATGAACAGAGAAGCAGGAACTGAGCCTTTGTCGGCGACGGAACTACGAGCTCTAGAATCTCAATTGCTCTTCGGTCAGGAACATACTCACAGGGCCTTGCTGAAGGCTACTGAGAATTTGTTGAAACGACCTGGCCGTCCTATGACCGACCCTGAAGACCTCCGATTTCTACTCATCGTTCTAGAGAATCCACTGCTCCATGGGGAACCGAATGTGTTCCAGGGACGTCGCAAGGAAAACGGCTTTCAACAACGCAGACGCGACGATGCTTTTCAGGACGACAGACCGATGTTGAAGACCGGCCCTGTATCTGGACAGCACTCTGTGATCATCAAACGGATTCTGGGTTTGATTTCCAACTCATCAAATTCATGCCAGAACCATCTGATCACATGGTTCGCGCGTTACTCTGAGTCAAGGTTTATCAGGATCAAGGATCTTTCTGCCGGGTTCCTCACGTACAGGCTCATTCGGCAGAATGAGAAAAAGCATGAGGTTAGGGTGGACATTACAGCCGGGCTGATACCCAATCTGAGTGCGGGCCACTCGGCGGCCTCGCTCCATGCTGCGCTGGGAACGCAGAGCAGCTCCTCAAAGAAGCAAAAGGAACAGCCGAAAAAGATCATTTACAACGAAGACTGGCAGGTTAAGGCTGCCGCAAGAGTCTTGGCTTTAGTATTTGCGGCCAATAACATGACGCATATCCGACGTCCGGACCAGAAGGCCAGTACCAGCAGCAGCAGCACTTTCAGAGGAGGGATTCAGGCCCATGGCCAAATCATCCCAACTAGCGACTTTTATAATACCATGATCGATTACACTGATCTGGTGGCTGATTTTGAAGCCTGGGAGTCGAAGAGAGGCAGGTTTTCATTCTGTCAGTATCCGTTCCTGCTTAGCATGTGGGCCAAGTCTCAGATTCTGGAGCACGACGCCCGCAGACAGCAGATGACCAAGGCTCGAGACGCTTTCTTCGACAGCATCATGACCCGAAGGGCTGTCACCCAGTTTCTTGTTCTTGACGTTAGACGAAACTGTCTGGTTGAGGACAGTCTGAAGGCAGTGAGTGAAGTTATAGGAAGCGGCAGTGAAGACATCAAGAAAGGGTTGCGCATTGCTTTCAAGGGCGAAGAAGGACTCGACGCTGGGGGCCTCAAGAAGGAATGGTTCCTTCTCCTCGTCCGTGAGGTGTTCAACCCCGACCATGGTAAGTACTGGTGTCTCTGTTGTTGAGTTGTATCTGACGAGTGATCAGGCATGTTCATCTACGACGAGGACTCTCAATTTTGTTATTTCAACCCTAACTCCTTCGAAACTTCTGACCAGTACTTCCTTGTTGGCGTCGTAATGGGCTTGGCCATTTACAACTCCACCATTCTGGATGTGGCGTTACCGCCATTCGCGTTCCGGAAACTTCTTGCATCGGCACCGAGTGCTTCTGCTGGACCTTCTGCTCATCCACGTCCGACAATGAACTACACACTCGAGGATTTAGCAGAGTACCGACCCCGGTTAGCATCTGGCCTTAGGCAGCTGCTTGAGTTTGATGGTGACGTCGAAGAAACGTTCCAACTCGATTTTGTTGTCGACGTTGAGAAATATGGGACAATAGTTCAGGTGCCTCTCTGCCCTGGCGGAGAGCGGAAACCAGTTACCAACGCCAACAAGTGGGAGTATGTCAATCTGTATGTCCGGTACTTGCTTGAAACAGCAGTTGCCCGGCAATTCGAGCCATTTAAACGCGGGTTTTACACCGTGTGTGGAGGCAATGCTTTGTCATTGTTCCGGCCGGAAGAGATTGAACTACTTGTGCGAGGCTCCGACACGGCACTTGACGTGGATGCCCTCAGGGGCGTGGCTGAGTATGATAATTGGGGCACGAAACAACCCGACGGTGCGGAACCGGTCATTGGCTGGTTTTGGGAGACCTTCAAAGAGGCTACACCAGATGAGCAGAGAAAGTTGCTCTCCTTTATCACCGGCACTGACAGAGTACCGGCGATGGGTGCCGCACTCCTTACAATCAAGTTATCATGCTTGGGAGACGATGAGAGCAGGTATCCCATTGCCCGAACATGTTTCAACATGTTGGCTCTGCAACGCTACAGTTCAAAGGAGCAGCTGGAGCGGATGTTGTGGACTGCTGTCCACGAAAGTGAAGGTTTTGGATTGAAATAAATGTATCACGCGCCAATGAAACAGGATTCATCAGCATATGGAGTTACACAAAAAATCAAAAGGCCCCAACAACCTTTGGCGGGCATTGAGATGCATCTAGATAAGGCGGCTAGCAACGTCACTGCGGTTCACGACCTGTCTGGTTTTTGGGTTGGCATTGACTCTTGGATGTCCATGAGCGACAAGCTCTGTATAGTTTATAATGATCAAATACTTCTCTTTCTCACAGTAACTGCCACTGCATTTGCACTGACGTGGGTCATCCACTATTGCTCACCATCGATATGGTCAAACTACCCCTGAAATCCCAATTCATGCAGAGATTCTATTTGGTACATTTTGTACAGGATATTCATACAGTTTTTCCGCCTTTCCTTTCTTCCGCCCTGCTGCCCCTGACTTACGTGCTGACCTCGGCACGCGCCTTGTCCAGCATGGCCTTCTCCTTCTTCGCCTCGTCGCGAATCTTGGCGACAAGCTGACGGTCCTTCTCACTCTTGATACGCAGCGCCTCGATCTCCTTCATCTCGGCCTCCTCCTCGGGTGTCGGGCGCACAGGATTCGCCTCGGTCTCAGCGAGGAACCGCTCGAGGATCTCCTCGGAACGCTTGTTCTTCATGTCAATCTTGACGACGCGCTCGCCCTCGACAGGCGCAGGGGCCTTGCTCTGATCGATGGCGGATGAGGGGAGCTGAGGAAGTGTTGAAGGGTCGAGAGGGGTAGCGCCCGTGTTGAAGTAGACGGACATGACGGCTGCGCCCTCGTTGTTGGACTTGCGGTTCACGATCATGGGAATCGCGGGGTTGTGGAACTTTAGACGGGGCAGCATATCGCGCCAGAACCTCCTGTAGGCCTCCGTGTCAGTGTCTATGTGTTTTTGGCCCTGGTGCAGTTGTGGTGCCATAGAGGATCGGCAACGTTGAGAAGGGGGAAGACGGACCTGGGGCCGAAGTGGCCTTCGTTCATGGTCTTGGCGAACTCCATGTGTATCCTCGTGACGTTGGAAGGAAGAAGAGCGGCACCGGGGCCATGTCGGAGTGACATAATCTATTGGCTCATCATGTCAATTGATGCTGCTCGAGATCTGTATTTCGGGTTTCCTGGGGCGGTCATATGTACCTTCTGTTCATTGTATTAGCTTCACCACGAACTTTGCTTGAGGGAGCGGGGTGCAAATTTGTTTCTTTTTAAAAGGGTCATAAAACTTACAGCTCTAAGAGCGTGCCATCTCTTCCCTACGCGAACCATCTTGGCGGTTATGTGAGAAGTCTCCAGATATCTTACAACCCAGAGGGACTACTGCTTCACCAAAGCTCTGCGCCTCGCACTCGGTCGCGTGGTAGAGATTCTGGAAAATTGCTGCGACCCTTGGTAGGAGCGGGCCGGGATTTCTCCGGATAAGGAAAAATAGTCGTGGATCGCTTATCGTATGAGCTTAGACTAGGGGATCGACAAGGAATTTTTGAGCTTCAGTTGCTGCAAGCATCTCAGCGGAAAACATTCCGTGAGCAAGCCAATTCAATTTCTTTTCATTCATCCGCTTTTCTTCACGATAATGCATCGCGCGCTGTCCTCGAGATGGTTGCGAAGCGCACTGAGCATTGGCGATAGGGCAGCTCTGGCTGAGGTACCGGTCTATCTCTGCCCAAGCCTAAGCACCGCGGGCACGAGACACACCTTTGCGCCGGTCGAAGCGCAACAGAATCTTTCGTACAGACAGCGACGATGCGTACATGTTGATACGACACCTGCGATAGAGCCCACATCCGAACAGACGCCTACATTCTCGCTGATATCCACGAATTCGAAGGAAAATCTGGTCAAGAAGGTGCCCTTGCTATGCAGCGGCTGTGGCGCCCTCAGTCAGGTTTCTGAGCCTGGACTGGCTGGGTACTACGACTTGAATCGAAAGACGGTGCGAGAGTACTTTGCGCACGACAAGGAGGAGAAGATTAAACAGAATACTCAAGAAGAGGACAATGCCGTTGAGGCGGCCCTGCAGAACCTTGGAGAAGAGAAGCTTGCTGAGCTAGGCTTGGATCCTCGCGCATTGCGCTACGGCGAGGAGCTGCAATCGAACAAGCCTAGTATGTGTTATTCTGCATAAGTTTGGAAGCTTTTACTAACTTATTGTTGCAGCGAAGGGACCAGCGCCCCAAAGAGCACCCCTCTGCGACCGATGTCACAAACTCATCCATCATAATGCTGGCGAGCCAATCTTCCACCCGACGGTGGACTCCCTGCGCGAGACGATCGAGCAGTCACCCTTCAAGAGCAACTACATTTACCACGTCATCGACGCTGCCGACTTCCCCATGTCCTTCATTCCTAAGCTACACCTCCTCCTCGAGGCCAACCTCAAGCATCGCAACCGTAGGAACAATTCCGGACGGTACTACAAGAACCGCAAGTTCGATATGAACTTCGTTATAACGCGCGCGGATCTGTTGGCCCCCAAGAGGGAGCAAGTCGACGCGATGATGCCGTACTTGCGGGAAGTCCTGCGCCAAGCTCTTGGAAAGTTCGGAAAGCTCATCACGCTCGGTAACGTCAGCTGCGTCAGCGCGCAAAGAGGCTGGTGGACCAAGGCTCTAAAGGATAGGATTTACGAACGCGGCGGGGCTGGGTGGATGGTTGGCAAGGCTAATGTTGGCAAGAGTCAGCTCTTCGAGGCTGTTTTCCCCAAGGGCACGACCGCGAGCATATCCTCGAAGCATCCCTTTGAGGTATCTATGTTCTCGAAGGAGGAGGATAGCGCGAATGCTCACTATCTGACGGACGACCTGGACGAAGCTGAGCGCCTGAGTGCGAACTCGTTGCTGCCGCCCATCCGAGCCGAGACCAGTTTCCCCGAGATGCCACTCGTATCTTCTCTTCCGGGCACGACGGCGTCCCCTATTCGTATTCCCTTTGGCAATGGAAAAGGAGAGCTCATTGACCTGCCCGGTGTCGCCCGATCTGACTTGGAAACCTACGTCAAGCCTGAGCACCGCCAGACACTCATCATGAAGCATAGAATCAAGCCCGAACAGCACACTCTGAAGCCAGGACAATCACTTTTGCTCGGCGGCTTCATTCGCATCACGCCTACCACCCCCGACCTCATATTTCTTGCATATAATTTCACTCCGATCCCTGAGCACAAGACGTCCACCGAAAAGGCCATCGAGTTCCAGAAACAGACGCGTGCGGCTTCAAACGTGTATCAGCTTGCTGCTCCCGATGTCGCCGACAAAATCAAGCTAGCCGGAACCTTCCAACTTCGCTACGATGTGACCAAACAGCGAGCTGGCCCCCTCACCCGAAAGAACGTTGGGAACCTGAAGGTTGAAGACCTTCCATGGCGTGTCCTTGCCATTGACATTCTCATCGAGGGCTGCGGTTGGGTCGAGATTGTGGCCCAGGTGCGGACCAGGCACTTATTTGAGGGTATTTCGGCATACCCTCCGGAAGCCGAACCAGAAATTGAGGAAGAACCTACCGATCCCTTCGCAAAACTGGAAAAGGCGGCGAAGGACCAGGCCGGCGTCGTTGAGAAGCCAAAGGCGCCTCCTAAGCCCATGGAGCCCCACTGGCCTGTCGTGGAAGTTTACACTCCCGAGGGCAAGTTTGTCGGCTCTCGTTACCCTATGAATGCGTGGTTGATAAACAAGTCACCCAAAAAGAACATCAAAGCTCGTCCCCGCAAGAGCATGAAGGGCGCGAAGAAGGCGGCCAAGTCGGCCAAGAGGGCTTCTGAGGACAGCGCGTAACGGCGCTCTGTACCATCTCCACACTTGTACATCATACGTTTAAAAAGACATGTAAAATTATGTAACAACATTTGTATGACCTACTCAGTTCACGATCATCGCAGCGAGTTGGGAAGGAGGTCACGTCACCTAAGCATAGCTCAGTGATGTACTTGGAATAGGAGCTATGACATCAACGCACATGAACTTTTGAGAATCGCGATGCACGTGAAGTCACATGGCCTGTTTGCAACCCCTAAATGACGAAGCAACTGCCAGCTCATACCCCGGCCCGGCCCGTTGGTACGCGATGGATGCGCCGAATGCGGAAGATTACGGCTCCGGCGTAGCATCGGGGGCGGCTGGGGCGCTACAGGGTAAGCTTCCGGGTGTCGTCCGATGTGGGGCACATAGAATGACGTGGGGTACAATGGACTTTCAGCTGCGCATGCCAGAAAATTAACACAAAAAAAAAGTATCCTGCCTTCTAGAGCCTCCTCCAATCCCCAATTACAAACCCCGACGACCCCTGAATATCCTCGATCTTCCTCCTCTTGGAAGATCTACGACTTAGAAGTTTATTCGAGCACGGAACCGGTCACAAACACACTCAAGACCACTGTATCACACTTTACTGTTCGAGAAATTTCGGCGGAATTTCTGACAGAGTATTTATCGGTGTACATACGGCCCCTCAGCTGGTGACATACGACCAGTTCTCCTGCTCTCACTCCTCGCCACAACCTGCACCCACGTACAAAAAAATGGCCGCCGTGCACGATACACAACAGCGCTCGGCACCTGGGCCCTCTCAGACTCAGACGGAGACGACAAGCACCCAAAGCCGGACCAGCACCCAGGCGATCTTGCGACTGAGAGGTGCGCATGCGCCAACAAGGCAGTCGGTGCGATGGGCAGAGGATGTGGTTGATAACGAAGGCCTTGGACGCAAGAGCTCAAAAGGTGAGCGCAACTGCTCTTTTCACCCAGCTCTTGCCATAGTCACTTACACTCCCATTCACAGTCTGCTGCATCTACCATCGCCCCAAGGCAGTCGACGAATCCAGCGACGAGTCCTCTTCTGATTCCTCTTCAGACTCCGGCTCCGACTCCGACGATGGTGGAAGAAGGAGGGTACCCTCGGCCGACCACAAGGGCAAGGGTAAGAGCAAGAAGGCTCACGATTGCGACGACCATGACGGTCACCGTCACGGTAGGAAAAGTGGCCGCGACGGGAAGCAGAAGAGAAGGCCAAGTCCCAACGCGTATGAGAAGGTGCCGAAGCCGCCTAAGCCTAGAGATGAGTCGGGTGAGGGGAGCAAGGAGCCACAGTCCAAGGCTTGAAGTGGCGATTACGAATGATCAGAAACATGCATTGGTTGGCGTTGGTTTGTTGTCACGGTTTATAGGTACATCGCCCCTGGTGAGGGCGAGAGAACAAGAACACAAATGCTAGAAGCATTCTGGTAAAGGCTGTGAAAGTCTGTACGAAGTCAATTCAAGAGGGGCATAGCAAATTGATATCTATCCATTACTTTATGCTATGTTACAATGTTTCTGAAATGAGCCTTTAGAATCGTCTATTTCGTCTGATCCTCGAATTGCGAGACAGCCTCACACTATATTCCCCATGTCAATCGTGAAGGCAACGGGCGCAGTTAGGTCACCCCCGCACCACGGCCGCCGGCGGCCGTGGCATCCCACTTTCACTTTACCCACCATGATATCTTATCGATAAGCTTTAGACCCCGCGACCCTTAAAGCTCACGCAGCCCCCTCCCTTCTGAAGCTTTCAAGAAGAACTCATTCTCCTTTGGTTTTGAAGTTTGCGAGATTATTTTCGCTTTTGTATTAATCTTCCAGCCTCAATTGTAGCCAAAATGTCTCACACTCACTCTCACGACGGTCCCAGCGGGCACTCCCACTCCCATGACGGCTTCAACGCCCAGGAGCACGGCCACTCTCACGAAATCCTCGACGGACCTGGTAGCTACCTTGGGCGCGAGATGCCGATTGTCGAAGGCAGAACCTGGGCGGATAGAGCCTTCACTATTGGTATCGGAGGGTAAGTTTGTCAAGCAGATGGTGGTTCACTTGGTCTTGAAAAAACCGCTCAAGTCACACTCTTTATCATGTAGATAGGGACGTTTTGATCTGTGTGTAAACGTCATTACGTATTTATCCACATCAATGAACAATTTTCATTTTTCTAGACCAGAGATAGAAGACGCTAACAACAGTTTACAGACCCGTCGGCTCCGGCAAGACCGCCCTCATGCTCGCCCTCTGCAACGCCCTCCGCGAAAAGTACAACATTGCCGCCGTAACAAACGACATCTTCACCCGTGAGGACGCCGAGTTCCTTACCCGCCACAAGGCTCTGCCCGCCCCTCGCATCCGCGCTATCGAGACCGGAGGTTGCCCGCACGCCGCTGTGCGTGAGGACATCTCAGCCAACCTCGCCGCCCTTGAGGACCTCCACCGCGAGTTCGACACGGACCTGCTTCTGATCGAGTCTGGAGGCGACAACCTCGCCGCGAACTACTCCCGCGAGCTGGCAGACTACATCATCTATGTCATTGACGTGTCGGGAGGCGACAAGATCCCTCGCAAGGGCGGCCCGGGCATCACGCAGAGCGATCTGCTGATTGTGAACAAGACGGACCTCGCCGAGATTGTTGGTGCCGATTTGGGTGTTATGGAGAGGGATGCCCGCAAGATGCGCGAAGGCGGCCCTACAGTCTTTGCACAGGTGAAGAAGAACGTCGGTGTGGACCACATTGTCAACCTCATCGTCAGCGCGTGGAAGGCTAGCGGTGCTGAGGAGCAGCGTAAGTCGGCTGGTGGACCCAGGCCGACGGAGGGATTGGACACTCTCAATTCGTAGAGGAGAGAGGGACTACATGTCGATTATGATCATCATTTCAGCCAGCTTTCAAACACAATAAAAAAGACCAAAAAGGGGGAGGAATAAAAAAGTAATATGAACCATTAACTCCGAGTTATGGCATCAGGCCAGTCTCTATAGCCGACGTTACTGCTAGTATCTATGCTTTTTCCGGAGCCTGTTTTTTTTTTGTGGACATTCCCATCTCATGATCTTTTTTCTTTCCAGTTCCTGTCATTTGGTCCTTGTTCATGCCATCATCACGTCATCCTCCTCGGACTGGCCGACACCAGGCTCAAGAAGAGGTCCCTCAATCGGGACGGCGTTACGCGGCCACACACGCTTGTACAGACTGACACCAATGGAGTCCTGCGGGTTGATGCGGCCGTCGAACGTCGCCTTAAAGTAGCCGTGGGTACCGAGGGGCTCCTTGACGAAACCACTGCGGCCACGCCTGGTCCATAGCGGCAGAGCCTTGAACCATTCAACATCCTCACGGTTGAAGAACATGTAGCGGATGGTGACAATCTTCTTGTGGATGTGGTAAGGGTGACCCGTGAGGATGATGCGCTTGGCAATGACACGGGATGTCGAGGGCGGCAGGGCAGTACCCGTACCGATGAGGGTGAGGCCGACGGTCGACTCGTTCTCCGCCTCCTCGGAGCCCTCCGGCACGGGTGTGGAGCGCTTGAAGAAGAGAACCGGGACGGCGCCCCAGGTAACGGGACCCATGAAGGTGGCGACTGCGGACTGGCCCGGGTGAAGGTAGCGGCAGAACTTGTGGACGTCGTTGGGGGTGTTGCCCGGCTGGGAGAAGACGGGCTTGACGGTGAAGCGCCGAGGGCCGCACTGCACAATCAGCTCCTCCTTGGCCTTGATGGACCTGTGGTAGTCGGCGCTGAGGTTGATGAGGTAGTTGACAGAGGTCTTCTTCTGCTCGTGGCGCAGCAGAGAGAAGAGCGTAACAGGCCGGCTGGGCTGGTACGACTTCTCAAAGGACGCCGGGACGCCCTTGAGGTAGACGTGCACGCGGGTGCCAGCGGGGACACCGCCGACAAGGGCTTCGCGGGTGGAACGCGAGCGGGATGCCTGGTAGTCTGGGATCTGAAGCAGCTTGCGCCACTCCTCAGGCTCGAAAGCCTTATCTTCATCCTGAACCCACTCACTTGTGCGCAAGCTCTTGAGGCCTCTGTATCTCTGCAAGCGCTCACGAGCCAGCACGTTAGGGTGCAACTCAATCTCGTCGGGGAACTCCTTGTCCTCCTCGACCTCATCCTGCTTCCTGGCACGGTAGGCGGCAAGGCCCTTTGCGTCCTCCTCCTCATCTGGCTCGATGAACATCTCTGACTGGGGATATTCTGAGGGCGCGCCTTCGGTGGGCTCCCTTGGTGCGTAGCCCTCGAGACCGTCTTCGGGGCGGGCTTCGTCCTCCTCACTGTTCTCATCATCCTGCATCTCAAAATCTTCCATGTCCGAGCCAGAATCAGACACGTCGTCTCCAAGGTACCACGCCGCTTGGTAGTTGGAGGTTCCCTTGGGAACTTTTGTCTTGAGCTTATCGCCTTCCTCTCCATAGTCGTCAGAGAAGTAGTGGTGATCATCAAGCAGAACACCCTTCTTGATCTCAGGGGGCTCATCATCCTCCATCTCGTCACCTTCCATCACGGCGTCGGGCGCCAACTCCGCCAGGTCATCCTGGCCCTCATCAGGGGTATCAAGAACTTGCTCCGTCTGGTCATCTTCAATCGCCATCTCGCCCTTCTTCTGCTTCTTGGAAAGTGGTGCAGAGGTGATCTTCTCAATCTGGAACGTTCCATAGTCGCCCAGCTGAATAAGACGGTTGGCCTTCAGGCCCCTTCCTCTCACGACACCAGTGACGACAGTTGAGCCAAGACCCGAGTTGGGGAACTTGATGTCTTCCGCCAGCAGCCAGCTCCTGTCCTCACGCCATCTGACGCCCTTCGGTGTGGTGTTGCAGAGCGAACGCATCAGATTAGAGCATTCCTGTCTGTTTTCAAGGCTGTAGAGCTTCTCTTGCTCGGGGTGGAAGTGGGTAATGTATGACTTGAGGGAGGCGAGAGTTGACTGCTTCTGTTTCGCCTGCTCAATCTTTTCAAGTCCATAGACGACGGTGAACAGCGTCGAGAGACCTTGGCTCTCAAGACCGCGCAGCATCAGCTCACCAAGGTCGTCAACCTCGACGTCGGCCGAGAGCATGACTACCACAAAATCGGCAACCCGACTAGCGTCAAGAACAGCGTTGAGATCGCGCTTGAGGGGGATGTACTGAAGCTTCTGCTTGAACCGATCGATCGAAACTCGGAAGGGCGTCTCCTCCACCTCGGCCTCGATGTCCAGACTGCCGTTCAACTGCTTGATGGCAGCCGCTGCGTCACCATCCTTACACAGGGGTACAACCGCAACAATCCTGGGGGCGCCATCCTTTCCGACAAACACTGAAGTTTCCTCTAAGTGCTCCTTACGTTTGGCCAACTGGCGCTGCTTGGCCTGGTTTCGTCGGTCGAACTTAGACATGACGGTCTGGTGGGGTGTCTTTCGCTGGCCGCGCTCGCCTCCGAGTCTGCCTATTTGAAGATTGTCAGTCTTTTTGTTGGAAACCGGTGGCCGGAATGCTTAAAAAATTTGTGCGGGGAGAAAGATTGGAGAGCGGCGAACCTTTGGCTGCATCCCTCAGCGCACCCTTGGACGCATGCTTGCCCGACTTGAAGGCCTTGTGGGTTTGCTTTGTGGTTGGCCGATGAGAGTGACTCACAGAGGCAGACATGTTGCCGTCTCCTCCAGCCTTAAATCTAAAAGGTAAAGAAGCCAGTTTGAACGGGAACTGTTTAAACCGACGCTGAGAATCCGTGTATGGGCGCCCTCAACGCAAATCCTCGAATTTCGGTTTTGCGCCTGTGATAATAGTGGCGGGGTTCTCGACTTTTTCTGTTTTCTACAGTGGTTGTGCGCTATCGATAAGCCCCACATGTATCCACTTACGCCAATGGCCGGCTCCGAATATCAATGGCCCAGGGTCTTGATAAGATAAGTGAAATTTTTGGTCCTAGCCCATCCTATTGCTCGTGAGCCTGGACTTTTTTTCTCGTGACGGCACTGCACGACAAGACAGTCTCCAACGACAATTTCAGACGGCGTCGCCCACCATGGAGATTGACAGAGCCGAAACGAAGACGATATCCCGCGAAAACACCCGTCCCAATGGTGCCGTTCAGGTGAAGCGACGGACGGACCTCCTCCCAAGAGAGGAGCGGGAGAAGATTCGTAGGCTGAAAGAGGCGAACAAATCGTATGGCCGCGGCAAGAACATCAACGTCAAGTCGATCAAGGACAAGAAGCTGCGCACCAATCTCTCGCGACTCGAAAACAAGTACCGCGACGCCACCATTAAGGCCAAGGATGCCGAGATCCTTCTCGAGAACAGCGGTGGCTTCCTCGAACCCGAGACCGAGCTCGAAAGAACCTACAAAGTTCGCCAGGACGATATTACCGAAGGTGTTGCTGTCACAACGGCACAGAAGCGCTTTGAGCTAAAGCTTGAGGAACTTGGACCATATGTCGGCGAATATACTCGTAATGGCAGGGAATTGCTGCTAGCTGGGCGCAAAGGTCATCTTGCGACATTCGATTGGAGGGAAGGTAAGCTGGGTTGCGAGATCCAGCTGGGAGAGACGATCAGGGATGTCAGGTGGCTTCACAACAACCAGTTCTTCGCTGTGGCGCAGAAGAAGTATGTCTACATCTACGATAGAAACGGTGTGGAGATCCATTGCTTGAGGAAACACATGGAAGTCACGCATATGGAGTTCCTCCCCTACCATTTCCTCCTCGGTACAGTGGTGAGTAATGCAGATTGCACAATGAAGTTCTCTGGGCTGACTTTTTTAGGCGTCAACTGGCTTCCTCAAGTACCAGGATGTTTCCACTGGCAACATCGTCTCTGAAATCCCCACCAAGCTCGGCCCCCCAACAGCATTGACTCAAAACCCTTGGAATGCCGTTCTTCATGTCGGCCACCAGAACGGCACGGTCACTCTCTGGTCGCCAAACCAGACAGATCCGCTAGTCAAGCTCCTGGCCCACCGGGGCCCAGTGAGGTCGTTAGCCGTTGACCGCGAAGGCCGCTACATGGTTTCGACCGGTCAGGATTGCAAGATGGCAGTGTGGGATATTAGAATGTTCAGGGAGGTTAACAACTACTTCACAAGACAGCCTGGATCGTCAGTAGCCATCTCTGACACTGGCCTGACTGCTGTTGGCTGGGGCACGCAGACGACCGTTTGGAAGGATTTGTTCTTGAAGAACGAGCCCGTTCAGAAGAAGGTGCAGAGCCCATACATGGCATGGGGCGGTGAGGGTAACCGCATCGAGAGGGTGAGGTGGTGCCCCTTCGAGGATGTCCTCGGAATGGGTCACGACGATGGATTCTCGTCCATCATCGTCCCTGGCGCTGGAGAGGCCAACTTCGACGCCCTGGAAGTCAACCCCTTCGAGACCGCCAAGCAGAGACAGGAGGCCGAAGTCAAGGGCCTGCTGAACAAGCTCCAGCCGGAGATGATTGCCCTGGACCCCAACTTCATCGGCAACATCGATCTGAGGTCGGACAAGCAGCGCCAGGCCGAGAAGGATTTGGACAGTAAGCCCCTGTCGATCGAGGAGGAGATCCGGAAGCGCGCAAGAGGCAAGAATGGCGCGTTGAAGAAATACCTGAGGAAGCAGCGGAAGAAGAACATCATCGACGAGAAGAGAATGAAGGTCGATGCCATCTGGGAGCAGCAACAGAAGGCGAGGGAGAAGAAGCACCAGGAGGTCGAGGCGGACCTTGGACCGGCGCTGTCCCGATTTGCGCGCAAGGAGTAATGGGCGGAGTGTGTAAAAATGAAAAGTTGGACAGGGAGTTGGTTGCATGTAAGAGGCGTTTAGGCATTTGCTCCCTTAGTGACCATGAATACCCGAAACTGGGAAGATTTATACGTATCTTTGATTCTTGCCCTGAGACTTCAATGCCGTCTTATATCCATTCTTGTGTTTACATGGCTGGCATAACATGGCTTGTCATGAAACCCCAAATACTTCGCCGTAGGACGCCACCTCGTAATACAACGATAGTCGGGTCTTGTGAAGGCTCCATACTTCTTGGACTCGGATAGGAGCTGAACAAGAACACTGACGAGGTTTTGCGTTGTTCGGCTCACATTTTCGAGCTAGCTTTGTGGGCGCTGCTGGACCATCTCACTATTTCCAAAGGGCTGGTATGTCCCCTCAGCTCGCCTCTCACTCGTAGGAAAACGGATTTCAAGTAGACTTTTCATTCATCATCGAGGACAGGCTCGTATCCCCATGCTAAGTGAAATACATCCAGGCCCGTCGCCAACTGTCAGCTTTTATGTACCGTACGCCATTATGCTCCTCTCATACAAGTTCCCAGAAGTCTATGTTTCATAATAGTTTTGATATCCACAAGCAGGATCCTTTTCGTCCATATTTACAGCAGCTTCAGATGGCTGGTGACCTGGTCGACAAGGCTCCTAGGAGCGGGACCGACACCGAGCACAGTGAGACTGCCAGCCTCAATCTGGGTTCGGCCAGCATCGGCGATCACCTCCGCGGTGATTCCTAAGCTGCGCGCTTTGCCCATGAGCTCGAGCATCTCCTCCTGATTCTTGATCTGCACGGCGATCTTGGCCTGGCCGAGCCGTTCCCAACGGGAGAGGATCTTTGCAGCGGGGGAAGATGGGTCCCGGGCCGCGGCGTTGGACAGCGACTTGTAGCATGCGAGAGTTGCGTGGGAGGCTTGCGCTGCCATCTTGCCTATTTGAAAGAATGTGTAAGCTTTAAGAAACTTACAGGGGGTTGTGTAAGGGGCAAGCAAACGTACCCTTGGTCATGCCCAGATCGGTTCGGACGACAAGAACAAGCTTGCACTCCTCGTTAGAATCAGCGAGAGGCGCTTTCTCGGGGTTGGGCTTCTTGGATTTGCTCTTCTTCTTCTCAGAGGACGCAGTCTGGCGTTGGCGCAGACCGTCGCGGAGGTCGGCGGCGCGGCCGTTGGACCAATTAGGCGCGTGGTCGAGAATGGTGTCGTCCTCGTCAATGTCGGACTCCTCACTCTCGACGGGATCCTCATAGTTAGCCCGGGCCTCAGCACGCAGCTCAGGTGAGATGAAGTAGCCGCGGATCGAGTATACGCCAAGCATGAAGCCTGAGACGAAGGCGACGAGGGTTGTCGAGAGAACGACGGCGCTCTGCGCGGTGCTTGCCTCGGCGATGGTCATCTTGAAGGCCCCTATCTACCGAAAAGGTCGATGTGATAGATATGCAGGGAGAAGGGAAAGTATCGTCGTGATCGAGGCCCGACGAGGATTTTGGGGGTCGGTAAGCGCGGAGAGTTGGGATGAACTGGAACTTTTTTGTGGGCAAAATGGGAATTGGAGATGCTCCTGCTCCTCCTGGGCAGCATTGTGCCTGGCCGGATGACGCACATCAGGGGCTTGCCTACTTGCTCCATATCCCATTCCATGTGTGGCTGAAACCCCCCTGTGCCGCTGCTGCCGGGGTTTTCTTTAGCGGATGATGCCCCCACTATAGGGTCTCTGTGCGAGGGAGGGGTAGTAGTGGGGGATTGTTGATATGAGGATCTAAGCTACTGCATGTGAGGATCGTGGATGAAGACTTGGCTCTGACTATCTCCCGCTTACACATCTCTGAGTTGGCGGTCTGTTCCAAGGGCGACCAAGTGTTCAGTCAAGTCTTTCCCTTAGCCAGGGAAGATAACTCACCGAGGCGGCTTTGTCTTTGAACTTTCGTATGCAATAGCCCTTCAAAGCATGACTTATCCAAACTAACTTCCATTAGTTTTACACCCACTACACATGGTGGGCAATCTCAAAATGGGAGCTTCGAACGCTGTGGTTGTTGCGCTGAGCGGTTGCTCTTCCAGCGGGAAAACAACGCTGGCTCGTCTATTAAGGGACATTTTCCCTAATACCTTCATCCTACACGAAGATGACTTTTATAAGCCTGAATCTGAGTAAGTGATACTTGGTATATGGCTCCTTTTGGTTTGCTAACTCATGTCTTCACGCCAGACTTCCGACCAAAAATGGCCTCCTGGACTGGGACTGCGCTGAGGCCATTTCTGTCCCTGACATGAACAAGGCTCTCACTCATATCCGAGAAAACGGAACGTTTCCGGTACGTCGCCAATAGACGTTTAGACCTCCATCTGCTTACAAGTTTTACCCAGCCCTTTGTGGACTCGAAAGAGGACCAGAACTCCGTTGGCAAATGTCCAGTATCGGATGAGAAGATATCCGCTATGAAGGCTAAAGTTGGGGCCTGGCTTCAACCTGGCCAGCCTGGCAACGCCATCTTCACCGAGGGTAAACTGAGGATATGCCTCTTTGACGGTTTTCTCCTCTACTGCAAGGAGATGGAGTCCACGATGAGCCTCATCGATATTAAGGTATTTCTACTCGTAAGCCGAGCGAAGGCGACACAGAGACGCGAGGCGCGTGATGGCTACGTTACCCTAGAGGGTTTCTGGAAAGATCCCCCCGACTACGTGGACAAGATTGTCTGGCCCAATTACGCTGAGGCGCATGCTTGGTTATTTGAGAACGGTAACGTGGAAGGAGAGTTGAACCAGCGTGTATTGCAAGAAACAGGCATACATGCGCAGGTCGGCAAAGGTCTAGACATAGACATGGAGACGACTTTGGAGTGGACTGTCGATACCATCATGACGGAACTGGAGAAGCGTGCTTCAGGCAAGTTTTAGGAAAACCACACGAATCAATTATATACTATTCAACATATTCCTTGCTTGATGTACGCCCTTTGCCTCAGTCCTGCATTACGAATCGACGAAGTGCTTGACAGTACGGTATCTCTAACCCTGCCAAGAATCAGACTTGGTTACAGCCGTTGCACACGAAGATGGGACAGTGTACGTGTGGTTAGGGTCCCTCTCCCACGTAACTGCACCGTTACTGGCCACGTTGATATACTTATATTCGATCCTTTGTCCGGCCTGCAACTCAATCGTGACTGACCATACTGGATTGGCCGAGGTGTACTGCGAAGCACTCAGAGGAATGGCGTTGGCTGTATTCCAGTTTCCAAGCGAGGGAATGTTGCCAACAATCTTGATCGTCTGGCCAAACTGCGTAGTGACTCTCTCATTGAACGTGACAAGCACAGTGTTTGCGATAGGACAGGATGTAGCAGTAGGTGTAGTTCCGGTTGTGGTCCCCGTTGGCACACCAGTTTGCGGAGTCTGGTTCGGAGGGAATGATGTTGCGGTAGCGCTAGAGTAAGGTCCAACAATGGAGGTAGCCTGGCAAGTACCTGGGACAGAGGTTGCCGAGGAAGCAACCCAGCCAGGGGGGATAACCCCAGCTCGTCTTTGGGCAGCTGTCAAGAAGGCAGCATACGACCAGGTAAGATCGTCGGCCGAGAGTGGCTGTCCGTTGCTGCGGGAGAACTGTTCGGCAAGAGAGCCGTTATTCTGGGCATATGTCGCAACAACGTTGATGAAACCATCTGCATAAGCGCTCACCGCGTTGATGAGGGATGTGTAAGTTGCGGTTCCTGACGCGTAGGTTCCTGGCGCGACCGAACCCAAGCGGTCTCTGAAGAAAGACAGAGATATCTGCGTGACTGTAATGGAACCTTGCTTTTTCCAAACATAGAGAGCATCATAGAGCTGTTCGGCAGCTGCTAGAGTGTTCAAGTACCAAGGGTTACCCCCGTAGTAACTGTCCTCGGGGTATCGTCCCACGGCAATGGCAGCAGATTGGGCAATTCCGTTATTAATAGCGTAGATTGAGCGGAAAGAGTCCACGACGACTTTGTGGCTTGCCAGCGCTTTGTCGCTACATGGCTGGAAGGTGGCAGCATCGCACAATGCTGCTGGGTCAAAGTTGTGGATTGAAGCGAGAATAACATTAGCGTCTCTGCCCGACCTGCCGTTGCCGTTGACTGACGTTCATGTGAGTATATTGTCGTCGACCAGTGAGTGACCTGCAGTGATATGTACTTACTGTTGGCGACCATGTAGTTGCCGGACGGAGACCAGAATCTTCCTAAGAAGCACAAAATCTGTGGTGCAACAGCGTCACAAGCGTTGCATGAAAAGCCCAGAGATCGAGCCAACGCACCGCCCTCAACCAGTGCTGTTTGGAACAAGTTAGCCTTGGACGAAAACAGATGCAAGCAAACGTACCCCGATGTTGACTTGCTACAGTGAAGAACGAGCTGCCTCTAACTTCTTCCCATAAATCAAAGCCTGTTTGGTTCCTAATAGCAGTCAGAAACAAGTCCGGAAGGCGATTTCACATCCTTCCTTACCAGTACTGGGCGACGTAGGTTAGGTCGTTTCGAATTACAGGCCAAAGGACCGATGATGCTGTGGACGAGTATCCGTTGGAGACTAGCCACTTGGCATACGCGATAATGGCAATTGCACGAAGGGCCGGGCCATCCCTCTGGGGTCGGCCTACCGCGGCAGTCAGCATGTAATACTTTGCATACAAGGTTGCTTGCCATACCCCAATCTCCTGTATAAGCTCGCAGGTCCACTTCGAACTTTGGCTCTCCAAGGCCAGCACCATCACCGAGACCTCCAGAAGGGTTTGACACCCCCTGGAGGCGGGCCTGAGAAGCAATGTAGTTCTGAATATTGACCTGTAGGTTTACATCATAGCTGTTGGTGAAAATGTCTACCACGGCCTTGAAGACGAGGCCGGCATCTCTGGTCCAGGTATAGAAGTCTTATCAAAGATTAGCAACTGGTGATGCAATAACTCCATAGAAAGGATGTAGTTCTATTGTAGGCCTCTAAAAGCATAATCCAGTTTACTAGAATTCACTTACAAGGCGGGTCAACTCTGTCGGGGGACGCAATAACAATGCCGGGGCTCACGCCAGAGGCATGGCACCCATTGGGACCAATGTTGCAGAGCAACTCCCTCAAAGCGATGGGAGTCTCCGTGGCGATGAAGGAATCGACGTCTCGCTTATTTATACTTGCCCCTGGATATCCGAAGATTGTCTGAGTGGCTAAGGAGCCGAGGAGAAGTGCAGAAGTGACTAACTTCATGATAGGCTGTGTGTATTCAGTTGTGTTGATTGCCAGTGCTCCTGACATGACGTTCTGGAGGAAAACCATGATGATTATATAGCCCTATGAGGGTCGTGTCACTGGATGTTACTCTCGTTACTGTCCAGGGTGGTTCGATATGATGTGTGTCGAAGGCCCGAATACTAGAGTATCACCGAGCTGTCAAGACGGCCTGCATTAGTCTATTGATGTCCAAGATGCCCTTCGCCGCGTGTTGGACCTGGGACTATTTCGGCCAAAACGACGACAAACGCCTAATGTCAACTCTTTCCACTCGTCACAAACTACCTTGGCAGAAGCTTCGCCCTAGGCCGACAATAATGCCCTGACCTCCCTCGACAAACCCCTTAACTCTACTCGTTTTGCACTGGCTTCTGTGGGATTAACGCTCACAACATCCACTTCAAGATGTCAAGTTGACGTGCTCAGGTAGTATTGCAGTGTTGAGCTACCAGCTCAGGCAGTGCCGCGCAAGGCACGTGGGCAAGTTTGGCCGATTGTCAGGAGTTGATTCGGGCAAGGCCAAGAAGGAGACAGGGGTTGAAATGATGTCGGCAAGCGATCATAGAACCTTGTCGTTCGGTCCTATCCGCCAGGAGCTGGAGTGTATTATTGGTGGTCTTTGTGTATGACGGGCAGATCAGGTTGGGGTGGAGATGGATGTGGAGGAGGAAACGGCATTCCCCCGCACAGCTCCGTCCCGAGGCCTAGGCTGATCGAATGACCAAACTGGTCAAGCATCACTCAGTTTCCACATTGGTATTAGCAAGGCGATTTGTGTGCATTTTGCTAAATTTACACTAGTAGGTGGTGCTTGATGGTGAGGACAGTTTTAAGAGGGTCTATGACTGCTCAGGTGTTTCTTGATATACACATAGCCAAACCAGAAAAATCGACAACTATAACTTGTGAGCCTACAAAGACATGTTTTGCCTGTTGTTCAACAGAAGGACAACTGAGCTTGCGTCATTTTGGAGAAGCCCACTCATCAAGGTCGACTGAGCTTCACGTTACGCTATCCTTAGTATCGTGCAGTAGTGTTGGTCAATATGTGTGATGGATGGCAGGGCGGAGTCTCCTGTTGATATCGGGCCGGACAATGTACGGCAGCCATACCAAAAGCTACCCCAGATCACACGGATGCACCCCACACCGAGCATCGTCCACTCCTCAACCGTCCTGACGGCCGGCCGGGATACCCAGAACGGGGACCTGCGCCGTAGCCGACAAACCTTGATTCCATCTGGAAGCGTAATGGTGGGCACCCAGATGCAGGAGCAATATCCATCATGAGATATCATGCTTGGATGATGGCGCCAGGCACGGAATGCGCCGAGCAATTGACCGCAGATAAAACTGGTTGGTGCCTGTCACAATTTTCATGTGCTCATCGACCCCAAGGTATTTTGCCGTCCTTGGGGCGGGGCGCTTTGCAAAACAGCCAGCAAAAATTTGCACTTGACTAGTCTGGGCAACCAGGTCGCAAGCTACGTCTTTCAAAGTTTGAGGCGCCTACAGATATTCTGAATTTCGCGGTCAACCTTGGTGGAATCTTCAAGTTTCAATGTGGGACGCGTTTTTAGAGACGGAATTCTCAAAAATCCATCCATGGGTGCACAGGTCGGAGACATCGTGGACTAGATGCCACTAAAGCCACCAGCCGCGCGGCAAGAGCCCAAGAGCTCCAAGCAATGCCACGAAAGGTTTGCAGAAATTTTACGCAGATGAAAATATATGGGCAAGTCATGGTTTTCCCTAACCTCATGGATCGACGATCTCGGAAAAAGGGGTAGGAATATGACGTCCCCAGTCGAAGTATTTCACCACGCTCAAGCTTTTTACGGCGAACATGGCTTCCTACCAGACCGGTCTTTCTTGGATCTGTCGATCGGAAGATTGACATCATGAATTTGATGGCTCCTTGAGTGATCGAGCTGTCGCAGTAATCAACTCTGACCCGCGAACGGGCAAAGGATCGCTGGACACAGACCCGTGTTTGTTGAAGAAAGAAAAGAAGAGAGGAAAGAAAATTCGCAAGGCTGCGATATGTACTAAATCTGCGCCCCACTATGATTAGCTAAGCTTTTTAGGCTGCCAGGGTGGGTGAGCCGCATACATTTTTGGGTTGGCCACGAAGTGTGGATCTCTATCGGCATTGCGGCCTCCCATTCCACTTAGCCTTGCTGTGGGCATCACCTCCATCATCCACAGTATTCTCGGTGCATACTCACGAATCCACATTTTCCACTTCTCGTCAACAAGCCTCAGCTTCAGATTGATCGCAACGTCCTCCATTTTCATATAACGCGCTGTCCTTTCAACACCGCCAAAATGGACGCTGCGACCATCGAGGAGACGAACCGCATCCGCGTGTCGCTGGGCATGAAACCTTTGCCAGTGCCTGGCGCCGCACCTGCTGAATCACAACCAGAGAGATCCGCTTCTGGCGACGGAGAAGCTCCGAGCACCCTTGAGAGCCGCCAGGCGCAAGCATACGACAACTATAAACAAGTTCGGGATGCCGAAGCTGCAAAGCGCAAGCGAGAGGAACGAGCAGCCGCCGCAAAGAGGGAAAGAGACAACGCGCAGCGATTCGCAAGCTTGGAAGGCAAAGGTCTTGGCGAGGCTGACGAAGGCGGCGACGTCGACGCAAAGGCATGGTTGAAGGCGCAGAAGAGGCGACAAAAGGCAATTGAAAAGGCAAGGAAACTGGAAGAGGAGCAGGCTGCTGCTGAAGCGGCTGCACTCGCGGCTGTCGAGTATACCTCCAAAGATTTGGCCGGTGTGAAGGTTGCACATGAGCTGGACAACTTCCTTGACGGAGATGAACAAATCTTGACATTGAAGGACTCAACTATCGATCAAAATGAAGAAGAAGGCGATGAGCTGGAGAACTTGGACCTCAAGGCACGGGAAAAGCTGCAAGAAACACTTGATTTGAAAAAGAAGAAGCCCGCATACGACGTCCACGCATCAGGTGAAGGAGACGAGCGTGGTATTCTGTCTCAATATGACGAAGAGATCTACGGCAAGAAAGGCAAGAAATTCACACTTGACGGATCTGGGGCGATAGCGGAGCTAGCCGATATCCTGGGAGAAGCGTCCGAAAAGTCGAAGAAGCTACAAAACATCAATCTTGACGACGTTGCTGGTAAGTCATGTTTTGTTACCATTTCATCTGAAGAACCAACACTGACTGCTTCCTCTACAGAAGCCACTCCGACCTCAGACTATCTCGACATATCTGAGATCAAAGTCAAGAAGCCCAAAAAGAAGAAGTCGAAGTCCACAAGGCAGAAGCCAGTTGCCGAGGATGACATCTTCCCTATTGACGTCGCACCGACCAATGACGATTTGATGGACGTCGATTCTGGTGCGACTATCAACAAGAAGAAGCGTAAGATTGAGGACGATGTCTTCGTCGATGATGAGGACTTGCAGGCATCCTTGGCAATCCAGCGCAAGAACGCTTTGAAGAAGAGGAAGAAGACTCGCCCCGAAGATATCGCACGGCAGCTCAAGGAGCAGACCGACGAGCCAGACAATGAAACAGCAAACGGCGGTGTTGTGATAGACGAGATCTCCGAGTTTGTGTCAGCATTGAAGAAGCCTGATGAGGAGGAGGAGCGGAAGGTGAAGAAACCCAAGGCGGCTGAGGAATCTGTCACAGCAATGGATGACTCAGGTGACGAAGACCACCCGATGGGCGATGATTCATATGAACAACGCGAAGGCTCTCTTGACAGAGCAAGGGAAACCTCTACAGATATTGCCACAACTGGTGTCGACGAAGAGAAGACAATCAGTGCCGGCATTGGCTCAGCTTTGTCGTTGCTGAGAGAGCGTGGTATCCTGAAGGACTCTCACGGAGCCGAGCTGAACATGAGCGATAGGCAGAGGGCGGAGTTCTTGGCGGAGAAGAAGCGCATTGAGAGAGAGCAAGACGAGCGTGCCAGGATGCAGCGTGAACGCGACAGAAACAGCGGCCGACTGGATGCCATGTCCGTCAGAGACAGGGAGGAGCGCGCCCGACAAGCTAACGCGCACCGTGAACTGCAACAGTCTCGTGTTGTCGACGAACTCTTCAAGAAGCACTATAAGCCTAATGTGGAGCTCAAGTATACGGACGACCACGGCAGATCCCTCGACCAGAAGGAGGCTTTCAAGCATATGAGTCACCAGTTCCACGGCAAGGGCAGCGGCAAGGGTAAGACCGACAAGCGACTGAAGAAGATTGAAGAAGAAAAGCGACGCGAATCCCAGAGCGTCCTTGACGCGAGCGAGAACGCGAGCATGAGTTCATCAGCGGCGAAGCGGCGCGAGGCCGGTGTTCGATTACAATAAACTAATGGTTTGGGTGGTTGATGACGACCAGGACAAAAGGTGCACACCCTTAATATGTACAATTCCAAAATTGATCAGGTTTATTCCATGCTGACACAACGCGCAATCCCTCAGAATCCCGGTTGGTGACATATCGCCCCGTTTTTGATGCTGACCCCCGTCGTGGGATACACGTCGTACTCATGACTCCTCTTGTGTGCGTTCCACATCCACTGAACGTCTCCTTGATTTTGTGTGTTGGCCTTCCCTGACGCCAAGTGGCTCTCTTTCACTTGGTTGTTGAACTTTGCCAGTTTCCAGTCGCTAGGAATGGCCTGCTGGATTTCCGAAGCAATCATCTCCGTTCCAGCTAGGGTCGAATGCCAGGTTAAATCTCTCTCTCGCCGCAGGCGGCTCGACAAGACCCTCGTAATCTCTTTGAGCCTCCTCGATAAGTTTGATAAGCTCGAAAAGTCCGTGCATATCAAATACTGAAGGTGGTCGTTGGGGGGCCATTGCGATATACGGATCTGCCCCACTGCTTTCTATGGCATCTGTGACCTCGAGTAGAAGGTCCTCCATCAGTGGTGAGACACAAGGTGAGAACTCTGAGGATGTTGTCGAACTAGGACTGTCGGGCTTGCTACTCTGGCTCAGCTGCCTCCTCAGAGGCGTGACGTTTCGGCTTGCCGACACAGCGGCTGCTGCCGCGGCCATGACCACCGTCTCGCCGCTCTGCGCTCTGCACCTCTGCTGCAGTCGCGCACGCCTTCCCTCTCGACGTGACCTGATAATGTCACGCACCAGCTTGCAGTGAAACTCGCAATCCGGGGACGCTGAGCTGCGGAAGCAGTCTTTCCGGCTGCAGCCACGTAGGAAGGCATCCGGGTATGCGGGTCTGAGGTTAGGCATACTGGGACTTGGCCGAGGGCCGTTGGCTCTCACAAAAACGTCCATGTCAGGCTCAAAGTCGAGATCGGTGCTGACCTGGGAGTGCCGTGGAGAATAGCGGACAGCTCCTGCTCTCTGTAATGGTCAAGCCGAGTATTCTTGTAACCCAAGATGATTGCGCGCTGTGTGGATAGTAAGTAAAGTGCACAACCAGACACATATGGAAAGATGGGGATAGTTACCTGTCGACTCCATCAATGTTGACTGAGCAGCTTACTTTGCCTGATGTAAACTGAACGGCTGGTTGTTGATTCAGCGGCCACGGCCGCTTTTTGATACTTTTTTTTTTTTTTTCCAATGTTGATTATTCTCTCTGACTGTCTGCTTGCACCCCTTCCTGGCTCTCAAGCTTTGGATGCGTGAGGCGCCGGCTCAGGTGAATCGCTGCTAATCTTGGGAGCGGTAAGACTGGGACAGAGGGTCCCTTTTCAACCGGGTGGCTTTTGCCTTTGGCGCCAGCTGAACTAAATAGCAAGTAAACAATTGGACAAATTCACACGTGCGTGGGGTTCGAGAGAGTGAGCTGTTCAGGACGACGCCTCTGCGTTCAATATTGCAAGAAAGATAAGAAATACTGAAAGTGTTCATAATTCCCTTCCCGCGACAAACATGCGCCATGCTTTCCCCCCCTGTTGATCTCCGATGAAGATGAGTTTTGGTTGCTGGTCACACCCGGTCTGAGCCTCCCTTGGAAAATTCCAGTCGTCTCCCCTGGACTAATCTCCAGGAACCGGTAGCCCTGAGAACCTACTTACATGCCACTCCCCCGCCCAATCCCCTCCCCATTTTCTCGCCCCTTCCTGAGAAATCGCCCCCGTGATCCTTCCGTGTCGCATGTTTGTATAGCCCCGGATTACGACAAGTCTCCTGGTAATGATGGAGCTCTATCTGCTTCACCAACGAACAGGTGGCGCCGACGTCACAGTCGTGACATTCTAGATCGAGCCAGCGCGCCACCAGCCTCATGTCCCATTCTTGCGACAGCCTGTATTGATCCCGCGATCACGGAGGTGGCCGTTGTTGATAATGGAAGATGCAAAAACTGTCCCCCCTCTTCTCCCCCCCATCCTTTTGCTTCGGGTTCTTGTGCGCCCGCCCGCCCGCGCGGGCTAGTAAGACACAATAGAATAAGAAAGTACCGCCATTTGTAAAGGGAGCCCGCTGAGATGAGATGAAATAAGATGAACAAGACAAAATCAGTCACCACCGGCCTCCAGAGGGAGTTCCTTGCCTTTGATAACCGCGTCCGCGTACGATGATGCCATATCAGCTGCCGCAGACTGCCGCGTCGCAAACCACCACGTTAGTGCAAGGACGAGGAGCCAGACACCGACCCAGGTGATGACTACGCGCGGCGAGCGGCGCCTGCGTGGGGCATATGGGGAGAAAGAGCCCTGAAGAGTGGGCATTGTGGTAGCCGTTATGCAAGGAAAAGTGTGGCTCTAGCCGTAGACGGATTTGTGTTGATGGGCCTCGTGGGAATACTTAGCACCCGCACGATATGCCGCTTCGAGGGAGCTAGGCTGTCTTGTGGTGATGATGGCTCTGTTTGATGGCGTTGGGGGCTTGTAAGGAGGTGAAGCTTGCTTCCAGAACTTCGTGCTCCGTGTCAAATGACGATTTTTATGATTTAAAATTGAGGAATGGATGTAGCAGCAGAAAACATGCCGCGAATTCAAAAAAATGCGATGGACTTTCACGGGTCGTAGATGGGATAGATGAGCGACGATGAATGGGCAGTGGTGGGACGTTGGCGCCAAGGGTACATTGCACTGTCTCAGCGCACTGTGATCGCCGACTACATTTCTAAAGTGATACCCTGGACCTCCTTGATCATCTCCGAGAAAGCTGCCTGCCGCTTATTTGTAAGGTGATGTCTTTCTTCGAATCAATGACGTTGAGGAAGTTGGCCAACTTGATGATCTTGGGTCCGAATACCAAACATTTGTGTAACTCGCTTTTTGACATTTAACGGACTGATGAGTCTAGTCTGACTGAGCCGCGATGCGACTGGTCTAATACGGTTTAATAAAAATAAAGTGTGTCTGTCCTTGCGCTTTGTGCGCGGCCGCCGACCCCCAATTTGTTGTATTTGTTACCACCTCCAAAACGCCGTATACCTATAATCACTTATAAACGAATGCGTGCCCCGATTCCCTGCCCCTCATACCAGACCGTTTCTCTCCAATTGCCGATACGAACCGTGACATTTGCCTTGGCATCGAGTTTTAAATCACCTCCAATCGCCTTCCTTACGGCGTCATAGCCAACTGATCCTACAGACCATTCAACAGGCAATCTTGGGGTCGTCGATGTTCCTGGGGGTGCCGCAAAGGGTAGACTGTACAGGATGTGACCGACCGGCTCCGTGTGATTGTAAAACGCTGTCGCGTTTATCCAGTCAACATAAATAGTGTTGTAGGTCAGCGGGGATACTAATGTGAATGTTGCTGCTGAAGACAGGATGTGGAATGTCGCATCTCTAATGAAGTGCCCCTTCTCTTCTCCCTCTCCGGGTATGTCTAACTTTGGAGCGGCGATAGTGATATTTATCTTGGACAGGGCTTCACCGATGATGGGAACAGACGGGAAAGTTCCTCGATGAGTCCTGACATCTATTGTGACGTTGCGTCCAGACAGATACTCGGATATTAAGTCGCTAGCGATCCTGCGGCCAGCGTTGCCGTCTGCCGTGGGATCCCACTTTGCCGTAACGAGCATGTTGGTGTTATTACCTCGAACGACATTCAAGTTTTCTGCCGTGGCGCTGCCGAGGACGGTTCCATCCTTAACGATATGGATGTTGACATAAGGAATATTGGCAGAATATGGTGTAGGGTTTGTGATGTTGACTGTCGCCTCCAGCGTCATGGACGTTTCAGAGGTGTCAATGATCTTGACGTCTCCGACCTGCGGGCGGACGCTGCTGAAGGTGTTGCCAGGTAAAGCTGCGCAGATGTCAGCTCCACCGTTCCTCAAATCCATCTTTCTGGCAGGGACATAAGAAAACAACCCACGATAAGACAAGCAGTATCAAATTAATACGGACGTTTTACTGGGATTTTGCCCTCAGCAGGGATGTCCTTCAGGACCAAATTGCCGAGGGCTGTGTTGACTTTGACATCAACACTGGCCTTGACATCAAGCAAGACCTCCTTTGCGCCGAAGAGGAGCTTCTGCATAACATCTGTCAAAACGTCGCCATCAGTGATGTTCAGAGGTGCGTCGACCACTCGGGATGTGATTTTGAGAAGCGGCTCCTTCTTTTCGGTTCCTTCGATCTTGGTCGAGTTTGCAGGTTGCCATTCCTGCAAGTTGAGTTCTCCCAGTTTCTTGTGTTGGTACATGACATCAGCTGTCGCTCTCATGTTCGTTACATTTATGTCGAAATTCATCTCCTTAGGTAAGCCAGCAAGGACTTGAACAGTCCCAGAAACCTTGGGGCTTCCGTCGTCATCATCTGGGTCAGGAAGCTGAAAGTTCACGTCGGTAAGAGAAAAGCTCTTGATGAGGTTGTCAAATCCTTGGGCGGGGAATGGAACAGGCACCATGATCTCGGACAGGATGTCACCAATCCAGCCAGGGGTCTCTGAATTAGGCAACTTTCGGCCACGGACGTAGACAGTCGCATCCTCGCCGTGCAGGTAAAGGTCCAAGAACTTGTCTAGTGGCGACGACTTCGAATTCGGGCACACCCGGGTCAAGTCTTTCGGCAACTCCCTAACGATGCCTGATACGTTGGCAGTGACCTCGGCTCGTGGTCTGATTGAGAGGGGCTCGGTCGTGGCATCGGCCAAAAGAATGTAAGGGTCAAATTCATTGCAGTTAGGAACAAGAACCTGGAACCCAAGCTCGGGCACATCAAGACTGATAGGGAACTCGTTGAACGCAGTGACGGCAACATCTGCACCGACAGCCGTTCGTCCGTCAGAGTCTGGAACGTCTCGGAAATTGAGTCGCGAGATATTGTACGTAGGCAGCGTGGGGATTTGGTTTGCTGTATAAGACATTAGTTCTATGTTTGAAATAAGGTAGCAAACAAGGCATGTTCAATTCAAAGCAAGGCTTTTTCTCCAAAGTACAACGAAGCAAAGGAGCGGTAGAGTGATTGACCTTCAAAGACCAACACCTCACTGATCGGGTGTGTGCCTAGCGGAAGAATTCCGGACTTGAGTGGAATATCGGCCTTTCCAAGAACCTTCAATTCCTTGAGCTTTCCCTCTAACCATTCGTTTGCGACTTTACGGTACGCTTCCGCATCCCCGGGTGACAACTCGGCGACGAAGTCTACCTTGGTGGTTTGGCCATCTACGATGCTGATGGTCAGAGGCGGCACGACGGCAGTGCCAAGCAGTACGCTGTCATATTCCGGCAAGTATACGCCGACTTTCATTTGTTCGGTTCCAAGCGCCCTCACTATCCAGGTCGTAAACTTCCCTATCCGCCTGGAAGTCGGGTCCTGAACCTTTGAGCCGTCAAGCCTGAAGTTTGCTTGTATGCGAGCTCGCACGCCATCGGCCGTGATGGATTCGAGGGACAGGTTTGTCGGCTCAACAACCGCGGCCTGCTTGGCGTATTCCTCGACTGCTGCTGGTACAAAGAAGGCCACGAGCATGATGCAAACGGCTAACGTTGCTAGCACCACGATGGAGATAATTGAAGCCCATGGTGTGGAGCTCTTCTTGGTCTTCTTCACAGATGTATGCGATCCGGCATTCGAGATGTTGGAGATAGAGGGTGGGCCTGGTTGAGGGCTGTTGCAGATGTCGCAGCAGAAACTTGCCCTGTCCGGATCGTCTTGTTCGCCATCGTATCGGGGGGTGCCAGACGAGCCAGAAAGAAGAGGCGCGGACTCGGAAAGCAAAGAGTCGTCCTCGGCCTTTCCCTTGCCCTTATTTGTGAGGAGCGGCGTTCTCTCAGTGTCTTCGGACATGATAGGCAGAGGGGTTAATCGCGAGTTGCGGATGATGCTGTCGGATTACCGTGGTAAGAAGGCCGTCATCGCCAGGCAAAATAGGAATGGAACCAGTGATGAAAGTGACAAAACGACGGGTTACAGAATGTAAAGGCAAAAGCTACTGGGTTTCTGATTTTGCCCAGGGATTCGTAATGGTGATGATGATGTCAAATATCTTGGTTCATCCTGGGGGGCGAGCTGTACGGGCAATGCTGCTGTAGAGTCTACTAGTAGGGTGCAGGTCACCTGAAACCAATGAGACGAGATCTAGTCAGCTGGACGGGTGGCCATCGGGTGGATGGCTGGGGATGATCTTCCTTTGAGTGCTTGGATTGGAGTGCCTGACCAGGGGGGCACGGGCCATCCCTCCTCAGGCACGCGTACCACAACGCTGAGGGATAGACAGACAGTATCGAGGCAGGCAAGCACGGAGTGCCTAGCACCGCAACCATCTTCCCAGCCGTTTTGTTGCCTTACCAAAGTAAGAATTCTGCTCCACACTGCGCTGCTTGCACGCATGGCACGCAGGTCCGGTTCCGGCGGTTTCACCGGTCCGGTCTGGGCTCCTGCAGCCACTCCCCGCCTGTAGCATCCTTCTGAGCCATGCAGCAGGTGCCCTGCAACCTGCTAATTTTACAGGCCTTCAGTGCTGTTTCCGAAATTTTCGGTGTATAGCGGTGAGGAACGCACCACTGAATGGGTCCAGGTTTGCCAGGCGGAGAGTTTCTTTGTGGAGTTCTAACAGCTATCTATCGTCTGTCAATGAAGCTATCAAATTGTGACTCAACCTCCCTTTAAGACACATCAATTGACCGCCCACGCGACTCATTCGAGATCGACAAATTTCTCGGGCCGTTGCTCAAAAGTTTAAAAGTCTGTGTTTCTCAAAACAACAACTCAAATCCGTTCGCAGCTGTCTCAAACTTCACATCCTTCTGTCCATCCAGCTCGAGTCATTCAGTCGCCCGCCATGAGGCAGTCAGCTTTCCGTGTTACCCGCCAAGCCTTCAACGGCATTCAGAGTCGGGCTTACTCGCAAGCAACGGGCCCCCGTCATCTCATGTCCATTGCTGACCTCACTCCGGCCGAGTTCGCGACTCTCGTCCGCAATGCCGCTTCTAACAAGGCAGCTGTCAAGTCGGGCAATGTGCCCCAAGCTCTGGCGTCAAGCCTTACGGGGAAGACCGTTGCCATGATGTTCAGCAAGCGCAGCACCCGCACCCGTGTGTCGACCGAAGCTGCAGTAGCTCTCATGGGCGGTCACCCTATGTTCCTTGGCAAAGACGACATCCAACTTGGAGTAAGTGAAGAAACCCTCTCGTATCAGAGGTTCAACAAGCTCACTCCCATATAGGTTAACGAATCTTTGTACGACACCTCGAAAGTCATCTCATCAATGACTTCCTGCATGGTTGCCCGCGTCGGCCCTCACTCTGATGTTGCTGGACTGGCCAAGGACTCTAGTGTCCCTGTCATCAATGCTTTGTCTGATGACTACCACCCGCTGCAGATTATTGCAGACTTCTTGACCATCCACGAGGCTTTCCCCGCTACTTCTACATCAGACAAGGCAGACCTTGGTGTGAAGGGGCTGAAGGTTGCATGGATTGGTGATTCTAACAACGTCCTCTTCGACCTTGCCATCGGCTGTGTCAAGATGGGTGTTGACATCGCTGTCGCCTCTCCTACTGGCTACGGTATTCCCAATGCCATGAAGGCCGTTATCTCCTCTGCAGCCAACGGCGTTGCTTCCCCGGGTAAGCTCAGCGAGACGACTATCCCCGAGGAGGCCATCAAGAACGCCGACATTCTTGTCACCGATACTTGGGTCTCCATGGGTCAGGAGGCCGAAGCTCAAAAGCGTCTTAAGGCTTTTGCCGGCTACCAGATCACGAATGACCTGGCCAAGCGTGGCGGTGCTAAAGAAGGTTGGAAGTTCATGCACTGCCTGCCTCGTCACCCTGAGGAGGTTGCCGATGAAGTCTTCTACAGCGACAGGTCTCTTGTTTTCCCTGAGGCAGAAAACCGATTGTGGGCTGCTGTTGGTAAGTTATTCCGTGCCATCATGTCCTCATTCCATATTAACAACTACGCAGCTGCCCTTGAGGGTTTCGTTGTGAACAAGGGCAAGATCTAAGGGAAAAGTGTCGACGTTGCGCGGCTCACAGCAAGGGAGAAAACAAAGGCGAGGCGTTCATTCTTGGCAAACAAAATGGTACAGATTGTATAGCAACTTGGTAGCATTGAAAGATGGCAATACCCCTTTACCAACGCCGGATATTTCTTAATACAATTCCTCTTAACCAGGAGGAAGCTGGCTAGCATCAACAACCTCGTCCGCCTCCTTGATAATCGACTCCTCGTTCGGTCCGTACAAAGGCGAACGGGGCAGGGCCATGAGACCAGTGCGAGCCGACTCGAGGATACCGAAGGGTCCAATGAGCTTCAAGAAGGAGTCAATCCTGGTGGGCTTGGCGGAACTGTGCAATTATCAGTTAATCCTGTCACACTTAACCTCGGTTGGGGGGCGATCCTTACATCTCCACAATACAGCTGTTGGTGCTGATGTCCAAAACCTTTCCGCCGAATTGATGGGCGAAGTAGGTGATAGACTTCAAGTGCTCGTGCTTGTGACGAAGAGCCTGACTGGCAGCGAGCTTGCTAGGGTGGAAGTCCTTGGCGATGTCTTCCAGTGACTGCTGCTCGTTGCCTTCGTGGTGCTCAGCATCGACGGCCGTGATCTCACGGTGGTGAGCCAACAGCTCCTCGAAGTACTCGGGACCCAGAATGTTGATCTTGGCCAGGAGAAGCTCACGCTGCACCAGGGCGGCGCTGGTGTAGTCCAAAACGGCCCAGACAGGGACAAGGTCCTCCAATTGACGTCTGGCCTGCTCGACAACGCCATCTTGGCCAGTGAGGACGATGGTCATGCGCGAAAGATCCTCGACCTCGGTGCTGCAGACAACGAGCGAGTCGATGTTGAAGCCGCGAGCAGCCAGGATACCGGAGACGCGGGACAGCACACCGGGCTCGTTCTGGACCAAGCAGTTAAGGATGTGGCGCTTCGGGGGCTGCATCGACGGGGAGGGCGTCTCGTAGAGGATGTTAGAGACGGCGGCCTGGGCCGACCAAGCCGGCGGGCTGTCGCTGACGGGGAGAGGAGCGGCACGGCGTCGAAGAGCTTTGTAGGCGATGGCAGAGGTCGAGCTGCTGGACGAACTCCATCGAGCGGCGGCTGAGAGCGGTATCGCTTGGGGAGCCTGGGAGGCCCGCCATAGCGAGGTGGAAAGTAGGCGGCGTGACGCCATCTTCTCTGATCAATTGCGAGAACAGCCAATTGTTCTCCTGATCAGAAATGAGACGAAACCCGAAGCCTGATATTGAATATGAGCTCGAGGTTCAATGGCTGGAGTGATAAGGATTGACTCACCGTCTGTGTCAAGTTCCACTGGGAAAATTTGAGGAGAATTTGGGGGTAAATGTTCGGAGGCAAGTCGGAGGCCAGGAAGCTGACCGTTTGCAGGGGTGCTGGAGCACGGATCAGCTACCGACAGGGGTATTGACCGAGCGAGTGGACACGCTGCATCGCGGGGTCGATTGGAGGGTGCGGGGGTGCGTCCTACACTGTGCCCGAAGCTGGCCTGTAGCGGGAGTTATATAGTAATCGCACTTTGTAAATGTCTCCGGGTCCGTACATGAAGTCTCAGACAGCCCGTGGTGTCTATTCAGTGGCTAGTCATGCCGGGCGTATCAGTGGATGACGAATTTCGCCGGGGGTCTATACCTCTCAAGACCTTTAAAACCTAAGCCAGCCTGCAATTAGACAATAATATCTTGGTATAAGGTAGGTTCTGGAAGCATTGTTTTTTTTTTTTTTTTGAAGCCTTGGTAATCAAGTAGGATGATTCGAACAACAACACCTCTTTATGTTTATAAAAGTAGATGATATCTTGGATTGACTCGAAGACAATTATGTGACAGTGAGTGGAGTTCCTCGACGTTGTTGGTAGGCTCAAGTTCACTTGTGACAAACTGCCAACGTCTTCTTAAGTGCTTGTCCCACTTAGTTGTTATTGCTAACACGACCGAAGTCGGCGCAATAACTTAGACAGACTCTACAGTAGCCTTCAAAATGCTTAAAGCCGCAGCAGGATCATCAGCACAAAGGCGGCCAGTCAACTGGAACAGAATCCTGAATCCGATACATGTCAGTGACCATCGCTTATTATCGGCCATTGTTGTCTTATACGGCAGAAAGAGGCCGAAGATGTTGCATTTAGGTAATCATAGTCAGTTGGAAGTATAAACGAACGACAAGCAGACATGCCTTCCATCTTGAAAACGTCTCTCACCATGTTCTGAGGAAGCAATTGCGTCACCAGAGAGTGTCCCAAGTGGCATGGATTTTTTTCCCCTTGTCTCAGGATGTGGCTGGTACCGTAACACTCCAGTCCACCTATAAACTGAGGCGCAAGTGTCCGTGATCGAAGTTGCGACTGACTAGCGCACAGACCAAGCCACTTTATTTCGGCCTGTCCACCTTACAAGGCTCCACCTCCGAAGAGCTTCAAACCTCGTAAAATTTCCAAACTTTCCTTGTCCATAAACAAATCGCCCAGCACTCTTCGAATTGATTAGACGCGCGCCGTGGACGAGCCCCTGCATTTTGAACCCTAGAAACGATACCACTGCATTTTCATTTCGTAATGGACGACACCGAGCGACGCTCCGCCAAGCGCTCGCGATTCGACCAGACCGAGCCTGAGCCGCGCAAGGCTTCGAGATTCGACCGTCGCTCCCGATCCCCACCCGCAAGACGCTCTGAATCTGGTAGAGAGCGCAGCCCCGTCGCCAATGATCATGCGACGGAGCCCAAGAAGTCACCCGTAGACGCTGCTGCTGCGGCTGGTAGGGATACCCGCCACTAACCAGAAACCTCGGAGAAGGAGCTAACGGAATACCAGCTGCTGCCGCTGCGCGAATCAACGCACAACTCCAAGCGAAGAAGGGCATTCAACATGTCGATGTTCCTCCGATCAAAACAGCGACTCCACCTGCCAACTCGGACGCTCAGTCACCCGATCCGGCCAACACGATCAATGGCGAGATGTACATTGCCGATGGCGACTATATCAAAGACATTGAAGTCAACGATCTCCGCAACAGATACCTACTGACTAAAGGATCGACTCAGAAAATGGTAAATATTCCTTTGCAAAGCCACTGATCATACTTCCTTCCCAGGCCTCATCCCGGGCGCATTCCGCTTCTTCTCACATCCATTGATTTGTGTCGAGATCATCCTGCTTACTTGGCACGATAGCTCACACAGATCGCCCCTCTTTGGCACCTGCTGACTCCATTTGCTTGATTTAGATTAAAGAAGATACTGGTGCTGGTACGCAACACCTCCCAATTTTACGTCCTTAGGAGCAGAGGTTGACTTTGAAAGATGTTACTACCCGAGGAAGTTACTATCCCGATAAGAGCATGGCGACGTCCGCGGTAAGTCTATGATTGATAATATCAAAGACTACGTAGTCTGACAAACTTTCCAGAATCCGCCCTTGTATCTGCACGTTACCAGTACATCGAAGACGGGTCTCGAGCAAGCCGTGGCCAAGATCGAAGAGTTGATGAAACAGGAGCTCCCTGCTCTGGTTGATGAGCGCCGTTTCCGTCGCCGTGACCAGGAGCAGGTTGAGAGAGACGAATATGGCAGAGTGCGTATCATCCCTGGGTATAAGCCTTCAAGCTAACATGCTCAGCGTAAATGGCCTGAGGAGAAAATCCCCATTGGTTTGGAATCCGTCCCCGGGTTTAACCTCCGTGCTCAGGTGGTCGGCCACGGTGGTGCCTACGTCAAGCATATTCAACAGGAGACCCAGTGCCGTGTCCAGATCAAAGGCCGCGGCTCTGGATATTTGGAAGCTGCCACTAATCGTGAGAGCGACGAAGACATGTACCTTCACGTGGCGTGAGTCAATTCGGCACTCAGTAACCTGGGATGTTACTAATCCGCTGGCAGTGGTCCTGATCCGAAAATGGTTGAGAAGGCCAAAGAGCTCTGTGAAGATTTGATCGCCAATGTCAAGGAGCAGTACGAGGAGTTCAAAAGCAGACCTCCCCGCAGCTACGGCGGCGGCGGTGGTTATGGCGACCGCTCGCGTAGCCATGACGGCGGCCATGGAGGGCATGGTGGACACGGCGGCTACCAGGGATATGGTGGCGGTGGGTACAACTCTGGTCACGGAAGCCACGGTGGTCACGGAGGTCACGGAGGCCACGGTAGCCATGGCGGTCACAACTCTGGGCAGTCGGCCAGCCCGGCTCCCCCCGGCAGCTCTAACAGCCCTGCTCCTGGAGCTGACTACGCCGCACAGTACGCGCAATATTATGGTGGACAGGACCCCTATGCCGCTTACGGTGGTTACGCTGCATACGTTCAGATGTATCAGCAGTACTATGCAGCTGCACAGCAGCAACAGCAGCAAGGTTCGCCTGCACCTCCCGGAGCGTCGGCATCCCCTCCGCCGCCACCCCCGAGTGAGGCCGCCCCGCCGCCACCTCCGCCAAGCTCTGCTCCCCCGCCTCCGCCTCCCTCTGGCTCTCCTCCGGGGACTGGAGGATACGGTGCAGTAAGTCGCGTCTTTGACATCAAAGCTGAAAAGTCCAATCACTAACGCAGATGATAGGTTCCACCCCCTCCCGGCCTTTAGAGAAGGGATCAAACCTAGTAGTTGACGTCAAGGTTGAAGTTGAGCTCAGGGGAGACCACCAAACAGCTCTCGCCACTAGAACAACGCAGTAGTTGCGTTTTACACTGATTATCTTATGTACCAGGAGAACTTGTAAATGATCATACAGATATATTAATCGAACCGGAAAATTCATGCATCTCATGCATGTTGTGAAGAAAAACATCCTGTTGCTTTTCCCCACTGTTTTAGTGCTTTCTCAACCTTGACGTGCAAAGGTTTGCCAAATAACTTTGCTCCTCGGTTTTGAAAGGCATGGACTTCCTGCGACGAATTATACCAAAACAGCGATTTCCTAATGTCTGCAGGTCTCGGTTCACGTCTCCATGTTCGACTAATTCATTGACCACTTTTTTGGCCGTCTTCTCTTTTGTTCTTGTGCTCGGCCCAAGATAAGCTTGACATTTGTTGTCTAAAGTGAAAGTAAACAATAAGAACAACAAAAGTGACACGAGTCCTCTCCGAGTTAGACTGAGGGTTTGCTGGCAGGGGAAGCAGAGGAACACGGGCATGTTGGGTTTCCTTATCACATGTAAGAGATCATTAACGAGAACTGCAAGACACTCACAAATCAATCAATCAACGTACATGCTGTCAATGCTTCCTCGCTTACAATGAAAATTCTCATGACCAATGCTATGTAGGCTACAGAACTGGCCGGGGGAAGAGAACCGCATATGTGGCTTGAAAATACAAGTCACAGACCAAGCTCGAGGAATATTGCAAGATAAAATTCGCATTGGTCAAGCCGTGAGTCAAATTTCCTATGGAGTATCCGTTATAAGGATGCTTAATGGAAATGATTAACCGCCAAAACAGGCTTTAGTCCTTGTAGACACCTTCCGCTTTTCGTTTCCACCGATTCCAACCTTCTCTAAGCGGTTACAGATGGGCATGCAGTTAATTTGTTTTTTATGTACGTTGCGGATTAGGTTACGTTTTATGCTTCATATAATCTTTGTTAGAGATTATTCCTAAGCTTTGAATCTTGTTCAAATTCATACAGTAAAACGAAAAAAAAAAAACAGTCTAGTTTCTCTTTTGTGATGCTTCATCACTGGCAAATACTTTGCCGTGGTTAGCCCGTGCTGCTTGACTCCTTTTATGGTAAGCCAGTCCTGGGTACTTTTACCCAGGTCAAATTCAGCACATTCATGTAGGATACTGGGATGTGAAAACTGATAATGGGAAAAAGACAGCTTATCCGCATGCCTATCTATAAGCACGTGGACCCTTCAGCATGTTCATCCTATACGAGAGTCCATCAGGGACAGTGAAGATATACAGTGCAAGGGATACCAGCACAAAACATTTCACCTCATCTTCTTCGAAGATCGAGTAGAATAAGTTTTACGAGAAAATAGTTCAAATTGGAGGGTCGTGTAAGTTTCTTTACTGGGAAGGTTTGTCTTCCAGGTAATCTAGATGAGACTGTTCGTCTTTAGATCAACACCAGGATCGACATAATAGGCATATATTGTCCCACGTTTTACGGAGTACTTCTAAACCTGATTCACATGACCAACCAAGTAGGCCCTGATGGAGGACAATATTTAATCAAACTGGAAGCCGGGATATTCCATCTACCAGGCTCCCATTGCAAGACAGTCAGGAGAGATAGCGCAAGGCTGCTCTTGGCTCATTATCACAGTTTTGCTTTCCGGAAAGGCTAACAACCATGCTCTTAGAGAGCCCATAAATGTTTCACAATGTAGTATTCTTTTGTAACCTTGCCAATATCGAACATAGACAATAAATAAAAGTATCGATTTGGCAAAGAATGAGCCGCCTACATGTCTATCCTCAACGCGGGTCAGAACCGAGGTCAGAGAAAATTCATACCAGGAAAACGGCCATTAGTTCGGAAGCGTAGGCTCGCGAACGGCGTGATTCACGTAGCTACATGGCACTTTGGAAGGTTCTTCATACCACCGCAGGGCCAGCCATGGAGAATGGATCTCAAAACTTTGCGTTTCGCAGCCGAGGCCATCAAAGCTGTAACAAGCATCTCATACGGTTCCAACTGATCAAACATTAGACTAACTTTCGTGTTATTGCCATGAGTCGAAAGTGATTTAAATGAATATTCAATAATCATGTAGGCAAGACAACGCCTGAAGCGCAGTCGCTGAACCATTTCGGAGAATTGACGTCCCCTATCACATTGCGTCGTCTCCCAGGTACTCAGCGACCACACCGAACGTGGGGAAGCTCCGCCGAAGAAGCACGCGCCTTATCGATAACGTTCTGGCCCACCACAGCTCCGTCGTCATTTCTGTCCTACAATGAACCCTCCTACTCGTCGCATCGTTCGTCCTTCTGCCGTCCAACGACATCACAAACCACCAATTCAACTTCCTACGTACCACCCAGCCGCACCAGGACGGGAGAACTCATAATGAGCCACCAAAGATATCCGTCACACGACCCTCTGAGAGAGCCCCACTCCGTCTCTTTGAAAGTCCTTAGGTGCACATCATCCGCTTCATGTCATGCTACATATCGCAGCTATCTCTAATGCGCGCCGTCCAGGCTCTCCCGCCCGTCACTAGTAGTTCAGCATCCGATCCGTCCACCGCTAACGCCCTCTCATGTGCCCACGGAACCGACTCCAGCATCCCTAGCCTACGACACCACAGCCTCGACGAACCCCTCCCCCTTCCTCCTCTCCCCGATACTCAACCTGCCACTGAGCTTCGGGTCGGCGTACGTTGGCGAGGTGTTCAGCTGCACGCTTTGCGCCAATCACGATACAATCGAGCCGCCTCCAGGCACCAACCGCAAGAGCATTCGCGATGTGCGTATCGAAGCGGAAATGAAGACCCCCGGCGCGGGTGCGGTGCAGAAACTAGAGCTCACACCAGCCGGCGCCGCCGCCAGTGACAACGCCAGTGGGACAGATCTCGATCCAGGCGAGACGTTACAGCGTATTGTGAATTTTGACTTGAAAGAGGAGGGAAACCACGTCCTGGCCGTGACAGTGAGTTACTACGAAGCCACTGAGACCTCAGGCAAGACACGCACGTTCCGCAAGCTGTATCAATTCATATGCAAGTCCTCGCTTATTGTGCGCACCAAGATCGGCCCGCTGGCACCGTCATCTAAAAACGCCTCCCGGAGGTGGGTGCTCGAAGCGCAGCTGGAGAACTGCTCAGAGGATGTGATACAACTGGAGAAGGTCCTGCTTGACCTCGAAGATGGACTGGGATACAAAGATTGCAACTGGGAGGAGGGAGGCGCCGGCGGCGCAAGACCGGTGTTGCACCCGGGAGAGGTGGAGCAGGTGTGTTTCGTGGTCGAGGAGGCGGAGGGGGTCCATGCCGAGCCGGACAACGATGGGAGGATCATGTTCGGGGTGTTGGGGATCGGCTGGAGAGGAGAGATGGGAAATAGGGGTTTCCTCTCGACAGGCAAGTTGGGCACACGACACATAGCATGATAAAAGTATGGGGGAGAACTTTTACGCCGACAGTTGAGGCGTCTTTCAGGGGGCCACCTAGCGGTGCTCTACAAGTGTATGCTGGAGAAGGAGGAGGCGGATAGACTGGGCCGTGGGGTTGGAGAATTCTGCGCCAGGAAGACGTATTTGGAACCGCGCTCGAGCGTGGCATAATCAGGCCATTGGCAGAGATAGTCAGCCGCGCGGCTGGTGTCTGCTCAGCCATCGGCGTCCATAACGAGCGCCTCTTTGCTATGCGCAGCTCGACGTCGAGGCTGATCGTTTGCGACGGGAAGGAGCCAGAGAGAAGAGGACCCTTAAGGGTCAGGCGCATTAGCGTCGCCCATATGCTTTTGCGTTTTCACATGAGTTACGGTCCGGGTATTGCTAGATAGTATATTCGAGACGGTCCGAGGTGTTGGTGAATAGCATCTTCGAAATCTCTGTAACTGAACACATCTCCAAGGAGTAGGTAGAGTTCAAACCCTCCACGCTCAGACGCGCCACTATAGCCGTACTAAGATACAATGCTGGGAAAGGCCACCCCCCCCATGGTTTCCCTGGAAATCTGCCCAAGTGGGAACTGTGGCTGAAGTGACAGCTCCAGATCTAGCAGCAGTTCATCTGAGATCCTAAACTTTAATGGGCGCCCTGAGACCATTGACGACCGTTTATTAGCCCCCTTTCCGCTGGGTTTCCGGGTCGTCTCCAACTTTCGGCCCTTCTACGGCCGAGAAAAAGGGGGTCACAACGGTAGTGGCCGTCACAGCGCCGTCGCCACTGGTTCTCGTTGCGATGGAGGAAAGTATCTGGGAGGCTTGAAATCAACAAGCCCTACAGAGGAAATGCTACATAGACTGTCACGCGGAGATATTATTGTCCGTCCGGAAGGGCAACCTGGCTCAGTGGTCTGCAGTCGCCTGCATCAGAGGATCGACATGGAAATTTAACAGACCCTGCCACGCCGGGCCGATGTAGAGGATTAATTGCGGTAGGATTAGATGGGAGGCAGAGGACAGTCCTTTGGGCCTCTTGCAGGGGGAAAAAAGCAATGAGCAAACGAGTTATCGGGGTTGGTTTCTCCATCTAGAATATGCCTCACGTAAGCGATCTTAGCGATAATAGGAACGATCTTAGTGCCTGCCAACGGTCACCGTGCCAGATTCTCAGCTACAAAGTTGGCGGCGATGTTTCAGGCTACCTTTGGTGAGCATAACACAGAACTGGCGTGAGCTTTCTCCGAGGCGCAGAGAGTAAAATGGTGTTTGTAGTCGACAACCAGTCATTACCTAGTAATGAGATGAAAGGGATGTTAGATGGCTTGCTCGGTCGAGGGTTGAACAATCAGGCTCATTGCCTATTACAGCAGCCTTTCATGTGGTAAACGTCTGGATAAGCCAATTTTGGCGCAAAGATGAGTTAGTTGCCACTGGTTTTTGTCAGGGGCGAAATGTAGACTAGACAGACCATCAAGGACTGACTATGCTGCATCCCGTAAGGTGGTATAACATGGGTTGAGAACAGATCTGAAACAGAAACTTCCTCTTCAGGGCATTTGGCTGTCTGCAGAATGGAAGTCTGTGGTGGCTAACCTACCCGTCATGTCATAAGGCGGCAGTGTTCCTACCTTGCTACCCAACAATCTCCCCGAAAATGCGCGCCAGCCGTGATGCGGGTCTGGGTGAATGAACCCTTTAGACCTTCACGGATCGTCCTAGGTTCTGGGGTCGGGCAGTCGGCTCACGCGAGAAGAAATGGCCCAAAAGTTTGCATGGGGGTTCCCAGGCATTTCGAGTATGCTGAGTGATATCGTGGGCATCTGCCGGCGTTGCTTTTGGTGCTGATGACGAGCGGCCCAGTTCTTGTGACGGATTTCTTGGCCCAAGTAGCCAGTGAGCACCGACCACCAAAACCACCCACAGACACTTGAAGCTGTGCGCCGATCCCTGGCCCGCCATGTTCGACATCGCGGGCCCACGATCGGCCATGGGCCGTGATATCAGCCACGTTAAGACTAGCTTGGTATTTTCTCTGTTCACCTGGTGAGATCTTTTTTCGAGGCTTTTTTTGAGTTGCGGCCGATTCTGGCAGTCGTCTCAAGAAGCGACAGGGAAATGAATTCTTCAACGACTATTCACAGATACCTGGTCGTCTAGCATGACTGCTGGATACAGGATTGCCAACTGTAACCTGCTAGAGCACACCTCGTTGTGAATGGCTCTTCACCCGCTTCTCTAGCCCTCATGAAACGTACGAATGCATGCTAAGGCAGACCCTGGCATTGCCATGCGAGCCATGTCAGTCGACAAGCAGGTACAAGCAGGTACGACAGGGAGGATGAGTTTGATAGATGTTGTCTCGAGGCAAAGTGCATCAGGCAGGCATGTGGACAAGGAAGCGAGCGGTGGGATGCAGACCGCCTCCATTTGTCGCTTGCTTGTCGTTGCTGCTTGCGTGCCTACCTGTCTGACTGACTAGTCGATTCGTATTCGTTGGGTTATGGTAAAGCGCTTCATCTTCTGCAGCCATCCTCATAGGTCATGTAGGAGCCGTAGAAGGGCAATGCACTTTACCCACCGCTGGGGAGGGTGTGAAGCAAAAGCCCGACAACCCCTGAAGCATATGCATGGTTGGCTGGTCGACTTGGTACTGGGCTGGCTAAGTACTCTAACAGGCGTTGTGCCCGTAATGTCGGACGAACAGGTCGCAATTAAGTGGCTTGTTGTGTTTGCCCAGTTCAGAGAAACAGAAGATTAGGGTTTCAAGATGGAAGGCAGGTCCTTATAACAGGGGAGATCGTTATTGAACAGCAAGCGAGGAACGGTAAAATGGATGTTGAGAATGACTGTCGACATCACAATCTTGGAGACAATGTGTGTGTGTGTGGGGGGACGCTCCACCAGACTTGATTATTGTTCAAGGGGTCCTTCTAGTGGTTTTTTCCGAGGGAATTTGGATCTCAAAGATTCTTTCCTGATGGGCGGGAGAGTGGGTTGGGCCAAGCGCCGGGTTGCGGCTATTCGGGTTCTGCATCCAGTTCCTGACAGTGATTGAGCCATGACGGTTGCCATTCTGTCAGTATTGTCTCGTGTTGTCCCCAACAAGTCGCAAAGGGTTTGGCTGGTTGGAGGCTCTTTTGTGTCTGTGTGTGTGCGTGTGCTTGTACTTATGAAAATTCTTACTTTTTTGCCGGTTGTGGTGTGTAAGAAATGGCAGGCGTAGGTGTGCTTTGAGCAGAATGCAAGCTGGGATTCGTTCCTCATGGGAGCAACGATTCTTAATTGGGGAGGATACCCATCATACGTGCAGAAGGACTTGACAAGCCCTGCCCAATGAGGAGAAGATGTGGTTATCCCAGCATCTCAGGCATACTACGAAGTAGCAGGAAGGGGTAGTACGTTGGCCTAGGGCAGATGTGATACCTCATACTAGGGCGGGCATCGGGCGGCAGTAAGAAAAAGCGAGTGAGGGGAAAGAGCGATTTACACTACCTTGTCTATTCCGTAATAGCACTTCGTCCCCGTACGGGAGGTGAAAAAGAAGGTCCTCGAGGAGAGAGAGTGTGTGAGAGGGGCACGGTCGTAGGAGGAGAAAGAGGAGAGCATGTGGATGAGAAGGAGCCCACTGCCCTAGGGGGACACTTTACGCCGCAGTGAGGGCATTCATGTGGAAATCCGAGGGTGGACTAATTCCACGAAAATGGTCTGGCGGGCAGAGTGGCAGCAACAGTGGGCGATAGTGGACTTGCAGTGGTACTGTGGAGTTGGGCACAGCGGTTGCCAATTGATCGACAGGCAAATGCCTGCGACAGTGTTAGTGGTCCAGGGGGGAACGCCCAGGGGCCGATTGTCGACGCCTATCTAGGCAGCTAGGGTAGTGCGAGCTTGCTAGGCCCTTCCCTGGAACGCTAGTTCAGGGACCACAAGGGGCATTGGAGGAGGACGGAACTATCTCTATTTCAGGAGCATTAGGGAGCAAATGTAGAGCAATACGTTCGGGGTATCCAGGTGCTCCTCAAGAAGCTGTGAGAATGAATGGCTCCAGATGCCCAATAAGAGTGGGGGAGACAATGCGAAGAGAACTACCTTGGGAAGAACTTATGCGGTACGGAGCATTCCATGACACGGAACGTCCATGATGGAAGCCCGGCATAGAAAGACGAATATCATGCTTACACCCAGCGAGACATAGTAACGGGAATCGAGAGACACCCTGCGATGGAGCCTAACTGCATCTGCCCTTGCTTCTTCCTCCTTCTTCGGGGTCGCATTCTTGAAAAGAAAGTAAAACATAAACTGGATGAGACATGTCAGTTATCTGTCAGTCTCGTCTAAATAGATTCTGGTGCATTTACCCTATCGGAATCGTATAGCCTGTGGCTCTCGGGAGGCATTTCGCAGCAGCACTGTTTGGGCAGAGCCCAAGTGTCTGTTTCAGAGAAGTAAATAAAAACAAAAACGAGGGGAAAAAACCAAGCAAACCATTGAGATCGTGGTGCTAGCCAGCCCTACTGGAAATATAGCATGAATGAGGTCAGGGACAGGCGTTGTGTAAGGCGTCGTGTTCTGGTTCACAGCAGTAAAAACGCCCGTCCAGGCTCTAGGAGAAGCTCAAATCAACGTCTCATTCGGCCCAGAGTTTGTTGTGTTGCCTGCAGCACCTTCCCTATCCTGTAGCCCCAAGTACCCCTTGCCCCAGTCGAGTTGCATCCCACTCTTGGACGTTGACCAGCGATCATCCAGTCAGGCGATGTCCTCAGTGCACTCGTTGTCTGCACTGCATACACTGCACTGCAACTTCCAAACCCCCCTAGCCCGTCCTGTTGACTCCTTCCCCTCCCCGTGTCGACTCCGCTCATCCCACACCACCACCCCTCTCCAAAGCACACGCCACCTCCTTCTCCGCCCATAGCGGCAACCACGAACGAAGGCGCCTGGTGCTTGCCCTTTTTCACTCTCGCGTTGGGCCCGATCACCATATTAGCTTCCCATTTTGTCCCAAAGCATCCCATGTTTTGTTCGTTGCCCATCGTCCGTTGGACTGCCTCGTTGCTTGTACCTGACCCTATGAGAAAACGACGCGGCTTGAAGAAATAGAAAACCAGACCTCGCATGGTTTTTGCTCCCTGACTGATTTGTTTCCCTCTCTTTTGCCTTTTCGCTTGTCTTGTAGACTTGTTGGTCCGCGTCCATCTCCAATCTCAACTTTTTCCTAAACCTTTCTTTTCTTTTTTTTGGAGGCTCTGCATCTGCTCTTCTGTCAACCCCAAGGGGGACGAAAAACAAAAGGAAAAAAAAAGTTTTGGCATAAGCCAGAAAACAGCCTCGCCCTTCTCTCGTTCGCTGCTGTTGTTATCTTTGACCAACCAACCGAACCTGGCCAACCTAAACTTGATCTGATCAAACCTGGTTTCCTTTCGACCTGGCTGACGCCTCTCGTCACTCCTCACTTTCTCACCAACAACCAAAATCACACTCTTCTCCAGTCTTTCCATTCCTTTGGCGGCTTCCTGTTCTTGTTGTTAATTCGCTCTCGCGACCTTCGACCGCTCGGACGGCCCTCTTGCTCATCAACTTCACCCAGTCTACGCCATCTCAAGGGCCTTGACGACCACTTAACACCCCTCTGCCCCGATCCGATTCGATCCATTACTTCCGGCTTCCCTGCCTACGTCTGCCCCTTTTGCTCCGCTGCTGGCCTAGCCTCTCTGTCACTGTCGCTGGTCGAAAACCTGTCGCGCTTTTTCCCTGGTTCGTGCGTTCACCGCCTTCTGTCTCCCCTCCCTTCTCCAGTCGTGGATGGGGACCTGGCAGGAGTCCATACTAAACGAGCCGATTCCCTACAGCCATCGCCTGAGACTTTTTTCTTAGAAACCTCCCGTATCCTGGCACCCCTGCCCTGTCCTGCCCGCCCACCGCAGCACTACCCAACTACCACCCCAGTCCTTGACTGACCAGTCAACGACCCAAAGGACCCCGAGACCCTCTCGCGATTAAAAGCCCGGGCCAGCCCCGTGCGAAGCAACAAGACGAGGGAAAAAATATACTCGTCGGCCAAGCATATCGCCCAATCGCCTCTCGGCTGGTCACCAGCAAGTGACATGTCATGGACAGCTCCTCGACGCCGCTCGCCGACTACTTCTGGATCGCCGGTGTAGAGTCCATTTCCTACAATGACCCTACCCCGCAGCCCCCATCCAACCTGGAGTCTACCATCGCCGAGGACAGCGAACACGAGGACAGCGACGGCGAACTGAACGCGACTCCGAGCAAGCGCGTTGCTCGCCATTCGAGACAAAATTCGGGAGGCCGTACGGCCAACGGTCGCTTCTCCATTCACACCCTGGAAGAAGTTGAGGGGAGCACGAAGAGCAACCGAAGCAGCGCTACAATCCGTCCTTCTCACGCCAGCCAGATAAATGGCACCAGCAGCCCCCCTGGTACCGGCTTCAATGGTTTAAATGGTTTGAACGGCCTCAATGGCCTCGGCGGAGACATGCCGTTCATGGAGGGTTTTGACTTTGATAAGGCCCTGCTCAAATTCGCCGCCGAACGGGAAAACTTCCTCGAGGACTTGTCCTTCACTGCCGGTGCCAAAACACAGGCGAAACCAATGGTTAATCCGAGAGCCGAGCGCATCAAAGCCGATGACGGTGATATGAGCGGTCGGAGGAGCCCCCTCCGCAGCATCGAGAGGAGCATCAAGGGAAGCATCCGCCGAAAGATGAGTTTTAGGGACATGAACAGCATGCGCAAGCAACCCACCACTCCAAGAGCAAGCACTCCAGGAGCCGGTACGATCCCCCGCCAAGGTCCATCCTCCTCTGCTACGATATCCCCAAGTCCTTACCGGCATACTAACACTTTGGATCCAGCTTCAATTAGGACGTCTAAACGCTTGAGCAACTATAACTCCGTCATCCCTCCCCCGGAGCCTTTGAACACAGACCCGGACATGCATCCCCTCAGAAGGCGATTTGAGCCCGTGTTGCTGGACAGGTACCCTGCCAAGGACGCAACCGACGAGGTCAGCCGCCGTGGAAAGTTTCCGGATTACGTTCCCATGTTTGCTTTTCCCAATGACATTCAGATTGTTTCTTCCGATGACAGGCCCCGCTCGACCTGGCATGGTTTCACCATGACATCGGACGACAACTCCAAGATTTATGGCATTACCATCATTATTTGGACTGCCATAACCTCCGAGGTTGCAGATGAGGTAGAGCAGCGCTGCGAACAATGGCGACAAAGCCACATGTCTAACGAGGAGCGGGAGCTGGCAGCTAGCCTTGGCGTGCGACTAGCTGCTGAGCGTGCCCATCTCTCTCAGCTGCTCGCGAAGTTGCCAACCGTCCCCTCGGGATCATTGGCGCGTGACAATCTGGATGATCAGATCAGCGCTGTGGAGGAGAAGATCAGTCTCATGACAGAAATGTTGAGGCCGGTTCGGCACGGCGCCGCATCTAAGATTGACGGCCTGACTGCTGGCGAGAGTGGCTTGTGGGCGCCTAGAGCCTACGGCATCTTGGGTAGAGATGTTACGAGAATGTCTTTCTGGAAGGAATGGCTGAGAGCGGTCGTGGTTCCCATGACCGACGGAGCTATCCTGCGAGTGCCACCCAGCTCGCCCAAGGTTGGCCGTTGGCAACCCCTGGAGCGCTATGTTGTCAACCTCTGCACGGAGGCATTCAGTCCTCTGGGCTCCAAGACCCAAGTTGAACTCGGCGTGCGAGAGCTGCGATTGTACTGTCGGCAAGAAGCTATCAACGAGATCCCTGGGGCAAGAACCATTGACATTTATGCCCTTTTCCGGTGCCTCTCTATGGAAAACATCGTCGCCCTCTTCGAATACGCCATGTCCGAGTCTCGCATCATCTTCATCTCTTCACATACCGGTATGCTTCATCTGGCATGTCATGCGCTGGCCAACTTGTTGTACCCCCTTAAGTGGGCGAGTATCTTCATTCCGGTGCTTCCAGCGCGTCTGATCTCTGCCCTAGAGGCTCCGTGCCCCTACATTGTTGGTATTGAGCGACGTTACGAGAAGATCGAACTGCCTGATGATGACTACGTTTTGGTCGACTTGGACATGGACACGATAGACGCAACCGCACAGCCTGTCCGACTGCCACGACAGCACCGACGCAAGCTCCTTTCGCTGCTCCATGTGGCTGCCCCCCACCACATTCGGTATGGCGTAACCACCGGCCCGCCGCCGTACGCGATGGAGTCGTACCCGTATGACGCCTTCTCGGTTGAAAACGACACCCTTTTTAACTCCAACATCAGCTCCAGCTCTCTGGGTAAATGGGTTACCCAGAACTCTTCGTCTTTTGGAGAGCCTGATCCCGCCGCCGCTGTCCGCCCTCCCATCTTCAATGCCTTCTTGCATTCGAAGGTAGACCATGGGCGGTCAGACCGGCCGGGGACCAGCAAATCAGGAAAGACCAGTCCTCAGTCTTCTGTTTCCCCGGTCTCCATGAACTTCCCGCCGATGCCAACCACGCCAGTATCTCGAAGCGACTCTGGCTTCGCCCAGACTCTCCGGGAGAAGAAGTCTGGCCATTTCGACGAGAAGTCCCGCCGAAGCTCGTCCTTCGGCATGGACAAGCATCCTCCCCTGCACCGGCCAAGCCTGCCATTCCTCAACGGACACAATGCGAGCATGTCCGTCTCCGCCATCTCAGTTGACTCGCAGTCTTCGTACGGTGGGTATGCCCCCTCGACTTATGCGCAGTCTACGATCGCGGCGTCCACCATCATGCCCAACATGTTGATTCAGCCTGTCAAGAATACGGATACAACCGTCTGGGTTGAAGGCCACTGCTTCAACTGGGTTGCCAACGACACCTCCTCGACGTGTTCTGTTTGCGACGAAAAGTCCGAAGGCGATGGCATCTACAAATGCTCTCATTGTGGCGGCCATGCTCACAACCGATGCTTAGGACACGTCTCGATTGTGTGCAGCGAAGCCTTCCACCCCGACCGAGTGCGGGCTGCTTTTGTGCGTTGTCTTGCCAGCTTGCTGTACACTTACAGAAAACACCTTGGGCGGCCCACTAGGGAGCAGAAAAACAATGGCCAGCTGTACGCCTTTGACATGGATGGCTTCGTAAAGAGCCTTCCGTACGATCAACAGGAGTACGCCACCATGATGCGAGACACCCAAGGTACTTCCACCAGAATCTGCATCTCATATGCCAATACTGACTATTGCTGTAGCGTTCAACGAGTTCATTCACGAGCGTGAAACCCGCTCAGCGACCCACGCGTCCATCCGTCTTTTCGACGAGATTATTATGGCTAAGAAGGCCCGAGGTCGACCTGGATTGACATCGGGACTGTCTCGTCTATCCACTATTCGCATGTCGCATGGTGCATCGAGCAATGCGTCAGGCTTTGCTGCGCCGTCGAAGCTCAAGATCCCCAGTTACCTGGGCGATACCTCCGACCATATGTGGCGGAATGCTTCGGTGCCTGTGCCTAACGCCAAGTTCCCTGGCGAGTACCGAACCGTCGTCACCCGGATTCCCACCAAGTTAGACCCTGCGCTAATGAGAGAGCCCCGAGCAATCCAAGGTGTCCCTCGACCCGAACAACGGACCCGTGGCCTCATGCGCAAACAAGTACCTAGCATGGTGGGCAGCCCGCCAAAGTAAAGATTAGCGACAACGGTTGCCGGCCACGATTCGACGACCAATTTACCTTCTGCTTCTGGAACTGTACGATAGGAAAACTGTATGTTTAATAATGACTGGAGGCAGAACTGTACAAAATACACAACGGCATGGGAGGGGAGTCTGGGGATAAAAGAGGCCAGGGGGTCTCAGCAGCAGTCGTCTTTTTTACCGAGTCTTTATTTCCAGTTGTAAGCAGGAATTTGGATTTGAAGTCATTTCCGGATAATTGCATTGCTATCGAGCAGGAAATGCGAAATGCAACGAGCAGATAGGTAGAGAGCATCGGTGAGCGGATGGGGTTCTTTTTTTTTTATTGCAGAGTCTATATCATGGGCATTGTGCATACCGACATGGATGGACTCCTTCCGCAATTAGAGTCAGAAGAATAAACGATGAATACAACAAGACCCGCGAGGTCTAATGTTCCCACACTAAGAAACTTGATGGCTCAGCCTATATCATGTGACTGGACAAGCGTAAACACGCATCCTGTCCTGGGGAGATGAGATTGATACGCAGTGATGGGTTGGATGTGGATTCTATTCGAAACGGAAATGACTCTGCCGATTCTCCCTAGTGTCCTACTGTAGTGTATGTTATTCTTTTTTTTCATACCTGAACAGACCGATGATCTCTCATGCGCAATGCATCATACATACGCACTACTTATGCCTACGCTCCGAACATGCGTATTCGGAGCCTGTTATATTCTCCTCCGCTCAAACTTGTGATATCCCTACTGAAATCAGTCGACCACCGCGGGACCCTTTGGTAGTCCCGTATCCCACGCTTTCTTAACCCAAGAACAAAAACGAGAGTACGCATCATCATCAGCCACTGCCGTTACTACAATCACTACTTTAAGCAAACTCGCTCTCGGGCTCCTCGATGGTGTTCTTGACGCGGACAAGCAGCGTCGTCTTCCACTTGTCGAGCTTGCTGACCTGGTCGTACTGGAACAGTTTGTCGGTGAACTCCTCCTGGTTGCCGGACTCGACAGCCGCGAGCAGGTCGTTGAGGAGCATGGACTCGCGCTGCTGGGCGAAGCCGGGGTCCATGTCGGCGTACTTCTCGACGGCGCGGCGCGCGGCAACAGTGTCGCCAGTCGCGAGGTGGCATATGCCGGCCTTGAGAAAGTAGTCCTTGACGCTGTACTTCATCAGGTTGTTGTTGATAGAGGCCGCTGCAACTTTCTCGTAGTTTTCAATTGCCTTGTAGTAGTCGCCCTCAAGGGACGCAACGTCTGCTACCTTGAGCCACAGCTTGTTTGCGAGGCTATGTGTGTCGTTGTCAGCATGAACTGTCTATTCTTCAAGGCAGTGAATGACCGCCGAAAAAAGAAAAAAAAAGGGGGGAAGAGATTTGGATTAACGTACGCCGCCGCATTATCGCCCTCATACCACCCTGCCGCAGCCTCGTAGGCCTCAAGGGCTCTCTTGGAATCGCCAAGCTCCGTCTCGAACAGCTCACCCAACGCCTCCTTGTGTCCGGCGGCGCGGCGGAAGTTACCCTTGGCGCAGTACTGGTTGACGGCAACGTCGAGGCAGCGGACAGCCGCTTCGGGGTCATCTTTGCGGTAGGCTTTGAAGGCGTCAACCATGGTGTTCGCCGCATCGTCGGGCTCCTTCAGGTTGTTGGTCTGCACCTGCGCTGCCTTCTCAAAGGCCTGGCCTGCTTCGCGGTCTGTCGGGTCGTCCATGTTAGTGCCGTCTCTTAAAAACACCGCTTTCAGAGGAGTGTTATAGAGAGAACAGGTTTCGACTTACTGAGCTTTTGCATCTTGAAGGCATTCGCGGCTTGGATGTACAGGTCTGCGGCATTCAGGTACTTGTCCTCCCGGCCGCCGAAGAAGCTGAAGCCGCCGCTGGCGCTCTGGAGCGTCTTGTCTGCCTATGTCACCGGTGAATGTCAGTATCTCAGCCGACCAAGAGTCTGGATTCCATTCTCCGTCTCTCAAGCATAGAAAACCATGCTTTGTGGACGCATGTCATCATCACTCACCTTCTGCAACAGAGCGCGAGGATCCTGAGCCATGGTTTCGGAAGATTAACAATGTATACTATCGTACGGTTCGGTTCGGTGGGTGCTTAAAGTTCGGAGGAATCGGATCTCTGATGTTGCTTCGCTCGATGTCAAAAAAGGGTGTGCGTGCGTGTCAAAAATGACAGGTCGCGATGTAGATGGTGTACTGGAGTTTCGTGGTGTTGCGTGCGCTGGCACAGCGTCAAGTGTAGCAGCAGGCGACGACGAATCGGTCACTCTTTCTCTCTGCGGTCAGGTCTCGCCCACTCAGTGAGCTATGACGCGGGGTGTACTGTGGCTTAGAGAGCCGCTACTCAGTGGCTTGCGTATCCTGGGCTGGCTGAGTGAGGTGTGTGCTGTTCTATCGTGGGGGTCGCCTGGCGTTGCAGAGCGGAAAGCGTAGCGGGTCCTGGTACCCTGATTCGCTGGGAAGCACGTTTGGTCTATACAAGCATCTGTTCCTTGTGCTATGAACCAGGGTCGATCACGAACTCCAAATTAATCTTCCAGAGCCTCGAGCTACTTTGACTTCACCCGGATGCCAGTTGACGCCATCCCTTAACCTACAACTGCGTTTATCCAACCCTCGGCCTCTAGGACACCGGAATTGATTACACCAGATCAACTGGGTCATTTCTCCGCTCAGACCACCATCATGCGCCCCCTCTGCATACGGTGCTGCGCATTCTTCCGCCAACAGCGCGCATTCTCCTCATCCGCCACCCAACTCTCTTCAGCCTCAAAGTCGATCCAAGAAACCCTCACAAAGCCGACATGGTCCGTAGCCTCCCTTCTACCACAGTCAGATAGCCCGAATCCATCGACAGAACAACCAATTACTCGCTCGAAACTACACCACCTTCTCCGTCTCTCTGCCCTCCCGCTCCCTGAAACTGAAGCAGAAGAGGCTGCTATGCTCCGCACTTTGCACTCACAGCTGCACTTCGTGCGCGACGTCCAAAGCGTTGATACATCAAGCGTTGAACCACTCCGCTCGTTACGTGATGAGACTACCGAGGGCGCAACGGAAGCAATGGTCGGATTACAACAATTACAAGAAGCTCTGGCAAAGGAGGTTCATTTTGGCCACAAGAGGCGGCCTAAGAGACAACATGGAGACAAGGTCGACACCAAGGGTGTTGAAGACTGGAACCCATTGGAGACAGCGTCCAGAGCTGCTGGAAAGTACTTCGTTGTTCAGAGCAGGAAGGAGGAGTCATGATACCCACAGATATAATATACCCGGTGAGAACCATTGCTAGACAAGTGTGTTTCCATTTCTCGTTACCCGTTTCGTCACAAAATGTGTATACTGATTCTGTCTGTACCTGTACCATAGCAAACTTTGTCAAAAGAATTCTTCCGTTACCCACGCCGTTTGCCCCTAATAGCCATGTCATGTGTCTAACCATGTTTTCACCGATCGTCCTAGCTGAGATGTTCTCTATAGCCTAGTTCTGGATCTTCATCTCGCCCATTCGCGATTCGAGTTTAGTATCATTTTTGTGCTTGACTTCCTCCTGAATCTGCGCGACTTCCTTGTCCGGGTCAATATAGGTCGGCTTCTGGCTTTTGTCTCGGCCGTATTTCTCGTCCATGAGATGAAGAGTCTCTTCATCTCTAGAGATCTGCGCGTAGTCAAGGTCCTCCCAGCCGATGTTCTTGAGAATGGTACCGATCATGTATTGGTATCTCAAGTGGCCGCTAACCATGTTGCTCACGTCGTAGTTCTCGACACCATCGGCGCCCTGGATTGGTTGCAAACCTGCGACACCGAATTGCAAGTTGGAAGTCCGGTACAAGAAACCAAGGATGTAATCGTTCTCCGAGTACACATTAACAAGTCTGCCTGCAACGACGCTCTTCAGCGCGAGCCACACACGACTCTCAGATGGAGCTGGAGTGCCGATCATGACGACCGAGTCGATGAGGCCAAACTGTCGACGCTCTGCAAGCACCATCAAACAGGTGTAGATCGCTCGAGCAGCCAGACTGTAGCCGATGAGGCTGACTGGGCGGTCACCTTGAACCTTCCTGCTGATAGCTTCCGCCAAAATCATACCAACCTTCTCTGCTCGGACCATGCCGACGCTCCAGGGGTTGTCGATGACCTTACTGACCTTGAGTAGGCCGATGGGCCACATGGCTGACATGAGGCTGGCAAAGACTGCAAGGGTTAATACCTGTGACTTTGGACTTTGAAACGATTAAACTTACTAGTCCGCGTGATTATTTCCTTCTTGGCAACACCCCAGGCGGTGCTCTTGATGACAGTCTCGAGCGAATTTCCCATGTTCATGAGATTGGCAACCTCCCATCTGACGGCGTACACTTCGCCTTGGTGGCCAATGCAGCGCCAGGGGTTTATCACATCTTCCTTCTGAGTTAGCCAGCCACTGAGGGCGAGGACCACACGAAGGCGTCGATCCTTGGGTGGGATCTCCTTAGCGTCGCGATACTCAGCCTTCATGTCGCCGTGCAAAGGTAGAAAAGCGAAGTCAGCAACATCTCTGGCATACTGGTCCATCATCTTGGATGTCTGACGGGCACCATAAATACCGAACAAGCTGCCAACAACAACGCCACTCTGGGCAAGGGTTCCAAGCAGGCCAGCGGCTGCAGTAGTGCCCAGTCCAACACCACCCATAACGGTGCCAATACCAGCAGCAACCAAGGGAGCAGCAAGTCCTCCAGTCACACCGATGATAGCAGCACCTGCAGCTCCGGCGAGGCCGACCTTCCACCGTCTAGAAGTCTTGTTCTCTGCCGCCTTGTCCTCCATGACTTCGTCGGCGGTGACCTCTTGAACGGTCTTGCCAAGGCCTCGCGCAACTCGAACCTCATCCTCCTGAAAGATGCGGAGTGTTAGGTGAAGGGATGAGGTCAGGTGGAGCATGAAAACGCGGGAGAATGCAGTATACTGTTCCAATGACAGCAATAGAAGAAGGACTGTGTGAAGGATGAGCTTGCGTCGTTCAACTGGAAGAGAAGACAGTGTTGTAGAAGTCGGAGGATATCGCCGTATGAGCCAGGGGTCAGCCTCAGCCTGACGGCTAGCTGGTGAGCCTACATTGGTTAGGGACGATCCTAAAGAGCAACCTGGGCTTTTTTCCATATCTAGGTGCAAGACTCACTTCCAGTATTGACGCTAAGCTGGCCACCTCTACCACGTCCGCGTGGCGTGCCGCGACCTCCCTGGGGTGCGCCACGATCACCACGACTGCCGTGTGATCCCCTTCCACCTCGACCACCACGGCCAGCAGTGGTCTCTGAAGAGGCAGGGTCCTTGACTGAGATGTCCTTTGCACGCAGCAAGACATTGCTTTGCCACTTGCTGAAGACAACAAGACACTCTTTCTTGAGCTCTTGTAGCTGGGGCGTCATAGCCTCTTTTTCTTCCTTCTCGACAATCTCGTGGGCCTTGTAGTATGTGTTGCCAGCGTTCTCTTGGCCCGCAGATGATGAGCTGGATTTATTGTCCTGGTTCTTAAGGCTCTTGCCCTTCAGAAGTGAGAGCGAAAGCCACGAGTGTTGGGGGTTCTCAGTCGATGCTGGGGTGATTGGAGGGGAGTGGAAGATGTTACTGATCCGATTCTTCATGTTGTCCAGGATGTCGGAGACTAGCTTAATGGTCTCATTCTTCTCCTCAATGGAAAAGACGCCAGTCAGATCGGTCTGGGTGCGGCGGCGTTGGTTGTGAGGACGTCGTGAGCCGCCCATGGTGTCGTCCTCCTTAGGGTCTCTTTCCCAGTTGCCGTCCTCTTCTTCTTCAAAGGAACAAATCGAGGATGCGTCCTGGTTCCCCTCTTTAGAGTAGGTGTAGCTGTGATGGTCCTCGTCGTAGTCGTCCGAGAAGCGGTGGTAAGTTTTATTGTTTTGGTCAAGCTCAGGTGGTTGTGAAGTAGTAGGAGGAGCGTCAGTGTTTGTAATTCGGGGGCCGTTGTACGATGGCAGGTCCGCCGCTGCCTCCTGCGCAACGGGTGCCTCCCCCGCGGCAGGTGCTGCCGGGGAAGGCGACGGAGGGCGCGCAGTTTCCATTACAGGTAATTCTGGAAAGGTCCCCAACGCAAAAAAGGGCAAGAAGGAAGCAGGGACGTTACAGGTGAGCCACAAGGTGAAGCAATTACAACGGCGTACAATACAGCTGACTATTATTGGGAATTATAAGACTGCAGTGAATGAATTTTCTCTGGCTGATGCTCTTCGTTTCAGTCTGTGCCTATCACAAAGGGGCAACAAACACAGAACACGGAAAGAAAAAGTGAAAGGGATATGAGCTCTGTTTGTAGTCGCAGCTCGGGAGGCTGCGACTAATAGCGGCGGCCCCTGACGTCAGCCGTCATGTCACACACAGACACTGTTCATTGATGAAGTAGTGCATCACAAGGGTCACAGACGCCGCTCCCGGGATATGGAGCAATCTTATCAATAAACTACCTAAAAGCCCTTTCTAAGGCCCAGTTAACACCATCTGATTGGCGGCTACTGCCTGGAACGTCTGGGCCCAAGCCACCCTCCGCGGATACTTGCAGACGCTAATGCAATGATTTTCGGCCCTCTTCTGGAAGCTCAAACTCCCCATAGCTCCAATGAGATCTTGACCCAGTCAACTGGTCGTGTCCCGTCCCGTTTGCCATCGCCCTGTCGTTCTAATTCTGCCAACTCTATTTTTGTTCACAGTGGTGTCGTCTATTCAGAAGAAGTCGGCGCTACTGTCATACAACCGGTGTTTGGCTTTTTTTTCCTTTTGGTCATTTTCTGTTGTCGTCTTGAACGTCAGGAGCTAAGAGTGCAGAGTCCTTGCTTCCTTGCGTCCTAGTTGCTCCTTGCTAATCCCATCATCATGCGCATCGCATCATTACTGAAGAATATACACCGACAAAGGAAGTCGGAGATTTCATCATAATGTTTGCTTTAGTGGTTTTAAGCCACTGTTTCTTCTGGCACGGTTGTGTTTGTGCAGTCTCTATTTACACCCACAAACTTTCCAGTTACCATGGACAGCTCAGCCATGGACGGTATCTACGAATCTATGCGTTATTCGAAGTAAATCACCCGTAGTCTTCTCCTTTGACCCATAACCCAGAAAATAGCAGCGATCTGCAGGTGTGATTCATAAAAACCCAGCATCATCGCCAGCAGTATTATGCGTTGCCAAGCAAGTAACGGTGTGTTCACGTTGAACGCTCCCCGCAACATGGCACGTGAAATCGTCCACTCCGTCTGGAATGCCTGCAAGGGTTTTTTTCGTCTGCGCCACAAACGCCTACCTCGCCTGTCGCAGCCTAAAGCGGCCTTGATTTATGACATGGCGGCGGAAAGAGCTAGATCAAACTACCCCAACGGTATTAACGGTACATTGCCGTGCTCGCAGCGCAATCCTATACACATCAGTCTGATTGCCACCTCCAACAATGTCGATAGCAAAACCGTAAGATCCGATGAGGCTGGTCTAAGAGATCACAGTATCAGAACAACCTCGTCGAGATACGACTCGGACCATGAGCAAGATGGATATTCGGCCGATGACTGGACATCTGAAGTTTTCTCTAGCGATGACGAAGATGAGGACGTCTTGGCCAACAGCCAGGCCGACGAGGGTGTATACTTGAGTGTCTTTCTCAAATGAGGATTCCCAGAAACTGGCTCATTCCCCCAGGTCGTGGTAACGAGCATGGGCGGCCAAAGCAAAAGGAGGGATACAATGTCCGCAAAGCGGACACCGCACTGTCTCTTGGCCATCCTCCCAAGAATCACCAGCCTCAAAATCCATCAACTCCGCTCCTTCCATGGATTCATCGGAGATTGATTGGTCATCTTCTAATATTGCAGTGTCGGCCTTCCACTGCCGAAGCACGTCGTCCTGCCGCTTGAACATGACAGATATGTCTCGACCAACACCAGGGCCTGCCTCGCTGCCGCTGGCAACCATATTGGCGACGCAAACATTCATGAGCTGCAAATTCCACTTATGGTTGGCAGGATGAAATTTCTTGACTGTAGGGAGAAGTATTTCCGTTGTGAGCCGTTCTGCAATGAACTCAGGGGTGTCTTTGAGGCTGAAGATGAAGTTAGGCAGAGGCTGAGATCGGGAGATACGTTGAAAGTTCGGAGTAGATTCAGCAGGCCATGATCGTATAGAAAGTCGAAGCGTCTTAGGATGTGCAACCCATCTCTTGCCTCCCTGATCTGACGTGCCGTCGTCTGTCAAAAGATCTGTCCTAATGCGTCTAACCAAGGATGCGGCAATCTTTCTCAGTTCGTTCTCAATTTGAGAAATTGTCTCTAATCCCTTAAATGTGTCTTCGATGCTAATTTGTGAGGGTATATCACTCGCATCCTTGACATCGGTATCGTCGACGCCGTGCAGGAGACCCCATACTCGATCTCCAACGCCGCGCTCGGCTCCCGGGCCACCAAGCAGCTTTTCCAAGAGTTCGGGTGCGGTATCAGCATGAACTCGCACATCGCGAACTTTCAGAGGGGAGGTCTCTCTGTCCGCGTCGTCCGGTCCCGGTTGTACCGCAAGATACCGAGATTCAAGCATACGCGACATTTTGAACCCGATTCCGGGAACTTTTCTGATCGAGTGCGCATCCATAAATTCTTCAACTACAGAATCGGTGAGTGACATAAGTGTGGTCTGGTTTCGTGGTTTATTCACGCCACCAACGAGCTTGCTCAGGAGCTTGTTGGTCGAGACCCCCACGGAAGCCGTAAAACCGAATTCCTCCTCCAGCTTCATCCGCAGATGAAAAGCCAAATGACTCCCAAGAAGTAATCGCACGTAATTGGGATCGTCAACACCTGCTTGACTGGCGCGTGGCCCGTAGGCACATCCTGCAACGTGTGCCATGTCGCAGGTGAACCCCTTCTCAGGATCCAACTTCGAAAGGTGGATAAACGACTCAGACAGAGACGCCTTGTTGAGGCAGAACATATTGTAGTTGATGATATCCGTGACATCTGAATTTTTATCAGTCATATTTCAGGGGTAAAGCAAAAGGTAGCACACACACACCCATAAAGACCTCGTCAAATCCCAGCCTCTCAACCTTATCATTCCAAGAGTACCTCCTCAAGAACCCAAAGAGCGTCTTGCTCATGTCCCGAAAGGGTGTCAGGTCCTCGCCCTCGATAACGACAAGATCAGGGCATATCTTCTTGGCCTCGAAGATAAGCATGAGTTTCTTGACGCCCCGCCGGCGTGCTACATAATTGCAGGTCGCTAATATGTTTTTCTGCTTCACGCCCAGGGGCAGTGCCTTGAGCCTCGGATCCCGGTTCTCGTATACTGAGGCGTAAAAGCAGTCGTAGTCCTGGGAAGGGATTTAACACATGAACATGCCATGGCTCCAAAAGGTGTGCCACTGAGAGCCATGAACGGGAAAACGTACGAAGTGGAGAATAATTCGGTCGTCCTTCCTCTTGGGGGCTCGCTTTCTCGGTAAATCCATCATTTCAGCAAATGGATAACTCAGTCTTATCGAATAGAACAAAAGCAGATAGACGGTAGTGATCAAAGCGAACCCCCACCGCCTTTCCGGCCTTCGTTCGGTGGTAGTTTGTTCGGGGAGGGCATGGTTCAGCGGCGGAGAGGGAGCCCGTGCAACCGGTAGCTTATCTCTCGTCTAGCGCCGAGTCACCCGACTGACAGCCCACACCGATGACCGCTTTTCGAGGGGGCAGGTGTACTTACCGCTCTCTTTAAGCCAGTGCCTGCAGGGCTCTCGCGCGCTACTTTGGTACCGTCGAAGTATGAACCTTCCCGAGTGGGTAAACATCGAAAAACATAATACTCCGAAAGCGAATAGCCCTTCCTTCGGGGGCTTGCTATTGCTTTGTTGCAGAAGGTGCAGATATCTCTCCACCACTCAGTGACTCTTCCTGCCAATTCTGCAAAGCGCTCTTTTGAGCCACAAACCCTTATCATCCACATGCCTTTCTGTTTCATATGCCGCCTCACTTTTGGGACTTCTGGACATCACTGCAAAGACGTGATCGTGTGTCTCTAAAAAAATTGCACCTGTCATTTCGTCCCTACCCGTGAATACTAGTGGACACATCCGATATGAACCCGTCTCTTCATAAGCCTGACAGCCTAAACTTCGCGCTACTTTCCTGCCTCTTCTACCCACACACCACGCTCCACGCCCGCCCGCACCACACAAAACGACCATTACTTTGCTCGACCCAAGGCCTATCCTGAACGTATGATAACTAACCAATACCGCCCCAGACCTGAAAGGAGGGGCGTGAGGTCACCTATGTAGGCCTAGCCCAGCCTACCTTCACTCGCCAACACGTCCTAAAGGACCCCCAAATCTTCTCAGCCAACGAGAAGGCGTCCATCTCGCATGACGGTTCCTTACCCAGCCCGTCCGTAAGCTCGTCATGCTCCATTCCCACCCCTCCCCACCTCTCCACTTCAAGAGACACTTTCACAATGAGGGTTGGTCAGAGGTAGTGTGGTGTAGTTCTTGTAGTTCTGCGTTGGTCACAGGCAAGGCCAACCAGCCCACGGCCGCCTCGTGGATAGGCAGACAGGTAGCGAGAGACGTGAGGTCTGAAATGGGAGAATAAAAAGAACCCCGCTTTCCGTTTACTTCTTCCCAAGTTCGCACCTTCTCTTCCTCACACACACATCAACCCAACGTCTCTTACACACAACACTAAACTCGTCCGTCTTCCAGACTACCAAAACACGCAAACATGCAGCCCCTCACCAACGCCCACACTTCCGCTTGCCCCAAGTGCGGCGCCGCCACTGCCTCGTCTTCCAAGACCTGCTCGGCTTGCGGAGCTGTAAGCCTCTCCCCTCCTCCCCTTACCTCTCCTCTATTCGGCAACATCTATCCGGCAAGATTCAGCTCTTGCCCCCTACAACTCGGCCTTGTCTTCATATTACTAACCACACTCGACTTCTCCTAGACCTGCCCTGCTTAAATCTGTTGCATCGCCAGTAACACAGTCTGACTTGGGGAGTGACACCGAGTCGTGAGGATGTATGGATGTATTGACGAACCTATGGGACGACGAGAGGCGAGAGTTGACGACCCCTCACATTCCTTCAAATCATCTTTCGTGTTATTCGACGCACGGGCAGAGCTGAGCACGTCAAACGGGGGCAGCATTCACTCTTCTGAAACGATGAACTTTAGCTTATCTCAAAGTGTACCTCCTTTTCTCAATAGCCAGCCACAGACGAAGTCTTAGAGACGACGTCCGCCAGCCTGACCCTTAGTACCTCTGTCGAGGAAGCAAACCAAATAACCAAATAAATACCCCAATGCCATCCTTGTAGTGTTCGGCCTGATAAGATTCGAATCGCGTCATGTCTTCCTCAGTGACATGTTAGCTCTTACTTACGAGCAGGGCCGTCCCTTTTATCATGAGGCGGGGCACCATAATTAACGTGCCACCACCTTGCAACCTTACTACTGCTGCTTTCAATACTCAAATGAATCCACCTTGGAAGCACTCATTACCCTATCTTTAGTATCGCAGCAGTCAGTCATGGGGTATCCGGCAGAATGCAAGTTACACCAAACTCTAATGGCGTCCCCCTCACAATAACACACCTCTTTATCTTACGTGTTGCCTGGGTTACCTTACTTGGTTCATCGTCCTTCTGTTTTATGAGAGCGGTGGTGCCTGGCTGCCCTGTGTTTTCATCCGATCTCTGATGATCCTTTGCACGTGAGTATGACAACACGACAGATCGTTGGATTATTGGTTGAGTAACACTCGTGTATCTCAAAAGTCTCGGATAGAACAGCGGTCATCATGATGGCATCAAGGGGGCATCGAAGTGAGTTATCAAAGACCTGGATTGAGAGAATCGACAAGAGAGAAGAAGAAGCGGCCAAGAAGTAACACATGTCCATCTCCGCCATCTAAAGCTGCGAGGCGTCATAAGAGAAAAACACGACAAGATTTATGATGTAGCCGGGCTTCGTTGCAATAATTCGGCCAGACACGCCGTTTCCACAGCTAAAAAAATCAACCGTTGCCATTCCGCCGTTCCCGAAGTCACCAAACAACTCACTGTCCATATCGTTACCCAGCAGCTGCCGGTCATGCCAGCCACCAAGCCCTTCCTTCCCGTATGACTAAAGAAAGAAGAGACAACCATGGTTGAACCACATCTTCCTTGCAGCTTTTTGTAGGGTCGTGGCTAGCTGTTTTTTGCTTCTCCCCGTCACCGTTCGGCAAGGAGAAATGGATTCAGTAAAAAGGAACCCCCGCAGAACCAGACACGGTGACACGCCGACCAATGTGTGCCAGGTTTGTTATGAGACACAATGATTGAGCAAAACTCCAAATTCCGAGAACCTATGCAGGCAGATGTTGCCCCGCCTTCCAGACCGCCACCACAAACCCTTTCTCATCCGAAGAGCTGGGAAAAGACAATGGTGACCGGGACCTTGATGATTACAAATGGGGGTTGAGGTCGAAAAGGGAGAAAGGGTTTTGGGATGTTCGCCCAGAGGGTATTTAGAGAACCATGCACTTGTGCTTCTTGCCGCTGCTCCGGCTGCGGGAGAGCAGGGCGGCGCGGGTAGCGTGCTCAAACACTTCACGGACACCCTCATTCGTCTTGGCCGAGCACTCAAGGTACTTGTAGGCGCCGATCTTCTTGCGGATTTCCTCACCCTGAAACGGTTGTTAGCATGTCTTGATATGTGAGGGGCTGAGATACCGCCGGCATGACGAAATGCCTGAGGCGTTCGTATCCCAGTAGGCAGATAAGCTTACCTCCTCGGGGGAGACGGGCTTTTGGCTGGTCTTACGCAGCTCTTCAATCGTCTTGGAGTCGTAGCGGAGATCCTTCTTGCAACCGACAAGAATAATAGGCAGGCCCTGGCAGAAGTGCAGAACCTCGGAGATCCACTACAGGAAGCAGAGCACGTGTTAACGAATGTTGCTTATCGGGACGCGACCCGCGAAATTAGCAAATAAAAAAAATAATCATCGTACCTTCTCCTGAACGTTGTCCAGGGAGTCGGGGGAGTCGACAGCGAAGCAGATCAAGATGACGTGGGAGTCGGGGTAGGAAAGGGGGCGAAGACGGTCGTAATCCTCCTGGCCAGCCGTATCCCAAAGGGCCAGCTCAACATGCTTGCCATCAACCTCGACATCGGCGACGTAGTTCTCGAAGACGGTGGGGACGTAGACCTAATCCAGGTGTTAGAATATTCGCAAATCGAAAACGGATTGATGAAGGGCGGGTGCGGCATCGTTTGTTCAAGCGGTCGTGGTTGATACGTTGATGGAACGATGCAGCATCTCGGCCTGGTCGTGTCGGAAAACAGGAGGCGGAGGCCGCGTCGGCAGGCGAGGAGATGATCTTACCTCAGGGAAGGTACCCTTGGAGAAGACACTTAAGGGAAGTCAGCGCGATGAGGTCTCGAACAAATGCGAAATGGTGCATGTCTATATTTTTTCCCCTATCGGCGTTGATGCGACGATGGTAGGATGGTGGTCGCGAAAAGAGGCGAGAGGGAGAGACAAGAGACAGAGATACTCACATCAACAAGCAGGTTTTACCACAGGCACCGTCGCCGACGATGACGAGCTTTCGGCGGATTTCAGCCATGATGTCTAATGTGTGTGTAAGAGAGTGTGCGTTTAAAGGCGGATTGAGTAGTGGTCGGTTGGTGAGGTTGAGCTTGTTGGCGGAGAAGATGGAGAAGGAAGAGCTGCGTCGGAAGGGGGAATCTGAAGGTGGAAGAGAATGGGATGGGTAGAAGTAAGGTAAGGTAGTAGCAGGTGGAGTTCACTTGACGACGTGCAAGCAGCAGCAGGGCAGGCAGGCTTGTGTTGGGGGGGGGGGGGGGGGTGTCAGAAGAGGGCGGGAGGGAAGAGTGTGAGAGGAGGAGCGAGGCGGGAGTGTCAGTACCAGCAGTACGAGGGACAAAGATTGGGGGAACCTAACAGCCCAGGGTGCAGGCGCAGACGCAGGCTTAGGTACTAAGGAGGTAGGCTGGGCTTGTAGGGAAGGGTGAAAGTACAGCAAGGCAAGGGCAGGTGGGTAAGTACCGTGCCTTGGGTGCAGGTAGATGCAACACGATAGGGTAGTCTGGCTTCTTCTTGGCCGCTTTTCTTTGGGCCCTTGTCTTTTACAATGAAATTCTTGCCCTCTTTTTGGACTGAGTCGGTGGTTTTACGGATACCTCAGTAGACTGGTGACGACTGAACGGGCAGTAGGTGTTGGCTTGGACAAGATGAGTGGAAGGTGAAAAGAGAGGCCAGGAAAGAGAAGTGCGGAGCCTGTTCTACTGATAGTGTGGTCCCTGTTATTAGGATGAAAGTAGGTACGGTGTGTACCGGGCTGTGCTGTGCGTATTTGTGTGGTTAGTGGTGTGTGCTTCCCAGCTGAAATAACAGAGCGACGGTAACAGTGACGGGGTTGGATTGGACTAGACTCACTTGTTGACTGGCTCGTCCGCTGACGACTGGACTGGAAGAGTGACCAGATGGGGCTGTCTGGCCAGTTGAGTGTGATGAGGGAGCCGGGCTGGGTGCCGCGTCCTTGTTTTTTTTTTACCCTCTCCAGGTAGGTTTTATTTTTTATTTTTACAACGAGAAGATTGGTAAGTATCGTTTTGCTGTAAGAAGCATACAATCAGTACTTGTGTTGCCCCGGTAAGCGGGTGAGTGCGCGCGTGTCCTTCTCATTAAGGTAGGGGAGCGGTGTCCTGAGGCAGCCAAACAAGGCGAATTGAAATGCGAAATTGGATTGAAGGGGCCGTTACGGATACAGGGGGCGGGGTGGCTTCTGGGGGGTCCCCTCACCTCTCAATTGGGTGGCAACATCCACTAGAGTGCCCCTGTCTTGGTGGCCTTGTGGGAATCTCACCCACTGAACAACAGCGGATATGCACTATGACGGGCTGCTTCTGATATCCTCAGAGTGCTGTGACAGGCACTAACAGTTGTCGGTAGAGATGCTGTCCCTGCCGATTTGTTGGGTCGGTATCCGTGGGTAGCAGCCGGATAAGAGGTAGACAAACGTGTGGCAGATTAGGAAATGGTGAGATAGGATAAGACGGGGAGTATACTGTTGTGGTTGATCCCCAAGCTCGGATCTGGAGTATAGACTGAGGTGCAACAATAGTAATAGTGGACCTTCGTGATGAAGGGACCTGGTGACGAACAAAGCAGCTTTAAATGCCGAGCTGACGACGTTGGTCTCAGGTCTCAGATGTACGTATCGCTATACTAACCGGCCTACCTATTTGCTCATCTATGCAATCTTCCAACGGGTCTTCTTCGGCCACAGCCCCGTTGGTCCTGTTCCTTCGAATTATCAAGGACATGTCGTTCTGTTAGGCACCGGCGCCGACAGGACGAAAGCAGGCACATGACAAGCACGGTACACTCTACACAAGCAAGAGATGTACAGGCGTTGTATGATTCAACCCATAATCCTGATACCAAGTCCTTTGTCGTCCTATGCCTTGACGTCGACCCCTTTTACGCTGATGTTCTGTGCAGATCCGCCTCTTCCTGAAGCATAAACTATTAAATCCAATTTGGGGGAACAACCCCCTCCAAAGATCGCTGCCTTCAGGGTCCAAGCTTGGGCTGAAACCAGATGTTCAGTGGCACAGTCAGATTATCAGTCACAGCCGTTGCAGGAGCCAGGACGGCGACAACGGTCATCAATCACCATATCCAGGACCAACAGCGACAGTCGCAGCCACAGCTTCAGCCCGGGAGCTAACGCTGCTTCCTGAGGGAGTAGAGCTGACTAGGCACATGTTAGCATGGCGCCGCCTCTTTCAAGGCAGGGCGAATCCGTGAGGACATTCGCCTTCTGCAGCACCCACATGTCCTAGCTGGGTCGGCTAAGTCCTGGTCATGCTTTCTATTTCCGTGATTCACCACATTGCGGTCAAGATTCACTAGGAGCCGCCAGGGCAGACAAGCTGGACGGTGATACGCTGTCTAGGCAATCTGCTGTGTTGTTTGTTTGCAGACCCTCCAAGCTAGAGATGGAGAGTGACCTAGCTCTGTACAAGCTCCAAGGCCACACCTACATGCTCTCCAGCCATTTGTGCATATAAACCCACTTTGGAGGGTGATGCGTGGAGGCCCTGGAGGTCAATAAGCTGCGTATTTCCGTTTACATCTACAGATAAAGGCGGTACGTATCTGAGGATGACGCCTTGCTGGACACTTCTAGTGCCGCATACCTAGTACCAAAAAAAAAAAAAAAGTCCTGAATCTAGGACTCAACCCCTGCCACTGTACCGAACATCGTACCTTGCGTCTAGGGACTGTGCGTCGAACTGGAGACTCGGCTGGTGGACTGCTGCGCGTTTGTAACCGTGACATGCTACTGACTGCGGCACTGAATCCTAAAGGCGCACTTACAACCCTATGTCATTCAACAGCCGCCTTACCGGGCATTTTGAAGGGAGCAGCCGTGCCGACTTGGGGCTGGAAACTGACAAGAGTTTAAGGGCGTCCAAATGTCTCGCCTCTCGACCTTTTTGGAAACGGGCCACGGCGGATGGGCAAGGGGGTATTGCATTGTCTGTGGCATCATCAACGCAAAATATTCACCGTCCAGACCAGGTTCTCTGACAATCTCAGTGTTGGCCCAAACCGAGTGAGAATATCCGATGCATACCGAGGTTGTGTCCTACTCAGACAAAGACACGAAAATGATCACGAGGCGCCACAGGCAAGAATTGACGACATTCGGCATCCATATCCTTTCTTGCCGTCCCCACGCATCCTTCCGGCGTTTGTTTTCCTCCCATAACTATTCTGGGATAACGAACGAGGGATCATCGTAGATCCTGCATGACGACCCCGTCGGCTTGGATTTGCCTTGGGGGGCCTTAAAAAAAAGTAATGCAAGAGCATCAACAACGGGAAATTGCGAAAAACTTGAAGATAGACATTTAGCCAATTCCCAGTATGCGTTGTGCCTCGTCATCCAAAACATGTTGTGATCCCGTCAAATAGCTTTCGGACCAAGCACCGATGTTCACACGCACTGGGACAAATAATCCCTTCCAGCCAAGTGTTGCAGCGGATACTTACCGCCATCTCCCCTGAGCCGGGGGATGTGGGGGTTGTCCAATCATCCATCAATCCATCCTTGGCACCGAGAAAATGGGATGGTGACAACAACTTTGGGAAAGTGGAGTTCCATTCCAAAGGAAATCCCGGTAATCCGGCTGATCTGATTTTCCGAAGAGCACGCACCCGCGGGCCGGCGACAGCTGCAGGGATCCTGGAAGCTCCCGACTCCAGTCTGAAATTTCCAAATCGCCAATTCAAGGACGTCGATAGCACCACCGCGGCTGCCAGCATCTCGACGCTCCTACCGAGCCACTCCTCCGGCCGAGCTCGATAACCGATACTCCCTCGAACACCTATCAAGCTTGTACGAACGCGAGAACTGAATAATATAAGTCAATTGGCGGCTTCGACCCGCCCATCATCTGCCCACGATGCAGAAACTCATGAAGCGCACGGCCCAGGCCGAGAAGCAAGTCAGACGTCGCGTAGCTAAGCAGGCACGCTACCAGCAGGCCGAGGAGAGAGGCCAGCGGTTCAGAGAGCAGCGTCAGCAACTGGACGAACTCAACCACGACATCAAGGTCTCCCGTCTGGCTCGCCGTGAGAAATGGGACCTCGGCCCCGTGGCCCCGCGCCGCGACATCTTCGACAACTGGGGCGCCATCGAGACCAACCGTCAGGGCCGCCAGTCGGCTCTTAAGCCCGAGGAGGTCGAGGCCCGTTGCGCCTGGGCTGGCGGCAGGAAGTACCTCAACCTCGCTGTGAAGGACCGTGTTGTTCTTCTCGAGGGTCCTGAGAAGGGCAAGATTGACCGGATCGCGAGCATCAACAAGGAGCACGGCACCGTGACATTGGAGAACATTGCAAAGGTATGAGGGTCCGCTTATAGACTCCCCTGGTCATACGGCAACTAACTAACAGCTATAGATCACCTCGTCTGTTCCCGAAGCCTTCCAAGAAGCCATGGAGGCACCTCCCACGCAAAACGCAGCGATGAACATCCCCATCTCTGCAATCCGCCTCGTTCACCCTATAGTCGACCCAAAAACTGGCACCGCCCGCGACGTCGTTGTCCGTGCCATCGCTCGTAGCCCTGTCAAGTGGGATCGTCACTCCGGCTGGCACTCCTGGACGCGATACATCCCCGGCGAGAACATTGCGATCCCCTGGCCCGAGCGGGAAAAGGCTGTCCGCGAGGACACGCCTGCCGACACGAAGCTTATCGACGTCGAGGCCCAGACCTTTGTCCCGACCCTCCTTCGCCCGCCCATGCCCGAGAGTGTCATTGACGAGCTACGTAACAAGTACTCTCGCTTCCGTACCCGTCACGAGGCCGAATACATTCAGCGCAAGGAGGACGAGGAAAGCCTCAAGAAGGCCCTCAAGCGCATGTCGGCTGACACAGTCGCCTCCGTTCGCACGCCGCTGCAGGAGTTCAACCGCCAGCAGCGTGACGCCCGTCGTGCTCGCGGCAAGCCTGAGATGTCGGACGATATGCTCGAGAAGATTGGCGAAGTCATTGCAAGGAACAAGGCCAGGACGCTCAACGGTGCCGGCTTGTCCGAGGTTTCGTCCACGCCTACCCCTCAAATCCTAGATTCTGCTGTCCCATCAACGGAAGCGCCCAAGGAAAGTCAACCGCCGCCTCAATAGAGGTTGGCCAAGCGACGAGTTTGAAAGTTGGGGAGGGGGTGTCAGAACATGTATGAACAGCCAAAGTAGAATCTCAAATGTGCAATATTGTACTTTTAGTAGACAAAAGACTCAAAAGCCGGTCTATTCCTTTTCATTGGATTTTTGTGTTTTCCATCTAAACCTATGTCTATTTTTATATTTTCGTGACCTTTTTCTTTTTTAAAAAACCCTTTACCCCTGAACTGTCCATCTAAGATCCCAACAGTGTCAGCTTCTGGAACGCCCCGAGAACAGGCGGCTCCAACTTCTTGGCTCTCGCATCGAGATGCTCCTGCAAGACGGCATCCGCTCCGGATGGCGTCCACATCTCCCCATCAGGCCCGACAACCGCCTCGCGGTCCGCCTCCTCTTTGACGTCGAACACCTCACGGACCGCCGCCTTGCATCCCTCCACAACCTCTGCCATCAGCACCTCCACGGCTCTCGCGCGCTCCGTCATGCCTCTCCTGACAAGTGCGAACACCAAGCGGCTAACCTCATCCTTTGCACCGCCCTCCACGCGCTCGACAAGACGCCTGACGCTGTTGACGAGGTACTCTTCCTCGTACACCGTGCCCTTCCGACCTCTCGCGCGCTTCTTTTCCTCGCGCTTGCGGTTCTTGCTCGTCGCCCGAGACACGCCGGTGCCCAGCGTCCCGACGCTGCCGTCCTTGCCAGTGTATCGAGTGAACAAGCTGGCGCTGGTGCTAACGCGCGAGCTGGCTGCGACGGAAATGTCATCAGGGATATCGCCGTGTGCACCAGGACGCTCGCCCTCGTAAAAGGCCAACGGGTCCTCGGCCGCTTTCCGGCGGAGCTCCGCAATACGGGGCACTTGCGCCAGCAGCTGTGCCTTGCAGTCTGCCAGGAACTCGGTGCTGCTGCTCAGCGCCTCGACAAGACCATTATCAAAGACCGTCAGGAGCAAGTCTGCACGCCGCTCGCGGGCGATGAGGCGGAGGGCCTCGGCGAAGTGATAGCCCTTGCAGAGGCACTTCACCGCCGTCTCGAGAGAGGCGAGGTAGTCTGCGTGGACGGTAGCTGCGGCAGCGTACTCCTTGCCCTCCCAGAGGGCATCGGCCAGCGCCGATGCGAGTTCCGCGAATGCTTCCTCTGAAGGCGGGGGCGTCTGCTGCTGCGCGGCGAAGAGACATTCGCGCCAGGATGTCACACCGGCTGCACGGTAGCAGCTCGTCGCCTTGGAGAAGTTCTGCAGAGTCTCGTACGCCAGACCGGCGTCGCGGTATTTAGAATTGGATTCAAGGTAGCTCGCATACAGGCCCGTGATAACCTGGTGCCGCGCCTGATCGTATCTGTACAAGCCCAGCGCTTCTTGATACAGGGCGTATTTGGTGACGTACTTTTGCAGCTCGTCGAAAGCGTCAAGCGCTTTGAGGTGCGTGAGGGCCTTCGCTCTGCGGTCGAGGTGGTCGTCGATCTCAAACTTGCGGCGTAGGTCAGGGAGGTTGTGCAGGTTTTGAATAAAGGGGAGGTACTCTCTTGGGTCACGTTGCGACTGCTGAGCGACGAGTAGGGCGAGATCGAGGTTATAAAGGCCGAGAGCGTTGTCATAAAGTCTGTTAACATCAACAAGGAAGCAGATGTGTTCCACGGCACGCTCCGCGAGCTTCTCGTCCTCCTGCATCAGTTCCGAAACTAAGGTGAGACCGTCGTCGAGGGCTGGGGGGTCCTTGCAGACATGGGCGGTGATGATGTTCTGTAGGTTTGTGCTCTTCTTGCTTTGCAAGCTCTTCAGGATGGCATCACAGATCTTGTTGACCTTGGACTTGGAAGACAGGTCTGCGGAGGCCTCTGCCGGCTCCGGTGCAGATTTGTTGGTGCGCTTCGTGTCCTTGTACATACTCTGAGTGACATCCTCTTCCCTATCAAACGGTAAGCACAGGTCCTTTTATGTGGTAAAGAGCTTAAAGAGACCTTAACGAAGAGAGAAACAGATCAATGTATGTAATGTCCTTGAGCTGCTCGAGGAAAAGGCCAACGTTGGAGATGAACTGGCTAGGCTGGTGGTCGTAAAGTATGTTCATGTCGACTCGCTGTGTGCGGCAGAAGGCGAAAGCCCTGCCGTAGTTCTTCTCGTCGACGAGTTGTCTGATACCAGCGACAACCATGGCTCTGGGATAGATGGTCTCGAGGTTTCCTCTCGGCATCTGAAGAACCAGGTTCATGTTGGTCGGCGTGGCGGTCACCAGACGAGCGCCACGCTCAATGCTGCGGCATCTCTCGTCAATTTCTGGATCGTCGCCGGGCACCTCCATTTCTTCAACACAATCAGTAATCTTCGAATTGAGTAAGAGCAATAATGCAACCTACCTTCGGGGTCCACCAAGTGCACAAACTTCAAGAAGTGGTTGTTTGTCGTAAAGATAATGTGCGCAGGTGTGACAACAAACGACGTACAGTTCTTCGCCAATTGTCTCGAATTGGCATAGAGATGACCGTTTCTAGTCATACCTAGAGCGACCGTCCTTCCGTTGATATCCCTAACCTCACACCAAGGGAGCTGAGTCGAAAGCTGGGTTGCCAGCAACTCAGGGGCCTGCTTGCTGACAAGTCTGTACAGCTTACCCGAGCGGTCCTGCGCGACAGCCACAACCCCTGAGTCACCTTCGTAGCTGAAAATGGAAGATATCGTCTCCGTGGGCTTCAGCTGAAGGCTGTTGGAGAGACTAAGTGACGGTGCTTCGATCGAATACGTTTCAAGCATCAGACTCTCTGCGGAGAAGAGAATCTGACACTCAGCTGGCCCAGAAAAGACAATCTGGAGGGGTACTTTGGTCTCGTCCGCCTCAAAAGCAATCTTTGCCAGTTCCTTGGGTTGAATTGACCGGTCTCCCTTCGTCTGCCATTGGAAGACAACAAGACCCTTGCGGTGAAGCACGACCATAAGTGAGTTGCTTGGATCGAAAACGACGTCAATCACGCTCGCAGGAAACTCTGGTTCCGCCCAAGCCATAGGCGGCGGGACATTCGCCGTCCGGAAAGGGGTCAATTTCACTGTCTGCCCGTCAATCACGGCCACGGCTCCGTAGTCATTGGGAGGGTCCAAAGAGCCACGGGCCACGGTGAAGATGTACTCGGCAACGTTTACGCCTCCTTGAAATATCGTCAGTAATGGTATTCCACGACAGTATGGGACAACCCACCTGATGTCGCGGCAGCGAGTCGCAGAGGCTTCTCGGGATGCCACGAAAGACCAGCAAATGGAGACGTCAACGGCACTTCCTGCTTGAGATACCAGTGATAATTGCCCATGGTCCAGAACTGTATCCTGTCCTTCAAGACAACGGCCAGCACAGTTGAGTCCGAGTTCCACTCTAGCCGAATCTTGTCGTGTTCGCTCAGAGGGCTATCGGCGCAGCGAAGTGTAAATTGTCCGTGTCGCAAGCCGTTTCTCTCAAAGAAGACAACATCCGTCCTCTCCGGCAAGCGTTGGATACCGGCAATCAGGTTTCCCGACGGTCTCCAGCTGAGGCCTCCCTCGAGATGATCCACGGGTTCGCTCACGCTGTCGAGCACGCCCTCACGGGAATACACTCTAATAGCTCTCCTCGCGCCGCCAGCGACAGAGTTGATAGCAACGTACGCGCCATCGCCCCTCCAACTCACAGCCGCACTTCCGTCTTCATTTGGGCTGGGGATACCCTCATCAACCTTCTCAGGAATCGTCGGATCGCGAAGCGCCTTGGCACCCTTTCCCTGAAATTGCGTCTCCTTCTTACCCCAACCAACAGAGACATGCTTAGAAAGCTTCAAGTCGTCGGCCGTCATGGGAACATCGGCAATGGGGTCAAACGTACGGCCCATGAAGACGGCATTGCCCTCCTTGGTAACGACGATGAGCAACTCCTCGTCAGGCGACCATCTCGCCGCAGCAATGCCGGCGTCAATGGAGCCGACGATCTCAATCTGGACATTGCCGTCTCCCCCAAAGCCGTCATCCTCCTGGACGGTGACGATGTCTCCTCCCTCAAGGATAACGCACGTCGTCAGCGTATCGCTGAAGTGATGGAGGCTGACTATCCTATCCGCGGGGAGGTCTGGGCTCGGGCTCGGCGCATCCCAGCTCGCGACGGTGTGGGATTTACTTCATACGGCATGTTAGTCTAAAGTCCATTGCTCGCACCCACACACAACCTTGCTACAACTTTCAAGGCAGGCACCTCGAGAACTCATAAAAAAACAAGATATTCTAGCCACTTGGCTCAGAAAGAATAGACGATGAGGTATGCGCAAAGGTGATGGGAATAAGCGGATGACCAGTAGTGAAACAGGGAAACGGGTTGCATTGTAAAGATAGAAACAAAACTAGAATGAAGGGGGAAAATGGCGCCACACATTTGTTGTTGTTGCTGGTGGTCTGACAGCCTCACCAGCTCGATGGTGGCTTTCGTCTCGGTCGGCCCCGTGGTGCAGAGAACCTCGTCTTTGGCGGGGTCCCAGCAGCATGCCGAGGTGACGGCGGCATCCGATGAATCTTGCACCTGTTGCTGCCAGGCGCTGAATCGAATGTTGCGTAGATTCCGCATGTTTGCTAGAGCTTCTGCTTCTACTCTCAAAAACGACAGCTCCCAAGCATAAAAAATTTGTCAGCCGATAAACGTTTATGCCCAGGAGTTCATCCGGTGGGGGTGAATGAAAGTTGACTGCGAGTTGAACTGTGAGTCGTTTGTCCCGCCTCACTTTCTCTGATACTACGATTTTTTTTTCTAATGCTGAAAATCTCAATTGCGACGGCGCGGCCTTACGCGGGCACACTAAAAGGTACCTCGCCCTAGTGTTGCACGCCGTCTGGTACCTGTGTGGCTTGGCGGGGCCCAAGCTGTCACTCCTTTCCCAGTCCTCTCTGTGGCCCTTGCCCCTCTCCTTCATTTGACAGTGGGTGCTTCAAGCAAAGCGCCGCCTCCTCCCGCCACAAGCCACAAACTTCCCGCTTGCCCACAGCTTCAGTTGAGGTTCCCGGAGAAAGATTTCATGCCCTCTGGCTCTTTCTTAGCTTCGGGCTATACAAATGAAGCTTCTGGTAACGGCGACCTCCGATGTCACACATTTGACGAATGGAAAATGAAAAAACTCAATAATCATCTTGCTCGACGCTGTACAACCACGCAACGTTCGCATTGGAATGTTCCGGCAGCACACCGACCTCACCTGACAAAATGCCGTCCGCATGAACAGTGTCTCGCAAAATGGTGCTAAAGTGAGCTCACGTTGAAGCATCCGAAGGCCTAGAACTGCCGCAAGGCTTCAACGCAGAGGCCATTGGCATATGCCGTGGAGGGGTTGCATGATGAGGGTACATCAATCGCATACGTTGCTCGAGCACAATTGGCGACGGGATGGCCCTTCAAGTGTGCCTACGTAATCATGCGTCCAATCATCGCCTTCCCCGCAGGACCCCATTAGCAAATCACAGACGAGCCGATCGCTCCCACTTGGTAATAGCGCCCAAAAGTCTTCTGCCCCGGATTTTGCCATTAGCGCATGCTTTCGCATGTCCCCGGCGTAGCTCTCTCCTGTCTGTCTTCCGTCAATGGCCGACGCCTCCTTTCCCTTTCTCATTCCTCAACAAGCTTTCCCAGTACTTCCCAACCCTTTTCGCTGTTAAAAGGGCACCAAGCGAAACCACCCGAACTCTTGCATATTCCTGTCCAAACCAAATCTACTCATTTATACCCTTGGTCTGCCATTCCCATATTTGCTGGCCAATTCGCGTCTTTCTATCAATACCCTACCTTTTTTTTTTGGCTCACCAGACGACACTTTGAAAAGGACAGTCTAAACTAAAGATAAGAAAATGGAGGAGGCGTATAAGCAGTACGCGAATCAGGCGCGTCGTAAGAACCGCTCCAGCACAAACCTGAACCACCTCTCTCTCGCTCCCTTCACCTCGAGGCTGCCCCTCCAGGACGATGACGCCCTTCCCGATCACCTTATCTCGCCCGCTCATAGCACCTCCTACTTGCAGGGCAAATCTGCTCCTACTACGCCGGGCCTCCTGACTCGCTCACCGGCCCGATCAAACTCCCAAGCTCGCCGCGCATCCGTACCGCACGCCGAGTTGCCCAAAAGCAAATCCGCTACCCACTTGGCTCCCGCCGCCAACGACCGCAAAGCCCACTACCGAAAGTCCGTCTCCGGAACGACATCGCCAACGGTACGCCGGCGCAAGGATGATTTAGCCGCCCGGGATCCCGACGACAGTGACTGGCTTCTGCGAACTGGCGCCCTTATCAGTAACGAGAGCCGCGAATTCAAGGGCCAGGCATGGTTGGTTTCGAGGGCGAGCTCTACGAGCCTGACAGGCATGCGTGATGGCGAGGACGAGGCGTTCGAGAGAGAACTAGCCCGCGAGCGGGAGTTAGCGAGCCGGCGTGGTAGCCGACGCGGTAGTATTGCCGACATGGACGGGGCATATACACATTCAGCTCGTCCGAGTCGTCCTGGAAGCCGGTCAGCCAGTAGGGTAGGCCCGCGAAGCCAGATGATGACGCCCATGGAGCGACACTCGGACGAGGGATACTTTCCCCGTCACCATGAGGGTGAGGACGTCATTCCCGGTCCCGACTTCGTCAATTTGGACGAGAAGCTCGAGGCTTTCGACTTTGATACTACCCAAGACGATGAGGCGGCCGTTAGAAAGCTCGTCAAAGGTGAACGAGCAGGTGCTGCATCTTGGATTAGCAATGTCATGGGGTGGCCACTATTTGCGGTTGAAGAAAACGAGGAAGAGACAGATGATGAAGACGGAGAATTTGGACATGAGGCTGATGAGGCGCAGGAGCTCCGCTCGTGGTCGGCACGGCATTTTGAGGGCGTGTCCAACACCCCGGAAGAGCGGATTCCGCCCCCAAAGGCTAACGAGGGTGGTTGGCAGGATGCAGCATGGTTGCTCAGCGTAGCGACCAAAGTATTGCTCTAAGTGGACAGGGGAGAGGACAGGGGAAGCGGGAACGGGAAAAAAAAGAAAAAAAAGAGAGAAAGAAAGAGAGAGAGAGAGAGCAAGACCAGTCCTTGTCCGATACGAAGAAATTGCACCATTACTTTTCAAGGGGACAGAGGCCCAGCCGCCCCTTGGAGACTTGTGAACGGTGATGTGGGTATTACTACAGCCCTAGTAGGACTGAGATCATCAACACCGTTAGGTTATTTGGGAACCCCGGCAGCCGAATCTGCAGGGTGATTTTGTTAATGTTGATTGGCCCCACGCTAGTAGTTTTTTTTTCCCTTCCTGGTGCCGCATCCTCCAAAAGTTCAATATACTGAGAAGCATTGTTGTCCGCGATACGGAAGTCGAACACGGTGCCCCCCGATACCCCCCGTCACTTGCCCGTCACTGGATGAATGGCTGCCCTTGTCCCCTTTAGTGGTCCAGCATGCAGATGATAGCGCGAATATTCCTTCTTCCCAGGATCGGCGCTGCAAGATGGAATCAATGCAGTCAGCTCCCCGGCCCGTGAGGCCTTGAAAAAAAAAAAAAAAAAAAAAAAGGTCCGCCTCCTCCCGTAATAGCAACAACCACCCGGCCAAGTCGAAGCCGAATAGCTAGTGAGGGAAGAACTCTACCAAAACCCTTCGCTGAAGGCTGACAAGCTAACTCGTTGGTACCTGGTGAACCACGTGACAGTCTGCTTACATCGTTCCGGGGATAAAAGCGGCTACCAGGGGAGGGAAGGCTGGTGAAGTCTGCTCCGTTTTCAGCCGTGTCAACCATGCTTCTGGATTTGCTCGACGAGATTTCCGGACTGGGCAGGAAACCATTCTGGCATTTATCTGGCGTCTAGAAAGATTGGGGGAAAAGTTTAAAGCAAAACGGCGGCTCGTCCGTCAGACCCCAACCTGAGGGCTTCGTCTGAACCATCCCCTCGAAGAAGGCACCCCCATGAGCCTGCGAAGCCGGCCAAGCCGGCGCAGGGAGACACTACTGGCCGCACAACAGGTCAAAAACAGGTTTTTGAGAATGTCACCTCGCACTTGCATGCAGCGCCGGCGGGAATCTCGTGTTGTTCATGCAGATAGGCTTGCGAGACGGTGTAGGAAGGCAAGAAAGAACGAGAGGGGGTGTAAAGAGAGAAACAGCCGGAAAGAGTCTTGAGGATGCGAGGAGCATGCCTTCTTACGATCACCCACCGCCTCGCCGCTGCTGCCAGTCACGCCCGTGGATCAAAAACGTTTCCGCCGCGATATCGCATTGCCTGAGTGTCCCCGCAAATCGACGGTATCTGAACGTTACTTGAATGATAGGTGTATTCCTTGTCACTCGGACGGATGCCGACCGAGCAAGTGGAGCTATAATTCAGCCGTACAGCGGGGAGCGAATGAGGTTACCAACAATCACCTCCGGCTGTCATCTGGTAGCCCCGTGTCTTGACATCCAACCACCACCAAAGGTTTTGCTTGAGGCTCCAGGATTAATCTGCAGTAAGCTTTACGAGATGTTGTTGTCTTAAGCAGTTGATTCGCATGACATTGTAACACTTCCGGGGTGGAGATACAATCGTTTGGCCCGGACCATCGCAAGTTGTCACTGTTGCATTAATCATGAGAGGCCCAGTAGACATCCTACCAGTTGAAGCCAGACGAAAGTAGACACATTTGACTTTGCAAAGTTACGGGATGGTTCTCAATAATGTGTATGTGTGAAGATGTCACCGTACATTATCCATTGGCTGTGCGATGTTGAATTGTCCTCCACTCATGCGACGATCGAGGTTTTAGGCGACAGAGGTAAAGGTCTTGAATTGTTAGCTCGATCAGTCCCTCATCTACGGCGCGCCGTCCCTCACAATGGCCTTGGCGTATGCGTGACACCAGAGTTCAGCCGATCCAATCATCAGACGAATTGATATTACTGTCCTGTGTTCCCTATGCCTACGTTCACCGAAGATCGAAAGGGGCTTTGGAAGGTGGGATGCGGAGCGAGTTGTCTCGGGTGAAAAACCATAGGTGTGAGTAACCAAAAGGATGGACCTGATGACGGTGGGACGACGGGACCCGTGGAGATGAAGTTCTCAGTTAGCGGCTTGCCGATTTCCGGTCTACCGCACTTTGAGACCCGACCGTCAAGTTGTGGGTCTCCGTTAAACACGGAAACTTTCACGATACCGTCCCGTTCTGCCGGATCATGTCGTCTTTCTGTGGATGTAACCGTGGCTTACCTTCAAGTGGTCGCTTGCACCATGTGCTACAGAAGTCGCAGATTTCTATTGAGCTTCCAAACCGGTGTCATTTAACTTTTTTTGTAGCTCAAACAATCAGTTATGGCGACTGCCAAAATGCAGAGTCGACGCTGGCTAGAGGTGGAAGTTGCAGAGGCTGCCGTCGGAGTGGCCTGCTACCAGACGGTTGCGACCCAAAACGGAAACGTCTACCACCCAATGCACCCCGGTCCTTGCAGAGCTTGCAGTGTAACCCACCGATGACGTCCAAGTGCGGTATGACGTCTATGACGTCTATGGGGACGCTAACTCCAACCCCCCAGATATAGTCCCACCTCACCACCAGTTGACCACTTCGACGGAACCCCATCGCGGAAGATGGTGGACAACACCACCACATCGGCCACACAGGGCGCGAAAATCCTTCTCCTTTTGCTGAAAAGTGTTCAGATGTGGGCCATTGACCGTCGGCCGAGAAAGTCTAGCCTCCATCACGGGCTTCTTGTGCGATGATTCTGCAGCGGTGTGGGACTGTATTTCGCCGTGCTTTCCCTGTCTTGCCTGCAATCTGTCTAGCACCAGTAGCATAAGTGGCATGTGAGCATGGCCAAGAGTCTTGAATCAGGAACAGATCGCCAAAAGGTCCTTTGACGGGGTTAGGTCCCTGCATTCCGCCGTTGCTGGCCCCTTGACTTTCCTCTTTTTTTCTTCCTGGTCTCTGCCTCTAGCGGCTGGCTTTGACTCGGCTTCAATATTTCCCACCACAGTACTGTACCTGTGGCCTCTCATTAGAGTGCAGTGGGGAGCATGGTATTGCGAGAATTGCACAGTTGTCAGCCATGGAAGGCATAGCGGCTTGCCACAGCACCAATAGCATGCTGTTATGTATTGAGCTGTTGCGGATGGGTCGTCTCAACTGATGGCTCAAGCTTCAATGAATGACCACAAATTTCTTAAGTAGGGCGGGCTGGAAGAGGGGTCCAGGACACAGACGATTGGTTACCTACGTCGGGGAACTGTGCTCTGTCTCGTGGAATGATTGTGGGAAAACTCACGTAGTCTTACGCAAGTGTATGTCTAAGTCGCTGTTGATCAGGGACACTGTTGGTAAAGGAGACGGGGGAGAAATAATCGAGGAGACTACAAACAATGGCGGAAATCACGTCAAGCGACAAGACTGGATCGGTGAGATCCCATGTCGGTGAATTACTGCGTGGGATTAAGCAGAGGCCAGGCGGCTAAGTTGTTGGGAGGAAGTCGGAGGAAAGTTGCAGAAAGCGCTGATCATAACCTTTTCGTGACTGAGCTGCACGAGACGCCATGTAGCCTGCCATGCAGGGCAGTGCTCTCGCATGGTCGGGGCTCCTGGCTGCTGGCGAAGGATGTGAGGAGAACCCGGGAGATGGGGGTAAGTAGCGTCCCTGTCTTGGGTCGGTGCTCGTGGGTACTGTACGGCCGGAAAGAAGTTCCACAACTCCACGACCGATGTCTGATCTAGAAGCCTTCCGAGAAGAGGAATACAGAGAGCGGACAGAAGTGGTGCGTCCCCATCAGGATAAGGTGCAGTCAACTGACAAGCGAAACGGCGTGTTCGGGTGAATCCTGACGCCTAAAAGTCCTGAACTGGGCCTTCTCATGACGTGAATATGTGGGATTTTCCGAGAAACTTGGTCAATGTGGGAACTCTTGAAGGTCTAGACTCTGAAATAGAGCGCCGAGGACGCCCGTGGTAAGACGTTGTGAGGACGTGGATGGCTGATCCAGGCTGATCATCGGGGCTGGCCTGGTGTTGTGCGGTCGACATACGGATGTTGCATGAATAAAAGAAACGATTAGGCAGGTAAGCGTAATCGTGGGAGGAGTGACACAAAGCAACAGGCGGGAGGGGGGGAGTGAGAGTCTAGCTAGTTATTACGGTGTTCATCGAGGTAGGTGCATATTGAACACAACTATGGTAATAGCTGCCAACCGCAGAAGTCACAGTCGACGATGCTTGGGCGGCCCTCTCTTCCTTCAAGCCTACCACGGGGACAGCTTTTCTTTATAGGACAGGGCTGCCTTGTTACCTAGAGCTACATAGGGCGTACATGTGGGCAACTTGCCAGAAACGCTACACCAAAAGGAAGATGATGATACGGTGCGCCCCGTACGTAGGGGGTTGCGAGGCGCGCTAAGTCGGCTAGCAGGCTATCCCCTAGCAGTACTCTACTTAGTTATCCACCATGGGTGCCTTACCTTAGCTTAGCACCTCGGGCTGCTACTAGTACTGATGCTGTTGCGGCAAAGCTAAGCGAATACCATGACTTGTCAGCTTTATCAAGAAGCAGATAGCAGCAAGCATCCGGAAGACCCAGTGTTTAGAAAAAGAGAAAGCGCTGGCAAAAAGTGGCATGCATATTGATTGCGGCACCCGAACGGACCCTTAAAGACAAGGGCTGGTGATGCAACTCTGGCGACGCTTCCATGAGTTTTTTTAGGTATGAGGTCAGGTAGCCGCGCCTGGACCTACGCTGTGGATATCCCAGCCAACCCTCCTCCTCCTTGTCCAACAGGACTCCATTCCGTTCTCTACACCCGCCATACTTTACTTCACACATTGCTGGGCCATCGCTGTCACCACAGACCTGGCAGCCTTTTTTTTGGTTCGCCTTGCTTTTGCATTGAGTTGGTATATCTCGTCTCAACTCGCCGCGCTTGTCGCCCTTGACTCACCTGCGCTCTGTGATATGAACGATCGCGGTCGTGAACTTACATTTCTACTTGACTGCTCCCGTCCATTTTCAGGGTGTGCGCGTGTGTGCCATATGTTCTACGGTTCCATCTCCGGCCACCTCACCACCATCCAAACCTCGCACCACCACCACCACCACCACAACTGCCAACGACTACGTTGAGAGCAACTGCATCGCATCACCCGCGAACATTCCTACCCACGCCCGCTAACGCACCATACCCGGACGAAGGCCCTGCAGAAAAGGTGACCAAATCCCGCCGTACCATCGTTTGACCCTGTCTTTTCCCCCCGCTTCTTCTCCCCCTCCCAGCGCCTCTTCCACCTCCACCAACCTTCCCCCTCTTAGGCAGTACAGCGTTCGTCCGCTGTGTGTACCACACAGTACTTGCAACAGCGTTTCCAGCAAGGGCCGCGGTGGCACACGCCTTCTCCCCAAGCCCCCCCAAGGCTTGTCCGTCCATCTTAATTGGAAATCACTGCAGTCTCACTTGACTTTCATCGTCTTGTTCTCACCTTACCTCCTACCTACTACCACCTCACCTTACCTCACCTGTGTCTGTCCCAGCTAGCAGGTAAGGACATCTCATTCTTAGCATACACACAGCACCAAGGTCCCAACCAAAATCGCGCTAGAGATCACTCTCAGATTCGCCCTTTTCCTTTTTGAGAAATCATCTCCCCTCCTCTCGTGCACCCCCCGGTACTGCTGCCGGCCGTCACGCCTTCCGCTTTAATCAGCCGCTCAGGGGCCATTCAGTCATTTTTACCTCAATTCAGGCGCTCAACAACCGTCACGTTGGTTACCCACTCACCACCGCGGTGACCTTTATCCTCCTCCTCATCGTCTTCAATAAAACTTCCCCGCGATTAGACAGTTGAGAAAAAAAAAAATTCTAGTCGCGTGCTGATACTGCTGAGTTTCATCGCGGATGAGCTGTGTTTTTTGTTGGCCTTGGACATCTTTTTTCCCTTTCGGCCTTATTCATCTGGCATCATAGTCACCTCATCATAGTTTGTGGTGCTTCTTACATCACCTCGTAACCTTAGCTAACCTCAAAGCTGTCAAGTACCCCATCACCACTGGAAAATCGCGCCCAAGCAAAAGCCGACGAGATCCCCTACCTCCATCCACTTACCGACCCTGCAGCGACCTGGTCTCCCATTCCAGTAGGTACAGTCTTGTCCTTTCCTGCCCTGGGGTGTCCTTCTCCTAACCCAGCAAGTTCAGGTACTTTGCAGTTACCAACGCAACCCCACCACGCCGTTCTTCCCCTCCAAAAAAGTCCACCTACCCACATCACTCACTGCGTCCCCCGCCGAAAAATTATTAGACACCTCGGAAGCCCTATCTGCCTTTTGCCTGACTTTACCTTCCGAAGTCGTCTTATATGCGCACCCGACCAGAATCGGACCCGACAGCTTACCCTTTCCTACTCTAGCTCGCCCAAACAACGGTTCATTGTATCCAATCCTCATCACTCAGTCCTATTCGCATCTGTAAGTAATTTGTTGTTGTTGTGCGCGTTGCTGTTCTGTTCTGGCTCCTGCTGTTCTGTTCTGGCTCCTGCGCTGTCCCCTTCTCCCTTCCTGCCCTCCATCCGAATACCCACACTCAGCTGCACATGCCCTCGTGCGGTATATCTCGTTCATCATCACCCACAGCAGCACCACCGCAGCCTGTCCCAGCACACCATATCACACCCAGCCTGCCCCCCGAAGAGCCGGGCGCAAATATTCCCAAGCCTTCATTCCCACAGTCCACATCGTGGGATCCACCGCCCAACTAAACCTCCTTGCCTTAACGCGGGCTTTCTAACCAAATCTTCGCCTCAGTAGCTCCTCCGTGCCTCCGTGTTACCGCCAGTCACACCTCAGTGTTCATCTCGGTCGCTTTTACCCCTCCAAAAGCCTTTATTCGCCCTGCTGTCAACGGCCACATTGACCATCAAAATACACACCACCACAATTAACACAAGATAATCCTTAGACCGCCAAAATGCCTGCCTCTGAGGACAAAGTACGTGAAGACGCTTTCATTCACCAAAGAGAAAAAGAAGGAGAAAAAAAGCTCTGATCATGTGTTGGTTTGAACTATGAGGGCTGACGTGGGGTGTTGGGCACAGAGCGATGACGGTCCCCTCAACTCTGTTGACTTTGGCGACGCGATTGACTCAGTCACCTTCGGTCAGATTCTGGAGATGGACGACAGCGAGGATGATCGCGAATTCAGCCAGTCAATCGTCTTTGGCTTCTTCGAGCAAGCAGAAGAAACTTTTGAGTCGATGGACTCGGCTTTGTGAGTCGCATCATCACCGCCCGCCCTCACTTGCTTCGCCCCCCACTCTCCTTCCTTCCCCTCTCTCCCTCTCCTCCCCCCCTCCCCCCCTACCCTCGGCACCAAAGTTGCTTCGTGGGCCCTCAACCAGGTCTGCAGTATGCTCCTAGACAAGGCTGACGGTCATCTGTTTCTTATTTCGCACAGAGAGGAAAAAGACCTGGAGAAGTTGTCGTCGTTGGGCCATTTTCTCAAGGGCTCCTCGGCCACGCTTGGCCTCGTCAAGGTTAGGGACAGCTGCGAAAAGATCCAACGCTATGGCAAGAAGGAGAATGAGGATGGGTCTCCAGAGAAGGACGAGGAGCTGTGTCTGAAACGTATCACGGAAACGCTTAAGGCACTGAAGACTGAGTATGAGGACGCCGAGAAGCTTCTGAAGAAGTTTTACAACACTACCGACGCCTAAAAGGCCACGATGTACAACTCCTGGCACGTCGCGCTCCATGTCCCAGCATCAGCCGTACCGCCGTCCAGCATTAGAAACGATGGCTGTGACGACGTCAAGGATGTGGAACATGAAAAGGGCGGGCTCGCCCTTCACCGAGGGCCATTCAGCTCTTCGACTACCTTGGACCTTGGACGCTTTGCTCACGAACCTACTTCTCATACCCCTCCCCTACGCTTACGAATTTGAATCATGAAGAAAAATTGGCATTTTGGCTTGGAAATCCGGACTGGCTTTGCGTGGAAGGCCCTCCTCTATCGAGGGAGCAACCGAATAAAGAATCGAACGGTCGAGGTAGTCTACTGGGACAGCAAGAAAGGTTCTAACACCTGCATCCTGGGCTGTCACATCTGCGCCTGCCATAGTCCTAAATCAACAGCATGCACCATCACGGTCTTTACCATTTCTGCTGGGTAGACGGGCAATAGCATTACTTGCTTACAGGGCAATGCAAGGCTTTACGGCGACTATTCAGAAGCCGTTCATGCGAGCATGGACATCAAAGGTGCCTTCGTGAAGATGCTAAAAAAAATAATTCTGGAATGGGATCAATCAACATATAGTCATTGAACCCTATACAGTCTGTGACTTGTAATGTAGATATATTCGCTTTGCTTCAGTTATCGAAATGCCCAGCCGCAGGGTTTTTCGTTTCTGGCTTACGGCCAGGCTTCCATCCCAAGTACAGTGCGGGCGGGGAACTCGCCAAATTTCTCCCGAGCGCACCTTTCAGCCGTGACCGACTGACATCATCAAGAGCTGTGACGAAGCCCAGGCCAGAGATCGACAAATTGACGCCATAGGTTGTTTGTGGTAAGCCTAGACCTTTTCTCAAAGGAATGAAGCTGAATACCAAACGGTCGACCCCGGAGCTGTGCGGGTCCTTTGGAGGCAGAGCCTGCGAACTGGCCTTCCCACCCGCTCTTGCACCTAAGGTTGGCTACTTTCGCGTGGACAGCCCGTTCACGGATCACGATCTACTATGGCTCTCTGAGGCAGACGGTCACGCGGCAAGACTCTGGGGACGCCATACTCGGGCCGGCCCGTTGGGAGCACCTGGCTTAATCCCGTGCCGCCACGGTAACGAACCTTGAATGCCATGGAGATTTCTAACGTCGTTGTAGGTTCTACGTGTGTGCCCTGCACACCTTTTCCGAGGAAAGAGACAAGTTTGTTTTGTGTCCTTGATCGAGGCTATTCAAACAGCAAGATCTTGAAGCAAAACTGGAGATCATCGTACCCGCCTCCCAGCATACTCACTATGCCTCCTCGACCAACCCCCAGATCGGCTCCCACGCACTTCCTGTGTATCCCTCTTGTAACCCCTTCCTCACGATCTCAGCTATCTAAGAGCCTGGCCTCCTTCAGAGCGGATGTCACCAGCCCAGAAAGCTTCGCCATTCCGCCGGACGCTGTCCGGCCCCTGGGCACCCTCCACCTGACTCTCGGAGTGATGAGCTTCCCCAACAATGAAGGTGTTGAAAAGGCGATCGAGGTCCTGAAGAGCCTCAAACCACGCGAGATACTATCGGGCATCAAGCCTCTATCAACTCTTACCCCCTTGGCGGGCGCCGTACAACCGTCAACAACCCTTGAACCCAAGCCATTGTCCATCACCCTTCGCGGTCTGCACTCTATACAACCAGCCCCCAAAGCAACGGTCCTCTACGCACCGCCGATCGATCCGGAGGGTATCTTTCGCGCCTTTTGCGAGAAGCTGAGGGCCGTATTCCAGGAGGCTGAGGTCATAGAGAAGGAGGATCGGCCGTTGTTGTTGCATGCTACCATCATCAACACTATCTATGTTAAGGGCGGAAGAGGGAAAAGAGGGACGAAGATGACTATCGATGCGAGGGACATACTCGACCGCTATGATGATCATGTATGGGTGGAAGACATGCCAGTGGAGAAGATTGCAATCTGTCGGATGGGGGCGAAGCAAATTGAGGGTGTGGATGATCAAGAATACGAAGTCGAGGCTGAGATTGCTTTCTGAGTAAACTCATCTTGGCTTATTCGTAAACTCAGCGGCTCGTGTTAAGCCCGATGGCTTTAGGTTACAAGATGATTGCTCTCCCCTTGCGTAGCCTCATCAAAGGCCAATTTGAGCAAAGAACGAGTCCCACGACCTGATTAATCGATCGTGCATTTGCAGTAAGACGCGTCTGGAGATGCATATGCATCGATGTCTACGAATACAATCTATCCTCTCCAATGCCCTTTAGACAAACACCCGTAGCGATATGACCTTGCCACTTCCAATCCTTACAAAGCGTGAGCGAACAAACGTATGAGCCTGAACTGGGGCGGACAACAGAAAATGCCCCTGGTTCAACTGCTTAACAGGCAGGTTGGGAACGCCAACAATTATTCTGCTTGAAGCTCTCTATTTATCTATCCGTAGCCTTCCCTCCTTCCTCGCGGAAATTCTACCCCCAAAACCCACGAGTCGTAAAATAAGCAGCTTTATGAGGGCTCTTGCTAGGCGTGCAGCCACTTGCAGGGCTCCATCAAACAGCTCAGGTGCCCCGGGCGGCAGGAAGACCACCGCACAGCCCCCACGATTCTCAGCCCCGAGCGCGGCCACAAGCGGCCCGGCCGCTATAAATACCGCTCCGGCGGGGCATCTTGACGGAACACCCCAGCCCCAAGTCAGCGCATCCCCGTCGCGCCCCCAACTACCTACGTTAACCTAACGTAGCAACCTGCGTGTTTGCTTGCGACGAACTGTCCTGCTCGGCGGGGGTGCATCGCCGCCTTTTTAAGAGGGCTAAGTAACCAGCCCAACTTTTGCCTCCCAGGCAGACAGCCCAGTCCAGCTCTTACAACACAATTGCCCGGCCCCTCTGTCAGGCACCGACCGAACGAAGGAGTCGCTGAACTCTCCCAACAGGCGGCCGTCTAAGCGAACGGAAGAGGAAGGAGACACACTTTGTCTAGTTCCCTCCGTCGTGAAGCTGCGCACCGCTCCGCCTCGAATCGTCCTTCCCACAACATGCAGCAGTGCCGCGACGATAGCCGCATGCCCCATCCCCTCCCTCGCCATTCTCATGACGAAAGATAAGAAGCTCGGCCGGATGTCCACGACATCGGAGAAGCGCCGCTCCTTCATACCCGGCGGCAGCAGTAGCGCCAACAACACCAGTGGGGGTAGCAATAGCAACGCCGGAAGCTCGAGTACCAGCTCAAACAAGTCGCCAGGCGGCTCGAGCACGCACATTCTACATACTTCAAATCCCCGGAACAGCAGCGTCGCATCAGCAGCGGCAGCGGCAGCAAACATCATCGCCCCTCCGCCTCGCGCACACCACGCCCCAGCGAGCTCGTCTACGCCTCTCAACCCGGACGATGCAGGCACTTCACGCGAGTCTTCTGGCAAGGATGCCAAGGACAAAGATTCAAGATCAAAGGATACTTCGAGTGGCAGCGGGGGAACTACTGCCGTCAACATGACCAGCAGTAGCAGCAGCGGCGGCGGCGGCAGCGGCGGCAACACGTCGATATTGCTAAAGGACAAGGACGCCCGCATAGCCCACCTCGAGCGTGAGCTAGAGATAATGGAGCAGGAGTTTACGCGCGAGCTTGACAAACTCTCTCAGAACGAGAGTGAGACGGCGGTGTTTTGGCAGGCGAAGCACAGCGACCTTAACCAGCAGTTTCTCCGTGCTGACGCGGACTTGCGGATGTTGAGGCAGGAAGGTGAGACCCGGGACGCCGACAGAGATGCCTTACGCCGAGAGGTCGGGGAGCTGCGCGCGCAGGTGCGTGGGCTCAAGGAGTTTGTAAGCACGAGCACGCGGATGAGCGGCCAGACTTCTGACGAGGTCTTTTGTGAAGGCATGGCGAGGTTGGGGAATGGATTACAGAATTGGATTATTGTCAACTTTCGCAGGGCTAAATTAGGTATGTCTAGGAAGAAGAACTCTCTCTTTGATTTTGTGCTTTTTTGAAGGAGCACAGGACTGACTAAGAGGGTTTGGACAGACATTGCTGGCGCCGATGAGGAGGCGCGTGAAGAGCTGGGTCGTCTGGTGCCCATGTATGCGGACCTCGAGGCCACGGCCAAGGTTCACATGCTACAATCGCTCGTCTCGAAGCTTCTTGTGGACAGCGTTTTCAATTATTACTTTTTCGGCCTACCTAAAGAGCAGGCAGATCAGTTCAAGGCTATGGAGGAAACGCTTGCTAGTTATGGTTCGTCGGCACCCCTTTCCCCCCACTTCACTCCTTACCTCGGGAGTCTGAGACAGACATATTGACGACAGCAGTGGAATCCCCAGAAGCGCTAAATAACTGGCGCTCCTCCACCCTCGCCCTCATCCAGCGTGAGGCGGAAGCCAAGATGCAAACAGAAACATCAGCAGCGATGGAGAGCGTTATCGCTCGCGTAAACGGCATCCTCGACGCCGTGACGGACGTAAAGGCGACCGAGGCCCGCGACACGGCACTCCGGGCTCTAGTCGGCAGCGCGGCGGACCTTGCGCGGCAGCTCGCCGTGCAAAAGGCCGTATTCAGGATCCACATGCCCGACATCGTCCCGCATCAGCAGACAAAGTTCGACGCCGCCACTATGGAGGATATTGGCGGGGAGGACGAGGAGGCCCTTGCACAGCGCGATATCGCCTGCGTCACATTTCCCGGCATTATCAAGCGCGGGGATGAGAACGGCGGACACATGCAATACGAGAATGTCATTGCCAAGGCTAGGGTACTTTGTAGTCCCGAATGATGAAGCTGCTGCTGCTGCTGCTGCTGCCAAACAAAACATTACTCTCCCAACTATCGTCAGTTTACTTGTAATAAACGGCGCCGCCACCGGTGCCGATGACCTCAAAAAAGTGCACATCTAGCCTGCCTGTCAATCTACCGTTATCACTACTTACCAAATCCAGCCATCGGTCATCGGTCATCGGTCATCGCCGCCACCAGCGACCCATCCAAATGACGACTTATCCAACCAACTCTCACTCACAAACCCCTCCCCCCGTTCTCCCGCCTGCGGGTTAGCCCGATATGTATTACCACACTTCGTATCTTGTCCATCACGAAAGCATTGCTTCAGCAATGTTCATGAAAGATGTAGGAGTGGCCCCAGCATAAGCAACCAATAGATGGCATCCATTCACTGAAATTCAAGCCCACCCCGTGCCCCTTAGAGACATGCAGGCCGTTCCGAGAGAGCGAGCCAGCTTCCTGCTGCAGCTCCCTGGTTACAGTCGACAGGGTGCGGGAGCGGGGTTCAGTCGGATCTTCTTTCCCCTTCCCGCAATTACCTTACCTCCCAGCTCAATCTGTTCCCTCCAGAAATTGCGAGTGAGGGGGGGGGACGAGACGAAAGGGATTTGCGGCTCTGCACCTGCTCGCTCATCAATCCTTCCGGGTCTATGGCATCCCCCCGACACGCATTGGCACCCTCTGCACAGCTTCTGCATTCTTTCGCGCTTGCCTCCATGCTGTGCTAGACGCCACTGCAACAGCTGATACTCTGGTTTGAGTTGACGCTTAACATACCTGTTCCAACCTCAACCCAGGCAATTGCTTTCTCCTTGCATTGTTTGAATCGGGTCGTTCCTTTTTTTTCCCTTTTTTTTTTTTTTTTTTTTTTTTGGACAAAGAGAATACGCAGCCAGAGAGAATCAATTTATTCCTAGCTTTTGGTTGCTGTTCTCAGTCAGAGCAGTAATTCATGTGATGCTGCAGACGCCGCGCTGCATTTGTCTGCTTTGGCTCTCCCTACACCCCCTCCCTCTGCTCTTATCGATCCCAGTACCTTCCCATACGCGTGAGCAGTATAGAGGGGGTGATTCACCACGATTTTGGTTATGGTAATGAGTAACGTACCATGCCCTTGGAAAAGGCCAAGTTGAACTTTGGGCCAATGTACACTTGTAATATATGACAAAAGTATCCTGGGGGCTTCTGCATGTGGGATTTCCTCGGCCTTAGAAAGTCAACATAAGCGTAGATGATAAAAAAAAACACCCCCAGCTGCCGTGCCAACGTTCATATGACCGTCGGTTCTTGATATCAGGGTATCACGCCGAAGGCAAAACCAGTTAAAGACGAATCTCTTGAGAGGAGACGCTCCTGGATCAAGCTGGGCTCGTTCACTGCTGATACGCTTGCTTCATTTTTCTCAAGTCTAGTAAGTGAAAGGAGACTGACCATAGAACTTGAGCTGGGCCTTTGATGGTGGTGTGGATAGCGAATCCTCTGCTGGTATCCGTTCCGGCACGCTTGGTTCGTGCCGAAGGCTGTGATTCGCATTTGGGAATCCGCCGACGAGGGGGTTGCAAGCCTTTGGACTTTGGTGTGCAGGTAAGCTGCTGTCGGTCCATAAAGACTAGCGCATAGCCCAAATCCTTGACAACGCAAGGAAAGAAAGCCAGACTTTCTTCTTCCGTTCCTCTTCGTGGCCCTATATCAAGTGTTTCTCAATCTCGTGGGTACTGCACCCCATTGATCTTCGAAGTTTTGTTGTCCGTCGAACAGTAGTATCCTGTCGGGGGTTCGAGGTGCAGGCACTCGGCTGCAGCATCACCTGCGTACACCCAATCGCCTGTTTCTACTGATCCCCTAAGTAATCCAAGATCCCCACCCCTCCGCCTGAGTTCCCTCCTCGTCGCTCATTGCCACCTCCATCGTGTCCTGTGTTGAAACCTTTGAGCTGGGACTCGGTCGTCGACCCGTATCTTGTCTAGAAGCGGTTAGTCAACCTCTCATTCGGGTGTCATTAACAAACACCACGGCTGGCCTTGTCTAACTTCCCGGAGAATTCCCTAGTTCCGGCACAGCAAACTTTTGTTTCGACAAGCTTGGCCATCTCCTTTGGACGCGATGTCAGGGCATTCTTCTGGGTCTGAATACCCCTATTCCTCAGCAGACTATACCTCTGTGCCCCCTTCCCTCTACAATAGCGATGCACATTCTGTAACATCGTCCACTGCTTCCTGGGGAGTGCCCTCTAGCAGTTCCGAGTACAGCTCTGGTAGCAGCCAGAGTAACTACACCCACTCGTCTGGGTTTTGGGCTCCGTATGGCAACGAGCACCGTATGCCAGATGAATACTCTGATACACCAGCCCCTTCTGAGTATACTACTGCGAGTAGCTTCACTCGGGCCATGATACATTCTCCAACTACCGTACTGCCGAGTCGACAAATGCTGCATTGCGAGTTCCAGCCCTGGACGGGGTGTCAGTATAGGTTCCAACTAGATGAGGCTGAGTTGTGGATCCGACATACCGAAGATGACCACCTGCGTCGTAACTATCCCGCGCTATGTATTTGTTGGTATTGCGACGATTTTCAATACGACACGCAGCAGTCTCTCGATGCTGGATACAACTTCGAGAGCCGAATGAAACATATTGCTGACCACATGTTGTATGATGGTTGTCTTTTTGAAAACAGAAGACCCGACTTCCACTTCCTGGACCACGTGTATCGATTGCAACTTATATCTCCTAAGGCATACCAGCAAGCCAAGGGGCTGAGTGAAGGTCCCCCACCACCGACGGAGGTCTTTCCTCTAGGCTGGAGACCCGAAAGCTCTGGCAGGGATGCGGTTGTTGAAGTGGTAGATAACAGTCGACGACGACGACACAGAGGGTCACGACGCCATTATTAAGAACGACAAGGTGTTGCACGAGGAGAACGGATGCTGTCGTGTTCCCTTAAAATGCCGTTGTTCCGGGTTATAAGTAAGAACGCATGGGTCCCGGGGCGGGCCGACGTCGATCACTGACCGGGGCGTACGGCATATTTCCGATTTGCTTCGGAAGGCGTTTTGTGCGAAGGATAGTTCATCTATCCATCCATTTGTTAGCAAGGTTGTAGGATCTTCATATCCTAGGAACGCTGTACAGGGCAATTCGCCTGGGACAAGGCAGCACTACAGGAACCCGCAGGCTCGTCCTGCAACCCCATGACGGATTTCCCACCTTGTGTTCCTGGGGTCGAAGATGTGCGTTGGAATATGAGGCCACCTGCATCAAGTGCGAGTCACGCCCTTCTATACGAGGCTGACCAGTCGAGGGGCCCAAGTAGCCGGCAAAAGCAGACTTGGACAGTGGGAGTATCCCTCGGCATCCAGGATGACCTAACCCATCTTCTAGTGTGCCATGGGGCTCTCATAGCCTGACTTTGGAGAGATTTGACTCATGTTTTCCGCTTTGAAAGGCTACTAAGTGCCAGTTCGGCAAGTTTGATCCGCTGTGGTTTTTTTTTTTTTTGGGTACGATTTGGTCTAGCTTGATGATCTTTCAAGAAGTTGATTGCTGTGATTACTCTATGAACACGACAAGGGAGCACAGGAGGGTACATTATCATTTACCAGGCTGGATCCCTCGGACAGGCGGGAGCTTACCAATGGACTTCCCGTCTACAAGGTCTTAAGGGTTATCTTTCCTTTCACTGCAGGGGTTTCTCCTTTCGGTTTCGTTCTATGCTAGGTTTCAAATTTGGAAGGAACGCTCTCCACTCAGGTCAGCAACAGAAACGGCTCGAAGACTGCAGTCATATATAGGCAACAGACCTCCCATAAAATTAACGGCAGTATTCTTACATACCGAAATCCACTTGCTCGCCTACGTTCATACTTCTTCTATTAGACAGAGGGGATATGGGACTCGTAGTCTCTCGGACTAATATTAAGCAATGGGCTGTCTTGTTCGCCCCTTTTTATATTTAATCCACCCCCAATGGGTCGCAAATGTCAGCTTCGCCTCACCGGTGTGTTTCGACACGAACAGATTGCCAATGCAGGCTGGACAAATCCCGACTCATCCTTGGCCCAATAGGCGCCTCTTCTCGAAAACAGGGCTGTGGCGAAAAAAATCGTAGTCAGTACCTCTGGCTCGCAATTTTTTTGCCTTACCACTAACACCCACGTGCACAGCCTCCTTCGGTCTGCACCGGAATGAGTCGAGCTGAATTGGAAGATTCGTACACCACGAGGATATTGTTCCAGGGTCTCCGCTCGGGTAGTATCGCCGTTCGTGCACAAAGGTATGATACGTGACGAGCAAGGAAGAAGAAAAGAGTATAAGTCACAAAACCCCCGTCGCCAACCGTTGAGCTTGTCAACCCATGCGGGGTCCAGGATATCCGCCGAGAGATACCCCTGTGCTGCAGTCGTCAAGCCTCATTTTCCAGGGTCGCCGGCATATCACAGATACTTTAATCCCAATCAAAAGAGGAATCCAATGGTGGATATACGTGTCAGACGCGTCAACCGTTGCACAATGTGCTTCATACCTGGCGACTTATTGCGTTCTCGAGACTGGATACTCGCGAACTATATATAATGAGGAGGTTAACCAAGCTTTTTGGATTTGATACCCTTTGCAATCCCCCCGTGCCCGAAAACTCCGTCGTGCAGTATGCTTTCGCCGCGTTATTTCTTCATTATGTCTCATCTCACACCGCTGTGCCTTTTCCAACCCGTATCTTAATGGAACTCAGCGTCAACACGTCCGTACCTGACACCATCCACCTTGAGTTCGAAGCCCAAACCGGCACTATCAACAATCATTTCCAGCGTGAAATCGAGATTGTCAAACTCAACACCTCGTGTTGTTGTTAAGCGCGTAAACAGACTCCTCGGCACCGCTGCAAGGTCCGTTGTAAGTGTGCACACATGGATGAGGTCACGGGTGTACGCCGATGGCGGATCGTCAGCTTCACACGCAATAAGGTCGTCGGTCACTGTCAACGACTGCCCTGGTCGGAAGTTTCGAGTGTAGTGGAAGGCAATGGGTTCAAGAGGCGATATGGCTTCTCCCTGTGTTCACATCTCAGTCAGTTGCCATCTCTCAGAAGCAGCTAATGATATGCCAGAACCAACTCACCTTTGCAATGTGCCACTGCATACGGTCTGACACCATCCATCGCTCCCATAGCGGCGACCAGTACCGCTCACTGACCGAATGTTTCTCCTCGTCGTACACAGTTGCATATGATGTACCGTAGTGGTATCGCGCTTTTCTTGAGATCACCATGTTTCCCTCAAGCCCTCGCAACACTGCGCCGCGCACGACAGCCGTCCAGGCATACACTGGCTGCATCACTTCGATCGAAGCCGTCTCTTGCATTGAAGTCAAGGTGCCGTGAGTCGGTCTTTCAGTGTATGGCGGTGGCGCGGAGCTATTGAAATGCGACTTGAGTCTTCGGTAGAGATAGTCGCTTTGGCCAAATCCTCCCACTAGCACGATGCCAGAAACAACGCCTCCATCCTTGCGAATGCCATCGACCTGGCCCTGGACAAGGTCGCAAACCTCCTTGACAACAGGCTCAAAAATTTCCTTGATTTCTGCCGCCGTCATGATCATGAACCCACAGTCCAAACCGGCATCCTCATCGTCCGGCAACCCTGGAAATCTGATGCAAGTTAGAATGGTTCTCCTCGTAGAGGTGAGGTGGGCTTACGGCACGTTGACCTCCTGGTGCTCATCCTCATTGAAATTCCGCTTCACAAATTCTTCAAAATATCTGAGACCCATCTGCCATGTCTTTTGTTTCTTGTGCATCATCTCATCAAATCTGGTATGGCCAAGCTTATTTTTGACATGTTCTTCAAACCTGTAGTTCAGAAATGCGCTTCCGCAGAGGCCGCCAGTACCCACAGCCGATTCCTCGACTTTCAGCGGCTTGAGCGAAATGATTTTATATGCAATCAAACTACAGTTGTTAGTGGTGTCCCCGTTAGCCCAACGGCATAAACTTACTCGACAGTTCCACCACCAGCGTCACACACAATGAAGTTATCACCAGCATTGAGGTGGTTCGGCTGGATCGCCTTCAACGTGTACACTGCAGCGGCTTCCGGTTCGCTGATCATTTGGATCTCTGACATTGATCCCATACCCGCTCGTTCGGCCGCCTGAAGCGTCGTGTTCTTTGCGGCGTCAGACCACACGGCTGGGCAAGTCAAGACGAATTCGACTTTTGTAGATGCCATAAAGGACTCGCCGTATCTTCGGGTCAGAGTGTCCATGGTGTGCTTGTAGATCTGGGTAAGATAGTCGCTCACGGCGTCGAGGACGTTTTTGTTGTAGCGCTTCAGCTGAGCAGCTGTTTCCAGCGGGCTCACGTAAAAGGGCAGTTTCTGTGAGCGGTCGAGGAAGAGCTTGATACAGCGAAGACGCGACTCTTCAGGCTTGAACTGGAACCCCCATTTCACAGTAGGAGTTGTGCCCTCGGGCGTGTTTGGGGGGAAGTCATAGCTTATCTCCGTAGGCACCTTGTCCGAGGTGATGCCGTTACCGCCAGGCCAGGTCTTGATGATTTCGACATCGTCTGGGGTTGATGTGTATACGGCAGCGACACTGACATGATAGTCAGCGAGCCATCCCAAATGAACAAGATCAGGTGAGCTCATCAATTCAGCGACGGGTTTTGGTGTCCCATAAATGAGGGGAAGCATCAAATAAAGCACCCGGCGTGAACAAAAATAAAGATGCCTCTTACGGGCAACACGAACTCGCGCTGAGGCGGAGGGCACACGACTCACCCTGAAAACGTGGTTCCGAAGTCGACACCGACAATCAGCCGATCGGTCGTGCCAAACAGCTCCCGAGTGGGCTGGCGTTGAGGAGGGCCGTTAACGGCTTCGGTGGATGAACTAGGCGTGTAATTTGTAAAGTAACTGCTCCTGCTCGCCTGGTTCCGTATACTGCTGGAGCTCGGCCGGAGGGGGAGATTGAAGCTCATGGTGGCAATACCAAGTCTAGATGTCTGCTCAAACCCATAATCCGCACCAGCTGACTCCGACGACAGAAAACAGAACGCACGGGACAAGCCCTCGTGCGCGACTACTGGCGATCCGACTAGAATGAGTGGCTAGAAGCGTTACGGCGCTGTTTTTTCGTTGTGCGCAAAAAAACGAAGAGTGCAGGTCGACTCTTCAGGACAGCAAGGCTACGGGACCATGATCGTGGGGGGAATGGTGGAGGAGGGGTTCGGTCCTGAAGTGGGCGGGCGTGTTGGGTGGCAGAAAAAAGGAGGGAAAAGTGACAAGTTGAAGACGGCTTCAGCCCAGGAACGAAGGGGCCCCCGACAATGACGACAAGAAGCGACAAAGGGTCAACGTCGACAGATACGAAGTCGTCAAGAGCCACGTCTGATGTTTGGGAACGCTGTTTGGCGAGCAAAGTATTCTGCTGCCTAATTGAGTTCCTGGTTCACTTGACGAAGGAATGAAGACAGAAGACAACGCTGGCTGGTCGAGATTGTACCGAGCAAGTACCTACCCTGACGCCGCTAGTTGTTGTAGTAGTAAGGTGGGAGGCAGAATGGGAAGCGTAGCGTCCGGCAGGGCGGGAGGAACCTGGTTCGCGACAGGGCAGGACAGGACAGGCAGGCAAACACTGCCCCACGTCATACGCTGTTGAAGTCAGGATGAATAGCTAAGCTGAAAATGAGCTCTTTCTTTGGGCTAGTTGGACTGTTCAGAGCTGGTGCTGGCGCTGGAGCTGCTGTTGGTGGTGCTGGGGAAGGGGGGCGCACCTGAGAGTTGCTTGCAGCACCTGCCCTGGCTACCTGTACTGGCGTTGCGCTGATGAGGCGCAGTGCGGCAAGGTAGCCCGGGCAGAGGTTGCCAAAGTACCGTGCCATGGCTGGCTGATGTAAGCAAATCAAGTGTGCAGATATGGCGGGGCACAGTTACACAGGAAGCGCTGTGTTATCACGTGATCCAGTGAAGTAGACGAACAGGAACTGCCCGAGGACTTGCCCGAGGGTCGGCGTGGTTCCCGAGGCACATCCTTGGCACGTCTCGCTTGTAGGCCAGCAACGTACATGTCTTCGTCATTCTTCACCCTCCAAAAAGACAAGATTCACATACGTCTTGTTTCCAATTCTCAGAGAACGCGTAGGCCCTGACAAGCAGCACTCTCGTATCCAAATGCCAAGATGATCCTTTGGTGCATGAAAGCTGCTGTTCCCCTTGACGGGCGCCTATTGCGTCTTCGGCCAACCGCAGGAAGAGGAGCCTATATAGTGGGGCATGAGCTTCAAAGCTCGGGCTTCAATGCCGAAGACAGGAACCTACGCAAGCAATCGCTCAGGCGGTGATGGGCTCCATCAAGTGGTTCAGCAACGTAATACCAGTGGAGTTGCATCGTTCTGCCAAGGCAGGGTCACTCTGAATCTCACAATTCTCCGTTTTTTCTTCTGATTTTAACTAATGTGAAAGGAATGCGGAAGCTCACCCTGAGAGCAACTTCGTCAAGGTCAGCGCAGCTGACGTTGTCAAAGTCACCGTCGATCGTCAATCTGTTTTCGTGGATGTTGGCTGTCTGAGCGGACTAAACCACCAAGGCCAATCAATCTCCCAAGTCCTTTTAGTAAAGGAATTACACTAAGCCCAACAACAAAGAATGTAAACAAAAATGTGCGACTAGGAGGAATCGAACTTCCATCTCCTCGGAACCAGTTGAGAGGCCACAACGAGGTATTCTAACCGTTAAACTACAGTCGCTTATTGATACTTGAATTTAGGGCTATTGCTATTCATGACGCTTAGTCAAATCGAGGGCACACAATCAAGAGATCCACTACACAGGGCTCAGATGGGTCATTCCGAGGCGAAGCGCTAGCATCACTTCCTGCCATGATCTCAAAGTGGACCTGACTTGGCAGCATCTAGCTGCTGAGCATCACCAGCTTAGCTATGAATCAAGCTTTGATTCATCGTCCTGTTTGGATGATTGTCATACAATCCCGGGGCTTGAGTTTTAGGATTTGGCGGATGGGGTCCAGCTCAAGCGAATCTCCATCAACGCCAATGAAGCGTTGTCAGGAAGCCAATTCAAACGGTGCGAGCTAAGAAGGCTTACAGGCAGGTCGACGGAGCTATGTAATAAAACCAACGAGCGAGGTTGCTTCCGAGAGTGTTGAATATTAATCCCAGTTTCGTGAGACAGAAGCGCCAGCATTCAACCTGGAAACCTATTATCAGAGACAAATGCTCTCAAAAGCAGAGGCAAGCTGGGCCAAGATGGAAGCATCCGATAATCTCGAACCCTCTCTATCCGCAGCTACAAAGTCCCGCTTTCTTACTTTTACAGATCGGACCGAGATGCCAGCTTGGGGTCGCTGCTGACATACTCGCCTTGCTCGTGACACCAAGCCCCCCTTCTTACCTCTCGGCAGTGACTTCAGCCTCGAGGCTGGTCAGGCTGACTGGCCTTCACAGGATCCAATTTCGACAAGCCATGGCGAGTCCCATCTGCTCCCGTCTTCTGACTGAACCTCTCCCTTGATGCGGCCCGTGGTTCCATCAGTGTTTTTTTTTTGTCCGCCGTCAGCGCCATGACGTGTCAGATATCATAGCCCGAACAGAAACATCAGTATGTCAGTGCATCTAAGTCCACAATCAGAAAACTACCTGAAAAGCAACTGCTGTCTAGATTCTCACCGTTGTGGCTGGACCTCTGGTTTCACCTCAGCCGGTGAGGCGTACAATCAAGGCAAGTCGGGTGAGAGAGCGTAAGACACGTTCAACAACACTTTCCTTCTATCACCGCCGAAAAAAGAAAACCACTCCGTGCTTCTCTGCCTCTTCACCCGTTGAAGGAGGGGAGGACGAAATAAAGAAAGGACGAAACTGTCTCTCGTAACTAAAACGTGACGACGACCAGTCTCGGGAGAGAGATGCAAAGGCAAAAATAAGTAAGGAGAGTCTCACCGGCTGGGCTGAGACAAAATAAGCCTATCATGGCCATTTGTCACCATAAACCAACAATCACTGTTAACTGATACGGATATCAACACTCCTCCCCTACACCACTACTATTATTCACTTACCTTTTTTTGCCTCCCTCTCTTTCCCCTTCAGCGTAAAACCAGTGGACGAAGAAACGCCCAAAACCCTTTCTTTTCTCCAAAACAGCCCGTTGTCCTCAGACTCAGAAACACTCACCCGCAAAAGGTGGCTTGAAACTTTTTAGCCCCCGCCATCCGCCATCACCGCCTCCTTATATTTTTTCTCACCTGGTCGTCTTCCGCCTCACCTCCGATAGCTTCGAGTAAAGAGGATCTAGCCCTCAGCCACAAGAGGTGTGAACAGTAAGTGCCCATGCTCGTTAAAAAAATAAAAAATTGTACACACTCATTTCTTCTCTGTTTATCTATTTCGAGTCCTACTATCCATGATGTTCGGTCGCTCCACCAGTTACACGAGACACAGCCACCGCGAGTGTCCCTAAACCGGCAAGTACTTACTTACGGATGCCTTGGGAGGGGACGGCTATTTTTTTTTTTTTAGCGTCCTCGTCGCCCGGGGAGTAGCTCTGCAGGCCACCCCCCCTTTTGGCCCCCAAAACCCGGCCGCAGCAAGCAAGCCCGATCCTCCCGCCCCGTCTCCTCCGCTGCGTTACAACGCAGGCGACTACTGTAGGCAAAGAACAATCTTACGTTCTTGCTGCGTTTCTGGTACCTCCCCCTAATGCAGACCCCATGCACTCGAATCCAGTTTGTCCCTTGACGCTAGCTTCGCAGCGACTAAATTCGTCCGAACCTTTCTCTCTTTTTATAATTTTATGAATGAACTCGCCACATGCAACAGCTTAACTCGGCCGAGATCCGGCCTTGGGTCTGCGCTACGGCATCTGAACCGTCCGATTTGAAGTCACGTACATCGCAAAGCGAGAGTCAAGAAGAATTGGGTCATGACAGTGAACATCTCTCGGATGCCACCTATTATGTAAATATGTTGAGCGGGACTCAAAATATCGTCCGCCTACGTACAGCCCCTTCCTTCTAACTAGCTTCTTTTTTCCCACCTCATCCGCAAAAATCAAATAAAAGATAGTTTCCATACAGCCAAAGCTGTTGGACTCAATGCCGCCGTTCCCGAGTAGCTAAGATAGATGCCCATATATGTACCATTTGCGTGTAGTGTCCGCGGACCGCGTATATGACAAACTATCCATTTGGGTAATCCCCGGCCACATGGCTTTCTTTCCTCGAGTCTTCTGACGTGTCCAGCCCGCAGAGAGTCTAGAAAAAAAATATTGTGTGCCTTGTTTGTTTCCCTTGTACAAGAACATTGTGACCTGTGTTGGACCCCCCCCTTTCCTAATCTTTTGCCTCCCAATCCCTAGAACCGTATTCTCTCTTTATTTTTCCAGATTGGGAGACTGCCACTCCTTGCCCGCGTGAGCCCTTGAAAACAAATGAAATGTTATCTTTGGTTGAGGCCGCCGTTGGTAGCCCTGCCAGTCTATAGTGTCGGGTATTTCAAAACAGATGAGTTGATAAACAGACAGCAGAAGGAAAATAAGATGTGCGCGATGGCGGATGGGATGCCGCCCTGTGGTATCGAAGATATCATAGAATAATCGAAATGCCACCCTGCTTCCAAACATATATGGGTGAAAGAAATTGAGATCCGGCATGAACATCGCCTCCTTCAAGACGATGCGATGGGCACGCCGGCTAACGCCAAACACCAGGCCCATGCATGTGAATACACAAAAAACTTTTGCGGTCGAAGCCGTGACCCTAGAAACGATTGCTGGCAGCCCAAATGCTGGCCGATGCCGAGGCAGCCCATTCACTCTCCTCATAGGGAGGCGTGGGCCACTTGTACTGGCTCTCGGCACCATTTGACTTCTTCAGGTCCAGGGGTTTGGGGGTAACCGCTTCGTGATTGTCGCCGAAGAGAACGCCGTTGCCGTTGGCTGAAGGTGACGGGGTGGGGTACGGGTTCGCCATCGCGATGTTGCTGGCCGATTGACGCAGACCAGGCTTGCCCTCCTTCTCGAGGCGCTTCATGGCTCGATGTGTCGAGTTGAGGACTTCATCCAGAAGCTCATCCTCCTCATCAGGCGCATCATAGTGCTGTACACCCTGCACTGCCTGAGACCTGCGAGTACGGCTCGAGATGGGGCCGGCTCCTCGGGCAGCTCCCATGATATTGTCGACAGAGCGCGGCTGATGTTGAGGCAATGAGTGGTGTCTCTTCAGGGTGCTGTTGGGCGTGATGAGGTGAGCAGGAGGGACGGGTGCGTTGTCACGGTTCTGCTGGACATCTCGAAGGGCCTTGTCGAGGGGTTCATAGATCTCAGCGGGCTTCGGCGGAGGAGTAGGCGCGTTGTCAATGACCATGGACGACCTGTTGCTGTTCCAGGGACCGCAGCCAGCCTGGGCCTCGATGTCGTCCGAGTTGGGCGACATTGGTGCCTGGTGACGGCCAGAGAAGCGACGAGCGCGTTTCCTGAGGTGCGAGAAGAAGCTTTCCTTGTGACCGCCCGGCGGGGACGCAAGACCGCCGTTGCCATTAAGGGCACGCTCTGCCTGCTGGCGGTGGATCTCGGCGTAGTGGTTAGTGCTTGAAGCGACTGACAATTGTCTGCCAATCTTCTTCTTTTCATCCATTTGAGCGGAGCGTTGGTTGCCGTTAGCATACGAGTCGTTGTATCCGTTGCTTGCCTGGGCGGTCACGGCATCGGACAGGGGAGAAATAGGTCGAATCGTGGGGAGTATCGGCATGGGAGCAACGTTGGACGGGCCATTTGTCCATGTCGTGCGCTTCGATTGAGCGGGGCGAGTCTTTGCGACAGGGACCTCGTTGGTCGTCTGCGAGGGGACGGGAGAAGGCCTCGGGGTAGAATCCTTCGAAACGGATTGAGTCACAGTAACCTCGGCGCTTTCAGAGCGGCCGATCAGAGACTTTCTGAACCAAGAAGGCTTGGAGGACGTCGGGGTGGACGAGTTCGAATCCTTTCCACGGCTCAGATCCGACTGCTTGCGACCGAGGATTCTCGAGGCGGAAGACTTTGGTCGAAGGGGGTCGACGGCATCAACGAAGTACTCGTGGGCAATGGCCTGTGTTGATGTCGGACGGCTCTTGGGGTCCCACATCAAGCACCACGTAACGAAGTGGCTCAGCGCAGCGGGCCACTGGGGTGCTTGCAAAATGGTGTCGATGGCATGGGGGGCCATCTTGGGGAACGAGAAACCCAATTTTCCGGCCAGTCTGGTGCCGTCCCTCCACTCACCGCCGCCGACTCGAGCACCGGCCTTGTTGTACCAGTTTCCGGGGCTTCCCATAATTTCGCAGACCCGCCAAACCTGGTCAACCTCGTTTCCGCCAGGGAAGAGTGGCTTCAGAGTGGCAATCTCTACTGCCATGGCACCAACTGCCCAAATGTCGACAGGCGCCGAGTATTCGCCGGCACGCAGAAGGACCTCGGGTGCTCGGTACCATCTCGTGGAAACGTAAGTCGTGTAGGGCAGCTTGGAATGGGTCTCACGGGCGAGACCAAAATCGGCAATCTTGACTGTGTAGTTCGGGGGAGTGGAGGGAGGCGTAACGAGAGCGGAGTATCTGCGGAAGGATGTGACGGTATCTTGGTGGGAGGAGGTGGATACGAGAATGTTCTCGGGCTTGATATCACGGTGGAAAAAGTGATGTGCGTGGATGTGCTCAAGACCTTGCATAATCTGGAAGAGAATGCTCTTGACGCTGGCGTTGTCGAGGCACTTGTGGTCGCGGGCCTTCATCAATTGGTACAGGTTGCCCTCCATGTACTCCATAGCGATGTGAAGCTTCTTGCTGTAGGGGTCCAGGAAGATGTCAAGAGCGGGAACGAGGTGGGCGTGGTTAGGGAGCGTCTTCAGAAAGACGACCTCGCGGAGCTCTAAGCATGGCGTGAAAGACTCGAAAGTCTTCTTCATGGTCTTGATGGCGACCTAAAAATTGATTCTGGTTACCATTGATGATACACACAATGGGGCGTCCTGCAGGTACTTACCACCGTCCCTCTGCGAGCCACGCTAGCACCTGCGCTACGAACTCGGGCGAGAACGACACTGCCAAAACTACCATCGCCAATCTCCTTGAGAACCTCAAATCGATCTTCGAGGGCCATGGTGTTGGCGGAATGGGATGAGGACCCTCGATGGGCCAAATCGTGTGCGACCGTCATTGTGTCTTGTGTGTGTTGGGGATGTGATCGTTGAGTCCAGTCAAGATCCTCGTGATGACGGTGTTTCTGGGGCGAGTCAGCTGGTTAGGGCCGCTTCGCAGGCGCGTAAGCCTGGGCCGTACAGATGCTGTGCCTAACTAGGAGCTCTCAGCAAGAGCCAGGTGCGAGTTCTGTGGCATTCAGATGGGTTCTGATTTTTGTATATGTTTGTGGTGTGAAACGCAGTTGTAGTTGTGGTGAATTGTTGTAGATCTTGTAGTTGTAGTTGTAGTTGTAGTAGAGGTAAGGAAATGGTGTGCGAGTGCTGGTGAATATGATGGTCGGAACAGTAGAAGTTGGATATAGAAAAGGCGCGAAGAGAAGTGACTGGGATAAACCAAGAGAGCGAAACCAGATGAAGAAGAGGAGACTCGAGAGGGACGGGCAAAGTCAGGAGGTGGTTGATATTATTAAAAAGGGCCAGGTAAGGGTCCAGGGGTGGAAATGGAGCTAGAACCAGTCGATCGGGGATGGGTCCTCAGGCGTGGATATTCAGAGGGTACGATATTCTCGGATACGTGGGTCGAGATTGTGATGATGAGGAAGCAACCCTAGGAGAGGTGGGATTGGCAACCAGGAAGGCGTCTTCTCGCTGTTGGTCGTTCTTTTGGCCTTGAGGCTGGGATTGAGATTGAGCATCAAGACAAGGAGAGTTGTGTATGAGCGATGTGCTTGGGTGCATACGGTGCATGTACGGAGATGCAGCCCGACCAGAGCGTTCGGCGGGAGGGAGTAATGCTTGTCCTAGGGTCTCCGTAGCTGGGCGGGGGGGGGAAGCTGCGTCGCAGAAAAGCGTTAATCAAAATCGAAGGACGTAAGAAACGGGCAGACCAAGAGAGGCAGGAGCAGGGAACGAGTGGGAAGAGGGAGAGGGAGAGCGAAGCGAAGCGAGAAAGGGAAGGGAGGGAGAGAAGAGAGGGTAGTGTAGACGAGGATTGGGATGGGCGATGGGGACGGGTGTGTGTGGTGCTGGGAGAGAAGACTGAGAGAACCCACATACGATCCAGCAAAAGTGATTCACCGTGGGCCGCGTCGGGATGGGCGAGGGACGAGGGGGAGCAACAGAGAGAGATTGATTGACTGAACGATTGATAAAATGAACGATTGATAAAATGGAGCGAGGAGCCGGCCACTATGCTATCGACGACTCGAAGGTGGCCGGGGCCCGTTCTTAGCATGAATGAGTGAATCTGGGGGGGGTGAAAAGCAGAAAAGAGTAGGGTGCAAAGCCGTCGTCGATAGGGGCCCAATCTCGCTAATGATTCGGGGGTGCAGTCGTGCTTTTTTCTGGCCCTTCCCTTTCGCTCTGGCAGGGCAATTTGCGCTGGGGGTGGGTGGATGGTGGGAGCGTCAGGGGGAGGGGGTGGTCTGGGAGTTTGGGACCTGGCAAGCCAGGGAAACAAGGGTTAGGTTGTCTTTGGACAGAGAGAGAGAGAGTGTGTGTGTGTGTGTGAGTGTGTGCGCGCGGGAGAGGTACCTTTTCTTTACCCTACGCCGCAAGGTACAAACCTGGCGTGGGAGAGGAAGAAAATATGCAGGCAGAATAAAGAAGAAGGAAAAAAATAAAAACGATTATAGTGGGCTGCACGGTCGACCTTGGTTTGATTATGTTCGGACGTTGGTTCAGGCGATGGATGGCTCTCGTCTCGTAGTGCTAGTTTACTCGCTTCTGCTAATGTATGGCAAAGTAAGGAGATGTGCTAACTTATTTCTTAGAAATTTGTTGCGGCAGAGGATGGATTTATTGAATTAATTACTTTCGCTGGCGTCCCGCCGTCAGCCAGCTGTCTGTTGTGTCTGTTCCTTCGTCGCTGGCATAGCGACGCCTTGTGCCCACTCCAGCCAGTCTCTTTTGATCTTGATTGACAGACGGTTGGACGGAAGACGAGGGTGCTCATGCATTCACGCAGGTCCTCTCTTCCAATTCAGCCCAATCCAGATGGATGGGATATGAGTTGATGGGGCGGTGTCGCTGCTTGATGAACTGGCATAGCCCGACAGAGCATCTCTGTCCGGGGCGGTCGGCAGTGATGGCCCATAAACGCTTCGTCGACTGCCTAATGGAGGTTGGCTCGCTTCACACTTCAGTCACTTTCCTACCATCATGCACCCTTTTTTGTCAGTTTTGGAGTAGGGATGGGACAGCATGATACATATTGTAACGCGCAGCATCAGCAACGTCAGCAGGAAAAGACGGTGCATCAAAATATATAACAGGCAGTGCAAGTTGGATTACACATGCAGGAAGCAGCAGCAACAAAGAGCAGCATCGACGCCATTATCAGCAACAGGAATGATGAATGATATGATGCACCACCACAAGACTCGGCCCGGTGGCCCAGTCGAGGGGGAAACGAACGAACGAACGATGGGTCACAAAACGCGACCGGGTATCAAAGAAACGACCTGCCGGCGCCGTTGGACGAGGCTTCTAACCAGTCTGTTGGGGTCGACACGCAGGGCCAGGATTGGTGAATATTTGGGCGACGTGCTTGCAGCAAGAATAAGTGCGCAGCAAGCCAAGGCATGTTGTGTTGTGTTGCCTTGTGTTTGGCCGGTGTGATATGCCAACACAACATCCAGGAAGAGTGCAAGCTGGGCTGATGTATCCAGTTCCTTTGTCTGCATCGCGTACCTCGGACAGGTACTGACATGCAAAGTCGCGGTACCGTTCCTGACCGTATCATGCGTGTGGCCAGTCAGTATCATACCTAGCCCAGCAGGGCACGACCGGCGACCAGGCCCAGAAATGGAGCTCCGTCATGGAAATACTGCACCCTTATTCGAGGAGACCCCCTTGGAACCGACCAGGACGGGGGTCGTCATCTAGTGGATGATGCACTCTAGGAAACGGCTGGTATTTTACGTCTAAGGGCCCTCTTGTACTATGTCCAGTTGTGTCTCGTAGTGGCATGTAGTGTGTTCTGGGGTTGGTGTGCGGCCCGTCCGTCTCTTGTGATTGATGGACATGAGAGAAAGACCCTTGGGGCCTGGCAACGTCCGAGTTAGGGGACCAGGAAGAGGACAATGCAGGTGGGCATAACGATGACAGGCTACTGAAAAAACGAAGGCTACCCTGTCCCGTCCCCCCTCAGGCGAAGAGAGACGAGACAGTGCATCTATCAAGCCGTAGAAATTGAGCAACTTTCAAGTGATGGGGAAGCACGGCCAGAAGAGGGGGTTGATACCATTGAAAGGATGATGCACAAAAAAAAAGTCAGTGTCAGGTTGGCCGCTGTTCCGCGCATGAATCTCCCGTTCCACATCACACAACACGAAGACAGGAGAAAAGGGGAACCTGGCGACGTGCAGTAATAGAGCTTGCCGTCTATCACCAGCACCCTGGGCCGGGGAAGTCTTTGGAGACGCAATGATCAGAAGGGTGCCGTCTGGAGTCCTGGTTGTGTCGCGGACGGAGAGCTAGTACTAGTAGGCGATGGTGGGTTAATTCTCATTTCAGCCATGAAACCAAGCTCAGGGCGATGCTTTTGGTGATTGATGAGCGCAACATCACTATCACATCACTGGAAGTCAGGAAGATTAAAAAAGGGGGGGCGAAGGCTCGGGGAAGGTGGAAAGTGGATGCAGCTCAATGTCCATCAGTTTGGTGCTCGGGCAGGGTAAAATTGTGTACGTACCAATTATCAAGTACTGGTAGTCGTAATGTTTGGTTCGGTGCCATCGGTACGTACTTCTTCAATTTGCGCGACACCGACGCGATGAACCCACGCTTCGGGTTCAGGAACTCGAGAGAATCGGAGTCGAAGAGGAGGCTGCCGTGCCTGAAGTCGTCTGGTTGGAACGTGAGGCTGAGAGAAGCAACAGCCTGCTTGAGCAACGGAACAGAAAATGCACAGCCTACTCTGCTGCTTGCTCCCTTCGTCTTCCTCCGGTATTTAGAGAGCTGTGGTCGCTTGAGAAGGTCCAGCAGGAGGGGCCAAACATGAAATACGGATGGAGTGCGTGCCACAGCGTTTGTCAGTTAGTGATCACCCAGAAAGAGACCGGCATGACGAAGCCAAAAGAGGGAATAAGCAAGGGGAGAAGGGAAATTGACCACGCCAGCCAGTAGATCAGCCGGGAGCCCGGGATGCGCCACATGGCGGCCTAAGGGCTAAGGCAAACATTAGCCTAACTCTTGTGAATGACTGGCAAATTGAGCGTCACGCCCTCATCTACCGCTGGGTCTAGCACAGTAACATGAAGTACCAGGTGCTGCGAACTTCTGTACGTTCACGGCATGGCATAGCTTTGGATGGATTTGTGACGGAAGATAGAAGCACGGCAAACGCCTACTAGGGCCGTTTATGGGCGGGCTCGTGTGTCCGACTAGAGCGGGGATGTTCAGGTACCGTAGCACATCTTTCCTCTTTGGTGCTCTGGGAAGTATTCGGTACCTGTCCCGCCCTGCATTGGTGGGCTGGCACGCTGGCTGCTTAACGGACAGCCGCCGCACCAGCACCGTCGGCACCGTTAATTGGACTTCTGTATGCCAGGGGCGCAGAAGGTGAATGGAAGCATCCGAATGGTGGGAAGTGATCAGAGACCAGGGGCCTAGGCGAGAAGAGCGAAGATAGATGCCGCGGTAGCAGCAGGTAAACAGCAGTGAAGGGCACCTCACCGAGGCACGGCTGGCGCGGATATGGGGACGTAGCCCCGGTAAGGTATCCGTATCTGGCCTTCGAATCTCATCTTGTCGCTGGGGGAAAACGTGGAAGTCCACCCTGCAGCCTGGGATAGGCGCCACAGTAAGTATACGGTTAGCGTTTATTGTCGTTCTTGTCGTTTCATGTCCTGCTATGAGGCACTAGATTAGACCTCAAGATTGCCCAAAATCTCATATGAGCCAGTCCACAATTTGGTTGTGAGGAAAAACTCAAACGTCCTCAAGGCCACGGTGCGGAGCATATGCTTTATTGGTACCCGCCCGCGTGCCCTTGCTTGCTCACGTCGTCTGCCATCAGTGTCACGATAGGTCGGGGCATGCGGAACGGCCCTGATGAGCCTTGCCTGGGTCTTTTACCGTCCGCCAGAGGTGAATTGCTGTGAAAGACCAGCGACACCGTAACGTGGAGTTATGTGCAAACCCGTGTCTGAGCAACAGCGAATCCACCTTCTGTCTCATCCTGCAAGGTCCCTTCTATGCTCCAGCCCCATAGCGCGGCGAACATACGTATCGATATCCGAACTTCAGTCAAAAAGAAGGTAAAGTGGTGACATCAGCCGAAACGGTGGTAGCCGCGTTTCTTTTTCAGGGTTCCTGCTTAATTCCTTCTCCAACAGGCAGCGGGAAGTAGGGATTCTCGGTGCGGTATCAAATGTGTGGCCATGGAGGCGCGTCAGTGTGGACACGAGCACAAGCCAAGAAGAAGAAAAGAACAAGAATACGGACACATGATAACAGGAACAAGGGCTCAGAAACGTGGAGGCAGCCAGCCCAAGCCCACCTCTCAGCCCGGTACGGTACACTTGATTTGCGGCTGGTGATGCAGATGGCAAGCGAGTCCAGCTTCCCAGCTTCTCGGTGTTGACTTAATTGACCCAGGTACAGATACCATGATGAAACACGGCGGGAAGGTTTGCGGGAAGAGGAAAAAGCAGTGTGGACGAAAGGATTGGATGATGACATGATGCACCAAAAGGGAGGGGGAAATGCAAGGGCGCTGCTGTCGGTCTTTGCCCAGAACGGTAATGAGCTGCCTCAGAAAAGTGCCTGCTTTCCTGCCCTCTGTAAAGTGCCGTACCTCCCTCCGGGCCTTTGGGCCACTGGACCTTCCCGGTTATTGTTGCTCTTTTCTTGGCTCCTGGAGTTTGGGAAGCCACCAACCACCGGCCGGTCCTACCGGCTCCAATGCAACTGCTACTATTGAAGGTTGAGCCTGGTGTAGTAGTACAGCTGCGAACTTGACTGCTGCTACTGCTACTCGCCCAAACCAAGTAATTAAAGCCATTCATACGCAAGGACTACCGACATGGGTCGATTGGTTTTGCGTTCATTTCTCCAAATACCTGGCATCGCCGTTCCTAAGCCCGAGGAAAATTCTCCCCGTACCTGGGCAGAAGCTAACTACACTACGTAGCATGCGGGTCGACTGAGGCAACCAGGGGTTCGCCAAGCAGTCCTACAAAGTAGCAACGCAGCCCTGTGCCGCACCCTGTGCATTGGGCCTCTTCTTCGAAGCTCGATCAAGCTTGTTCCGAACACGGGGAGCCGGAACTGGCGATACAACTCCTCATCCTTCTTCCCCCTCCAACCCCTCGCCACACTCCCCTCCTCTCGTCTACGGAGTACTGGGATTGCAATTTTCTGGAACACAGGGGATTTGTGATGTATTGGGAAAGCTCACCGGTGACCATGCCAACCGATGGGGCAGAGGAGTAAAGACGGACCAGCTCCCGCACGCCCATCCCATGGCGATGACAAAAAGTCCTAATCAGCAGCTTGTCGCAACACGACAGTCGGTGGAGTGGCCCAATCCGAATGATACAATTTCAACCTGTCGCAACCTGCCGAAAATATGATCGATTCTCTCGGGGCCCATCAATAGAAAACGTCTGGAACGTGTGGTCACTTGCACCCTCCTAGCTCCTCTAGCCGGCCCCCACCTCCCCCTCTCTTCTCCGTTGTGAGATTCCTGCTACCACAGGGCAGAAAGACAATCACAAACCTGAAGGTTTGCTGCGATTGGTGTTGCTTGGGACGATGTGCGCCTTCCTGCCGTCCATGGATATCTCCCGGAGTATCTGCGGATACCTTACGTCGCCACGCCACCTGAATGTCACTCGAATGCCAAGCACTACGTATATGACAAGAATCAAGGCACTTACTAGGCGGCGACGTCAACAAAAACAACAACAGAAACAGAAGAAGGGACATTGACGGCCGTGAAGCAAACACGCCCCAACTGAGCATGTTGCAACACCGCAACGCGACGCACTCGACGGTCGTCCCCTCGTCCCGCCCCTAGCTCGACACAGCTTGCCCTTACTCCGTCCCAGGGAAATGATGTTTGCTCACCCCCGTCTACCAAATGTCCTTTTCCCCTCCCCCTCCCCCTCCTCTCATCCCACGGGCCTTCCCTTAGATTAGGGGCCAAATAGGATCCGTCATCCTTAAACTGGGACTTAGATGAAGAGAAACTTTGATCGACAAGCCACGAGGGACGTTGGGCACCCGCGCTGCCGGAGCAATTTGGGTGCCACCAGATCTATACCCCTTGGATCAGGTTGGTTCACCACCCCACTCACTTGCCGCATAATTCGTGATGCATTAAATCCCCTCTCTCACTAGCCGCACACACTCACTTATGAGGTTATCGCATATTGTTCTCAAACGGTTATGGTCAGATAACTGTTGAGTGCCGTATACAGCTTTGCGCTCTCAGTAACACGCCTTGCCTGGTTTTTGACGGGCCTCGTAAAAGGCTCTGTCGTTTTTGCTCTATCTTGACAGAGCTGTATCACCAGGTATTTCCTGGTTTTATTAGTAAATCTCAAAATGGCCAACACTGCTCTTCAACGTCATGCTGCGTCTCGTAGTTATGGTTCACGGGAGGTGTGGGCTGTCCTCAAGCTCAATTCTCCTTGCCTTAATGTCTACTATTCCGATCTGTTCCACTTTATCGTTATTCGATCTCAGAGTTGCATATCCAAACCAAAGGTCATCAGACAGACTTTCCCATTTTCGGTTCACCCAGGTGCTGACTATACTAGCCGCGTATGATGGTGGGAGAGATCTCGTTGGCTCTTGCCTCTGAATAAATGTATCACACGGACGCTTTAGAGCTCGATCCAATATGCGTTCACACACCATCAGCAATTTCATACTCATATTAGTGGCCGATAATCCTCAATGTGATCCGCATGAGACCACCAAGGGCTGGACCCTGAGACGTGTCTTTCGTTTGTCTTTCCGGCTTACCATAGCTGCACCACGTGGCTAGTATGGTTGGGCATATTCTCTTCAGTATGGGTATTTTTCAAAATTGAGCTCCGGAATGTTTGCCGGTTTGTTAAAAACAAAAGAGTCTACGCCGTAAGTGGCTTCTTGCCAGCAGCCCCGGCCCGTACAGTACGGGACTGGTTGATCGGCCAGTGTCTCAAGCCTCATATTTCCCACAGCACGAGCCGTGCTAATTGTTTCTTCCAGCGTCCCTGCCACATAGGAACTATCCATCATAGCCGAGATGTTATTTCGTTCCTCAGGACAGTGTTATTCCTTCGCTGAATCTTGCAGGGGAAACACCGTCAAGCCATGTACATGTTTTTGTCTGTTCGGTTTCTCCCACAAATCTCTTCTCCCACGCTCTCGGGGTTAAAAATCACCCCAGCCTGACCCTGTTATAGCTGCCAAAGTACCCCGCCAACAAGACCCCACAAGCACTGAAGCTATCGTCAACGCCCAAGCTCCAGGAATGACTCGACTATGTATTGTCATTACGACTGTAACCGTAGGGTGAATATGCCTTGCAGTTTCACTTACGATCTACATGGGCTAATTTGCTATCTGCAGGTACTAGATCTGAAGGATAACGTTTTCAGATACACTCCTCCCCTCTACAGCTCTTTGGGAGACAGAAGCGGAACTAGGTAATTTGTCACTTTGAAAGCGAACCTCCCAACAAAGCAGCGCACTATGAAGCAAGGCCGACAGCGCCGATAAGCCCTACCGCGGCGCCTGTGCCGTTACTGTAATGGTTTATGGCCCCGGCACCTGCCACATCTGAGGCTCAAGCAGCTCCGGACCCTAGGGATCGTGCCACAGGCCGCTGTCTACCCTCATAATGCTGGGGTGTATGAGCCCGTCACGCTCCGTGAGCCGGACTTCCCCGATATCAAGGACGTTCCGCTTGATCAGCCCACACTCTCAAACCCAGGAGCCGACCGAAATTTGCTCAATGCCTCTTAGTTTCTTCATTTTTCTAGTCCAGGCGGCAACAGCCGTTAATGTTTCCCTACAAGAACTACTGAAAAGCTAGAACGTTACATTGACAGGTAAAGATGCGAGGATGCTTGGGAACGAGGTGCTCACCGTGATAGATGATTGATCCCGGTCTTGGATGCGTTCAACACTGCGCCTGCAACTCTAGCACGGGCTTCACCAGCCAAATTTTTATTAGCATCATGAAGAACGGTAGATTGTAGCAATCAGAGACTTCCTGGGCCTAAGACCTTCCAGTTCGGCGGTGTCATCGGCTGCTAGCTCATTACTACTCGACAGCTATTTCGAGTAGCTCCAAGGCCCACAGCGGTAACAAGCGCGAGCATCAGAGGACACTCATTATCAGCAAGCGGCCCCACGTCCAATCCTTCCGTAACGGTCCCGTCTCGGAACCGGTCAACGTCGACAAATCGGCGTCCTTCGCTGAGACACAGTTCTTGAAATGATGGCAGACGTCGGTTATGCCTACATCAGAGTCCTACATCACCAGGAATGAATGTTTACACAAGGCTGAGAGCACCCATGGTATTGTGCTGCTTGTAGTAACGAGGAATAAACTGGAGGCGGGAGATTACACACACCGAGTCAGCGAAAGGAGAATGGACTAAACGAGTAGGACGGATCACAGTGAGACGTTGGAGAAGATCGTGTCCTTGAAAGAGGTCCCCATTATCTAGGGTTGGGTCGTACGTATCGTGCTAGTTCCTCTGGGTGTAAGGTACGTAGGTAGAATCGTCTACAGATTGACATGGATGGCTTACATGTAGCCCGCAGTTCTTGACTTGACTCTTGCCTTACACGTGTTCGTCTGCTGTTTGTGTTCGGATTAAGGCATCCAAGCAAGAAGGGGATTTGCATAAGAATGGTCCATGATTCGGTTAAGTTCATACAACAAACAACCGGCACATATTGGTCCACAAAAACAATGCACCCCACACCGAGCGTTTATGCTCAACGTCCGCCTCTTAAGGCAAACGCCGCAACGGCTACCAGTGATCGACGGTCCACGACGGGCGGCGCCAGGACGGTGATAACCTGGGACTATTTGTCCGTCATGTTGAGGTCCAATATATAGATATCCACCAACTGTCTCCGTCAGGATTGCTCCCAAGATCGGAGCGTTTTGGCCGTGAGTTCCCTCGCGTTCCCACCGCTGGCCTTAGCGTTACAAGCCGTAGCGTCGCACGGCTCTCCTACGATTCATAATTTCAGCAATCATCCCAGGGCCCCTGAAGCGAAACTCGCTCAAGAGAAAAAAAAAATTCACAGGGCCAGGGTTTGTTGGGAAGAACACAAGGGAAGGACAGCCAACCGGCACATCCGCGGTGCAAGTCCATTTGGAATGACAGCTGGAGGTGGGGTTTGAATGTCCGTGCAAAACAGGATCCGTTTCCATCGTGAGATGAGAAGGGCCTCAAAAGACCAGTGAAGCTGTCGGCTGAGCGCATGACAAGGAATCAAGAAAGATGACCAGCGTCGGGCTCTTTTTTGGCCATCCACCCCTTGGCTGCCGCGGCTGCAAGTAGCAGCCATTTTTATCCATTATTGCGCCCCCCATCAGCTGCTTTTCTGTGGCACACGATCTGACCTGGTCCACGGGCCTTCTGCCACCTGCACGGTGGTATTTTTGGCCAAGATCAATAGATCGCCAGTTTGGGATGAGCTTGTAAGGGGATTATTCGACACTCAGTTATGCAGGCATGGGATGCCCATCCCTAGCAAGGCATAGACATGGCGAGCACTGGCGTCGCTTTACGCTGGGATCATGGCTGGCCGCACTATGCACAGCGTAAAGAGCGACTTTATGCTTCTCCTGGGTCGGAGCCCGGGGCAAACCTACCTTGCAATTAGCGTAGGAAGGTCCCTTGAATTATTTTTGATGGCTTGTTCCCCGCCAAATTGAACTGTATGTATGCTGGAAATTGCCCATGCGGGCACCAACGCCAATTGCTGACGGGCAATGGCATGAATCTACCAAGGGTCAGCAAGCTTCCTTCCCCCAAATTTGGTGCCGTGTTTTGGGCTGTTCCAAGGAACCATACGGTCAACCATGTCGAGCCAGAATACCAGAGTTGTGGCCGCATCCTCACAGCAGATTGGCACCATGTCGTTCTCGCGAATCCCCTTTCCTTCTGCCCCTCTCCTCCTGCGCGGGACCATGCTCCGCTGAGCTGCGAAAGACTAGTCCATTTTCACCACTATAATTTGGGGGCTGGTTTGAAATGGCCTCGAATATTGCCTTACAAGGGGGGCGTCGTTGTTGAGAGCTATGACCTTAGAGCCCCTCGTTTTCCATTCCTGAGGAATTTCGCCTTTGTTTCCACCCCCTTTTCCCATTATTTGGGAACTGGGACTGGGACGTGCGTGTGCAGCATCTTGTCTCGTGGAAACAGGCAACATACTCCGAGGTTGCATGGGCTGCGTCGCGTAGATGAGTCTTCCAGAAGCTCTTGGCTGCGATTCTGCGTCCGGGGGGGGAGGCGAACCCATGCCGTCTCAAGTCACTCCCGTGAAATCGAGTCCCGGACTCGGCTCCTTGTGTCCCGTCTGCTCTGACAGGTTATGTCCGTTCTCTCGTTGCTGCGTCACGGCTGTACTTTGATGGGACGAGGGAGCCTGACACTCCGTTCCTTCGAGCAACCGGGTATAAGTTGTCTGCCGTCCATCGTCCTGCCAAACGTGGTTTGGTCCGAGGAAACGATGACATTGGGCAATCTCGGGGTTTGAGTAGGATGCTTTGTAAAACAGCCAAATACGGGCGTGATCTCGTGGGCTGTGGGTAACTCCAAACAGACCACCACATGCATGGGTCGCCGTCTACCTGGTCGTCAAGCTGACTCGATGGAGATCACGATGTCGTGCTGCCGGCCGCTGTGTGTGCATATGTGCACAGCAAAAAACAGAGTTCTGACCTCTGTGTCCTGCAGTAAATTGCATATTCCGCTCGTCTAGACCCTGGAAGCGAGCAATGGCGACGGACATTTTTCCCTCAAGTTTGTGCTTCTGCACCCTTGGACACTAGCTAGCTCGGGCAATGAAGGATGCTGCTGCGACAGGGGGAGCCGCGTGCGCCCATCTTCGAATTGATGATGGGTGGTATTAGTTTACCACGAAGTTGGGCCCGTCGATCCGGAGCCGCCGTGAAGGCCCGGGGTGGGATTTCGTTTCTAAGCCATTCGCGGGGCCTATTGCTACCTTCTCACGGAAACCACAAGCCGTTGTCCGCGAGATCCCCTTTGGTAAGAATGCTCCTTTCTAATTTTCCCTCGCGTTTGTCAGCTGTCAGTAGGTTTTGTCTGCTGGCAGATGAGATGAGCTGATTTCTCTCCTACTCGCCTTTGCCGCGTGGTATATGTCTAGTGAAGGAGAGGATGAGGATGCAAGTCATGCCCAGCGAGCTTTAGCGTCCTTTCCTCGTGGGGTCGTGATTTCTATTCTGGAGTTTACTTAGGGCGGTGAATGAGCCACTTGTGGTTAACGGCACCGAGAGAGCGGTGTATATTTACGGATACAGACTCGCATCCACTATCGTCGACTGGACAACGTAGCATCACACTCTGTCTGCCACGATTTACATAGGCACGCTATTGGTCGGATTTATGTGCTGTTGTCAGACGGCGGTCACCATCGGCCCGGCACGTCAATGTATAGATGAGGCTCAAGTGAGAATCTGTTACACTGCTGCTGTATACCCCAAGATGGACTGGCAAGTTTGAAGGTGGGCAGTTCAGCACTTCCTCACCTTGCCCCATATTGCCAAGGGTGCCTTTTGCAACAGATATCGGCGTCGACGTGAACAGGGTTTAGCTGCGTCGATTTTAAGTTTACTTGAACAGTTGTAGTTTGGCATGGTCTGCAGTGAGATGCAATGACTCTCTGGGTGACTAAGTGTAGCCTCGACAAAGAAAACACAGGGGCAAATAAGGAAACCTGCACTTCTTGATTATGGGGCAGTCAAACACAGCAACAGCACGTCACGCTCATTAGGAGCAAGTGAGTGTCATCAGTCGAGTATTAGTATCTAAAACAAAAAACACTTGCTGCAGTTGAAACGATCTAAGTCACCCCAAATTCAGACAACGTCGAGTAAGGCGATAGAGAGCTCACTGGCTGTTCGATACTTCCCTATTCAACTGCAGCAGGCTGTTCCTACCTTGGGAGGTTTCTAAGTAATACTGTGGTCCTTCTAGAAAAGTCGTAGTTCACACCGAATTGTTGAACCCAAAACAGAAGAGTCAAGAAGGGAGGACCGTACCTTATTTATTCTACATTACTGCCTGAACGGCCTTCCTTCTGCCGTTACCGTTCTTCCCACTCCATACATTCCTGCCTCAACCATTAACCCCCTCTCATCTTTCTTCTAATACTCCATCTCCAACCGTACTTGACTTTCTCATAACCATAATAGTTACTGCGCGGAGGCACGACTTAAGTGTCTCTCTGTACAACTTACCTAGCATCAGACAGTTCTCGTCGGCCTCTTCGAAACGTCTCATCGTTTACACACTCCCATTTTGACCTTTAAAAGGCTCGCGACAATGTCCGCCAACGCCAACCGCCCCAATGGGTAAGCTCTGTCACCCTAAGCCTCCATAATTTTCAGCAACTGACGGGTGGTCTCAAGTCCTCGCAACTTCGGACAGAAAGTCCCCGAACGGTCAGTCATAACACTTAGGAATCGAAAATGTCACGTTTTCTATCTTGGTAGGACTGACATGAACCTTACAGCTTCCGTTGCGACCTGGGTGGAGAGTGGAAACCCTTTTCAAGCTTCTCCAAGCGCCAGCAAAAGATTGTCACTGACAAACTTGAGCGCCGTATCCGGATTGACGCTGCAAACACTGGGATGACCTGTCGTATGCACTCCGGAGAGCCTGTGAAGGAGATTCAATGTGAGGGACCGTGCAATGAGATCCGCGTTCTCGATGACTTTTCAAAGAACAACCGCAGCAACGGCGTCTATGTAAGTCGTCGATAATGCGTCTAAGACCACATTATATTATTAACCCTTTTGTAAGGTGTGCAAGTTCTGTCAGCATTGGACGAATTCCCAGGAACCTGGGTACACTCCTTGGGCAGCGCCCTCGAATATGTTGGACCCATTCGAAGAAATGGATGACTTCGAAGCCCGCATGCCGACTGAGCCCGGTGACATCTTTGACTGGCATAACGGCAATGAGAAGGCAAGAGCCCCCAATCGGCCTCATTTCAATATGCTAACATCTACTGTAAGCCCCTGGCGCCTATTACCGGAACAGATGGCTTAACGGACCCTGTCGGCGGCGAGATGGATGGCCCATCTCTGAGAGCGGGACTTGCATCCACCGACAAAGATGGAGGTAGGAGCCGCGAAATTTTTGCACCAAGTATTGACACAGAGAGTTTAAGCTCTGCTCGTCGTACCGCCGGTTCTACCGTTACCTATACCACGAGCATGAGCCGAGTTGGTGACCTTTCAGCTTCTATGGCAAACCTTTGGTTTAACAATGCAGACATTGCCAAGGATCTTACAGATAGTAAGATTGAATATAACGCTTGGGACTCGGATGGTCGTCAGCATAGGATGGCCAAAAGCCCCACTGTTCAGTCCAGAGGCTCCTCGGTCACGATGGGTTCGGCAGCGGGAGAGTATTCGAATGGCCGCGAGAATAGTGCTTACAACTATCGTCTTCAAGGAAGTAACCGCAGTCGTGGATTTGGTTCTGCTCCAGTAAGAAAACGCCCAATAATTTCACTGCTCATAGCCACATCATTAACTCCCAGTAGGACAGACAGGGCGACAGAAAGCAACTGACCGAGAAGGAACATCGAGAGCGACAGAAAGCCTTACCCAAACGCCCCAACCTACTACCATACCAAGACGAAGATGAGGAAGACGAGGAATCGGAGTAGATTGCCTAGACATCAGGGCGAACGATTGATTCCATTTGCATTTATGGGCGGGGTTGAACGCGAAAAACTGAATGGCGCAATCACCAGAACTTTGCTTCACACATAGCTTGAGAGTCGGATAGCATAATGCACTCTAGTCGCGATAAGTCTTCAACGCCATCGTTGTCAATGGACGTAATCATGTAACCCAACAAATATTCAACCAAAAAGAAGGCGGTATAAGAAACATACAAAGACGCCACTGCCGCCGGATCTCAGTGTTATGAATGTGGCCGAATGCGACCTGTCCCTATATACCCCAAAGGACCATTCCTCGCCGGGGTTTGCTCTTTTCAAGATGCCCTCCCAACCGAACCCAAATATAATGTGTGCTTGTGTGTGTGTGTGTGTGTAAAATCGCTATCCCGCAACATGTGCGGGCGTCGATCATGAGCAAATCAATCCCGAACCAAGTATGTTCTTTTGGTCCACATCGATCAGGCAGTCCCTATCCCAGGGCTGCTTCGACCGTCCTCTACCCAAGTCCTTCATCTCTCCCTATGCACACTATCCCTTCTTGTGAGTGCACCGGCACACTACAGTCTCGCGAACACGCATATATGAGAATGTAAGCGACCGGCAGTAGCCAAGCAAGAAACGACCATCAGTGAAGTTGTCCAAACAACTTCTACAGATCGCTATCGCGCTTGTAATACCCCGGATCGACGTCGTTGCCCCGGCTCATCATCTCCTGGGCATCTCCAACCTGCCGACGCTCCGTGATCTCGCGATCCTTAAGCCTCTTGTTCAAACTATACCTCAGCCCCAGCGTCAATCCTCGAGCTTTCTTGTCCCTCATGACTGCTGGTCCCTATTGCAATGGTTCTGATGAGCTGGATAGACGGTTTAGATGGAGGTACACGTCCGTGCCGTATCTAAAGAACATTACAATCAGTCTCGTTTCTCATTACATATGCCCTGAGACAAGGTATAACTCACCCCTCCATACTGATAAGCTTCAAATCACCGCCGAAATAGCGTGCGTACAGACGTGAGATGGGCAGTCCATATCCAAAGCCGGCCATTGGCGCCTTGAAGTCGCTCTTATCGAAGTCCGGGTCGAGGTTCGGTGTCCTGTCCACAGTTGTATACATGTAAGTCCAGACAAGGGGGATAGCGCTTCGTGGGATGCCGCCGCCCTCATCCGAGATCTTGATGGTAATGTCCTCCTTTCCTTCCGCGACGATAACCTTTGTCACGGGGAATTCTTGCTTGTCCTGACCGTGGGTTTCAACGACGGCGCGCAGCGAGTTCTTGAGGGTCTCAAAGAGCATATGTGACAGATGCCCCGGGACGTACATGAAGTTAATGTTTGGATTGCACACAAGCTGAATCTTCGGGGCTTCGAAAAGTCCGTAGTGATCCTCACAGACGAAGCGTGCGTTCTCAATGGCCTCCTGTGCGAGGTCTTGAACGTTGGTCTTGGTGCAGATGATACCGACGTAGGTAGGGTCGCGGTGATGGCTTTGGTCGGTCAAAGCAATGTGCTGGCCGATAAGCATACGAATGCCTATACGCGACATGTAGAAGCGGTCGAGGAATGACTGGATGTTGTTGTCAATCTGCATGCGCTGTCTCTTGCGCTTGTACTCTAAGATGCCTTGGGCCATCGTTGTGACGACGCCATCGTGTCTTCTCTTGATGCCATGCAGAGCCTTTGCGAATCTCTCGTTGTATAATCGTAACTCGGCTGGCCAATCTCCCGTGTCGTCTACCATGGCGAAGTATCTCCTCGCGGCAACGGCCTTGAAGCCATTTCCGTTTCCGTTGGATTGCGGGAGGGATGCGTATTGCCCATCTTCGATACTGGGGTTTCTTGTCGCCTCGGACAACATGGAGCCTTTGCCGTACGACTTGGTTGGTTTCAGGAGTCTTTCCTTTGTGCTTCTATCTAGGTCGGGTCGTGGGAGTTGTGTAAGTTCCTAATACGAACGACCGAACGTCAGTGAGTCATGTCGCTTCATGCGTCATGCAGGTAGGAGAGCTTCGACGTACCTCGAACGACTGTGCGTACCAATCTTGCACCCGCCTTACGGAGGGCATGTCGTTAAGGCCATCTGGTAGCTCATCGAGTTCTTGGACGCGGTGGGCAAGGCGAATTGGCAGCTCCTCGGCGAGGAACTGCGAGGCACGGAAGAGGGTTCCTGGAAAGCAAGCAATGACCAGTCAGCGAAATTGTCAAATGGCTGATGACGAGGCTCAAAGAATTGGCGCATTGAGACTCTGAGTACAAGGGCACATGCAGAAGCACCGCAAGGCAGGACGAGACGCTGCTCGGGTGACCGGGTGTGGAAGGGATAGACGAACCGACAGAAGGCTTCTCTCCAAATTGGACCATCTGCCTCAAGCTCACGCCAGTAGCCGGGAAACTGGCGTAATGCCTGATGGTGTCCATCAACTTGTCTGTCTTCTTCCACGACATGTTGGGCGAAGAAAAGTTCCGGCGGGCTACTGTTTTGGACGTATTCGAGGACCCCGCGGGAGCGAGTTGCTACGGCCTTTACCGAGGCTTTGGTATGACGCAGGGCAACATGGAACCTGACGAGCACGGGAGAAGAAATCTGTCGAGGGATTGCGGGAGGAGGTCGAGAAGGACGACAGGTCTAATGTTGCATGGTCAATCTGTATAGGTACGGAGGTCGCGTGCAAGCAGTGTGCGAGAGAGGTGTTTCGTGTAGGTTATTTCTGGTAATGGAGACAAAGTAGAACCTGAGCAGATGAGAGCTTGGATTGCCGGGAGCAGACAGAACAAGGCCGTGGCCGGGCCAGGAACTCTCTCCACTGTGGCCCGGTAAAGGTACGCTGGTACTTTCCCGACTCGGCGTCATGGCCCATGCGGAGGTCAGTCGATGATAGCGCGATACATGCTTCCTTAGCCGACCGGAGAGGTGCGCTTCGAAACAAATGTGCGGCGGTGGCCGCTCGCAACAGTTTAGCCCGAGGGTTACGATGACTTGTCTCTTCAATTGATGTTACTGGTTTTCATTTTTCCCACTCTATTTTAAGGCGAATTTTCTTAATGAAAAGAAAAGAAAAGTACATGATCCATTGCATATCTAAGTCCAGCCTTTCAAGTGGCTGTGTTCTTTTTGTGGTAGTACCAGAGCTGCTTAAGAGTGCCTTTCTCTAGGCTGTGGGCGAGCTTACCTGTTGGTGAGCTGAGGTGCTACTAGAATCACTTGCTGAGCAGAACAACACATGTGACCGGTAGAAGGGAACGTCGCCGGCAATGTACCGCACTATCAATTTTCTCAGCACGCGACCCCATGGGTTTGAACCGATGGCCGCGGCGGCGGGGGACCTCCTCCAACAGCTGCCACCCGTATGCTTCCTGGTAGCCGAAAAAGATGCGGTGCCATCTTCCCCCACATCACAAACTGCAACTACGATGCAGCAGCCGCTCAGACCGCCCCCGCCCAGTTGGACGTCCAACGTCGTAGAATCCCGGTCCTTTCCTTTCCCTTTTCTCTGCCTTCCTCGATGTCCCCTTCTCCTTATGTGCGCTCCGCAGCGTCTCCCCTGCGGTCACATGCAAGGCGCCACAATTCTTCAAGCCCCTTTCGCTTCCGTCTCCAGCCTCCAGCCTCCGACACGCCTCAGACCGCGTCGAACGCGCCAAAGACAAAGAGCCAGACTCGACGCATTGGTTGGCTTCTTGACCGACACACCTCATCACACCTTAACGCAGTCACTTGCAGCTACCGCCCAAATTTCATTCCAAGCGCGCGCACACAATTCGGCCTCTCGGGGTCTTTCGGAAATACTACGTCAGACTAGTTTCTTACTACGTTCCCATTTTGTGTGCATGCACATTCGACTCGGGAGTCGCATCGACTCGACCTAACCGGCTCTGACCCTGAAGTCACGTCTTCTTCTCCCTTTGATCGACCTCCCTAAGAGGGCACGGGAGGAGGCTAAAGACCCGGTTTTTTTGGTTGGCCCGTCGCCGCCCCAAGCACACAAACTACTTTCAATGCACAGCTATGCCGGACGTCAGGTCGGATTCGGGGCTGGGCCTACGTTTTCTCGACTTGAACGACAATGAGGACGACAACAGCCCTTGCAAAGGCCTGAGGCGTCTTCGAAGCCACGGCCATGCTACCAATCTACCACCACCCTCTACGCCTCAGGTCGGCACGCCTCAGGCTTCCTCTCCCTATGTCTCATCACCGTCTCTCCCCTCGCCGGTGAGCTTCCGTGGATTCTCACCTTTGTCACCGCCTCGCAAACAATTTTCCACTCCCGCCCAACATTTTTCCACGCCTGTGGCTAAGAGCCCCTTGGCGCGCTCGTGGACTGAGGATGATCTCACGGCATCGGTCCATTCAGATGAGAATGCGACTCAGACCACCCGAGACACACTTGCTCTAGTTCAGCGGCTCAACGAATTGGCGGAAAAGCTTTTGTCAGGCGAAGACGTCCCCGACACCAACGTTAGCGTCATGCACGTGAAGCTTGACGAAATAGAGTCCGTCATGACCGGAGAGGTTCATATGTCTCAAGAAACTCCCCAGGGCAAGCCTAAGACGTGGCCAACGGAAGTACAGGCCGAACAAGACCATGAATCTTTATGGACCTCACCGTCGCCTTCTTGGTTCCGCTCTGGGTTGTCGGATATATCACCCTCATGGCGGAGCTCATTCAGAAGAGATACGCCTACTCCCGAACCTACTGTCGAAAAGAAACCAGCCGTCGACACTTTCCGCATCGCATCTGAGGCGGCAAAGCTGAATACCGAATTGGAAACCCTGGTAACGAATCTTAAGGCTCGACAAGAGGAGTCAGAGGTGAGATATGTGAGTGTCTTACTTGCAAGACCACAACTGATAATTTCCCAGCATATCCATCAACTTCTTGTCACACGCGCCGAACGTGCAGCGCAACGAATTATCTTCCTCCAGTCCAGAGTCCAGAATTTGTATGTACCGTGAGACGCTTCGTGCGGCAGCCCAGCGCGCCGTTACTGACATACCGCAGGGAAGAGGAGCTTCAAGAGAACGACTCCGAGCTTACCTACCTCCGGCTAGGCCTCAAGGCCATAGAAGTGCAGTGCCCTGGCGATGTTGACCCAGACCTCGCTGAGAGCATTCAGAACTGGAAAGCTGACTGGACTGCTCTCAAACGTAAACGCGCCAAGCACAAAAGTTTCGACCGCTCTGCTTACAGCACCCCCGTGGGCACGCCAATACGACCGGCGCGATGACCCTCCCACACTTGTTTTTACCCCTCTGCTTTCAAGCGTGATGACTTAAAAAGACATGAACGAGTGATGAAGCCATTAAAAGCATCGAGTACGGTTATGGACTGAGCATAGCATGGTGTTTCGGGAACAATGGATACCCTGTCTAGCAAGCAAAAAATCTCGCATTTCTTTTACGGTCTTTTACGACAGCATTATGGATACCAAAGTCATGAAATTAGTTTATTGTTCAATGACTGTGGCTCTCCAGGTTAATCTAAACTCCAACTAGGCCTTGTTGTATGATTTAAACAAGTAAAAAAGAACTGATTTTCCCCCCAGAATATACACACCTCTATTGGCAGGCTTACAATCACGGCACGCTTTCGGTGTCGAACCCAACCCCACTCGCAAAATGACAGACAAAATTATCATTCACCTGCACTCTGCCATAATTGGTAGCGCAGCCCGCCCTCTGCCCATGTATGTGGGGTGAGTAAAATCGAAACGTCCATAGTTGGCATCAACTGGAGTGGCTTGCTAGGCTGTCACAGAGGCGGGGGACTTCTTGGTTGAAGAACTGGAAATATGAGAGGTTTCCTTTTTATGAAACTGCCGCATGCATTCCGGAAAGCTGACCGTGAATCTAATGTAAGTTCTTGTGGAATTTCATGGAAATATTTCGAGGGAATCCAGAGATCTTATGAACTCCCAACTTCATCTCATAAATCTTGAAAAGGATATGCAAGCCACCCATCCTCAAGCCCTTGCAGTCTCATGATCAATAGTGATTTGAGCACAAATATAGCTTCTGAAGTCTGGCTGTCGGGCAGGTGCAGGTGCCTGAAATTGACAACGAGAGGGATTTCCCAATCGCAAAGTGGCGTTCAGGTTATTTTTATTCCGAGCTCCTTCCGCCTGACACGGCACAGGAGACCCAAATATGAAGCCACATATAAGCTCTAGCGCCTCCAAAGGAGCGCTAAATGTATTGTCTTCGTCGTATCTCTGAGGCCACTCTCGCTTATGACCACTGAGTTAACCTCCTCAACAGCGAGATAGTGGTTGCAAATGCCTCAACAGCTTCGTAAAAGTCCTTCCGTGTTACCTTCCCGCCACTGAACTGTGGTGCCATGATTTCTATAACCAGGAACTCATTGTCAAACTCAAGTTGGTTGAATTTTGAGTATGGGTACCTTGCCTCCACAATAGGCTTCTTTTCATCTGACGTCAGGCTACTCCCTGCAGTTGTTGTGTTCGAAAAGACCATAAAACTGCAGTCTCTCGTTTTGTAACTACTGAAAAGTTTGGGGAAGATGCAATTCTGAGCGTGCGGAGGAATATGTGAAGTATTCCCAGCCATTGATGATCCCAAGAAGCAAATACACGACGGTGCTGAGAGTTTAGGGTGGCCTAATGATCGAGCTCAAAGCTAGATAGGCACCAATATTGATACAGGATATAGCTGCAACGAATAACAACGAGGCATGATATGACGTAAGCTATGCATTTCTGTTGAATGAACGTCTACATGATGTAGTTAATCATCATCGCAGGAACTTGCATATGCAGGAGCGGAGTTTGATGAACAAGGCAAGTTTTCTGTCCTGTGATATCGCTCCGTCGGCCATACAGGTAGCTACTTGGTAAGTGATGCAGATTTCAAGCTTACAGAAGTAGATCTCGTCGCTCGCATCCAATTATTGTGAAGTTTGAGCTGATTGTTCTAGGAATAACCTTGTGCAACGGATCTTGGGTCACCAATTAGGGAGAGACAGTCTGCACTGTTGGTGGAATATCTCCGGTTGGCTGATAGGCGTACATAATGGGTCACGTCTCAATCAAGCCAAATCTCAGCACCGTCAAAAATCCAATATTTTCGCTAAGTTGTAGTATGAGCTGGTCAACGGTGAATGATAAGGAACACGATAACAACTGGTTGCGCATTCAGTCCTCCCTTCACCAAGTAGTCATCACCATGAGTGTCTGGCGATTCACATTGCCGGTGCAAGGACCACAAATATACAAGGGCTGGCGATGAGATCAAGATGAGATATTTTCATTACAACATACATATTCCGATTTGCTTGTGAAACAACAGGTTGATGAGCGAAGAAGGCGAAGTTTTCAGTGCTGGACTTTTGCATTCTCAATCTCCGGGCTCATGCCAGGTTGATAATAGGATCACCTCCGCCTGGATCTCGAAGATAGCGGCGGACATAGCTCAGTTGGGAGAGCGTCAGACTGAAGTGGGTTCTCTACCCTGGAAACTTCATTCAATCAATCTGAAGGTCGTGTGTTCAATCCACACTGGCCGCAACTTCACATTTTTGCCTTCTCCAAAACAGAAGGAAAGATGAACGAACGCACATTTCATTTTTGTTTCTTTTTATTTTTTTGTTGTCTGTCAGTCAGTCAGTCAGTCAGTCGTTCGTTGTCAGCCGATCTAACCCCGTTTATCTAACAATCGATCCTTTTTTTCTTTTTTTTGCTTTTTTTCTTTTTCTTATTTAGCCTCGCCTGATGGTAGATGACGGACAGCTTCAGCTCGCTTCGATGTCTGGAAGATGCAACTGAACGCAACCCAAACAAGACAGTTAGTCACAATTTGATTGAGTTTAATTTATTATTATTATCGTTAAAATATGGGTTGAAATGGCATCGTGGCCGTCTGTAACTTATGTGACGGGCAGCTCGGATGATATCTCTCTCTCTCTCTCTCTCCCACTTCAATATCATACCTGAACTTCTCGTTAGATATTACCAAACTCTTTTACTTGGGCTCTCTTTCATCCCTAAGAAAGTCCTCATACAAACACTGATTTGATTAGTTCTTTAGTTGCAGCAAACACTTGCTACGAACAATCTGCACATCGGCCAAGTCCATCAAAGGAGACAACTGTTTATGTTTTTGAGGACATCTGTCAAAGTCTTCGTCAAAAGCGGCCAGTTAGCTTGAATTTGCAGATAAATCAATATTTTTGGAGTCTAATAAGATGGCAGAGCGTTCACCCCGCAATCAACCAACCTCATAAAAAGGGATCAACCTATTGATAGTCCTCTGAGCTCATCACTCAACGACAACGACATTACCGGTTTATGAGCGAAGACGGTAACTTTCACAGTGGCAACAGTGAATATGTCTCCTCAACCAGCAAACTGCCTATTACCGGATGGCCATTGTTTCAACTTGCTTCTGCCCTCACAAGCTGCCCTTCTTTCAATTTCTCGCTGAAACAACAGACATGCACCTGTTTACCACTTGCCTTCCTTACTTCGGCTAAGGTAGTTACTCGCAAAATGCATTGACCGCCAAGAAAACGCTCTTGTCGTCGAAACCCGACGAGCTACGGGGGCAAATGCAGATGGCTGCTCGACTGTTGGCTTTTATAGACCTACTTTGCACGCGTGCCCGACGTCTCACAGATTGACAACATCCATCCTATTCGTATGTGATGTTTCTCCCTACATGCCGACAACTTGCTCCCTGCCAGTCTCCCCTTCGTAACACCACTTACCTCTCACACTTCCGAACTTTCCCGGTTTTCAATTTCCACCTCACTGCGTTGCAGACCAAAGAGACTATCCGCGGTAAGTAGGCCAACAAATGTATACGTCTCCCACGCGGTCGAAGAGAAACGCTTTGGTTGAGGGTTGTTAGGGCCAATTGCCTGTTGAGATTCACCACATATTTCCCTCACATTTCGCTTCTCGTAACATTCCCCGTGAAAGACACGCCTGCTGGCTCTAAACTTATTGACCGTAGTTATCTGCCTTTGTAAATGCTTGTTGGATCGGCTCTCAGCTTCCCAATTGGGTTTAATCAGCGGCACAAGCTCATAATCCAGGGCCTCTGGGGTGAGCTCTGTAAAGACTTCGAATATTGGTCTGAAGGAGCCATCCTTGTTGCTTCCCATAAAATGCTTAGATGTCTCCGTACCTACCTGGTGGCTCACGGGGTCTAAGTTGAGACAAAAGGCAACCAAATCGACAAGAACATCGCAGGCGCCACCAACCGTAAGGCTTTCCACCTCTGGTTCGAAGCTGAGATCAAAAAAACTGCTTCTAGGAACTGGACGTTTAGGCAGTTCGCGGAGGACTCCAACCTCAGTAATGACATAACCAACTCAATGTTCACTGCGCTGCCAAAAGTACGGATCAGCAACAGTGACAGCGGCAGCATAGTCATTCCTATATCACTGAAGAACGACATCTTCGATATACCCCTCACTCCGCGTCTTCGCCTAGGTAGCTCGTCAACCCTTAGACACTACAGCCGGACGATATGAAGTAGGGTGGTGGATTATGTGACGTTCTGGAATCTAAGTGGTGTATATTCCGAGATAGCCGCTACAAAGCTGGGATCTCTCAGGACTAATTCGCTGGCGCCTTCTCTTCAGTGTTGAAAGATCAGGGCCTGGCGTTCTATTACGAACACTTGATCGAAGTCAATTAACCACTGGATTTACACGCCATGGTTAGCCGCGTTGAAACCTGCGTTGAGAAAGAAGGACACCGTCTGGCGTATTATCTGAGGCTGACAATATACTAGCCAGCAGCTCATTCATCTCGCACATGACGGGGCACCGAGATATTTGAATCCTCTCACTACCATCAATGATCGACTGAACTTCAAAGATAATCAAGTACAACCGAAAGCAATAGCAAAGGCTCTTCTGGGGTTCTGAGATAATTTTCGGCCTAGTTTCAGAGCGTGACGCTCCAGGACTAGGGTGTGTAAAGTGGTTTCTATGGATAGCAGTAAATGGTCATTGGTTCCCAGACAATATTTTCCCAAACCTGGGTTAACGTGTGGCCAACTGGTTCCACCGTACAAGACGTTGGTCTCGTTGGGATAGCCCCTCGCCGGTTCGATAGTGATGTGCACTCCACGGATATAGCTTCGAAATAGTGATCAATGACGAAATAATGCTAGTAATACAGGTATCGAGGCATAATGATAAGCGTGTAAGCCTACATTCTCCTGGCGGATTGTCGTGTAATATGACCCCGAAAATGGAGGTGCGCATTGGGTGGCTCCACCACAACTGCAACCCCTTGAACAGATGCTATGACATGACGTAAAGCGGTCGAACTATTCTCAGAACCAACAGCGCAGCTGGTGATTGTCTGCTGCCTAGGGTACAGCAGCCCCAACACGACTTCCGGATATCTTTGACAAAGTGTGGGAATATGCCACAGCCTTTAATATGGTCGAGGGTGAACGTGAACCAGCACCATTGAATGGGGCCACCAACCTTATTCAATGGACACCTTCAACCCTCTAGTCTTATGTCCGGCCATGTGTAAGTCTCTCTTCTAGATGGAAAATCAAGACAGCTGCTACGACTCGAAAAGCCGACCAGCTAATGAGACACGAGATTTATTTCCATATACAGCAATTTCGAATCGGCCACTAATACTTGTTTCACGTCCTCCCTAAAGAGGGTGACACCCGAGGGATGATGTCAATAGGTCCAACTGCGGCCAAGAAATGCGGCACATTTAGAGCCGTAACAGGGCCATTTAGTGCCCTTCTGGGCACTGCGGCCAGGCGTCCTAGCAAAGTCTTAACTTCTCTCGGCGATGCCCTTGGCAGCCCTGTAGAACTTCCCCAACTTGGCAATCAGATAATGATCCAATGAAGCCATTTGATGGCTGGCTTTGAGGTTGCTCTGACCACGACCTCCACACCAGGGTCACCCAGGTCTTCTTTACATGATGGAAAAGGGAACAAGGAACCACCATCTCTGTCTAGCATTCACTGCAACGGACCCATTTTACTAATGCAAATTCAACGTCATCTCCACTCGTCACTCGCTTTCCCTCCCACCACAGACCTGCCTTAGACCGACATAGAAGACCAACCGCCTCTTTACTTCGACCTATCCAACGTCGATCCTTTCGATTTTCTCAATTCCACTCGCATACAAGGGTCTTTGACCGACGAATAGCCAACCTTCACCCTCCTTCTCAACCCCATCCCCGGTTTTTTCTCCTCTAAGATCTCTTACACAGCGTCGAAAACACAGTTCCAACGGCCCTAGACTAACTCACCTTACTCACCCTCCTGGAGAAGAGGAAAATTCTCTCGACGCCCGAAATCGAATCCTCTTGCCTTAAGAAGACATGACGTCACCCAAGATCCTTCTTATGCAGCCCGACAGCTTGCGGAGAGCCTGATTGTCAATGGAGACCAGTTTTGTCGATTGTGTTTGGTCTCTTCATTCACATTTCCGGCGGATTCCATTGCGTCTCCGGGATCGACCATCCCCAAAGTCCCCATACCATCCACATGAACCACAATTTTAGCTTTGCAACGTTGTGGTGTCAAGCGTACTCAAGCGCAGACGGAGAAGTCTCTGTTTGAAGTCGCCAGCATGGCTGTCCTCGACAAACGCCCTTCTTGGCGGCTTGCAGAGTAGATAAGAGACCACACTGCCCCCCAAAACGAAAAGGCTCGTTTGGTTATCTTGGGAAACCCAATCTTTCCACCTGTCTCTCTTCCCCATTCTCAATTATTTCATTCTGCCCAATTTTGGCATCATCAATTTACCTGCTTGACACTTTGGTGGCTACATCTTGCTCCCCTTCTAGCGTTCCTGCACACATACATCACCCTGCGTTAGAGGCGGTCAACCTTTGTCGCTATCGCCGCCAATATGGCTTCGGAGTTGAAGCGAGAGAAGATAGGCGATCGCTTGCCTTCGGACCGGGCTGAGACTGAAATCGCTCACATGGACCACCCTGGCCGTGCCTCTGAAGCTACGGCAGTTGACCAGGACGAAAAAAGACGATTCGAGGCTTCTCACAAGTTGGAAAACCCCTTGTCTGGTTTCTCTGCTGAACAACTAGGTTGCATGGGAGAGGAATATTGCCAAAAACATGGCATCACCAACGAGGAAGACATTCGAGCTTTCCGTCTTGGTGCTATCATTGCTGGGAACATGAACAAGTATGACACGATGACAGAGTTGACTGCCCAAGAGCGGGCGATTCTCGATGGAGAGACTACGCATAAGTGGCGGAACCCAAAAATGCTCTACGCAGTTGTTGCGAGTGAGTGCCCTATTACATTTCCCACGTCTTCCATTATTTCTACTGTGCTGCCCCAGGACAGAGACACCTCTTCTATTCAAACATCGTTGCGCGGGCGTCTTATTAACCATGTTTAGTCTGTTCTTTCTGTGCTGTTGTGCAGGGAATGGACGAGACTGTTGTCAACGGCGCCCAGTCTTTCTACAAGAAGCAGTTCGGCATTGGTGGCGACACAGAACGCGATACCTGGCTGCTCGGCCTCACCAACAGTGCTCCGTATCTATGCTGTGCTGTTATCGGCTGCTGGTTAACAGAACCCATGAACAAAGTCTTCGGGCGTCGTGGCACTGTTTTTATCTCCTGTGCTATTTCGGCCTTGGCATGCTTTTGGCAGGCGTTCACCAATACATGGTGGCACATGTTCATCGCACGTTTTGCTCTTGGCTTCGGTATCGGACCCAAGTCAGCTACAACCCCCATCTTCGCCGCCGAATGCTCGCCACCTCGCCTTCGCGGGGCCCTCGTCATGCAATGGCAGATGTGGACAGCCTTCGGGATAGCCCTGGGCTATATTGCGGACTTGGCATTTTATTATGTTCCTGATCACGGGATTCCTGGCTTGAATTGGAGGCTAATGATGGGAAGCGCTATGCTCCCGGCGGTGTTTGTCTGCGCATGCTGCTATATGTGCCCCGAGTCCCCACGGTGGTATTTGACTAAGGGCCGCCATGCCAAGGCCTACGAATCGATGTGCCAGTTGCGCTTCGAAAAAATTCAAGCAGCTCGAGACCTCTTTTACGCCAATGCACTGCTTGAAGCTGAGCGACAGACCGCAGGCATCAGCAAGTCTAACCGCCTAAAGGAGCTTCTCACCATACGCCGCAATAGAAACGCCATGATAGCATCTCAAATCGTCATGTTTCTCCAACAATTCTGCGGCGTAAATATTATCGGTAAGTTGCTAATAATCACAGATTTAAGGCCCGTGGAAGCCTACAGAATCTTCACGATTGCCCAAATGTTCGTTTTACACAATATACTGACGTTCTCCAGCCTATTATAGTTCCGAGATTTTCCTATCTGCTAAATTCTCCGAAGTCAGCGCTCTTTCGGCATCCCTCGGGTTCGGTATCATCAACTTCCTCTTCGCTATCCCCGCATTCTATACAATCGACACCTTCGGCAGGCGGAACCTTCTACTGACGACCTTTCCTTTGATGTCCATCTTCCTCTTCTTCACCGGATTTTCCTTCTTCATCCCAACCAACCCGGCACGAGTAGCTTGCATCGCTACAGGAATCTACCTCTTCGGCATGGTCTACTCCCCAGGAGAGGGACCTGTGCCTTTCACGTATTCGGCTGAAGCGTACCCCTTGTACATCCGCCCCATTGGCATGTCCCTCGCAACAGCTACGACATGGTTTTTCAATTTTGTCTTGGCCGTTACATGGCCCTCGCTCCAACGTGCGTTCACACCTCAGGGCGCGTTCAGTTGGTATGCTGGTTGGAACATTGTCGGGTTCTTCCTAGTACTCTTTTTCCTCCCCGAAACCAAGGAAAAGACACTTGAGGAACTCGACGCCGTCTTCAGCGTTCCGCTACGGACATTTGCACGATATGGCCTTGCTCAGTTCTTCTACTTTTGGAAGCGCTATGTGTTCAGGCAGGACGTGGCGCCGCCTGTTGTGCCGCATGCTAACGGGGTTCAATATCATCAAAACCAGTTCTCTCAGGAGAAAGAACACAGCCCAACTTCTCGTGTTTAATGTGTGTATGGGATCTGGCGAATATTTAGTTCTCTGGGAGTCTCTTATAATGGACAGTTGAGGGATGTTTGGCGAACTACTATGTACTAATACAACGATACCACTGTCCTTTAGGTTTCGTAATTCCTGGAATTGGAGCTGCAACGAAAGCACTAAACAATAAAACTGAGTTGGAACTATTGAAGTTAGCGGAGCTTGACTGAGTCTATGTGTGGGTAGCAGCCATGTATGTAAGACGCCGCTGTTAGCAACAGTAAGATGCTGCAGTGGGCGAATCAAGAACTTAGCCTGAAAAGGAAAATACGTCTCAAAAAAGTGTAATCCAGCTTGGAAAGCTCAGCCGATTTGCTACTTTACTGGCAGCTCTAGTCCATTTGCCGTAGAATAGACATCAGATACAGCTCACTTTTGAATATAGTCAAGTTCACGAGCCTGGACAGATGCAGAGTGTACGTCAACAAGATCTCAATTATATATTGAAATCCAAAAGATATAACTAGCGCCCCATCTACGAAACTGATCTAAGCATTTTTCATTAGCTTTTGAACTGTATAGCTTCCAATTATGTCCCCTTCTTCTTCCGTCTGGGCATGTTCCATAGAAGTATGTTGGTTTCATGTAGAGGCCAACAAACATTATTGGCAAACTGTCATTGAATGGTTTGATGGAGCGACTTAGGTTTGTCGTGGTGGCAACTGTTACATTAAAGCTGAAGCTTACTTGAGTATGAGCTACATTCATAATTATCACAGCTGAGGAAACTTTGTGTGCTCCGTTTTCCCATTATTGTAACAACTTAGAATCAACTCCAGTAGTACTTTTAGCTTTTGTAAAGACTTGAACCTCTGACCCCAAGAGAGCCCAAAATGTCAGCCGACCAAGACAAATGGATTAATGCTGGTCTTCAACATCATGCTTCGTCATAAGCCTCACAGAGCTAGAACAAAAAATTCACTTTAAACAGCGCATATGACTTCCATCAACGGAACAACCGTTGTAGCCCAGCATCAGCCGAACCTCTCGTACCACTTTCAGTCCTACTATATACCTCCTCCCAAGTTGGGCCCCTGTCTCCCCCAAGGCATCGCCTCCCGAAACCAGGAGATCTAGGCGACTCATCTCTTGGCCTCCGCCCTCCAGCTTGTCTGGAATACATGCCATAGTTCCCTTCGTTCTCTCTGGTATTCGAAGAAAGTGCTGCAGAGTGCGCAGATGAGGTTGATGAGACAGCATGATGCGGGATCACGGGAAGCGAAGAACTATATCGATTCATGGGCGGAGGACTTCGTTGGCGCTGGGGAAGGGAGTATCGACCAATTGGCGGTGGCGGTAAGTCACGGTGCCTACTGCCTGAAGAACCTGCGTCCGAGTTTGAGCGGGGCAGACGTGCTGGAAGGGAATCGGTGCCAGCTGTTCTGCGGTCGTAGGTCCTAGAGGAGTAAGGGGGTGCCCTAGGACGTTTCCAGTCGTCTGTAGGCTGGCGAAGGTGGACACCAGTAAGGCTCTCTGAGCGTGGTCTGGTGGCGTGAGGGATGGACGGAAGAGGTGGAGTGGCATCCTCCAAGCAATCCCATATGGCTTCATCGAGGATTTTGCGGACCTTCTTGTCATGTTGTTCTGGGAAAAGGTGGCGGGATAGCTGCCTGGGTAATCTTTCTGTTTTGCTATCCTTACCATTTACAATAGGACTGTCTGCATTCAGGGGTAAAGAAGACGTTATGGCATGCAGGCGTCTAGACTCTGGATCGGGGTAGGCGAGTATGTTGCTGACCATCCACTTTGCGAAACCATCAGGCGTAAGGCTGGGAACATTAGGACGTAATCGGGGGTTACTTTGAGTGAGGTAATATTGGCAGTCCAGATCCTGATAAAGAAATTCGATTCTTTCGAGCGCGTCTGTTGAACACGACCGAAAGATGTCTACAAGGTGTTAGTGGGCAACCTAGATGATGGGAATATCCACACTGACCTTCATATTGAAATCGTTCGGGCTCAACCTTGTATTTTGTATAAAAAGCAAGCATCTTCTCCGGTGTAATGACCAAAGATTTCCCTGGCTCGAACTCTAAGATCTGGGCCAAGTCAGCCAGTGAGAATTTTAATCTGAAAGCGCGGTGCTATCATACCATGTATTTCGCCAACCCTCTGAGAACGGAACTAAGGCGTTGAGTAGGAAATCCATCAGAGTCAAATAAAACACCCCATGCCTTGTCCACACTGCTCAGCTCTACTTGGGGTGAAATAGCGGCAGTAGGAGAAACAGCCTCCGGCTCGACACGAGGCTGGCAGTGGATCACGGGGGGTCCTCTGTTCCTGAAGCGAACGGCTTTCTGTTGAGAGCTGATGGGTGCTGTATCCTGAGACTGAGATAAAGACGGCATGACCGACGCTTGGGGAGGTGCTAGGGGCGAAGTTTGTGCTACACTTGTGTGAGCGACTTCAGGACTCTGTTCGACGGGGGAAGAGGCTTTGGATTGGCTAAACGGCTCAACATCTGACTGAGGTGGGGTGGGGTATGAGGGAGTGAAGACTGAGTTTTGGCTGGAGCAGGGCGAGAAGCGAAATGTGTCAATAGGGGTGACAGCCTCGCTGTTCCGCAGCTGGGCAACTTGAGCAACTTCACATAGTTAGTAAGATGAATTTCTGCCAAACTGAAACAAACCGAGACTGACCTTCTTCCTTAATAATCTTTCTCAGCTCCTCCAACATGTCGGAAGACATACTTCCCATACTATCACGAGTCGGGGTGGCAAGGGGAGGAATGCTAATGTTGATAGAGGTCGATTGCTCATCTGTGATGTCCCAGAGTTTCTGGCTTTCCTTTTGTTCTTCCCAATTAGATTCTGCAGTGTCATGCTTGGGTGACCGCGGTGAAAACTCTTCAGACCCCGGACGCTCTGGGTTGTCCTGGGGGAAACCCCATTTAGTTATGTTTAATCGTGGCCGTGCGGCCTCATTAACAGAAGTGGTGGTCATGATCGACTTGCAGCAGCTAATACGTTGTATGCAGATGTATGCGAACTCCCGTAGGCCTCATTAGATCATTGTGCAAGACAAACAAGAAAGCGATGGTTGGTTTGCTGCAACTGCACATAAACAATGTATTCCATCAAGATAGACATAAACGAAAAGACAACAGGAAAATGATTGGGAAGTCGCGATGGGCTGTTGTCATAGACCCATGTTCCTCCCTCGGTCAAGAATGCAGCACCGAAGGCGACTTCCTAAAACAGTGATTGCACTTATCCCCGCGTGTCAGGTGGGTTGACAAAGATGCACGATATGTCCATAAGTAGGCTATGGTCACGCTTGGAACACACGACGAGATTGAAATGGTGCTGCGGAAAACTGCATTTTCAATACATGTGGGAGTACGTGTGGAGTTCACCCCTCACAGATATCGGCATCCAAGAAGCAGTTTGCATCTTGGAAGTCTTGTGGTTCGTCTAGATAAGTCGGGCGAAAGTGGTGTAGACGCCACACTGGCTGCCTTTTTCATGTTGTAGTACTTCGCCGACAAAGCCGATCCCTGTCTGATTGGCCCGCAAAGTACACCTTCCAAGCCGTTTACGCGGCATACCAGGTATTTTGACGCGCCATCCAGGCCGCGGTGAATGCAGAATTACTTGGCTCAACTTCCGGGAACATATCTCTCCCGACAACAGAGCGACATCGGGATGGCGGCTTCGATTTTGAGGCCAGAGATGCGGGGCATAAGTGGCTGGGCGATTCCATCTGAAGAGAAGGGTTTTGCCTTCCTGCCGCTCCCGACCATATCAGCCAAGAACGCCTTGAGTTGCGTCGGACACTAAAGTCAGGAGATATGTGTGTTTGCTAGTCGGTAGTGTTGGCCGGCAGTCGGGGCGCAAAATGTTTGACGGTGTTGAAGCTGGTGAAGTGCCACCGTGACAGTTAGCCCGCCTTAGGCTGGAAATGCAGCTTGAGAGAACCTTTTCAGCTCAAGCGATACGATGCAATGTGCAGTGGGACAAAGATGATATCATGTACAGTTTCCGGGATTGGACCGTGGTTTCCGGGTGTTCCGGGAACTGTCCGCGGTAAGGCGTCTACCGAAATGGTTCGCGCATCCGCGTGGCAGTCCGCAACCTTCCTCGCCACCGGCTCCCGAGCTCGCTGATCGGATCGCTGGGCTTGCGATGCTAATTACGTTTATCCGAAGCGCCATCGGAGCGGCTCCTTTGACACATCCCAACTGTCCGCTTGTCATATATCGGCTTGAGTAGTACACTGGGAGTCGTTCGTGATCATTCCGGACATGTCTTGGGCGGGTGGGTTCCTTCTGCGCTGGTCAAGCTCCAAATACGCAGAAGAGACACCTAGACTAGTCCATATCAATTCGTTAAGTTCCTTTCGGGTCAGACTTGCAAATTGACTGTATGACATTGGTGAAACTAGTATGATGCTGACAGAATATGTTACACCCGTGTTACTGGAGCTTAAATTCCAGATCGAGATCAACGCTCGCAATGTATGCACTTACAACAACCCTCACCTTGCGTCCCTTATGCTTTGTACAACAAATCCAAAAAGCCGTTGGCTAAGTCAACAACCACACTTTTGTTTGGCAGGGATCCAGCAACTCCGTAGAGAGCAGCCGAGTCACCCATGGCCTTGCCCTTTGGACCCTTGCCTTCAACCGCACGTACTCTTTCCTTCTCCTTCTCTGCTTCGACAACAGCCTCCAGATCTGTAAGAAGTTTCTCATAAACCTTGGTAATGGGCAAGGTGACGGCAACGTGAATGGCGGGAGGGTTTTGCAGAGCATTCAGATGCCAGCCCTTCTCAGACATGCCATCGGCAATGTCATAGACATTGAGGTTCTTGGCGGTAAAAGCGACGACAGAAACAAGGGGCTTGCCGAGAATTTCGAGTTCGTTGTCGAGAGCTGGTGTCTCACGAATCTTCTCCGCGATCTTCTTAGCCGTACCGACAATCTTGACACATGCTTCGACGTATCCTGCCTCACCAACTTTCATCAAGCTAGCCCAGCACCCGGCAATCAAAGCACCCGGGCGGGAGCCGGCGATACCAGGAGAACCATAAACACCGCCGGACCAGTCCGGCGAAACGTAGTACTGGTACTTGCGGAGTTCGGCTGACCTGTAAAGCACAGTAGAGTTACCCTTGGGAGCGAAACCATACTTGTGAGTGTCACAGCTGATGCTGGTAACGCCCTTCAAGCGGAAATCGAACAATTCCGTCTCGAAACCGGCCTTGTCTAGAAAGGGTACCATAAAAGAGCCGAGGCAGCAGTCAACATGAAGGCACAGTTTCTTCTTGAATGCCAGCTTCGAAAGGGCACTAATATCATCGATGATGCCGTGGGGGAAGTTCGGTGCGGAGCCAACCAGCAGGACCGTATTGCTGTTAATCAGACGGGAGACGGCGCGGACATCAACCTGGTAGTTAGGCGCAGGGCATGCGACGTAGTGAATCTTGATCTTGAAGTAATCGCCAGCCTTTCTGAAAGCAGTGTGGGCGGTTTCGGGCAGAATCCTAACGCAGGTCAGTGGGAAGCCCACAGGGTGACCATCAGACACGGACTTACATCTCAGGCTCGGTGATACCCTTCTCGAAGTATCCTCTCTGGCGTGCACCTAAGCAGGCGGACAGAATGCTATCAGTGCCGCCGCTAGTAGTGGCACCGGCAGCACCGGGAGGAGCGTTGAACATGGCGAGAACCATGGCCACAATCTCGGCCTCCATCTTTCTCACGCCAGGGAAGACATCGGGGTGAATGGGATTGGCGACAGTAAACTTGCCAAAGGCTTCGGTCTGCAGCTTCAGCAACTCGTCCTCGCCATGGTAGACAGCACCAGACACATATCCGTCCTCCCATCTTGTGTGGTCCAGGTTTGCCAATGCCTCCAGCTCCTTCTTGACGTCTTCCTCTGACATGCCTTCCTTCGGGAGTGTAAGGTATCGAGTGAGATCTTTGGGGATCATCTTAGTCTGCAGCTTCGCCATAGTCTCGTTGACCTGTTTCTGGACCTGGCCACGCACGCCCGGGGCGCGCAGGAAGTAGCCATAGAGGACACGACGAATGTCAATATACAATTCGACAATGCTGCCGATCAAGCCGCGGCCCTTCAGCTTTAGGAATGTCTTGCGTGTCCATCGCCAGACGAAGAGGAAGAAGATGATGTTGCGAAGCCTGCATAGAGAGGAAAGCGGGAGATCCGTAATTAGCCTCGGCTCGCATGACATGCTGGTACTATGAGCAAACAGCCGGGAGAGATGAATCAGCTTACAAGTCGAGGTTCAGAACAAGCAGCGGATTGGCCTGCCTAGTGCGCTTGACGTGCTGCAAGCTTTCGCGCAAGCTGGCGGGAATACGGGAGCTGCCTGGCATCTTGTACACCTACTGCTTGAAGCTCGGCACAGTGGGGTAGATTTGGTGTTTGCGACAACAACAGAAGGAGAGCGGAAGTCCCGAGGCCTGTTGAGGGTGGATGCGAACGCTCAATATATAAAAAAATGGGGATAGCAAGAAAAGACGAATTGGGGAAGGGCGTGGAAAAAAGAATTGGAGACGTGACTAGTTGGAATTGGGAGGTCCGATGTTTAAGCAACAACACAGTAGAGGAGCATCACTGCGCTCCTTGCGCCTAAAACTAGAGATAGACGACCTAGAACACACAGAAGAACCAACGTTAGAACACCGAATACCGTGAATCCCAGACGGACAAAAATCGTGGGGCATGGCGTCTTCTTGATTATTTCTTAGCGCGGTTTACCCCTGTCGCTGCAGCTACTACGTAAGGCACTTTCTGGGCCTCCCCTTCTTCTGGGGGGCCACTGCCGCCTTCCGGTCAATCACATGCACCGCTATAGGCCAGAGGGGCCCTGCTTCCCCGGCGTCCGCGTCCGCTGGCCGCAGAAGTCACCCTCCACGCCAGTGATTACAGGGGGGGTACCGATACTGATGAAGGACTTGGAGATAGTAAGAATAGTGTCTCTTGGTGGAAGGCAAAGTGACCTAACGCACCGCACCGTTCTGAGCCAAAGTTTTCCCTGCCGTAACGTGAGGTGTCAATGACAAAGTGGAGCAACCAGCGATGAAGACTACTTTTTTCCCAAAGGGGATATTCATCACCGCGCCGACCTGTCTCCCATCTCATCAGATGCGTCACCATTCCCAATAGGAACCGAGAGTTGCGAAACTCGGCCGATTGGACAGTCGAGCCGATGCGCGCATGACTTTTCGTCGAGATCACCAGCTGCTCTACCCCTCATCCCCCTTGGTACCATGAACCCATTTTTTCCTCAACTGGTTGAGCCTGTTTTTGGAATGTGATACAACCATCACTGTTATCCATTTAGAAACGACACGAAGCCCCGCGGGCCGGCCGGAGACCCGTCAAAGCGGGGCGTCGGGCCCGCGGGCTACCGCAAATCGATTTCGTTCTCCCGAGTCCACTTGACGGTCAGCGATGGTTACATCTTAAGTAACGTCTTACGGCTTGTTATGCAGAGCGCGTGATGGCTGGTTGCCATGCAAAGATGGCAGCCGCGGAAGCTTGGTTTGATGATCATGACTAGAACGATCAAAGTAGTAAGTTGTGGACACACTGACTCAAATTTGAAGTTTGCCATGACCACGTCACATCGCTGTCTACGTTTGAGAGATCCAAGCGGATCCCAGGCACTGTTCGGGACCTCGACCTTAGCGTAGTCTGACCTTGCAGTCGGATCATGCTTGGCACCAACATACCTCAGCCCGCTCAAGATACTTTTTGGTCGGTCGCAACTAGCATTCCCAGCTCTCAGCGTCACATCAAGACAGGCCACTATGACAAAGATGCTGAAGCGTCTGTGGGGAAACTGTCAACTGCAGATCTGGGATCCAGATAGATCACCGCACTACAAGGATGGATCAAACGTGGAGACACAGTCTGTATTAGCACCCGTACCCTGACAGGCCTGTCCGACATCTATCAATGTGATATACAAACACAGGAAGGTTTAATTTGGGCCTTCCATCATCAGCGCGTCGTCATCTTGAACACAGAAACCAAGAAATAACATAAATATCCCAACATGAACTGGCTCATGCAACCGGGCGAGCCTCCAAAGCCGGCAAGCCTCTCAGTATAACCCCGAATAAAAATGTCTCGTGAATGTTCTCCGTAGCAGCCACAATAAACGCCCTCTTCCAGCTCTTATACACTTCAAAATATGCCGAGTTCATGCTTCCTGGGAAATAAAACGCCTGGAGATCTTCCGTGTCTGGACCCTATTCGGAGGGTCGGCCTTTGCTTGCTCGTCTTCCTCTCTCTTGGTTTATGTCTTGAAAATTGCATGCCACTTCGTGTTGTAGCTTTCCAGCTCCTGTTCACAGGACCGCTCTCCGGATGCAGTGCAGCCAGCAGCTCGGACAACAAGATCACCGTCCTGGAACATTTCGCCCTTGTCGTATCTATTGTAGGAGTTGAAAGCCTTCTGCGGCACGATAGCGAGTCTCGAAAGGATGGTAGGGTGCCATTGCACAATGTGCTCCTGCCCAGATGGTCAGCGCTGTGCACCACTAAATGCAGAGGAATAAGAAACTTACCAAGGCATGTCCCTCAGCCTTCTGGAAGTTGTAACTGCGGTACAGCGGATCGAACCACGTGTCAATAAAGAATTTTGCCCACTCTCCATTACGGATGAAGAAGCTTCCTGCAGACAGGCCCTCTCGGTCTTGAGTAAGAACAAAGTCAATGTCCTGACCTTTCAAGTGGGGGAAAGTCTTGATGATGCTGTCTGGTGGCACAACCGGATGATCCTTCAACATTAGGCTCTCGATCTTCTCCGCGTTCAATAGCAAGCTTTCCAACGGCTGGGTATCCATGATGTAGGAATCCTGATCCAAATACCAGAACCAGCTTGCGTCTGGGTACTTGGTAATCGCGTGCCTCAGTGATACCACTTTATTCCATGACGCCGGTGAGCCGTTAAGATCGTAGTCGCCCGCATTTGTAAACATCACCTCGTATCCTAAGCAATAATAATAAGCAGCTTGAATATCAAGAGAATTGATCTACCCTTACCATGGAGCTGTGCATATCGATTTCTATTGTCGCGAACACTCGCCAGGTAGTTTTTGCCGTAGGCAGTTTCGTCTAGCGCTGTCACTATCACAACAGGGGGATTGCCCGACGGCATCCGAGGGCCACTGCTTGGTTTGAAGGCCCCAGACAACAGGTAAATGAAGCCAAAAAATGCGAGAGCACCAGCGGCAATGAGTTTTATCCTGCTTCGTCGAAGGAATGGCGGTATCCTTGAGGACCTGGCCCTGAAGGGGGGCGGGTTGGAGCTCTTCCGTGGGGGGTATGCGAAGTGCATTGTGCCGGATCGATTGAGTACTTCGAGAGGGATGTGCCACAGTAGTTCGCGATGGAGGAGAATGCAGGCAAAACCAGCGTCGAAGGGCGACGGTCGTTTAGGTGCAAATTTCGTAGCTTATCGAACACGAGACTGGAGGCTGACTGTCGCCGTTGCGACTAGAGGCTTGGCAACAACGGAAAGGAGTGGGAGGGATTCAGCGAGTCTGGAGGGCCGTAAAGGGGTCGCAGAGCGTTACTCAAAGAGTCGCATAACTTCGAGGCCTTGTACTACCGTGACGACACCTTCCAAAGCACAGAAAGTGAGGAGAAATGGTTTGTGCAAGGGTGACAGCGGGCGACCAAACTACAGTTGCTGAACACGAACTCGAAGGCATCGCTTCGTTTAATTCGAGGTCCACTCTGGGATCATTAGATCTCGCCCGTAACAGTGACAAGCCCTGATTGGGCAGGTCGGGGGCATTATGATCCGGTGGATGGTCCCTGAGGTCCGTGCCCCGCCATCCCAGGGTTGCAAACAGCTGCCCCACGACTCAAAGTGACATGAACTGCGGCTGCGGGGTGTAATGACGCGGTTTGGCTTACTGAGATCGCCAAACTCTGCATTACCAGGCATTTGTCCAGTTCAAGGGTTCCAGATACGATCATTGAGTATGGACGTTGAACGACATCATTTGTTTGGCCCCAAAAATTTTGTTGTGTTTAATTGACACTAACTCGGCTATGTTCAAGTTTTTCAATATGTTACGTATTAGTGTGATAACTTTAAGCCAAACACTTGGTTGAGCGAGTTTGTGTATCAGTTTGCGCGTTTGCCAACCCGTCGAATTCGAGGGCTGCCATCGGCTGAATTCAAGTCAACAAAACGTTAACTGAGTTGAAGCAACCTGATGTCATCCGGCTGTCCAAAGTGAAACTGACCAAAACGGTCAGATTCAAGGAAAGGCCAGGGACTTGATCTCTGCACACAGACTAGTTGACACGATATGGAAGAGAATCTTCGAGGCAACTTAAGAGTGTGCAGGATGAACATCATCAAATAGTTGACATTTCAAGCGGTATCTGTTTGTGATAACAGCCGTTTGTATTGGCCATATGCATCCGTCCTACGTTAGTCCTGCTTGGTGTCTTCATCGTCATCATCATCACCACCCACGTCAAATACCCTGTCACTTGCGCGCTGCAGGGCGGACGCACTGAGAGCCCTTACTCCTTTCCAGACACCCCACATGAAGGTAACTGCGCCGATCATAACGAGACCCAGGTTGATATTTTCAACTCGCGCGCGTCCTGTTCCTCCGCGACGTCCGGTGGTACCAAGGAGTCCGCTGGACCGAAGATTCCACCATTGCCATGGTGTCATAGCAAGAAAGGACTTCAAGAAACCAAGCAACCCAAGGGAGAAGAAACCTTTGAGAAAATGCTCCAACCAGGTTCCTGACTCTTCGGGCTCTGGGTCGTTGATGGCTTCAATATCGTCGAGCACATTCGCAACCGTATCAGCAATGGTGCCCATTGGATCACTCCAAAGGTTCAAAATCGGGTCTGCAATGAATCCAAGCAAGAAAACCGAGAAGATGAATATGAAGATGGTCAGTAGAATCTGCGCATAAGCGCTTGATAGACGGTTTGCCCAAGACAGTCGCTGAAGTTTGTACTGGTAGCCACAGGTCGGGCACGCGAAGAAATTTCGATCGGCCGTCGAGTCGGCATATCTCCAAGCCTGTAAGCAGCCTTCATGAACGTAGCGCTGAGAACCCTTGCACTTGCATGGTGAAATAAGCCGTCCACAGTCAGGATCTTCAGATTTGTAGATAGGTCGCGGTGCTGTGTTCATGAACCCGCCCATAACGTTAGGCTCCTCGAATGTAGGGTGAACAACGTCGAAACAAATGCGACATGTTCGTGGGCCATAGTATTTCTGCTTTGGCTCAGGTCGCGACTGCTTTTGACTGTTGTTTTGATTCTCATTCTGACTATGACTATGGCCCTCAGAATTGCTGGTTTGTGACGCCTCGGGTGCGTCGGCTTCGGAGTAGCCCGTGCCTTTTGGGATATCGGATGGCCAGCCCCACTGAGGCATTGCTGAATTCATGATGAAGACTGCAGAAGGATGTTTGTAGTTGAGTGTCTTCTTGTGGGTGGTGCGCCAACAGCAATGCAGATGCCTGACATGTAAGATTGCCGCGCGGCAGTAAACAATGAGATGAGGGATGGTGTGGGAAAAGCTCAGTGCGGAGGTGTAAGAAGTAACTCTGGGGTTTCACCTTGGCTCAGTTAAACCCCAGACAAGGACCTACATGGCAAGAAGTAGGAGAAACAGACTCGGAAGGAAAGGCCTGGCCATCTGTCCTTTCGGTGACGGTGCCAAGCTGCTGGGTTCTTGAACGAAAGGTCGTCACTTGGGAAGGATTGACTGTAGAAAAAAAGAATATTCCAGCACACTTTATTCTGAGCTGTCTCCAGTTGGTCATAGCTTCAGCAGCAGCCAGATTATGTCAGCTGTTCCTCCGCCCGGATCAACTGCCCAGCCGGCAAAGTCACGTGCTGGCTCTTCCCAGGCGGCCGGCCAGACGACGGGCAGCTTGACGCGGCGCGAGTTGCCTAGGAGGGAGAGCTTCATAGCTCTGACAGCCTCACCTCGTTTGACCGCAGCTAATCCGCTTTCCATCTTCCCAGTCAACTTCACCCAAGAAATAGCCCTCGATCATACAATTTAACAGTCAAGCCATGGCCGACCGTTACTCCTTCTCGCTGACGACATTCTCGCCCAGGTAAACTGCTCGATCCACTGTGTGACGTCTATGTGCTAACTTGGAGCAGCGGCAAGCTGGTTCAGATTGGTACGCTTCAACGCAACCCCTCCATTGATTTTCACATTCTATCTAGATATTCAAGACGACACCGGGGGCAAGACTGACTGAACAATTAGAGTATGCTCTGAACGCTGTCAACCAGGGTGTTACCGCCCTTGGCATTAAAGGCAAGCTCATCTGCCCCTCATTTTGATGGTCCACGTTAACCTTTTGAAGCCACCAACGGTATCGTTCTTGCGACCGAGAAGAAGTCGTCATCCCCGCTTGCCGATCCCAGCTCGCTGTCCAAGATTAGCCTCGTCACCCCGAACATCGGAATGGTTTACTCAGGAATGGGACCTGACTACAGAATATTGGTGGACAAGGCCCGCAAGGTATCGCACACTGGCTACAAGCGAATCTACAACGAGTACCCTCCCACGCGGATATTGGTTCAGGATGTTGCCCGGGTGATGCAGGAAGCGACTCAGTCTGGAGGTGTCCGCCCTTACGGTGTCAGCTTGCTCATTGCAGGTTGGGATGAGGGCATCTTGCCTGAGGACGAGACTGAGACCAAGGAGGGCGAGGAGAAGAAGCCAACCGGCAAGACTGGTGGTACACTGAAGGGTGGACCTATGCTGTACCAAGTCGACCCCTCTGGTAGCTACTTCCCTTGGAAGGCGACAGCCATTGGCAAGAGCGCCACATCTGCGAAGACATTCCTGGAGAAGAGATACACGGAGGGCTTGGAGCTTGAGGATGCCGTGCACATCGCGCTACTTACGCTCAAGGAGACTATTGAGGGGGAGATGAACGGAGAGACTATCGAGATCGGTAAGACCCAACACTCTACGGTTTTCAGACACCTACCTAACCAGCTTATAGGCATCGTTGGGCCCCCAGCGGACCATCTTCTTGGTATCGATGGTGTCGAGGGTGCGAAGGGCCCTCGCTTCAGGAAGCTCAGTCCTCAGGAAATTGAGGACTATCTTACGAACTTGTAATGCACGGCTTGAGAGGTTATGGGTCTTACACTTGTATCATAGAACAGCATAAAGGCACGGGGGCAGAAAAGGACTCCAAGCTCTAGAATCAATGGATGACCTGCGCAACGATGATGCCATGAATCATAGGTACATTTGTGAGTACTCTTAGCAAGTTGAGGAACCGGAGCACCTTGTTAAGATAGATTTTTGTTTACACATGATCCTTTTAGCCATGAAATATCTTGTCTACCGTAACAGCAAGTGCCAAGTTGCTGGGTTAATGGGAAACGCACTGGACCTAGAGCAATACGGCCGACTATGGGATCGAATAATCTCGTGGTAGAGCGCAATGCCACTTGAAACTGGCCACCTATGGCTGTGCCATAAACGTGCAGTGTCTGAGTTGGTCACCTGAGGGTTCCACTGAGGGGATGACGGCGTCCCGAAGGGATCACTAGCCGAAAGCTGTCTAATGGCAGGCAGATAACACGCCTCTATGGCTGTCCAGGCCGTCTAGACCAACAGAGCCCAGTCAGCCCCCTGTAAACAAAGGTTCGTTGTACATCGGGATTGCAGCTTGCAGCAGGCAGAGGTGGCGCAGCACAGCGAGCTTCAACCTCAACCGGCCCACCGCTCACCTTGCACTCTTATTTGTTTATGAAGCAAACCATCAGGCGCGACCTTACAAATGGGAACGCCCCAAGCCTCTTAAAAATGAAGCATGTTAATGATCATGCATTATCACATACTCCTGAGGGGAATAAACCGGGACAACCTTATTGTTGCTGCGCTTCGCCACACGAACAAAATTGAGGTTGAGTGGAGGTTTTTAATCTCGAAGCTTGACTGTTGGCTGCAGGGTTTGTTGGGGCCGCCGGGAGACACCCCTTGAAAGAAAGCCATGTTATGAAAGCTGTGTTGACATCTTTATCAACGTGATTGTTGCCTTGTAGTCATATGGCGATACAGGTACCTACCTCCATGTCAGATTTTCCACCCTTTCATTGGCTGCCAAAGCCGGGGATTCTACCACGTAGCAGACACTTTTAAACCCTGATTGAACATGGCCTCAAGCAGAGGCATCTGGGAGCTAGAAAAACAAACACTTTTTTCCTCTGAAATAGACAACGATTGGTCGAACATGATCAATTGTCAGCTTCGTTGTTTATTTCCCCCGACTCACATCGTCATTCTGCCCTGCCGTCATTGATTGCTAATCCTCGGAAGATATATCATAGGTCCTAATGCAACAGGGAAATGTCTGGCAGCACATGCAAGGTTGGCCAAAGAGTCATAGGCCGTGGTCTATGAGTCTTACACGGCCGTCATGGTCTCTATTCGTGCCGTTTTTTTTCTTTTTTTTTCTCCTTTTTTTTTTCTTAAATAAAAAAGAGGGAGGAAAGCTTGAGTTGAATTTGGTTTTGTTGTTCTCATTTTCTCTAGCTTGGCGCCAAGTAGAACCCAAAGCCAAGAGCATGGTTCTCTCATTTGCCGTGCGTAAGATGTTGCGAACCTGCCTACGTCGGCCGGCAGTGGGCCTCCTGCAGAACTTTAGTTTTAGGTACCGAAATACACGCACGCAGCAGCACGTATACGAGTTAAATTGCGAGTACACCTGCCGTCACACACTTGCACTTTTGTTTGTTACATTTTCTCTACATGGAAAATCAGAAGCATCTTCTTGATGACTAGGTGCCATGATGGCAGCTTGTAGTCCACCCACACTTAAACCCCGGTTCCCTTCTGCCTACACGCAAGCGCTGCTGCAACAAGACTCGCGGCATCACTCCCATTGTTAGTGCTTGTCGTCAGGCAGTTGTTGTCAAGTGAGATTGCATCGCATCACCAACACCCACCCCCAACCCTGCACTGCATCCCGTACCCCATCCTAGGCCCCGCGTCACCCAAATTTTAGGATTTGTCTACATTGCATACTACTTCAATCTTTTTGAGCCGCGTCATTTTTACTTCGTACCTGACTTTGTCACTTTGACTCACACCGTCCATACTGTTGCAGGGGATTGCTCGTCATCGCACTTGTGTCTTCCACACTGAGGTAGCATCACTACGGGAGGGTGTGGTCAAGGCGACCATTGGGGGGGGGGGATAACCTGACCAATTACCCACTTATTTTGTGATTTGTGGGGCTACCCTGAGATCAGCTGACCATGGTCAGCTAGTTAGCTATAGTCAGGTTGAAATTCCTTAGCGCGGTTTGAAACCTTACCCTTGATATACTTTTTATAAGAACATACGACATTTAAACGCTTCCAAATCCGTTCCGAATCGATTTACAATAGCTCTTCAATCGATTGAAAATCTCTTCCCTCGCCTAGAGGGAATAAGTCCTCTATTAGAACCTACTAGTCTTGATGCAGAAGCTGAAGAAGACTTAAATCTTTACTATCAACTACCAGCCCAGGCCCAGTCTGGCTTACTAGTAAATGAGGAGGTAGGGATATATAAGAACGACTTTGGAATTAGTTCTAAATCGATTCAGGATCAACTCGAAACCGATTCAGAAATACCTCCAACACTTGTTTCATCAGAGGCAACCCGTTCTGGGCATAATAGCCTCAGGGATGTTCATGTACTTGCTCAAAAAGTAATCTTTCTACCTACATTTATAGAATATCCAGAAACAAGTAAGAATGGAGTCCTTTATGTTATTAATATAAGGACTTTAAATAAGGAGGATATTAAATCGCCTTGGAGAATGGTAAACGAACTACTTTTGAATCGATCCGGGATCGATTTAAAAGTAGTACGCCAGGGGGGGGGGGGGGGGTATACGATTTGAAAGGGTTACGGAGGGAAAAGGAAGAGAATCAGAATGGAATAGGGATTTAAATATTAATATGGGGTATGCACCCTAATCAGTAGTGGGACGTAATTAGTAACTGGTCCGTGCACCTGACCGATTAAAAATTCCATGGTCAGGTGGACCTACTTCACCTCAATACAGCCAATCATAAAATTGGTCAGATAGACCCATAATTCATTTAAATAAGTGGGTAATTGGTCAGGTTATCCCCCCCCCCCAATGGTCGCCTTGACCACACCCTCCACTACGGTGGATGTGGGTGGCAGGCCTCGCCGGCCCGTCACGTGGGCTGACGGCCGCCACCACTGGTCTTAGCCAGCCTCCACAGCCCTCTAGCCAGTTAGTTAGTTCTTCAACCAACAACACCACTTTTCCCATTCTGAGCGTTCTGTGCCGGTTCTCGCCCACAGTGGATCTTGGCTCGGCCTGCAAACAGAAGGACCTTGCATACAGGACTGAGGACTCTCCAGGGCCCTTGTCAGTTCACGCTTTGTGCATACCATGACAGATTATTTCCAGTCCTTATCCGGCGACAGCTTCGATCCATTAGAGGATGAGGTGTTCTATGAAGTGCCAGGCCCTGGGCCTCATAACCTGGGAGCTCTCTCCGCCACCGTTGAGGATTTGTTCCTGGGCAGTGAGGCTGCATCGCCCTCACATGAAACCGCCTCAGGCACACCGGCCATCATGAATTCAAGAGCCTATCAATTGGAAATGCTTGCCGAAAGTAGGAAGCAGAACATCATAGTGGCTGTAAGAGCTTTGGTACAAACAACCTGTTACTCAGTGTGTTAACTAACACTGGTTGGTAGATGGATACTGGGAGTGGCAAAACCCAAGTGTAAGTCCAACTCCAAACTCTTTAGTAATAAGGTACTGAAGCAATTTTAATTAGAGCCATATTACGGATAAAGGCGGAACTAGAGAGAACGGCCACAGAACAGGTTGGTTCTACTTAGTGTCTTGCTGATCGAACATTTCCTGACTAGAACAGATTGTTTGGTTTCTGGCGCCGACGGTATCGCTCTGTGCCCAACAGTTCGAAGTCTTGAAGTCTCAGATTCCTTCTGTTCAGATCAAGTTTTTGAGCGGTGATGATAATGTCGACTCTTGGTCTGACCAGTCACTATGGGATGCGGTACTTCTGAATGTTCGCGTGGTTGTGTCGACATACCAGGTCTTGCTGGATGCCCTTTCGCATGCCTTTGTACGTTTGGACAGGTTATCATTGATCGTCTTTGATGAAGGTATGAAAGCATAACTCCTCTCCATTCACATAGCTAACAAGCTTACAGCACACAACTGCGTCGGCAAATCCCCAGGAAGTAAGATCATGACGAATTTCTACCACCAGCACAAATGCAGAGGGCAATATGTACCCCATATTATGGGTTTGACAGCCAGCCCAACCTTTGGATTCAACGTAAAAAGTATCAGTGTCTTGGAAACAACACTTGACGCCGTCTGCAAGAGTCCCACGATACACCGTGACGATCTCCTTGCTTGCGTCAAGAAACCAAAATTAGGATATGTGCCATTCCTTCCGGAAGAGGACTATAGGCCTCCAAAGAGCCTACAGAGCCTTCGAAGGGTCATTCAAAGCCTCGACATCTCGGAAGACCCCTGCATACTGCACTTAAAAGCCGAAGGAACAGACCGGAGTCGACGTGAACTCCACGCAGTTCTAGAATCCCACGACACCTACGCTCAAAACCAAATGATTTCATTTGGACGCCAAGCAATCCAAATATGTCGTGAACTAGGGCCTTGGGCTGCCGAATATTACATTTGGGAAGTGATATCCCGGTTCAAAACTGCTGTGCGATCGCGAAATAGTTGGCTTGAAACATGGAAAGATGAGGAGAAGGAATATCTCGCCAAGGTCCTCGGCCAAGTCGAGTGCCAATGCCCATCAGCGGATTCTCCAAGCAAGGATGTTCTCTCAGGAAAGATATCAATCCTCATTGAACAGCTGCTTCAAGAGAACGGAGACACTATCGGTATTATTTTTGCCAAGGAACGTGCTATCGTCGGTGTTTTGTGCCATTTGCTCACATCTCATGACCTATTACGAGCGAAATATCGGGTCGGAGCAATGGTGGGCACATCGCAATATCAATCCAGGAAGAGAGACATATGGGATCTCACTAGGGTAGAGGACTTACAGTCTTTACAACAGTTTCGGTCCGGGAGGATCAATTTACTAGTTGCCACTAGTGTCCTTGAAGAAGGCATTGACGTGCCGGCCTGCAACCTGGTTTTCTGCTTCGACAAACCTCCAAACCTCAAGTCTTTTATCCAACGCCGAGGACGGGCGCGAATGAGGGATTCGAAGCTACTCATGTTACTCAATGAATCCGAGTCCTCCCCTCAGGGGTGGGAAGCTATGGAGGCGGACATGAAAAGGCAGTACGAGGATCAAGAGAGAACACTTGAACATTTACAAGAGATCGAGGGGATGGAGGAGTCGGAAGGGATGAAATTCGTAGTTGAGAAAACAGGAGCAACTCTTGATCTTGACAATGCGAAGCAACACCTCGACCATTTGTGCCGGATATTGTCTCCCGGGGAGTTCATCGACTGGCGACCTGACTATATCTTGAAGGTACTCGACGCCACAGACACACCTGATTTGATGTATACCGTGGTCTTGCCAAGCTATCTGCCCTCTGAAGTGCGAGAAGCCAAGAGCCAGTTCGCGTGGAAGTCTGAAAAAAATGCCGCGAAAGACGCCGCATTCCAGGCTTACAAAGGCCTTTACAGCGCGGGTCTTGTCAACGACAATCTGTTGCCCTTCAAATCAGAAGATTTCGTACCTGGCATCGACAAAAGAGTTGCAATTCTACAAGTTAATGGGTTGCTCAATGCATGGAGCAGTGTTGCAAAGGCCTGGAGAGGCGGTAATGAGTTAAGGGTAACTCGTCTCCTACTCAAAGACGGCCAAGGTGTTGCTCAAGGCGACTATGAGATGGCTCTGCCTGCTTGGGTTCCGGGGCTACAGACTATGCCTATACATCTTGACTACAACACATCTTGGACTCTCGAATTTGGAGAACAGCTTCCTACTGAAGCTTTGACGACCCAAGATCATACTGCTGTACTCCTTGCCTTACCATTCGGCCATCGCTGGTTGTCGACTAAGGATCAACAGGTTGTCAGGTTCAGCGCAGTAAATGCTGAATTTCCTGTTGACGGGATCAGAACAAGAGACTTCGTACCAGGGAAAATGTCGACGGATGATCTTTCCTGTTTCATACGGGACGATACCGGGTGTCCGTACCTCTATGAGGGAATTATTCCCAGAAAGCCGGCTTCTGAGTTGGTACAAAAGACCTTTTATGGATTCGAGAACGCCCCTGAAGATGTGCCATATCTTACTCTCAAAAAATGGTCCCGTCGATCAGACTTTCTTCATCGACCCCAGAGCAACCCCAACCAAAGCCCTAGCAGCCCGAAACCGTACTCAAGAGTGTATCCTGTACCGATGGCAAAGATTGATACTATCCCAGCAAAATATGCCCAATTTGGTGTGCTGATACCATCCATTCTACATCGAATCGAAACCTGTCTGGTAGCTAAGGAGCTATCTTCAACTCTGTTAAGGCCACTCGCTATAGCCGACTGGTCCCTGGTTCTCACAGCTATCAGCGCTGGGAGTGCTGCTGAACCTACCAACTACGAGAGACTCGAGTTTCTTGGCGATTCGATTCTTAAGTTTTCCACCACCATTAATGTGGCTGCTTTATGTACGCAAGGTTAGATTTTTACTTATACAGCAAAGCTGACTCTTAATAGATCCTCATTGGCCGGAGCGACTGCTTTCATTCAAAAAAGACAGCATTGTTGCCAACTCGACGCTCTGCAAGGCGGCCATAAAGCACGGTCTTGACAGGTTTATACTTACTAAACCATTCACGGGACAGAAATGGCGTCCGATCTACGTGGACGAAGTTCTCCGACGCAGCGACAATACGACCACGAGGAAAATGTCCACTAAAACTTTGGCCGATATTGTTGAGGCGCTTATTGGGGCCTCAATGATTGACGGTGGCACTGATCTCGGTGTAGAAAAGGCTCTGAAATGCATGTCGATTTTTCTCCAAGAAATCAAATGGAGAAGCATTGACGACTGCAGACAGCAGCTGTACGATACGGCACCGCCGAACATTGAGTTGCTTTCAACTCTCCAGCCTTTAGAACAGCTCATCGGTTACAAATTTGAAAAGAAATCCCTTCTCATACAGTCAATGACACACGCCTCGTGCCATTTCGGTAACTCTCTCGGCTGTCTTGAACGCCTAGAATTTATAGGAGATTCTGTCCTTGACTACATCATCGTCAATCATCTATTCGATGTTCGACCGCATCTTCCTCACCAGACAATGCACCTCCTAAAGACGGCTGTGGTAAACGGAGATTTCCTTGGCTTCCTGTCTCTCGAACAAGCGGTTCACCAGGAGGAGGTTTTGATTGCCGACACAAACGGCAAGGAACCCACCCTTCAGCACACTCGCTTCACTCTGCCTTTGTGGAAGTTCATGCGATTTCAGTCCTCGGCCATTGGCCTAGAGCAGATTAGCGTCGAGAAACGCCACGTGGCGCTCCGCGAAGCCATCATCGACACCATGGAGCATGGACAAACGTATCCATGGGCTTTGCTGGCCCGTTTACAGCCAAGAAAGTTCTACGCGGACATTTTCGAATCTCTTCTTGGCGCAGTATGGGTAGACTCGGGAGATATGAAAATATGCAAGCAGGTCGTCGGGCGGTTTGGTATCATTCGGTACCTAGACCGAATCATTCGCGACGGTGTTCACGTTTTGCATCCTAAGGAGGAGTTGGGGCATCTTGCGGATAAAGAGACCGTTCAGTATATACTCAGCTCGAGAGAAAACGATGAAAGGGAGAAAGAGCTTCTGTGCAAGGTCATGGTCGGCAACCGTCTCGTTGTGGAGGTTGATGGCGGTCTAACCAAAGACGAGGTCAGAGTCAAGGCCGCGAGGGCGGCAGTGAAGATTCTCAAAGCAGAGAAAAACCGAAGAAATTGGAACGAGAAGGACACTGATGATGGCAGGTTCGGGGATTCGAAGATTGATGAAAGCGACTGAAGGTTGACTTCATGGAAAGACCAAAAAGACGTGGTATTAGGAGGGGTCAGAAACAGCGGGATTTGCATGCGCGTCATAGAGCAACGAAAAGTAAAAGTAGTGTGTTTAGGATTTGATATATCTGCTATCCCGCTACTTTGGATAGACAGATAGCGAGAGGTATAAGAATGCGCAATCAATGGGTATATCTATTCCTCCTCTGAACTCCCGGGCCGAGAAACGTCATGGTCGTAAAACTACGCAAAACTCCTGTGGTCTGAAGTATGCAAGTATCCCTGGATCGCAGAATGGTGCCTCCATGGGACGAAAGGAAAAAGAAGAAGAAAAGAAAAACAAACAAACAGTAAGTCAAACACCTGAGATCTTTGTGAAAGGACATGGTCAGTCGCCGCCAGAGCCCGAACCATCTGAACGCTCCTAGTCGTCCGTGAGATCAATAGCCTCGTGCATGTTGTCAATCTTGACCTTTTTCCATTCCCGCTTGGTCGGCTCTTCCGTCAGGTCATAAAACTCGGCGTGTTCACGCTTAATTACGGGATCCTTTGCCTCTCGCTTCAGTATGGGGGACTGGCGGTTCTGCTGATTTGTATTAGTTGCAATTCATTGAGGAGTGACCGGAAGACAAACATTCATGTCCTCAAGTCGCTCAGCAGCTAATCGGCGGATCTCAGCATCTGAGAGTCCGTTGATGCCCTGTGGGCTTGGAGAGCGAGGTATAATTAGCTCCTTGTGGAGAGCATCTAGAATATGTTAGCTATGGCTTTGTTTGCTCATGATAATTGGAAATTACCTCTGGATCGGTATTTAAAGCTGTATAATGCGATGGGTTCCTTCGGATGGAAATGAACAGATACTGAATGAGTCTGCGGGATGAGTCCGCCGTCGGCATATCTACGATCAATGAGCTGAAAAATTCAAGACTTGGATCAAGAAACAACTCACGAAGTTCCGTGAGAGACGGCTCGGCCCTTGAGCGCCTTCTCGGCCAACTCGAATGACTTATCTTGTGACGCGGCTGGCGTGGCCCGTCCTTCAACGAAACGATTAGACTTAATCGTACAACTGTAGACATAGACCTGAATCATTCCGAGTGACTCTGAAACCTTGATGTCGTCGGCTACGCGTGTGTTCTCGGCGTCGTCGACTGCCCTTCAGGTTCAGCATAGCAACGGCACGTACAAGTCAGAAGACTACCCACCAGTCGTGACTTTGGCAAATTGGAACTTGCGAAAAAAGTCCAACCCCGAATGTGCGGAAGCAATCCTCGCTCCACTGACAACATGTCGCCAGACAGCACCGTCACCGGGATGTCGAGATGCCTCCCAGAGGACGCTATCCATCTGATTCCCGTCGACGAAGAGAAAAATTCCCAGAGCTTCCTGATCCGCGAGCCGACTACTCCTGTTGTCTACTTCATAGACAACGGAAAAAGGAGCGTTGTCATGCGACTCGACATATTTGTAGCTGCGACGCTGAGCTCGTCTGGGATTCTTATCCTCTGTCGGGCCGTCTTGATCCTCATATTCTTGTGCGTTGAGGCCGTTGACTTCAATAGTGATTTTAACGCCTGGGAGCTCGCCAATAATCGCCATTGTTGCATCAAAACGATCTTTCAAGTCTTAGTACAACAGGAGATGATAAGATAGGATGCGATTAGAATTGGTATTGAGATGAGCAGAAAGATATGGACTCTCCACAGTGTGAGGTGGAAGTTGGCCATGGTGCAGCTCTTGAAAAGGCAACTTGTTGGTGGGGCTGTTGGGTTGCGCTCACTGTCTGATTGGCAACTACCCAGGCAGAAGTGGGGGCTTGCCAATCATGTGTTTTCATTGACGGCTTCCGACGTGCAGCGCCTATGGACTTGACAGCTTAGGACAGTGTTCCTCTTGCAGCTCGCATGCCCGCCTGGTGATTGCCAGTAGCTCTTGCCTTCATTTCCCGTATGTCAAGGGTCTATGATACAGTTTGTAGCAATAACACGATAAAAATTAACGATTCGAGCATTATCACGCCGAAACCCTCAGCCTGCAGCGACAGATCAAGACTGTTTATTGCCTCGATCCGATCCCCAATTAATAGCGCCGGGTACCTGCAGATCGGATACGCTAAAGTATCGACCCTGCTGTCTGAAATGGGACTGGTGAAAGTGACAGTGCTGAGGATCTCTTAGTTGAACTATGAGCAAACGAATCTTAGCAACTGATACGCACGCCCATTGCTAACAGAATATAACACTTTACCCTACATATGCAGGTCTGACTGCAGATGAACAACCAGAACATTTGTTTGGTAGTTTCTGAAATGACACTGGCTCAGCGACGCTAATTATGGTGGCTACAAAAGAGAAGAGCGTGAATGTAAAGAGAGATGGGCATTGGCTTGGCTAGACAAACGAACAGAGCAGTTGAATGTTTCAGTTGAAAACATTTTGATTAGGAACTACGTAGTAGATGGGTGGTTCTATTACTTCTACCTGAAAAAGTTGTTAATCACGTTCTTTTCTTGTCTTACCAGCCACCCAGGAGTATCCATCCTTTTCAATTACCATGGATCTGCCTACAGGTTTGCAATATGATCTTGCCTGCCACTTTTACCTTTTCTCTCTATGATTCTCCTGTTTTTTTTTTTTTTTTCAACTTTAGCGTGGCGGCCTGTTCAAGCCTCTGGTGTGCTCTCCGAAAACGCTGACCATACAATCCTCTTGCGTGGGTTCATGGCGACAGTGGCCTCGCCGAATTGCAAGGTGATACCTTTGGCTTTGTATTTTATTGAGTCAAAACAAGATCTTTACTGGTTCCAATATCATACTATTCAAGGGCCTGAATACGGTCTACCATGTACGAAGTCGTGGGGTATATCATTCAGAGGCAAGCCACTATCTCTCTTTCAGGAGCTGGAAGGAATGAAGTTTGCTTTCTTCGAATTAAGTATTATGTCGAGTGTGCTGCTGATTTCTGACCGCAGTGTTCATATGAAGCTCATTTGAGGCTCATTACCTCAACACCCAAGCCGCAAATTTGAACAGGGAGACTTGTAATAAAAATCTGCATTATCGCTCTACTCAGCCTCGCCTTGGTCTTGCTCATCGAGAATTTTCATCCGTCTAACGCCGCCATAAAGTAGGCATTCGACAAAGCAATAGTATCTGCCCGTACTTTCAAAGATGTAATTAAACATTCCCGTTGAATTGCAAGTTGTGAGAAATAACGAGCTTTCTCCTCAAGAAAAAAACCCACATTGCCTCCCCTTGCTGGCAACTCTTTTCAGTGGCCACGCACGGAAACAGCCATGGAAACAAATAGATCATTGGAGACCAAAACTTGTTAATAGTAACCTGTGAGGTCGATAGCCTCTTTACCGGTTCCAAGTCTGATGATCTTGTATGGGCGAGCCGTTACACTGTCGTCGTTGGGCTCGCAAAAGTCGGTATGATTACGCTTCTTGGTAAATGTTTGCAGTCTCTCATCCTAGAAGAAGGGTCAGTTCATGCCGTTTCTAGCAATACTAAGGTTCTGACTTTGATCTGCATGCACCTCTCACGCGCGAGTTTATTGGTCTCACGAGTGTGCAACTCCTCAAATCTGTTCGCTGCAGATTGCTCGTAGTGAAATTTCTTTCTGTAAGTCACGGAGTCTCTCTCGGGTGTTCGATGAACAACATCCACAATCTTCAACGCCTCTGGACAGAGGTTAGCACCCTGCGCCTCTGGACAGAGGTTAGCACCCTGCGCCTCTGGACAGAGGTTAGCACCCTGCGCCTCTGAGTTATACTTGCTAAAGATTTACCCCAAGACCGGTATTTGAATGTATACATAGCCACTAGTGGGCCAGTCCATATCTTTTCAAAAGCTGCTCTCTGTTCACGACGCAGCGGTCGTAACGGCGTCTCATCGAATTGGGCAAACCTGTGAAAGGTCTGGTAAGCGACATCAGACTCGAGAATCCAAGACCACTCACGAGGTGCCATGTGAGATGGCTCGGCCCTTCAAGGCTTCTTCGGAGATATGGTAGCTGTCATACCACGGCTGCTAGAGAGGTTCACCCACAGCTCCAATTCGTTCTCGATGTTCGATTCCGGAGAATCTGGCAAGCTTAACCCTCACCTCAATGACACCGAGGTTTCGAGCAAGACGAATTTCCTGCTTCGAAGCATCTTCATTCACTAGACGTATGGCGGCTAAGTTGTAAAATAGCGCAAAGAAAGCAGGTGGGAACTTACCTGTGCTAATTGAGTGAAACTTGAACTTCCTGTGTATCAGTACAGAGCGAGCCTCATCCGGATATTTCTTTCCATTGAACGTGAATTGCCAGCGCCGGTTAAGAAAATCGTCACTGTGACAGAATCTACGACGAATGAACTGTCCATCGATGAACAGCAGAAACACTAGACCGTAATCTCCGTAAACCCAAGGATCCAGTGATTCTTCGTCCAGGACATCCACCTGAACCGCGAACTCGACTCCATCTTCACTCTCAATGTAGTTGCGAGAGCATTGTTCGAAGTTATCGAGATAAGGCTCGCTATTTTTGTATGGATAAGGGTCTGGGTATTCATCAGCGTCTCTGGTTGACGTCCCGAGACGGACAGAAACGCTGACTGCAGGTAGCGTGTCGATAATCGCCATCTTGGGAGTAGTTAGGTGACGAAATAGCTTCTTCGAGGACAAGAAATAAAACATAGAAGTTGGAGCATGCCAAGGTACTAATAATTTGAGGATGGGCACTCAAAATGTAGGGGCGTTCTTGGACACAGCTTGGATCTTGAACCTATGGAAGGGAGAAGGGAAAGAGGTCGGGCAAGGCGAGAAATGAAGGAGAACCTTGAGAAAGGGGAAGTTTGCCGCTGACGAGAATTATTGATCAGGAAAGAAGGAGCCTTCTGGGAGGGCCAGCCTTTTCTAAAAGAGCACTAAAGAGTGTACCTACACACTGAAGGAGGTGCAGCTCAAAGTGCGCGCAGAACAACAGGCCCCGTTGTCTTGGTCAGCAGAAAGCCTGCCAGTTCGAAGAGTTCCGTTTTCAATGTAGGAAGATTGAAACTTCCATGATCTCTGAAATAGATCACAGATTATTAACCACAAGTTGAGGCTGCTGAGGCTACCACCCAGCAATCGTGTAAGTGAAAGACGTTGTGAGCGAGGTACGTACCGAGGTTCCGAAAGCCACCCCGTTGCGACATCACTAGTGGATCTTATGCTGAGGTAAGGCCAAACGGGTTCCTCAAGTGACGCTAGAAGGGGAGCAGGGACGTGGGCCCAACCCCTGCAACGCGCGCGAAGGGGGCCCCGTCCGACTCGTAGCGACACTGGAGCTAGCTCACTCAACCTCCTGTTTCCCGCCAACTCGGAAACCCATGACGTTCAATGCACCTGTCAGGACTCTTTGTCCCTCTCTAACCCACTCCGAACGACGCGATGATGGTTGATGCCAGACATGTGATGTCCCGCTGATTCGTTGCAATTTCAAATTATCCCTCCCCTCCAGTCTCCTCTTCCCTGGAGGAGCGCCATCATGTCTCCAGAGACCTCCAGTAACAGCAATATCCGAGTCTTTATCCGCTGGCACGACCAAACTGTCTTCGCTGGCGAGGAGATCAAGTGTACCATCACCTTCAAGAACATCGCCCGCGATCCCAATCAACAACGCCAGTCCCAGCGACTCACTCCCGCCGACCGCCCGAGGCATGTTTCGCCCTTGCTAAGAGCCAAGTCTAACTCTGGCTTAACCCCGCCGAACTCTGCCCAAACACGCGGTCATCGATCTGCTCTATCTCTCAATGTACCAGCTGCTCAGACACGAAGCCGATCAGGCTCGGTACCATGGCCGTCGCCGCTTGCCTCCAACTCCGCCGAGTATCGTGGCAATGGTCACAAGAAATCTGTTTCCATAGTATCAATTGGTTCCACGAGCACCATAGCCGACGACCTCCAGAGCAATGCCAGCTCGGTGAAGCAGCATCGTCCTGGCCGTCATGGACGAGCCTCGAGTCTCCAGATAGTTCCACGTGCAGCCGCGTTGGGACTTACAGGGCCCCAATCTGGTGAGTTTCTTTCTTCGTGCCCGTGGCGCAAGTACTAACCCCTCCAGCATCACCTAGGCACATAAGTTCACCTTTGTTTAACTCGACATCTGCTTCTGATACACCGCCCGCAACCTCTCGATCATCATCATTCCCGGCTCCGAGTGCAGCGGGCGCTCCACGCCCAATGAGGTCTCCCAATAGCGCGCTGTCCGAATGGCGGTTTCCCATGGCTCAGTCACCGCTATCCGAGTCCACGACTACTCCCCTAGCAGCGCATCACGACGGGCTGTTAAGTCCGAATACTGAAGTATCTACGAACATGCCTATACGATCCAAAGACGGCATACCTACGATTCATAATGAACATACGGCCCCGGCCATGAGAATATTATCCACGACGAGCATGGGAGGAGGCACACCGCGGAGCAGCGGAGAGTTCTACTCCATGAGCAACAACTCAACAGAAACATTGGCCTCAGAATACCCATCGCAGCCTACGAGAGGACCTATGCGACCGCCACACTTTAGACGGCCTTCCAACTTGGCGCCGCACAACCCGAAGCTGCCGGAGTCGCTTATGATGGGTTATGCGCAAATCCAGGGCTCATTCACACTTGATGGTTCACTAATAAACCTGGGCCCCTTTGAGCAGGTCAAGCGCAAGGCCGTAGTCGGCGGTCAGGGTGGCGGTGTCATAGGAGTGGAACCTTCGAAACGGGACAGTGGGTTGCTACGAAGCTTTGGGTGGGGGAGCATTAGCAACTCAATTGGCGAATTGCTCGGGGGCGGCGAGCTAAGCAGCATCAAGGACATGCGTGGCATTGCCAGTTCCAAGTCCGTTCCGCTACTCTCGACGCCACAGTCCATTCTCTTTGTAGACCTGAATCTGGCTCCGGGAGAGCACAAAGCTTTCGAATATTCTTTCCAGCTTCCCAAGGGGCTGCCGCCGACACACAAGGGAAAGGCAGTTAAGATCTCTTACAGCCTTGTTATTGGTACACAGCGAGCTGGTGGCTCAAAGGAGCAACAAGTGCGCTCTGTCGAGGTCCCTTTCAGGGTACTGGGCAGTGTGAATAGTTATGGCGAGATCTTAGGCCATGATCTCATGAACCCCTACATAATACTTCGCGACCAGGCGAAGATCAAGACGGTTGACAAGCTATCGACGCTAAATGAGCTCAAGAAGATCAAATCCACGAAGCCGGATGCATCGACGATCAACGATTTTCTAATATATGTTGATGAACTTCTCACCAAGCCGAATGAAGGTTCTAATGCGGGCTTACTCTCGCCTACAGCATACCCCAGCTCTCGGCGGCCATCGGCGTTCGAGGATGCGACAACGGCAACAGAGGCCATCAACATGGCCATTATGCGCAGCAACATGACATCTGAGGGCCAACAGAGTCCGAACCGCTTCGAAATCGCCCGCAATGGACAGCGCGTCGGCGTCGTCATGCTTACACGTCCGTCGTACCGCCTAGGTGAGGTGGTCACAATGGCGATCGACTTCACTGACGCCGAGATTCCTTGCTACGCCGTCCACTCATGCCTCGAATCCTCAGAGCGAGTCGAACCTCAGCTGGCTATCCGCTCGGAGGCGTCGATCCACCGTGTAACCCGTAAGGTTCACGTTTCGGCGTCGGAAGCAACACTTTACAACCGTAGAATGGTCTTCACGCCCACGATACCCATCAACGCAACACCCGAGTTCGTTACTACAGGCGTCTCCCTCGACTGGAAGATCCGTGTCGAGTTCGTCGTGCCGAGCCAGGACACGGAGCTCGAGCGTGAGTCGCCCAGCACCCATCCCCTTCTGGAGGAGATATCGCGCGACGAGCGCGGTGGCCTAGTGCTCGTCGCCGTCGAGAATATTGCCTGCGAGAGCTTCGAGGTCGCCGTGCCGCTCAAGGTGTATGGTGCTGTCGCGACGGGTCTCGAGAGGCTGGAGCGGGATGAGGCAATGGAGGAGGGTCTCGTCGTCTGATTTTTGAAGGAAGGGGGGGCATTTATATCATATGCGAACTTGCAGGACAAATCCAAAATCGACTATATTACGTGTAGAACAAGCAGAAAACCACCGAGGCGTTGGATAGAAAAACGTGGATTGTTGTTTATTTATTTATTTTTCCTCAATACTTTTACGTCGCTCGCTCACTGCCTTTTTTTTGATCAAAAGCGTCTTTTGGACCGCCCTCATCAACTACACATTATTCACGACGCAAATGTATTGGGAACTGCTCCTTTTTTTCTTTTTCTTTTTTTATCTGGTTCGTATGATTTGGAGAATTCACTTGTACATGAGACGCAATACAAACATTGTCCGGTTCCGCGGCATTTAGGAGGGGGGGAGGGATTCAACATGGACTTGCGATATACGCGTCTTCCACATCGGCGAACATCACGTTTCATCACGTGTCGTTTGGAGAAGGGGGGTGAAGAAGAGTAAAGGGTCATTAACGAGGATTCCTCGTCATGTAAATATTTTTCCCGGCGCCTCTCCATATGGAATGAAAGGGAGCGCAACCCCCCAAAATAGGAAGTTATGTAAAAAAACAAACAAGAAACTTCTGCAGAAAAATCCGGTGACGCGAGTTTTTGGGGGACTAAATCCCACCTCTCTTTCGCTATCCATCCATCCGTTGGATCAATCCGCTATCCAGTCTTCGCATTCATCTTCTGCGTGTCCCGTTTAACGGGAAGATAGAAAACTCCAGGCTCCAGTTCGCCAACTTCCTCAGGATTACCGTCTCCAACGACTGGTGTTCTGCTGGGGCCTGCTTATGTATGCCAAGATAAATGGCAGTCCGCAAGGAAAAAAAGAAAATAAGAAGAAGAATAAAAGCAGTCGCTGTGCTGTGTCGGAAAAAAAAGAGAAAAAAAAACTAAATGATGACATATCAAATGGGAGAAAGATCCATCCCCCTCAATTAAACCCCAAGTCTCAAGGCCAGAATTTTCTCAGTAGGATTACCCTCCTAACCGTAACGCCGTTGCCCGTATTCAGATAACTCCAGTGGGTGTTGTACAGTATAGTTAAACTGATAACGTACGTAAAGAACTACAATGAGTGTTATGATGATGATAATGATGTCGAGGTTGAAACTGTTTCTCCGCCGGCCGTGCTTGGCCGATCGAGCACTAACTCAATCTCACGCTCCTCAGTCGGGGTCTGCACGTCCCTAATCTCTTTGTCTTGGAACGTCCGTCGCAGTTTCTCATCGAGCATCGACGCCAGGCGTTCCTCGTACTGGTCCAGGAGCCCGCTAATGAGGGCGGAGTCGTGCGTTCTGATGGCTCGATCGCCAAGGGCGGCGGCGGTCATGCGAAGCTCCTGATCAAGCTCCGTAAGGACGTCTTGACTCAGAGGCTCCGTTGATGATAGCTTCTTTCTATATGCTCTTAAAGTGCGGCAAGCCTGTTCTGTGGCCATGTTGAGGCTGCCGAAGTTACGGCCCAAGTTTGGTGAGCTCTTCTTGGGCGGCAAGCCCAGTGATGGGAGCGAGGGCCGTCTGGACGCCCTTGACTTGGGGCTTGCCGGCGGGCTGCCAGATCCACTGCCGGACGAGCGCCGAGAAGATGTGCCTTCAGCAATTGACGGGCTGTTTGCCATGCTCGACTTTGGCGTGCTGATGCTGTTGTTCAAGCCGTAACGTGATGTTCGCCTCTGAACAGCTCTGGGTGACCGGCGACCGCTGGAAGTGGGGGACGGCCGTTGGAACTCAGCAAGTTCCGCTTTGGAAAGCACTCGCCTTAATGGTTGACGAGCGGATGCCGATCCGTCTTTCATCGGTGATGGATCTCGACTGATGGATGATAGTGAAGAGTCTTCTTCCATAGCCCAGAGCATCACGGTACCGTCTGAACCAACGCTGATTACTCTTTGGTTGCCGTCGTCGTCGTCGGTCAATGTTACACCGCTGATGGCTTCCGTATGCCCCCATTCTCTGTCCAGAAAATGACCCGACTGGGCATCGTAAAGACGCACAGATTTATCTGTATTGGATACGCCGAGGAGAAAGCTCCCATCCCTGCCAGGTGACTGGCCGAAGATGAGAGAATCCATGATTGCAGACTCGATTCCGCCTTCGTCAACGCACTTGAAGCAGTTGAGAAGCTTGCCGCTGGAAAGATCATAATGACACACGGACCGGTCGAGCATAGAGACGTAGGCAGTCCTGTCATCGTGACCCAAGACGAAGGAAGTTGGTGATGCCTTCAAAGTGATGGTACGAGCAGAGAGAGCTGCAATCTCGTCGGGCTCTCCCTCCTTGCATACTATGTCATGGATTTGTAGAGTCCTGTCCATGGAGCAGGTGATGATTCTGTCTTCTGATGGAATGACAGTCTGGACGACTTTGGCCGCGAACTCGAGCGTCTGGAAATGCTGAAACTCGCCAGAGGATAGGCGTTGGAACAGCTGGGCAGTTCGGTCCCTTCCACAAGTCGCCATCAGGAATCTGGAATCGTCTTCGTAGATGCTGATGCCTTGACAGTCCGACGAGTGGGCTTTTGTCTCGAGGAGGCACTCCTTGGTTGCTGAGTCCATTATCCTGAGCACGCCATACTTATCTGCTGTTACAAGCATCTTCCCAGCCCTCGTGGCCCGGACCACATTGAGCTGGTTGACTAGGTCCATCCCGTTCTCAGGGATTACCTGTTCGATGGGCACCTCGACCGAGGACTTGATGCTACCCTTCATATCCCAGAAAATGACATTGCCAGAACCAGACCACGTAAGGAAATCCGCGGTCTGGTCATTAGGCTTTGTTAAAGCCTGAATTCCCGAGATGGGATCTCCATGACCGGGAATGGGAATGTGCGAAGGGTCCTCTTCGGTTAGTCCCGGCAAGTAGCTAGAGCTCCAAATATCGATGGAATGTTTCTCGTCTATCGTGACGAGATTTTCTGTCAAAAAGCCCATGGCTATCAGGCCGGAGGGCGCAACGCTGTTGGAAAGTACAGCGCCTGACAAACTATTCAGAATTGCCCTAACGCTTAATGTTGCGAACTGGCCGCCTTTTCCTGACACATACGCGGTGGCGTGTCTGATAGTAATGGACGTAATTGGGAAGTCGACAGTGAGGCATCGAATAAGCTTGCTCTGTTTGCCATCGTCCTCCACAATGCAAATGTCGCCGGCTTCGGAGCAAATGATGATGTTCGTCTCGTCCACGACGGCAGCACAACTAAATGTGGCTTCGAGAAGAGACCCGAGGAGAACGTTACGGCCATGCAGGAGCTTTTGTGATGTCTGAATTGCCGAGTTGACTTCATTGAACTTCTGCTTCGACGGTGAAGTAGACGGGCCCTCCTCCACTCGCCATATCTTGATATGTCGCACACCCAGTGTGATCAGGCTGTTGCCCATCCACACCATACCTTTAATGGTCGATGTGCATCTGTTTTGCTGATACAGCTTGGCAGCGCCAGTACGAGGGTCGATCCTCCAGATGAAGAGAAAACCGTCCGTCGAGGCACCTAGAGAGGCAAGCCATCTGGTGTCCGAAGACCACGCAACGGCATTGACACCGAAACCATGCTCGCTGATGGATACCAACGGAACGTCAGAGGAGGCGTCCTCCAAGTTGAAAATCAGCACGCGCGGCGCATATCCTGTCTCGCCAACAGCCAAATATCTTCCATCCCTGCTCAGGGCTAGGCACGTCGCTGCCTTGATGCGCTCACGGCTTGTCCAAGTGTTGGGGGTTGGAGAAACGGACCAATCCTGAGTCTCGCGAATGGCAATTCTGTTCCTGCTGTCGTTGGCCTTTGGCGTTGAGGGTGAGGAGTTGGCGTGGGAAAGCGGCGCGCAGCCATAGACCGGTGCGGCGGTAGGTCGGGCTCGATAGAAACGTTGGGAATAGTGCTCGCCGTCAACGTCCACGACAACGACGGCACCGCCTGCAATGTACGCAAAGGATGAGTTTACGGTGTCGAATCCCGTGGGTGAGGCGCAGGTTGTGCCGACAACTCGCTTGAGAGAGAGGCGGGACTCGTGGGGCTGGCGTCCACGGAGGGGAGATCGAGGCGGACGTTGAAGGTAGGGGGAGTTTCCCGGCGTGAGTTTAAGCCGGTTCGTGGGAGTTGCGCTCATTGTGTCGCCATTGGCTCGTGGACGTTCCTGGAATGTGAGGTTATGAAGTGTAGAATTGGCGCAGAGGGCATGCGTCTTGTAGAATGGTCGATGGTTTGGAAAAGAGTGTAGATCGGTTGGTCGTCGCGAGAAGAAGGCGGGAAAAAAAGGTGGCCGTATGGTAAGGTAGGCGCGAGCGATGTAAGTCAAGAAGGAGAAGAAAAAAAAAGAAGTGGCTGTTGCTGAGTTAGGTCTTATGATTCAAAGCTGCGAAAAGAGGTCAGTCCCGTCAATCTCGAACTCAATTGAAGGAAACATCCAATTGGTTCTTCGCAGGCAAGAACGTACAGTGGCGTCAGGCTGGGCAACATTCCCCAGAGCCTGCAGGAATTAATGTAATAATCTGAGCGCGAAGAGAAAATTAGAAAGAGAGGAGGACGCGATGTGCCGAATGTGAGGTTTTGCTGATGGACGGTTTTCAGACGTCGGGTCAGGGTTGGAGCCGGTTGAGCAAAAGGACGCCTGCCGGGAAGAGCCCTGGTCTGGGGACGCAACTGCCTAGTGGTGGTGGTGCTAGAGGGCCGCCTGTTGGTCACAGCTACAGAAGCTCTCCTGGGAGCGTGGGATGGTGGCCGCAACGCACGGCCGGCCCAGTGGGAGTGAAAGAGGTGGTAGCGTCACACTGCAGTGTGATGGGCAGAGCAGGAACACCCTGTGAATCGCCAGACTTACCGGTGAGCGGGGTGTTACTGCTCTTTTCTGGACCAGCCCTGTCCGTTTCTTCCCAATACGGTCACCCTAACCCACATCGAAATCCACTAGGTATGAAAGCTAGATGTGGGTGCTTGAGGCGGTCTGGCATGTCAGCCCAATCACAGCACTTGCTCTCATCTAAACCCATGGAGTGAGGGGGTATTGATGAGGGTCAGAATCTCCAGCAGACAAACCGTTTTTCTGCATTCTACGTAGTACGGATACAATCTCGTAGCTAACGAAAAAAAAAAAAAATATGTTTACATAGTGAGTCGCGTTGATGGAACAACCAGAACAAAGAAACGGTCTTGGTTCGGTTTTTAGCGTCCCTGCAAAACTCAACCGCCTCGTCTCTGTGAAGTAAGGCCATTCTCAAACGAGGTGATTTCCACCAAGTCGCAATCCATTACAGCTCGTCATCTCCCTCACAAGAGATCCAAGTGCGAACATTCACCCCGTCATCCCCATTGCCTAAAGTGGCTCCTCTTCGCCAAAAGGTGAGGAGACGAGAGAGGAGAAAAAAAAAAAAAAAACAAGCAAGACGCCGTCACCGGACTTTCCCCCCCCCCCCCCCCCCCCCCCCCCCCCGTTCTTAAACAAAAAGCAATAATCCAGACGTCAGTGTGTGGTCAGCCAAACAGTTTCCTTGCAGACATCCAGGGGTTCGCATTGTCGACGGAAAAAGAAAAGCAAATAGGAGGTCCCAAACGCCGCGCTCGGAATCGAACCCTGACAAGTTTGACAGCGGCGCGCTCTTGGGCCTTTCATGCCGACATGCCATCCATCCTGCCGTCCTGTTTGCCCGCGTCTTAGTCCTAGCGCATGGTCGACCGTGCGTACGCCTGGGCCGAGAGAGATAATGAGTCGGTCGTGAAATGAGCTCGTGCCAGGGGTCCCTGTTGTTGCGGCTGTCCCTCCTTCCTTCTTCCTCCTCCCATAGCCACGGTTGATCGCTGGATGATCTACTTTGCTGCTGTTGGATCGCATGGATGCGGACAATTTGGGGGGGGGGGGGGTTTCAGTTTGGTCCTCGGGACAGTCCTCCGCTTAAACGAAAGTGACATGCTGCTTGATTCCGGTGAGCCTCAGCTCCTCTGTGCTCCGCGGCGCATTGTAATCATCCACAGAAATTACACGCATTAGCCGGTCATATGTCGCGTGTCAACGCGGCTGCAACACGCGGGCTCCAATTATCCATTTCCACCTAGCTCTGTGCTGTTCTGCTCTGATCACACTCAAGCTCCCCATACCAATGACTTTTGATGGCTGCTGTGGTCCAATTGCTGTGGAAGAGGGGCCTGCCCCCCCTGGACGGTGTAAACATCCTGTTATACTAAATGACGGACAATCCAGATCGGCCCTCTAACCTTCCACGCAGATCATCATATCCAATCTTAACCTTATATTCCACCATGCAGAGAAGTGGCTACATCGGACAAACTATTGATCAAGTTATCCGCTGGAGCCGAGTGCCATGGTTGACTCCTTGTTAATACTCAAACATAGAATAAACACAAGCCTGGCGATTATTACATAACTCTCGCTCATGCCATCTCTCCATGAACAGCCTCGCGAAGCGCAATTGGCACTCCATGTCCGGGCGCGCCAACGATTTCCGCCTTGAGGACCTGCTGGTCCCATTTGCCGCGGTATTCCAATCTATCATACTTTTGCAAAAACAGAACCACTGGGTCTCGTCAGCCTCATGACTCTGGCTACAGTCAATATGGAAAAGGAACAAACTCACAGGTATAGGCCATCTCGGTCATGGCGAAATTCTGACCGACACAAATCCTCGGACCACCGTTGAACGGGACGTACTGCCACGGCTTCGGCGTCCAATGCTCCCACCTCTCTGGGGAATATATCGCCGGATCCGCAAACTTCTCTGACACCTCAGGGTACAGCTCTCTCCGTCTTTGCATGGCCAAGGTGCTATAAACTACTGAATCGCCCTGCAAAACCGCAATATCTGGGCCGCCGTTTTGTCCGGGCAGCGTCGTCGTCGCCAAAGCAGAGCGAACGTTGAATGGAACGGCCGGATACAGACGCAGCGTCTCATTGAGGCAGTTCGTGAGATACTTCATGTTCTTCAAGTCCTCATACGTAGGTGTCTTGTTGGGCCCTAGGATTGACAGTACCTCATTTCGGAGCTTGGCGAACGTGGCGGGGTACCGGGAAAGCTCATAAATGGTCCAGGAGAGTGTTGCGGCAGTGGTGTCACGGCCTGCCAAGAGGATGGCGATAAGCTGGTCGCGGATAATCTTAGGATCGCGTGTGAAACGAGCTATGTTGTGGAGGAAAGTGAAGGATTTATCCGACTTTGAGAGCTTCTCGAGTTCATCAGGTGGCAATGCGAGAGTCTCGTTGATGTAAGGTACGACAAACTCTTCAATTATACGGATACCGCGCTTATATTTTCCATGGGGAAGAATGGACTCAAACGGGCTACGGGAGTCAGCAGGTGCAATAAGAAAGGATTCGATGCCTTACGCCATGATGGTATAGAACATCTGGTAGCTCTGGACCTCGTTAAAGGCATGGGCGAAATGGTTCTTCGGGCTATTGAAGAACCTGTGTTAGCATCATCCTCGTCCTTCTCAAAGCTCGCCAACTCGCCAGCTAACTCACTTTTCAAGGCTGTTAACGCTATGGCCCAGCAAGAAGTCCGTCGTGACATCCAGCGTCATTCGGTAAAACAGATCCATGATGTCAAAGGTGACTCCCGAGGCGGGGAACTTGGACATCATGGTGTTTGTCCACCTATCGAAAATCGCCAGGTCGCTAACACGATCTTTGATGAACATGGGTCTGATCAACGACCGGTTGTCCTGCCACGTCTTGCCATCGGTCGTGAAGATGCTGTCACCCAGAAAAGGCGACCAGACCTGATGGAACATCGGGCCTTTCCCAAAATCGGCGAACTTGGACGTCAGGACCGTCTTGATGTGCTCCGGTTCCTTGGTGATGAGAAACCTTAATTTGCCGGTGAACCCGATCTCGACGGTGTTCGGGGATTCCTCAGTAGCAACATTGTAGAGTGAATTGAAACCCTCGAGAAGCTGGTGTCTAAGTTGGGACTTTCCGATTCGAAGGAACACAGGAAGAGCTTTATAAGGAGGAGTCAGTTGTTGATTGCCAGGCGAATGCGAGAGGGAATGTCGGGTGGCTACTTACCTGTAATCGGGTTGGAGGCAACGACGGGAGCCCGAACACCTCCAGATCTCCTAATTAGATAGTCATTCCTAACCCTGTAATAGACGAGGAGTAGGATATATGCTCCAACCACATAGCCTGCAATGTGGAGGGGATTGGCGTTTCTGAGGCCCTCGAGAACACCCATAATGATCGACTCCGAGTTGAAGTTTCCCTATCAACTAAAACCAGTAGTTTGTTTGTTTTGACGGGGCTTGTCCGCGGAACAAGACGAAACATAGGAAATCAACGGAGAAGTTGCTTGAAAAGGGCTTGTAGAAATAATAACAAGCTGCCAGTCACTTCCGGAAGACAGCCAGAATGGGAAGCAGGAGTGACATCGTCTTAACTGATCCGTTTCAACACTCACCGAGCGGCACATGTGAGGGCTATTTGCCCAGACCGCGGTTAGGTTCGTTTCCCCAACTCGGGGTATGCCTCCTTCTCGTTTCGTTTGGACTAGCTGATTACTGACTGATGGAACGGCCACGATTGGACCGCTCGAACTAGGTTGCTACATCGTGATCGTAGCGTTTCTCTCCCCTCCAAACAGAGATCACATTCTCAGGGATGTGCCATGCAGCTTTGTCCGTCTCAATGTAACTACACTTTTTCAAAGTTTCGCTTACCTGTTCCGCGACACATAACGCAGTGACATTTTGCACAGCTGTAAAAGGGCGGGGGAAGCCCGCCAAGCCCCTGCATGATGCTGTCGAAGCTCCTCAAAAAGCTTCCGATGCGAGCCCAGACCGCTGGGCTCAATAGCTCGTCCTTGTAGTCATTCTCCCTACTATGCGATCTGCAAAAATTACCTTAGTCTTGTCACTAAAATGATGAAAAGAGAGGGTAATAGAGAGAGCCATCTTTCGGAAGAAAAATGTAAAAGTGCAGGACCGACCGTGGTTCGAACACGGGGCCTAGAGATAACTGCGTGTGACTGCAATCTCTCGCTCTACCACTGAGCTATCGATCCAGCTCAACTTATTGGATGAAATGCAAATCCCAACATGAATATTATATAGTTTTATCAACAGGCTGTCCCACTTGTCTCCAACTGTCCGTTTGGATATGGCTAGGAATCCACCTCAATTGCTAGTTGTCGATTAAAGCAAATGCCAGGTTGCTTGGCCTAAAGAACGATGCATTCCTGTCCCACGCATTTGACCATACGGGTATGGTGGAATGGCAACTGGAGTCTCCACGGTTCAGCTAAATCGCATGGCTTTAGCTGTTGATGTGACGGAAGCCTATCTCAGCTCCGACGGCATTCTGTCAAGCTTAGACGTGTCACCGCTGTTCCAGCCCCAAATCGTGTCTTGCTTTATTCCTTCTTTCGCATTCAAAACGGCCGTGCAAGTGTCAAATTATCACCCACCAGCTTTCATGTGCCCTTCGTATGGGGTTTAGTTCGGCCTGTCTACAAAACGAGTCGCGTTGCCAAATCCTGTGATGGGACGATGGGCTCTCTATTTCATATGAAAAGCGGCTACTTGTGCCGAGTACGGGATCATGCACGAGCACCTGACGGTTCGTCCATTTGGCATAATTCTGGGTGCACTTGAGACGAAGCAATTTGTCAAATCATTGAGTGACAACAAAGGCTTCCTTTTACGGTGTCATGGATTTTGGCAGCAACTGTGGTCTCATGGCAGCTCCTCCCTAGTTGTAAGAAGATGCCAACGGCAGTAGATGCGAAAACATGAAGCATAACGTGCCACCGATAGGGTTGACGTTCGTAAGATATTTCCAGGAGGTTTGCGCTGGAGACTAAATACTCAAGAGAGCCAAGACGAGTCGATCCAGCGGGTGCATCAGGTAAGTGTATCGGAAGGCCGAAGGTTGAGAAGGATGGAAGAAGTGCTTACCCCTGGACATGCTGCACTGCATGCGTCTTCCCCCAACCCGCAGCTCAGTACCTACCAATGACGGTTAGACAAAGACAGACGTTGGATTCGCTAGGTTACGTTATTTTCTGGGAACTTTGGTAGGAGCGAGAGATAATGTCCTCGGGTTTCGGTAAGTGACGTGGTGTCTTCAGTTCACTCGTAGGCTTTCTGAGGCAGGGTCAAAATGTGGTTTTCTCCGTTCGTCTTGCAAAACCCAAACTTGGAGTTCATGTGGAGCTTTCCGTAAACTCAAACATATTTCTCTTCTTCTCTTTCGAAGAGAGGAGCCTGCATTTTTTCCGGGATGTTCTTGGTGTTAAGATGCCGACCTAGGTAATTGACGAGGCCGAAACCCATGACGTGCCGGCAAGTAAACCAGACAATTCTCCGTTCGTCCATGAGGACGGTGCACTCCTGCAGCATCCGTGGATCAGCCTAGGCATCAGCAGAGCTGGGATCTCAGGGCCAGCCTGCGCCGCATGGTACTAAGGGTTGGGGTTGTGGACAAAGTTGCGGGACAAAGGGCAATTGATCAAGGGTGTCAAACTGCAGTTGCTTTCCCCGCAAAGCAAGTCGCGTAAAGGAGGGTGGTTGATTGGGGAACTGTTGGGTTGGACGGGTTGGGATCAACTGTAAGCGTACGAGAGTTGACTATTCATAGAACAATGCGGGGAATAACAAAAGATGGAGGAAGCGTTTGAGAAAATCGCGGGGCTCCGTTCGTTGCCGCCACGAGTTATGTGCGACTATGTCAGACGATGAAAAGTTATCTGTGTCAGGAGGTCGGTTGTGAAGCTCCCTTCGAGCGAAGATGTGGAGGCGGCTCCTCACGTTTGGTCTATGCGGGCGGCTTTTTCGTCTATAGCGTAGCGCAGGGTAGCGGGAGAGGCGGGACAGAAACGTAGCCGGCTGGGCGGACTCTGGTTACCAAGGGGTGAGGATGTGGGGTGGGGGGGGGGAGTGCCAGATGATGGAGTAATAGTGTTAGCTTGTTAGTTTGCTGTTAAATGTTAGTATATTCTCGGGTTGCGTCGCGTATGTTGGTGTCGAGCCGGGGCTACGAGGTGCATGATCCGCAGGTCCCTCTGGGCGAACGGAGATGAAGGCCATGAAGCTATTCGCAGCCACTTCCCTGCGACTGCGGACTAAGACTCTTGGGGTTGCTGTGCCTTGACTAGTCTAGGCCCACATGGATCCAATTGTTTGAATTTTGTTGGTGATATGCACATACCATGCCTACGTGACATTGTGGCAGAGAGTTGCCTTGCCTTGCAGAATAGAGCAGGTCCATCTGCATCGTTGGATATCCATTCGGAGAGTAGGCCAGGCAGGAGATATTGAGATGCAACCGTTCCCCACTGACGGAATTTCGAGTCATTGTTGATCAGCGAATTTGTTTGTCATTGACTGATGATCTGTCGCCGGTGGACAGACATTTTACAAGTTGAAAAGTGACGACGAGCTCTTGTTTGGCGTCAGCAATGGCGGGCTCAGTGATGACGGGTGATGGACGATGGGTGGTCCAAATAGTGGCGTTATGCGGTCCTCTAGCGGTTAGATGTATTGGATGCCGAGAGATTGCGGCGACTGGCGAGGCCAATAGGTGCTGGGAACCCTGTAGCCGATCTCTACCAAGGCTTGATCAACGCCTGGGAGGGCCTAGGGCAACGAAGAAATGGAGCCTTTGAGGCGACGTTGGCAGGGTTTACTGTTGGGGAAGGCGGCTTCCGACGACGTCGACTTCGGGATAGCAAGGAAGGGAGGCTTGGTTTAGAACGTTCGATGGCTGCTAACTTCCATGCTTCTCAGTGAGCGGTTTGCAGGGAAGCAGGGGACGGACGGCGCGGGCATGGACCTGTCACTTTCCACACTGGGGGACTGGGCTATCTTCTTGCTTACTACTGTAGCGCCGGGATCTGAAGAACAGAACATTAAGTGCACCTAATTCGTTGAACGTCTGGTGATTCTGCATACGGCTTCGCTCAGAAATCTCATGCTTCTCTGGGTGTTCTTCGGCCCTATGGTGCAAAAATTCTTCAACGGTGGCACCGATCAAGGCACCGAAACACACGATTCTCAATAACTTGAACTACTCTTCGGCAAAACGATGGAAACAATGGGCACCACTCTCGCTTGCATCCTCGCGGCAACTTTCGGTCTCGTATCAGCCCCTTCGTCAGTCAATGGATATCAGATCAGATCAGGCCGACGATCAAAAAGTTGGCACACAGCCCAGAAAGGGGGTGTGTAAGTGACGGTGTGACAGCGGGGTGCCCTTTCAAGCAAAGCTGCCAACAAACCCAATCCATCCTGTCGGCGACGGCCGTCCACTTTGCTCCTCAATCCGGCCTCTCAATCAGCAACTTCAATATGGCCGTAGGTCAATGGTTCCACCCTCCCACGCTCACGGCTGCAGCTGAATCCCACTCCCCACCCGCCATCGACAATTCCCTGCTGTGCTTCGTAGTCAACCGCGAGCTGTCAGGTGGGGGTTTCGGTTCCTTCGACAATCCCCCATCATATCCGTTCCAACTGAATGAGGTTCGTCAAACTTCCATCTCTCCACGTCGACTATTCTGAAGCATATCGCCTGGACCCAAAACCATGATCCCAGCCCTAGGGTCCTAGGGGTTTGACATCCCCCGTCCGTCCGTTCTCTCGCCGCCTCTCTTACTGCATCCACCAGAGGCGGGTTACCAACCGCGTGCACTTCCAGTCTGGGAGCACTGGGTTGATACTTATTCCCAAACCAATTAGACTCAGCCTCCGCCCTTCCTTCCCTCTGCCGCTTGTCCTTAATGCGCGCAGGGTAACGTGTTTCCCATTGCACCTAGCTCAACCTAGCACAACCCAGAACTCTTAGTGCGTTTGCCATGTACATCCTCCGACCCGGTGGAGCGAGCGGGCGAGCAATCAACTACAAGCATAGGGCCTGGGCTGCCTGGGGGGTTGGCTACCCGGGCCTCTGCAGGAAGCAGCCAGTGCAGCAGCGGCAACGCAACTCTCACTCCTACCCCAAGTTCAATCTTCATCGTCCTCCCTGGCTCTCTTCTCCAAAAATTCGACCTCTTTGATTGACATGCGGTAATCCGGCCCACGCCTGTCTGGCCTTGGCTTGGTCTTGGGGGGCGTGTCTCGAACTCTCCTTCCACTGAGGGGTAAAAGCTCCGTTGACTACGGTTCCTGGCCTGTCGTCAACATCATACGTTTTTTGCTCTAGCCTTGTCCAGTGGATGCGCAGTCGGCCCTGATACGACTTGCACCACACTCACCTCACTTCAATCTGTCTACCTTAGACAGCACCTTGCCTTCTTTGCGGTGCATCGGCCACTTGACAGATGTATCAGTGTACTCTGTCAGTCAACCCAATTCAAACCCTTCCTTCCATCCTGGCGCGAACCATCCGGCGCTGAACCGAGCTTCCCCTCTAGCACAGATCCCCAATCATGCTATCCATACACCTACCTCACTTACACGCCTAGTCCTGGTCTCAGTCAAGATGTTGCGCCCATCTCTATATAAAGAGCACTTCGCCATGCCCATTGAGTCCCATCTGATCAAACCAAGCGATCCAAGCTCAACAGTCTTCCATCTCACATAAAATCCACTTCCTTCTCTGAACAGGAAGATCCCAGACTTCATCTCTTCTTCAGACTTTCAAATCTCCTACCTCAACCATCACTATGGCCGGTGAAGTCCCAACTGAGCAATGGGCTCAAGTCATTGAGAAGACCGGAGGCCGTATGTCAAGCCCCCTCCCCCATTCTATACCTTTTCGTGTCACTAACACATCCAAGCCGCTGTCTACAAGAAGATTCCCGTCCAGAAGCCCGGTCCCGATGAGGTCCTGATCAATGTCAAGTACTCTGGTGTCTGCCACACCGACTTGCATGCAATGATGGGCGACTGGCCTCTCGACACCAAGCTGCCCTTGGTAGGTGGCCACGAGGGTGCCGGTGTCGTCGTTGCTCGTGGTGAGCTCGTCAAGGACGTCGAGATTGGCGACCACGCCGGCATCAAGTGGCTCAACGGATCCTGTCTTTCCTGCACCTTCTGCCAAGACTCCGATGAGCCCCTCTGCTCTAAGGCTCTGCTCTCCGGCTACACCGTCGACGGCAGCTTCCAACAATACGCCATCGCCAAGGCCGCTCACGTTGCTCGCATTCCCAAGAACGTCAGCCTCGAGGCCGTCGCTCCCGTTCTCTGTGCCGGTATCACCGTTTACAAGGGACTCAAGGAGTCAGGCGTCCGCGCCGGCCAATGGGTTGCCATTGTCGGTGCCGGCGGCGGTCTCGGTTCGCTGGCTCTTCAGTACGCCAAGGCTATGGGCCTGCACACCGTTGCCATTGACGGCGGCGACGAGAAGGCCGAAATGTGCAAGAAGCTCGGTGCTACCGCCTTTGTTGACTTCACCAAGTCAGACAACCTCGTCGAGGAGGTTAAGAAGGCGACTCCCGAGGGTCTCGGCCCCCACGCCGTCATCCTACTCGCCGTCAGTGAGAAGCCCTTCCAGCAGGCCTCCGAGTACGTCCGCTCCCGCGGCTCCGTTGTCTGCATTGGCCTACCCGCCAACGCCTATCTCAAGGCCCCGGTCTTTGACACCGTTATCCGCATGATCAACATCAAGGGTTCCTATGTCGGCAACCGCAAGGACACTGCCGAGGCCCTTGACTTCTTCGAGCGCGGTCTCATCAACGCCCCATACAAGGTCGTCGGTCTCAGTCAGCTCAACGACGTCTATGACATGATGAAGAAGGGCGCCATTGCTGGTCGCTACGTCGTTGACAACAGCAAATAGATAAATTATGGTCGACTAATTTGTGGTCCGAACAAAAAAGTCTCCAAGAAATCAAAAATTGAACTCAAAACAAACAAACAAGCAAGAAAACAGGGGGTAGGAATGGGAGGTCGGGTACATGCGAGCGTTTTTTCTTCCCCGGTGGCGGGCGGCGGTCGGCGGGCGAGGTGACGATGACATTTGGTCGGTTGTTTCAAGGATACCTTTTTTTTTTTGTTTTTTTTTTGGAGAGGGAGTTCAGCGCTGTATGATATGCATCTCGTTTATAACTCCTATTGAAAATGAGTAATGAACAATCTGGACAAACAAGTCGTAGTTCCCAACATGACTCTCGTGCTTGAACGTTACCCAACGAGTTTGAACAGAACAAAGTGGATGATGGTCTTCGTCCCGGATTATGTAGACTTGGACTGGTCAAAATGGAAATCATGGAGCAGAGCACGCACGCACGTTTACTGCGAAAGGCATAAAAATCAGTGTCAAAAATTCAATTTTACTATTGCAAAGTTGCCACAGTAATACGGTGCAACTCTCTGGAACAAGGCTAAGTCTACAGCACAACTCGAAAGACGAGAAAATACATGGCGGCACGCTTGCGCATAAAAGACATGACTTGAGGTCATGAGTTGAATTCTCGTTAAATGGAAGTAGTGCTAGGAGTAGCTTTTTGGTGGACATTTGGGTCGTCGTGATTTCTATGGTGCACTCCCAAGATTTATGAACCGCCAGGGCCGCCCAACAGCGCAAATCGTCTAACAATGCTGGGACCATACTCTTGGTACTATAAGAAAGGTCAATAAGAAGCGCCTCGTGGTCGGCAAATATTAGGGTGCTCACCTCAGCCTTGGTGTGGCAGTAAGATCGGAACTCGGGAGTCTGACCCAGCAAGCTACCACCGAACCAGGGGCCGTGTCTCTGTCTCTTGTGCGTAATGACTTGCACCTCCAGGCCGCCAGACTTGGCACCACCGCTGCGGACCTCACTAGCCCGGATGCGCGCGTCAACCAACTGCTTGATATCTCTCTGCAGGCGGCGACCAAAGTCCTTGTAAAGAGTGGAACCACCAGAAAGAACGATGTTCTTGTAGAGACCTCGGCGCACATCGATGGGGGAGGACTGGATAACGTTGTCGACGACGACAGGGAGAGGCGTCAGGAAGTCTGAGCTGTAGATCTCAGGGTTGAAGAAGATCTCGGGGGCGAGGAAACGCTCGTATCCAACGTCGACGGAGACCTGACGGCCGCCAGGCTGGATCACAGGGTGCTTGATGAAGCGAGTGGGGTCTCGGTCGTAGCGAGAGAACTCCTTGACAATGTCAGGGCACACGTAACAATGCTCCTCCTTGATCTCCTGGGCCGTCTTCAACGACGAATCGGGCTCGCCTCTGTCACGGAGCAGCGACTGAACGAAGTACGTCAGGTCACGACCGGCGATGGGGATCGACTTGATAGAGGATCCAATGACGTAGCCTTCGGCAACAGGGATGACGTGGGTAACACCATCACCGGAGTCAATGACCGTACCGGTCAGAGATCGGTCGTGAACTTTGGAGGAAGTCCACGAGGCAGCAAGGGCAAGGACGGCCTGAACGGCGATGTAGAGGCCGGCGCAGTTGAAGGACTCGAAGAAAATCTCGGCCGTGTTCTCGCGATTCTCGGGAGGGTTCAGGGGCTATAACAGAGTTAGTCAGGATTTATTGCGTGGGGGAAGCATTGCCCGATCGTTCCGTACAGGTTCTGTGAGAAGGAAGAAGTGGTCTTCGGGCTCTACGCGGAGGTACTTGAAGATTGAGTTGGACCAGAATCGCTCCATATGATCCTATACGTTGTCAGCTTCAAGTTAGAAGAACTGCTAGACACAGTACCGACCCAGTTCTCTATTTGACCGTGGCGGATGGGGTAGTGAAGACCGTAGCCTAAAGTATCGGTCAGCGCCTCGCTATTCAGGGCTTCGCAGTCGTGTCCAACTGACCAGGTCCTCCTGCCGCAGCAATAGCCTCATCGCCAATGAAGAAGTCCAAGTCCTCGGTTCCACGCTTTGAATTCAAGTGACCACCAGGACCTGCACCACCGGTCAGGAAGGACGGCTTGTTTGCAACAGCTGGGCGGCCGGAGCCGGTTCCTCCACTGCCGGCAGCGGGCCCTTTCGTCGCGATGGCGGTCGGGAACACAAAGGACGGGGAGTCGTTGCCGGCGAAACCTGAGTCGATCGTCAGAGCTATTAATCGGAATGTTATGAGGGTAGCTATGCAATTGGCATACCGAGCTTCGAAAATCCCGTGCCGCTGTTGATGGCCTGTTAGCTGGTGATGACCTTACTGACGTCTGCCTCGGGGGATGCGGGGCAGGGTGACATTGAGCGGCTTACTTGTCCATGACAACGGCAGGCGTTTGGTTCGCCATCGTGAGTGTGTTTTGGGGTTCACTCGGGAGAATTCTAGCTTTGTTGCAGCATCAAAGAGTGGGAGGATGGACCGGGAAGGTGTCGATGAAGTCGTGATGCTGATTACGACGTATGTCCAAGGTGGTCGGAAATGTGTGCCTTGTCACCGATCGAAGCTCCCAACCTGCGGCTGTGCATCAGAGTGGGTGGATTCTCCAGCCATGGAGAGGTCGGTGCCCCACCAGAAAGCCCCACTAAGCCCCCCAGAATAGGTTGGCGTGACTGTTTGGTCTTAAAGAAACACTGTGCATATTTACTGTACAATTAGATAAGCATCCTCGTCCATATTCTTCATTCAACGACCCCCTGCTTTAGTCTGAGATGAAATGCCACTTCAACGTGCAGATCTACAGAGATGCACAAAGGTGAAAAAGCCGACAAATTTAAATTCTTTCTAGAGAAATATCATATGCCGAGTAAAGAGATTATTAATCGTGTCTGCTCCACCTGTTGGAAGGAAAACTCCGTCGATTTACTGTCAAATCAGGTAACTTTGCTTTGTCAATCCCTGAGGTTTCCATCTTCTGACGTCTGTAAGTCAGGATTTTAATTTTGTCAACCTCAGTCGAGGTACGCCTGCCCTGATTGGACACTTCCACTTGCCTCTAAAGCGAGGGAGAAGACTCTGTCTGTTTCACTGGTTGTTCTGCGACTTCCAAGTTAGGCACTATTAGGCTTTTGTAACAGTTAAAAGATTGTATCTGATGTTCTCATGGGAGGAACTACCAGGTGATAACAGTCCCTGCAACTCCTCGCCTTGACAACCACACCGCTTGTCAATCACAGTTTTAGTGCTTCTCTTTTCTATCCATATCCACCACATCTTCTTGGATGGCATATGCCTGGTCATCGGCGGCCCCCAGGAAAATTTCACGTCCGCATCCCTATTTTTTTTTTTCTGGCCGTCGTCGACTGTGCCAGTCTGACGCAGCCATTTAACCCTTCAACTCTTAGCTACTTTCATTCCCCACAAGGATTCGCAAACTAGTACAGCCAATCCAAGCATTGGCGCTGGTACACTTGATGTCTCCCGATCTGTACAAATCCTGACAACTATCTCTGGCAACATCCGTTATACAAACAGCAGCCCCTCAGAGGGCCCTTACGGACAACACGCTTAATCCTTTCTGCCTCAAAGGAATCGTTAATCAGACATCGTTTGAGGTTATCTTAACTTTGTCATTGCAACCAGCCTGCCACCCGTGCAAACAGAAGCTCTACTCTAATTTACTGGTACCAACACTTCAACCCTTCGAGACCAACACACGACTTGCAATCATTGTTCTGGATGCCCATAAAGACTGCGGCTTTGGGTTGAACGCACATGGGATGGAAACACACGTTGCTGGTGTCAAGCGAAACCCGCTAGACACAGTTATGGGCCCTGCAACATTTCCCTCGAGCATCGACCAGCATGTCTGTCAAAGAGAGAATGACGGAAAGACGATTGGAGGCACTAATGGCACAGTCGATCGAGTTCTGAAGCGAATCCATAAGACCAAATTTACAGGTGCTATCTTCATCCATGCAGGAGCTGGCTTCCACAGCCACCAGAATGAGAGAGTCCACTTGGAGGCTTGCAGCGAGTACGTTGTCCCTGTCTATTTGTCTGTTTTCACGACTGACGCTAACTGAGTAGTGCTGCTACTATGGGCATGAAATTTCTCAAGTCAGGTGCTTCGGCCACAGAAGCCGTTGAAGTTGCATTACGAGTACTGGAAGACAAAGAAATCACCAATGCTGGATACGGTTCGAATCTCTCGATGGACGGGACCGTCGAGTGTGACGCCACCATTGTTGATCATCTTGGAAGAAGTGGTGCTTGTGGAGCTGTTCCAAGTGAGTCTTTTATAAGATGGTCAAATGATGGCCAAGGCCAGAGCTGACATTGGATTCCAGATATACGGAACCCAGTCTGCCTTGCAAAACTGATTTTGGACAAGAGCAATCAACCTTTATCTCTGAGAAGGGTCCCGCCTAATATCTTAGTCGGCGAAGGTGCGAAGAACTTCGCGCTTGAAAACGGCATGCAACCGGTCCCAAACGAACATTTGATCTCCAAGAATGCAAGAGATCGATTTCTTCGATGGCAAGAGGATCTGAAGCGAGCTGAGGAGAAGTTAAGGCAGGGCGGAACTCGTAGAACCCCTGAGCGGGCTGTCGACATTTCTCAACAGTACGAAACGATCCAAACGCCTGGGTCTACACGAACGCAACAACAGCAGCAGCAACGGGATCATACGAGCGCTATCCTGACTGGAACATGGAATGAAGGCCAACCGGACTCCCCGCATCGAGGCTCTCCTGCACTAGAGACACAGGCACCAAACCAGTCGCAAAGCAATTCTGGGCCGGGACGCCCTCAGGGTTTATCACCACGACAAGCAGCAGAAAGGGCCACTTTGAGTTATGCAGAGACCTCGTTACCTTCTTCCAGTAAGTCGCGCAACCACCGTTGGCAGGAAAGAAGCACGACAGCATCCGATTCTAGCCACTTGGTCAACCAGGGAAATCGCGATGGTACATTCTCACCCCAGTGGTCAGACGGAACAAAAAATGCCAGCACTATTGCACAGCTACAAGCATGCAGTCCTCGTGGTATTAAGCGACCACTCTCTGCAGCCGATATGGAAGAGGATATCATCACCGACACAGTCGGGGCCATCGCAATCGATGAACAGGGACACATCGCGGCAGGCTCATCTTCTGGTGGTATTGGAATGAAACACCGAGGGCGTATAGGGCCAGCTGCTTTAGTAGGCATCGGAACGGCCGTCGTACCTTGTGATCCGGACGACCCAGACAAAGTCAGCGTAGCTACTGTAACAAGCGGCACAGGAGAACACATGGCCACTACTATGGCATCTCAGCGATGCGCGGACCGAATCTACGGCAATACTCGGCGGGGACCGGACGGCAAAGATGTTGAGGAATGGGACGAGGATGCCATAATGGAGTCATTTATCACGAATGATTTCATGGGCCACCCCGGCGTCAAGAGTTGCAACTCGGCCGGAGCAATCGGCGTGATGACGGTCAAAAAGATGCGGACGGGGTACTACTTATACTTCGCACATAATACTGACTCCTTCGCGCTCGCGTCGATGGGCGGCTCAGACAAAGAGCCTGTGTGTGTTATGTCCCGACTCGGCGAGTCTGCTCAAGTCACACGGGGTGCCCGGCGGATCCGAGTCGATCCATGATCTTGATAGCAGGAGTATTGCGTACCGTGTGGGCTCTCATGTCCGCAGGCAGCAGTGCGGCTAGGAGGCTGAAGTTGGGCAATGTGGGTTGCGGTTAGATGTCGTTGGCCTCTGACCAAGTGGCAGATTGGTCAGTGGGTTTTCAAGCCTCGGAAGGCTCAGAATTCTTGGTTTTGCAATGGTACTTATTAGTGATACCCTTCGATGCAACAGACTTATAACCCTAAAGCAGTCTCTAATAAAAATGGCATCACTTTAGTGACAAGACAGGTTGCCTCAGTTCACTTCGCGTTTGACAAAACAAGTTGTTCCTGAGTCATTAAGGTAGATAGGTCATTGAAATAAAAGGCTGATGCTCCACAGCTATACCAAGCCTGGCCGCCTTTCCTAACGCCAAATGTACCGGGTCCCTTGGGAAAGAGACTGTCTTTACTCAGCCAACCATGGCATGAGCGACCTCTCAGTATTCGTTTACACAGCTCATGTTGTCGAGCTCCCTTAATGGTTTGCCACGATGACCCCGGTGGAAGTCACAGGCTTCATGCTCAAACTACTCTATAGCTTTCGCTAGAATGCTTCTTTGGCATAATGCCTCTAGATTGAAGCGTGATGGACGTCTTGTATTGGACACATGTAAGCCCTCATCCCGGACGTGGCGTGCCTGCTGCACTGCCCGTCTCCTCCCTAACGTGACCATTGACCAAGACCTTCTTCTTCTTCTTTTTCTTGCGCGGGATGACGGCGGGCTTAGCGCCGTAGCTGCCCAGGGCGAGCTTGGTGCCGCAAGTAAGACATTCAGAGTCTTTAGGCGGGTCGCAGAAGATGCTGAGGCAAATACTGCATACGAATCCTGTGTCAACGACCCGTCCGTGGCAGAAGCAAGCGGCCCGGAAGTCAACAGTATGATGCGTGGGCGGAATCAGAGACGAGCGAGCTTCGGCATCGGCAGAGTAGGCGAACATAAGGTAACTCAGCAGGCCCATAGGACTGGCTGCCTTCATGAACGTTCCGTCTGTTATGTAGCTGGCCTGTTGGAGAAAGGTTGCGTCGCCAGAGAGGGCGAGAGTGTCGATCGGGATCTGGGAGTGCGCAGCCGCAAAGACGGCATTCATCGTGGGTATGTACTGCACCGGTTCGGAATCGGAGACGGAGAGGATGAAGATGCGAGCGTGGAGGCGGGTTAGTGCTGAGGAGGTGGCACGAGGTACATCGGGCGCCTTGTTTGTCTCGTTGAGTGACAGCGAAGTCTTGTTGATATGGGAGAGTGCCAAGGTGAGCGCTCCCGAAAGTTGTGTGGTGGTACATGACAGGTCGGCTTCTGTGGTAGCTGAGACGACATCGCGCATCGACGCCAGGACGGCCTTTTCGATCTGTGCGAACTGGGGGAACTTATTGGCGGACGACTTGTTCGGCGTCGGTGCAAAGGCGTCGGTCATGTCGACGTCCTCAGATGTGCCGTTTGTCGAGGACCCAGCGGCTTCGGGCTTTGCAGGGTAGAGCCATACTGCGCGATTGCTATGTGATGCGATAATAGCGACCTGGTTGGCGTTGCTGAAGGCGAGGTGGGCATTGACAAAGACGAGAATATTTGCGATGGCCTTTGAGAGGGGGAGGACATCGTTGAGGGCGGCCCAGGCGCGGGGGTTCGTGTCGATTACGATGGATAGAAGGGAAGGCGTGGTCTCATGCGAGGAGACCTCGTAGTGGTCCGAGGCGTCGACGTTATTCATGGTGAAAGGCGGTCGTGGCGATGGCCTCGTGGGCAAGCGGCCAGGTCGCGGGAAAGTGTCACCTGTAGAGCATGTGTGTAGTAGTGGAACGAGCTACAGCGGTCAATCGCCGATCAATTGGACACCTTCGATCCTGCGTCGTCAAGAACAAGGGCTAGATCATGAATCTTGGCGCCGTGTCATCAACAAGGGGGGAAAAAGCTACGGTGAATCGAGGTAAGGGTGGATTTGTGTGAGGTGTAGTGATGCAACAAGCTTGCTTCACTTTCAGAAATAACTGACGACCAAGCTGAAGCTGGTCTGTGCGTCACTGAGGAAGGAAAGAAAAGTCAAAGTTATTGGACGGCACTGGCCAGGGCCCCGGGCTGACGGGGAACAGGCTCCGAAGGGTCCAGAAGCACTGCAGTAGGCTGGGATGCACCACAAGGAATCTTCTACTAGGATTTACATGCTGCATCGTCCTAAGATCATCGCGACCGACCGCGGCAGGCTCAAACTCGACTGAAGAGAATGATCAGTCATGCATGGATATCATCATGGATATGGAGAGATCTTTTTGGTTTTGTATTAGGTCATCGGCTTGCTTTTAGAGGCTTATCTTCAATCACCCTCCGCACCCCCGCGTTCCAGTTACGCTGGTTGATGGGCCACACATATTACCTTGTTGTTGCCTCACTGAAATGACCCAGGGAATTGGCAAGGTTATAAGCGCATAAGGCGCGGTTTGGCGTGGGGGCGCGTTAAGTGGTAACGGTAACGGAACGTGACGGCGGACTGAGGCACTGATGCTTGGGACATTCAAGCATTTCGCCCCGCCCCTACACACAGCTTCATCTTTTTTTGTCAGATCCAAATTGGGATGTACCTGCTTTGGCTAGTCAGCAGGCCAAGAGGGGCTGAAAGGCTCAATCCAGCTACATTCATGCACACGGAGAGACCGGGCGGTGTAACTGTTGGGTTTTCGTTCCAGGCGGTTGAGAGAGTTTGGTCCCCTGTGATGCAACCGCAAGTGCGAGCTTTGAGTGTTGAAAAGTAGGTGCTTGGGTGTGTGTGCCCTGCATGTCGGTTTGCAAATGGGGGCCAAGGAGGGGCACCCGTGGCACCTAAAAAAAGGTAAGTCGGGCCTTTCCCCCACTGAGACTTGGGAAGACGCGGATGAGACCTGACGGTTGAACAGAAACTGGAACCTGGACAACACTCTGACCTCACCTCCTAATTAAAGTGCGAACAAAGTACGTACCATAGTACCCCCTTCTCTTTCGACGTACCGCAGATGTGTGTGTATGTGTCTGTTGTGTGGCTGAATTTCGCCCATCAACTCACTGACCAGTGACTAGTCTCACTTGTGAAACCCCTTGGGCATCTCTACTTTTTTTTTCTTATCTCAGCAACTGACCGACACAACCTCCTCCGTGCATCTGTCATCGCCGCTGCACCCTGTGACCATCAGACCGCAGCACAATCTGTTGTCGCCCCTAAGGTAAAAGGTACTTATATCGAGATCCGCCCGTCCCGTCTCCTTCTAGACTTTTTTTCTTCTCTTTCGTCCCAGGTCTGTCCTCACCCGCCACCAAACACGGTTATATACCCAAAACAAATATACATATCTACATCTGCTTAAACCCTTCTTTCAGCTAAGCCATTCATAACCCCAAATGGCCGCCGTCACCCAAGCTACGGCTCCCAAGACGGAGCCTTCGAGAGAGGATGAGACCCTGCTCGTTCTTGCGCGATTAATGGAAGGCGGCAAGGAGGATGAAGAGACCATCCGCGACCTGGACCAGCTCACAAAGCTGTTGAATGATGACACCCAGCTCAGCCAGGCCAAGACATCCGCCCCGACGATATGCAAACTTATCGACAGCGACTGTGTCGACACAATCTTGGCATACCTGGATATGAGACAGCCCGAGATCGTCCGCGCACATGCCATCGTAGCCACCTCCGCCTATCTCAAGGCTGCTGGTGACGACGGAGCCAAGAAGCTTTCGGGCTTCTTTTTCTCCAAAATCAAGAGAGGCACCTACGATGACTACATCGTCGCCTTCTGCGTTGCCGCTGCCACCTTCCCGGTCGTCCCAGACCTCACGGCCGAGTTGTTCCTCAGCGAGGGCTTCCTCAGCTCCCTCGGTCCTCTCATGAGGAGGAAGTGGAAGAGCCGCAAAGTCGAGACTGCCTGTCTGGAGATGCTCAACGCCGCCTGCATGAACTCACAGTGCCGTGACGCCGTCAACAAGTACTGCACCGAGTGGCTGGAGGAGGTTGTCGACCAGGACCCCGACCAGATTGCCAAGCAGATGCAGCAAGACCCGGAGTACGCCGCCCAGGAAGGCTCCGTCTCCATGCGTAGGCATTCGGAGCAAGTTCAGAACTTGGCGGCCGTCATCCTAGCGAAACTGAGGGTATGGTATTCAGACCTTTCAACAACCGGACTTGAAGCCGTCCAATCTAGATCTGACTGACTTCAGAACGAAGGCGGTGCCCTCGGCGTCGGCGCTGAATGAGGATGGGCAAGGAAAGATTTCACCAGCAATCACTACTATCGAGGAGCTGTCAGAGAGATTTACCTCCATGCTCCTGACCGATGACGACTATGGAGATCAACATTCTATCGAAGGCCTAGCTTATGCATCGATTCAGCCAGCCATTAAGGAGAAGTTGGCGGGGAACCCGGACTTTTTAAAGAAGCTGGTTAAGAAACTAGCAGATGCCCCGCCAAAGTCACCCGTGACGTACGGAGTGCTCAGTATCTTGGTGAACCTCACCAGGTACCAGCCTAATCTGTCGGAGGAGGAGAAAAAGATCAACCAACTCAAGGCGTATGCGGCGGCAGCTGGCAAGTCCGGCGGTCCCGACCCTCTCAACGACAACGAACATGTTGCAGAACGATGCAAGCGTGTGTTTGAGGCCGGCGTCACACCGGTCCTGGTTACTCACAGCAAATTTGGTTCACCTGCTTCGCTTTCTCTTACTGTCGCTATCATTTATTCTCTATCAGTTACGACATCTTTACGTGGAAAGCTTGCACAGCAGGGTGCTGTAAAGCTTCTCTTGACGGCATGGGCGACTTTGCCAGAGACGGAGTCTGCGGGCCGTCGGACGGCCGCGCAGGCTTTGGCGCGTATTCTTATCAGCACGAACCCGTCGCTCGTCTTCGGTGGCAGCCGCTCAAACCCACAGGCGTCTGCCATTCGGCCCCTTGTGTCCATCATTCCCCCAGACCCAACAGCCGAGAACCGAGACCTCCTTCCGACTTTTGAAGCCCTCATGGCGCTTACTAATCTTGCATCAACTGACGATCTTGACACCAGACGGGCCATCATCCGCACAGCATGGCCGCAAATCGAGGATCAGCTGCTCTGCTCAAATGCACGGGTTTCTAAGGCTGCCGTCGAGCTTATTTGCAACCTCGTGCAGGCAGTCGAAGGTATGGCGTTATACGCTGATGGAAGTCCGCAGGCAAAGGGCCGGTTGCACATTCTCTTGGCCCTGGCAGACTCGGAAGATGAAGGTACGCGCAGCGCTGCGGGTGGTGCGCTAGCAGCCCTTACTGGCCATGAGAACGTTGTGCAGGCTATCGTGGAGCGCGAGCGAGGTGTCAAGGTCATTCTCGACATGTGTGCGGATGATAACGAGGACCTGCGACATCGTGCAGGCTTCATCATCTACAACATGGTCGCAGCTGAGGGTGCGTCGGGTGCCAATGCGCGGAAGAAGATCATCGAGGAGGATGGCCTCGAAGTGCTCAAGGAGGCGGCCAAGAAGAGTCGGCGGCCGGAAGTGCTCGAGGTTCTGGTACAGGCTTTGAAGGTTCTGCTCGAGGACAACAAGACCCTGGAAGGCTAGAAAGGGCGCAATCACTTTCTTTGCACAAGATCGACCCTGGTCCATGAGTAGACAGACTTATACTTGAGAACGTGAATAAACAAGACTAGAATTCTCTAGAAACACAAAAAACTCGAACCACGTCCTTTTACGTTGGCCAAGTTAACTTTTTCTTTTCTCCCTATCTATATTATAACTGAACGATCTGATGGTATCATGTACTTTTTTCTACCCTGTTCAACACCGCAACGCCCTCGACATGTCCCGTCTGGGGGAAGAAGTCGAAACCCACCAGACTCTCAATCTCGTATTTTGTGCCATCACCCCCGTCGCCACGAACCAATACACCAACGTCACGCGCTTGCGTGTGTACGTTGCAGCTCACGTACACCACACGCCGCGGGCCAAACCTCAGCAGCTGGCTCAAGAAATCGTTGTCGCAGCCTTTCCTAGGAGGGTCGATGACGACGACGGTCTCGTCGGCGGGGTACGTGACGTGCTTGAATAGCTCCGGCGCGTCGGCGGCCATGAAGTTGCATTGCTCCTCGGGCAGATTGTTCATCCGCGCGTTCTTCCTCGCGCACTCGATGGAGTCCTTGGCAATGTCGATACCGGTGCTGCCCTTGAAGAGCGACGCAAGGGTGATGGTGAAGAGGCCGGAGCCCGAGTACGCATCGATGAGGTACTTGATGCGGTCCCGGTTGGGTCCGGCGGGGGGCATGACGTGCTGGCGGATGTAGTCTGTGAATTTTGGTAGGATGGAGTTGTTGTTCTGGAAGAAGGAGTTGGCGGGGTTGGTGAAGATGAAGGAGTCGATGTACTCGCTAGACATGACGCCTGTGGGTTCCGAGATGCAGGTCTTGATGTCGACGTGGGCGTCTGTCTCGACGCGCACCGCGTCTTCCGGTGTTTCTGCCGGGGGCTGCTCCTCGGCGTCCTTGGGGTACCGCTTGGTGTTCTCGCGGAGGAGGATGGTGGCGCCCTTGGTGTAGTTGCCAAAGTCGCGGGCGATGCGCGCACGCTCGCGCTTCATACCGAGCCTCACAGCATCGGTTCCGATAGGGCAGTCCTCGATGTCGAGCACAATGCGCCGGCCCTTGGCGTTGAAGCCCACATCAGGGACCTTGTCCAGAGCCGGGCGCGGCTTGCCCCTCCTGTGGAAGCCCGGGGGGCCGTCAAAGTGCGGGGTGAGCTTCGTGCGGTAGCCATATTGCAAGGGACTGCCAATGGTGTCTTTGATAGTAGGTACCAGCTCCGGCGGGAGTTGTGAGAAATTGCGGAATGCCTTCTCGACGATGGTGCGCTTGTGGGCAAGCTGAGTGTCGTAATCGAGCATTTGAAACTGGCAGCCGGAACATTGCGAGAAGTATTTGCAGTTGATCCGGGAGTCGTCACGCAGGGGACCGGGCTTGATGACTGACAAGAAGTCGGCGACAGAGTAGTTCTCTTCACGAACATGGCGGACTACCTTGATCTTCGCGACATCACCCGGCGCCACAAAAGGGACGACGTAGACATTGGGGGAGTTGGGCTGCACGGCGAGGCCGTCACCCGTAGAGGAGAGTTCTAGGACTTCTACCTCGATTTCGGTAAAGAGGTCGGGGAGCAGTGTCTTGGGTGTCTCGGCAGCTTCGGCCTCACCCTCCGTGGTTTCGGGCTCCGGGAACAATTCTTTGCGGGAGGCGATGAGCGCTTGCACATCCGCCGCCAAGACCTCTTCCGATGAACCCTCAGTAATGTTTCTCTCACGCTTGGATTTCCGCTGCTTGAAGTTGTTCCTGCCACCTCCCTGACCTTGGAAGGGACGCTTGCCATTTTGCTTTTTGTTGCCGTTCTGCCATTTCTGTCCTTCGGGTTTTGAGGGAGCGTCTTGAACTGGCTTCGTCTCGGGCTGAGCCTGAGGCGCCTCTGTTATTGCCGACATGATTTTTTGGCGAAATTGGGACGTGGAAGAGCTTGATTGACGGCTCCTGATTGAAAAATGAAAGCTGCTTAGAGCCGGACGAAGTGAAGATGAATTGAGTCTCGGAAGTAGCCGCAGGGGCAAACCCATGAGATACTTCAATCAAAGTTCTTGGGGGAGCCGCAACGGTTGGGGTGGAATTCAACGCCCAATGTAAAACTAGACGTAACCAAAAGAGAAGCTAAAGAAAGCGTACACCCACAAGGTGAAAATGTGGTGGTGTAAGTTGAGCTATCAACCTTCACAGAGTTCAAGTTGAAGCTTGTGACTGTGAGAAAAAGTTATCACCGTCTGAAAGTTGCTGAGCATTACTTAATTCACAAGTTGTTGATTGGCCGGCTATGTGGGGCAGCGCCAGGTGATGCTTATCATGCGCCCCCCAGTTTACCTTATCCGTCGCCCGGGGGTGTGGAACCGCCAGCAGCGTCCCGAGACCTTGTGAGTTGCTGGGGCACTTTTGGTCTGTCGCAATCGAGGATCCAGTAGACATAAGTCATGACGCTCCCCCCAAATACGGAAGGGGTTGAGCTCGCCATCGCCCTAGTCTGCAATCCTTTTTTTTTTTTGTGAGTTATTGGAGTTTGATAAACTCTCTCTTCGGTGAGGGACATCACTTGAAAACGGTGCTAGAGGGTGAACATAGATTGCCTTTTTGGGCTTATCAGTCATCGGCGCAAACGCAGATAGCGCCTCGGAGCTTCCGTCCGGTGTTCAGACTCACTTATCGCCGCCCGTTCTTCATTGAGCTATTCGAGATGAGTGAGTTCGTCCCATCCCACGGGGATCAGCGCTGCTGGATGAAGGTTGAACTGACTTCATTCAGAGGCTTATGCTCTTTCAAAATGGCGTTGCTATGCTTATCTGCTCGCTATCGCCGAGTTGCAGTTTGCCTCAGCTGCAGCGATACCGGAATTCATATTTGATCCTTATGGTGGCAACAGAGGCGCAGTCGCGAGCGAGGCTGTAGAGTGCAGCAGGATAGGACGTGATCTGATCGCGCGCGGCGTATGTTATCTTCATATCAATTCCCTTGAAACTCCTTTGAAAGTATGTGGCTATCTGTTCTCTAACACTGAAAGTAATAGGGCAATGCGGTCGACGCACTTGTGGGTACAACTTTCTGTGTTGGAACAGTTGGAATGTACCACTCTGGTATTGGCGGCGGCGGATTCGTTGTCATTAGGGATTCCGACGGAAATTACGAGTCTGTTGACTTTAGAGAGTCAGCGCCGGCTGCTGCCTTCCAGGACATGTACAAGGGTAATGTCCAGGGCAGTGTCTACGGTGGCCTGGCTGTGGGCGTGCCTAGTGAGGTTCGTGGGTTGGAATACATCCACAAGAAATACGGGGTTAGTACAACTCTGGTCCTGTTGTCGAACTAGAGCTAACGAATGCCTCCCAGACACTTCCCTGGAAGACGGTTGTCACGCCGGCCGCATTGCTGGCAAAGACCGGCTTCCGAGTCTCCGAAGATTTGGTCCGGTATATGGACTCGGCCATCAAAGACCAATGGAACTTTCTTGTCGAAGACCCTGTCTGGGCTGAAGAGTTTGCTCCAAATGGTAAGTACTGATTTCTGACGGATCTGACTGTAGGCTGACGCTCGGATAGGCACGCTTCTCAAACTTGGTGACACCATCTACCGTAAGAGATACGGAGCGTAAGATTGCCTCCTCCCCCTTAACGTATCACAACTAATCCAACCATAGTACCCTCGCCAAAATCGCCGAAGAGGGTCCCGATGCCTTCTACACTGGCCCCATAGCCGAGTCAATGGTCGCTACAGTCCGCGCCACAAATGGCACAATGACCCTCAAGGACCTGCAGTCGTACAAAGTCATCACCCGCCCCTCCCTAAACATAACGTATCGCGGTTATCGCCTCACATCCGTCGGATCTCCTGCCAGCGGTGCCGTGGCGCTCAACACGCTTAAGATCATGGAGCAATTCGACCCCTCTGAGAGCGACGATGTAAACCTCGGCGTCCATCGCTTCGATGAGGCCCTCCGTTTTGCTTATGGCGCTCGTTCGCTCCTTGGCGACCCTGATTTTGTAGCAGGTATCGGCCCGTATGAAGACACGCTTATCGATGAGGCCAAGGCTAAAAGCATCCGGGGTCGTATTCTTGACAACCAGACGCAGCCGGTTGAGAACTACGATCCGCATGGCACATATGCCAGCGAAGGCTTTGGAACATCGCACATTGTTACGGCAGATAAGTCAGGCATGGCCACCTCGCTGACCACGACTGTCAACCTACTCTTCGGTGCTCAGATCATGGACCCTTTGTCAGGCGTCATTCTGTACGTTTTCAAACTGCACTCTTGCTCAACATACCAGCTAATATACCCAGAAACAATGAAATGAACGACTTCTCTATTCCCGGTGTCCGGAACGCCTTCGGTTTCGAGCCTTCACCCGCAAACTTCGTTCGTGCAAACAAGCGTCCCCTGTCCTCGATAACGCCCATTATCGTTGAGGATGCGGACGGCAAGCTTTACGTCACAGTCGGTGCGGCTGGCGGCTCCCGGATCATCAGCTCTACTGCACAAGTCACCTGGCATGTCCTTGAACACGGCCGGACTATGAAGGAGGCTCTTCGCGAGCCGCGGCTGCACGACCAGCTCATGCCCAACACCGTCACATTCGAATACCCGTTCGATAACACCACTGTTGCGAGCATGCTTGAGAAGGGCCACAAGGTCACCTGGGTTCCCGAGGGTCGAAGCGCAGTACAAGGGATAATTTTCAATGACGGTGTGTTTGAGGCGGCCAGTGAGCCGCGGCAGAAGAACAGCGGCGCATTTACCGTTTAGATGCAGAACCATAGATCCATTGATGTAGAAGTAATATTCACGTTTTTTGGGGTTGTCAGAAGGGAAGGGGTATCCTCTAGTCTATCAAGTAAATATAAGGAAACAAACAAGGCCAGTGCATTTATAAAGTCATGGCCACCAGTTTTTCCATCTGTGCAATCCACTTCTTGTCGAACTCGGTTTCGGTGAACCGCTGAGCTGACTTCCGTGCTCTTAGTCGAATTGGAAGTGCATCCTTGATAGAGAGGGCCTTTTCGTAACCCTCTGCAAACTCTTTGACATTGGTAGCATGAAAGCCTAGGACTTCGTCAGTGTGTTCGTTCCGTCACTCAAGCAGGGCTGTTCACTTACCTGTGGGTTGGCCATCAACCTCGATGACAATGTCCAGCTTGGGTCCACCACTGTCATGAACGACAGAAATCAGACCTGCGGCTTGGTACTCAACGACACCAATACCGAAATGCTCGTTCCACATGCCGTTCACTCCCACCGAAGCCCTTTGGAGCCAGTCCAAGATTTCAGGCCACGAAGCATCCAGGTGAAACTCAACCCGATCCTTGATGTTTAGCTCGTTAACGAGGAGACGCAACGTATACACCCGCTTGGAGTCGTGATCATCTCTAACACTACCAATGAGGACCAGCTTCGCCTCTTTGGCGGCTTCGGAGTGGGTTTTAAGAAATTCGGCAAAGGACTGGATGATGAGTTGGTGGTTCTTTTCGGGGCGAAACTGAGCAATGTAAACCAGGGCTTTCTCGCGCTTTTTCTCGCTGGATTCCGACACCTCTACGGCTTCTTCGAGCTCTTCGACGGCGCAAGGAGGATAGTTGACGGCGATCGGATTGGTCCGCGACCTGGCCTGGCGGTGCGGGCCCCAAAGTCTCTGGACATGACCTTGCGTCCATGTTGAGTTCGTCATGACGATATCGACAGTGGATCCAACTCTAGAGTACAAAGACGCGAATAGTTGCCAGTACGTCTTCTTGACCCTTCCTCGTAGACCAACTCCTTTGCCAGCGTTGACGCCTTGTGTTCCCGTAGCGGAGTTGGGATCGAGAGATTCCAGCATATCGGTTGAGATCGTCGGGTAGTGCACATACGCGCATGTGGGAACTCGGTGGAATAGCAGCTTGGACAACCCCAGAGCAAAGGCGTAACCCATAGTGTCAATGAAAATGTCAGGGACCAACAGTTGGAATGCATCCCATGCCAGTATCATGGAGCCTACAGATTGCCCAAGTAGTGTAAAGTGAGGCCAGGTCGAGGCCAAAACAAGGTGCCTCGTGCTCACGTAGAGGAAGTTGACATTCGGAGGGTGGAGGTCAATATTGAATCGGGTCTGGCGTGTTGTAAGTTTAGAGAAATAGGAATTCCAGTATTCAGGTCACAAACCTTGACACGAGCAAGCATGGACTGCTTGTTCATTTCGTGATCGCCAGTGTATACAACACAAAGCGCGTTGGGGTATCGCTCTTGAGTAGTCTTAATCGCAGCCCAGAGGACTCGCTCTCCTCCGCCTCCAGCATTACTGAGTACTGTTAGTCGCCGTCTCTAGCTCTTGTCTATGACGTACGTACCAGAAAGGATGGAAAAAGCCAACAACTCCAGTCCAGTTTGCGTCCTTTTCTTTCTCTGAGCTTCCAGATGATTGTGCCTGCACATTATCCTTGTTTCCAGAGGCTTTCTTGGAGGTCGATTGGGATTGCCTAAACGATTGCTGCTCCGCAGCCATGAGCTCGAGGAGCTGCGCTCGCCTTCCTTCCGTCTTTTTCCGCAGATACCACCCCAGAAGGGAGCCGAGGCTGCGCATCAGAAATGGAATCATGATGTAGGTTGCTAACGGGGTTATGGCGATGATGGGCACAACGACGTAGGCTAGGGTCCAGGGGTCGAGGCCGAAAGAAAAGGGCTTCTGCCCAGACGGCGCTGAGCAGGTTTCTGGCATCGGAGTCGAATGAGAGTGTTTTGAGGATGCTGCGCAGTGACCGCAAGATGTTTAGGTAAAAAGACAGTCGAAGCCGAAGTAAGCGGCTGTCAAGTCCAGTAGCATCCGCATGCCCGTTGACGTCGTCGTGGGATGCTCAAAGGGTAAGATGGAACAAATGGCCAGGTTGTACAGCAAGCTAGAAATGGGGCGGGGGAAGCTGCAGCACATGGGTTAGGGCGGCACGTCTTACTGTGCCGTATGTACCTCACAGTGGGACTCCGCAAGGGTCCAGGTCGTTGTTGAACCCCCTGCGAGCTGGGCTATTTTCGACGCCTCGTTTGACTAGCAAAGGCCTGATCTGATTTGACAGGGTCAGTGCGTGGGTCCACTATAGCAGTATTCCATTGACCACTGAGATTTGACATTTACATTTGTGACACTCTCAGCCTCCTTCAACTGGTCTCAGTCCGTCACTGAAAAATCGGTATACACAACTTACGTCTGATTTTACCGACAGTCTTTTGAGTCGCTATACCACAAAATAAGCGGCCCATGAGAGATTTGCCATGGCTTGTCTAAGGGGAGCACGATACGCCCTCGCGCCCCGGTGGCACCAGCCTTTGGGCTACTCAGTCAACCCACTCCACACATCTCTTCGACCATGTCTAGCAGGCAGTGCCCAGCGCTTCACTCAACCAAGACTCAGCTCTAGAAATTTTCATATAAGCGCATTTGCAGACGGTTGTGTTCAGTCTGTTCAAAATGCCCTGCTTCACATGCATATCGAGGGCATACCGTGGCATCTTGCTATACCCATGTTGGCTGTTTCCGTTGCCTTGGTGCGATTCCCTTTGCAAGCTTATTCGGGAAAAGTAATCGAACGCCAATCTGAAGCTGCTCCTGTCATCAATTCCTGGCGGTACGTTGTAAGCTTGGGCAAGCTTCAAAAAGCCCTTCGCCTGGCCCGGGAGAGAAAACGGATTCTGGCAGAGCGAAAGGCCCAGGATTGGAAGACGTGGACACCGATGTTGGGTGTCCCGTTTTGGCTTGTCAATTCAGAGGCCATTCGACGGCTTTGTGGCGCCAACGGTGGCATCTTTTCCTTGTTGACTGGAAACTACAAGGAAACAACTGTCTCTGATCAGACAGCGGCATCATCTTCAGCGGTCGATGCTGTAGCCAACGGAGTCCAATCTGTGGGTCCAAGTTTGGACCTAGGTGTGTACAATGACGCAGGACAGTTACTGTTGGACCTCGCCGCGCCTGATCCTTATTTTATCTTGCCGGCCACCCTCTGTTTTACTATGGCCTACACATTCTGGCCACGCACTCCAGAGATGCGTAAGCTGGTCTTTGATCTTGCTGATTCCAATACGGCATTTCTCCCCACCTCTACCAAATGGAGGGTTCGCCTTTCTAGAGCTACGCTTCTCATGTCTTTCGCAATACCGGTCATCTGCATCCAGCTGCCCTCGGGGCTGTTCTTGTATTGGATTACTTCGATGTGGGCAACGCAAGGACTCAACAAGTTGACTACGCCTGAAAAGAAGATAAAAGAGAACGCCATCAGACCTTGCAGGAAACACGAGGAGTGGATCTTGCGCCGGACAGTTTGATTCAAGAGGGGTTGTACAATTGGGAGAATCATTTCAAAATTATGTCCGCGGCTGTAGAGAAGCCCTGTAGTACAATAACAGCAACACAAACCAGGCAACGCCTTTGTAATATCAATCAATACCACCGAAAACCAAAAAACCCTATGCCACGCTAGTCAAGGAAAATTGCGAGGAGAATAATGGTCAGAATGACTGAAAGAATCAACAACAGACAGCATCCTTTGTTGCGAGCTGCCTTCTGATGTCTTGCCGCTTGTCTGAGCTCCACCTGGGCGCCCCGGGTATCGTCACGGACGTCTTCCACATTGTCCGCGATTGATGTCAATTGCTCGCCTTGCTCCGACACAATCTGCGCCACTTGCCTGAATAATACGTTTAGATCGCCGACGCCTTGCTCGATGTTGCGGATCTCCTCCTCGCGCTCGATGATGAGTGCCTCCTGGAAATCCACTTCGTCCTGGGATGCTAATCGAATGACTTCCTGTTGCTGCTGCTGTTGTTGTTGCTCGAGGTGGCCTTCAGCACCAGCTGAGGAATCCGCAGCATCACCATCATGTGCCGCGCGGGCGGCTGTGACGGAAGCACGCTGTTTCTCGAGTGCCTTGCGTTGGATGTCTTGGAACTCTTGGAGGGCGTTCTGAAAGTCTGTCGATACTCTAGACTGGTCATACTTTTGTTGTTTCTGGTATGTGAATTAATAAGAAGTCTTGCGCATTCAGCTGTTGGCACGTACCGTCAAATCATCCCACGTCTGAAGCTTCTTGACCCCATCTCCAATCTCCTTGCAGAGGTCCCGCGTCTTATCGAGATGGTCGTGAACTCTTTCTCTAACCCGGGCAGTATCGCGCTTCGTGCCGAGAATGTTAACGTCGGAAGTCAGCTGTTGAATGTTGCGCCGCAGATTGAAGATCTTATTCCTCAACTGTGACTGGAGCTGCTTGAATTCAGGGTCGTCGGAATAGTTGCCTTGACGACCCGATCGGCCGGCTTCAAGCGATGAAAGCTGGTCATAGGACATTTTGAAGATATCAGGGACAGAAAATCAAGCACAATGGGTATATAAGAAACCGCGCTCTATTGTCTTAACGATGGATCAATTTGGCCCGCAAGGAAAACTTAGGGTGTTCGAGTAAAGTAGGTTCGTGATGCAGCGCCAGGAACCGGATGTCGTCGTTGGCTGTGGCTGGAACCTACGTAAGTGCCTGCTAGCCTCCAATCACGTCACGGAGCTGCAGGGATGCCTGATTGTCTTATCTACACGTGACCCATGTGGCTTAGTCCTGCCGCTGTGTGGGCCCAGGCACTCAGGCAGCTCGACCCGTACCTGCAGTGTTGTTGTACTGGAGATTTTTACATTATTTACTTACCCTTCCGTTCAGATCCCCGGCAACCCAAGCTCAAGTGCAGCCTTGCCAACTTCGCCCAAAACACACACGGTCAACTGACCATGCGCTGTCAGCATGGCACCGGCAACAGTGAGAAGGGCACCTTACAAGGACTTCCTGCAGCCTGCGCTGCATAGGCGATTTTCTTCTACAGCTACAATCTTGCTCGCCCTCTCATATATCCAGGCGATCTTCCTTTCGGGCTGGAGCTCCTGTGAGTCGCCTCGCATGATCCAAGCTTGCGAAGCTCTCGACTGACTTCTGCTAGACTTCTGGAGCTGGTTTCCCATTGGCCCCGCCGGCATTCGAACCCTTTTCCTTTTCGTCTGCGGCTTATCGATAATTGTCTTGCGCATTTCTCAATACCATGTTGGCGCACGCACCTCCAACTCGACTTTCCACGCGTTTACGACGTACTTCTTCAGTCTCCAGACCGTCGAAACATGGCTGTTTTACGGATTCTCGAGCACGCTGTTTTCCTACATCTACCTGTGGGCTTTGCCGGATACTGCGAACATGGGCATAGTGACGTATTACAGCGGCGACCGGGCTAGGTTGAACGAGAAAACCATCTTTTTCTTCTCCTACATGGGCGTTAGCGCTGCCGTACAGGCGCTGTTTCACTTCTATCGTGATGACGATAGGATCCTCATTGACGTGTCGAAGTCTAAGAATGGCGAGGTGAAGGGTTCCGGGGATACGTCTGCCACGTTGAAGAACGTCGTGAACGAGATTCCTGCAATTCTGATCCAGGCGAGTCAGAGGGCGTTCACTGACATTTTTGTCGCCGTTGGAGTTTACTTCATCATCTTGCGATCCTGGATCTGGGGTTGGGCACTGTTCTTCGTCCGGCCCTTCTATAATCTCCCGAAGACAAACATGCTGCCCCCCACCCAGCCTGTCGACTTTTACTTGGTGCTGCGTTGCTTCATCGCTGGGTTTCTCATTTCCAGCGTGTGGAAGACGGCAAACCATGCCTTTTCGACTTTCATGGTCAAGGAGCCCCTGAAGAACGGCAAGCCTCTCACCAGCGAATCCAAAGACCCCAATGGCAGTCTCTTGAACGGACTCAAGAGCAAGAAGTCGCAGATTAAGGTAGGATTTTTTTTAACGAAATGATGAACTTATTTGCTAACAGCTGTAGTGTTTCGCACTTTGGGAACTTGCCTTCATCGCCCGAAATGACGAAGTGAGACGGAAAGCTATTTACGAAGATATTGACCGTAAAGATGGTCCAATGTGGTCTCAGATTTATGTTCTCTGCCTCGATGTGGTCAAAAGCATTGAGAAGAGAATTGACGAGTATGGGAAGCCTGCGGCTGCACCAGTTGCCCCCGTTGTGCCCGAGGAGGTGCGAGCTCGCTCCTCTGCACCCTTGAAGGAGGACCCGATTTTCCAGAGCAAACCAGCAAACAAGAGCATGCGAGGTGAAGTTGAAAAGGCTCTTACCTCAGTCGGCCGTCATCCTGGCCACTCGCCGGTGTCCCAGCTCAGCCCCTTAGCGAAGAAGACCCTTCTAGGTGCGCGAGACAAGGTCCTTAGCAAAGAGCAACAAGAAGCCCTATCATCACCACAGCTGATGAGCCAGTTCCAGACTTGGGCCTTACAGGTCATCGGCAACGAGCACATCGGCTGGATTTTCCGCCAAGAGTTCCGGAATCGTCTCACTGCTGTGATCCTTGGTACACCGTACTCAGAACTGAGCCAGTACATCAACGCTATCGATGTGCTGAGTTTGTTTCTGGTGAATAGTCTTCAGGAAGACAAGTTCGGCAACGTCCACAGAGACGTGGCTTCTGTCATCCGGACATTCACCATTATCATTAACAAAATCGAGACATTCAAGACGAACTTCCCGCTTCATTGGACAGACATTAAGCAGAGCAGGGCCACTCCCGAGGTGGATGCAGTCATTGCTGCTCTGAAGACTGGCCTGGCCCAGGTGGTTGCAGAGTTTGAACCCTACGCCAGCGACTTGCGGTTGAGTCGCACAGATATCAGACTAGCAAAGGAAGCTTCGGTTCCTGTATCTCTTGGGCAAGAGGATAAGCCACGACTTCCCGAGATGCAGCAGGCCCGTTAGAGGCAGGCCTTGTCTGAACTGCGTACTTGGCGGATCGGTCGGTGAGCGGCGTTTGGTGGGCAAAACTAGATGTGTATGCATAACGACATGTGTGTAATAATCACAGAACAAAGAAAGTAAAATACAATGCTGATTGTATCAGGAAGCACATGGCTTAAAGTCTATCACATGTAACCACAGACGTCCATCTCGTCTGCGTTAGAGGAGAATGAAGATGAGACGAGTGGATGCCAGCCATTGGACAAAGTTGCACTTGTAAGACGATTTCGGGGCGCTAGTCATGCTTCTTGCGAGCTAACGAAGCAGCGCCTGAAGGAGGATGGGAAAATAGGCAACCCTACCGAGGACTCCCCAATGCTCAGCCCATAGCAGTCTGTCTTGGAAGCCTGGCATTCAAAAGGCTAGTGCCCGTTGGCTGCTCACCCGCCTGGGCCGCTAAACCGGATTTTGGCCTCTAACCTAGAAGCTACAAGGGTTCGCATGGGAGCCCCACCTGAGCTTTAGGGAATGAACAGTGGACCATACATTGAAATAAAACAAAATGACCCAGCCTCCCGCTCCCTCCCACCTTGTTTGCTTGTCCTGTTGTTCGTCACCGTCACGCTGCCCGCGCAGCGCAACTTCCCGCCGTTTTTACCAACCACCATTCTCTCACACTCTCTCTATTATCTTTCGTTTTCCTATGTAATGTCTAACCTTTTACCTCTTTCTACTAGTCTCGACACTATCCTTCACACTATTCGCATCGGCGTACTTTCCACCCAGCCATGCTTTTCCGATTTCCACCATTACCTCATGCACTTACCTGTCGGTCCATGATTTGTATCCTGAAAACTCGTCACCTCCCGGGTTGATGCGCTCGACACGCATCTTCTTAACCACCACCAATGTTCTCCCCACGTGCGATATTCCGTTTTATATACGGCAGCTTCTATTTCGTCCTATGCTTCCTCCTCGCCGTTCTCCTTCTCATTACCCCGGGCGACACCATTTATCAGGCCTACTCTAACAACCAACCGTACAACATATGGATCATTGCCGCAACGCTCGCCCTTACTATCCTAATTGTCTCCTTCATATATGCGACGCGGCTATATCTCAATAAGACGATTCTCGCAGCTATACCGAAACCATGGGTTCCCATCGAGAGGGGCGACGTGAAGAAGAAGGTTCACGAGATGATCACTGCCGATTTGAGGCGCAGTGCGGCAATCGCTTATGACTCGAGGCCGCGCGTTGAGACAAATGCGCTGGTCAGTGACACGGAGGAGGCGTTCGCAGAAAAGACATCTACTGGAGGCAGCGTGGGCAAAAAACGGTTTCAGCTCGTGAACCTCACGAAACCTGCGACAACAGAAAAGGAGACGGGCATAGCGCTGCCACCTCGACGACCTGTCTGGGGCGAAATCGAACACTACGGCTGGTCATCACCAAATTCAGTCGACCTACCTGATCTACAGTACAGTACCGTCATCTCCGAACTGCCCAACCTCATTGAAGCGAAGGCCTTGACCTCGGCGCCCCCCGATCCGACTTCTTCGACCCGCCAGCCGATGCTCGACCCTGATGCCGTGGCTTTACTGCAACGACCTCTTCATATGGGTTTACGCGATTACTTTGGACACCTGGCTGAGCTTGGTGTCATTTCGCTTAATGCAACATCCGCAGACTTCCTGGCCGCTTATGAATACGCGCGATTCTCCACTCGACCGATATCGAATGCAAGGTTTCGCGAGTTGATGCACCTATTTGCTGCAATACTCCGTGGCATGAGACCCTTGGATCCGACCGTTTTAGGACCCCTGGACGAGCCTAGCGACGAGAGCGATATTGATAACGACGCGCCTATGGCCACGAATCCAACAACTCCTCGAAGTAACCTGTCACGATCTGTGACGCAGAGCACGCAAGGCTCATATAAGAAGAAGACGGCACCGCAAGTAGACATGCGCAACTCATCGGCACACACATGGTTACAATACCGTACTGCACCTGCAACACCTATGGGCACGCTGGCTGGTGCAATTTCGAGGTCTTCCAGCTTGAACAGTTTCGCCCAAACTCGACCGGCATACGAACCCGGTAATTCCTCATCAAGCGCAAGTTTAAGGTCAAAGACGTCCGGAAGCTCGGCATCGGGGTCAGTCATACGTTTGGCAACCCGAACCGACTCGACCGACTTGCCATATGTGCTCACCCTGCGCGACACAAGATGAGCAGCCGACAAACAAACCATCACGATTGAATGACACTGGGGCATTGGGCGTAACATGATATCCAAGGAGTTTCAGGGTAAAATCACTTCACATGTATTATTTAATTGGTAAACGTATTCTGCTGCCGAGTTTTCTATCGGAAATCTATGCCTGTGTGATATATATTTACATACATATTCATATTTGTCCCTCGAGGTTGGCCGATCAACCTTCACTGCATCTGCAACAATGCACTTGATCTGAACTTGTTAAGATGGCCGCATGCGTCTTCGCATTGACAGTAAAGAGGCGCGCTTTGACAGGCTCCATCGTCAACGGCAACCCGTGGTGGCGGCGTTAAGCCAAGAATGAGGCTACCATGGCCATAAAATCTCCGAAAACGTGGCTTGTGAAAACTCAAGAATAACGACGTAAAACAAGGGAGGCAGAGAATCAGGGAGAAAATCAAATAGGATGTCGTTGGAGATGGTGGGATGTGATGAGGGGACAAGATCGGTCGGTTACCTGGCATGAGGCAACGAAGCTGGCAACACTCATGTCTAGCGGGCTAGGCCGCTACCAGCTGTCGACAAGCAACCAATGATTTGGCCTGTTGATTGCAGCTCAGCATTGGCTACCGGGGTTTGTGCCACACTTTTCGGATGCTCAATAAGGAAGCCTCGAACACTATTAAGCGGGTTTGGCAGGCTTTGTACAGATACATGGTGCCAAAAATTGGTAACAGCTGCGGCAAGGTATCGACTTGTGTCTCCGCCCCGAACCGTGGAGTCGGATCCGACGCAATTGTCACGACGTCACGGCCTTGGGGCCGCTCTGTTGACTTGGGGCATTTGCACTGAGTTTGGATCAATGCCTGGGGCTCTTCGGTCTTTTGGAGATGGCATCAAACAGTTTCCAGTATTTGACCAGGCGCATCAATGTTGGTATTATCTCGTCCTTTAAAATTTGGGAATGGATCGACGGGTGTAAGTGATCAGTCTCTGCTTAGTCATCAGTTTTTGTACACAGTGTGTATGTGGGAGGAGTCATACCGTAAGTGCTGTAGAGGGCTGGCGGGTACTTCAACAACCTTTGGTTTTATAGGATCACATCCATTCAAGTATTGACTTGAGAGATGATTTTGTTGATCATTTCATTGTTTTTGGCATGGCGTCCGTTGATAGACGCAGTGGTTCGGTTGAATAGCGGTACAGGACCATTGTTATCGTTCATGAATAATTCGAGCCGCTTCTTCTGGCATGCTTTAGCTCTACGTGCATCGCGCACTGTGACAGCACGCGGCGGTACGTCACTGAAGTATGTCAGCATACACGGGCCTCACGAGCAAGCCCTGGATGAAAAGGGACTTCAGAAAGTATACATGCAACAAGGAGATGATTTACCCGTTGACAGTGGCCTTGTTCGAGGCATTGTCCATGTTTGCAGCAGTTAAATGAGGCGGTAGGGACGACGAAGATAATATCGTTTTGTGAAGTTGTTGTCTAATTATCGATATCTGCAGCGATAGTCCTTTGAAAATGATCGATGCTGATACAGAAGAATGGTTCTGTCTGGTAGTTGAATATACATATGCTTTCGATTTCTTTAGCTAAGGCTGTAATATTTATGGCGTTGGGTCTTATATTAGTTCTGATTATCGTCCGAAAAATTGCTCACTTGGATCTACTGAATAGTTCGCCATAGTTGGTTGTTTGCCTTAGTTGCTTGCATGGTTGCCTTGTATAGTGTAAGGCTAAGGCTGCCTACTAGTTGGGCGAACCACAAGCCATGGTCTCAGGGATTTCGCCCTCCCCAATTCTGTTATGTTTCTCCTTTTGGCCTGTGTGACAAACCTATCCCATGAGGCGGCTGGATCCCATCTTGCCAAGCTTCATAAGCTCCATTTATTGCCACTTTTTTTTCTCCGCACAACAAATATGCACAAGCAGTGCTTTGTGTGCACCTTTATCCTATCGCTGTTACAATTTAGTATGCTGTACATAGTACAGCAGAGATCGTCGCGAGTACCTGCTTTACTCCTGGAACTTCTAAAGACGAGATGTACCCTTATTTAAGTACAAGAATTAACGATAATAGTAGATAATCGAGTCTTGATTGGTTTTATCCCTCCCTTGGCTAAAATGGGTCTAGCCGCACTCGATGGGATAAATACGTGCCATCTTAAGCTCTGTTGGTCTCCTCCTGCTTTACCTGGTTCTACAATGACACCAAAGTACTCCAACCCATTTTAGAAATCAAGTCTACTTCCCGCAATCAAATCCATACTTTCTTTAAGACTTAGCTTTATTGCCACATTCGCACACTGCCTGCACTGACGGAGGAATCCTGACAAATCTATCAAACACCCACGACGCCACGACTATACTCGTTAGCTATACGACACGATCACAATGGCCTTAAACAGTGCTACAACGCCATGCAATTAGCCTGGAGATACCAAGAGGTTGAAACATCTCTTTCAACGACAACAACCCGAAAGGGAAACCGAAAATCCTTTTGCTGTAAAGAAGCATACCTTTGCCTCTTGCCCCGAACTTGTGGTTTCTGCATCTCGTTGGATAGGTACAAGGGGACTATTTGCAGGTTTCTTGCCATCAAACCGACACTTTCTTGACCTGCCCTATCATCTTTGACGGTAAAAAGCTCTCCCATAATGCCATGCGATGCACCACAACATTTTTCCACCCATAGAGAAGGAAGGGTTTCAGCATCATCCACGGCTTTTGGATACCGACTATACCCACAGCGAAGCTGTCGAGAACATCCCCAGATATCAAAGCTGTCGGCTTCTGTACCAATGCGTCAAGTTATACTGACTTTCTCATTATGTATTGCTCTCTCAAGTATGTGCCGCCATAATATTCAGACTGAAGTAACCTACGAGGTGCGCGCGATGTCTTAAAGAATGCGACGATATGCCCACTCCGCCGTCATCACTATTGGATGCGTTGATTCCAGCGACATATGAAATGCTTACCTGAGTGAGAGTGAAGGCGATACAAACGTCAAGCGTGAGTTTACCCGCTCCTACTGCACCTAGTAGCCACCACATCCCTCTCCGTCATGCCCTTAACTACAAAGACCGGCTTTCCATTGTTCCTTCAAGCTACACTTATCAACAGAGCCTTTCATCTTGTCCAAAATTATGCCATATCACTCGTGAGGTCGCTGGATTATAAGGGTGCAAGGCGGAGTTGGTTAATCCATGGTTTTTGTTCTCAACACTTGTAGGAGCGGTACTACGTATGTATAAGAGAGGAGTATGAGGATAGCACCAGCACAATTCATTAGTTTAGCACCAATATGTCGCATCGCTGTCGTCAAAATAGACCAGTAACCTAAAGAACGTAATAGTTTGGTGAAGTTTGAAACCCAGAAAATGCACGAGTAGTTAAAAGTTGTATCAGGACGTCTTTATGACATTACACGCGGCAACTGATTGTTAAACGCTGCTCGCCCTTTTTCACTATCCCTCATGTACCATCTTCCGCATAAGGATATCCAAACGCCTCTCTGCTGTTCAACCCCTGAACCCTATCTCACACTGGTTCTCATCAAGTCAACTGCCTATATGAGGCGACAGCTACTGAAGTTTATGGTTTAACATCCCGAACCCTCTTCAAATTTTATGAAATGATGTCGACGTCGCATGAGCCTATATAGAGATAGAGGCCTTGAGGTCGACAGCAACACCTACGTTGTGCGAAAATAGGTATGATGGAGGTGGCTCACGAGCGGGGAGGCCAGATAAAGGCGTGGCGCTTCCAGCTGAACTATTGACAAGTTTCATTACGATGACAGAAAGCCGAAAGGATAGAATCATCAACTGATCGGCAGCATCAGCGTAGAAACAACGGCATGTAAGTCAACGTAGTCGAACTATTCATCGCGATGGTTCCTAAATAAGGAGGCTGTAGTTTGCTTTAAGCCGCAGCCTAGATAGAGGATGGCGTTGTTATTGTTTTCAATGGCTCGGGATCCTTTATCTTTTAGCATGCTGGTGGTTTTCAGTCTTAGTGGCGATAGCAATATTGGGGACAGCCTAACTAGCATACCTTCCTGGACCAAGAAGTATCGTCTTACGCCTGGATATAGATAGGTTGCATATTTCCCGGCTGAAAACAGCTGAAAATAGTCAGATCGTCACCCTGGAAATGATCTCGGCGATGAATTTCGCTTCTTAGCGTCACGCTGGCGTATGGTCGCGGCAGTCTGCTCAAACATAGGAATGGGTCCGCTATCATCGTTCAGAAAGCAATCTATGCTATTTTGACTGTATGTATTTGCGTTCTCGGCTTCGGCGATAGTGGTATATGAAGGTATGTCGCTGCATGATGCAGTTATTAGCGCATGTTTTCTCAAGTACAAGTTGAGCTGAGGAGAGTTTGTGATGCAGAGGTGTTGCTGTACCCGTTCATGATAGCTGGGTTCGATGCATAGCTCATTTAAGAGGCAAAGACAATGTCTGTTCTCAGGCAATGTATATTTCACGAGCTAGGCGAGGGGCTCGCACGGCAGAGAGATGGGATTGTTGGCACTTGTTTGAGGTAGTGGGAGGATTTCACTTGCGATCTTCGCCAAATTGCCGCAGTAAGAGAAGATATATCGTCGTGAGGATTAAACACTTATTGGTTTTGAGACAAGTCCCATGGCAGAGATTACTTTGAGCTTCAATCCCAATCAACTCGCGAGGGCATGTCGGTTTTTATACGTTTCGAGATTCCTACTCATGTCGAAATCAAATGTAGTACGCACCACGCCCGACACTAGGGGCCATTGCAACAGAGGCAGCCCCTGTTAGCATTCTGGGACTGGAGCTCGACATTTCTCTCAAAATATATGCTAAGAAAATCAGGAGATCTCACTTTTCTGGGGTTCATAGACTTACACCAAGGGTCCCAGTGCTCGTAAGTTAAGAACTTTTACGCAAGCCCCGCCAAAAGTCGATGGTGAAGTGAGGGAGTCAGAGAATTTCGATCTAGGATGCATGCATACACCTCCAGAAACCGAGTTTGTCGTGCATGTTACCTCCCAGTCCACATGGCAGCCTTCAGGCGGCCATCTCCATATGTCACCTCACTCATTTTGCTTAGTCAAGACTCGCCCAGTTTGTTCACGGCGCCATGTCACTGGCGTATCCAAACTACAGGGCCGATGTGGGTAGTGCGGGATTCTAACCCATGGTTTCCGTCCCCTACCAGGGCATTGGGGAAAATACATGGCAAAAGAGCAACGTATCTATTCCGAATGTAGAGAGAAAAATCAATAGCTCTCGCCATTCCACTTCGCCGCATTATCCCATTCGTACGTTGGCGTCACACGGGGCAGGCCAGCCGAGTTGGCAAGGGGTTCGCATACTCTTTGAAGGTTGGATGCTTTAACGTGTATCCGAACTAACTTACAGTGCAGTGAGCAGATGAACACATTGTGGTAGGCAATGCCCTATTCGCAGGCAAAGTCACGGTGGCGGCCGGGGTTTGACCATGGCAGTGGTTGCTCTACGACGGAGAAGTGAGGGCGTAGCTGCAGACCTCAAAGATTAGGAACATGTAGAGTATGCGCCTGCATGAATTGTTGATTGCTGGGTTAGCAACTCGTGATTGGCACAGAATATTTATCAATGACCCGACGCTCCGTTAGCTGCTATCTTGGGTTGACGTTTGAAGAGACGTGTTTGCCTTTGTAATTAGAGCCCCAGAACCAGTCCACGACCCAACTCTTTATACCGCCAGCTGAATTTACAGGGCTTCAGCGACCGCCCCTACCTTCAAGCCGTTACGCTGTCGTTTCCACTGTCAAGAGTATTTGAGCGTAAGGTCGAAAACATCCCCAATTCTCACTATCGCATGGCCGACCAGGAAGGAAGGCTTATTACGGATGTTTAAAAAACAGCATGCTTGATTGGTATAATGTTTTAATCTTTACTTTTCATGAGTGCCATCGTGGCCCACCAACATGTGCCAAAAAACGGGGACATACAACACCAGGTATTCGCTGGTCGTCACCGACCCAACTACTAATCCGGCCCTCACTGGCTTATCTATGGGAGAGCGGACGGGATCCCGAGTTTTCCAGTGGGTATGGTCGTATGTGCTAGGACATGGAGTTGTATTCAATTATATTCTTACAGCTGCATCGTTTCGCCCATTCTCTATTCCTTCTTGCTCTTCATTGCCCCGCGTGCTGTGACAACCCATGAACCAAATGGAATGCCGGAGTATCGGAAGTCTATAGCAACACTGATCAAATCATAAATTCTTATTCCAAAGTGACACTGCGTTCAGAACCAAGTGCTCTATTATTTCAAACTTGATACCTAGAATACTTGATGAGGCTCCACTGCAACTGCTCAGGTCGCCCAAAGAGCAAGCCCTGTCGGTCAGAAGCAGTCAGAAGCAGCGAAAGGAGCCTGTACGATCCTATTAACCTTTAGTAAGTTGGTCAAAGTACATCTTTGAGAGCAGTTGCAGCTTGGCCCATCCGGATTGCATGAGCCAAATTCAACGTAGTCCGCCGTCCCCATGTATTCGACACACGCCTCATGCTCCTGTCAGCGGGCTACGGCTAATTATACGGTCATCTGAAGTGATTTTCCCTGTCTTAAATCTCACTGCTAATTACCCTTAGTGCCATATAGCCCCAGGTGTCTTGATACCTTGTATGGCTGACACATCGAGACCAAAAAGCCCGCCCTCTCCATTACCGACATGACGGAAACCGCTGGTGTCGAAACCACAGTGCCAGTCCCTGCTTCCCCCGGATCCGACATGACGAGTGGCTGGACTTAGTGTGCTTTAAATAAGTGATTTGACGAATTCTCGAGGTCCAAACCCTCTCCAAGTCGCAGCTGCCCAACGAGAGCACTGATTATGCCTTTTTTACTCCTGAGCCTGTTCCCCAACACCATTACAGTACTACCACTGTAGTTTCACCGATCGACCAACTACCATAGTGTAAGTTGCATGCTTCTTTTATTTCACGTTTTAATACCGTTTGCCTGTTACTTCGTCTGCAATGGTATATTACTTTTCTGCAGTGATGTTTGGGATTTTCACCTCTTGAGAGACACAGCTGAATGCGTAAGTGGGCGACTTGAAGTCTCAGGCTATACACACCTTAAGGAGATTTCAACGTAAATTATCGCACATTGCAATCCAACGACACTTTAAAAATTCTTAACATTTGTTAAGGTATCACGCAGTCGGGCTTGCTTAAGTATCTTAATAATAAAGCAGCATACAATGATGTTGAATGGTTGCCTTACCACTCTACTTCCTCTAGTATTGACTCTCACTTGGGTACTCTGAGGGCTTGTTCGCCCCTCTCCTCGCTGGATAACAGACCGGCTACATATAATACGTTGACCTAAAAGTTACCTGTGGCCACAAAATACTTGCAAATAAGTTTTACCAAACTTACTGTGCTGCCTCGGCGGCCCATGTTTCGTTTATCTGTTATAGCTTTCATCCCGTTTAGGGCGGTCTAGCCCATTAGGGGCTAATCAATGCCCAGTGCTGTTCTTCTCGCCTGCATATGGGGTCTTACAATGCGATGCCAGAAGCTGACCCAGGACCAAGAGTATGTCTAATTCTGTCATTACTTTTGAGAATAGAGTCGTTTTACATGTCTGGCACATATAGTTTATTTGTTACGTAGGCCGGGTATCATACAACATTAACGGAAGCCATACCAGTTGCTGTTCTTGTCCTTTCTACGAGACAGACTTGGAACCCAAAGAACAGTTATGCCTCATATTTGGCCATGATTTGGGTGATCTTGTGGCTGATGTCCTTACAGTGTGTTGCCTCGGAACTTTTGATTGAGATACTGCCATACGGTACCGCAGCAATAAGGTTTACGTTCATGGAACTGTCAACCATAAACGACTCGAGGCGTTGAAGCCTTAGCTGATCGGCTTCGCGAACTTGAGCAGCAGTGAGAGAAGGTGATGATTTTCTATAGCATATGATATGTTAGTCGGCCATCAAGCGGGTAACATCGTATCGGCGAGTAGCGCACCCGTCTACAATTGTCTTGCTTGATGCAGCGTCCATCTTGTATTCGTAACAATATCACATCAACAGACCTTCTAGAGATATGATAGCGTATAGGAAAGTTGGGGTGCAACCCTCCGACTCCTCAAAGACTTGAGGGCGCCCCAAGTGCTCAGAGAAGAACAAAGACAACAGATGGGGTGGATAGCTCGCCCAAGAGCGACGCAGCTGCGAAGCATTATATACAAGAACGGATCCGATCCATCCTCAAGACCAAGACAATGGACATGCTAAAAAATAACTAATCGGAGTATTTCCAAAGAAGATTAGATACCTAAAGGTCTCCGTCATCCATCAGCTGCTTTGTCGGTTCTTCTATCCAAGTGACACGGCCACTTCCACGGTCGGGCAGATAGCTCTCCGCGCGCGCTTGAGGGGGATATATGTCGAAGATGGATGATCTCACAGTCCATCCAATGAGCGCCATCTTACTCGTAGTCACGGTTGAGGCTTTGTTGCTTGAGGTTGGCCTGGAGGCGGATGAGGCAAACAGACGCCTCGTGGTTGATTTCAAGAAGTCATTTTTTACTGGTTCATTCACGACGAAAGGTTCGCCAGCTCTCATTTTTCAACTAAAGCTCTCCTGTTTTGCAAGACGGACGTGGCCGACGAGGCAATTTTTGAAACGCCTCCAGTTCGCAACTGCAGTGTGGTTCGCCCTACAGAAATTGGGGTAGTTGGGCTGTCCCATGTCCCTTTCTTACAGGTATGTCGTGAACTGTGTTTCTCATCGAACCGGTATCGGCCTTAGGTCAGAGTCTCAGGATGTCCCGGTTCGAAATTTCGCAGTGGAAGCTTTAATTCATGCCATCCTCATCGATCCGCTGTCGGCAGTATCATGCTTGGCGGTTGTTTTCTCATCAAAAGTCCACCCGATTGAACAAAAAGGCATTTTTATATTAAAAAAAGAAGAAGAAGAAAGAGAAAAAAAAAAAAAAAGAACACTGAAAATGAAAAGAAACAATTGTGAGCAAGTAGGTGTTGATATATTTCTATTCCTGTCGGTATCAGACTTTCACCCCCTGCGGTTGTTGACATTTTGTTGCAGTAACAGCAGCCCGCTTCTGTACTCAGATCATAGATGCATTGGGAAACTGCAAGTTGAAAGTTAAACAGAGGACGCACACGATTTGATGCAATTTGATAAGCATTCAGGTCTGAATTATTTCTGCATTCCAGCTGAAAGGCCATCGGACTGTGAAGTTACTATTGTTCCGTCGTAGTGCTTAGGGACCCAAGGGTCAGCATCCACGGCACTAAGTGGGGCTGGAACGGACCGACCCGGCTTTTGCGGAGGCCTTAGCACGGTGGCTTAGATGCAGTTGTAGTGACGCAATAGATGTCTCTGGAAACACTACCTATTTCAAGTTGGCAAACAACAGAAAGACAATACTAACCGAAGCACTGTAGATTCGTGATAACTGACAAAGAAAATATCTCCATCTTTCCATAAGCAATTCGGCTGCGGGCATCGATGTTGTTTTGAGCCCCAAAAGTTCTTAAGCTAGTCTAAGAGAAGGTATGCTATGCCGTGTCTTTAAAGTGGTAATGAATTCACGCAGCAGGTGCCTCCGAAGCTTCCTTCTCAGGTTTCCGACCGTAGATAGCGTATCTGAGCTTTGTTAGCCATACAAATTCCCGCTTAGCGCAGAGAAAGTATAAGGTTTCTAACTTACACATCGTAGTATGCATGAACATTCATTTTCATGTGCTCCTTTCTCACTTCAGCACACAGCACAGTAGTCTCCTCAGGAGTCCAGTCGAGAACCTGAGTGAAGAGGCGCAACGAAGCCGCCTCAATGCCAGCTAAAGATCCAGCCTGGCACCACATCCCCAATTCCTTGAGATGCTTGTCCTTGGGCCAGGGGTTAAAGGGCCATTTTGCCCTGCGCACTACCACATCGACGAACCCAATATCCAAAAGCATTTGCTCAAACTTCGGCGTCATATGACCAGGCCGTCCGATCTTTTCTGATGCTTCAATCAACATCTCGCCCCACTTAAGGGGCTGCCAGCCTTCCTTCATAGTGCCATCGTCGCACCTGAGAGGGAAGTCGATATCCTGAATCTCGATGTAACCGCCTGGTTCTAGATGGCTGAAATTTAATAGTTAGCTCTCGAACTTCAAAATACCTTAGGGAATCTCACTCGTAGGCTTTAGTGAAGATATTGTTCCAGTCAGTGAAACTCCCAATCATGTATCTCAAGAATATAAAGTCGAAGGGAGTTGTCCAGGTCCATTCTTTCTCGATATCGTCAACCTCGAAGCTGCAGTTCGGCGGCACACTGATTATCCAATTAGGTGCAAGTTCATCAACTCCAAAGACTATTAACAACTGACTATTCAGGCTGGATCGCGCTCAGATCAACACCAAGAACCTATGTTGGAATTAGCCATGTGTTCATCTTGTTGTTTTCAGAGGAAATGACAACCGTTGCTTCGGGATGCTCATCCGCTGTAACGTTGTCAGCCATGCTCAAAGTCTAGTTGGCTCATACAGTGATCAGGAAACTACACTCACCATAGTCCAAGGCCCAGATACCAGTACCGGTGCCAAGGTCCAGGACTCGCTTGGCGGTCTTCTTCTTTGGGGAAAGGCATATGTCGCCGTCCCAAGTCAGCATCCACAAGTGGTGCACCATATCTATCCCAGGGTAAGCTCGTGTGTAGGCTTCCTGGGTCATGATGGCAAGGCTCACCCAAACGATCCATCTCTCTCTTTGATTCCATGTTAGTTTCGATCAGAATTTCTGAGTATGCACGGCAGAACCACGTACTTCATCATTGGGGAAAAAGTACTCTTAGTCGGATTAGCTACGTGTATTGCCAAGCAAAGAAGGCGAGCTACTTACTTCCATCGCTGAGCCTGTGGTATGTGCGACCGTTTTCTAAGCGATAATCGACAATGCTTGATCGCAAAGAAGTCAAGGAGCTCTGGACGGTCTTTGGTCTGTTAGCTGAGAAATGCGTTGGGGCAGCTCGTTCCAACTCACATCACCGCCAATGGAGGATGCACCGTCGTCGGTCTGGGATTCATGTTCATGATCAGTTCAAAGAAAGGAACGCCGTGGTTCTCCGCTGGATGAATACCTCCGCTTCGATATGTTGAACGGGCTGCTGCGCAGCAGCTTGTTGCTCTGCTTGCTCAGGAGCAATCATCTTGTCCAGATCCTATGCCCAAGCTGGTTGAGTCTACCAAATACCCAATGGAGATATGAAAAATTGAGGAGAAAGTGAAGTGAGGGGAATCGAGCGGAACCAACGGCATTTTATGTCCTTCCGCAATGAGAAAACACCCCTGCCGCAGATGTTTGCCAGAGTAAACGCCTACGTTCTTCACCCCGCTCGGTGTGCTTGTTGGTGGTTCTGCGGACTGTGGTTCTCGTTACGTGATTGGATTTTGCCGCTGTCAATCAACCCACGCTCGCATAAAAAGACTGCAGATAAACACCCTGGTTTTGTTTGTTGGTCCTCATACATTATCGGCCTACAGGGGTAATATGGAAAGAACGAAAGCATGAACCTAGTCGAAAACGGGCCCCTGTTGCCCTGCACCTCGGTGGGGGAATAACCACTCGAGACAATAATATCCGACCGCCAAGTAGAACCACGTTTACATCAACCCACTGGCGATTTGAGCAATAATAGGTATGGGGAGTGATACTGAAGCCAGGGCCCTTGTTTCCCATATTCAAATCCCAAGTCTCTCCAGCAATGAGCCCTTGACATAGCTTCCAAGAAACGCCCGTCGTTGCGGGGAGGACCCCCAACAGAATGGGAACCAAATACATCCATTTTCGCTCATGTTTCCATTGAAAATGAATTGAAAGGCAGTGTGAATGAAGCTGAAGACTACGAATGCAAGCACCTGAGGAATTTGAGCGCCGTCGCTATTCTCAAGGCGGTTGAGGGCAATGTAGAGATTGCAGTTTTGCGATGTTGTATGTAAGCAAGAAACAAAGAGTCTTGCCAAACATCCAATCTATCCTATACTACGGGTCCACCAGGCATTGTAAGTTTTCGATAATGATTTGAGATGATTTTCATTGGTGGTAAAACAGATCACATTCGCCAACCGCATATAAGCCTGAACGTTGGCACGTTCGCCTTCACCTTTGACGGCCCCTTCCGCAGATTCTGCCCTGATCCAAAATAAAATTGTGACACATACAGGGGATCGGCGATCAAATGGATTGGGAAAGTGCTTCAAAGCTTCCGCAAATGCTGGTGAAAATCTCACGAGTGATATGAGAAACGTGAGAGATATGGTCATCAAAACCATGCGCTCGCTCTTTGGACGACAAGTGTCTCGAAGCCCGCCTCTCCCTTTTTCAATCCCAAGTCGCATGAATTAAGACAAAGTCAACGCCCGCTGAAAGTCGAGTGTTTTTACTTTGCACTTACACAAGAAAGTATTCGTGGATGTCTCTCCACTTCGCCTCATCCCTAACCTTAGCGCTGAACGGCTCGCATCTTGCTTAGTCCATCCAATCACACGAATGAACAAAGCTAAAGATGCCGCTCCAAAGATCACAGGCGGTCAGTCCTGTTGAAGTACTCGACCGGCTCTGATCATTCTTCAGGCTAACTGTGCCAGTAGGTCTTGATCAAGGTGCGAAAACCTCGGTGTACCTTATCCTTGGGAAGATGGCGTTTTGTCACACAGGTGGCAGTAAAGACAATTGAACTATTATTTCTCGGGGAACTCAGTTCCATAACTGAGCCTATAGTAACAACGATTCGTCAAAAAACTTTTGCCAATGAGAGACCGGAAGAAAATGTATTCGAAATTCAGCGCAACTCGAGCTATCATCTAGAGACTGAGCATCCTAATCCGTGCCGGGCCCATGATCTTTGTCAGTTCAAGTCAACTTTAAACCTCAATATCAGTTGGAAGGTCAGTATCACATTTGCCGGAGGCGTCTGCATGGGTCTCCGCCATTTTGGTTCCCGAGTTCTTTACAATTGCGCCTCGCTTAATCGAAAAAGAAACTGTTTTGGCATGAAGAAACGTTCTTGAAGGGTGGGTAGCAGCGGTGATCAAGTAGGATTCGTGTCCTTAAGAAACGAGGGTTGACAAGCATGTTGATTGAGGCCGCTCCAATTGGTAGGCCCCATGTTCGTTGGTTCCGTAGGTAGGCAGAAGTCTGTACAAATCCGATTGGGCTGCGCCGTTTTAATCAACTCATGCGTGCATTTGCGGGACTCTGGCCAGTTCAGGCCCGAAGGCCAGGGGTCGGGGAAGAGACGGGCCACCTGTCGCCTGCATTCGCCTAGTACGCGACAGCGTTGACTTTTCCACTCTTGGTGGCCCCGCAAGCCGCTATGTTGCAAATCGACAATCGCAAGTGGACCGCCTGAATATACTACTGACAGAGAAGGAAATGGTCAGGGGATCATCTGTCTTTGGTGGGATATTCTGCATCGTTGCACGTATCGCGGTTCTCACAGGGGTGTTGCAAAGAGTCTAATAATGAACGTTAATCCTGTTCACAAATAGTGCAAGAAGTATTGTGGTGTTGCGTGTGTACCACGACTATATAAAGAAGCAAAAAAGAAGTGCATATGCATACTGCTACAGAACGTCTGGTTTTAGCCCACATGCCATGTGTACTTCCACGTTCTATAGAACCTGAACAATTCATCATCTTTACAATTGTCCGGATGTTCAGTGTAACCTGTTCTTCTGACATAGTTGGTCATAGTTGACTCCTCTGTTAAGGATGATACGCCCTCTCTTTCAGGAGCTATTCCCTCGTCTGAAGTCGGCATAGTCCTTGAAACTCGTGCTGTGCGAGCTCCAGCAGAGATTAGGTATACTATTTTCCAAACTTCTGTTCAAAAGCTTTGATGTTTTGAGCGGCACGAGCCTGGTGGTACCGAGTGGCTGACTCCCGGTCTTGAGAGCTGTTGGCTAGGGTGACGAGTGCGTTTCCATCCCTTGGGCTTTCGCGTCGAAAGCGTACGAGCTGCGACATACGAGGAACGCTAGAAGCGAGAGGATCGAATTGAACAGCAGAAGCGGCACTGCTTATTTCAACAGTCAGCAATACTAACTCTAGTCAGAATTATTTGGGAGCTGAGGTAACTGCTGGAGGACTCACCCATCAACCGACGGTCCCTGTGCAGAAGGAGACATGCCGGTTTCTCAAGATGAGAGGCTGTTGAAAGTGACCACTCCAAGATACAAGAAGATATTGAAAGAAACCAAGGCCATATCACCACTTCAAAAGGTTTGTGATAAGCTGAGGAGTCGGTTGTCTTATATAGCGTTGAAAGGCCGTGTTTCTCAGCACTGGCTGGGTTGCAATTTCAAATGAAAGATGGGGGAAGCAAGGCAAACGAACGCTCGAAGCTGGAAATGAGACGATCCAAGGAAGGCTTTGGAAGCCTTCTCGGATAACTGGAATCGAAAATGATCATGTATATTGGCGTGTTGGGTCGCCCTATTTACAATAGTCCGCACCGGTGTTCGGTTCTTGAAGTGTTTCGCGGCCGGCGCGACTTGGAGTTCGCACCTGCAACATAGATTACATTTCCGGATTTTATTGTCTCTCCCTGTCAATATGACAAGTCTGCTTACCTTCGTAAGGCTGCGGGCCGCAACCCCCTATCCGATGACCCAAGAACCCGGTCTGTGGCAGGTCAAGAAGCTAGTCAGGTTAAACATGCTACCGTCCCCAGTTAACACGCCCAAGGCGCTCTCTGCATTTCCCCTGGAGAGGTGCATTGCCCTAAGCACCTTCCTATCGAAGCTTGTATGTAGTATCCGGGGAAAATACTTCTCAAGCCCGGCAAGGCATCGGTCATCTTCCCATATCATGGTGGGCATGGCACCAGCCATAGAGTTTTTGAGGAACAATCTTTAATGAGCCCTGCGCGGCCTGTTCTGTGATTGTCTCCGAGGCGCTAAATCGCAGTCAATTCAATCGTATAGTGTCACTTTTCTGTGAAAAGAAATCTTGTGAGAGGTTGAAGTTAGGAGGCATTCATTAGACTTGAGTAGCATGTGGCTGGTTCTCAGCTCCCGAATGCCGGCCTTAAGGATACTGGGTGTGGCTGGCACACCAGTGTGGTTGGCTCGATTGCTGCATAAATGTAGGAAGGGAAGGTGAACAGCCACAGTCCAGGCCGAGGTCCTTTCTTGTTCTATGATTTGACATTTTGCGAATGAGGGGTTATCTACCCAGAGCGTTTCGCTCGTACCCAGTTTACCGCTCTATCTTCGGCGATATGGTAGCCAATGCCCTGTGTGATTTGAAGCACAATATATCGTCCCTAGGTGTGCCACACCACTGTGTTTGACTGGGCGTCGAAGCAGTAAATTGGCCACTGTCAGGGCATAACTGGGCCTTTGCAGACAACGTAATTTCCGTTACAGTATATGTCCCTGTCGTGACTGCATGATCAAATTGTGGTCGGCCAAATCGCCCAAGAGCGCCAGATGGCCAGCCCACACGGGGCCATGATGCCTTGGCCACCAAAGCAGATTGTAATTGCCAGTCAGAGCCAACTTCGTTCCCATCAATCTGTACGGCATAAATGCGTTTGGATGCATACAATATGTTTCAAGCAAACTGGAGCTCTGATGTGAAGGCTACTCATTAAGCTTGGTGATGTGTAGTTGGAAGAAAGTAACGCCTATAATTCAATTGCGACTTGCAAGGAACCCCTACTAAACACAGCGGGGCCAGTCGCGGGCGGTGCCGCTCCCCGAAGCAAGAGCACTACGGGGCCGTGTAGCGCGAAGGAGGCCCCCACTTCGCACTTCAACCTGCGACGGAGGACACGGGCGGGAAGTAAGACGTTACACACATCCTGTAAATTAAAGCTACCACCCTTATTTGTGCAGTGCGGATCCTCCCAGCCTTTCTAGAACATTTCGCTCCCTTGTTCTTCTCACCTTGCTTCCTTGAACGTTCTAGCAATGGTTCTAGATTTCGAAGGGAATGCTTCTGGCTTCTATGTCAAGCACTGATAATTTAGCGAACAAGAAGTGGCATCCAGTAGACGAAATCTCGAGACCGATCATTCTTGATTTAATGGAGGAAACCAATCACCTTGGGTCTTTTGGAAAACTAAGTACCGTCAAAGATGCCAAGTTTCGCAGCCTCATTCAGCTTCTTTTGGTGAATCCTTCCACAAACCCCACTTCTAGGCGCTTGCCCATGGTGATACACTGGTCATCATGTTCCACCTAATTGAATCGATATGAAGTCTGGGTATTGTGGGTCGGTAGCTGATATTCTGTCTCCGAGTAACCTGAAAAGAAAAACAGCGCACAAACTTCTGGAACTTCCAAGGATTAGCGAAGCCTGCTGGAAGTTTTCAGTTCTTGCCAACGTCAGAATGCAGCCAAGGTGTATCGCAATCAGCTGCCAGGGTTCAAACTGAGCAATTCGAGAAATACCTCAGAAAGAGGAATAGACTACGGCCCTCGTCTGAGCAGTTGTGTACCAGCATAGAGCAAACCCTTGTCCCACTAAACTCCCCGGCTGGTCTGAGAACTTATGTGCAGGGAACGATCGCTACCAGGCAGTCGGGCCTTCTTAGCTAACTTCGACCCCTAAATGGTTCAACTCAATTCAATGCCACAGATTTACACACCTTCAAGAAAGACCCCAGATCACTTCAGGTCTTTGGATTGGCGAGTTTACGAACAAGTCGCCACCAGCCTTCTTCATCACCGAACACTGGCTCCCAACTGTATCCGAGACTTTAGCGCTGACAGTCTCTTGCATGCAATGGAGCTATGCCGGATAAAGCCATACATCCGCTGTGACGGGCCAGGTTTTTTTGTCGAGTGTGCCATTTCTTGCGTTCTATAATTACAGCTTCACACCGCTGTTGCTCTTTCTATCGTTTCGTAAACATTAATCAAGCCTTTCCATCCACAGACCGCTATTTTGGCAGGTCTGTCCTAGGCACATGGTGCAGAAACAGAGAAGAACCTTGCTCCGCGCGCACCTGAGATGTCATTTTTGTGACGAAGTATCATGCAATGTCAGCACGCCTGAATAGTCGCTTCCCAGGTCTTTTCAGTCGTACAGAGTGAGGGGAACCCCATGGTGACAATTGGGCTTAAGTCTGTGGACTGAGCCACTCGATCAGCAGGGAAGGCAGGTAATGAGATTACCAGCCTGTCGGGTCATCACAAATCAATGTGTGATACCTAGATAACAGACCACGGATCTTGCTACCGACTCAGAAATAAAGCAACCCCGAGTCGCACATCTTGGACCTTACACTGCGCCCGCCAGAAAAGGAAGCACGAAATTAGCATCTCCAAAGAAAGCGGGGGCTAGTTTAGCGTACCAGATTATCGGGTCAGCTAGACCTACCCCTTGTCTAGACTCACGCCTGTTCTTCTCAATTGACTGATTCTGTTCATAGGACATCCATCTTCCAAGGTGGGCTTATACACAAGCCGCATCAGGCCGTGAATCTTATCCACGAAACTGCCAACATCTTAGGTAATGAAATGGACGATTTAGGAATCACTCGGAATCGTAAGAGACTAAGAAATATCTTGGAGCATCACATACGACAGCAAAACTCAACCTTTTGCACAAGCGAGATGGTATATTTAGGTACTGCTTGCTCCAAAACCAGTTGGTTACTCTGCTGCGTCATTGGCTGTTATGAAGCTGGTGCCCCTCCATATGGCCCACAAGACAAAACATGTTCGAATTGGGAAAAGCTGCTGGCCTCTGGGACTTTCGTTCATCATTGATATATCACTACGTAAAAATACGTAGCATTTTTCGTCGTTTCTGCTCATGATCATCTCCACATTGACCAAACTCTCCCTTGACACTTCCCTAAAATTCCTTTGCTCACTCCTCTCGGTCGACAATTTTGGCCTGCGCGGTATCAAGCGTGCATTCGCACTGGTATGTCTTGAACTGGCGTGCAGGAATGCCCTTTTGGAACATCTCCTGCAGTTCGAGATAGTTGCGTCCCTTCATCTCCGGTAGGCAGAAGTATAGGTATGCGCACATGGGTACTGAGAGGCCGAAGAAAACGAAACAGATCTTAGCGCCGAGGTTCGCCTGGTCCGGGTTGAGGAGGTATGGCATCACTTGGAGCGTCATGCATGACACAGCCGTCGCGGACATGATGTTGATGCTGTAGGTTTTCTGGCGAAGCTGGTTGCTCGGCGTCTCTCCTCCGACCGAGTAACTGGTGGCGCCAAGCGTCATTTGATACTGAGGAATTGTTAGTCAACAGATTGGATCAGGAAAGTGCTAAACCCACCAAGAAACCCCAGATTGTCATCAGACTGACTGTAGCCATCAGTGCCTTCTGGTTGTTCTCTAGTGTACCGATTCCTCCAATCACAAGGAGCGCAGCCGTCATGACAAAACAGCCACCGACAATCATAGGACGGCGACCGAGGCGGTCAATCAGTGGCCATGAGCAGATGTTTCCAAAGAGCTGTACGGCAAAAGCCGCCTGAGCAATACCAATAGGGTTCTGGACACCAGCAAGACGGAAATAGTACCTAAGATCTGGTCAACACATATCCCCAGGCGTGTAATGATCGCTTCTAGACGTACGTGAGATACCCAGAGATGAAGTTTACACCAATGAATTGTTGCGACACAAAGACCATGCAAATTATATGTGTTCTGCGGCCGTCAGAACCCTTGAAGCATTGGAGCCAAGTGCCAGACTCCTTCGAGATCTCCTGCTCCTTGGCAACGGCCACAGTCAAAACTGCCATTGCCGTATCGACATCGAAACTTGGTCCGTTAAATTTACGAAAAGAATTGGCTGCCTCATCGTGCTTGCCATGCATGATGAGCCAGGAAGGAGACTCTGGCAGGAAGGGCAGACCCAAGAGTAGCAGCCCCGGGGGGATGATCTGCGTGATGATTGGAATGCGCCACGCGAGATCGTTCGTATGAGTCTTGTCGCTGGCCAGAACAGCAAGAGAGTTGAGCCACTGGCCTATCACGATCATGGTGTTCTGTAGAATTTAGATATCCGGGTCCACAATGGGGTACGATAATGGGGTCTACATACCACCAGAGCCAAGCAGGTTCCACGCATCTTGACAGGCGCAAGTTCTGCCACAAACACAGGGCCGAGAGAATGGCCCAGTCCGAACCCGAAGCATGCCACGATCTTGCCACCAAATATCTGCATGATGGACTTGCTAAAGTATTGTGCAATAACACCGGCGACACAGAGGATGCAGGCGCCGATGATGGTCTTCTTGCGTCCGAGCCTGTCTGAAATGAAACCCGTGGCAAATGCGGAAACAAACAAGCCGATTGTCGTCGCAGCGTTGAGAATCTGTTGGTCTCGCGCACTAACGACCCATTCGCCGTTCACCTGCTGGCCGAACTCCTCCAGGAAGGGTGTCACGGCCAGCAGGTTGCCTACGGTGCTGGCCTCGTAGCCAAAGTTCACCGGCAGAAGGAAGATGAAAAGGCCTACATCAAGCATTAGCGGGTTACGTTATCCTAGTTAAGGATACCAGAGCTTACTTACACCATGCGAGGACTCTCTTATTCTCCCATACATATTGTAGGGTTATTCTGTCATCCTGGTTGTTAGCCACGGCTTCAAGGTCGGCATTTGTGGGTGCCTCCACATGTTGTGAGTTGTGAAGGTCTTTCTTTGAGGCAGCGTTTCCCGTTTCTGAAGCCATTGCGAATCACTTCAGACTTAGTGTGCTCTGAAGTCGCCACAGAGGTAAGGAGGTCTACGTTACGATAAGAGTGGTGATCTCAAGACATTTTATATGCAGTCCTTTAGCTCCTTTTCAACTCACCGAGGTGGCACCACGAAACTTAGCATTCCCAATGGATATCGGTATCATGTACCCAAAAGCATGGCACATGCTTAACCTGGTCACTCCAGGAAATGGGGCACCGATTGACACATCTGGAGAAGACGGGGCGCGTAAGGTGACTGCATTTGGTATTTGCGGAGAACTGGGGGTTCATGTTGCCTGAATCAGGACATGAATATAATCTGTGTTGAACAAGGGTTACATATACTTCCCTCCCAAAGACTCCGGACCCTATGGAAACGAAAATCTCGGTGCGCTAGTGTCCAAGAATGGGCATTTCGAGACGCGATAAATCCCGTATTAGTCTGTTACGCCTGTGAATTCCTCCACGGGGGATTTGCGGATCCTTCATTACCCCACACAGAAGCCTATGGGGAAGGATCAAGTGAGGTGATTGGAAGTTTGGGAAATCGGGGGTGGATACGGAGATATTGTGCGGAGGTTGCACAGTATTGTGGGGGTTTGCAGACCCCATAAACTTGGAATTGACGACTCAGGAGGAACCTCACCTTCCTCATGACCAATGCTCAATTCATGTCTGACGACACCATCCCCTTTCGCCTCCGGGGTTTCCCCGTTATTACCCCATCTATACCGACGGTATCGGCTGTGTCGTGAGTGAAGCCTGCAACAAGGGCCTGCCCGACGTGGTTGGCTCATCGGCATCAGCCTCAAGAAGCTTGGTTCCTCGGCCGATACGTTGAACGGCCCCAATTAAAAGCATACGACACTCAAAACGGCAGGTTGAAACGCCGGGGGCCTCCATATCTACCTCGAGTTGTCCAACACAGGCAGTTCCACCCACTGCTTGGCTTAAGATGTACGATTCCAAGTCGACCAATTTGGGACACGAGAATTGTTACAGGATGTAATATGAACCAACGATTTATCTTTTGGGCTGTCGCTTTAGCAGCAGTCACTTGACGACAAACACATTTTGTGACTGCAAAAATGGCCAGGCTAGAATTCGGCATCCCCTCCGCCATCCCGGAACCCTTTTCGGCAAACTACCTTTTTGCAAAGGATGAAGTGCCAGAGTTCCTCATTCCGCAAAGAGTGCATAGCTCTACCAATGTCACATCGCCAGAGCACCTCAAATCTAGCAGCCCAGGTAGCTATGCCACTCTAAGCAACTCGTCAGATGGAAACAGCAGCATCGTTCTAGATTATGGCGTCGCCGTAGCAGGCATCCCATTTCTGCAAATCCAGGGACTGGAGGCACCCTCTAGCAAGGCTGTGATCGATGTCACAGTATCAGAAGGCTATCCAGGCATCACCAAGGCGGAGGGTGACGGCCCCTATCCCTTCTCCGCTGGTGCAGACACATCACGCCGCGTTCGATTCCGTGTGACCGGTCCAGGCTTTTACGAAGCCAAGTGTGTCCAGGGCAGCCAGCGCTGGCTGAAGCTCTCGCTTGTCACGAAGAGTCCCTGTTCTGTGCGGGTATCGCTGGCGGGCTTTTTGCCTACCACGTCCAACATTCCAGTCGACAAGCTTCCGGGATACTTCCAATGCTCAGATGACACGCTGTCAGAACTCTGGGGCTACGGGGCGAGGACGCTGCAATTGAACTGCGTGCCGGCTCGCTCTATCCCCTCGCCATGGCAAGTGTCGGAGGATATGGGCGTTCTCATCGACTCTCAAAGATGTAACGCCTATGGGTGGGGACACTTGTGGACGGACTACAACCTGGAATTCGACGGTATGGTTCTCGAAGGAGGGCTGGCCTGGATGGTACGCGTGACGCCCGGCATGCCAGGCATGCTATTCCAGTTGAACATTGGGAACGGCAAGACTGTTATCGAGCAGTGGTACGGCTACTATAACAAGCCCCAGACCACGTTAGTTCCCAACCTCATCGCGTCTTTCGAAATCCCGGAACCTGAAATCCGTGAAAACCAATGGTTTCGTGTTCGGACAAGCTGCATAGGTGATGCCACGATCTCAATCAGCATCAATGGCACGCACGTCGCCAAGTTCAAGCAAGGAGGTTTGAAACTTGGTATGATTCCCTAACACAATACTTGGTTATTATGCTAACACAGTTGTAGATGGCTTCGCAAGTCTCACCCTGGAACCCGGCAAAACTGACTTCCCCTTCTCAGCCCAGGGCTCAGTTGCCATCGGAGCAGGACAAGACCAGCTATGCCGCTTCAAGAACCTCATCGTCCTTAGCCCCGACCAGAAAGTCCTCTACGAGTCTAGTCTCAACACTCCAGCAGTACTCGCCGATTTCGGCTTGAAGACAAATCAGTTCCCGTTTGTCTTTGATGGCGCCAAGCGTGATAGATACCCCTGGACGGCTGACATCATAGTCGGCGGCCGATCAGCATACTACTCTACAGCTGGCTCAGAATACGTCAGAGGCAACATTGTCGCTTCCATGCTGAGGTTCAAGGGAGACGAAAAGGGACGTGGCCTTCTGCCTGGGGGTGTACCTCCTGGTCGGGACTTCACGAGGGATCTTACTGACGGATTCTTCAACATTGAAACAATCAACTACTCTCTCTACCTTATCTTGGTCATTTACGACTACTGGATGTATACTGGGGACGACGCCCTGGTCAAGTTCTGTTGGAACAAGTTGAAGGGTTGTCTCGCATTCGTCGCCGCGCGGGTCAACAATGACGGGCTAGTCTGTGCAGAAGGAATTGAGGCAGCTGACTACGATTACTATAATGGCATTCGGACAGATATCTCTACCAAGCTCAACGCTCTCTACGTTGCTTCACTCAAAGCGTCCGCACACCTCGCCTCATCGTTATCCGATCAAGAAGCAGCGAAAACGTACGAATCAACAGCAAAGGACGTAGCAGAAGCTATTAGAACGCACTGCTTCAACGAAGAGCTGGGTCAATACAACATCACAGACTCTCGCAGGGAGGGTTTCCATCAGGAGATGCATGCTTGGCTCATCCTCCAGGATATTTGTACGGCGGAACAGATTACGTCCATCCTCGACAACTTCAAATCCCTTGTTTCTCCTTCCACCATTAACGAGGCCCCGCTATCTTTCAGCCCAGACACGCCCGGTCCGCCGCCGGTCATTTCTCCTATTATGTCAACCGCTCATATCCAAGCTGCGCTACAAGCAGGCCGTCCTGCCGACGGCGAGCGGGTTCTTCGTAACGTCTTCGAGCCCATGGCAGACAAGACGAGCGAGCACTTCACAGGTACCACGTGGGAGTTTATCAACCCCGACGGCACTCCTTTCAAGGGCGATTTCTGCTCGTACGCGCAACTTTTTGGTGCAGGACCAACGTCCATTCTATCACAGTACGCACTCGGTGTGGAGCCTATCACGTCTGGCTTCAAAGAATTCAGGATCTGGCCAAGATTCGACGTCACAGGGTTAAGGTGGGCTCAGGGAAGAGTGCCAACGCCAGTTGGCGAGGGTATCGTGGTCAAGTGGCAGGTGTCTGAGAGCGGGTGGTTACTGGAGGCTTGGGCGCCGGCTGGTTTGGAGGGCAAAGTTAGGGTACCGGAACCTGTGTGGGCGAGAAAGAAGAGAGTCACTGTTGATGGGAAGGACGGCGAGAGTGGCGTGGAAGTGAATTTTACTAAGCATGTTGAAGTTGCGGTCTTTTTCTGAGTACCGGGGACTTACTTGGTGCTACTTGATGGACACCGGGTGGGACATGTGCGTATACTGTAAAATCATGAGAAGCCGCACATTCTGCCTCATAACTCCGTATTATATAGCTAGCATACACCGTTTGCGACGAATCTACCAGGACTTGAGACACTCAGATGGACCCCTTTTTGCAGGTGTTTATTCCGCTGTTACAATGTGGGTGGCGGGCGGCGGGCGGCGATAACAGCGTGTCTCGCTAGTTGGTATGTCAGTGCATGGTAAATCCTGAACTCAGAACAGCTTCATATTGTGAAGAGAACCGTCTCTCGCCCCCGCACTGTGTCTCCAAATTCCCGATGCAAAGTCCGATGGACATCTAAAAGGACGACAGCGAAGCTAGCACAACGTATACTCAAACGCATTCATACGTACAGCCGACGAATTCCATGCCTTCCCAAAACCCACCTGACACCAGCTGGACGGCCGGATCATGCTATTGAGGATCAGTTTGGGGCCTTGTGTAACGCATCAGACCTTGGTGGAACAACTTGATTCTAAATCACTGTCAGTTAACAGGCTAACCAGCCTTTCGCTAGTGAAATTCCTGTGAACCTGGCCATCTAAAGTCAATACCTTGAAGTTCCTAAAACAGAGGCTCGGGCAGAAATATATGTAACACACTTACACGAAGCCAAGGCCTTGAGACTTTCTTCTTTCCTTGAATTTTATCCGCAGGCCAAAGCGCAAATACAGATAGCGGGAATCATTTTGCGAATACAGAACGCCTGTCAATGTCAATATATGTCGAGTGGCACGCCCCTTTTAAGAGTTAATCGTTTTGACATATTAAACAGCCGCTATACGCATTTCACTTCCATCTCTGGACAGTTGTGGTTGTCGTCAAAACGGTAAGAGCTAGTGAGCCCTGTGTATGCGCATAAAAGGATGAAGCAATCGTGGCCCACCAACATGTGCAAAAACAAAAACATACAACACCAGGTATTCGCTGGTCGTCACCGACCCAACTACTAATCCGGCCCTCACTGGCTTATCTATGGGAGAGCGGACGGGATCCCGAGTTTTCCAGTGGGTATGGTCGTATGTGCTAGAACTGCATGCTGTGGCTAGTTATATTGGCACGATGTCTGTTGCCCCACGCTTGGTTCACAACATACAGTAAGAAAAACATCCACAGGAATCGCCAATGATGAAATCTGTTCATTCTGTCCAGAATGTCCGAGATTATATGCCAAGGCAACTCTACTCACTGTGAAAGCGATCAAGGCATCTAAGAGGACGCGACAAAGAAGAAGTCGTTTTGCTTTTCCGTATACCTGTAGATTACTAACGTCAATAGTTCGCTTCCCTAATTAAAAACTCGAAACCCGTTATGCTACTTGAATTATGAGACTGCTTCTCATCCTACATGACAAGATACTTCGTACCTGGACAAGTGTAAGACACATTGCCCTTGGACATCGAGATCGCCGCAGTATTGTTCCAAACTCGGCAGATATACTCACCGAAAAGACGCAATGTCTATTGAACATTACATGCAGGATGCTGTATCTCAGTAGTCATAATAGCATTCTTTCGAACAGTATTCCAACGGATGTGAAGGTAACGACAAAAGGAAGATGTCGAAACACACGAAAAGCAAGCTGGTACTACTCCTCCAGCAATCACCACCACACAATTACCAAACCATCCAGAACATCCGACTTGTGTAGAGTAAACAAATCCCCAATTGTACTCTGCAAACCTTCGCCATCAACCCCCGCCATTCTTCACCGTCAACAGTCTTCCGGGACCCGGAAGCGGGGCCAACTCACTGAATCCTTCAAGCTCACGCGGAGGTGCAGTGGAGAATGGTTGCACCGCGGCGCTGCGGTGCGCTGCACTGACGTGCCGCATCACTCCTTTTTCCTTTACTGACAGCCTGCCCGAACCCCTGAACCCGCCCGCCCATTAGCTTCGGGGTTTTGGAGCCGAACAACGCTAAGATAAGGCGAGAACACCACCCACCCGTTCCCTCCCTTTCGATGCGCGCCGCCCCCCCGATAAGCTGCCGATCCCAGTAGGAAGAACCCTTGCACGGACCAACACACCCCAGCTCCCAAAAAATTTGGACCTCTTCCCATGGGGGGAAGGAAAACGGAACTCCCATCGCAGACCGCCCGCTCCGTCGCAAAGCATCTTCACGAACTGTCGCTGGCCCGAAAAGCGCCGTATTCCTGGCTCGATTGCAGTTTAACCTATATAATCAAATTGGTATTCAAGATACAAGACGACCACGCAATCGCCGTCACCAATGGCGCCAACACAAAAGGAACCCGCCGCGGCGGCGCCCAAGCTCCCCAACTCTACAGACTTCAACGCAATCTACAACAGAATCTCTCTCGCCTCCGCGAAGCAGACGACTTTTCTCAACTCCATGCGCGCCAAGTACCCTTCTCTGGCTCGCTCCTCGTCTTCTTCTTCTCCTTCCTCCGCTGCCGTCAGCGCTCCCGCGACAAACGCCAACGGCACCTTTTCCTCCCTCTCGAAACCGACACTTTCGACCCCTACCACCGCAACGCCACAGAGCGGCAAGGCCCGTTCTTCGGCAGACGAGTCCGACCTTCGTTTTGAAAACCCAAACGCAGGTCTAGGTTACACGGCCTCGAACTCGGAGGAAAAGACGTCCGCCGCAACGCGTGACCTCGGCCGCAGACTCCTCGGCAAGCGCGGGCGCGAGGTCGACAACAAGGCTGCCGCGCAGAAGCGCAGGGTGCAGGACGACGAGAGTGAAGAGGAAGAAGGAAGGAGCGGCCTTGGCAGGAAGAAGAAGAAGAGGGCCCGAACGGAGGAGGAGGATGATGATGAGGAGGCGGGGGAGGAAAGCCCCGCGGCGGACGACGTCCAGCAGCGTGAGGGGGCTGATATGTCGGCCGGAGTTCCAGAAAAGAATGCCGAAGTTCCTCCGCCTGACCAGGAGAAACCTGCCGCAGGGATCGTCAGGGAGGATGGCAAGGTATCTCACGACGCTCAGCCCGAGACAAGCGAACCCAAAAAGAAGAAGAACAAGAAGAAGAAGAAGAAGAAAGCGGGCGGTAGCGGGGACGCTTGAACGGATATCATCGGGACGGGCCCAGAAACGGAATCAAACGGCATTCGGCGTAGGGTGCAGATCGGCATTCGAACGCGGCTCCCTTCGTCCATCTGGAACATGACCTCGTGGTAATCGTCCCCTTACGCCCCTTATCGGTGTAATGGGACACATTCCGAACCCTGTGCCATCGGACCCTGTTTTACGGCAGCCTGATTCAATGTGAATTATGTTTGTTGTGATATTGGTTGCCATGTTGCATTTTCACACACTAGACCTGGCTAAGGCTTCCAAGGCATTTGCGCCATGGCACCATGTTGTAAGCCACACATAGCTTGAGCTCCTAAACAGGTGCTGGTACTAATCAGATATAAAAAATGCTTCAAATCACCTCCCATTCCTCTTAAGCATCCAAAATGCAAGTCACCAACGCAATTACACCCCATATGGACAAATCCTGACAAAGCCCGCCGCCAAATGTCCGTTGGGTATTCCTCTTCCTTAGCTCCGTCCGTAACATACAGCCTCCACCCCAGAGGCAACAACATGAGAAAAGAGTCGCGATCCATATCGGGTCTGTTTCTGGCGGCTCCGTCGTGGCGTTCAATTACTAAGACAGATGGTGTATGTTTTTTTGCGTCACGTAAGCCGACCGTGGATGCAATGAAAATGCGTGAAAATCGACGAGGAGAGCAGAACTTTTGGGCTCTGCAAAGTATCCAGTTGGCCTCCACAAAAGGAAAAAAAAGAATTGACGACCAATGACTTGGTCTGATTATGCTGTGGCCTGGGCTTCGTGTGCGTTTCGGATAGCGTTATTTCAGTGGCCGACCGTGACGGAGGCATCAGTGCGAAATCAGAAGCTCGTTGGCATATGACGCCAGCTTCTTCCTCTAGACAAAAAAGAAATGTTTCCGATAGTCATCGAGTAATTGCCACAGAAAAGGACGAGCGCTTGGTTGGAACGCCATGCGCCAAAAGTGCGCAGGAACTTTGCAATAAGGCATGTATACTCATTGCATCCGCTTGCGCTTGCGGTCGTCGTCGCCTCGCGGGTCTTCATCCTCATCCTCTCTCTCGGCTGTATCCGTCGGGTTGAGAATATGAGCCATACTACCACGCCGGGTAGGCGGACCTGAGCTGTCTCGGATCGACAAATTTTTGTTATCTCTGTTGGCAGAGTTCCATGACCAATTTCCAAAGGTATCTCCACTACCACCGTTGGAGAATGGCGCAGGAGGAGTCGCGGGCCGCGAGAGAGGACGCGACTGGGTGGCATTCTGCAATGAATAGGTTGATAATGACTCCCTGATACGTTGATCCTCGGGCGCAGCCCGGCTAGGCGATGATGGCCACTGTCCAGAGGGAGGTCCAGACGGAGGCCCAGAGACAAATGGTGGGGCGCTTGGCTGCCAACCGTGAGCACGAATGTCGGCCGACGTGTGACGCCTCGCAAGGCTCCCAGGAGGCGGCTCAACTTGAGCCAAGGGATGAGGTCCAGGTGGAGGTGGAGGTGGCGCTCCTCTTAGGGGGGATGAGGCCTGTGGCGCGCTGCTACCGCCGATCGAGCCATAGGGCCGTCGCGTGCTGATGGACAGGTTTGAGGGAACAGGAGGTCGGTAGAAATTCTGCCCTCTGGGTTGAGGAACTGCCAGGTTTCCCCGTCTAGGATCATCTTGGGGCATCTGGCGCGGCGAAACAGGGGCATTCTCGACATTGGAAAAGTAAGCACGACTATTGGCAAACGGTGATTCTTGAGGATCCTCAATGGTCCGAAGCATATCCGCTTGCCGAGCCATTTCCGCTTGCAGGTTGAGAACTAGGTGACAAGTATTAATAATTGATGTCTCTTACCAACTGGACTCGCTCTTAACTCACCGTCCCTGTGAACTGGGTTGTCTGGACTCGGAACCAGATGAAGAATAGTACGGGACAACTCTTGGTTGAACTGCAGAAGTCGCGACATGGTCTCCATCACTGCCTGTTGTTTAACATGCATGTAATGCGCGTTCTCTTCGCTCCTTTGCAGTCGCATGCTTAGATCGTAGAGAGTGTGTTCAAGCCCAGGCATTCGGGGATCGGACCCGTCACTTGGGGGTGGCATTGGTTCAGCTGGTGTTCCCGGCTGCGATGGGCTTGGCTTTGAGTTGGGATATTCCCGGTGAACAAGGGCATGGCGAGAGGCCCTGCGCTTGATCTCTCGGAGCCCAACAAGGTCACCTCTCTTGAAGTTGCCATTTCCGTGCTTAAATTCCCATAGAGCAGTCTCGGGGTTCGTAGTATGAAATACATCGCTCACTAAGTCACATCAGTTGCGTCGCCCGTACCTCTCAAGATCGGCAGACAAACCTTTATGAAATCCGTACATGTTTAACTGTCGGACGAAAGAGGATATGTTGGTATGTTTGAAATATTGCCTACCCTCTTGTTAGCGGCAGGGAATCTCGGCGGAGAAAGGGGATCACTTACGCAAGGACTTTGGAAAAATCGGCCGAAGGAGACATGACAAAGCTCTCGGCACTTGCTGACCACGATATTAGGTGCTGGATGCTTGGGTCTTCTAGCATGCTGCACATCGTCAGCCCCTCCTCCAGCTGTCGTGAACGGTGTTATGTTGCTCACCTGTACAGTTTGTGGATAAATGCTGTCTGCACAATCTTTGGCTGATGAACAGCCGCAGCAGCGGCGGCCGGCGCAGCAGGCATTGTGACGGAATTGTTCGCAGACTGATCAGTAGGGGAGGTGTTTTTGAAACGGTCGGATGTGCCGTTGGCGTCTGGGTCGTGCTTGGACGATGGGGAAGTGGTGCTGGCGGTCGCGGAGGAGGTTATCTCCATTGGCTCACCGGGAGATGGAGCAGACATTTGGATGGTCGGGGTTGGAGTCGGAATAGGTACGATTCGGTTCAACGTCAGATCGGCATGGCCGTCGGCAGGCAGAGGAGGTCTCTGCGTACTCTCAGTCACAGTGGCCATCCCCTCTGCAAGGATGCAAGTTAGTTCGCGAGACACGGGCGTAAGGAATTGGAAGGGAATGCGGGTTGGGAACGGTAGGCGAGGAGAAGACGCAGAAGCAGGGCGTGGGCAGGCGTGGCAGCAGAGGTCCTGAGCAGAAAGTTGAAGGGCATGTCTCACCTCATGGCTTCGTGGGAGAGCAGGCGCGAAAGTGGATTCTGCAGTGACAGGCGCGAGAAGAGAAATTGAGCAGTGCGGAAATTGAGGTGGAAGCTCAGGGGGTCTTTGTTTGTTGGCGATGATGACGAGTATCAGTGGTTTCGCAGGCGGCCTGACATGCGCGTGTCTCTCAGCGTTGCAGAGCGACTGGCGGCGGCAATGTCGATTGAGGGTGGGCGAAGAGAGATGAGTGGAGGGCTGGTGGTGCGCCTGTCCGTCTATCTATCGATCGGATTCGTCAGTACGCGGTCGGTCTTTGTCCCAGGCGTCGTTAGGCTAGCAACCTTTGGTGAATGCCAAACATAAAGGTAGAGCTGGAATGCAACAGGACAAAAATGTGAATAATAGAGATATGGGTGTGCTCGTCTAACGGTGGCGACAATGTGAGAAGAGTGTATGAAATGAACAGAACAAAGTGAGGTGGAAGTGTCGAAGTTCTAGAGTTCAAAAAGAAGAAGAAGGGTCGTCGAAGGCCAGGGTGGCCGGCAATATGACGACGAATGGAAGGACGAGGACAAGGGACGGGGGGGTGTCTGCTGGCGAAGGTTTAAAGTGGCTCAACTAGATCGATAGTCGGTCGGATCTGAGGAGAGAAGGAGTGGAAGCACGGAGGGCGGAAGTATAAGGTAGAGGTGGTGTATTCTCCGTACCTACGCCGCGAGGTGAAGGTATCCTATCAGCTTGATGCTGCTGCTGGAGTCGGCTTTCTCAGCAACTGCTTGGTACTTGGGCGGGATGGAGAGCAGGACATGCGCCAGTCCAATGTAGTATAGGAGAGAGTAAAGGAGTGTGTGTGGGTGGTGCAGCTTCGTGCAGGGAAAGTGTACAAAGAGCAGAAGTAGAAGTAGAAGCAGAAGCAGAAGCAGAAGCAGAAGCAGAAGCAGAAGCAAAAGCAAAAGCAAAAGCAAAAGGAGAAAGAGGCAAGGAGCATCCAATGCAGAGGTCAAAAGTGGGAGAAGGAGGGAGGTGTGGCACCTGTGTCCCACTGAGTGAGGATGTTCAGGATGTTCAGGTTGGGGAAGGCGTGGTTGACCATAAGAGCTTGTTGATTGGTTAATAGGGGGGGTGGATGAGAGAAGAGGGGGGGGCCACTTTGGTACTCTAACTACATAGTAGGTACTCCGAACTGGCAATTCACTTTCAACTCAGCGAATTTTAGGGGGGAGCAGGAGGGGAGGGGAGCAGTGGGCAGCGGGTGACGGGTAGCGGCGACAGGCGGAAGGGGGTGTCGTCAGGGACTGGACGTGCTGCTATACTGCAAGAGGAAGGGGTGTGAGTGGTTTCCGCTAGCTGAAATGGGAGTGGAAGTGGGAGGGTAGGGGAGTGGGCCGTGGGACATCGAAGGTCGCGTTTTTTTTTTTGTTCTACTGGGATCCTACGGCGCACCCCTCTTGTAAGGTAGGCAAGTCCACAGGCAGGCGTGAATACTGGGGAGTCCCCGAAGAGATTTGCTGGGGCAGGGCCACAAAGAGGCTGCTGTACATAGTAATGTAGCGCAGTCGAGTCTTCCTTTGCGAACTATGAATGGATACTGTATGTTTTTAATAAAACAATATACGAATACATTATCTCTCAGCTAGGACATGGCCGCGCATCTTCAGTGGAAGTCAGCACGAGCACATCAGCCCCAACTAAGTGCCTCAAGATGCAGAGAGTTTCCCTAACTTAGGGGTGACTATGCACGTAACTAAGTAGCATTGAGAAAAGGCCTGAAGCCATAGTACTTTGCCTTGTGAAGGAAAACAAGTCAAGCACGGCAGTGCGCGTTAAGAAATGTGGCGCCGCCAGGGGCCTGTACCGCTCAGGGCCAGAGTTTGGCTCGCCTGTCGGTGTCTGAACCTGACTTGGAGAGGATTAGAAGCCCATATCATAAAGACGAAGGGAATAAATGTAAGAGGCCTTGGCGGGATGTTCCATTAGAAAACATGGGGATGAAATGGCTTAGCATTTCATCCACTCCCCCTTTTCCCCTAGTAATGAACTCCGATGATTTTTTTTGATGCAGGACTTGAGCATGCAGCGATGAGACTAGAGATACCAGCTAAGCGGCTGACCGATTACGACTATTGGCTATGCTCCTGGGACACCTAAAGCTGAGCATGAAAGGAAGAAAGAGATGGTCTTAGCCCCTTGGCCTGCCTGAATTTGGAGGTCGACGAACAAAGAACGTCAGCCATTCAGCGCAGTACCTTGCACATGAAAGATTGCCAGCACAAGTGAGAATGGGATAGTCGCGTTATTATGTAAAGGCCTGGCATAAGCATAAGGTACCTGTGGTAGACAAGGCATATAGGGCGAGACAGGGACGTCGGGTGAAGTACCCATCTCATCCTCAAAGCTCCATCATCATACCCCAATCTGCCCCTAATTTCCTCATATAACCTCACACCAGTTATTTACTCTGTCCCTGGATCCTTCCACAGCTTCCTCGAGTTCATCATGAAGCAGGAGAAAGAAGCACACTAGCTTGGAGATGGAGCTATGATCAAAAGGTGGAACATGCCGCCGCATCCCCGGAGACAACATCAAGATACCCGCACAGAAGGGAATCTAAGACGGTAGACCGAGAAGCCGTCGACTTGACTTTGTTTAGCAGGAAGACAAGGCCACCTCCCCGACAAGATAGTAGCCGCTGGTCAAAAAGAGCGGGCGCTGTGGCAGGTGGTCCGGGCGGGTACCCAACACAAAGGCCGTTAGGAAGGTGGCTGCGCTGCTCCTAGCAGACGGCATTTTCCATCTCGCCTTCCAGGAGGGCATCTGTCCGTCCCTTCCTGCACCCACCTGCGTCGTAGCTTCCTTCCATTCCCCTTCTCACCCACCACAATGTCTTTTCTTCCCGGCTTCATGTTTCTGCTTCCCGTACCCGTGCCCACGCCCGTGCCCATGGCCCTATCCATCGTCTTCCATCCGTGACCTTCACTTCTCCTCTCCCCCCCTGGTCAACGCCTCTCCCTGATCACCCCCTCCAAATCTTGAATCTCAAGTCTTACCTTAATCTCACATCAACCTCCAACAAGCCCTGTGCCTCGTGTGTATTTGGTTGCGTCCACTTACATGCGACAATGGCAGATGCGCATCATGTCTGCGCCGCGTTCCTCGTCTTTGACTCTCATCTCCCTCCCCGCTCTCGTCTCCTTCCTTTTCCCGTTGCTCGCGTCTAGCTCCTTGTTTCTCTGACACGCTGTCTCACTCATGCAGCCCGAGATCTAGTCCCTAATCGCCAATCGTCCAGGCCTGCACATGAACGCGCACATTGTTATCTGCCACTATGGATACCGTCAAACAATACTGATTCAACACCCAAGCTCCCAGATGCCCCGAAGTGGCTGCGACCGGGGTTGAGGGTGGGGACATAATCATGTCCGTCCTCTCTTTCTGCGCACCACACCTTTCCAACGCAAGGCACGACATATCTTGCGGAATAGACAGTCCCGCAGCCTCGAACGCTTATAGTCAAACTATACCTGCGATATCAGGCTTTGAAAGACTCAGTTCATGCATCTTCCCCACCCGATGGACGGACGAATACATTCCCCCATATGGATACAGCATTGCGCCGTTGCCACACTGCTCTTCCAGGAACTGATGCCATTGATGACATACTATCTCCTTTGACTCGCCTCTGCTTACCATTTACAGCTGGTTGGCGTTTGGTCTAACAGCCGAGCTACGTATTTCGCCTTGCATTCACTTCGCTTATGTGTTTCCCCGACACCAAGGAGACGGCGATCTGGGTAAAGCTGGGAAAAACGGTACTGACACCGAACGGACACAAACTCCAACCTAGTTGAGCCGTTAACGAGCCGGGAAAAGGGCCATTGACAATGAGCGCGACTAAGCGTGCTCAATCGACATATCAGTCAGGGACTACACTATCCCCTTACTAGACGATGTGGAATCTCGATCAGCCCCAGCCGTGGCCTGTGTTGAGGAGTCCACAAGCTTGATGGGCGACCAGAGAAATGCATCTGGCTTCGCTTCGAGCCTGTGCCCTACGGGCAGCTCAGTGGGCAGTTCAGCATGTGGTCTGTGGCATGTGGAGTCGAAGCCCTCATCAAACTGACATGGAGTCTTGTATGCGCAGGTGCTTCGGAGCGGCTTTTGCGCAAGCCTTCTGCGGCCTGGTGTCTTACCGTGGCGTGATGATGGACTCTGCCACTCGCTAGCGATGGCCGTGTTCACAGCCGTCAGAGGAGACCACCATCTTGAGCTAGAGTTTGAGCTAGTGCTGCTTGTGGGAGCTAACGCAGGGCCGCCAGAAGTCCAGGAATCGCGGGACATTTGACCCGGCCAGACGGTGCGCTTCTGTTTCAACGGCTTCGCTTCAGCGATAATGTCCACACTTTCCCAAGAGCTTCAGAGCTTTCATCTCCAAACCTCCACCTCACAAAATGGCGCTGTTTCGCTAATACCCAGTCACAGGTGAAAAGGATATGGGCGGATACACTGGATCCGCGCGCCCATAAACAATGCTACTTTTCCGGCCATTGATTCACGCACGCACATGGAATTTGAATTCGGCAGCATTTCCATATTAACAGCCGCATTGCTCCGATTTGAGGATCATCATACTGGCTCGTTCGCCAGTTGTTGACGAACAATAATCATCGGGAGGGTATATGAATCGCGAGAGTGGGTACGGTCAATTATTGATGAATCAAGCCAGGCATGGGGAAGCGCAGCGACTGGCTAGAAGTTGCAGCACATGTGTGCCGACCCCTGCGCCCTGGTTCTTTTCGGAAAGAAAATCTTCTGGAACCCCCAGGTTGTGTCGGGAGAAGGGCTGACGTTGTTGAGGCGAGGGCGTCCCTGGATGTGCTTTCCATTAGCTGGGTTTGACTACCGACTGTAGACTGGGGAAAGCTTCGGTCTCCTCCTTGATATCGGCAGTTCGACTCTACGGGACTGAGAGGAAACCGCCGGAGGACCAAGGAGCTCGTTCTTTGCCTCTCAAGCGCAAAGACTCAGCTTCACCATTACTTATGGACCGGGCCGGTGAGGTCCAACCTAGATCAAAGGACAAAGCGTCAAGCAGGAGCACTGCATTTCCTCAATGATCCCTGTCGTCAGCGGAGTTAAGACGACGACAAATACCCCAACCCAATTTGGGAATACGCCTGTGTAGCCAGCAACAGCTCTGCTGGCTGGCAGGTTTATTCACTCTGCTTCTGGTCACTCAAACGGTACACCTGCAAAGTCCAAGCGACAACGACGTGAGCGCTCGTTACCGCGGCCAAGGAAAGAACTTTACAGCGGCTGCGCTGCAATTGAGCACTGGTATCGAGAACCTTTTAAAGCACATATTGCAGGGGGTCCACATGGCATACAGTTCATCGTTGTCAATTGAATTTGACCATAGACTAAAGAAAAGCAAACAACAGATTCACATGTTCGGGTCTCGCATCGGCCGAGTCAACAATGTCCTTCAAAGCTTGCTTCAAGGTCCAGCAAGTCTTTTATTTTTATCTTGTTATAATCCCCTTGCTTTTAGATACATCTATTACGGACACCCAGCAGCTTATGTTTTGGAATTTCTTCTGAAGTTTGGTGCTCAGACTAGACAAGGTCTGGGGTGGGATTTCAACTCAATGATACACACCTCGATTTTCCCACGCAAATGATTCCCCAACCTCACTGTCGCAAGTGCATGGACGCACAAAATCTACCAATGAGAGATATAACCAGGTTGCCCTTCACACTGAGCAGTGCTACACAGCCGTTGTTTCCGACACATCCCCGGGAGCCATCTGCAGCCATTTGATGGAGCCTTTTTTTTTTTTTTTTTTTTTTTTTTTACTTTTACCAAAACGAAATAGGTTGTGGATGGCGGCCTGAGCGAACGAACCGCAGTCCCAACGTTTCAGCAGAATGATCCTAGCTTATGGGATAACCAAGAAATACAATGCTACTGCATATTCGACAGCATGGTATGGCTACTGAAATGGAGTTGCAACACGCAATTACAGAATCAACGCTGTAGCGTTTGTCGATCCGACAAATTCCCCAACATGCAATGGTTTTTTTCATACTCCTCCTTGATGTTCTATTAGATCCGCTTTCAATGTAACGAGATCCGGTTCCGGCGAACTCTTTCCTGTAGACGTTCTGCCAGGAAGCGTTAAAGGCGGTAGCATTGCCTGACTCCTGACGACTCAAGCTTCTAGAAGTTTGAACCCTGAGTGGTTCCTGGAAGCTCACCAGGCATGCCTTGCGATGCTGGGATGCAAGCCCAGCTCACGTTCTGTCCTGTTGTTGCGGCACGGCTTACAGGCATCCCACGCCTCCCCACGACTTTTGCGTCCTTTACCGCTCAAGGTACAAGATAATAGGTTTTGACCGCGCAGAACGTTTCTTTCATGGCTTGCCCATGGCTCCTTGGAAGCTCACAGCCAAGATCCACCACGTTCGAGTGAACTTTAAATTTTTGATCCTACCACGTCGCATGCCCGGATATGGTCGTTCATCCTTCCGCCCCCTGCTTGGCTGGGCTACGGATCCTCGGAGAGTCAACGCCTCAGACCGGTTCTGCAAGAAGCACACAGGTGGCAGATTGTAATCAAATCGTGCATGCGAGCGACAGCGACTTTCCGTAACGGGTCAGTGGGTGCGCGTCAGACTTTCTCCCCCCTTTCGCGGAGCATCCATATTGACTATCATGCTGCAGTTCTGAATCTCTCTGAGGTTCGGGCTACATCTTTTTACGGCATATCGACCGGGACCTGGTACCGCTGTACGCTGACGCCCGTTGCGCTTTGCGTTTCCGCGATTCCTGCGCCCCGGAACCGATGTTGTCAACTTCGGCTGGGCTCCCGAAAAACCATGGGTAAGGGGGCATGGACAGGGGCCGTTGGGGATGGCCCAGCCCGGTATGAGGCATCTTGGACTTGATCGACGCGAGACGAGACCATAATGCTCACCAAAATCTGCAAGGCCGAGAAAACCCCGCTGTCCATTCTGGAAGCTTCAGGTTATTGGATTTTTTGAATACATTTGACAATCCGTCGTTACTGCGTTGGAGCTGAGTCGCATTGGACTCTTCGGAGCTCCCTTCTTACTTTGACGGAGCAGCGTCGGATCCGGGTTTGTGCGTTTGATCTCATGCACCCGCCCAAGTCAGGCATTTCGCCCCTGTGGTACCTGGGAAACCGTAAGAGTTCTTGGATAACTGAAGTGGCCACAGCATCACTGCAAAACGCCTTGCAGGGTTGGATAGGAATGCTATGGCAGCCTTCTGGCTCGTGCCCCCGGTGAACCTTTCTTTCCTAGTCGTGGGTTCCACTGATTGGAGATGAACCCCGACGGATTATACCCGCATGTCCAACGCACATACTTTGGACTGACATTGATCGGAGACATCTCCGCGCTCGGCCTGCGATGCTCCCTGCGCCGTCAACGACGCTCTTCCTAACATTATTCATTCTATTGGCCTCTCCACATTATAAACATGACAAGAAACACAACGGTGACCCAAACCACGCCAGCGCGCCCAATAGCTAGTCATTAATGCTTAACACCCCGAAAGATCAACGCAGACCGCATGTTGTCCCTATCGTGTCATCGTCCAAACACCTTGCTGCTTAGGGATGTACTGACGGGAGGGACGCCCCCTCCATCTACACACCCATGAAACCCGGCAGCCGAGGCTAGAGGAGGGAAAGATTGCTCTCCTTCACTTCGCCCCTCCCCCCTTCCATCCTTTCTAACGCTGGGATGTTGAGATGGAAAGAGTTCTAAAAGTCGCCATCGTCGACGTCCATGCCGCTGACCCGCCGCTCCCCGATCTCACGGATCTTGTCTCCCAGGATCGTCCGTCCGTACCGCTCCGCAACCTTGCCTGCCGCCTCAATCATTCGGCCCGTCCGATCACGCATAAGACCCACCATCTCAAGAGCGCGCATGCCTCTCTCTTCGCCCTCACGGCACTCAATAGCGAGTAGTTGCAGAAGCGTCTTGTCAAGATCAAGCTCGAGGCGTGCCAGGCCGGCCCGCTGCGAGAGCGTGGAATCGGTATTGTCGATGAGGTCGCGCAGCTGGGCCGTCTGGACGCTCGACAGAACCAGTTTCTGCTCGAGCTTGCGCGACTCGCGACGAGAATCATCGTCCTCGTCAGGATTCTGCTGATCTGTGGAGTCCGCATCCGGAGGCGGAAGCGGAGCGGAGGTGAGAGGCACGGAGAAGTCAAATTCTGAGAGTAGGGGGCGGGGGAAGTAAGGATATTGATCCCCGCCCTTTAAGATAATACAGTGGAACTTGTTGTCGGCGACCGCGATGGGCCAGTAAGTCTCGGTCTTTCGTCCAGACGCCAGACGCGGGAGAAGCTTCGTGTCGAGAAGGGGAACCCAGCAGGCGCGCGACGGCTTCCGCCAATGCAGCAGCGTGAGAAGAGTTCCTGTCGAGTCATAAATGCAAGGGTCCTGAGTCGGCCTTTTGTCAGTATAAACTCCAACACGACGGACGTATTCGCAAAGTGTTTGAAGAGAGGGTTGACAGGGGGGGTCCGTGTTGGGGGTTCGACATATAGAACTTACACCATTGTCTGAGAAGAAGACGGTCTGCAACGTCGCGCCATCGGGTAGTGCGACCGTGTCTTCGTTTTGGCAAATCTCATCCCGCTTGATGTTCTCGATCGTGTACAGGAGGCGGGCGTTTCCATCTGCACCAACGGCACCGTTACCCATGGTAATGACATAGTCTCGCCAACTCGCGCAAGTGACCATGGGGGTGCTCTTGGGGCGGTACACCCGGTACGGAACGCCGAAGAGGGTGTAGATGCGCACGTAGTTGCCCGTGGTGGTGACGGTAATGAATGAGTCGCTCAGCGACATGGCGACGACGGCCTCGCCCTTGGGCAGCTGCGTGTGCCAGTCGGTACGCTGCGTCCACGTCTCGTGCGGGCGGTAGAAGATGGTGGCCGGGGTGTTGTCTTGAGGGGGGCAGGAGAACAAAGCTCCATGCTCTGTCAGACATGCCTTGTCATAAAGGTAAGTGTCTGTGAAGTGGAAGTCACGGTGGAGCTCGTGATCGTAAAACTCAACCGTCACGGTGTTGTGACCGTCCTGGTCGACGGTCCAGACGACACCGATCAGGTTCAGGCAGAGGTACTTGCGGTTGCCACGCCACGGCGTCGAGCCGGGCTGGAAAGCTTCATGAAACGTCGGCTCCATGAGGCGGCGCTTGTTTGCGCGGACCCCATCATCGCCGCCTTCGTGGGCTCGCTTCGTCCCCGAGGTGTAGCCAGCGCCGTCGTCATCGACTACGAAGTCATCCCCGTCATCGTAGCCGTCAGCTCCGTTCAGGAACGAGTCCAAGCTGCCGAGAGAGTCACGCCGCGGCCGCGAAGGGATCCCCGCCTTGGCCCCGTTCACATCCGGCCTCCGCGCATTGTTGGAGATCTCGGCCAGGGGATCGTGGATGAAGGGTGCCGGCTGGCGTGGCAGCGCAAGGAAACTCGAAAACTGCTCCGAGATGAGATTCGGGTAGATGTAGACCTCGCCTTCTGACGTTGTAAACGACAGCAGATTGTCCTTGGGATGCCACGCAATATCAATGACGTTGCTGTAGTCAAACTTTTGGATCACGCTCTGCGTCTTAGTCTCCCAGATCAAGAGTTTGCCGTCCTTGCCGGCGGTCGCCAACATGGCGCCGTTGGGCGACCACGCCAGCGCCGTGACATCTCCTAAATGTCCGTTGGCGAAAGTCCTCTGCTTTTCCCAGTCGTTCTTGGAAACTACCTGGACATCGTGCATCGGCGTCGGGACGGCAAAGGCCCTTCCGTCGGGGTGCCATGCGATCCTGGCGGAACTCTCCGAATCAGAGTCCAGAGGGCCAATGACGCCGTCGACCTTGCGAATCAGCTCGGGCTGCTCTGCCGTCATGGAATAGATGTAGATGACTCCATCTGTACACGCCAGGGCCAGAAGACCCCCTTTAGGGTCGAATGCGAGATGTTTCGTCGGCCGCCCGTGATCCTTCAGCGTACGAACACGCGAGTTGTCTTGCGTATCGACCACCTTGACGGTCAACTCATCGCTCGCGACGGCACACCATTTCGCATCAGGCGATAGTGCGACGTCACGAACGGGGAGAGATGTGCGGACAAGGTAACGTTCGAAGGAGGTGTTCTCGACGGAGTAGACGCTGACCGTTCCGTCTTCCGAACCAACGACAAAGAAGTCGTCCGAGGGACCGCCCGCGGCAACAGCCAAGTTCTGCTCGGGGCACTCATCAATGTTGTAGGGCTCGCCATCGTGGTGCGTGCGGTACAGACGGATCGTATTGTTTGAGCCGACTGTCACGAGCCGCGCTCCGGAGGGTGTGTATGCGAGACGGGTTGTGCCCGAAAGGTGGGCTGGCCTCGGCCGTGGTTTTGGGGCGAGGGAGGAGGCCATTGCGTGTTCAATTCGTGATCATTCGCGAGTCTAGACCTGTTGTCGAAAGATCGGAGTAGAGATTTCGGCAGAATTCTAAGACTCGTGATACTCGTCAAAGTGTCGATGCTGAATGTGTGTACGTTCTAGAAGATGGCGATGGTAGTGGGGATTGGCGCATTGGAGCAGACGCGTTCGGACGCGTCGCGAATTCAATTAAAGCTTTTTGACAAGGATGTGGAAGCGTTAAAGCAACGCACCCTTCCCCCCCCGCCAAGTACGTACTTCTTGTTGGTCCCTGCGGGTTCTGTCTGACATCTGGCCCCAGGTGGCGCATCAATTGGATATCCACAGAATTACCATCACAGGCATCCGAATATTGATGAGAAATACAGAGGAGTGAAAGCGGGCGGTCTGGACTTTACACGGAACAGGCACCCATTTTCAGCACCTGCTCTTAGGCACCTTCATTCCGAGCTGTGAAGGTACTGACTGTTTGGAGTACTTTTACCAAGTTTTTTTTCCTTTCTTTCTTAAAAGTTCATTTCTTGCTTTGCTGTTTCATTCACACAGGTTTGAGTTATATATCAAGATGGAGTCATCGAATCCAGAGCACTTCTTCGAGACGGAGTAAGTACAGCCCCTCACTTTACAAATCTCACAGTGCATGAAAAGGGGCTGACCAAAGAACACAGCGCTCAGCAGGCCAAGCGTCAGCAGCGCGCTGTGAAGGAGGAGAATGCCTTTGGCAACCCCCTCCGTATGCCGTCCAAGATCCTGGCCGTCATCCCGGACCCCAAGAAAGCTCACTCCGTCTTCGCGGCCGAATCGGGCGGAAGGGTGTCCCGCATCAACACGGAGGTAATGTTCTAGAGTCATATTCATTCCGCCCATTTCCGTCGCCAACATGAGAAGGAAGAAGCAAGTCGCTAACGAAAGACAGACTCGGGCCATCAGCGCAAAATATACCGGCCCCTCCGTCCCCGTAACATGCCTCACCGTCGGCGGAGAGTCTAACTCTGTCCTCTTCGCCGGAAGCTGGGACAAGACGGTCTGGTCATGGGACATCGCCACGCGCAAGCCCGCTATTCGCTATGACGGCCATTCGGACTTCGTCAAGGCCGTGGTTAGCGGGAAGCTCGGCGACAAGCACGTCCTCGTCAGCGGCGGCGCCGACAAGAAGATCATTGTCTGGGATGTCGCCAGCGGACGCAAGCTGCACACGCTCCAGGACGCCGCGTCGGGCGCCAGCATGATGTCCCTGCAGTCTCTCGCCATCGATCCCGTGCTCAGCACGCAAGACGAGCTGGTTATTGTGAGTGCGAGCAGTGACCCGCATATCCGGCGGTGGAAGGTCACCGTCGCAGGGTACTCTCAGCTCCCCATCGAGACTCCCAAGGTAGCTGCGGCAGAGCAGCAGCTCACGATCCAGCAGCACGAAACGAGCGTTTACAAAGTCGTGTTTGACATTGCCGGCGACGACGTGGACCTCTGGACCGCCAGCGCAGACGGCACGGCCAAGTGTCTGCTCCGCGAGAAGGGCTTCACCGCCGAAGATGTCTTTGAGCACGGCGACTTCGTAAGGGCCATCGCCTTGACGGATGACTGGGTCATCACGGGCGGCATCAGCCAGGTCATCAAGGTGTGGGACCGGACCTCGGGGAAGCTGTACGCGTCTATCGATGCGCACTTTGATGAGATTACAGATTTCGTCGTCCTGCGGGACCCCACTGGCAGGGAGGACGTGTTGTGCAGTGTTGGTATCGACTGCACGCTGCGGACGTGGCCTCTTAGTAGAAAGGGACTGGACGGGGTTGTGGAGGAGATCAAGGCTGCGGCAGACGGCAAGGAGAAGGTGGAAGAAAAAGGTGAGAGTTTGATGACGGCTGAGGAGGAGGCTGAGTTGGCTGCGTTGATGGACGATGATTAGAGTGTTTGATTATTCAAACCAAAAATCATAAAAGAAAAAAACAGAAAAAAAAACCTTTGGTTGAGCTTCTTGCCTTGGACATGATTTTCAAATGATAACATGGCCCAGGGGACGAAACAGGGGCTCTCTACACACACTACAATACATCTCGAGGAGCATCTGTTGTACAGAGCTGGAACCTGTCATGAAGTTGTACAGGCAGGCATGAAGCCGTGGCTGCGAAGGAATACGAGATATTCGGGAAACCGGTCATCATGTAGAAGCGCCAAGCCCGTTCTTGGAATCGATGGAAGTCCTTGTCACCGGGATACAGCCGAAACAGGCGCAATTCAGATCACCAAGTTACGCATCATTCATTCGAGTCATGATGCTTTTTTTGTTGATATTGTGAGATTGGGATCTCAAATCTGGGCTGGCGGATGATCACGTTTTTGCCATGCCAAGTGCCCGAGGTGTTGGTGGTTTCCTGAAACCGGCGCTCAACAGCAGAGCCGACCAGCGACGTTCTCGAGAGAATAAAACTCCACGATGAGATACGAGGCGTAATTATACCCCGCTGTAGCTCCGATGTTGATGTTTGAAAATCGAGGCTTGGTCTCGTTGTTCCCCCAATATGACCGACTTAGCATTGTGTCTTATTGCCCCTTCCCCATCCGACCCTGATACCAGCCTCCGCAACTAGCGTTGGCCTTGCAAGTGCCTCAGACCTCCACCTGCAAAATTTGCTGATTTGGCAAGTGTGGCTATTGGTGAGATCGGACACGTCAAATAAAAAGCTCTCAATAACCAAGAAATTAGTGGCGTTAATGGTTCAACCTGACGGTGCGAGCAGCCGAATCCCCCGGGCCCTAACGACGCGCGGGATACTAGTTCAGAATAGCTGTCTGCAAGAGGCCTCGGCCAGTGGAGACTACCACGTTATTTGCCAGGATACCCCAGACGCTTTCCGGGACGTTGCATTTGCATGCTGGGCCTCTTGCATGCTATGCATTATGAACCAAGTGATAATAAGTTCAGAGTGTATCGTGAGAAAATAATTGACCTGGCCCTGCAAAACATCCACACGCTTGGACTTTTGACAGCGTAGACAGACGTCTCAGCCAAGATCGAAGCTTCTTAGACATCAGTTGATGAGTCTCGACCACGCCGCAAAAATAAACCATAACACGTAGACGTTGGAGGAAACACTACACTTTCGACAACCGAACCCAGTCAATGCAGCAGTAGTGCTGCAAACTGCATATGTGCTGGAAGTATGCTAGCATTACATGCTCTACTGTAGTTACGCAAACTATGGTAGACCAAACGAGTAATAGTGTACATCTGGAAGCGACTTATCCGGGCGGGTGGCGGCGGTGCCTGCAGCTCCGCGATACATACAAGCACTTGTACATTACGCGTTGTTGGGGATCCATCAGGCGTCTTGTCTGCAGAACTAACAGCATAAAGAACAAACAATGCTGTGGATTGAATGTGAACCGCTACAGGGTAAACGTGAAGGAGGAGAGACAAGAGACTAGAGCATTTCGCGTGGTCCGGATCAAATCAACAGGCTTCCGCCTCAACGACCTTGATTGTCGTACAACAAAGACGGTTTTAGTTCGTTTCAAACCCTTCACCGCCCTATGGTATTGGAGAAATCGTGTTACTGCGGGAACTGACTCAATGAGCTGCATTCAATGAGATTCATGACAGGGATCCGGAAAAGATTAGTTGAAAGGGGACTTTCCAAACGTCCTGGCTGGCGGTTCAAGAGCACGGGGCAAGCGCCAAAGACGCCAGCTGCAGGCTATCGACCTTCTATTTAATCGGCCTGTGGGTGGACACTAAGCCGAGCGGACAAATTTCTCTCTCGTAGGAAACAGGTTGTAGAGAAAAAGGTGATGTGCATAATAGCGACAAGAACAGACGACTGAATTGGCACTCAGAACAGAGCAAAAATGAACTCGTTCCCCGTGTGCGATGCAATATCGAAACAGTTATGTTGTTAAGCTTCAAGGTGGGGAGATGTGTCAAACAGCGTCCGAACTATATTAACCCTGTTCTTATGAGCTGGCAGGAGCGCGCCGGCGGAGGAGACCGATCGTGACAAGCATGACCGACTGCACGATGACAGCTCCGGGCTATATTTCGGCTCGAGGCTTGTCTTAGTTGTTGAGAAGTCGGCCGTGCAGGACCTGTAACGCTCGCATCTGTAGATGGGTCACGAATGTTAGTTAATTTCCGCGGCACGTCCTTAAGCCGAGGTACTGGGGTAGGATTGGAGGACCTGGGTATGTGCCTGACGACTTGGCGTGCTGGCGGTTAACCAGTAGAGGTATTGACTGGGTAGTGTGACGCAGAGTTCAGCTGGAGCCGACTGATTCGAGATAGAGTTGGACTGGCGGTACAACTCATGGATCCGCCAACATGTATCCTCGACAGGCCGCGCAAAAGAAAGGGGGTGCACAAGTGAAACCAGTATGGAATATTTGCCGTTCTAAGAGATTGAACTTAACCTTCTGTGGTGGTGATGTTCCAACAACGGCTGCTTGCAAATGTCAAAGCTGCTTGCTGATCGCCGACAAGGTTCTGGTCGAGTCCACTCTTCCCAGGCTTGCCAGGTTGTCCTCCTGCCCCTGCACCCTGAGCCCTGGACCCCTGCCATGTCCCCACCTTCCACCACTCCTGCCAGTTGATGCCGTTGCGTTGCGTTCCTGCCTCTCATCCAAAAACTGGCTGCATTCTGAGAAGGTGCAGGGCCTTTTCTGGTCCAGCCGCCCCCGGGAGCTGCACGGACTGCCCTCTGGTATTCCAATCTTACGGGAAGAGATTTGTGGCATTACGTTCCGATTTTGGCAACGGCATCTCAAACCGCCTCAGCCAGATGTATGGTCGACTTTGATTGTCCAACGCGAACTTGTCGTAACCTCGCCCACCAGAACCCCTGCTCCGCTGCCGTAATCGCTCTTCCTTGTGTAGCCGCCATCCCCATTTCGTCTGCTCCGTTCGACCTCCATCTGACATCAGCATCGTATGGTCCGTCACGGCAGCCAAGATAGAGACGTCAAACGGTGAAATGGCTTCGGCGATCATGATGCAAGAGACAGTAGCTTGCACAAATTCCAAACAGATGTGTCATTGTTCTCCGATGGTGGCAAGCCGACGGCCTGATTTCTACGAGACACCGGCATCAAGTCTGAAAGCCACACTACCCTTAGCATCAAGCCATGCGCAAGAGCCAGGAGAAGCGCCGTAGACCTGTCCCTCCCGCCTTATCCCATATTAGCGTGTTAGCGTGAAGCTTTGGTCCCTTTCCCCCCCGGTCCTGGCACTAACAAGCCAGGTGCCTTGAATTCACTCAAAGCTCCCATCTCGCTGCGCATTTTGGCTGACTTAGTAGGGGACTGGCCAAACCCAAATATGAAAAATGCCTTGCCACATGCTATTACTACGCGCCCTTTCATGTCCGATACTCGCCCTCGCATTGCTCGTTCATTGTCAGCTTACCTTGGGCGCAGGCCAGTGGATCTCAAATCCAGTGGAGGAATGTCCCAGGAATTAAGAAATAGGTTCTTTTCACAAGAACGTTGAATTCTTGAAAGTACCCAAGGCCACTCTAGTTTAAACACGCGTATATCTCCTGTCGCTATCCGCTCTTGCAGCTCGGAAGGACCAGAACCGTATTAGGGTCCAGCTTGCGTTAGCACCGGCACGAACAAGAACACGCGCCATTACAGACCATCAAACAAGCAAGACCATTGAGACAACTGGCCTCCCTCTTTTGCATCGTCACTTCCCCTTGCCCCTCCCCCTCTCGGCAACCGCCTCTTATCAACTAACCTAGCGGCTTGGGGCGCAGTTCGGAACCGCGAACTATTCTGTCTAATTCTCTCCTTGTGTACCCTAATTGAGGAACACCTCCTGGGTAGACCAAGCCACCATTTTGGGGGGCTTGTACCGGTGTCTACCCTACTCGATCTTCTATTCTTTTCCCACATGTCCTACTCTTCATCCCCATTTTCTAGATTAGATGACCGTTGAGCTTCTCCATTCTTCGAGTCTGATTTTACTTATTGGAGCCACCACTTCTACTACGGCTGAACTGGACGAAGAACGCCAAGGCGTGGGGAGTTTTTTTGCAGCTGGGTTGCACATGAACGCACCTTCCTCTCGAAATCAACTTCGCCACTTTGCCTTCGCCTCGACGCTGATATTGGATGAACTCTTTTGCTTTCGGTTCGCCTGAAGCTTTCGTTCCGGCTGACGAACATCCAATCTTCAACTCACCCGCCAACGTTACCTCGCCACCTTTGTTTTCTTGTTTGCTACTTGGCAATCTGCCTCGATGCCCGACCTCGCCGAATATCACGGCGGCCTCATCGCCTTCGAGGGCCCTGCCGATCTTGTCTCGACCCAGCTACGTCTACTACCTACATCTTCACAAATAGCCATTCTTCCCAGTGTTAAAGAATTCCTTGAACCTGAACACCCGGATGCGCTATTTGAAGCGCGTCATTTTATCAAAAGAGTCCATGATGCTGTTACCAAGAGGAGAAATATAGCACTGGCCTTTCTCAAAGAGTCCACGCCGAAGCGGAAGAGATTGGTCTTCATGAACGGAGGCACCCCGAGTGCGCAAACGGTTTGCATCAGAGCCATCTCCCGTAACGATACCAATGGCGACATTGCCAAAGCTGAGGCGATTTTCAACGAAATTGTCAAGGGGGGTGTCGCTGGTCTGACTGCACATCCGGCCGCTTCAAGGCGCTCTTTCTTAGACACGTCCGAAGATGTTATAGAAGATCCCATAACGCAAGCTATGCGGGCGGCTGACGCCCTAGACCGGGAGACGGAAAGTCTTCAACCGTGCAGCGACATTGACCTCACCATCGCTTCCCAACGCCCACGAAGCATGAGTCTCCCCTTGTACAGCTATGCTGACAGATTTGGCGATGCAGCACCATTCTACGTCTTTGGTGAACAGCCCAACGATGGGAAGGCAGACGAGGAGGTTGAAGTACCAGAAACACCTCGAGCTTGTCGGCCACCTCCCAAATTGGCCATTACAAGCTTTGACGAACTTGAAAGGCTGGCGGCTCTTGACTTCGATTTTGCTGATAAGTCAGCCACGTCCCCTCCTCCTCGCTCTCCGAGCTGTATTGGTGAGGCCTACGGGCCGAACGACAAGGGTTTGCCAGCAACACCAAGAACCCCGGGCATGCTTGAAGTGGCAACCCCAAGATCCGATGTGTTCAGCATTCGTTCCACGGAACCCGTTGTCATAGAGAAAGCGTCACTTGTCCGAATGAAGTCTTCCGCGTCGTCCAAGACTCTGTCGCGGTCTCGCTCTGTGGGTCAGCTTCACCGGAGCAACTCACGATACAGGGACACCTTAATGCGCAAAAGAGAAAAGGAAAAGGAGTCTGCTACCGATAAGCAGACCTCAAAAACTCTTTCATCTTCTGTCGTTGAACTCACTGAGACTGCTGAGAGGCGTGATCTCAATGCGAGTCTCCAGGAAACGCCCAGGAAGGAACTCATAAGGGCGTCCCGGTTGAACAAGTCTTTGCCTCCTCCACCCCATGGGAGCCCAAAGCCCAAGAGGACCAAGGCAAATTACGTCGACAGGGGGACTGATGCTGAGGACTTTGTTGTAAAGAGTCCAGCCATTCAGCCTATACTGCCATTCTCGGAAGATCTTGTCATACACTTTAAAGATGAAAGCCCAGATCCGATTCTGGAGTATATGATTCGTGCTTTCAAGGAGGGTATCTACCCTGTTGCCTTGTCTTCTTCCAACACTTCAATTATCGATGGAGACGCTTCAATCCCCCAAACTCCAACATTGCAAACTGGGGAGTTGCAAGAGTCCCAGTTCACACCTGCAAAGACCATTCATGAGGACGAATACGACCCTTTCTCATACCAAGACACGGATTACACCTCAAAGCAACCGCAGCCACAACCAGTCTCAAGGACTGTGGCGACTTCACATCTGCCAACACCAGCGCAAACGCCCCCACCCATGGTTTCGGAGCTCGAGGATAAGTTCCATGACTTCAACGCCGTACACAGTCAGACTGCTATCGCGATGCAAAATTCACTACGATCCGTGCTTAATATCTACTTCCCTCCAAAGGCTACTGGTTTCTCCCAGTTCAACTTTCCATTACTTCCCGAGATGGATGGTTTGTGGAGGCCCATTTTCCGGGACGCCGAGGCAGGTGCTACTCCGAAGAAGAATGGCCACAGGATCGACCAGATATTGGCTATTGGTTCCCAAAAGGGAGTTAAAAAGACTTTCCTGTCTTCGATCGCTTGCCAGCTTGAGCAATTGGGGACCAAGTCCAGCGGCATCTCCCGGGCTGGAAGGCTGGATTTCAGGTAAGTCTTATCATGCTGATATACTCTGGCAATCTTCTCTAACATTTTTTCCAGATATCTCATGGCAAATGCAATGCAGTCATTTACTGCGCAGCCCTTGGCAAACCAGACCCAAGACAATCCGTTCACCAACTCGTATCTCTTGGCCATCCTCATCATCCCTCATTTGGAAACATATTTCGCCGTCCACTCTGACGTCCGCTTCCTGCTTCTCGACTACCCCCCAGACCACCTTGCGACCGTCCTTGCGCTCCAGAAGCTCGTTGGTGTTGAATTGATGAAAGTTGCCCAAGTCATTGATACAGACGCCAAGGGATCTCTACCCTTCAGCCACATTCGAGGTAGCTCCATTGGACGTATCTCCAACAAAAGCGACATGGCCTCGAGTTCAGGATCTCTTCAATCGAAGGGATCGACCACAATCGTGTCATCGTCCTCGACCGACGGAGTGGCAGTTTCAAAAGCAAACTTCCTCTTAACGTCAAAGGCAACGGACGCGGAAATTGGAACTTTCATCTCCACCATTTGGAAGATCCTTACCAGCATTTCCAGATTCTACCTTCCAGAAGACAACGACGACGACGACGAGCGAAGATCTGGCACTTCTTCACCATTTACCATGTCCAACCAGCGGCCCGTTAGCCCCCCAATGTCTCCGCCATCATCTAGCGGCAGGAAAATCGAGAAAAGATCGGGCTCGTTTAGGACTTTAGGTAGACAATCGTCTACTGTGGAAACGGTTGTGACGCAGCGAGTCAAGTCTCGAAGAAGTATCAAGAAGATGCCTGCGGACGGCGCATCCATCTTGACCGCCGACGTGGACTATGAGAGCGATGTAGACCTCGAGGAAAGACGTCTGATGCCCCTTTTCATGAAGAAAGCGGCCCAGACCCATACAAAGGGCAACAGCCGCAAGGCCTTGAAGTTTCTTGGTCTTGCATAATACGTTTCCCACCACAAGTTGTTATTGCCAAACGTTAGGGCCTGCATACCAGCCCTCTATACTCCCCTTGTAATGTGTGTATAATATGAGCGTAATGATGATTTGCCTTGTTGAGGGATACCTGGGGGAATTCGGAGATACTAGCTGCGGATGAGATGTCATCGGGAAAGCCATGACGCTGTTGTATGATTATGGAAACTTGCTGGTCGGTGGGAAAGGTTGAGGATATCTGCTTGCTCTCTTTAGCTTCTTTAGCCGCATCCATTGCGCGTTGTTGACGGTCAGAGTCGTTGACGCATAGTATTGCCGTAGATGGAAAAGAGACCTGCGTTCACGAGCCGATATTGTTTCCCACCTAGTCCCATGTGTTTTTGACTGGCTGTTAGTAAAGATCCTCCGGTACAACGGAGCAATATCAGAGCGTCGTGTTTAGTGGAAGTCACGTATCACATGACAAAAAAGCATAGTGCCGGCCACAGCACGAGTACACATACAGACGGCAGACTGGTAGAAATGGCAATAAGGCGGATGCGACAGCTAGCAATACAAATGTATCAGAAAATCCTCATCAATATAAAAAAGAGACACTTTTGAGAAACGAAAGGATAAGGAAACAAAGGTAGAAAAAAAGTGAGTCGTTCACTTCGTCCAACCGCTAGAACTCAGCTCATCAATCTCCGTCCAGAAACTCAAGCGTCTAGTGTATACTTTCTTTTGAACGCAACCGTGGAAAGGGTACAACAAACATGTCAAAAATAGAAACTCGACTTTGGATACATACATACAGAATAACATACACGGTCAGTTTGGAATAAATCAAAAACGTCATACCATAACGGAAACCCCCCCTCCCCACATCGACGTCAAGAGAACCTGTTTCGAGAGATTCGGCGCCCAACTAACTAGTGTAGCTTACCTCTTTCCAGGTCGACCTGACGTTGCGGGTATATATCAATCATCCATCCTCCCCAAATAATAAGCGGAGGCTTTGGCACTCTATCGGAAAAGAGTGGATAACATTGTTTTAGTTTAGTATTAAGAAAAAGGGACGACGGCCCAGTGACGCATGTGACCGCGCGGGGTCATGTGTCCCTCGCCCCCCCCATACCGATTCCCCCCTCCCCCGGCCCACGGACTCATGTATGGGAAAGCCGCGGTGCGGCGGGTGCAGCCAGCCAGCCAGCCAGTCAGTCACTCAATCATTCAGTGAGTCTGTCTGTCACTCAGTGCGTGGCTGTCCATGTGTCTGTCTCCCTCCCTACTTGCCTGTCTGCCTACCTGCTTCCCCCCAACTCACGTGAGGCCCGCCCGCGTCCGATGACCGCCGGGGTATCCGAAAGCCCCGAGTCCCGTAGCACGTCATACGTCGTTAAGCCTAGAGGCACCGGGAAGTGGATAGGGATGACGATGCAAAGACATGTTCGTCCGAGGCCGTTAGTTAGGACAAGCTGGCGAGACAAATACAGATATTGATGTCAGATGGCCGGCACGGCGCGCCATGGCGCCTCGAAATGAGACAGTGGGAACTGCGCTTCAAGAAAAGGAAAACGTCACTTGCCCATTACTTCGACCCTATCTACCAGAGAAAGCAGCAGCCGCCAAAGAAATCATGGCAGACGAGGAAGAAACACCTAGAAAACATGAAGGATGAGAAGAGACAGATGTCACCGTCCAACCCCATCCTCCTCCCCACGGATCATCCGCTTCGATAACCATGTGTTCTTAAACCCCCGCCGCCGGCAATGTTCGGTTGCAAAGTACACGGTGCGCCAGCCCAAAACACAGCCTACACATACACACGTAGAGATAGCCTCGTAACCCATCCTCAAGTCCTGTTCAGCCCCTCAGCATCCCCAGGTGTATTCTCCGTCGAAAGCGTCTCTGTGATGGGGCTGTTGGATGCACAAGCATCTAGGGGTGATCCCTCATTTTGCCATAAGCAACATCGTGGTCCCATTACAAAGGTATCTTTCTGTCGAGTGCGTGTGCGGTGTGTAGAAGGAGCTGAGGCAATCCAAATCAACACTCATCTATGCGTAGAAGTATGAAAGCAGCAGTGGGGAAGGAGAGAAAAAGCGAACGAAACAGCCTTGTCCGAGCCGCATCCGATTCCCAGCACCTTCATAGGTTGTGCATTCCTCCCTCGCCTAACTGCCCAGCTGTTTCCCCTCCGCCGAGAAAATCCGTAAATGCCATAGAACAAAGGTAAGGAAAGCGGGCCTTGGAAATAACCGGGATCGAGGCGTTTAGCAGCAGCCGCCGCCCGAGTTCGAGGAGACGCCGTGGCCGGGCCCAACCTGCACGCTGGGTTTCGTGTTGTTCGCGGTCGTGCTGCCCATGCGCTCCTTGATCTGGCGGGCCATGGTCAGGAAAGCCTGCTCGACGTTGCTGGCGTTCTTGGCAGAAGTCTCGAGGAATGGAATGCCCAAGCTGTCGGCGAACTCCTATTTAGGGGGTTAGCAGCCGCATCCTACGATGGGCACGTTATTTGCCAGGCTGACATTGCCAGTGCGGCATCGTGCTCAGGTGGCTGGCAGGTGGTAGCGTACCTTGGCAACAGTGTACTCGACAACCTTCTTGTCAGACATATCGCTCTTGTTGCCGACGAGCAGCTTGTTGACGCCCTCGGTGGCATATCTGTCAATCTCCTGCAGCCACTGCTTGACGTTGTTGAAAGAGTCCATGTCGGTGACATCGTAGACGACACAGATGCCGTGGGCACCACGGTAGTAGGAAGAGGTGATGGTGCGGAAACGCTCCTGGCCAGCAGTATCCCACTACAAAAAGAAATCTCCATGTCAGTTGCTTTTTTTTTATTTTCTTCGCCGCAAATGCAACCAGCCTAAGAAACCAACGACGGCAAGGGGGGGCTACTCACGATCTGCAGCTTCACCGTCTTTCCATCGAGCTCTATCGTGCGGATTTTCTATTATCCATCGTCAGCATGCGATCGGTGGGAGGCAGGTCGTTGGGAGGCCATACGAAGTCGACACCGATGGTGGAGATGTAGGACTCAGTGTAGGTATCATCGGCGAATCGCAAAAGCAAGCAAGACTTTCCAACACCGGAGTCACCGATGAGGAGAAGCTTGAAGAGGTAGTCGTACCTGCCGTCAGATCAGTATCGACATGAGCTTATTCAATATGACGTCGCCATCGAGGGTTTTTATCGCAACGAGAAGAACAACGAGGTTGGGGGGTCGGGATGGATGGAGAGGCTCTGCAAGAGTAGGAGGTCAGCTTGATGTCGACTCTCAAAAGGCTTCTTCCTTGGTAAGGAGGCGACAGACGAAACGTACTACTCGGGGTTCATTGTGATAAGCGGTCGCGGGGCGAAAACTTGCGGAAGTCAAAAAAGTGCAGCGGTTGGAAGCAAGCAGGACGATTAAATGGCTGTTGGCGAGGTGTTGGGAGGTGATGGATTGCGGTGGTGTCGTGATGAGGTGTTGGAAGCGACAAAGCAGGTCAAGTGAGGTAGGAGTCGGACGGAGTAAGGCAGGCTGCTACGTCAAGCCTTCTAGTGCAGTGAACCAGCCTTTGGTTAGTGCCCAGTGTCCTGTGCCCAGGAGTCCTGTGGCCAGTCGTCCAGTGTGTGTCCAGTGCGGTACCGCCTAGGAGCAAACGGGCCCACTCCCGCTTCAGTCAGATGTCACCAGCGAATGAAACGTCAGGAGCGCACGAGATAATTCACGTGACTTGTCGATGTTCTGGACCGATTTGGATGGAGCTCGAGCCTGACCCTCTCCAGCCCAGTGCAGGCATCTTTCTCCACCTCAGTACAGTACGTAAGCACCTGCTGGGGCTGCGTTGTAGTCCTTAATATCAGGATCCAGAGTCTCCCTTGTTGATATTGTGTGAAACACCTCTGCCAAACGCTGCACTCCTATAATCAACGTGAAAGCTATCGAACATGTGCGGCTGATTATCCTGCCTGTTTGTTTCCGTTTCTGAAAGGCTTGCTTGTTACTGCTGTTTAGACGTACCAAGCCAACACCCATCTCATTTGGTACCTCGCCGCAGGGTCAGTGTCTTGTACGGTGCGTCTATGCATAAGATAACGCGGTATAAGCATGCATGCATGGTGTGGTTGACAGGACCCCACCAACCCTCTTGGTTTGTGGGGATTATCCTAAATAACCAACTTCACCTCCATCTTAGCCAAATACCAGTGCCATGTTTGAACGTCCCTAATTGGACGGATAGTATTCTTCGGTTGAGGTTCGTTATAATCGTAGGTGCAATCTGCCGTAGCAGTATTATGGTGCGTTTGACTTGGCTAACTCGGAACTTCCACTGTGAAACAGTGTGAGTGTAATCGTGAGAAAGCTGCCGTTGTATGTGGCGATGCAAAGTTGTCATCTCTCGCTACTGCTCTTCATTTATTCAAACCGACTGCTCTGATATTCGGGGCCCTGCAGTAACCGTGGCTCAATCGTCACTAGAGGTCTTCTTTGGGATGGCCTTCAAACCGGCCATGGTCACCGCGAACTCAACAGCACCGTCCACGCCATGTCCTGTCGCTTTGGCATGCGGAGCGAAGACAACTTTCATCCATCGACGCCAGTTCTTGAGCGCTGGCATGCCCCGGTCGTCGGCCTCATCATTCACATGTCGATGTACTCCATAAACTGGCTTTTTGAAAAGCGCGATGCGACATGCAATCTGAGTAGACCACACTAAACCAAGACTTGGCGTCTTGAGTCCATAATCAGCAAAAGGGTCATCGCCCCAACCTGTAAACCATCGTTGTTGGTGGTCCAATGCCAAAGCGGGCGGCGCTGGTGGGCCAAAATCGTCCAAGCCGGGAGGTTCAGGCATACTGGAGCGCAACTGCTCGGCCATGGATGAAGAGGGTTCAACGGCCGAGGGAGAGAAAATAAGCGGTCCTCTACTTCTTGATGCCAAAGGGCTCTCCTGGGTAAACCCCACATGACTGCTAGGCGGTGGCATTCTAGAAATTGCGAGCGGGCTGGAGAATCGATCCGCGACCTGGTTGGACACCACGACAGCTAGATTGTACTTCTGCGCCAGCTCTCTAAGCAGAGCGCCCAGTCGCGTCAGTTCGTTGCTGCGGGTCCCCATATTCAATCCCTGGTTGCTGATTGCGCCTCGGTCAAATTCTGCACGGTAGTTGGATGCCACAGAATCGAGAACGATGAGGCCGATGTTACGTCTCTCTACCTCCACGGGAACTTGAAATTGGAGGATGTGCTCCTGCGACTCTAGATCAGGCGTAGAAGTGCTCGAGATGGCGTCAAACGTCGGCCGCTGCTCCAGCGGAAGATCTGCTAGCCGCGGATTGGCTGACAGCATTTGTGACAGCCGTCTTGTAGACAGCTGGGCCTCTGTCGTGATGTACAAAGCAGGGCGACCTAGTCCATACGGCGGTGGCAGTTGAACGGCAAGCAGCAATGACAGGAGAAACTGCGTTTTCCCGGCGCCGCTTTCTCCAGTAATCTCCGTCACATAACCAGTCGGGACTCCTCCCCCTAGAGCCCGGTCTAGGTCATCGTCGAGGGTGCTGATAGTGGACCATTGGTTTTCCAGGTCTGTAAGCGAACGCTTCAGAGGCGGGTTGTCACCTGGCTGACGGTTAGAGGGGCTGAAGTCGCGATGAAGGGCGTCGACAACAGCTGCACAGAGTCTCTTAATATCGAGCAGCGGCAGTTGGGTGCGTTTGCCGATGTCGACAACATCCAAAGTCAGAAGTTCGGTGGTAGATATCTGATGTCGTTCCAGACTCTGCACAAGTCCAGAAAATTGCCTAACGGGGAAGTCCGGTAGGAGCTGCAGCAAGTCGGTCATGGCATGTGGCAGGCGTTCAGTAGTGCGAAAGGGCAGAATATGTGCATGGTATCCGTACAGTCAAATTGTGTGTCCACTCAGTCGGATGCCGTTATGAGATGCGATGGTGTTCGGCAAGTGGACGTGTTCGGACAAGACAACGCGATACTGCGCTACTGTCAAGCTGAGTCAAAGGTAGACTCGAGCTGCAGTGACTAGAGAAGGCCGAAAAAGGAAGCGAACCTTCAGCGTTGCATGTCGATTGGCAATCTGAAAGACTCACACCCAGCCAATGCAAGTTCCTGCACATACACACACACACCCCGTCGCGTCAGTTTTGACTGTTCGCGGCTTCGAGTAGTAGTTGACGTGCGGATTGGCTGCTCCAAAGGAAGTAAACACCTGCAGGGTCAGGGCAGTTGCTGCGATCCGATTCCGTTTGCCGCCGTCAAATGGAAAGAAGCTTAGGAAAAAGTGGATCATGTTTGGTTATGTAATCATGCAAGGAGCTCCAAATACCCTTGTTAATTGCCAAACTGCACGAGTTTACTCTCTCGCTGCCACATCCGGGGTTGTGTTTGCCCCAAACTTCCTTTTCGATCCATGTCTTCGATCTTTCGAGATACATCCCCTGAAGGACGATGAGGTTTTGAAACGCCATGAACCCGTTGGTACATCAGCCCTATTCAGGGCCACAACAGCTACCCGCTCCTAAGTTGTGGACGCAGCAAGCCTCTCGCAAGAGGCAGAATACACGGGAACGCGGCTCGCCAGGCTTTTGAGGACGATCTCTGGGCGGTTTTGGGCCGCCTCTTGAAACAGAAGAGGGATCCAGCCCCAGGAAGAAGAAAAGAAGTTATCAATCAAAAGCACCAACCAACAAAGTCGTCCGATATCAGCCATGGTCCACCATTTGGACTAGATCTAAAAATGAAAGCCCAAGCTCAAGGCTGAAGTCTGCCTTGTAGCGAAGCTCGTTTAATTTCATCAGACTCGGTTGGTCAAAACGACCAAGGGCATAGTGCCATCTTTAATCAGTCCGCTAGTCCCGGCTGGTTCAAGGTCGACAGCTCACACGCCGGACACGTATTTGTGGTATCGTCAGGTCTGTGAAGGATTCGACCATCTCATCTCATTCTAGGCTTGCAATGAAGTACGAAAAAGAAGCAGACACTTTTCTTTTCTGTTTTGTTCCTCCGTCATCGTCATTCACTTCGTCCTGTGTCGGCGGATAACCTTCACGAGTGTTGAGGCACTTCCTAACATGAGCTAACTCGGCTCAAGTAAGGGAGGGAGGTTGGAAATGTTATGACTTTTGCAGTCCTCAGGAAGATCGGCAGTCTCCATTCCACCCTGCAGTCCAAAAGCGTCTGCATCAAGTGTCTGGTCCCAGTGTTAGGCAGTCATTTACCAAGATGTCTCAGTGGTCCCGTGTTTACCAGCATTCGCACCAATTGCACCCAAGCCCTTTTAATTTTTTGTCTTTGTTTTCACCTTCTCCCCGCCTTCTCGGGCGTGGTCTTTTAAGCATGCAGCCTTGATTTTCTAACCTTACCCCCTTGGTCTGCATTAACAGGGCTCTTCATCTTCAGCTGCTGTAAGCCACAAAGCGACCGACTGTGTTATAGTTGGTCTAGCTGAACCCTGGATACCTAGCTAGTCAATCTCCCCTAAGCCAAGCTCCTCAATTAGAATTCGAACGGGACTAGCTCAAGGGCTAGTCGGTTCTCAATTCGCTGTCGACGCCGGCCGAATGTTATTGCCCTCTGTGGGTGCTCGAACCCGATTGTCTCTACCAACGCGGCTCCTAACACCGGAGGCTGTGCCCAAGCATGTCGAGTAGGACAAACAATAGTGCCATTAAGGACAAGGCAACACGAGGCGTGGCCCTGCTTATAATGGTGGACCAGCCTCTCAGCTCTTCGAGCCCTATCTCTCATCTCTCGTCCTGCTTGATCTGTATCCCTTTGGTTGATTCGACGTGCCTCACGACCTGACCATTGCCCGTCCCGCCATATTCACTTCGATCACAGCTGCTCGGTCACCATGGTGAACTCATATCGGACCATTGCCGGTCTGGCGGCTCTCTCAGGTATCGCCCAAGCCAAGATCTACGCTGTGCCCGAGGCCACGACCACGTTTGACCTCCCTCTCGACCGCTTCAATCCTCATCCGACCAAGGCACCCGCCTACGCGGAGTTGAAGAGGCGGCAGGCCACGTCTGGAACCACCGTTCTCGTTGCTCCCGATAACACGTGTGGTTACATCTCTGGCCGCCCTGGCGCGGCCTATACCTGCGGTTCCGTTGCCACCTGCCTCTTCTTTACCGCCAACCGAAACAACCCTGGCCGTGTCGCCTGCTGTGACTCCCAGGAATGTGGCGCGCGCCGTACGTGCTACGACCAGAGACAGGTGTCTACATTGGGACTTTGCAACGATGGCTGTCTCGTTGATCGGTTCACTCTCAAGTGGTTAGTCTCTTGACCGCTTCAATACCAGCTCCTCCGTCCGTCTAAAGACTAACACGCACACAGCACCAACACGGCCAGGCCATACTGCAACACCATCTCTTTCCCGGGGAGTGTTTTTGACTACTGGTGCAACACGCTTGAGATCTCCACACCACAGTCTGCTCAAACGACCTACGAAGGCCAGACTGGGCGCACCTGGGAGCCGCTCGCCCTGACGGATGATGCCTCTTCCAGCAACGCGCGAATCGTGTCGACAACGTCCAGGATAAGCGTCAGCACCACCCTGCCCGGCCCTGGCCCGGGACCGACCACCTCCGTCAATCCGGCCCCCGAGGAAAAGTCGGGTGCCCCCGTCGGCGCAATCGTAGGAGGCGTCGTCGGCGGCATCGCAGTAATTGCTCTCATCGGTATCGGCATCTTCCTTATCCTCCGCAAGAAGAAGCAGGATCCAAACCAGCAGCAGACACCACAGCAACAGCTGCAGCTGCAGCAGCCTCATTCCGCCCAGCCCCAGATGGCGCAGAACGGGTACCCAGGCCCCCCGCAGGGCCCCCCGGGTGGCTCTCCGACCGAATACGCCGGCACCACGACCCACACACAGTCCGTGTACGACCCCAAGTTCGCCGCCACGAGCCCCACAGGCTACCAGCAGAGCTTCGGCAACACGCCGCCTCCCCAGGGCGGATTCCAGCAGCCGGGATACTTTACTGCCGCCAACATGGTGCCCGACCGCGCCGACACCACCAGCCCCGGCGCCGTGTCGCAAATGACGGACCACCACAGGTACAGCGTGCAAGCCATGTCCCCCGGTGGATTTCAAGGACAGACACCTCCGCCTCCGGGCCCTCAGCAGCCGTATCAGCAACAGCCGCCGCCTCCGCAGCAGCAGCAGCAGCAGCAGCAGCAGCAACAGTTCGCTGCGCCCCCGCCCACCATCCACGAGGCCCCTACCGGAAACGACGGCCACAGGGGCCAGATGCACGAGCTTGCCTGAGCAGCTTACTGATGGGAAACGCCCGGGACGGTCTGAGGAAGATTGTGTGTTTCGGGTCGGTTCCATGTTTTCTTGTACATCCTACCATACTTTTTACTTCTGGCAATTTTTCTTGTCCTAGGTTCGGTCCTGGGGGGGGGAGGAGGAATACAAAATCCAAAGGAGTACTACTACTACTACGACTACAACTACTACTACTACTACTGCATCAAAGGAGATGAATGCTACGCTTGCTATATGATGGGATCATCCGAGGGGGAGGGGAACAATGTAATGCTGTTTTTTTTGTTTATTTATTTTAGACTTTGCAACTTTTTTTACAACGAGCCATTTCCATGGTAGACAGGAGAAAAAACCTCGAATCAAAATTTTCTATAATTGACTGAATCAAACTTCCCATGTTTGCCGTATCCGGGTATGTATGAGGGTGATGTGAAGTAAGTGACTTCAGGAGTTGAATGTAAACAAAGAAAAAAGATTTAAAGTTTCAACACGCACGAGAGAGCCAAGATGGTCGTCCGCCATCCAGAGCCCCCCCCTCCCCCCCAAAATCGAATTCCCAGTTCGTACCTTAACCGTACCGTACTTTGATTCACCACCATACATCTTCATAGGAAACGCACCACGCGATGCGGGAGGTGAACATAACTCTGTCGGTGTACAAGTACCCGAAGAAGACCAAGAAAAGTGGGAAAAAAAAAAAAAACACAAGCCAATGGATTCGGGTGGCGAAATGTGCTGCAGAGAAAGGAAGGGGGGAAGGGGAGGGGGTAAGTGTAAGCCAGGGAGATTTCTTTTTTCTTCAGCCTCGACTTCTGACCTTGCCTGATGCGGCGTGCCCTTGCGTTAGTTCCATCGCAAACAAACCACCGAGTGGGTGTCGGAGGGCTTCGTACTTATTTGTCAACTTGGCGTTTTCCCCGAGTAGGCAGATAGGCTTGTCGAGTTCAGCATGTTGATGGTGGAACTTGACATACTCAGAAGCATCGCAGGCAGTCACAATCTGAGACTCGATGCTAAAGTTTTTTAAACGGAGGGTATATTCCTGAAATTAAGGCTTGCTATTTTGTGTACTCCATTTGTGCATACTTCATATGTTCCACATCATGCTGCGTGACCCGGTACTCAATATCCACATTCTCGTCATACGCATAATCATGTCACCATACAACATCACCATGCCCACTCGAGGCAAGCTTACAACCAAGGTAACATCCCGGCTAGTAGTCGATCAGCCGCAGCTTCTTGCCAATCTCCCTCCGGCGCGCTTGCACAGCAGCCCGCTCCGAGGGCTTCGTATCCATCATATCGAGGTTCTCGCCACGGGCCTTGAGGGCTTGAAGGAGCATGCCGGCGTCGAAGAAGCCGTCTAATGAAAGACAAGTCAGTAAATATTACTTCAAGTACGTGTAATTCACATGTGTGATGGGTGAGGACTTACATCCGCCAATTTCATCATCCTCACTGAGGGCGATGCTCTCCTCAGTCGGCGATTGCGTTCCCGTCGATGACCTCGCAATCGACGGCTTAATGGAGTCGTGTGCGGTGATGAGCCGTCCGCGGGACTTAATGCCCTTGACGGGCTTCGGGCGCTGTGGCTGCTCCAGCTCGCGGGCACGGGTTTGCCGCACGCCGGTGCCGCGGCGGGAGGTGATGCGGAGGATCCGTCTGACTTCGAGTAGGTAGCTCTCAAGAGTGTCCATAAATCGCTTCGTCTGGCGGTGCTTGCTCGAAGCACAGATAGAAATGCCCTCATCCTTGATGATGTATCCAATACCAAATCCATCTCCAGACGTAGGCCCGAAGCCAAACTGCCTCAGGGATGGGTTGCCACAGTTGGATGTAGACATGATGGTTGTGTTGATCTTGTCCCAGCCGCTGTCCGCGAAGATCTGCGGCATCGAGGCCTGGCCGTTGCCGTTTCGTGAGTTGGTGCTGTCACCTCGTGCGCGGCCGACAGACTGCACCTCGGCGCCGTTCAGAGAGAGCACCGAGTCCCGGCCAGGGCTACCCACCACGGAACTAGCATCACGCTCCGAGTATCCATCGATAGGGCTGGAGTAACCATTGGAGCTGCCGCTGCTGACAAGCTCCTCGTCGATGGTGCGTTGCCAGGTGCAGAAGAGGGCATAGAGATGGCGGTCGCAGCCCTTGGCCTTTGCGCATTCCCTGGTCGTGTTGACGTGGCGCTGACAAGCCGCTCGGAGGGCCTCGACCTTTTGCTCGGCCGGATTATCAGCCCAGAAGGTCTGAACAAAGTTGACTGATTCATCAGAGACGCTGCGGATGGCCTCGGTGCGGCCGTGAAGGAAGATCTTGGTCATTGCGGGCTCGTATGTGCACTCCACGCGGCCATATAGGCCGTAGTAGGCGGCCTGGAAGGCCATCTGTACGAAAGCGTCGGGGGAAAATCCCATCGAGGTCATGAAGTTCTTGCCGTAGTGCTTGAAGTCTAACGTCTTGAACTCGTTCTGCTCGATGAGGTCGGCGAGCCTTGACTCGGCAAACCGGACGGCGATGCTGAGCTCGGGGCTCATGTCCCACTCCAGCTTGTGCGGGGTGGTGTGAACTTCGCCGAAGCTATCGGGGTCGCGCTTCGCCGGGTCGGGGCTGGTGGAGGCCCACAGAGTCGGAGCCTGACCGTTGATGGTTCTTGCAAACCTCAGTATGGTGTCCGTATACACGTCACTCGCGAACCTCAAGACCGTGTGGCCATCCACACCAGTGTGCTCAAAGTTGATACCGGCGCTGCCGTTCTTGCAGACAATGATCTGCAGCTTGTCGTACCATCGGTTGGTGCAAGTTCCAACCTGCACGCCCTTCTCAACCAGGCTGGTACCGCAGAGCATATTGCCACAGAGCGCATCGGCGTCGGCAGGCTCAGTATAGTCCAGGCACAGGACGAACAGGGCCGAGTCGACTATGCCGAGGCAATCGGCGTTGTTGGAGCCCTCCTCCTTGGTCAGGACATCTCTCAGCCCCGACCAGATCTTTCGGTTCTCCGTGCTCAAGACACCGAGAGCTCCCTTGGCGGCGTCCTGGATTGGGATTTGTGCGGCGTCGTCAATAATGGTTTGGAGGTTGATGGACACATCCTTCTCAGACATGATGAGGTCGTTGTTGGCATCCAAAACATCGAACCAGTAAAACTGGCCATGGCACATGACAATAATGTGCCTCGACTCGGGGTCTTGCTCTATCTGGCAGCCGTTTTCGGTGGGCACACGCGCCGTGCCGAAGAGCCTGGAGTACTGGTACATGCAGAGAGGCTGGCCCTTGATGTTGTCAGGGGGCAGCTCCTCCTTGCGAACTGCTCGGACAAACTCCAGGGCGGACACCACGAGCGATGCCGCTCGGGTCACCTGGTTGTTCCTCGCCGGGGTTGGGTCATCTTCCAACAGGAAAAAGGGGTTCAGGTTAAGGACAACGGGGTTGTCGAAGTTCAAGTACGAATCATACCCTTGAAAGACGATTAGCCATGGCCAGAATCAATGTATATAAGGCACCTTACAGAATTGTTCAATGTAGCTGGACTTATCAACAGCGTAGGCCTTCAGCTTCTCCTGCAATTGCGGGCCATCGCTCTTTAGAAACTCCTGAACGGCTTGCTTGGTGTCGGAATGTTCTCGCGCCGACTGAAGTGGCTTCAGAACGGTAAGGTACTTTTCGCAGGTTTCCTCGAGTTCGGGAATGGGGAGTTGCTTGAGCTTGTCCTGGCCGGCAAAAGTGACACCGCCCTCGACGGATTTGTCGCTGTATACAGCCATAGAGTTACCGTCGTGGTTGCTCTTCCTCGACTTGGGCGGGTCGATGTGTTTCCTGAGCTCAGCAGTGTCTGGGATAGATCGAGGTACCGAGGAGTTGTTGATGGACTTTTCAAGAGTCTCGCCGAGAGGCCTAGGTCGCGAAAAGATTCGGACTTGAGTGGGCATATTTGTTAGCTTTGGTTGGAGGAATATTATGACCTCTTTTAGGCGTAGAGGGGCGAAACGTTGGTGCTGATGTTCAGTCCGCGCAGCGCCGTGCGGTAGAAGTAGTGACAGTCTTGCAGGCAGTAAGATGGCATCACACCAAACAATGCTACAACGTCTGGGCAACAGTGGGTAGAGTTGGAAGGGGAAGAGGGAAAAAGAGGAGACAGTTCGGCTACGAAGCAGGATGGGACTAGGGAATATATCAACGGGCCTAAGGAAGTCGGAGGATAGACGGATGAGGTGCGGTTAGGCCGGGTGAAAGCAGGCAAGCAGGCACTAGCCCACGGAATAAGGCACGTCCAAAGCAAGATGGGAGATGGGATGGAAAAGGCAACAGGCAGATGGGATCGGGTGGAACCCCCCACAAACAAGACGGGGATGGGCTGGCCTGCAGCTCCTCCGGGGTCCCGGGGTCTCGTCTCGAGGTGTGCCTTTTCACATGTGCAACCGTCTTGGGACTGTACCGCAGGACCGGAGGGTCGCTCTTGATTGGGCTGACGGGAGAGAGGAGGATGGGGGGGGATTAGGGGGGGTAGAGAGATGGGCTTCGCTGGTCGGATATGGTATTGGAGGGGGCTTGTGAAACTTCCTCCGCAGGGCCGACGCGAGATAGCAATTTGGGTGCAAGCCAGTTTCGTAATCTGCCGAGACTTTTTTTTCTCTCTTCCTCGTCTGGATAAAAAGGCATCATGACAGGGGAGAAGAATAGAAATGCCACCTACCGAACAGCTAAATGGTTGCGTGCAGCGATAGCGAAAGTGGATGAAGATGACGGCGACAAGTGATTGCGGAAATGATTGCCACGGTGGAAGACACCTGGGGTAGATAAACGTGGAGGGATCGGGTGGCTGGAAACAAGTCAGTTTCTAGTACAGAAAATGGTGCCTATTTGTTCCGGTGAAGCCATCATATGAGAACGTGACAGGCACGAGGACGCGAGACAAAGGCGCCAGAAGGCCGGGGCAAGGCATCCATCACTCACCTATTCTGAAGGTCGCTATGTGCGCACGGGCAAAAGTGTCGTCGACAGTTGAAAAGTTTCAGAAAAGGCTGGCTACTGCAAGGGACTGAGTTCGGCCACGGGAAGAAGAGAAAGCAGAGACGATGTGGTGACGGGGATGGTGGGAAAAGAGTAGACGGCCTCCGCTGCTAGGCTAGGGTGCGACTTGAGTTGAGCAGTTGAACTGAGGTGGCAGATGTGTTGGGCTATGCTATGGAGATGGCGATGGCGATGAGCAACGGCGACGTCGACGTCGACGGTGGTAGGGATAGTGGGCGCGTAGGTAGAGAGAGAGATACACACACAACGTCTGGAGCTGTGATGCAATCAATGCGAGGGGCGGTTCTGGAATCCGACGTCAGGCCCCACAGTCTGGTGCAAGTGCAGGTGCAGATGATTTGGCTTGGCTGGCCGCTTCAGGCTGCGAACCCCACGGGGTCGTGGATAGGCTAAGAATACGGACGGGGTCAGGAAAGAGACAAGGTATGACAAAGACCGAGGGGTTGTGAGCCTTTCGGGCGAAGGGGATATCGAGAAACGTGGTAAAGGTCGGCTGTGGTTGGACGGACGGATCAAGAACCGCCTTTGCGCTTGGGGCGACGTGAGAGAAAGAAAGAAAAAGGCGACAAGGGGTGTGTATGTGTGTGGGTTGCAACACCCAAGGAGCCCTTGGCGGGCTGACTGACTCCGCGCGGCGGAGGAGGGGTGTGTTGGCGTGCTTGAGCTTTTCCTTGTGAAAGGAACCCCCCGAAGCGTGGCACTAAGGTGGATGGGTGACCCAAAGGTGACGATGGTACAGAATAAACTTCTGCAGCAGAACCCGAACAGGCCCGGATCGGCGTTGGTACAATCTCTAATGCTGTAGTAAGGATATCGAGTGGGCAAAAAGATAGTTTCAGCCAGGGCCGTTTCCACGCGACAGTTGTGGAGGAAGAGCGGCGAGAAGGAAAGAGAGAAAAGAGGGGAAGAATGAAGAATGTGGGCAATGAATCATTTCCCCACGGGTCGACTTTGTTGGAGAAATGGGCAGGGGGGGTTTACAGAGATGCTTCAGTGTACGTAGGTAGCAGTAGGCTCTACTGGTAGTGCCTTCAGTATACGTACGCACGTAGGTTGGGGGCTTCCAGTGGGGAATACAAAAGAGAAGAAAAAATGGACGCAGATAGAAACGGGTTTAGTTTCCCTTTGGTGCGAGATGCGGGACCTTGTTCAACATCAGCAAAAGCAAACCGGCAGCAATCATGGCAGAGCTCAAATTGAATTGTGACATGTATCCGTAATCCGATCCAACCCTGGACTGCGCGTGCGGCATTATTGAAGAGGTCCGCTGTCGCTGACATGTGCCCAGTTGTCCAGCCAAGCAATTACGGCGATCAGGAAGTCTGCCCAGCTTACAGGCGAGTTTAGAGTCTAATTGTAAGTGGGGTGCGTTCGTATGCTTCTTTTCCGCGAGCCGAGTCGCATATGATTGTGTGGGTTACTCCCAAGAATGTGTTGGCGGTTCATAAAGAAGTGTACACATGTAGGACAGTGCTTTCATTATCGCCAACTATATTCCCGTAGTGGTTCTGGTAACAGTTGGCAATCGTAGCCAGCTATCCGTTTTCCAACTCGTAATGCGGGAGCCGTCACTCTAGAGTCCAGTATATCTACTTTTACTCCAAAAAAGGAACTCCCCTCACGCCAACTGCTTGGAGGGAATGTTGCTCAGGTGACACCAATAATGACGAAGTTGTTGCTCATCCAAGCACTGGGCTACTTTTTTACTTGCCCGTTTAGGCAAACTTCGTAGCCCGTCTAACGTCAAGCCCGATCGACTCGACGAAGGTACTCGAAGAGTCCTCAAAAGGGCAATCACTCTTGGGAGGCGTCACAAGACTTGTTGTGCGACAGCCATCCTTCCTAAGTGCATGTCTCCCCTCTAAAACATTCGACGTTTGTCTCTCTCAGTTCCCGACAGAAAACTATAACATTGTGAAGAAGAAAGGCCCATCAAGCAAGGAAATGCAAACAGCTTCGACCAGTGATTTGGACCGAGCCAACCGAAATCCAAATCCCTCAACCCGGCCCAACGACGGAATAAAGATACTTGCTATTAATAATTAATAACCAACAGTGGATCGCCACCGGCCTTCTGGCTGAACCTCTTCGGATCAAGGGACGAAGACGCAAGTGGATGCGGCGCTGCGGGAAGACGCTGACTGTGGGTACCAATTATGGAGGAGGATAAGCATCTGGCAGACAGGAGACAAACTGGCACCTGGGGCCTGGAGCGTTGCTCCGCCCCGAGCCAAAATCCCCCACGACCCTCCTTGTCAGTGGGAGGGAAAAACCGCCAGTACGGGTCAAGTCACCTGCATGCGCCAAACGTGCGCCTAGTGGCTGACCGTCCCGCTGCCACCTGACGCTGGACGGCAGGAAATGGTATCGTTTTCGCTCCGTCTGGTTGGCCCGTTGACAATCAAGCACAACCTTCCTCCGAACACCTCCCGTTGTTCCTTGCCGAGAAAATCCCGGGGCTGCGGAATTCGCGTGGGGTACCGGTGGCATCCCATCTCGTTCGTATCTTTCCCCGCCATCCGAATTGCACTCGATGCATGCATCTTGCGTCGTAACAGATTACTGCATCAGCTTAAGGATGAACTTCTGTCGAGCGGGAGACTCTGCATTGTGGAATCATCTCAGGTTTAAGAAGACAAACGCTACACATGGTCGTTAACAGGAAGCAAGGAAAAGACATCAAGGTGAGGCGTCATTTACAGGTTGGTACATCGCTTATGCACTCATTTGACGCCTCGTCGAATATGTGTTTGCCACCTGCTCAGAGCCAGAAGTCTGCCCACAGGCTCCGTTCCCGGTTCAGTCGGCCCCACTCTTGGCGGCCCGGCCCGGCGGCAAAATCATGCTACACGGCGACGTTTGCCGGCCCGTAGTTAAATAGACACAGGTCTTGGGAGCCTTTATCGTATATACCACTCCCGCGTAATACCCTCCCATTGAAGTGACAGGCATCTTTAAGAAGAAAGTCGGGTCGACCCGGCATTGTGGTTTTGGGTTCAGGTATTCGTATGCTACCTTCCTCGTCGAATAAGCCTACTGCAAAGAATTTCGAATTATAAATCGCCTATCTTGTCGACCATAAGATTTACAAATACGTTCGAAGCTGAATGTAAGCTCGACTTTGTTGGCTGCAGTGTTCTGTATTAAATGATGTTTCTTCATCTCTGCGGATGTCCTAGATCCGCATGCGTGCCTTTTCTTTCTGTGTAAGCCTTAAGCATATGTTCATCAGTTTCGCATGTTTTTTAAGGTAAACCTTGTACTCTTCCCAGAGATCACACCATAATTTTATATGTTCTTTGCCAAGTTCAGATGAAAGGCCTGCGTCCTCCACGTGAGTCCTAGTCTGCATGAGATCGACTTGTTAAGCATTAGCTGCCTTTTCTCACAAGCCCCATGTCCTCTTAATCTCTATATAGTAACTCACTCTCCCGGTCAAACTCCTCATCTCATTATCCGCGTCTTGAAAGCCAGGAGCGAGAGCTTGGCGTCAGCGTCGTGTAGAACTCACATTGCCACTTAGCCGGATTTAATAGCAACAAAGAGTACTTGTAGAGACAGGAGGGTCCACAGGTCGTATGAGAGCACCAGAACTCTAGCCACTTCAGGGGTGACGGTCATGGCAAATGCATCATCAGGCAACAGACGTTCCATACTCTGACTCATCCTGGCCCTGTAAATCTGAGGCGTACATGGTCAAAAAAGTTGAATTCAAAGAAACGAATGGTATCTTGACAAGGAACATCGATTTCAGACTTATGTTCACGGTAGGAATAATTCCAAAAAATTCTCCCTACCCCTAGGGCTCGCTGAAGCCCCATACATTCTGCTTTCTGCTAGACAAGGTGTGTCACAATGTTGTTGACCAAGCCAAATATCTGGGGCTGCTTTTCTCCGAGATAAACTGTGTTTGAAGACATTTTGAGTCTTTAGTTTCATGATAGCATGGTAGATATTCTTTAGATATTCTTTTGATAATCTACCATGTTAGGTTTATTGATAGTAAAGTCTGCGGAGTCTTTCATGACTCCCTGATTACACCTTATGCTGGCTGAATTCCGAGATATGGCACACAACTGGCACACCTACGCAAGATGCTAAGGACTAAACTTGATTCTTAGGGTTCCACCGACACATGACTCGGAGAAAACCTGGACACCTGTAAATTACCTTTTTTTGGTAATCCAGTATATCCGATTGTAGAACTTTGATTTAATAAAGACATTTGATTTAGTCCGGACACAGTTGCCAACCAAAGCAGCTCTTCTCTCTTTCCGGCTCTGTTTGATTCATCGTGTTGCAAAATTGTGACAACCTATCACGGATAGGTCTCAAGCCATATATTATCCATATATCTCCCAGTCAATCTCAAGGATCTCAAGGTGATACCATGGTCCATGATGAGATGTCTTTTACAAGCTTTACCAAAAAAATATTGGTGCAAGATCATTCGTACAATGGCCAACATAAGACCGGGGGGTGAATATGGTCATCGTCAAGTGTGTTAAGGCTCCGTGTGTTTTCGGAGTTCCGTTCCCAGAATCAGCAAAGTATCTAAATTAGATCTTCCATACGACATAGTTACTCTTCTCATTCGCATCCAAATGTATCTTATGTTTTATCTAGGCTATCTTGAGAATACCGTCGTGCTATGAGTCTAAATAGTCAGTTACTGCTACTAAAACAATCAGTCATTGTGCGATGTCGTCAGCCTTGGGATTTGTGCAGACAACAGAGACAGATTTTGAATAGGTGGTTAGTGAATCTCATGGATCATGGTCTATTGTTAAGTTTGGTAGACCAAAAAGACGAGAAGCACAGTTTATGGAAAGTGTAACTACACAGGCTACGTGACTGGCAAATTCTGAACCCCGTCCAAGTGTTTCGACCAACATGTCATCAAACATCAATCAAATCACAGATTCCGCAGTCGGTGTCCCATTCCACACAGCCTACTGCACACCCACCGAGATTCTCGAAATGTTGTCATAGTGTACCGCCACACGGTAGACGTACCCGACGAAACGTATTCTTACCAATCAAACGAAACTCGCGCCTCATCCCCGATACGTCCCCAAGTAAAGGAAGAATCGGGTAAGCCTTAATCCACACATTCGATAGCAACTCGGGACTTTCCATAAATTCGACGCTAGCCCCAAGGCAGACCACAAGGCTCCAAAGGCTTGTTTTTCTAGCTGCCGGCAACGCAAAAAGCAAGGGTGTACTGCAGTAGAGACGCTGGCGCCTTCAGGCACTGGTAACATATCCATGCAAGCTGACGCGGCGGGCTGCAAAAATCAGTCGCGCAGCCATTGGTCAACAGCAACGATATCGCAAAATCTGACAAGCGCCCTGAGGCCGTGACTTTACGTTAGTTTAGCCGCATCCGAAGCCGAAATATGTTGCGTATTCGGCCGAATGAGAGAATGACCTGAGGTTATTGAAAGCATTGGCTCATCTGTGTATAGAGGTTGCCGTGGTAAGTTGAGAACCAGCTGATGGACCGGGGTAGATGTTCGCAATCGATGCGAGGCCGCCCGGGCGTACGCCCTGGTCAGGGGTTTGACGGGTAGTTTATGATCTGCCAAAGCTTGTGTGTTGGTCCCGTCAGTAAATCAATATGCATTTTGTAGACTATTATTTTGTACGAGATGTCTTTCAGAGTCTTTGGTGGGTAAAAGATCTAAATCAGAGGTAGGACCCTAACATGTCCTGGTTGGACGTAGCTCATGAAGCATAACCCAGGTCAGCAAATGGCAGCTTAAGGTGTTTAAAGTTGCAATGATTCACAGATCAGCTATCAGACTGATAGTATTAAACAGATCCTCACCGGCAATTCCTAACTTTCTTGCCTGGGGTGATGCAAGCCAAGAATGCTTCATCGAGCGATTCCAGAAGACTGGATACAAAACTGATGACTTGGTCTGATAGCGCAAAGAATTTTTCGAGTCAGATTTGCGTGCCGAGTCCCGAAAGGCGTCAGGCTTGCAGACCCTTGGATATCGACAAGAGGCGCAGCTGCATCTACTTATCCCCCCATAAGGCAGTCCAACCAATGTCCACCTGAAGGCGTAGGGAGCTGAGGGGATGGCATGCGCCAATGCAACCACAACAAGCTAGGCCGAAACGTAACCCGTGGAAAAATCGTTTGCTGTTTTCATTCCCGAAAGCCCAAAGTAACCAAAAAGATGAAAGTGAAGTCGAAAAACCACCGGCTCGATGGATCCCAGGACGACAACGAAATGGACCCGGCAACATGGCTTTTCTCCACCATCGCATTCGCTTAGAATTAGTTAAGCATCGGCCCTAGAGAGATATACCCATCCTATCTGGCCTGTCTACTGGCTAAGCATTTCGGCAGGCCTAATGAGAGCTTCCCCTAGCTCGAGCCTTATCCTCTCATGGTACAGCTTTCCTTCATTTCCATCAGCGGTTAGTCACCCAAGCGGAGCTGCGTATACGACGAAAGCGAGCCAGCCACACTTCTCAGCGCCAAATGCTCTCCGCCCTATGCCTTTCAGGCTATGCTCTGGGCGTTCTCTGACTGCTTTCCCTGCCGTCAGGAGAGCTTGGGACTTTCCCTCGTCCTCTTCAATCCGTGCCGCCCGCATTATGGCGGCACTTACTTCCGAGAGGACCCAGCGAGCCTGATCTCTTTCGCATTCGACTACCGTTAGCCGTCTTACTTACACGGAGCCATATTCCACCGGCTTGGGTGTGTAGGTGTTTTTACCATGTAATCGTACTTTGTCTTGTACCTGTAGCGGATGTATTTGTATGAGGCGTCCACGTTTCTTGGGGGTGGGTGAGACATGATAATTATTCAAAAGCAAGCAGTTTTCTCATTGCCAGCGCCCAAAATCAACGAGGCATCACAAGTGCTCAATCATCCGCCAGCTTCATTCCGTCCCTAAACTCCTTCGTTTGGCCACAACACACATAATTGAGCGTTCAAGAGCACCCATACCTCCGCTTTGAAACGCAACAAAAGATCATTGCCGATATGTTGATTAGTTATTTGTGGAAGAAAGCCTCCAAGTCGTCAAGGGCCAAAAAGAATAACCAGCAACCAGCCATAATAGATGGATCTGTCGCTGAAGATGTCAGCGAGCGAAACAATAGCACACAGGAAAAGGCAGAACAGACAACGACTAGCACGACATGCGTGCATCAGTTCGACACGGCGGCTGGCCCTTGTCCGACTTGCAAATCTGAACGCAAGGCACGCATGAACTACAGACTCAAGATATTCGGTGGCCTCGTCCTGCCGTTTACACTACAGGCTCTGGACGTGACCATTATTGCGGGAGCACTCCCATGGATCGCTGCCGACTTTCGTGAGCTTACCTGACTTTCCTGGCTTTCGTAGCTTTCGCAGCTTGCTTTTGGAGCTAACAGACTTGCAGACGAGACGGGCCAGCTTAACTGGATCATTGCAGCCTTCAACCTTACCTCTGCAGCATTCATCCCGTTCTGGGGTCAAATAGCCGACATCTTTGGACGTCATCTGTCTATGCAAGTCTGTCTGGTGGTGATGCTTCTCGGCAGCGCGCTTTGCACTGGCGCCCCTACGTCCGCCTACCCTGTTCTCCTTCTCGGCCGTGCCTTCCAGGGTATCGCGTGCGCCGGCATGAACATTCTCGTCCGCATCATCATCGCCGATAAGGTGTCCCTGCGTGAGAATGCCAAGAATTGGGCGATTTTCTCCTTTTGCGGTGGTGTGCTTGGTTGGGGACTCGGTCCCTTCTTGGGAGGTATGTCTAGGTCTTGTCGTAGGATTTCCGAAGCCATAACTGACAGCACTCAGGTTACATCACAAGCAAGTCTCACTGGAGGTGGTGCTTCGGCATCAACCTGCCAATCGCCTTCGCCAGCATGATTGTCATTTACTTCATCCTTCGATCCGAACTCCTTGGGCCTCAGCCGATCCCGCAGCTCGACGAGACGACCGAGACTGGCCGCCGAACGACTTTCAAAAAGCGGTTCCAAACGATCGATCTCGGCGGCCAGCTCCTGTTTCTGTTCGGCTTCGGCCTCTTGATCCTCGGCCTGTCCTGGGCCGGTGCAACCTACTCGTGGGACAGTCCGGCCGTGCTCGTGACTCTCATCCTCGGAGTTGTCATCAGCGTCTTGTTCATCGCCTACGAATACCACATGTCACCCGGAATGGCCCTCGCCCGCCGGTTTCCCTTCCAGCAGGCCATGATCCCCTGGGAACTGATCCGTAACAGGGACATTGGCATCCTATTCTACACTTCGTTCGCGACTGGCATGTCGATGTACGCGGTCTTGTACTTTTGCAACATCTACTTTACAATGGTCAAGCTCTGGGCGGCCGACCACGCCGGTACGCAGCTGCTATTTTTCACACCCGGCTTGGGTGTCGGTGTCTACTTGTCCGCCTTCTTGTGCAACTCATGGCCGCGCCAGACGTTCCCTCCCATCTTTCTTGGCTCCATCATCGAAATGGTTGGTGTTGGGCTGCTTGCTTGGTCGATCTATACCGAGCACACTCCCACGGTCTACGGAATGATGGCTCTCACGGGCGCCGGCACCGGTCTGCGTATCATGCCTGGTATGTCGACAAACCCGTACAGCCCTCCATGTCTTGAGTTACGTGGCTAACGATTCGCAGTGCCGCTTCACGGCATCGGCTACTTCCCCAAGAGAATCGCGGCTGTGATCTCTCTCATGGCCGTGGCATACCCATTTGGCGGAACCCTCGGTTTGACCGTCATGACGACGGTGTTCAACAATGCCTCTGGCCTTGGCAACGACTCCACCAAGGGGGATTTCACCAAGCTCAAGGATCTGCCTCCCGACGTGCAAGCCATTGTTACGCACGACGCCAAGATGGGCGTTGTCTGGGCATTCGTCGCCATTGTTCCATTCATGGTTATCGTAAGTTTCCTCGACCTGAACTCTGATCAACCATGATTCTGACGCATTATCCTTTTAGTGTACATTCATTGGCTCGTTTCTGGGCAACGTCTACATCAACAGGGCCGACCAGGGGCAGAATGAGAGGGAGAACGCCATCTACGAAGGGGTGTATCTTCTCAAGGCATTCCGCAAGGGCTATAAAAATCAGAATATTACGATCCGGCAGCACGCGTCAAATGCAGAGCAAACTCTGTAGTAAATGATCATGTGGCAACGATAGACATTTTTGGATGGTCATGATTTCCTTTGTTTGGGTGACTTATAGAAGGGAGCAAAGATACCCGCAATAGAAGGTTGCACGCGCGCAATTTGATAGCGGATGGAAGGAAGTCTTTTGAGCTTGTTGTAACATCAACAGAAAATTCACTCACTCGTTTCCTAGAAGCGAATGACTTAATACCCAAAAATGGAATGTATTATCGCGAGCACTCAGTATTCGAAGTTGATTGTCCGCCCCCATGGAACGAAAACCTCTGCAGCACATTCAACCAGGAACCCAAACTTGCAAGTGGCAGTAAACCGGGAAGACGAAAAAGAACACGGCATGAAAAGTAATTGGCCACCTTGATACATCGCCTTGGAACTTGTATAAGCGCAACGCGGGCTTGCCGACGTGATTCGCTGCGGCAGCGCCAAGGCGAGGTGGCCAAGTTGGCCCGAACGGGAAAGTGGGCTGTTTGGCTGTTCTCAAAGGGTCCCCGGCCGCCGGTCCGTCTTTCTCTCTCAACCTCACTTCTCAAACCCCCCAAATAACCAAACCAGCCCGCATCTCTCACCGCATTTCCAGAGGCGGTCATTAGACAGTAGACCTCTTTTTTAAAACCGTTATTTATGAAATTTTCAAAAAGTCAAGCAAAAATCACCGGGTTTCACTCAAAAAGCCACATGTTGTGAGGGGCATCCGTTTATACCTCTCACCTCACAAGACACCGGCCCACGCCCTTCTCAGCATGGACTCCGAGAATCCCCCGGCCCCGCTACCCGACGAAGAAGCACATCTCAAAGCACGCACGTCAGAGTCCAAATTCTGGCTCGAGTTCTCCGTCTTTGACGACGGCCTCGACGCACCCCGCGCAGCGTCCCTCCGCAGCCAAGCCGCCTCCAAGCTCCTCCCCCACTTCCACCGCTTCCCAGACCTGCCGCCCGAGATCCGCCTCAAGATCTGGTCGTATCTCATCGTCCCCCGCGTCGTGACGGCATGCTGCTTCGAGCGGGACCCGAGGCTGCCCTCGCGAAGAGAGGCTTTCAAGAAACGCTCCGGCGGAGCTTCGTCGCGCGGGGACGACGAGGAGGAGGAGGGTTCCGGCATGGTGTTCAACCCGACCTGTCCCGTCATTCTGCGCGTATGTCACGAGTCTCGCGCGCTGGGGCTGGAGCACTACGAGCTTTCGTTCGGTTGGAAGATCTCGGCGCTGCTGAGCGATACGCCCATCGCCCGGCCGCCGAGAGCTTGGTTCAACTTCCGTCTGGACGCGCTGTATCTCGTAGGGGAGCTGGAGGCGTATGACCAGTACGGGTTCAACAGTCCCATGGTCTACTTCCTCAGGCGGGAGGACACGAAACGGGTGAAGCACGTGGCTTGCGCGTTCGAGGAGCTGCACTACCCCGAGCAGGAGTCGGATCAGATCTTTGGGTGTCTGTGGCACGTCGTCGACAGGTTCTCCGGCGCGAGGCGGCTGTTGCTCGCCGTCACGCCGCGGGACGAGGAGGGGATGCAGGGGAGTCTCATGCTCAGCACCGACAACGTGATGCAGAAGATCTGGAACGGGTGGATCTTGGGGACGACGGTCACCAGTTCGACTCTCGCCGACACGCAGATTCTGCTGGTCAAAGAGGGCGACCTGGCGGATGTTTTGGCGTCTCACGCCGAGGAGGATAAGAACAGGGTGATGGCGAGGAGGTAGCCAACCTCCCTCCCCCTTTCCCACCCCTTGAGCATACACACGGCGAGCTTCATGCCTGCATAATGAGGAGTTACAGGAGGTTTGTCGATTGGAATTGGTGGAGTTTTTGTTTCTATCTAGGTTGTTGTACAGTAGTTTACAAACATAGAGGAGAGGTGGTACCTATATCCGCCACGCCTAATGATGATGAATCGATATGCTCAATATGCCCAAAGCCCACTCTCTTCCCAAAAAATAAAAGAACGCCGGTTCCCATTTGCGCCGTTTTATCCCGTCGAGTTCGCGGTTGCAATGATTATTCGTCAAAGACAAGAGCTTAGTCTTTCCTGTTCAGTCCCTCGAACGCAGGGCTGGGGCTGTCGCCGCCCCTCCTCATGCCGCCGAGCAACCAATCCGTCAGGCCGACGACCTTTGCGCCGACGCCCTTCTCCCAGTCGCCCCCCTCTTGCACCGTCTCGATGGTGTGGCTCAATATCCTGCCCTCAGCGTCGAACTGGAACACGAAAAGACCCGTGAATCCCTTGTCGCCTGCCCCCTTCCCCGTTGCAGCGCCGTCGGTCGTAGCTGCTGTAGTAGCTGAAGAGCTGCTTTTGCCACCGGGCGTGCACCACCTGACCACAAGCTGCTCCGGAAGGGCACCTGCCCGCAAGGGCGCAAAGGGGAGGGGCTGCTTCGTGACACGTTCAGAGATGATGGATAGGCGCACGTTGCCAACCAAAGGCAATCTGTTCCAGGCGATCGGGGCGCTCCAGAGAGCCGCCGTGTAAGCTACCCTGCCGGAGACGGTGGGCAGGTGAGGGTGGGTTGTCGGGAAGAGGTGGAGGGAGATGTTTGGTGCGAGGATTTCTTGCGGGAGGGGGGATTGGAGGAGCTTCGGGAGGTGTTCTTGCAGAATGCGCAGGGCTGTGTTGTAAGTCTCTATTGTCAGTTTATGTTCCTCTTCTTGAGAAGGGGGCGGGAAGCGGATGGACGCACTTTTTCCCAAGTTGGCATTGTTCTCGTTGTGAGGTTTGTTTCCGGGGCTCCCGCTCGACTCGGAGAGGACAGTATCAGAAGGGTTGAAGTAGCGCTTCGGAAGCTCTCTGTCCTTCGACAACTCCCGCGCAAGAGCAAACGGTGGCGGCGGAGGGGATGCGGGTTTGGTGGTTACTGCAGCTGCAGCTATCGCCGCCGCGGCAGTGGCTGCAGCTGAAGCGGGTGCTGTCGGTACATTGGGTGCTTGTTGCGGAGAGGCGGTAGTTGAGGTTGCGCCGGAGGACCAGAGCTGCGAGGTCAGCGGGGACGCCGCGGCGGCGCGAACGCCTGACGGGGCCGATGTGAGGCGCAAAGCGGCCATAGGTCCTGAGGGGCGGGTATCATGAAATAATGGGATGATGCATTGGTATCACGCAGGATCAAAAGAGAACGATTCGCACCGCGATGGCAACAACGTGCAGGGGAGACAATGAGAGAGAATGATGTCAGGAATAAGAAACATTGGAAGAGGGCGGAGATAAATTTCGAAAGAGGTGGGCAGCCAAGCTCCTAGCTGCGGAAAACCACCCGTGGTTCAGGTACCTTTTGGCCTAAGCTAGCCGGGATGCGGAGGAGGACCCGCACGCCCGGTTGGAGGGCTACCCACCATCCCCACCTCACTTCAACGTCAGGGCCGGAAGGGGATACCGAGTAATAACAACATCCGGTACTACAGAGAGAGAGAGAGAGAGAGAGAGAGAGAGAGAGAGAGAGAGAGAGAGAGAGATAAGGCATGGGGGGTTTGAAACATCTAAGAACACTTTTCCTATGGTATTTGACGCTGCTCGTATGCTATCTATTCTTTTTTTTTCGGGAGGGGGACCAACGCTACCATCTAGGCAAAACTCCAAATGACCCTTGGCAAATGTGACACACTTCAGGTACTATACACACCATGCCGTTCATCCTCATCCTCATCTGGGGTGAGGGAACTCGTCCTCGAGCTGCAACCGCACTCCGACATTCATACTGATGAGCTCCTGCACGAGGAGCTTGGCAGCATACGGCATTGTCATCTGCGTCACCTCTCTGGTACTCTTGCACGTGTGGCAGTAACCCTTGTATCCAAACAAGCCACACTGCTGACAGATGTCGAGCTGTGTTCCGTCGGAGCTGATCATTAGACGCTCCAGCAGCAGCTGAGATGCTCCGTATGCAATCAAACAATCACGTTCCATCTCTCCCAAACGAAGACCACCGTCTCGGGAACGACCTTCCGTCGGTTGCCGGGTGAGGATGGCCCTGGGTCCACGAGAACGAGAATGCATCTTGTCCTGCACCATGTGCTTCAGACGCTGGTAGTAGATGGGTCCGTTGAAAATGTAAGCCTCCAGAGGCTCTCCGGTGATACCCGATGTGAAGTAGTCCTTGCCTTCCCACGAGAACCCGTGGTCGACCAAGGCGGCGCTCATCTGCTCGAGGGGATGGGAGCGGAAAGCGTCACCGAAACCATAGTCCTTTCTTCCATCCAGAACCGACGCCTTACCCGTCAAGCACTCCAAAAGCTTGCCAACAGTCATACGAGAGGGGAAACCGTGGGGGTTCATGATGATGTCAGGAACCAAGCCCGTGTCAGAGAACGGTAGGTCCTCCTGGTCCACAATGATACCAACAACACCCTTCTGACCGTGACGCGAGGAGAACTTGTCACCAAGCTCTGGCCGTCTCGTTTGTCGGGTCTGAACCTTGACCACCATCGTTTCTCTCTCGGTGTGAGACACCATGACCTTGTCAATGTACGCCGGATCAGCTATCCTGTAAGAGATGGACGAATCGCGGAACTCGCTGGGTCCGCGGTCCATGCCAATGCCAGTTGATCCCGTGTCAAGGGGTGTTTCCTTCTTGATCATGACCTCGCCTGAGTTGACCTTGTAGCCCACGATTGCCAAACCGTCGTCGTCTAGCGCTTCGTGCTTGGCTGTCCTGCCTTTCTCGTCGTTGACTGGATCTCCGATGCGCTCCCGACGACCGTTGGGGTACTTCTGAAGTTCGGCAGTGTACTTTCGGAAGACCTGACAACGTCCAAAACCACGGTCGCAAGATGCCTTGTTGAGCACCAGGGCGTCCTCGATATCGTAACCAGAGTACGACATGACGATGACGGTTGCGTTCTGTCCGGCGGGGAGCTTGTCATAGTTGACCAGCTGAATGGTCTTGGAGATGACCATGGGTCTTTGAGGGTACACCAAGGTGTAGAGGAGAGTGTCGATACGGTTGAACTGGTTGTATGCGATGGCGCCAATAGCTTGCTTACCCATGGCGCATTGATAGGTGTTACGAGGGGATTGGTTGTGGTGGGGGAAGGGAATAAGACCGGCAACGGCACCGAGGACGGTGAAGGGCTCGATCTCCATATGAGTGGTTGTCATGGTCACGTCAGTTTCGTACAAGGCAACGAGCGTATCGTTCTCCTCGTTGACATCGAGATACTCGACAATGCCATGAGTTAAAAAGTCGTCAAAAGTAGCTTTGCCGAGCTGAAGAAGCCTAAGGTGTTCCTCCTTCAACTTGGGCTTGCCGTTTTTGACGATGATATAAGGTCGACAAATGCGCCCTTCGTCGGTGGCGATATGTACTGCGTTGAAGTGGTTGTTGATATGAATGCTGACGAACGGAGATATCCAGCCGCGTCTTCTCATCGTTCTGAACTTGCCAGCAAACCGCTTCGGATACCTGGTCAGGGCAAATGGCGTTCCGTTGATGTGAATAACAAAGGATCCTTCGCGGTGCATCTCGCCACCTGAGAAATTCCTGATGGGCTCAACACCTGCGTCGAGCGTGAAGACCCATCGCTTGACGGGCTCCTCCTCGACATTGGTCGTAATATGGGTCATGAGTGCCAAGTTCTTGACCAGACCACAGGCCTCACCTTCTGGTGTATCAGAAGTACACAACATACCCCACTGCGAGGGTTGAAGTGCACGAGGACCGGAAACCTTGCGAGTCTTCTCGAACTGACTGCTAATACGCGTCATCATACCAAGAGCACTGATGTAACTGAGACGACTGAGCACATGCGTGACTCCGGCTCGATTCATGTTGAATCTCTTAACCGTCCAGTTGCCCGTTTGGATCGCACGGTTGATTCCTTGCCCGATCATATTGGCATGATTGCTAATCATGTTCACGGCGTCCAGGGGAACAGCCCGGTTGTCCTTTTTCAGAACCTTGTCGATGCTGCTCTTGACGTTGCCGCAGAACTGCTTGAACAAATCTTCGAACAGCAGGGAGAGAAGCTGTCCAGCCAATTCGAGACGTTTATTTCCGACGAAATCTCGGTCATCGACAAGGCTGGGGTTGCTCTGCGCCATGAGCACACGCCGCGTCATGAATGCCACGTATACTGCCTTGGGATAGAAATCCAAGCCCTCGATCGGGACGTGGGCAATAATGAGGTTCGCCAAAGCGTCCAGTGCTTCCTCAACGTGATTCCGTCGGACCTGGGCGGAAAACGGGACCCTGCTCTTGCCCATCTTTACTCTGGCGCCAATGTACTCGAGAGCCTGCTGCTGAGTGTAGACACCGACCTTGGTGGCTTCCTCGAACTGGACGATAAATTCGTCTTGGTACTTTCCATTGTCTCCGGCGACAAGCTGCATGATCTCATAGTCCGAGAGGCCGCCCAAAGCTTTCAAAATAATCACGATGGGGATGCCTTCGACTAAGATGTTGGCGGTCAGAAGGATACGGTCCTTCTTGAGGGTGACGTAGGTCTTGGATTTACGTTCGTGAGTGGAACTGGTAACGGAAGCTGTGATGATGCTGTTCTTCTCGTCGGCTTCGACGATGACTCTGTTCTTGCTCAGCTGTTCTTGAATAAGAATGACTTTTTCCGTTCCGTTAATGATGAAGTAGCCGCCGGGATCTAGGGGGCACTCATTCATGCGAGACATTTCCGAATTGTTGGCACCGCCAAGTCTGCAAATGGAACTCTTCAACATGACTGGCAGACGACCGAGAGGGACGTTCTTGCGCACAATCTTTGACTTGTCGCGGATGTAGGCAATGTCGACCATGATGGGGGCAGCATAGGTCATGTCGCGCAGGCGACACTCCATTGGCGTGACCTCATTCTGAGCTCTGATGTCGTTGAAGTCGACTCGGCTGGGCCGCTCAACTCTGATATCAGTGAACCTAGAAAAAAGATCAGCAGAGCCCAGGGTATATGAGATGTGTCGGGAGGGGCCGCATACTCAAGCCAGAAGGAACTGTTTACGTCGCTCCGGATGATACGGTTGGCGCGAACGATTTCTTTGATTTCATTCTCGACAAAGAAGTTGTACGAGTCAATGTGCTGTTTGACGAGACCCTTGACCTTCAGAAAGGCGGGCAGAAGCTGGAATTTGTCTTCCTTGGTTGAGATGGGGTCTGTGAGCTTCTTTCCGTTGTAGAACGGCTCCAAAAGAGCCTCGAAGCCGTCGTCTTGCATTTTGAGTGTCACCGTCGGCTGCGCGCAAACATTATGTGCCGAAAAGGTTAACAGCGCGTTGTATGAATACCACTGAAGATTTTTGAGCCGCCAGAAGCTCGAGTCACATCGTGAGAATTGGGAAGGGTGGCGGGCAGCAGCAAAAAAGTTTGGCCCCGCGATGCCGGGTGTCGCCAGCTGATCCACCAGACCGCGACGCGGTTTGCTACAGGTGCTGCTGACAGATTGAGTCCCCAACTTATCAGCTAGCGCATGAAGATCACGTGCTGATAAGAAGGGCAGGGGAGGGAGACACTCGGGCCAGGGCCAGAGTGCCACAACCACACCTCAGCTTACCGAGGTGAGCACGCACGCCCCCTACATGCTGCACAAGAGCTTGCATGAATTGGTCCTGGTAGTAATGGTGGTGGCCGTCGTGGTGGTGGTGGTGAGCTTTACCTTTGAGTTGGGTCGGTTGCCTAAGGTTATTAGGCTGTTCATCCCAACCTGTTGGCAAAGTTCCCTGACTAACCAGCTGTGACCTGGTTGACTCGGGACCTTGGCACATGAAGAAGAAAAGTTCAACCAACAAATGTCATCACACATGTTGAGGAGGTTCCATAATGGCATGATGATCTATGGAATGACCTTCGAGATAATGCCAGATCAGCCTTTGGTCACTTCATCTGTGGGCTCAGCTTCTGCTCAACTCTGCGTTAATAGGTGCCCAGGAGCCAGGACTCCGGGCCCGCCTCTGCCTCTACGTCGTGCATTGCAGCATAAATGACTAACATCGTGCACGCCTGAACTGACGGTGCAAGTGGATAGTATCAACCGAGCGGCTTTTTCATCCATGAAGTTCCAACGAGGGATTCTACCAGATCCAATGCGGCAAGTAAAATTCACATGGCCGAACAAAATGCACTCAAGGCCTAGAAGGGTCAAGCACTTTGGGAAAATGTCCACTTGCCTCAAGCGGTTGATGATGCTAGGAAAGGAGTGGGGGGCTTTCGCCTTTCTAGGATATAGAAAAAGGCATTAGGCAGGGGATGGGAGAAGGTGCCTGGGCAAGCTGCTGCAAGCCCCGCCATCCAGCATCTTTTCTCTCTACCTCATACTTTACCCCTCTCGTCGGATGACAAAAAACCTCCCCTCACTTTGTGTGCCATTCTGTTGGAATTGCTCGTGTTTTGTTTGCCTGTTACGCTCAGATTTGCCAATTGCCGCTGTTAGCGCACCAAACACACTGGGCCAAAGAATTACACTTGGGGACAATTCCAGACCGACTTGACACTGTTACGCCAGTCAAAGACAAGAATAAACCCATTATTGGCCAACCCCCGTTCCAATGAAACTGCATACGTTACCAGTTACCTCTGCCCTAGTTCTGTCGTCACACACGCATGGGATTGAAATGCTCCCCGCAGGGTTTCGTTTCTGTGCGACCTGCATCAGATGGGATGCAGCGGCGACGGCGGCGTCTGCATGTTGCGTTGGCAGATGAAAAGTGTGGCAAGTCGAATCGCGTCGCAACCCGTCACCGCAATCGCAATCGCAATCGCCCCTCCTTGTCTCCAGATATCGGATCCCAATCGGTTAGGTGGTGAAGCTGCCCCGCGACAACGAAGCATCTCCTCCGTACCTATAGCACCGTATGGCACAGAAGATGGTACAGGTGTAACCCACGACTACACTCATTACCGAACCAAACCCAGTGAGTCTCAGAGCCTTCTCCCACAAGAGAAAGTCTTTTTACACCTTTGGCACATTGGTGCTGCAACGGGACCCCCCTGGAAACGGTCTTCGTGGCGCAACTTCGACTGTCACCAACGGCGTGGTTGACATTACACTATCGTTCGCCTTCAACGTCAACTCCTAGCCGGGCCTGTCGACTATGATGCAAGAGGTTGACCCCGCGAGTCACGACCTGCCGCCCCAAACTCTGAGCGGATCGAGGGTCCAACCACTCTGTTATCGGAGAGGGTCCTCGTACTGGGGTATCATGATAAAATAATACTAGAGCCAAGGGCTTTGCCGCCTTTGCCTGACGGGACCGTTTACCACTGACTGGGGGTCGGTGCCAGAATAGCAATTAAAAAAAGGGGTGGCGAGGGAATATCCGTACTAAGTGATCGTCGAGCCGACATCCCTCGGCCTAGCGTATGAAATGGTATATGGAACACCGTTCTGCATTCTAGCCCATCGTTCTGCCTACAGACAGGCAGACAGGCACTGGGATCCGTCGGCAAGCATCCTGCAAGTGACATGGGACGACAGCAAGGACCCTCAACGACCAAAGTCAGCGCTTGGAAGGCTTCCAGAGCAAAGCGTTCTGCCGCCCACAGCCACCCTCTCCACCGGTAAAGGTACAAAGCCAATACCTGCGTCCTGTACAGGCAGGCTCCAAAGGCTGATCTGGAAAAGTCGCTACGTACGGTCCGAGTCTCTCCACGCCAATCCCGCCGCCCACGCCTGCTTTGTCGCAGACTCGCAGGTAGTCCACTCGTTGCGGGCCTTAAAAGTCGGTGTAGAACCGAGCCGCTACAAGCCTGCGAAAGCCCATGCTTGCCGCCCAACAAATCAGTTTTTCTGACTGCTGCTTTCGCCTCTGGATGGACCACCCGACGGCCGCGCAACAAAAAGCCTCGGCCGCACTATGACGAAGCTTTTGGGCCTGCTGCCCCCAAAACATGGATCCTGACAAGCCTCCTGGCGTGTGGGAAGTGGGAAGATGCAAGTCACATCTTGACCCTCTCGAGTCCACTGTCAACGGTACAGGATGCGGCACTGACAAGCCTCCTGCACCAATTGCTCCCAAATCGCGGGGCAAACTGCACATGTCTCTGAGCTTTACACCATTATTAGAGTTGTGCTGAGGATGAGGCTGCATGGCTACATCGGTCTCCCTTTCGAAAGAGATGTAACCTTCTCACCCCTCGCAGGACCGTAACCAGACGGGGACTTGGAGAAGTAACCCCAGCCCGCAGCCCTAAAGCACACATGATGACTTTCGATGGACGCTTGCCTGCATATGAGTTGAGTGTGAAAACTTGAGCCATTGGTTTTGCGCCGCAATGCATTGTCCCTTCACTTCGGAAACAGGGGCTGAGTGACCATGCCGCTTCATCTTCTGGCGAGTTGATCTACGCTTAACAAGCGGCGGATAGTCGCACACTACCTATCCAGCCACACTTACCAGGTTGAGAGGGGCCTGTTTCCCCGCCAGCGGCTTTGCGAAGAAAAAAGAAGAAGAAAAAATAGGTGGGATGCTTTGGCGGCAGCTCAGCGGCAAGGCAAGGATGAACCTTCTTCTGAAGGGTTGAGCAATCTTCTTAGACCCCATCTCATGGCTCACCGACGGCGGGTTGTAACCCAGTCCCCTGGATTGGTCTGAATTGTGGTAAAACTACGGAAAACCACTGGTAGAGGACAGTTATGGCTTCAGTGGTGGACCAGTTTGGCCCAAGTCGTCTGCATTAACAAAGACTTTCTCCGCGCTTTGGCACTCGACAACAGACTGAAAAGCACCTAAGCGTTCAAAAGACATACTTGGGACTCTTTCCACGAGCTGGATGGTGAAATCTTCTTGTCCGATTTGAACGAGTTGGAGTGTTCCTGCTACGATCATAGCTAGGTGAAACTCCGATGTTGATTGTCATAACCAGAGTGGCAGACCAATGATATGGCCCAATGTTTCAAACGAAGCTCGACTGTTTAACTCCCATGCGCACATCTCGCTATTTAGCGAATGGCCCTGGTACGCCCACTCGATTGAGCAGATCTTGGAGGGTTGTGGCACGGACATGGGCCTGCTTGCCTTCAGCCCTTCCCTTCTTGAGGACCACTTACGGTTGTGTTCAGCGAGAAACGCTACTCCCGATTGACAAGTATCGAACCAACCCGATAACGCGGTGAAGGTAAAGGTATCCAGCCCTTCTAGATGCATTCTGCTCTACCTGGGAAACTGTGCTGTTGCCTGCACCAGCCAAGTCCAGGAAAGTAATGCGACGCAGACTGTGCGTGGCGCGCGCACACACAGACTATCGCTAGACCTGTCGACAAGAGCAAGCTTCAACCCACAGGCTGCGGCCACACCGCCTAAGGAGACATGCAAGTCCTTGGTTCAGGAGGTCGCTTTGCAGCGTGGGTGAGAAGCCAACGACAAATCAAGAGCAGGGTAGTTCCCGAGCAATTGAACCATACTTGGCAGATTGGCAATTCGACTACATTAAGCACAAAAAAAACTGACAGAAAGCGGTGACAACTCGGTCAAGGCTCCGTAGGAAGCGTCGTGAATACGAACACACATCTGGGGCAATGAGGGATCTCAGGCCTCCTGTCAGACCGAGATAGAGTTTCCGATGCACTGACAAGAGCCATTTCTGTTGTCGACACTCTGCACAAGCTTGACAGGCGCTGACAGTGGGCCTACCACTCTATACCTCGCCCAGGGTGAGAAAGCCCCTGACAGGAAAACGGAACAAGACAATCAACTGGGACTAGTACGGACGTCCTCCGACCTGCTAGACTCGGCGGTTCCTATGGCTATTAGTGCGCTAGCCCCTCACCAAAGGAGGAGGAGGGGGGACGGAGAGGGGGTAAAAAGAGGGAAGCGGAGGGGTGGCAGCGCCAAATACCCAGACTTGGTCGCTCTCTGTCAAGTAGAGCATCAAAATTAATCGTCTAAAGGTAGGCTATGGGGCTCGGTGGGAGAGAAGAGGAGGTGAGTGCTGCACACTGCATGAAATCGAATTTGACAATGTCGTTGATTTGCAGCCTGGACCAGTACGAGATTCAGGGCAAGACAAACAGACTGAACTAGGACTGACCAACGGAGGGAAACTCCTGTCGAGTATTTGTGTACCTAAGAGGTATCGGGGGATCAACTACAATCACACACACACACACACACACACACACACACACACGGTCTCGCCCTCCCGCATGCTGCTGCTGCTCCTGGTGCGGGACGGTGTGAACAGGGTTCTTAAGCGGCGTAGCTCGTCTCCCACTGGCGGTTTTACCCCTCTTGGAAGTGCAGAAAGGATATGCCAAAGCTGCGCTGCGTCAGGGCAACACTCACACACCAACCAGCGCAGATGAAAGTGCACCACGGTTACAGTGCACACACTGGACGCTGCTCTGGATTTTGTACATACATACACAGTACTATGGGTACTCGCAACCTCGCTCACACCTGGCCAGGTACAGCACGCGATGGGCTGGACGCTACGTCGACTAGGACAGGGTAAGATGCGGTAATGCAATACGGCGCCAGGTACCTAGCCCGTTTGCTTGGGTACATAACTGCGAAAACTAGGGCAGCTTTGGGCAGTCACTCAGAGGCATAGAACGCCCGCTGCCCACTTGAACATGCCAGGTCCTTTAGGCCCCAGGCCAGCGACATGGAGAGAGGAGAGCGAGGGAATGAGTGGGCGGGTGAGATGCAGTGGCTCCAGTCTGTGGTTCCTCTGCGATGTGGCCCCGTCCAGTCCCCTTGTCCCCCCCCGTCGTCGGCGCAGGGGTATCTTGGGCCGCCGGCTGGCCTGCCACGCCCTCACAACCGTGCTCCTTTCCCACACCTAAAAAAACGATACATTACCTTCTTATGCTCCAAACCTGCTCTCTCGTCCCTCCCCACGTTGGTCGGGTTTCTTGTCCAGTCTCTTTTCTGTACACCATCCTGTGTGTTCGTGTATTTCAAACCCTCTCCAGCCTGTCGCTCCTGGCTCTCCAGGGCGCAAGGTGTGAGACTATATCCCGAGTGTATACTCTGTATTGGAGTGGGCGAGAATCAAAAGGTGAGTTTCCCGTTCGCTTGTGTCTTTTATGCTGCATCGCGCCTGCAACAATGAGCCCTGCGGTTGGGAGCAACCCTGCGACATGACGACGAGGAACACAAACACAGAAAAAGAAGCACGTTTTGGCCTCTTTACGACTATGCAGCAGTCAAATCGGCAGAACTCACTGGTCCTGCATACTTATAATGCGCAACAAAAGTTTACTTCACCACACCAAGCCATTCACATCACGGCAATATTGGGCAGAGAAGAGAGAGAGAGATAGAGAAAGGCGAGGTAGGGGTGCGCGGCAGCTGAAGAGGAAGCAAAGACCAGTGTGGTTTTGGTTCGCGATTCGGCATACACCAAAAAGAGACAAGAGTTGTCAGGCGAGACATAGGAGTCTCGGACGCTTAGCTCCCTCCAACTATCTTGCGTCGCTTTCACAGGCATAACACTGGATACTATGCTCCTTTTCTTCTTCAGTGCTTCTCCGGCTTCCACCCGCATTTGGAGAAGACCAAAAGGAACCCCCCGGACCAGCACCACCCGACTTCGCCAGATCCGCACCCCGCCTCCGATTTTCCTTGTTTCCAAACCGCAAACCCTCGCTCTGTTCCGTGTTTCTTGTCGTCGTGGGCGGCACCCTCAACCCAACCGCAATAGCTCTCCACGCGCCAATTTTTGTTTATCTCTCTGTTTTTCCATGTATTTGTTGCTGACCGTAGGCCTCACTTGATGCCAGTAGTAACACATAAGCCACTGTCATTTTGGCCCCTTTGCGCCGTGTACGAGTTGGAGTAAGCCGGACTGCCATATGGACGACCTGCGCTTTCGATCTCAACAAACCCCCCGGAACGAGCCCACGATGAACACACTTGTTTCACCTCCGCGGAACAGCAACCGCTTGCCCCAGCCTGTACAGGCTCATGATGGGCGCGGTGCTCTGCCTCGCCGCTTCACTACCGATTCGGGGCGTGTACCAACATTGTCTTCAATTACCGGCCAGCGCGGCCCTGATCTTGGCCAGGATTATAACGTATGTCTGCCCTCACACTAGTCTACCTACACCTTTTTTTTTGAGGCTGTAGCTGTAAAAACCCATCTTCCATCGCACCAGTACCGGTGCCCTCCATGTAGAATCGGGCTGACGAGTTGTTTTCCAGACTTTGCACAAAGTTCAATTGGTTCGTGGACACCTTTTTCCGCCCGATACCCCCAATGCGGCCATGGACAACGGTGGTCTACAGTCTCTGCGATGCCACACGTTCGATCAGATTACGAGAAAGGTGCAAAGCTGATACCCTATGCAGATTGAAAAGAAAAAGCTTGAATATGAGAGGCTTCGCGAGCAGAGGCGCCGGTTTGAACTTGAGATGCAGAAGCTGGAGCAGGCGCAGCGACGTGAGGAAATGGAGCTTGCCAAAATGCAGGATGACCTTCGTCAAGGTCACCAGTCGGAGCCGACGACGCCACCCGAATACCACGAGTCCTCTGGTTTCCCTACGATGTTCTCGCGCCCAAACCGTTACTCGACGTCCAGCCTGACTTCGCCCCCGGGCCTATTCAACCGACCCGGCCGCTCGGGGTCGCAGCTTACCTCCCCGCAGTCGACCTTGATGCAGTCTCGTTTTACCTTTGACGACCACCTGCCGTCTCGCTCCGTGCCCGGCTCGCGAAGAAACAGCGATGAGGATGAGAAGGAGGAGGCGGTTCGTCAGGATCCTAGTAGCCATCGGTCCTCCAATGCGTAAGTGCCAAACCCCTTTCTGAACTGCTTTCTTGGACAAGTCGTGGTGAGTACCGAAAGCTGGAGCTGTGGTATATTTGACCTCGGCTGCGTCAAGCTTGAATAGAAGAAGCTCGGCCTTTGAACTGCAATCGTATCTGTCTTGGGAGAAAGTCTAGCTACGATTGGAAGGTGCAATAGCTATCTTTTTGCCTCGACTGCTTGACCCGGGATTGGTTTGCCTTCACGACATAACGAGTGGATTTTGGGGTTTAAAATCTCGTTTTTTCGGTCACCATCACCACCTCTTGTCACTTTGGTCTTCACAACAACCCGCACCAATACGTCTTTGAAGCTTTCTTTCCCATCAACTACAAAACAACGTGAACAACTCCTTCAAATTATCAGCTAATTCTCACGATACCGACCTGCACCTACTCTTTCAACTACGCCCGCGCTTCAAAGCCTGTTCAATTTCGCAACGATAGCGCTTACTTCAAGTCTTTTTGCACCTTCCAGTTCTCGTTCCTAGTGTTCTCTGACGCGTTCAGAGTCTTCGAAAGGCTGGCCAGTGTTTCGGCTTTCTTCTTCGTTTCTAAACGAAACTACCCCACAACTTGTCCAAGAAACTAACAAGATCAATATCCGGCAGCGGCAATGGCTAACTTTGAGTTTTCTGACAATAGCTACAACCGCTACTCCATGCCAGTCACCAGGTCTCGCACTGGCTTGTACGGCGCTGACCTTGATCAAACTGGCACCGCTCGCTTCCTTTTCGGCGAGGAAGACGCTTCTGGCGAACACAAGTACGGACAGGGCCACGACGACAACTTCCCTACTCTGGTGCGCCGCGACGATCAAATGGTAAGTCACAGATGCCTTTTTTTTGTGTGTTTCGGGATATCAATTTTCCTCGCCTTGTCATGCCTAGCACTTCGCAAGCCAGTGCTTCATTTCCCAGACATTATGGCAATAGGTTGAAGTTACAAATGGGGATGAGTGTATGGGAAGGTGCGAGTTGCAGACAGGCAATCACACTTACCCAACCTCACCTCACTTCTTCCATTCACCACACCCACCTTCCACCTCCCCTCTGCCCTCCCCTCCTCTCCTTCTCCTTCTCCTTCCCCTTCCCAATCTTCCAAATTGCAAATTCTTTTCTAGTCAAAAAGAGACATTCCTGCAGTTTTTACCCGTTTACACCCCTTCATTCTTTCAATTGCATCAAGGTCGGAGTCTTGCAGGAATACCCCCCCTACTATCGACATGTCGATACAAAATTGTCAGCCTTTGTTCTAGTGTTGACATTGTTTGGTCGTGTAGCTCTCTGCATCCTCCGCTGCCCTTGATCTTGCCCTCTCTCCATCGCCCGCCCCCGACGCGCCCTCCACCAACGGTTGGGGCCATATTAACCGTCACCGAACACAACAGAGCCTGTCTGCCATCAACACGTCTTCGCTCAACGGAGCTGCCTCATCTGGTGAAATCGGATCAAGAGCATCAGTTCGCCACTCACTCGACCTCAAGTTCTTCCCGGACGCCCCTTCCGACAACCAAACCTCAGTCGTTTCTCCCCCGGGCAACCACATCATGGCCACTCCTCCCAAGTTGCAGAGCTCCTTTTCTACGAACGATGTGCCTACCATGAAGAGCACCACTGGCGCCTCGGTGACCAACAACCACGCCCAACAGCATTTCCACAACCACAATGCTAGTATTGGTCGCATTCCTGCCGGTGCTGTCCCTGGCCGCCACAGCCGTGAACTGTCCAACGACAACAACATGGGAGGTGCGCGCGACCAGGCTGGGTCCTTCCCCTCCATTCAGTCCGCTCTCCAGGCCAACGCTACCCCCTTCGGTCCTGGTGCTCCGGGTCAAGGTTTCCCGCACACCTCTCAGGGCAATGCGGCTCCCAACGGCGTTGCTACTGCCGGTCCCAACAACTCGTATGGCAACTTCTACCCGAATGGCTACGTCTCCCCCACGAACAACGCCCCTCCTACTTCTGGACCTGGACCTTACGGTGTCCCTCTTCTGGCCATGGGCATGCAGAACATGAACCTCGGCGGTAACAACGTGTACCCTGCTCAGAACTACGCTGGCTATGGCGCGCTTTACAACCAGCAAGCCCAACCTCGCGACAGCCAGGCTCGCGTGATCCAGCACCGCCGTCAGATGGACAACGAAGGTACGTTTGCTTCTGTTCTTGACATGCTGGTTCGATTTGCTAACATCCCGCAGCCATGTCTCGCTACAACGGTCTTGCCCTTGAGAACGTTGGGGGTCAGATTTACGATCTTTGCAAGGACCAACACGGTTGCCGCTATCTGCAAAAGAAGCTCGAGGAGCGCAACCCTGAACAGGTTCACATGATCTGGCTCGAGACCAACCAACACGTCATTGAGCTTATGACCGACCCCTTTGGTAACTACTTGTGCCAGAAGCTTCTTGAGTTCTGCAACGACGATGAGCGCACCGTGCTCATCCAGAACGCTGCCGTCGACATGGTTCGCATCGCTCTGAACCAGCACGGCACCCGTGCCCTGCAGAAGATGATTGAATTTGTCACAACTCCCACCCAGATTGAGATGATCATCAACGCTCTGCGCTTCCAGGTCGTTGAGCTCATTCAGGACCTGAATGGCAACCACGTCATCCAAAAGTGTCTTAACAAGCTCAGTGCCCAGGATGCCCAGTTCATTTTCGATGCCGTCGGTACAAACTGTGTCGACGTCGGCACTCACCGTCACGGCTGCTGTGTTCTCCAGCGCTGCATCGACCACGCCTCCGGCGACCAGAAGGTCTGGTTGATCGCTAAGATCACCGAACACGCTCCCATCCTCGTCCAGGACCCCTTCGGCAACTACGTTGTTCAATACATCATCGACCTCAATGAGCCTTCCTTCACTGAGCCTATTGTCCGCATGTTCCAGAACCGCATCGGACAGCTGTCTCGCCACAAGTTCAGCTCCAATGTTATTGAGAAGTGTCTGCGCTGCTCTCAGGAGCCCTCTCGCGACATGATTGTTGAAGAGCTTCTCTCCCCCGGCGAGATTGAGCGCCTCCTCCGCGACTCCTATGCCAACTACGTCATTCAGACAGCTCTCGAGTACGCGACCCCTCACAGCAAGTTCCGCCTTGTCGACGCCATTCGGCCCATCTTGCCGTCCATTCGCTCTACCCCCTACGGACGCCGCATCCAGGCCAAGATCCAGGCCTTCGAGGGACGTGGTAGTGCCACCTCGAGCGGCCAGGTGACTCCTGCGGATCCTAGCCAGGGCCAGATCCCACTCCGCCCCAACCACAACCGTGCCATGTCTAACACCACCTCCGTTATCTCCCCCGGCGGAGCCTTCGGCAACGGCCTGAACGGCGGTCTCAACGGCGGTATGGCTCCCCGCGGCAACCAGGCCAACTATCCCACGGCCTCCAACGTCACGGTGCCACCTCCGGCCCCCCAGAACCAGCGCATGCAGCAGTACGGCTACAACTCCCAGCCGCGTGTCAATGGCGGTGTTCCTGCGGAAGGTGGCGCCGGTGCTGGCGAGACTCAATGGTTGTAATTGTACACAAAGCGTTGTCGATGTGGGATATCACTTCTAATGGCATGAAATGTGACGTGGGCACTCGGCAACGAATCTAATGGGCGGCATGATGCTTTCCGCAACGGTTTTCTTTTCGACACAGCACGGCGACGACGCAGCAACGACTTGACGATCTTTTCCTTTCACTGTCTGTGCAAACACCAAAAAATCAACCCCCAACCAACATACAAAATCGCAACCTACATCCACCTCTTCATCCGTCGAGCACGGCGGTCTCGCATCCGATTGCGAGACTTGCTTTGTGTGTACACTATGGATTCGGGCAGCTTATGAATGCCCCATCGGCATTTGCAGCGCAAACATAAGAATCGCATTCTGCTTCTCGGCAGCCGTCGTCACCAGGTCAGACGGAGCCTTCAATAGGCTTGTACTTGATTCGATGCGGATATCGACATAGACGAACGTTTCCTATTCTCTTTCTTTTGTATTTTTGTTATTTTTCTTACGTCCCATTTCCTCATTTTCAATTCTTCACGCTCGCTTCCAGGGGTATCGTTAGCTCCTTGGTTCACGATTGGATCGGACTCACGACAACTTCGGCTTAATTCCCTAAACGACATGCTGATTACGACGCTGATCATGATACACAACGATTACGGGAACAAGCTGATTTCTTTCCTATATGGCGATGGTAGCCGCTCTTCAGCCTGCGATGAAACCCCATTTGGGAGATCATCAACAAGGGCTGGGGACGACTCGACAAAACTATACTGGAATTGCCTGAAGGCATACGCATTGCATAGGGGCCAGCGTCGGGACATGGCAGCAGCATCGGCAGCAGTCTTTCTTTCTCTTCTTGCATGTGGTTGGCGTATAACGTTTCTTGTTCTCGGCATGGACCGCCTTATCCTACTTTTACTCCGATACTCTCATGGCTTTTTTTGATTGGGAGGACAATTTTGGCAAGGCAGTGTGGACATGGGCTCTCGCATATCAGGGAGTTTCTGAGACAGATTCGAGCGACCTATTTGCAGATGGGAGAAAGCTTTTCTTGTGTGTGTAAGAGACTTCTAGGGATGAAATTGGCGTTACTTTTGCTTTTTGACCGGCAGGGGATGATGCGTAGGGCATTTGAGTGGATGGCATATGCTCTTCAACGAATGCCCAGCAACCCCCCACGACCGCGCATGTAACTAGGCAGAACCAAGAAAAATATCTCGGAAGATACTGTGCCCCTGATGAATTGTGATTAGTGACAGGTCTTGTTGGTGAAGAATCAATAATTCTATTTTTCACGTGTCATGTAGTTCACCGTAACCGCCGCCGTGTCTGGATTGCGGTCGCGAGCACAGGACCCGATGAGACGGCGAGGCCCAAGATCCAAGGTGGAGCATGTGAAGCGAAACAAGGACCCAAACGCAGCGTCTGATTGGAGGATATCTTGGACCACCCCCCCCCCCTCCTCCTCACTGGCATACAGGAGGTTCCAGAAGCGGCTGACCTGTGGGCACAGCCGCACTGTTTTAGCAGGCGTTGCGGCAAACTTGTCGTCTCACGCGCCAGCGCCCGCGCCCGCGCGGGCCAACCAGGGAAAATTAAAAAAAAAAAAAAAAAAAAAAAGTAAGAAAAACCCCCCCCCCCGATGGACAGAAAAGCGCCAGTCCACTACGAGGCCTCCTTTTTTCTTTCCCTTTTTTTCCCCCCCTTCCTTTTGTTTCCGTTCCGACGACCGCCGCCCCCCTCCCCTCCCTTCAGTGCCACCACGACTCATCGACTACGGTCAAATCGTCACGACACCACACCCGGTCTTTCTTCGAGATCTCACTCGATTCATTAATTAAATCTCGTTGAATTCAGACCCCTTCGACAAAATGGCCCGTGGTAACCAGCGCGACAAGGCCCGTGAGGCCAACTTGAAGAAGGCTGCCGGCCAGGTGAGACCCTTTTTTTTTTCTCTCCCCCTTTTCTTTTCTTCCGACCGTCTCTCTTCAGTTGCCGCTTATAGATAGCATGCCTGGCTTGGTGATTTTCACCTGATGATTTGACGATACGGTCTCATTCCATGCCTTGACTGTCCAGTTTTTTCCGCCGAGTATGAGGAGGATGAGATTGTTTAAGTTGAATGAACAACAAGCTTGACTTGGAGCTGTGTAGGCGGGGTGGGGGGGGGGGGGGGGGGGGGGGGGGGGCCAACGGGGTGTACTTTTTCTTTTTTTTTTCTTTTTTTTTTTTTGGTATGCAGAATGCTGATTGATATTTGTTACTCGCGCAACAGAAGTCCAAGAACACCATGAGCGGCACCGAGTTCCAGCGTGCCAAGGAGTCTGCTGCTGAGATCATGAGGCAGAAGCAGGCTGCATGTGAGTTTTTCTTATTTTTCTTCTTTATAAATTCCCTAAAGAGGTTTTTTCTTTTTCTTTTCGCCACGAGGTCGATACGACTTTGTCACGTACAGGTTGTATCGATGAAGGCGATGATTAGGAAGTAATATGTATGACTGAATGAGACGGTATACTGACTGCGACTGCTTACAGCCGAGGCTAAGAAGGCGGCGGCGGGTGCGGGTGGCAGTGATGGAAAGAAGAAATAGACGGGGGAGCGGTGGTGTTTCTCTCCGTCACAAAACAACACGCACTCTCTCTCTCTCTCTTTCTTTCTTTTTCTCTTTCTCTCCATCGACATCGGGTTCTCGCCTTTGCGCGCCGTCTGACTTGTGACACTCGGCCATCTTTACCGCAGCCGGCTCTCCTTTTTCAAAGTGAAAAAAGGGGCGGGACGTGGTGGTGAGAGGTGATTTATGAGATGAGTAAGCTGGGTTTGGGTTGGACTCTACTACGATTTTCCCACCCTTTGATCAGAGGGAGGGAAACGACAGGGTGGAACCCGGTAGCGGCGACGGGAAGGTTGAGAAGAGAGAGAGAGAGAGAGAGAGAGAGAGAGGAGGGGGCGGAGGGAGATTATCAAAACACACAACATCAACTACGACTGCAAACGATTCATGGGCGTCATTTTTTGAGGCGACGGAGGTGCATTCGGCGTGCTTTAGGCGGTATTGACAATATTAAATTAAAAACTCGTATACCAAATTATTCCCAAAAGAAATAAAGAAAAAAAAAACAATACCAAAGGAGGAAAGATGGGGTTCGCGACTCTCGTTCCACGTTCACTTATACGTTGTAAATGTAGATTATACTGTGATTACTTGAGTCGAAAAAACGACGACGGGAGTCTGAGTTTGAAGAGAGAAACTCAACGCTTATTGAAAAACAATGTTTGCATGGAGAGGAGAATTGACAGGTAGGTCCGAGTTCATCGGGAGAAGAAATCCGCGCCGTTCCCCCCCCCCCCCCCCCCCCCCCCCCCCCCCCCTTCTCCCATTCGAAACCCGTCAGACGGCGTCGGCTCCGGTCGAGATGCCTCGACTTGTGCGCTTCGTCTTGACGTATATGGTTGGCTGGCTGGCTGGCTGGCTGGCTGGTTTACTTCAAACAAAATCATGGAAAACAGATCTACTTCTCGAGGCAATGGACCAAGAGCCTTGTTCGGCAACGGCTTCCGTAGGAAAGAAAAAAAAAAGGGGGGGACAAAAAGACAACATGAATAATTCAGACGCTCGATCGATCCATGCAATGTCATGTCATGTCAAGACTTGTCATGTCTCGTCATGTCATGTCGTTTTCTTATCCACTTACCTACCTCCTCGGCCGACACGGCACGGATCACTATCCCCCTGACCTTTTTTTTTTTTTTTAACTTTCTCCGGTGCGCTCACCCGGGCCATGCGCTGACGGCCGATCAAACCTCGCATGTCGTAGCACAACGCGAGTTAATCTCGGGCCACTTCTTGGTCGGTTTTGGAACCGGCGGAGAGATGGCTGGGGTCTTGCCACGATCCGGAGATGGAGAGAATATCGCACCTTCACTTTCATGGACAGCTGGAAAGAAGGGAGAAAAAACAATTGGTTTGAACGTGATCATTCATCATCCATTTAGTAATTCCTATTAAGTGGCTGCGAGAAAAAAAAAAGAAAAAGAGTTTTTTCCATCCAGGAAATACGAACCAGTCATATACTCTGTAATTATCCCCCAAAGCCCCTGATATTCCATCTTTTCTCTCCTTTCCCCGTTATCCTCGTGACTAAACGGGTAACTAAGGGAAAGGATGAGGGGGCGGGCTCCCAAATACCAAAAGAGTTGCAGTCCCTTTCACGACCTTCCAAACCGGTCGAAACTGTAGACTAAATCCTGCTCTTTTTTTGTACTTCGTCTTCCCACAACCAACAAAAGAGAAATCTACATGTGATGAGAAAAAAAAAAAGAAAAGAGAATAAAAAGGTCGTGGGCCCCTAAAAGTGTAACAACTCCGGATATGTGGTATCGTTCCCAGCGGAGTGGGTAATAAATAGGTTCTTCTTTCCCGGATGCGTGGATAATAAGACTAATAAGGGCGGGGGAGAACACGATTAGGTGGTCTGGGCTGCCTCTGCCTTAAGCCTCCATCATCTCCATGGGAAGAGATCCTGCCATGCCGCCGAAAGCACCGACGCCCTGGACCGCGGCGGGGAAAGAACCAGCGGTGCAGGAAACAGCGCAGACGCAAGCACCGTTGCCGTTGATCTGGCCAGTACCGGTCTGGACACCGCCGGTAGCGCCGCCACCAGCGGCGGGAGGAGCAGCAGGGTTGGCAGCAGGGGGTGCGGCGGCGGGAGGCTCAGCAGCGGGAGCCGAGGGAGTAGCGGGAGCAGCAGCGGGGGGCTGGCCACCGACAATAGCGCTGGGGGCGCCTTTACCCTTCTGCTGGATGGCCATCGACTGGAAGAGAGCCTGGGTCTTCTCGGCGGTAGGGTTGATGGAGAAGGTCATACCCTTACCGCAGTGGTTACCCTGGCGGCAGTAGAACCCTTTGGGATGTGCGTTAGCGGTGACGAATTCAAGATGAGCGCAGGACGGACTTACACAAGGGGTCAGAGACCATAACCTGCATCGCGACCTGGGGAGGGGGGTTGACGGAGTTGTTAGGGTTGGCAACGAAGCCGGAGTCCATGCCACCGGCTAGAGGGTCGCAGGGAGTCGCGAAGGCAGACTGGGTAGCGGTGTGGTTTTGGCTCATGAAAGTAAAGACAACCATGTCACCAACGTTCGCCTTGATCTGGTCGGGAACGAAAACGAGACCAGAAGGGCCACCAACAGTGACCTGAGACAAAAAATTAGAACGGCTCGAGTCTACTAACGATATCGACTACAACTTACGTGGTGTGTTTGAGGGCCAGCAGCAGGAGGAGCCGCCGGGGGAGCAGCGGGGGCAGCGGGGGCAGCGGGGGGCGCGGCCGGAGGAGCTGCAACGCCGCCAGCAGGAGGGTTGATGTTGATTGTGGGCGCGCCGGCACCGGGGTTCGTCCAGATGATGATGACCTCAGTGACCTGGCTGTTGGAAACTCCAAACCCGCTCATACCAGCCGGAAGTGCCTTGCCAACCTCGGAACCAGCCTTCTTGTGACCATCGCGACGAACGGGGTAGTGGTTGCGGACGGACTTGGCGGAGGCCAGGACGGCGGTGGAGAGAGCTAACACGGCGGAGAACTTCATTTTGACGGAGGGTGTGTTGTTGTCGTCGATTAGGGTGACCTTTTTAGTTGATGTATATCGAGGGAAGACAAGATCGTTTTCTGTCCCTCCTCTTTTTCTTTTTTTATGTTTCTCTTCCCGGAAGATTTTTGGTGTCGAGACTGCTGGAGCCCGGCGAGTTACAAGGAATAAAAGGGATTTAGTAATGCTGGATGGCGAGGGCCTGCTCGTGACGAAGAAGATTGAACACGGAACCGGAAGAGAACGAAAGTTCTAAAAAGAATGTGTGAAGACACGAGGCGGATGAAGAAGAGATGGGGAAGAAGAAACAGAAACCTCTCGGACAGCGAGGATGGGGGGGAGAAGGAGAGCTTAAATCGAGAGGAGTCCTGCTTGGCGGGCAGACAAGATGGGCGCGAGCCAGGTTACATTATCTGTTCGTTATCCCATGTCTGTGAGGGTGAACAGGTACTAGGCCATCACCGACGGGACATGGGACAGCCCCTTCCCGGTCCCAACATCGACCTCGACGAAACAGGACGAGAGAATCGTCCACTAGACTGTCCCTGAAGCAGGCTTTGCTCAAGTGTGCAGGCCAAGGGCAAGCCAAGCAACGCCCCCCGGGTTTCTTACACTGGGCTCAGGGGGGAAAAGCAGTGAGAATGGAGATTGGAGCCAGGGTCAACAGGTGTAGTTGAGGGTGTTGAGGGGCGGTTCGTTGCTCAGGGACTCAGCGTCCGATTAAGCACGCGAAGCACAGGCCCACCGAGGCATTGCCATCCCAAGCTTGGAGCAAATAAGAAAAATAAAAAGCCAAGAAGAAAAGGTGGAGTTTGAATGATAGGTGGTGGGATGTATCGGCAGGGATAAGGGTTGGGAGGAATCAGGGGGTGGGAACGGACTGATGACGGATGTGAAAAAGACTTCACTTTGATAGCAGGAAGAGGAGGGACGATGATGGCGCTAACGGGGCCGCAGCACAGATGAGAAGCTTGGTGCGTGCAGAAAGTGCATGCGTGTGTGTACCACAGAGAGGTAGGTGCTTCGCTGGAATTGGTCAAGAAGCCGGGGGTACCGCTGGACCAGGCAGCGACTGAGGGAGACACGCTGAAGATTGATGGAAAAGGCGGATGTACCAGAGGAGGCTGCGGGCTAGCGTTGTGAAGGAGGTGGGAGTTGTGACAGAATCGTCTCGAGTCGTGTTTTGGCATCTCGCTAAGGGACCCCCTGGCCGCCTTGCCAAAGATGGTTGTCGCTCGGGCCCCAGGCGAGTGATGTCCACTCAAGGGTTTTGCAAGTCAGGGCCGCGCTGGGCATGGGCATAACCAATAATGCTGTGGAGGCCTCTTGGGCTCCGTGTGCGGTTGCTAGAGTTCGTTCCATCCAGAGCAGTTGGGATGGTTGTCAGTTTACTAGTCTTACCATAAAAAAAAAGATGAGATGTCGTTGATGAGAGAAAACACGAAGAATCGGCAGGAATGACAGACAGATGGGGGGGAGTGCATCTGGCTCCCGCCCCAACGGCCGATTGATTAATTGCCCAATAGACGTCCATATCGTGCACCGTTGGACCCTCCCCCAAATGCCAGAAATGCCCGATAAAGGCTTGTCTGCCCTCTGTAAATTAACCCGCCCGCTGTCTCGGGGTGGTGCTAAACCTTAATGCACCCAATTAAGGTGGTTAGACCCCCCGAACTGGCATTTTAGCTGCCGGAGCCACGGGATGGCGTTCCACCCCCCCTTTACGCCATTCCTGCAGGCACGAAGCCCTGCACCACAACTCTCTTCCTGTCCGTCTCCCTCTATCTCTTTTCAACCTTACTCTCTACCTTTAAATCGCTACTTTGTCATAGGCGCCCGTCTCTTTTTTAGCCACTGAATACGTATCTTTTTTCTTTCGTCGTCGTCTACGGAGAAGTCGACTGGCTGACGTCAAGGCAGGCCCTGCCATGCATACGACACGTGCCTGTCCGCCCGTTGACAAAACCCAATCCGCCAAGCTGCTACTATGTAAGCGTCCCTGTTCCCCCGTCTTGAGTCTCTTCCTATTCCCATTCTCCCTGCATCTGTACCCTATGCCCCTTCTCATCCTGTCTTTCCTCGGGGTTTCGGCTTTTTTGGATCTAGCTGAATGGCTGCCGTCCCTTCCTTTCCCTTTTCATTCTTGCCCAGTACCACATGAGTCGGCACGGATTGCCAGGCCAGCCAGCTCAGCAAAGGCACCTTGATGCTGGGCGTGCAGCCGCCTCAAACGGCCACTGAAGATGATGAAACATGGCCCCCCTCCCCCCTTCTCTTCTTATCCATCCGTTCCTTCCTGCGGGCCATTCTTCCCGGTCCACAACTCAAGATATACCCAATAGTTTCTCAGAGTGAAGGGAAAAAAGTCCAGACCAGACCAGTAACCCCCCGTCGTCATCCTTCTCGAGTGCTTGTTTGTATCCACTCAACTTTGCTCATCTACCCGCCCATGTCAATACACACACACTGTAACCATTGGCCTACTGCCCCATCCCAACTTTTTTTTCTTTTTTCCTCCCCCCAACCCTTCTCCCATGGACCCTGCTCGTCCAGTCTCATGCTGCCTTGGTCGCCCACTACGACGACATCTTGCTAATGCTGCCGCCGCGAGCTTGCCAAACCCGCCTAGGCTAGGGACCTGACACAGAGCCATCTGGGCGCTAGAGATCGGCTTATTTCTCTTCCAGCACTGCCATCCTCTTGTCATTTCTTGGTCGAAGTTGCGAAACAGTCCACAGTGTGCCACTGGCCTCAGCCTTCCTGCTTCACTATCCTGCTGATCGGTCTTGGGTCTTCCTGTCATCAAATCTTGATGCTTGGTGGCGTTGTTGCGTCTTGTCGCTCGGGGATCTGCCGAGAGAAGAAGTGACCTAGCCTCCTGTCAAGACCGACTAGACCTATCCGCTCGATCCGGGCCCGTGTCGAGAGACTCGGGCGTTGCATGACATTCACACATGGATTCCACGTCCGGCCCGAAGGATCTCCATGCTCTATGTGCAGGTTGTCAATGATGGACGGCTCTACAGACAGCTATGCATATGGCCATGTGCGATGCTGGGAGGCAAACAGCAGGAAGCTGCATGAAACTTTGCGTCAGTCGGCGGAGTCTATTCTGATTTCCTCGGAAACTAGTAGAGCTGGCTATGGTGTTGTACAGCCATGACCTTTCCCATATGGCCGAGGAGATCAATGGGCATCGTAATTTCATGTTTCCATCCATAGACTGTCTGGGCCTTGACATGTTTCCGATCTCAATCCTTTGTCGAATCATATCAATATTGACTACCCAATTCTCCTCAAATTCCCACCTCAGACAAGGCCATCTCGCCTAGGTTCACACTATTGGCGTCATTACTTCTGTACCACCCTGACAAGACTCCTTTTGGACATTGTCCCGCTCGTTCCCCATGCATGTGTCGCCGACTTGGCTTGCAGAAGCGCAGTGGGTAGAAAAGAAAAATAAAACTAAAAAAAAACCAAAAAAACTTTGACGAGATGGAGACGAGGCTTCTTGCGCGGAGACGAGAAACAACCAAGCCTAGGCCCGTCCACGGTGAAACAAAACGAACTCTTGGGCAAGCAGACATGAGCGCGCTAATTCCTAAAATTTTGTCGCAGCCACGAGGTTTGCAGGGTTGCATTGGGGCCCGCCAGCTCAAGTTCGCCCGACCCCGACTTGGACTTGGGTTAACCGCACCCCAATACAACTAATTCATCCGTCCCTCGACCCGCCATCCGGGCTCTGGAGACAACGGATAGAATAGCGAATCATCAGCCTGCTGACTGAACCAGCGTTCCTGTCGTTCGTGTGACACATGCCATGGCGAACCTCAGACAAGGAACTGTGAGGCGCCGTTGCATCATCGGACGATGGAACAGATCGTGTTACAGAGTCGTCCTCCCGCACGTCGATCAGATTAACTCTCGAGCAGCCGCTTTTCAGGATGGCCAACCTCACCCCATTCCCCACACCATCCCAACTCCCCTATTCCAGGCCGTAAGAGGCTACTAAGCCTCATTGCCGCGGTTCCTGTGTCTGCTGCTGCCCTTCGTACAATCCGGTGTAATATCCAGCGTAGTACCATGACATCAAAAGTCTCTTCAGTCCTTCGTCCTGTACTGCAAATCCAAACCACAAGGGCGTTCTGGTCAGTCACGGCTCCCTTATCCTTAGGCCCGATGAGTACGACATGGCGCAGCTTCAGAGCTTCAACACCATCAGCCATAGAGCGTATACATACCTGAACCGAGAAGACCTTGCGGGCCCATTGTCGCAGGGCCTGGGGCGCCACCGCTGCTCGAGATAGCCTTTGCGGCAGGCACGCTTGCTGTTGACTGAACCTGGAGCGAACAAGGAACATGTTAGCGGAAGCGGACACGATGCAGGATAACAGATGCCAAGCTTTTCTGATCTTCCTGGATTTTCTCTGGGGTGAATGGGTTGTTTTACATCCGTGCTGCCGCCTACCTCCTTCGTTTCGTTGGCTGCCTCTCCATCGACCATGATCTCAGACCGATCGACCGCTTCCGTTTCTGGGTCGATGGCCCCATGGGTCCTGTGCCGGTGGCTATGTGTTAGAGTTGATTTCTTGGTCTCCTCACGGAGACTTAAGGACCGGATGGACGTACTGGGACCCAGACTTCTCCTGAAGATCAACATCTTCGAGCTTGCCTCCTTTAGCGTGGATGCTATGATACTTCTGCCAAGTTGATTAGCTATGTCCACTGGATAACAAGCTGCTTCTTTCCGAGACGGATATCCCTTCTTACCTTGTACTCATCAAGAGCTTCGTTCCATGAGTCTATGAGGGCGGAGTCATCCCACATCTCAGCATGCGACAACTCCACGTTCTTGCCAGCCATTTCTGCCAGGTAGGAGTCTCTTCGTCAGAAAAAAAAGCGTGTCTGAGAAAACTGGGGTGGTGAGGGCGGTGCACACTTGAGCTTCGGTTTTCTGTCACTCTGGGAACAGTCTCAGAGTTGAGAAAGAAAGCCTGCCTGAAGGTCTCGAGTAAATAGGATGTGAGAGGTGAGTGGATGAGTGGGCCCGGCAGCTTTGGTCGAGGTTGAGCGACAGTTGTATTGAAGAAAGAAAAGAGGTTTCTTGGTTGCTGGTTACGATTGCGTCTTCTTACTGGCCTCCTCAGGAATAATGGTTGTTCATGTGCGACGGCCTATCAATACACACGGGGCTTCTTTACGTGTTGTTGCAAGCTGAGGCCAAATATCTTGGGATGAGTGTGTCTAAGCCTGCGTGTTGGAGGAACCAACATAAGAAGCAGTACGCTGACGAATGATCAAGCTGCCTTCGAAGTGTAGTGTCGCCAGAGTTAGATGTTCGCCTAATGTGTTCTGTCGCGGCGCAAAACCTCACAGTACCTCTGGAGATGCGCTTTCCAATCTGCACAGCGGTTGTAAGCTGTGTAACAACTAAGGTTAGCGCGTCGGGGTGCTGTGACAGGTCCGCTCCGTTGCCCCTTCAGCACCGGTGCCCCGCTGAAAGTCGCTGGCTGGAACGGCTGGGAGGACCGCGTTAGCGGGGTCCTGTCTTCACCGCCTCCATATCTGCAGCTGGCAGAATCTTGAAATTTTAATTTTTTCGCACTCGCGGCGGTACTCGACTGTGGGTATTATCGACTTGCTAGGTTCCAACAGCCAGGCCAGGACACATCACAACAATGGCTCCCGAATTGAGGAAGAGAACCAGATGTAAGCTATAAAACCGCCTGTGACTTCAACTATGTGTTTCTAATTATTGTGCAGCGGTTACCGCGGCTGAAAAGCCTGCGGCGAAGAAGGCAACCAAGGCCGAGAAGGTCGAGCCCGCGGCCAAGAAGACCAAGGTCGAGAAGCCTAAGGCCGAGAAGGTCGAGAAGAAGGAGGATAAGACCCCTAAGCGTAAAGGTATGGGTTGTCCTTTGATTTAAGTCATGCATTGGCTGACAAGAGCTCGTACAGCACCCGAGGAGGCCTCCCCCGTTGCGACGAAGAAGCAGAAGCCCGCGAAGGCGACCCCCAAGTCCAAGAAGGCCGCGCCCAAGCCCGAAGCCGTCGAGGAAGCCGAGCCTGAGACCACCGAGGTCGTCGAGGAGGTCGATACTTCTGTTATCCCCGTGGAGGATGCCACCGACTCTGATGACGAGGTTGACGCCGACATTCAGGCCCTTGCCGCTGGCTTGGACCCCGAGGATGCGCCGGAGGGTGATGGCACCGTCTTCAAAGCCGGCCAGGACGTCGGCAAGGTTCCCAAGTTCAACAAGAAGCAGAAGAAGTTGACGGAAGAATCAAGCGAAGAGCCCGGCGTGGTCTTCATCTCCAGACTCCCCCACGGTTTCTACGAGCACGAGCTGAAGGGCTACTTCTCGCAGTTCGGCCCCATCAACCGGTTGAGACTTGCCCGTAACAAGAAGACCGGTGCAAGCAAGCACTGGGCCTTCATTGAGTTCGCCGAGGAGAGCACTGCTGAGATTGTTGCGAAGACCATGGACAGCTACCTCCTTTTCGGTCACATCCTGAAGGTCAAGACTGTTCCCCGGGAGTCGCTGCACGAGAACCTGTGGAAGGGAGCCAACAAGCGCTTCAAGAAGATCCCCTGGAACAAGATCGCTGCCAATGAGGTCGCCAAGAAGAGAACGGAGTCGAATTGGTCTCACAAGGTATCCAAGGAGGAGAAGAAGCGCGCAGAACGTGCCGAGAAGTTGAAGGAGTTGGGATACGACTTCGAGGCTCCTAAGCTGAAGGAGGCCGTTGCACCGCCGCCGGAGCCTATGGCCATTGATGCACCTGAGGAGACCAAGGCCATCGAGGCTGCCCCCGCCGAGGAGGAGACTGCCCCTACGGCGACGGAAGAGGTTGAGGAGGCGGAGAAGCCCAAGGCGACAAAGGGCAAGGCGAAGAAGGGTGGCAAGGCGAGGAAGAGCAAGGCCTAAGCTCTTTAATGATATCCCGCATCACGGACTGTTTCCTTTGAAAAGTATTTGTTCTGCATCTATCTACTGCGTTTATTGCTTGGGGAGTCCATCAACAATAAAAAAGGGTAATCACTGGGAATTAGTATGTACGCGCATAGCGAACCCGTCGCACCCATTCAGAATTTGGGCAAGCACCAGGATTATAAAAGGCGAATCTACTCTGCTTCAGCGTCAAAGACGAACAAGTCATTAAGATTGACTTGCCCAAGAGTTATGTCAGCGAAGGGTGAATATGTATGAAGAGGAAAAGAAGAAGAGGAAAAATTTCCGAATGGAGCACCGCCTCTTGAAGTCTCTGTAGCTGATAAGATAAGACTTAGTAAGCTTCCCTGGCCCCGCCATTTGCCTAAGATAGCATCTTGTTTGTCAATGGCGAACGCACCTTATGGGGATAGTAGCGTCGCATGCATGCGCCTCGTAAAGAAATACTTCTTTTTTCAGAACACCGAACAATCTGAATACGAACATTCGCATTGATGAATTCATTGGTTGCCTCACTGCAAGTGAACTTTAGTGAAGACAGCGTCAGCCTGCAAGTGTCAAAGATGTGGTTCGTGTTGGTCAGTTGATCACTTTGTCAATGGCTATCGTTTCATATATCGATCTCGTGCTTGCAAGTGGCAGTACAGTGTGAAGCTTGTATACAAAGTCGGATGTCTCTTGAGAACAGATTGCATGCACAGAAATTCCGACTTGGGGCCAAAAAAAAAAAAAAAAGGGCATCCTAGTTGTCTTTCAGACCAGCCTCAACAAGACCGTTGGTGCTCAGCAACAGTTGGCGCTATATGCGCAACACTTAGCTAATACTTTATCGCTATCAGTACATTTAGTGGAGCTTTCCGACCAGTGTGGGGGACGGGGGAGCAGCACCTACCGCGTGTTGAAGTGAACACGCTCGCTAATTTGCGAACCTAGCTTACGTGGTGTAAGTACATGCAAATCCGCCCGGTGCAAACCAGACATCTTGCAAACCCCCCGACGAATTCTTGGGAAAAAGGAGCCTTTGCGTCCCGCGCCCACCAGCTCAAAGGGCTTTAAACATCTCCCGATGCATCTGAGAAGCCAACATGTCAGCCGCCGCTCCCTCTACTGATCCGGTCCAGAACGCATCTTCAGGTATGCCGTAGACACCACTGGTAGCGATAATGAGGCCACGGGAATGCTAACCTGTCGTCCGCCAATTTTCAGGGAAGAAGAAGAGCGGCAAGAAGAAGAAGAATGCGAACAAGTCCAAGGACCCGATAGAGACTGACAGTGGCTCTCTGCAGCACGACGCTGCTGAGGATGGCGATGATGAACCGGAGACCCCGGTGCAGGTGATACTCCCTTGAATCTGTCATTCCAGCCACATAGCCGTCTGACTGTTGTCGCAGGATTCCGCACCCAGAGAAAAGTCCAGCCCCGAACACGCGGTAGAGGAGGACGCAACGACCAATGGCCATATCGAGAAGCCAACAAGCAACGGACATGCGAACCCACCGATAGAGCAGCCGACAGAAGACCAGGGCGCCAATTCCGATGCCACTGCGAAATTAGACGCCCTCACGAAAGAACGCGAGGCACTGCGCACAGAGGTTGAGCAATTGAGGAAGCAGTTGGAGAATATCCAGGAGACACACAGCGAAACCGTCACGAATCTCAAGTCGGAGCTGGAGGAGACCTCGTCGGCAAAAGAACAAGCAGAGGAACAGTACCAGTCCCTATTGGAGCGTGTTAACCACCTCAAGTCGACCCTCGGCGAACGTCTCAAGCGCGACCGTGCCGAACTCGAAGAAGCCAAGGAGCGTATCGAGGAGCTCGAGGCCCAGAATGAGGAACTCCAGAATGGCACAAAAGCGACCGAGGATGAGTTGGCCAAACTGAAGGAGGAGCTGCAAGATACTTCGCGCGAGGCGACAAGCCTGCGCAGTCGCAGCAATTTGTCTCAACAGAATTGGGTCAAGGAGAGGGAAGAGCTGATGAGGCTTGTCGCCAACCTCAAGGAAGAGGTGGAGACGACAACAAACGCCATGGGCGAGTGGGAGGTTATCGCTATGGAAGAGCGCTCCGTGAAGGAGAGCCTCGTCGAGAAGGTATCGGAACTGGAGGAGCAGATCCACTCTCTACGAGAGGGCTATGAGAGTGCTGCATCTGAGCGGGATCAGCAATCGCAGGTTATCGACAACTTGCAAAAGGCACTCCGCGAGATTCAGGAGGCGCGAAAGAGGGAGCTGCGGGAGATGGTTGAGACGTCCGAGGAGCAGCTTCAGGCCTTGAAGAAACTCGTACAGGAGGCCGATACCAGGGCCACAGAGGCCGAGGAGGCCAAGGAGAAGCTCACCAAGGAGCTCGAACGGACAGCGCCGTTCGAAAAGGAGGTGAAAGAGAAGAACCTCCTCATTGGCAAGCTACGACATGAGGCCATTGTGCTCAATGACCATCTCACCAAGGCCCTTCGCTACCTCAAGAAGACGAAGCCAGAAGACAACGTCGACAGGTATGTTATCTTTCCGGGTCACCTTGCAATCTGTCAAACTAACTCCTCCACAGACAAGTAGTCACAAATCATCTCCTCCATTTCCTCACCTTGGACCGCTCCGACCCCAAGCGCTTCCAGATCCTGCAGGTCATGGCTGGCTACCTGAATTGGACGGAAGAGCAGCGCGAGCAAGCAGGCCTCGCGCGTCCGGGAGGTTCAACCAACAGTCTGCGCCTCCCAGCCTCACCCTTCCATCGCACACCTAGCACCCCGTCGCTCAGTACAGAGTTTTTCTCGGAGACGCCCTCGTCCGCCAACAAGGAGTCGCTTGCAGATCTATGGGCTGGCTTCCTCGAGCGCAGCGCCGAAGAGGGTCTCGAGCAATCCGGTACACAGCACGACCGCAAGGACAGCGCGAGCAGCGCGGCGACGAGGCCGGATACCCGTGGCGGTACGTAGAGTATGCCGTCATGGTATAGGCGATCGGTGAATCAGTAACGGACCCGTAAAAAGGGCCGCATCTGGGAGGGTAAGCATGGGGTAGTTGACTTGAGAGGTTCATTGTGATCTCAAAACGCATGTTGCCGTGCTGTCGCGATGGCTCAAAAACAGTCGGCATATTATACGCACGCACACACGAACACAAAACATACACACAATGTTATATATAAAGAAAAAAAGGCGTTGTAGCGCTTCACTCGGAAGCGCAGGCATTCGGGCGGGCCGGGCATACGTAGCATCATCATCGTCGCCGTCGAGGGGGAGGCTTGGTTTACGAAAGACGCGAAGAGGGGAAGGGAGGGAGGGAGAAAGGAGGACGGAGTGGCTATGAAGCGAATGGGGAACGAACTGAAGAAAGTCGGTTTTTGAAGAGGAATATTAGGAAACATCTTTTCTTGACCGGATTATCAACTGCCCTAGAGGCGTATTAAAGTCACCTTTTCTTCTTCTTCTTCTTCTCTCTCTCTCTTTTGAATGCGTACATCCGAACATCTGTTCTGATACCAGGTGACCCCCCCCCCCCCTTTTCTCTCTCTCTCTCTCTCTTGCTCTCCTTTTCTCTCCACTCTGTGTGTGTGTGCGTGTGTGAAAGATTATTGCAAATTTGTTTTTTTTTCTATTTTACATTTCGTAAAACAAGAAAAGGACATCGTGTTCTGCGGTTTTTCTATCGTCTATCACTATCCATGACGAAGAGCCCATCTACTGCTGCGCCGATTTCTCCTCGATACCCTGCTCCATCGGTGCGAATACACTCTGACTATATGATTCCGCATCGGCCGTGATAGTCTGGATATTGAGCCTGTTCTCCAACGCGTTGTTCACACCCTCAATGACCTCCCTCTCCTCCATGACTTCTCGTACAAGCCGCACCTCGTGTAACCAGTACGCCTGGCTGCGAGCGCGCAGCTCATCGTCCCTCAACGTGGTGTTCTTCACGATGCCCAGAGCAGTCAGCTTGCTCCGGATCAAGTTCAGGGCGCGATTGCTCGACTCGATCCGCTCCGCTTCAGAAGGCGGTTGCATGAATGCTCGACGCGTACTGGAAAGGAACAGCATGGCGCCTAACGCAGCGTCGAGAAGGGCGAGGGCAATGTAGCGCACCGCGCGGACCTTCCAGTAGAAAAAGTCGATCTCGGGCAGGCGTAGAGCAGATGCGTTAGCGGAATAGTCGTACTGATTCACCAGGCTAAGGTCTGCGACGCAGAGCACCGCAGCAGCTATCGTCGCCGCACTCCTCCACCTGGCGCCATCCCTTCCTGTCAGAGTTGCAGATGTAACCGCGCCAATTGCGACAAGATTCAGAAGATGAGGCAATGCAATTGCTGGCAAAGCATAGTAAAAATAGCTCTTTGGCTCATCGGATTTGCAGAACGGGCAGTCTGCGAGGGCGGCGGGCCCGAGGTAGAGGTACAACAGACGGGATTCGAGGTTGACAAACCGAGCTCGAAGTCGTTCGTCCGCCTGCGTCAGGATTCCATCAGGCCGGAGAGAGGAGAGACGGTTGAAGAGCACATCAACCGGGATTTGGAGACGGGACTGCGTGAGTGTGAAGACGTTTTCGGGGGCGAAGGGCGGCAGGGTTCTGGCGAGATAGAAGAGAACGAGGAAGGTCAAGATCGTGAGGGCGCGGGTAACGCGAGGCGGAGGTGGGACGGGTTCACTACGATGTTGGGAGGCGGCGCGAATCGAGCGATAGGCAGTAATTGCCTTTGGGAGGAGAATCGGGCCAAAGACGAGGAGGAGAGAGCGAATCCTGGTATTGAAGATTAGCTAATGATGCGATATCCTGGGTGACGACTTAGATAAAGACAGGTTAACTTACTCGGCCCAGCCAAAGGCCATGATAGGCAATTACGATATGTTGCTGTGTCCCGGACTGGGTAAAAGAAGGATTGAGAGAACCTCGACAAGCAAGACAAAGGATTGTGCTCGAGCTGCACAATACTGGGAGCTCGGGAAGGCTGAGAAGTACTGTGTTCTTTGGAGGTGTGTTCTAAAGTCAAGGCGTAAGGCTGGCCTCATCCAAGGACACGGGTACTATGTGAGATGGGCTTAGTTTTCGCCAAGAATCATGCAGGCTTACCTAAGAGTAAGAGACTCCAGGCGACAGAACTTAGGAGCTGTTTCCGGTACAGGGATAAGCTGCTCTGGGGGCTTAAGGTTGACGGCACTATGATGTATCCCCTGCAGGTACGTAGCCACTTCCTGGGCAATTGAGAAGTGTTTCCTTGGTGCATTCAGCGAAGGTCACCACTACCTCTCAAATTGGAAACAATTCACTTTCAAAAACAGAAATTTAAACTAGCATAAGGATTAGAGATTATGCTCCTTGCTTTCAATAACGTACATCAAGCCAGTCATTCATCGTAGCTGCTTGCTTGCTTGCTTTTCTTCTCATCTGATAACCTCGAATTCCACTTTTTTTGGTTTCCGCCTGCAGCTCCGAGTGTCGTGACCAGCGCTTATTTCCACCCGCAAAAGATAAAATGACTTTTTGGTTTTGGTATCCCAACTCCGCCTGATGATGAATGCGCAAAACAAACCGAAAAAGAAATTGCGTTAAAAAAAAAAAACATAGCTTGGAGCTGGAAGGAAGAAAAAAAGATGCTGATGAGTCGCTTTTCGTCATGCGAAATGCAAATGCAATCATAGCTTGCGTCCAAACATGAAAGACCCGTACATACCACCGACTTCGGCGCGTGCGACTGGGATCTTGCGCATACCCCAGTTGTCGGCGCCCATCTTCCACCACCGGTAGCCGCGATCGGTATCCTTGCGATGGTCCTGAAGTCGAACCATCCAGCATCGGCTTCCGATCTCTTGCAGGGACCAACCAATGCGCTCCAGGGTCCTGTTTCGGGATAGGCTCTTGAATGATTGCTCCGATACCTCCACGACTTCCAACGGCACCGAGCTCGGTCGAAGCAAGGAGTTCCGAGATGAGAAAAGGTCGACGAGGTCTAGTTCGCTGCCCCAAAGGTCCGAGAGGTCAAGGTACCGCAGAGTGTGGGGCTCTTCCTCCTTCTCGGGATCGGCCGGCTCAAGCAGCTTAGCAGCGGCATTGACGTCCATGTTGCGCCCAACAGCCAGCTCCTCCAGGTACTTGGTCAGTGGGCGTAGTAGATCAATGTGAGCATCATCCATGCGACTACCCTTCAGGCTCAATGACTTGAGAGACTTGGGCAGTACGGGAATGAGCTGTGTCACGTCATCCACATCAAAGAGTTGATGGCTGCGAGCATCCGTGGCCACGCTCAGGTAGACTAGGTTCTTGACTGCCGGGTGGGTTCCAAGGAACTTGATCACGTTTGGCGCAGTGAGCAGAGGGCACTTGGCAAGGTTCAAGTGGGTAATCTTAGCCGTGACTGGAATGGACTGGAGCGCTCGGTCCGTAATCTTGGTCTGGGCAAGGTCCAGGTGCGTGACGTTGGCCAGACGCGGGAGAATTTTTTCAAAGAGCGCAGAGGGGAGTGTCAAGCACTTGTGGAACGACAGTCGTGTGAGGGAGAGCATGTCGGGCCAGTCCATAGCAACCAGAGACGTGAACGAATTCTTGAACTCGGGCGAAGTGCATCCGGCAAAATCCAAAGCTTGCAGACGGGGCATTCCGAAGAAGAGCTTCTTCAAGACCTCAGGGCCAAGATCGTCATCAATGTGCTCCATGGCAAGGAACTCCTGAAGGTGCGGCGTCAAGTCCAGGCATTGCACCAAGGTCTCTGCTGTCAAGTTCCGGGTGCCTTTGCGCTCGCTGGCAGACTCGAACAGAGTCGCATTGTTGAAGTGGCTAAAGTCCATACGCCGCACGATAGTACCCAGAGCATGGTGTGTCGTGATGTTGGATAGGAACTTGCGGAAGATTCTTGAGTGAGGAATGGTAATGTGCTTGTACAGGGTGTTGAGGGTCGCGGCGTGGAGTGTCCTGGATGTCAGGAGCAGAGCCATCAGATCAACATTGCGTCGCGCGGTGCCATAAGGCGGGGGGATATCGAGGACGAGGAGCTCAATGATCGAACCTGTTCTGGCGGTTAGCAACGAGAGATCTTTTTCATGATAGATGCAACTGTTTACTCACCAAGCAGCTCCAGGGGGAGCCTCTCCATGGGTGCGCGGCCGCCAATATACTTGTCCTTGCTCTTGGGTGCGGCTGGAGGGGTGCTCCAAGCCATGTGCAGTGCCTGAAGGTCGCTGAAGCTTCGGCTGGCCGTCTTGCCCTTCACGTTGATCTGCTTCCAGCCCTTGAAGCTGGTGGCAGGATACCACCCGCCATGGAGTCTGCTGTTGGGGTGGGTAACGGGAGGAAGGAACTGGACTTCACCCATGTCTTGGGAAGGGGATGCAAAGGGAGAGGCAAAGGGTACGGGAGACTGGGAAGGGGAAGGAGACGGGGAGGAGGAGTCGTAGATGGCAGACTCGGTTGATTTCTGTAGGTAAGAGGAGACTTTGGAGGAAGTGAAAGTCTGCGCCAAGTCGGAGTCGTTCTCACGAATAGAGGAGAAAGAGGACCTGCCGTTCTTTTCTGGGGTAGCAGGTCGGTGCGGCTCCGGGCTGTCCATTTTGTATTTAGTCTGGGAAGACGAGGAGTGGTTCTGTATGTGACCGTGACCTTGGCTGTGGCCTGTCGGAGAAGGGCCTGGGGGGGTGTGGTCCTGGTCCGGAGCCTGGGATGAGGTATGCGAATGGAGAGGTCGCGGAGTAGTCATGGCTGCAGGAAGTTTACTTTGACCTTGAAGGCCCGTTCGGGTCGCAGCGCTTGTTGTTTCAATTGTTGCACTACACACCACCAAACCAAAACGCACACACGCTCGTCTGCCGTTTGTCGCGCGCTGTCAGGCCTGGGGTGGGAAGAAATTGGAAAGCTGGGTACTGTGCAGTAGTCGTGCTGCAGAGCGAAACGCAAGTACCTCGACGACTGCAAAGGCACGAGGCCGGGGGCCCGAGACTGACGATGGAGCAAGCCAGAAGGGCTTTTCTATTAGTCAAAGACCGGGGCTTTTAGGTAAGAGGAAGTTGCTGCGATGCGGGGAAGATGGTGGTTTGTCGTGTTCAGGTGGTCCAACCTCAACCGTTCTGAAGAAGTAACTAGGACCAGACCAAGAAGCTTGGGGAAGCGGGACTGGGCACCGGGGGTATGGGAGACTGGGGATGAAAGCAGAAAGGGGAGGTGCGTGACACAAGGGAAGACGTGCTCTTCGCAATCGCTGAGGTGATATAGAAGATGTAGGCAGGGGCAAGTGATGGATTCATCCACGGATCGCGACTAGGAGAGTGCTGTTTGTACTTTGTAAACGTCTTGTCATGTGGAGGAGTGGCTTGCACTGGCGTTAGTGGCCCGGCGTGTGTGAGCGGCCCGCAGATTAATATAGCAAAGCGAAGAGGCAAAAGGTTGCTCTTGGCCAAAAATTGGGTAATGGAAACAAAGGAATGGAGACCTGCCTCGTCACATGAGCGTCCAGAGCTTCATCCAGATGGAGGCGGAGCCTTGTCCATACATGACACGATGTGGTACACCAGGCCCCAGGTGACATGCTTCGCGTTCACGGACAACGGCATCCATTCAGGTCCAGTTCAGTCCGAATCCAGGTTCCAGGGACGCGCCCTCCAGAGAAACACCTGGAGACAGAGGGTGATGGATGGCGACAGAACCTCTGAAGGAAAGGGCAGGCGACACGAAATACGCCAGCCATCAGCGATTGGACGGGTATTTGGTAATGAAAATGTCATGGGTGTGTAGCCTTTGGCCAGTCAGCCATTGGGTTAAGCACAGCACTATTGCTTCGTGTTTCCAGTCATTAAACGGTTGGGAGAGATTTGTCAAGGAATGTCCATCTTCCGGGGATCTCAGAAACTGGTGTCCAACGTCTCCCGGACAGGCCGTTGTTTGCATTGTGTAATCATGATCATTTCCCAATTATGGAGAGCGTACCTCACGTGGACGCAGCGGACGCCGCAGACGCCGCAAAGAGAGGTTAGTCAGGTTAGTGTCAAGCGTAAACGAGCCATGGCAGCGGCATCAGGCCAGACCGAGCATGGGATAGCAGATAATGGTGAGGCATGGTATGGTACGTGGCTCATCGGTAGGGGATTTCGAATAGGACGGTGTGTCTGACGGTGCCACCCAGGGCCAAGGACGGGGGATAGGAGGGAAGGATTTACTTCTTGGTAGGGTGATCCAATCCCACATCAGAGAAAGTAGGAGAGAAAAAATAAAAAAATAAAAATGCGCGCCGTCATATGGGGTCAGTAGGGAGGGGTGAAGAAAAAAGGGAAGAAAAAAAAAGGCGTAGGGGCCATTGAGTGCTCTGAGCTGGATGCCGGACAGGTTGTGTTAGAAAGCTTGGCTTTGGAAGTGATCAGATGAGGCGAAGAAAGGAGGTTTGGAAACGTAATGGGAACAGGCGAGGACTAATAGAAATTGGGAAAACTTTTTCAGCAGGCGCCGAGACCTCAACCGCCGAGTCACGCTGCTCAAAGCAGCCGGTTTACCTAATACAGGGAAGAAACGGTACGTTGCTTTTGTCTCCGTACCCATAACTCAAATCTCAGTCTTTTTGCGTTGCACTTTTCTTTTCCTTACCTAATCTAATACCCCTAGGTGCATAGGAAACCGAAACGCTGCATACGCAGACTTTATGGATGCATTTCAACGACATCCGATAGACATCAATCGAGCGGATGAGATGGGGATCTCTCTCCCTCAGGTACATCTCTTGTTCCATAGCATCTCCTCAGCACGGTGCCCGGCTATGCAAATCACCGATTAGTTCAAACGCCGAGCCTGCCTTCGCTCTCCAAAGTGTATGAGTAACCCGAGCTGCGATCTCGCCCCCAAAATGTCCGTTCCATTTGTTGGACTCAGGTCAGCCAGCCAAGGAGGCAGTGCTTCACATACTCTGACGACAATGGCGAAATGCCAATTCCAAAGTCGCAAGACGTGAAAAACCGAAGCAGGGCAAGGGGCCCAACTGCCAATTTGCTTGGCCGTCCTGAACACGTTGCAGGCCGCTACCGTTGGGATGGATTAGGACACGGATCTGTCTCGATACAGCCACGCTCGAACCAGTCATCTGACCTTGTTCTTTTTCATTGCCGAACGAAGAAGGCTTCAGGCTAAGCGGCAACTCATCAAAGTAGAGATGAGGCGCGCAACTGTACGAGCTGAAGACCCAGACAGGAATTACATTGACGGAAGGTGTTACCGAGCACCTGGCGACCAACTCCGACGGCATCTCTGCGTAACATGTTAGAGTCATCAGTGGCACCAAACCTTGTCTTACCCTGCCCATCCGATTATGCATTTATTGCTCATTACTTGAAGTAGTGTTCGTTACTGTTATCCCTGCTTTCTATCAAGTCCCACTTCGCAAACTTGGCCTGGAAGATCGACGACCATTTCACTTGCTCAGACCTGATTACTGCGTGTAAAAACGCGAATGAACGGGAAGATCCTAGCACCAGTAACATCTTAGCGGGACCTCGGTCGGTGGGTTGGGAAACTGTGCTAGCCGCGTGGTGTCTGTTGCCCCAGATTATCCACCTTGAAGCAAAAAAAAATTCTGCTCAAAAAATTCTGATGGCCCGATGCCAACCGGCTTATGCCATACCTTCGGTACCCAGCTAGCTGAGTTGCGTTACTCCAACTGCGAAGTGTAAGAGCACGGCAACCCGACTGCGCGGACTTGCAAGTCTTGCAATCCGTTAGGTATGTTGGGTTACCACCTAATGCCACCACAGTCGTTTAGCTGAAACCGACATTACAATGCCCGTTACTGCTGTTTCTTTTTCCTGACCGACGAATACTCATCAAAAGTGTTCCAACAAACCCGTCCACGCAGAATCTGACAACCTAAACAACAACAATAACAACAACAAATATATATGCTAAAAATTCCCCGTTATTTAGTAACTAGCCTAGTAGCGTGCCCACCTTTTCCTCCTAACGGTATTGCGCATTACCCACCATCAAACTCATGACCTTTTCCAACCCCCTCACTTAGCAAGCACCATACTGTTAGTGATACCACTGTCTTCAGGCAACGCATAGTCACGCGCGCTATGGATCCGGCATCCCGGAGGCACAGTCTAGCGCGAACAAGTCAAAAGGTGTCAAAGGGGTTCAACTATCTTAGCCCAAGAAATAATGCACTCGCTAGTTCATAAAACACTTGTGTCGCGCGCATCGTCTTGAACACATCTGTACCATGAGACCGAACGCCAGGCCAGATCCAATCCGCCACTAATCAGAACAACCCCTATGGCCATCCGTCAGCCAGTCAGCGTTTCCAGATCTTTCCCCAGGTTTCCCACACACCAAAAAAAGAAGGAAGAAGAAAGAAAAGAAAGAAGATAAAAAACCCTCGGCTCATGCAATACCCACCTTCCGAACCAACCCTGACGGCAAAGTAGGAGGTAACTCGGGATTCACCCAGATCGCCATCCGCCGCCTGCCCAAGCTTTTTGTTTGCCGCACCCTCATTCACTCAATTCTCCCAAGCGTCAACGCGCATCGCGGCGGCTCAACCACAAACGCACCTCTTACGACGGCAAGCAAAGAGGCCGGCCGGTCTGGTGGCCCAACGATCCTGGCAGCTAAGGCAGGTTCGTTCCCCCCCCCCCCCCCCCCCCCTTTCAGTCTTTACCCCAGAAAATCCTACCCCAACCCAAAACGTCACGCCCTGCATCACCCGTCTGGGGTCAGCACAACACCGCCCCTGTCTAGGCCCCCCCTTCACCGCACGGAACGTTGACAAGTCGTGTAAGTCGTCAACTTTCCCCCCTCTCCCTTTCGCGCGGCGTCCCCTTCCCTCTCTGTCTGTCTTATGCCGCTGCAGCGGCCGAGCCTAGACCACGTAAGTATCTCCGTGTTTTACATTTTCACTTAGGCCCAATGTTTGACTTCCCCTCACCGCCCTAAATTTTGCCTTCGCTCGCCCGCCTGACTTAGCTCCCCCTTGTCGACGAACCTTTCGTCGACAACCGGGACGGTATCGCTTCCGCGGAGTCGTAATGTTGAAACCCATCGGGCCAAAGCACCGGGGAAGATGGCCCGGCATGAACGTAGAACCGTCCAAAGATGACGAAGAGACCAACGTAACATATGGGGTGGATCGGGGCTCTCATTCAGCAAAATTATCGACTTGGAGAAATTTCACCAAGCCTCGGCTTCCAATTACATCTCTGTCTTGTCCCAATGAGGGGCTTAAAGGAAACATGGTAACCTGACACACGCTCTTCCTCCATCTCACTTTTACACCATGGCCACTCACATAACGGGCGAGTTCACCATCACCCAACTCATCTTGCTGTGCCTCCCAAGACACACCACACGCCTTCTTATATGCCATCCCGGCAGTATGTGCTGTACTCCATTCCCAGGGACAACTAGCGTATGTACCTTGTCCCATGTTGTTCTATCCTCGCAATTCCGATGCTCGTTAGATAAACGTATTCAGAAGTCGACTAAACAGAACGTATTGTGCCGACCTCCGTGCCAAACCAAATAAACGCCATATAGAAGTATTGAACGTTCCACGCTCAGACAATTCTTTTGTACTCGTCATCGTATCCCTACAAGCCTCAATGCACGTTGTATGGGCCTGTCATTTAAAATTGGGTGCCCCGTTGCTTGCGAATATTCATGGCGTCGGGGAGCAGATTGTACTTGTGGTTCAGTTTCTTGCCTTGCTTTGCAAACCTCTGAACGCACTCTTCGCAGTACCATTTTGCTACATCATCCATTAGCATTCACCCCATATCCGTGTATGCTTTTCAGAGCACCATGGTGTCAACTTACAGCTTCCCTTCGGTGCCACTTTGAGACCTACGCAATTGAGGTGGAACCATTCTCTCTCGCAATTATTTGCATCACAAGCTACCATCTCGCCGTAGCTCACGCTTGTGCAGTAGCAATATGTCGGTTCGTCTTCCGTGTAGTCGTAACTGCGTTTCCCTGCCCGGATTTCTGCATCCTCAACGTCCTCACTTTCTTCGGCCTCATCTGCCGTCTTGGTAGCCTTGAGTGTCGCCACTGCATTGCTCTTCTTCCTTTTGCCTGTGTTACTGCCTTCCGTATTACGGGCTGATTTCGGTCTTGCCGCATCCTGGAATGTGGCCATTGCCGGCGTTGACGGCTTGCTAGCACGTCCACTCTTCGTCACAGTCGCAGCGATAACAGTCTGAGGTACCGGTGGAGGCTCCACCGGTGTCTGCGGCTCCTCTGGCTTTGGCGTCTCCTTCTTCTGCTTCGCTGGGGGTATGCTTGGCTTGATAACCGTCTCCGTTGGCTCAGGCTCCTTTTTTGTAACCTCCGGCACAGGAGGCGCGGACGGCTCCTTAGCGGGCGGCTTCGAATCGGTGACAGGCTTTGGCGTAGCTGCCAGTGGTGCAACCTCGGGTGTGGCCGGCGGAGCCCCGTTCGTCTTGACAGATGCAGATGATGGCGGCCGAGATTGTTTCCCCCCCTCCGTGGCTGCCTGAGCAGTGCTCTGCTTGGCTCGTGAAGCAGTCGGCGGCTTAGGGGCTGGGGGAACGGGGGTTACGACCGGGGCGGGAGAGCCTCGAGGTAACGGGGGGTCGGGGAAAGTGCCAAGAACTGGCGAGGACGTCACGGATGGCGACATGCCTGCAACGCCATTTTTGCTGCTGGGTAGTGTGTCAGCAACATGTCGCTATTAGGGTCGTGGACGTTCTTGTTCAGGGACACATACCTTTTCTTTGCTTGGCCGGTGCCTGACGGGAGGGCCTTTCGTTTCTTCGGGCCCTGGCCTTCTGGGGCTGGGGTCTCTCTGGGACTTGTAGTCTTTGCTTTCGATGCATTGCCTCCAAAGACTGTGCTCATAGCGCCAGCTGCATTGTTTCCATTGGCCGTCTTCTCGACCTTGCGTCTCTTAGGCTGAGGGGCTGTTCCGTTTGTTGTCCCGTTTGTGGTGATGCCTAGGCCCACATTGGCAGCAGCTTCGGCCGCCTTGCGTACCTTACCGGCTCCGTGTCCCTTCTTGCCGGCCTCGGGCTTGTTCTTGCCTTCTCCATCGTCGAAGTCGGATTCTTGCTGCTGCGTCTTCTGGTTCTTCTTCGCCTGAACCGCCTGTTTCCTCGCGTCACTTCTAGCAGCAGCTTCCTCCGCCAGCTGCTGGGCAGCAGCAGATATAGCGGCGGCACCTTCACGCCTTGAACGTTCAGCGTGTGCTGCCTTGCTGACAGCTCTATTTTCAGGGTATGCCCAATGTGTAGTACTCCCCCATTTTGCCTCGTCACTGAACTCGCTCTCGACATGGGGCCAAACGTCGTCAATCCGGGCAAGCTGTTTTTGAAGAGCGTCGTTCGCAGTGGAAATGACGTGATTCTTCTCTTCCAATGATCCCAGCATCTCTTGGATTTTGAAGGCAGTCTGTCGGAAAAGTTGTCGCCGTGGCAAGTTACTGGGGTCGTACATGGAGGTTGCGTAGGATCCGTCGGTCGACGGGGCGGGAGGGGGAGCAATGGCGCCCAGAGGAACTCCGCTTGAGCTGTTTTGCGCGCTCATCGGAGCGGAAGCCGGCGCGACACTACTGGATGCATCGTTCAGCGGTCGAGGTTGCGGAGGGGGTGCGTTCATGGCAGCGTCGACAAGTTGAAAGAGCGCATCTTCGGGGGCAAAGATTTTGGCGTCGACTTCCTTTAGAAGTGTAAAATGTCGAACGAGCTCCTTTGGAAGAGCTGCAATGGCGTCGGAAAAGTATGTAATGGCAGGAAAGATGTCGATGGGTTGGTCGGAGGCAGAGCCACCAGTGGCCGAATCCCGCCCGTTCGCTGATCCTCGAAGACCAGAAGAGACGCGCGGAGGGTTAGTACGTGTCTGCCGAACGGGTTGAGATCTCCTGCTGGATGGAGTATCCGCCGAGGTTGTTTTGGCTGACTTCATCGCGATTTTGGCTGTCGTGGTGCGCGAAACGTACGAGTTCGCGGGGATGAGAGAAGGCCTAATCGCAACAGCGAGGGTTCTTGGTAGGTGCCGCGGTGGGCAGGTAGATTCTGGAGAGAGATCGCCTTGCGAAAAGCAAGGCCTAAGTAAACTTGACAGGTTACTAAAGCAATTTAGGGCATTCTGGTCGTAGTTCAATCGCAGGAATTGTAGAAGGGTGTCCGTGAGAGAGGGAAGTGCGCGAGTAAACCAAGAGCGACGCCTCAGGATCTTTCATCATCCACGTCTTTTTGGGAAACTGCTCTGCCGCGGGCGGAGGACAGGCTGAGTGACCCCATCCGTCACTTAGCGAGTGATTTCAGCCTGAGGCCCCAGTGGAGCTCACCTGCGCTATTGAGGGCCTTGTGCTTGGTCTGTCTCTCCAGCCACACACACAGCCAGTACCTCCGTACAGCACCCATTCATGTACCTTCTGATTTTGCGCGAATGCCGACAGCCACATTGACTGTCGTCATTCCCTAATTCTTATCGCAACGCGCCAGACTTTGATAAGGCACAAGCATCATGTAGTTTCATAATTCTTATTTTACAGCCAACAGTCACTTCCTAACCAGCGCGGTTTCTTCACCTAGGTTGGGTTTACATTCAGAGCCTCGCTGTTTTTATACGGAAGCAACAAATGAATTTGATGGATATCAATATGGTTTATAATCACTGTCGTGCTGGTATCAATCCCGCCTTCCCTCTGCCCACTGATAAGGCCATCACTGGAAGAGCTCCAAGCCATTGTTTTCCCCCCAAAGGATCCCCGATTATGAAGTAAAGAACGCCTGCCCGTCACGAAACACCCACCATACTCTGAAAGTCCCAGCCCTCAAGCCAGCTTCCGTCCTTTGTTACCTGTCTGACTCGGCCGCTCATCTCTCTCAATCTGCTTCTGCCTCCATTGCCATTCCAGGAGCACAGGGAGGAAGTGCTGCAAATCGAAGTCGGGCCACAGACACTTGAGGAAGAAGATGTGAGTGTCTTGGTGGCATTGCCAAAGCATGAAGTCACTGAGTCTCTCCACACCACTAGTCCGGACAAAAATGTCCAAAGGAGGGTTTCCAGCAGTGTACATGTGGTTGTTCAACGTCTCGGCTGTGATCGTCTCCGGATTTTTCAGGTGCAAGCTCCCAGACGTTTCCAGATGGTGACTCGGCGGTGATGGCGAGTCGGGGGGAAGAGTAGTTGATGACGATGCACCATCATCGCCGTCTGATCGGGAAGAAGGGGCAGGAGACGTGTCTCGAATAGTGGGTAAAGGCTCCCGGCGATCCAGCTGCTTCGACATGATCTTTTGCGAAATGCGCGCAGCTGGGAAGGGGGTATACTTGGGGCCAGGAGGCATCATATATTCCTCAACAGTAGATCGCATGGCCGTCGTCATCTCTTCTCTCGAGGTGTAAGGAAAACATATGTTCAACACATTGCTGCAGTAGTCAGTATGGCATCCTCGTCGCCGGAACAACGTTTTGCTTACCGTTTGTTGTACTTGGTCATATCTACCGCCCGGTCGACAACCTCAAGAACATCTTTGCGGATCAGGTCCCTCTGACCAAGCACCCGTACCGCCGCTCCATATCGATCCAACAAGTCTCCGTGCTGCGTCAACTGCTCAAGTTTCACCTTGGCCAGCTGCATGAGACCATCGACTTCGTACTGTGGACGGTTGAAGTTTTCAATGCTGAAGGCGTAAACGGTCACGACTCTGACGCCACATTTGTAGCAAATTTCGAGTACCTGTGCTCTCACTGTCAGCAGAGATGTCGCCAATGCTGGCATGCGATATCGCGCACTCTTGCGAGGGCTTCAAAACCGTGGTGGTGACCCTCTATAGTCTCCATTCTCTTCCCCCGCGCATACCGCCTGTTGCCGTCCATCTCGAACGCGACATGTTGAGGAATTGGGCCTTGCTTTAAGGCTCCGATGAGTAGCTCTCGCATTTGATTGATTGCCCACTCCGCTGGCGGTGAGCTTAACAGCCATCGGCTGATATGGTTGAGGAATATTTCTGACATGACTTGCTGATCTGGCTTTCTGGCTGGAGTTTGATGAAGAGAAAGCCGTCTATTCGTGTGATAGTGAATAAAATATTCTAAAATGCCTCTGCGTAAGGACAAAAGTTGGAACGGCCAAGTCGAAAGAGAAAAGAGGATAAGAAACAGGTTGAGCCACTACGTGATGGCGCGTCAGCTCTGCTGGCAACTTGGATAGGTACCCGCCTTGATCTCAGCATTCGGCCACAGAAGCTTGGAGTCTGGAAGTAACGGCGGCGGCGGCGGCGTGTGCCCAGAGCTCTGCGCCTCACTGAAATACGTCGCAACAGGGGTTACGCAAGGGATACAGGGGAGGGAAGCTGGCAGAAGAATAGAACGCCAATGAGAAATCAGATATTGGGTGGGTGGACAAGCCACACTCAGCCCTCCAGCCTCGTCATTGTACGGGCAGTTTGAACCAGTGGGCTCTTGCCCGATTGGCCCGCACTAGTCGTGGCTTCTGGAAGAAGCCTGAGGGGATCATTCCCCAATTCCACTCCGCTAATGCGGGACAGGACACTGACAGTCACAGCGCAATGCATGTGGCATTCGGTGGATGCACGTCGACTGAAGAAACCACCTGGCAACTTCAGTCCTTCGGCTTCCGCGGTTTGCACTCGACGTTGCCGGCCACTCAAACTACGCGAAATTGCCCAATACGTACAGGAAAGAGCATACTGAAGTATTCGCAAAATATCGCACTGCAAGGTGCACGTTTTAGGCAAAACGAAGTTTCTCGCCTTAGGAGATCGCCTACCAGCCGCACTATCGACCCTCCCCCTCCGTCAAACGAGAGTGATCAAGACAACACTTCAAAGCTACGATGCGATAGCGATTTAACAACATGTCGTTCACAAATGCGCCCGTCACGCGCATCCTTGTCCTTGGCTTGGTTTCGAGCTCCATAGCAGCTAGCCTATTCGACGTAAAGCACTACTTCTACATCATTGTTGATACTCATCTCTGGCGGTACCATCAGCTCTGGCGCCTCTTGACTTATCAGCTATGTTGTACGAACTCCAGTGAGGTGCTCTTTGCGTCAATGACCCTCTATCACTTGAGGGTTATTGAGCAAATTTGGGGTTCGAGGAAATATGCTGTAAGCTGCTACTGCCTCGAAGCATACTGTTTTCATCATACTGACTGTTGTCATCACAGTCGTTCATTCTCGTGTCCGCACTTTTCACCGCCGTGGTTCCTCCAGTGTTCTTATCAATCGTGCTGCGGCCATTAACCGCAGGACTGTTCAACTACATGCCTGCCGGCCCTACCCCCATCATATTCGCGATTCTTGCACAATATCATGCCGTTGTCCCACACATCTACCGATACCGCGTTGCAGCATCCGCTGCACCGCCGACGAATGACCAGTTTGTCGGACTTACCTTCTCTGACAAGTCCTACCGCTACGCGCTCGCCTTGCAGTTGGCGCTGTTCCAATGGCCCGGCTCTCTACTCGGTGCTCTTGTTGGTTGGGTTGTCGGCTACTCTTGGAGAAACGACTTGCTGCCAGGTGCCATGACGAAGTGGCGTCTCCCTGGCTGGATGGTTGGAGTTAGGACGCAGGGGAGAAGGAGCGAGTTTGAGGGTCTTCGACGTCGACTGGAGGGTGAAGGATCAACTGCCACGGCTTCTGGGGTCCAGGGCCAAGCCGATGGTGATACAGGACGGAGGAGACCAGCGGGCTCGGATAGTCGCGAGGACTGATACATCATTCAGCGAAGAAACATAGCTCAAGAAAATCGAAGAATAATATTACCTTTAGCATTTAACGCCTCAATGACATCGTTTCTGGGCCATGATATGGCTGCATAAAAGTTTGCTGGGCTGCTTGGAACAAAGGATAATGCAGACGGTGTTGGTGCAAGTCGCGCTAGACACAAGTAACGGCCAAATGCAAATGCCTACGTGACATGATAAACTGGATGTGATCTGCTCGATCTATCGATAATACTGAGGGTCCTGGCAAGGTCGAAGGCCATTCTTGGAATGACAAAGAGTTGTCCATCGCCTAAAAGAGGTTCGGGTAGCTGTCAAAAGTAGCCTAGCTCGGTACGATCCTGGTCCAAGACCCTGGCTATCAGGAACCCGAAATTACAGAAAGTTTACCGTCAGATTGCAGGTACATTCAGCTTTTATGCAACGCCTTGTAGCTACCAAGAAACTGGTCATTCTTGTGGCACCGTCTCCCTGTTCTCCATTAGAAGCGGATGTAATCCAAGGTTATATTGGCCTTCAGGCAATTTGCAGATGAGTTGAGGCGTACGCAGGAATACAGTTACTCTTCAACAACAAAACAATAAACAAAATGACTAGGGAGAAAAAAAGTCCGATCCCACTATTAGCGCTTTGAGTACGTATTGCAAGGCAAACGGCCCGCCCGCCAATAGATTCACTGCATCTGCACTTGCACAAGGCATGGGCAAGGGATGAACCCAAATAAGCTTAGCGCAAGTTCCCTCCGAGTATGAGCTGCGAAGCATCGCCAACCGGCTGCAAGGGGGCGGGGTCACTGTAATGTGCAATGTGCCTGCTATGGGCTAGTGTCAAATGTCTGCCAGACTGCCACCCGCTGCGACAGGTCAGCCAACTCAATTTTTGGGACGGGAAACTCACGCCTTTTGTCGCTACAAATCGCTGGAATAGTCTTTTGATCCAAAGGCAAAAAAGAGAGTATGTCTCTGTGTCACTGGGTAAAGACTCCTTTTATCCTCGCAACCACCCCCCAATAGCCTGCTGCGAAGCGGTTGGTGCTGGACCATTCTGACAACGCCCCCATCCGCCTCCGCGTCTCGTCTCCACGGCGATAGTATTCATTCGAACCAGTAAAAACTACACCCCCTTGCTTCCTTCCTTCCCACCAAGGGACCCGGCACAATCCCACGCGCCAGCCACCAGCCACCCTTTGTCTTTCCACGTTACGGATACGCTGTACGAACGTGTGCCTGAACGTCCATTGCTGCTCGAAGCCTGCCCTGTGCAGATACAGATACCTTTAGTTCGATCTCCACCCATCCTCATCAGAAGAGCATGTTCCTTACGGCCGCGACGACGACTACGACGACGACTGAGTAGCAGCCTATACATTTCAACGATTTCTCCTTAATATAATGATTTGACGAGTTTATATCTCGCTGCCGACCGATCCAAGATATGAACGGGTATTCCCCGGGGAGGCCTTCGCCGCCCCGGGCGCCTGGCCGCGGTGTGGATGGCTACAGGAGAGACATGATGAACAACTCTGAGGCGCCACTCCGTATCAATCCAGTCAGTCCGCTATGTCTATAATGCTAGCATCTTGTTATTGTGACTAACGAAACGTAGATGAACACGAAACTGCCGCCGAGTTCTACACTAGTCGACCTTAAGGACCCGATCCAAGTTCACCTGTTGACGGAAACGGCATTGACCGACAGCAAACAGTTCAGGATACTGTCGCAAGAGGAAGTGGACGATCTCAAGAAGCAGATTCAGTCCTTGACAATACGGGTTGAACAAACACGGACGAATCTCGCCATTCAAACGAAATATCGAGATGCCGCAATTTCTATGTCCAGGCTGTACTCGCAGCCTGATGCTGGCAGGAGGATGAGCTTGAATGGTAGCAACCGCAACAGCATGGGCGAGTCTCTCCGTGAGGCTGAGGTTGAACGGCAAGCTAGCGAAAAGCGATGCGAAGAGTTGTCGAACGAGTTACGCGGTCTTGAACAGCGTCTGATCGCGTCGCAACGGGGCTTGCTAGAGCACACGGCCGGTATCCTTCAACTGACGCATAAGGCTTCCAAAAAGCCTGCGAACCAGCTGCCCACCCAACTCATGAACGGCATGCCAGGAAGTCCCGAAAGCCTATATACTTACTCCAATGGCCGCAACAGCCTGGAGCCCATGGGAGACGATCTGTTTTTTGACGAGAACGGTCTTTATCAAGATAATGACGGGTCTCCCTCTCGCGGCAAACCGAAAGTCACCCCGTTGAACATTCCTTCGAAGGCACCTGACGGAGTTGAAGATAAGCAGCTGCGAGAAGAGGCCGACAGATTGAAGGGGGAGAACGCTCGACTTCGCGCTCAAGCCGACGCATTGAACGAGCTACAGGAAGAAAATGTTCAGCTTCGGGCGCAGACCGATGCCTTGAACAGGCTGCAGGATGAAAATGTTCAGCTTCGAGCGCAGGCCGACTCTTTGAGCACGGAAGTCGACTCTCTCAAGAGAGAGAATACGCAGCGCTCACAATCTTTTATGGACACTGAACGTAAACTTTCGACATTCAACAAATCTTTACGAGAGGTAATTGTAAACTTTAATCCTACCAAGAACAGCGGCTTCCGTGAACCGCCTTCCACAACAGCAAATGCGCCAGCGGAGCAAGGAACCACACTCGCAAGTCAATTCGAATATCTGGAGCAGGCCCTATTGGCTGTGCGAGACGAACAGAAGATTCAAGAGCAGGTATCCGATGGTCTAAAGGACGCGGAGGCTGCGGCGGCGGCCGCCGCCGCGGCGTCTATTGCCCTAACCCAAGCAGAGGGCCGCATTGAGGGCCTTAACCAGAAACTACGAGATGTGTTAATTGCAGTTGACTCGAACTATCCTGCGGTTCCCAACGCGGGTTTGGACGCGCAGTTCGACTACTTACAGAGCGCATTGACTGTTGTCGAGGAGGAAATGAAGAAGACTGCCAGCAAGACTGCCGTCAAGAAGCAAGACGATGACCAGACTGAGGCTATCCTCATGGGCTTGTGGGATATCATACAATCAGGTTTTGCAAGCATTCAGCAGCAAAAAGCAGACCGCCGCCGCACACGGTTGGAGCAAGGCGTGCCTGAGGATGATGATGACATGTCCGGGGACGAGGCCATGAACACGGACGAACCTTACTCGCTATCGGCCTTCTCAACTAAGGTGCAGTGGCTTTATAGCCAGGCTACCAGTCTGAAGGAGCAGAAGTCTGTTCTCAAGCGCCAGATCAAGCAACAGCGAGAGTTGGGCAACAAGACAGAGTCTCAGAAAGATGCTGAGCTGAAAGCGAAGCAAGACCAACTTGACCAACTCCGGGCAGGTCAAGCACGCGGAGAAGAGGAGAGGACTCTTGAGTTGACAATGAAGCAAGATCAGATTGAACAGCTCCGGACGCTACTGGAGCAGTCAGAGGCAGAAGTAGCGGACGCCCAAGAGAAACTGGCTCAGGCAAAGAAGGAAGCCGAGAATGCAAACGTCACACGGCTGGCAAACGAATCTAGCTCTGCCAAATCCCAAAACGACATCAAAGAGCGCGACGCCAAGATTGCAGCTCTGGAGGCAAGCACCAAAGAAGCGGAGACGAAGTTGGCTAGTTTCGGCGCGAATGTCCAGGAAATGGACGGCAAGCTGGCAAAGGCCAACGACGAGGTCTCTTTGCTGACAATGAAGCTGGCTGGAGCAGAGAAGGCGGCCGTCGAGAAGCAGCAGGAGGTCGAGGCTAAGAACAAGGAGATTAAGGAGAAGGAGGAGGAGTTAGACCGATTCAACATGATGCTTGTTGAGCTGAAGACCGAGTTGACCATCGCTCAAGCCGAGCTTGATGGGGCGTACGGCTCTCGTAAGGAAAGAGCTACGCAGGCCGCGGCTATTAAGAGCACCGTCGAGGTCACCCAGCTCAAGGCAGAGGTTGACAAACTCAAGGATGAGCTCAGCTCTACCCTGAAAGAGCTTGAGAATATTACTGCCGAGACTATTAATGCCGAGCGGGAAAAGTTCGAGGTGGAGAGCAAGCTGGACGATGCTCTAGCCGTCAAGTCCACTCTCGAAGGCGAGGTTGCCTCTTTGAAGGATCAGCTCGACGCCGAGGTACTCAACTCGAGGACCAGGATGTCGAAGCTGCAGGAAGAGCTGGATTCAGAGCGGCTCAAGGTGACACCTGGTGCCGGTGCTCGCGGCGCAGGAGCTACAATGCTCAGCGAGCAGTTCCGGGCGACGATGAGGGAGGAGAGGAAGAAGTTCCAGGAAGACCTCAAGGTGAGTTTCAGTCACAACTCGTCTCGTGATGATCGTCATACTGACTAATATTGCAGGAGGAACAAGCCAAGAGAAGAAGAATCGAAGAAGAACTGCAGAAGCTGAGAAAGTCTCAGGGCCCTGGAAGAAGCCCCCTGAGTCCCAGATGACCAACCAACCAACCACCCGACACGATAATAATTTGAGCGATACACACGTTTCCCACGTTGCTTCGCATTTACGCCTTACATCTTTTCCGATGCGGATTTCTTTTTTTCCCATTACATCAGTATCCATCATTGACACACCTGTACTACTAGCACCGGTGAGAACCATCGACCCGCAGTCTCGTCCACCCTGCATTTTCCCCAAGCTAGCCGGCGTTGCTGTTTCTTTTGCATAGCGGGATCATAGAAAAAAAAAGGAAAAGGGGAGGAAAAGATTGGGCTTTTCCGTTGTTGCGTCTGGATTGTTTGGATATTCCACCGCGCGCCGTCGCACTTTTATTTGACCTGAACCATTATCAACTATTATTGTTGCCTCTTCCTCCTTTAGTTATTTTCATTCTTTTTGGCAAGAGCTTGGTGGAGTTTGGATACCTCAAGGTGTGATTGCAGACGAATGAGTGGTTGGGAAGACGAGAGAAGAAGAATACCTAAAGTACGAGAGGGTTGAATGAATACCATATCACAACACTTACCCATTTGCCCAGACAGCGTCTACAAGTGATGTTCGTTCCCCTGAGTCTCTCACACGTTTTCAAGATTTCATGTTTGCTTCGCGATGAAAGCAAGGAGGGAGGCAGCTCACTGGGTTTGCCGCAGGTTAGGCTCCCTCCCCGGACCTGGGCATGATTTAAACCCAACAACATCATCATCATTCTTGCACAACCATCATATCAAGGGATGGCACGGGCGAAATCAGACTTGGTTCCATAGCCCGATAACATACCAGTGATGTAGATGGCGGCACAAGGGAAATAGGGCGTCAACTCAGCTTGGTCATGTATTGCCCGGCGCCTTCTTCTCCCCCCACCACCACCATCAGTTCAGTCATTCCGCTATCCTACGGCTAATATCCCCTTTTTTTCACCTTCACGAGGTGATCCAGGAAAACATATGTCAAATGCACTCCAACCCCCTGAACAGCATTTACCGCCGAGCAGACGGAAGGTACCAGATTCTTTTTTTTTTTTTTTAACAAAAGCATGTACGCGAGGCTCTGTTTATTCAACGAAACACCTCGTTACATCTTGTGTAGACGTGTAAGAGACATGTTCACCAGTCCATTCTAGACAAGGCACGCAGCTACGGAAAATCCTCGGGCGGCTGCCGAGCCCATGCTAATGGAGTATATAAGAGCAGATCATGGATACGAAAATCCCCGACTCCAGTTTTGATTCCATCATCTCGCGGCCAGAAAACAATGTAAGATCAAGCATAGTTCAAAAAAAAGCCACGTGAAGCACAAAGTTCACGCGCCCGCAGATGACCGAGCCCGCTCTGCTGTAACTCTAGGTAAATTATCCCCCCCAGGCTACCCTGTACCTCCGTGTCAAAGAGCCCAGCTGAGCTTGATAAACCCAAGAGCAGCAGCAAAAAGGAATGTGGAATCCGTGAGGCTCGAGATTGGCTCAACGACGATCCATCTCCTTTCCTCCCCATCAGATTATATGGATCACTCAACCCTGCTAAGGGTGCCGTTTAAGGTTTAACGCAAAGCTGGCTGCTGAGAGCGATACTCCCTCGCCCCAAATGGGCATGGCAGGCCACTTTGTCAAAACGGATGGAAGATGAGAGCCGCGAGCACCAGCTCTTGGGTGGTTTGTAGGATCTGAGCGCCAGCCGACGGGTCTAGATCTAGCCCTCTTGAGGGAAAACTCTCCCCTTTCTCCCCCTTTCTTGTGTTTCTCTTTGAAGACAACAACGACAACGAGACGGTAGGGCAGGCATGGGCAAGGCCCCGCCCGCAGGTCATCTGACAGTGAACGCTGGGCTGTTGGTCGAAACCCTCTCCCACGCTTTTTCGACTTTGTCTCTTTGGCCGCGGATACCGAATCAGGCGCCGTCAGTGCCTCTCAGAATGAGTTTTCCAGGTTCGTTTCCACGCCGCTTTGGCATTGAATCTGGTGGGGGAAGCAATGGTGTTGCCGATCTTCATTGTCGGTAGGGCAGCGGGGCGACTGGCCCAAACCGGACGACTGACAATGTTTGATTGGAGCCGCGACAAAGGTAGCGCAGAACCAGGGTTTGGCTACGAACGAGCGTCAAAGACAATGAGCTTGTAGTGTGGTCTCGTGTGTGGTACGTGTTCCCAATAGGAATAGACTTGCCAGGCTTGTTAATGGAAGTGTGGCCATGGCAGGCGGTGGCGACCACAATATGTGGGCAGGCGACAGCGAGAGAGGCAAGCTCAGCTGCTCCACGGGCTGAGGGCGAGAGCAAGGGGCGGTAAGTGGGAATAAGGAATGCCCTAAATGGCGGTGATCATGGCAGGCAAAATACACATGCAGTTTGGTGGCACTTTAATGGACAGTAACCAGATATAGGTTGCGTATGGAACGTCGACGTAGCAGCGCGGCTGGGGCGCGAATGGTTCACCGCCATGAATCGCATCGCGCCGTAAATGGGAGAGAGACATCTCGTCTCAGCAATTCGAGCCCTGTCTCGAGAGTTCCCTAGTGAAACTCGCTGCCAGCAAGCGAGAGTTGCTGTTGAAGAAATGTGGACAAGGCTGGTTATTTTTTTTCTTTGGGGGGGGGGGGGGTCCCCTCAGCTCTCAATCTCACTCATGTGCCTCGTGGTGGATTCGATGGAGTCAAGCGCCAAGACCTAATTCCATGTGTCGCCTTAAGGACAGTGAGGACTTACTGGTGGCGAGAGCATACTGTACTAAGTAGTAGGCTTCGTCAGAATACATAATAATAATAAGCTGGCGTAGATGTAACTGAGAGCATCATTAAAATAATTATGGGGATGGCGCCCCATGCTCACCCACCCACAGGGTGACCAGAAGGGCGGAGTCCCCGATACTGGCTTGAAAATGGTGCAAGGAGTCTGAGGGGCTTCTTCGTCAGGGGTTTGAGCCTTCTAGAAGACACGGAAAAGACGGGTAAAAGAGGAGGCGCCACAGCGGCCCATTTCCCGCTGTGATGTGATTTGAAACGGTTGATGCTAGAGGGTTGGAGCTCTGTTGAGTGGGCGAGGCGGCATGGCAGGGCCATCGACCAGAGAACACAAAGAGACGAGACATCGACTGGGCACGGAAGACAAGCGCGCTTCGGGAAAGGCCTGGATGGGCACGGTCCGCAGGTTGCTCAGCAAAAGCCCTTCAAATCGGTCTAGGATGTGACAAGAGGCATTGGCGACAGAGTCAGCGACGTGTACGAGCATTGTGTGGTGTGGGTGTGCTCATGTGCGTCTGACTTGTCGCAGTTGTCTGGCCGTGAGGGCTCAAACAAGTTGCCGACGTAGTGTGTCTTCCGGGCAACACACAAACCCGGAACGCGGCCCATGGACACATGAAGAGCAATCATGAAGACGGCATCGGCGCGTTGCGCTCTGTGTGTGCGTGTGTGTTCGCCGGGTTGTCATCAACCAGCTCTTGCCACAACCTGCTGCATTGTTTTAATGCCTTCTTGACGGTCAGTTTTCCTCTAGGCCCCGGAAATCGGAGGCGGGAGACCCAGCAAGGGAGTTGTCAAGCTTATCGTGTGTGGGTTGGGTTGCGTCACCACGTAGTGTAAGAGTGTCGATTGAAGAAGACTGGCTGCAAGATGCCAACTGCAGCGTGGCAGTGATGTCGCCGCTGGACCGCCACGCTCATCTACTAGTTGGGCGGGATACAGTAAAGGCGAATCGCTTTGCCGATCAACTGGAGGCTCGAACCAGTAACTGCAATTCGAAGAACTGGGGAGGGGGGAGAAGTGATCAAGGAATGTCGTGTGCTATAGAAGCATGACTCGCCGTATCCCATTCTTTATATCATCACCATGGCGCCGGTTAGACGGTGGCACGCAACATAATTGTTTGGAAGCTTAGCGTGGAAATACATGAAGCAGTGCATGTTGGGTCAGCTGGTGGTGGCTGAAGGCTAGGCGCACACAAGGCCCAACAAGGTGTGACGGGTTCGCAGAAGTTGTCAGGAAATCAGTTAGGCCTGGGAAAGACGATGAGCACCTAGAACCAAGCCCTTTTTCAACAGACGCGAGTTGCAACAACGCGCAAAGTAAGGCAAGTTATTCGTTAAGTGAACCGTCCTGTTAGCTCTAACGAAGGGCTTCGTTACCAACTCTTACCCCGAAAGTCTCCGGAAGAGCCGGCGCGAACAACCTGACGATCTTGCTCCGTCGTTGCAGTTAGCATCTGCCAAGAACACTGTTCGAGGAACTTTCAACCTGCTGGGACAATTTAAAAGCGGCGTAAATAGTAATAGCGCTTGCGAACTTTGAGCCTGGTTGACCTGGCTATGCGTCGCTTGAACCGCCTGAGTCTTTTAATCTCAGTGAGGCGAAGGAACAAGCGGCAGCCAGGGGGAGGAGATGACGTGCGAGCAGTATGCGGATTAACATTAGAGCATGCAAGCATCTGAAATGGAAAGGACAAGAACTAATGAACTCTTGTCCCAATGCTTCCGTGCTTACCTGTAGAAATTATTTCGCCGTGTATTACAATAACCAGAGAAAAAGGAGGGAAAAAAAAAAAAGGCTCAGCAGAAGCTGGGTCTGTATCTATTCGCACATGCACAAAGAGTTATATGACGCCTCCGCTGGAGACAAAAAATAATGGTTGAATTGCAAGTCCGTGACTGATGCCAAGACTGGCCGAATTTCCGAAGAGGTCGGGCAGATGGCGATGTCAGTTAAGGTGGGTGCGACAAGTCTGGCGTTCCTGGGTCGATGGGAGGTGGATGGTACAACTAGTTGACGAGAGAGGAATGGATGCCGATGGCTCGGTGGTGGGCACCCAAGTGTTGAAACTGGAGGGCAGACATGAATAGGTGGTGTGAGCGGTGCAGCCTCATTCTCAGCAGGAATCGTGCGAGGATGACCCTCGCTCACGAACAGCCCGACCCCTGGTCTATGAATCCTTAGCGTACTCCATCAACCACATGGCAAAACGAGGTAGAAGGGATGGAGGGTTCGCTGTGGCCGACACGCTGTGACGCCTGA